TTCTTTAATCGTGCGCCAGCCAGTAACGGCCGAGTAATACGTAGCATACCCGGCCCACGTCTGGGAGAGGCGGCGCGCGCATCTCGGTATAATCAGGTTTCGTGACAGGTACTGTAGAGTCAGGACAGGCAGCGGGCGCGCTAGCGGGCGAGATTCCGCGGATCGACAGTGTCAAACGTCAAGTAACGTGGTAGGTCTGTATTTCGCCCTCGCACTGCGCGGTTACTGGGAAAGGGGAGGGCCCCTCAGTTCAAGGTTTGGCCGAGGAGGGCCGCTGAGAAGGTGTCTGAGCACCGACCGACTCGGTGGACATGGAATCCATGGCGGGCACGATTGAGATCCGTCGGGGTTGCACGGCCACGGCCCCGCCGATCAACCGTGCCGGCCTGCCCAAACGGTCGATTGATGTACGTGTTTCTTGTACTGTTGTACATACTCCATGTAACGCAGAGGAAAAGGCCGAATGTAAAGATACGTGCTCAGTAGGCGCCTACATAACCAACAAAATATCAGTGACCTCAGAGGCTGGAGCTAAGGCGAGGAAGTCTTCTAGAAAATGGTTCTCAGGGCTTCTCCCGACCTTCCAGCTGTGGAAGGTGCCCTCCGAGACGGGGTGGGGTGTTCAAGGGGGATGCCCTCCGGCTTCCATAACCAGCTGCATCAGACTAATCAGCCCTGGCGAACAAAGAAATTTTTATTTTTATTTTTATTTCTGTTCTTTATTATTATTTTTTGTTTTGAAAAATAAAATGCGCACGAATACAAGTAAAATAAAATAAATCGGCAATCTGAAAAAGGGAACCGTCAAGTCTCCAGAAGAAGTTCCTTTACGTTGGATGTACCGTGTCGTGTGTCGACAGGGTTTGCATGTGAACGTGGGGGAAGCAGGAGACATGGAACTAACAACCTAGAAGCAAAGCCGGACCCGCTCCGACTGCTCGCACCGACCGCACAGAGCCACTGTCGGACAGTGGTTGATGCGGCGAAATCGACACATCTGGCCCTAGCGGCCGGGGGTGGAGGGGACGAAACGTCCCTGTCTCGACCTCGGTGACGCTTTCTGGGCAACAAACCCTAATGCGAACGGCGTTTTCCGGTGTCCTGGTAATTAGTGTACACGCAACGCCAACCCAACACCAACAACAGCAACTACAGGCATTTATCTGACACAGGAGAATCTGATACAAGAGAGGAAAGACGAAAAAAACGGAACTACCCACCTAGGTACCCACCTACCCTTCAAAGTAATGCCCCTGCCACGATCTTCGAGGTGAGGGGAACATAGAGTGACTTGAGCTACAAGGCACTGTACCTTGAGATACACGTCCTCGACATTACCTGCCAAGCCAGTCGACGACGATCCGGTCCGATCTCGAGCCGGGGGTGAACATGATTAATCACTTACACATATCCCGTAAACCTGGCAACTCGAGTGTTATTGGTTCGGTAGTCTTGGAATAGGCCCCGGCCACGCATTTTCTTTCTCTCTTTCGTCTTTTCGCCTGCTGAGTAGGAATGAATGAAGCCGCGCTGCGGGGCGGGTCGGTGGTGGTCGGCACGGCGCGGTGTGACCCAGTGCCGCTCGCTTGGTCAGCCAGCAGGCTCTTTTTGTCCGCAGAGGTGGTGCTTGCCGATGGGGAAGTGGGTTGCTTGCAGGGCAATGAGAAATAGAGTTGCCAACAACTCCGAATGCATTCAATATCCGATATGCCCTCTTTGATTTACTCGTATCCGTCTAGCATCCGACGTAAGTAGATGCGTCGTGCTTCCGTTTCTCTTGTCTTCTCTCGACGAGTGCCCCACCACCATCGTTGTTGTTGTATCGTCTGGGCTCGGAGCTGAAAAGCAAAACAAAACAGCCCCTCTGTGGCGCTCAGCACCCCTCCAAACGCGGGGCCCACCATCTGGGGCTGGCTGGCGCTGGGATGATCCGCCCCGACAATCGGGACTACCAACGCCAAAACTGCCATGTCGTCGACAACGACGACGACAGTGAGACAAGTAACGATGTGAGAGCGGAAACGAAGCCCAGTAGTTAGCCGCACACTTTTCGTTATCAGCGCCGAGATTCTGCCTGGATACGTGTATATTATGCACTGCGTCCCCTAGCTTGCACGCTATTTTCTGGCCTGAAAGCAGACAGGCAGGCACAGCGGCAGGCAAGGCGGCAGGCACCTCCCTTAATGCCTTGAACCTTTTTTTTAACTCTTTCCTGCCGTCTTTCGGGATTTCTTTTTTTTTTTTTTTTTTTTTTTTTTTTTAATTAATTTTCTACATTAATTAATCCAGCCCTGGTCCTTTTCTCCCTTTTTGTCTTCTCGCCGCTATCGCCAAGTAGGGCATGAAAAATTGTTGCAGTCGGGTGACCATGTTGAGGCTCGCCCAAGGCCAGCTGAATCCTCTGGAGCGCTGCCCAATCTGGCAGAGACTTCCAACTTTTCTTTTCGTCTTGCTTCCGCACAATCGTTTTGGGTGCCTTCCCGAAGTTGAAACGACCCGCGCACGCGGCTCAGATGGTCGCGTACCTACGTGCTATGGCATGCCTTGCGTGTACGCGTATCCCGTCGATCTGGCTCTCGTGATCTGGGCCGTCGACATGTGGCTGGCTTAGAAGCTGCTTGGTGGCTTGTGGCGGGCTTTCGCCGTTGATCGGCCGAAAGTTTTTTTTTGTTGGGATTTTTCTTCCTTTTTCCACTGTTTATCGCCACCGTGGCGCATGGGAATCGTTACACTCAGATTCTTGTTTCCACGGTGTGACCGTGGATGACTGATTGGCAGCCAGCCACTCGGCACTGCAAGCATTACACACGACACATTGGAGAGCCAAGACTGGAGAGGAAACAGAAGCCGGTCTGGAAGCTATCCACGCGGCGGAAACGAAACCTAGAAACCCGACGGCGCACAAGCTAGGTTTTGTTGGACCGTTGGCTCGCAGCCAAGCAACCAACACCGACACTACTCAGGAACACTGGAGGCCCATCACGGACAGGGAGGCGTACCCCCTCTCTCGGACGCTCAAAAGGAAGCGTATAGCGAAACCATCATTTGAGCTTGGCTGGTATCATCGTCTCGTTTTCGCTTTGCGTCATCTATCTTTTCCCTTGCCGTAACCGTCCTGCCTTGCTCGATTCTTAGGGTTGCAAAGGCAGATGGGAGCGAACCGAGGATCCCCCATCGAGACTTATTTGAGGGGAATGGAATGACTGATATAATAGTTCGTATATCGCGGCCCACTCCCCCAGATGGTATCGATCCCTTTGGCCCATTTACGAGAAAACACACCTTGTGAGTATTCTAGACCCTGCCTCTGTGTCCTACTCTCTTCATGCAGCCCGACGGGGCTCGCTTCTAACAATAACACCGGGGATTCTCGATGAGGGGTGGATGGTTGTGGTGGTGGTGGGGGAAAAATTAACAAGAACAAACGTGCATGCCAGCGTCACAGTCTTGTTGGGGCCACTAGTAGTTTGACTAAAGCGACGTTTTTCTAGGTCGGGTCCCGCCAATCTCCATGGAAGTTGTAGGCTGCAACTGCACCCGTTACCTTGGCTTTTCTTAGTGTCTCTTTGCTCGTCGGTCCCCTTGTGACTGATGTTAATTAAGTAGATATTTTGGCTGATTCATGGTGTGAAAATGGCATTGGTCGGTCATGAACCCTCCGTGGGCACACACGCAGGATGGAACGGTGACAAACCCTTGTTGACCTGCCCACAGTTGAGCCAGTTTGTCTAATAAACCCCCACTAACATGCGATGGTATTGACACGTCTGTCGTCAACATACGTTCGCTATGTATGTACAACGCTATCAATAGCATGCCGCTATGACGCGATTTTACTGCTACTCGTAGGGACGGACAACGTGGTCCAGGCGGATGCACCCGCGCGCCAAAGATTGCGGGAGACCCCCATTTTACGTTACCTTTGCTGCTAGTTAGGCACGGCTCCAGAATAGGGGAGAATTCCGAAACGTATCTGGGGAATCGGTTTGACCAACCCAATAGCCATTGAGAAAACGATTGCAAAAGCAGATAAGATTAGTGATATACCTTATATACCTTAAGATAATCGGGTCTCTTCAAGGGTGTTTATGGCGCCGAGCTGGTACCCGAGGAGATTGTTGCCCGTTTGCATGCGCATTTACGTCAGGTCCAGGAGGTTGGATGAATGATGGACAGCAGCGCGTGAGCCCGCACCGTCCCGTCCGTGTCGAGTGGGGGAGGAGGAAACGCTAACAAGGGAGAAAGGGTCTCGGTGGGTCTAAGCCCCGGCCACTTCCGAGACTGTGCCTCTTTATTGCCGGACAGGACGAAGTACAGAGACCTATACAGATAAACAGACTTCGTAGGCATGTCGCAGTTAATCCACAGGGCAGGAATGTGAAAGACACCCCTCGGCAGAAGTGGTGGGTGAGGTTTCTTGTGACGTTGAGGCTGAGAACGGTGAAGCTACTTTGCAGTAGAAGCCGCGACCGGGAACCGGGCTGGTTACATGTCTGTTGCTCACTCAGCATACTGAGGCTGAGGAGGGGGAAAAGCCGGGAGGGGGGAGAGAGGACACTTGAGGGTGTGTGGTGTTATATTCTCTCTACGTATTGACCGTTGGGCTTTCCCGTTAGCTGGGTCGGCACGATGACGATAGTGCCTCAGGGCTGAGGCCCTCATGCATCGTGCAGAATTGCACTATCGCGGCAGGTTGAATTAGCAGAAGGAGACGAGGAAATAGGGGTTTAGACTCGGACCTAACTATGCTCACCTAGCACTACGCGACCGCATCCACCCTAACCGTCGACGCAACGCTTCGGAATTCCGGTCCCGGTGGCCGCAGCTTACATTGGAAAAGATGACGCAGGGCGACAAACCCGGGTGGTAAGAGCTTGGCGAGTCGTGTTCGTGTTGGCGACGGGTGATGAAGGTGAAGCTTGCAGACTAAGCAAGAGCTAATTCACCTCCGAGAACGGATCCTCCCCGTACTGTGTTGCATATTGCCTGCCCGGTCCTGCGTGGCGTTGACTGACCCTTAAGCCCTCAGCTCTCCTGGGACGACCGCTGGAGGTGGTGAGGGGCGGCAAATGGCGGTCTGGGAGACAACAATGTATGTACGCGTAAGGATTGTTGGCTCAATGGTATCACGAGACGTGCTAGAGTTCGAGGGAGGTAATGCAAGAATCCGCATCCGTAACCTAGCAATATATTGAGTCAGCTTCTGACTGGGGAGTTTGCACCGACAAGCAATCTGGCAGGACAGGCGCTAGCCGAGGCCAAAGGAAACAAGGAAACGCTGCAGCAACAGAGCCCCCAACCAGTTTCAAGGTGGATTTGGCTCCCGGCAGCGTGTGCGTGTGCGTGTGCGTGTGTGTGGTGCATGGCGATGCAGGCGTGATCGTCTTCTACGCCTTCGGACATGTCGGAATACTTGGCTTTGAGCAGCTGAAGAGGCTGACATGGGAATTTGCACCGTGCAGGTCAGCCTCTCAATGCAATACATCCCATGGATTTATTCTGGACTATTGAATCCGTTAGTCGTCGCAGGGCAGATAGCAGTGCCAGGAGGCCAAAAAGTAATTACGGAGCTTTCGCAATGGTGCATCTGAGAAAGACGACCATCTGGGTGGACAAGGCGGTTTCCCAAGCCGGGGCCGGCAGCAGCAGCAGCAGCAGCAGCAGCACACACCAACAGCGAGGACCGTGTGAGCCGCGGGCCCGACACTCTGGATCGGCCTTGGCCCTAAGCCGGGCTGATCCCAAGCACGGCCAGCCACCGCACGTCCAGCAGTCTAGGCGATGCTGTGGTTTCTCGCAAAGGATCCGGGCACATAACCAGAAACGCCTGCAGGCTGTAGGCTGGCAATTACTCGTGAATTCTAAATTCCAGACAGTAGACCGAGTTGGCGCTTGTCTTATTAGTTCGGGCCATTCCAATCTTACCCCATGGGGAATACAATCTGGACATTGTCGACAACCTGACGCATCACCCTTGTGGCTAGTGGAGCTAACAGTCCGAGGAGCGGGATCCGTTGGTAGTTTGCCCGTCGCGAGACGATTACCTCTTCCGTCTTCCATAATCCATCGGACGGGATTCGACTGTCCGGCGCCTCGGGATCTGATTGACGTAAACTATGGAACCGGGGGTGGTTGGGTTTTGTTACCAACTAGCCGTTTGCAATTGTTGAGTTGTGTCCAACAACAACCGATCTGGATCAAGGCGGTTTTTGCTCCTCCGCTTCCGACTCGCTGTCCGGTCCGTGTGCGGCGTGCGTGACGCTGGCTTGCTTCCCTTGGATTTTTTGGTGGCTCCCTCGAAACACCTTGTCTCACACGCCACACCCTTGGTGCTTCGCTTGATTCGCTGAGAGACTTGTTTTGCGAGATGAAGATCCTATCTGGCACTTGATCACAAATTCCGGTGAGTCCAATGGCTGCCACGCGTGAGCGTGTGGCGGGGTTGGGGACGCAGACACGGTACAAACGTGGGTCAGAAAAGGAATATGAAAAGACAATAGTGCCACAGACGAAGGGTCAGATAAATAACGTTTTTTCCCGCAAAGCCAGTAAGATGCGGCATGCTGGACGAGTGTCGACTACTAGCTGGAGAAAACAAGCCACAATCACCAATTTTCCCCCAAACGGTCAAAGTCAGCACTGAAAGAACACCGGAAGCGCCGAACATCTCACCTCGAAGCCCTGTATGAGCCCATGTTGCGTGATGCGGCTCGGACTTGAGGCAGGAGACAAGAAGCCAAAAAAGAACACTGCAAGGAAGGGAGAACCCGAGAGACTGCTACGGGATTCTGGATCGGAATAAGGCGCTCGCCAAGTGTCCTGACGGATACGCGGGTACGGATACCTTGTTGTGAGCCTGTGGTAGACTCAAAAGGTTGCGGATCATGCAGCCGCGCGATAGGATGCGGCCGTAAATCGAGGTTGGTGGTCCTGCCCTGCTAGAGGCAACAAGACACCAAAGAGGAATTGAACCCAGACACGGACAGTCTCACCGCACACGTTGGCACAAGTCTGAGGCGGACTGCGAGGCGGGTTTCCTTGGGGGGCTTTTCCCCCCCGTGGAACATCGGCCTTGAAACAGTGGAGGCCGAAGTGTCGATGTCTTTGGCAAACAACGAAAGGGGCAGCAACATTGCCCACTTTGAGACGTCGGTGCCTCGTGCTCCCACTCCAACTGCTCGCTGTCAGCGACGGAGTTGGTAGGGCAGACCCTTGACTGTTGGTGGCACGACAGGGCATCAGGATACTTTCCCGGATGTCACACGCCCATTGTGCAACACACGTCGGAGTTTGGGACCCAAACAAGAATACAATCGCCCGTGGAGCCTCAGCAAGGGTGGGCGATGCCGAGTGGAAATCCGTTGGCAGATCGGGGAATGATCAATGACAGAGCGAGTGTCTGACAATAGCAGCCCCGCTATAACCAAGAGGTGTGCCTGACTCAGGTCATCGTCCTGGAGCTTAGCCAAGCAAGGGAGGTGGGAGAGGTTTCCAACAAACCCAAGAGCAATCCTGATTTTTCACTGGTAAAAGAAGAAAGGAAAAATAAAGCCACGCAACCGCGGCTTTTGCGTGAAGCCCGACGGGCTGACTGCCGTGCTCACTGCCGCGTGTTTTTTTGTCTACGATGTGCCTAGCGCAGCTTGTCGGTGACCTCGGGCTTGGTCAATGTTTTAGAGCACGGCTATGTGGTGGAGCAATAGGGTTTTTTGGGTCCAAGGCGCTGATCAAGGCGCCATTCGCGGACAAAACCCTGGCCAATCGATCGCTAAGAGGCGCTGGCGCATAGCAAGGAAGGCTGTGGAAGACGGCAACGCCTGGCCATGCCTTGCCTACCTTCTCCAGGCCGGAGACGAGCCTACCTAGGGGCCAGCCAGTCAGTTGTGGGCCCCGAAGACCTCAGGGCAGCCAAGCTAAGATGGTGGAATATCCGCAATCTTCACCGTGGGCAGGATGGGAAATAAGAAGACGAACTGAGCCGAGATGGCCGGTACTCGGCCGTGATTCCAGTGGGACCCTCTCCGGAACAAAGGATGCCACTCGAAGTGGATGGCGGGGGCTTCGGCTTTCTGGGCCACTCACTGCTTTGCATGCGCTGTAGCAACACGGCTCCGCAATTCCAAGAAGCGGGGAAAGGGGATGGAGTCCATTTTCCTGTGCAGGCATATTCCGTTATACTGCAAGGCGCATCCATGCATGGCCAGGCGAACTCGTCGGTCCACGAAATACCGAGTGGTCATAGGTAAAGGTAGTCCAAACACCGGCAGTTGAGCACAGCCTGGGGGGACCTCGGGACGCGCACTTCTTCATCGCGCATGTTCACTGGGCCTAGTTTGCCCTTCTACACAGTAGTTGTCTGTCAGTGGAACTACGCTGCACAGCTCGTGTGTAGGTAGTATGTAGGTATGGAGGAGTGTGATCCCGGGGCATGCCGTGTCCGACTTGGTACCCGGACTCGTAATCACGCCATCCAACCCAACGAGATGACTGATCAAACGTCAGACTTGCTACCATCTGAGGGGTTGAAGCGAAGTAGCCCGACAACAATCTGGTTACCGGCATGCTCGGTGCATGCTGTGTTGTACTCAACAAGGCCCATGCGCGCTTCTCGGCTCTCAAGGTTGGGCTTCAGAGCATCTGCCGTGGGGTGGCGAGTTCCTATTGGCCGCCGTGGCGTGTCTATGATGTACGCGCGCGTTTCTTTCGGGAAACCTGACGGCCGCTTAGAGATTAAAGTGTTGATAGACATGAGGCAGGCCGGTAGAGAGCCGGGTATCGGTCGAGTTCAACGCACAACGCAATGCGTGCATCGTTTGCATGCATAGCAACCGGCGCATCCTTAGGTCCTCGCCCAAGAAGAAGATGATAGGGCCATCGGCGATGGAAATTCCGGCTTTGACTTTGTCTTTCTTGCTTGCGACATCTGCATGTTTTTAGTAATGGAGGGTAACAATGAATATTAGCTGGGCGTTGGCCATGTGAAAAAAACGACCCCTGTTTGAAGCCAGCCTCACAAGGCGGGTGGATTTGCCAGTTTGTTCCCCATCCTGTAATCCAGTCTTGTGTGGACGATACATATAATGCCGGTCATAGTACGTGCTTCGCACCTAGGTAAGAAGGGTATTGTAGTCTTTGTCTCATCATCTCCCGCTAAGCCGCGGTATGAGTGGGCAAGCGAGAGGGCGGGAAAAGACGGCAGGAATTGCCTCGCAGGGTTGCGTTGTGGTTTCATGTTTTACTGGCGAACTTGTCTCTGGAGCGGGGTCGGCCTGGGTCAATCAAGAACCAAGCCTGAGCAACCAAGGTCCCGGCCATGCTTCTGTCCGCCAAAGGAGACTCTGGGAGGCCTGCGGCAATCTCGAAAGCAATTCGGCGGCCAATCTAGCACGCACGGAAAAACGACTGTTGATGGTGGATACGGGCCAATGAGCGCATGCCGCCCCCAGTCTATCCAGGCCGCGCGAACTGGAATCGCCGAACGGCTATCCGTTTATGAATTGTAACCTATCGTGGGGGGAGTGCCTATCCGTGAGTATCCGTCGTAGGTAGCAGCAGCCTTGATGCCCATAATCATGGTGGCGTTTCCACGATGCCGTCGTCAACGGGAGAGCAATGCGCTTCGTGAAAGCAAGTCAACGGCCAGTGCACTCCACGATGTCCTGCAGCGCGGTGTCAAAGCTGTGCTGTTGAGCGAGTCTGGGGTGTACGGGAAGTGGCAGCGCGGGGTGTGGGTTGTGCGTGCGTGCACGGTGACAACGGCCGCTCTGTGTCTCTCGAGGAGAAGAGAGTCCCTTCAGGCTTTTCCCATGCCACATTGCACGGGCAACCATTCCGTACTCTGATACGGAGCATGCAAGGCGTTACCTTTGGTCTTCCCATGGTTTCTCGTGCGGGGATGAGCTGCTTCGGGTTTCCTGGACCTTGGAGTGGACCAGGCGCCGGGCAGCTCGCCAACTAGTTATACACTAGCCTACGAGCCACTTTATCATGATGCCCAGAACACTCCAAGCCCAGGTCGAAATGGCCGCAACCGACGGGGCGAGTCAGGGGGGGCTTCTTCGGAGTGGGCCTACTCATCTTTGTACTGCGCCACTATGGAGTATCACGATGGAGCTTCGCTTGTTGCCCGCCGGACTCCGATGTTGTACGGAGACGAGGCATATACATATATAAAATATGGGCGTCCCATGGTCTTCCTTGGATTTTGGGCTGGCGAATCAGCTCTCAGTGCCGAGCGAGCCTAAGACGCGAGGTTGGGCCTAGACGACGCACTTACTCACTGTCTCCAAACGTGATGTTCCCAAGCCCGAACGGAACAATGATGCAATGGATAGGCGGGCAAGAACATCGCGGGAGAGGGGGCGGGGCTGGTCAGCATCGCGCCGAATATTCTGTGAGGTGGCTCTGCTGCTTCTGGCAAGTGGTGGTTGAACCAGCCCTGCACGACCTCTGAGCCGAGCTTTTGAGGTATCCAATCGCATCTTCCTAGCGCGCAGGGATGTTGTAGCCTCCGATTGCCGCAGAGAGCGGAACACCAATGAGAAGCGGCGTTTTGTGCATCCCCAGGCATACTGTAGGGCTGAGGTTGGTGGTTCAACCTGCGGGCGCCGTCGTTCGCCAGTGCCCTGTAGGGCGCGACGAAAGGGCTCAGAAAAAAAGTAAAGAAAAAACCCGAACCTAGAAAACTGTTAGACTGTTAGAGCGTGCCTCAACATCGACCGCGACGGCATTCAAGCGCCAACGACCGACTTGACGTGTTGGGTGTCCAGAAAGGAAGGAATTGCGAGTCACCTGGGTGAGACGCAGGTGTGCAAGAAAGCGTAGCTCACCTTCAGCGCGGCGAATCACGGATCCGACTGCTGACCTCTAGACTGCCTTGGCTCCCAGCGAGGCTTGCCCCCCTAAAAAAAACATGCATCAGAGCCCGCGAGGGACGAAATTGATTAACTGTGCCTTTTGTGGAGATGGACGAACAGGCACTCGTGCGGAATTCCGCTAGGGGGAACGGCATCGGGGCTTGTGCCAGAGAAGATCCTCAATTCGGGCACAGCTATCTTGCCATGTCTGATGGGTCGGCCCTGTTCTCTTGCCCCGCTGCAGACTCGAGAGACGGCCTCAAGAGGCGCAGGGGGTCCACAGGCTTAGTAATGATTGCGTCCACTGGAGAGCAAATGACAGCCTTACGCGGCACCCCGCTTTGAGCCCGCTCAGGAGCAAATTACCTTATTTGAGCGCCTCCTTTCATGGACACCTAGCCAGGTGGACGGTAGTGCAGTTGCTCTAGAATACGCTACGATGAGCGCCTTACACTAGAGATGCGAGGATACACAAGTGTTATCTCGTAGTGTACGGAGCGGACTACGTAGCGTGGTGGCAAGCGACGCTGCTTGAAACGCCCCTGTTCGGCTGAAAAGAAGAGAGTATGTCTTGCCTGGTCCCCTCAGCCCCTATGCCCGAGCCTAAGCTATTTCATCTGTCGCGGTGGGATGATTGCATTGCACCTTGTCCTCATTTTGCCCTGTCTTTGGCCCCCTGTTTCTTTCTTTTCCGTTGTGCATTCGTTCTGCTTCCGTGGTGCGGGGGCTTGCGTTCGCTGCGTCTCACCCGGCTCCGACGGGGGAGCACCAGCCTTACAAGGCCGTTCTGTGGCTTGATTTCGGGAGCAGTGCGGGCCCGATGCCGCAACGCCACGCCGTTTCTCAATCGTTTTTATTATATATTCGGCTCCACCCCGTCGACACTCGCCCCTTTCAGCTCTACGCGGTAATAGACCCAGACACCACCGCATCCACCAACAACACGGCATGACATGGCTCATACTAAGTCCGCCGTTGTCAGATACAGATTTAGCTATAGTGAACGCTTTTCGTCTCTGTTCCCCAGGTTGCCGCAATGTGCAGTCAAGAAACAATTAGCCTGTGTTGTCTGATAATAATAAATCCGGGGTCTGTGCCTGCCGCGAGTGCGTCACTCCATGTCATTTGAGGAGGGGCTCTTGCTGCAAAACGGCTGGCGGGGGGTTCGGGTACGTGGGGCGGGCTGGGAGGAAAGCCGGAAATGGAAGTCCCTCTGTAACCCTGTAGGGCGTAATCACAGTACGATTCCATTCCGTTCCGTCTCCCGTCTCCCGTCTCCCGCCGTTGCCACGCGCCCTAGAAGGCTCGAGATCCGACACAAGCCGTTACAGGGTTAGATACCTGTATTTCGAGACGATCAGGAAAAAATTAATCAAAAATTTTTTGGCGATCTATCCCACCTCCGACTCTGTGAAGGCCCTCACTGCAACATGTCTGCTGAAGATTATCCACCCACCGCACGGCTTCATCCACTACGGGGGCTGTGACTGACTACAAACCTGGAACCCGCCAGGGCCATCGGTCTTGGCCCCCAACAATCTTCACGGGCCGTGACCGAGGTGCGCGAACAGCAAGTGGAGTCGACGGCGAGGTTTGGAGGTGAAGGAGAGTGCTTTTCTGGTGTGCGCATCCTCGCGCGTTCAGTTACAAAGGTCAGTGTCTCGCAGCTATTGATTACCTGCTTTTGGCAAGCCGAGATATTGTGTGGCAGGCTGTGTTGCGTCGCATCAGTTCCCATTGGCGCTGGGGAAGGAGATGCCAGCCCGTCCGTCAAGAGAGCCAAATGCGAGCCACTTGGTCTTGCATCGACGCATGTATGTACATACAGTATGCACTGCACTTCACTTCCTCAACCAGACCGGCCCCCAGCATCCGTCACAAGCGGCCGCACTCAAGGGCCCAAGTTCCCCAAACCACGATGCTACTAATGTGCGGGTGATTCTTCTCTCTAAAGAGGAGAGGGTAGTTTCTGTCCTGCCCCTCCTGCTTGCGGACTGGTGCGCTGCAGAGACAAGCCTGAGGTGCAGAAATTGAGTTTGACTACTTACCCAAGGTAGACATTGTGAGCGAAGGCTGCCGAGGAAAATGCTCGTACGACAATGCACGTCCGTTTCACAGAAATGCCCGTGATGGAGTGAGTTCCTGGAGCAGCGAAGAGAGATCTCGGGTCGAAGGGCCGGATCTAAGCAGCCAACCTAGCGCAAGTGTAAGGCTGGAGTTTCGCCTGAAGTCTGTGTTTGCTGAAGTCGAGCCGAGATCACGAATCGCCGCTCAAACAAGACACCATCTGACAGGGCCGGTCGTCTTGGCAGCTCGTTAGAAAGACGGTGAACGGCGAGCCGTGAGGCAACGGGCTGAAAAGGCGGAACTGAAAGTTCATAGCATAGTCTTACAGTGTTTTATTGACGCGTGAGCATCGAAGCTGACTTTGCTCGTCAACTTTAGTCTAACTTATAATTCGGCACGAATGCACAGGACATATAACACGAACAAACAGAACAGATTCTCTATCTGCATGTAAGGTAGTCAATACGGCGAACGCACTCGAGAGCCATCCTGGGCTTCAGGATGTTCATTAAGCAGTACGAAATACTGAGCCAGCAAAGACGCCGAACAAAGGAACAGCTAACCCGTTGTGTAGTACTGTGTAGGAGCACTGGAGGAACGGAGCGCGAGAGGGATGGAGCTTGCTTCACCACGAGCCCGAGGCGTGCGCTAGCACATTTCATTTCGATGCTAGCATTGCGGGACTAGCCTAGAATGATCATTTTGGCTAAAACGTGGAATGGAAGAGTGTCTAGCGTGTCGCGCTAAACTATAACGAGGAGTAGGCACAAAGCACCATAAAGGTAATGAAATGCCGTGCGCATTTAATACGCGGGGTCACGAAACACCAATTTCCAAAAGTCACTTCGGGTCGACTCGTGTACCTTGAGAGGGTAACCTGGGTATTGCTAGCGAGCAAGCAAAGCCAGGTCCCTCCCCGCCTTACCAGGGTGATTGTCTGTCCAGGGGCAAGAGGATTACACTCTGTTCTAGCTAGGGATCCAATGTTATTGCAACACTTTTATTGCATTACGGTACCACCTCGCCCTACTGGACCCTCGAGCCTTGGAGCTCAACTCTGAAGCAGATGGGCACGCGCCTGGCCAGTACGACTTCTACCATTGCGATAGAGAAAAGCTGAATGAGGAGGCCGCCTTTCAGCAGGTCCTGGCCGTGGCATAAAAAAGATTTAGTGAATCTATCTTGGGCCGAGCTCCGACAGGGCAGGTAAGCTCGCCTGTGCCCTCAGCACGCATTACAGTGCGAGGTCGGGACGGGCAAATTGACAGGGCGCGATGGGGGTGTGGGCATCGAAACAGAAAAGCCTGAGGGAAAAAAGAGGAAAAGGAGGACGCACCCAAGCCGCCACACGGCTCCGTTAACTAAGTGGAGCACCCCCCTGCAAGGTCGCCAAGTCGCTTGCTGGATTTTGAAAGGGCTGATTTGAGTGGATCTGGGTGCCCATCAACCGTCGTGGGATTGCGCAGGGCAGAGGAAGCAGGGTGGGGAGGCACGGAACATACGTCGCGTACGGAAGACTTTGGCAGGCTCGATACGGAGCACGGAGTACCTCTATGCTACGCAAGTACCGTCGTCAGGTTGTACTTTCCTCCTTCCGTCCATCCCCAGTTCGCCCGCAGGGCAGGGCAGGGCAGGAGCAGGAGCTCGCTGGTGGTCTGCGCGCGCCAAGGGGTGTGCGGGTTCCCTGTTGCTGCTGGTGCTGGTGCGGTGCATCGCTGAATCTTGGTACATCATATACACTTGTCGCCGGCCACGCTCGATTCGATTTCAAGTGCTTCCCTCCCACTCTTCGCTGTTCTCATTCTTCCCTCCCGAGGAGCAAACGCTGCTACTACTACCTTGGTCCTCTCTACTGCCGCCCTTTGCTCCGGACCAGTGGAAAGGAAGGCGAGTGACAGTGACACGACGAAAGACGACTCGGAGCTACCTGGGTACGAAGAAGCCTTTGACGGAGACTGGTGCTCGTACACTAAACTTTCCCGATAAGGTTACGCAGCAACGACAGACACAAGCTGGGACTTTGCGAGCTCCGTGTTGGACTGACTACTGTTTTTGGCCTCACCTGGTTGGACCTCTGGACTTTTGGCGGCGCTCACGCACATCTCGCAAGCCTTGCCCTCACCTTTGCCTGGGCTGACAAGACGACTGGCTGTTGGCTGTTTATCACTGACGGCTCCACCATCTTCTCTTTCTGGGCTCAAACCCACCCTCGCCGGCCTCCCGCCAAATCGCCATATCCAGTCGTCTGATGCTCCACTGGCACGACGGCCGCTCCCCTGTTCCGCTTGGCATTGCACCCACCCGCCCCGGCAGCGTTTCCATATCAATGATCCAGACAGACGCTTGACCTCTCATAGTAGGCGAGGCGTCCTCTTTTCTTGTCCTTTCTCGCCGCCCCGTTGCTACAGCGTCTACAACGTATATTCTTCTTCCCTCGAGTCGCCCCATTTTATTTCCATGAGTGGGCGTCCGAACTCGCATTCTCGTTTTGCGTTTGGTGCTGCACAGTCCCGTTACACCCAATCCCAACGTTGAGCGTGTCGGCAAGACCGAACCCACGCGCGGTTGTGGAAGCTGAAGAATTGCTCCTCCCTACCACACTTACCTGGAGCTGCCTAGTCGCAAACGTTGCCTTCGTCCTCGCCCTCACCTGTTAAGTTCCTGGCCTTCTGACTGGGTCCCGGTTCAGCTCGCCTGTCTCGGTCCGCAGCTCCACGCGGCGTCAAGGCGATCGATTCGCCTTGTTATTCAGCTCTCCCCCCCTAACACGCTTGTCCTTTATTCCCCGCGCAACAGACATCGCTCATCCCTCTCGACACCATGGACGCGATCCCTATCCAAGCCCCGCCCCGATATGGGCCGAGGGACTACAACAACGGCGCCCTTCCGTCCATATCTAGTCGCGAAGATGGCTTCGGGGGATTTGGCTCGTCAAGTCGTCCTATGCATTTCCACGACAACCTCTCGCCCTCAACAGCCTCCGGCCCCATGTCGATACGCGGCACAGACTCGATCGGTGCTCCCCCGCCATTACCTCCTCCCCGACTGGTACCTATTCATGGCCCCATCGACCCGAACCTGCACTACAAGGAGAGCAGGCGCCGCGAAGATAATGTTAGCTCGTATGGCGACTCTTTTGGGCTCGAATTCCAGCGGCGGGGCATGTCCTTCAGGCACGACTTCCCTGACGAAGGATACCAGAGTTTTGACAGCATAAGGTATGCTATTGTGCAGCCAATTCGGCTCACACAAGGCGTCTTCGGGTTCTCACTATCCCTCTGTCGCTGTGTCTGGTGCTAACCGTAATGCCTTTAATAGGTCTCCTGACTTCCCCCCGTCATTCGGCCTCCAAACTATGAAGAACTTCCACCTAAACAACAACAATGGGAATGCAATCGACAATTCGATGCTCAGCAAACTCAATCGCAACGGGCGACGGCCCGGCTTCAGCGCATCGATGAACGATTCTGCCGCTCCTCGCGCCAACCACTCCGAGCTTGCGACGCTCTCCCTTCCCCACAGGTCAAAGCAGTCTTTTCTAGATACAAGATTCACCAAATCTCCGGTTCTCATGACCGCGCCGTCCCCGCGGAACTCGGGATTCAGCGCCCTAGGCATGGGTGCGACCGATTATCGCTCACCAATAAGCGCCGAGTCAGTCGAGTGTGATCGCTCGCCGATACCGCGATCCAGGAGAACAAATAGCGGGTCAGCGCCAGACGACGTCACCATTTCTACACAGGGAAGCTTTGACGCCCGCGATGACGATGTGGACTTTCCAATGGAGGAAACGACGCGCATGCGTAGCTTGAACATTGATGACCAGTGGAGGGAAAGAGAAAGAGAAAGGGAGAGGGAGAGGGAGAGGGAGAGGGAGAGGGACTATTACCAGGCTGGCCAGAAGCGCCGGGCGTCATCGCCGCCGGGCGATGACGTTCCCCTCGCTAGCGACATGTTGAGACGACGGGATGGTGGACTCATGTCTAGAGGATCACCAACCCCAAGGTTAACCGTGATCCCTCAAGGCTCTATCTCGAGCATATCGTCAGTGAGCCGCAGCGGGAGCTACACGAGCAACTTGACAGCAAGCAGCATGACAAGTATTGGCTCGTTTGGACGGCGTTCGCCCAACGGCCTATCGCCAGGGGGACTATCGCCAACCGACACCATTGGTAGTCCGTATGCTACCCCTATCAGCCTTACCGCCTCACCTCGTTCTTCAATCGGCCGGTCAGCTATTGCACAGTCGCCCCATCAACGAACATTGAGCGAGCAAGCCATGGCTGGGCAGGCGAATCGGACGCTGGCTTCTCCACGAAAGCTCGCCGAGATTATATCGAAGAACCCAAGCAGTCTGGTTGCAGCTAAACTGAAGGGCCCTTACATGTGCGAATGTTGCCCGAAGAAGCCCAAGAAATTCGACTCGGAAGAGGAATTAAAGTAAGTCTCCAAGCAACCAACCCCCCCCGTACCCCTCCACAGTTTGATAGTCTTTTGCCGAATGTATTACATCAAGTCCAAGCTTGCTGACATTTTTGCCCTTAAAAGAGTACACGAGGCAGAAAAGCAGTACGAGTGCTCGTTCTGTGGGAACCGCTTCAAGAATAAGAACGAGATGGAACGCCACCAAAACTCGCTCCACGTCCGTCGACATAGCTGGTCGTGTTCGGCACTGACGGGCTACGAGCGCGCATTTCACGACAGCACGATAAAATCAGGGGAGGCTGATACCTGCGGCTACTGTGGAGACGAATTTCCTCGGACCGGGCGAAGTCAGGGCGGAGCCCAGGTCAGCGACCAGGACTGGGAGGAGCGTATACGGCATCTCCAGGACGTGCACAAGTTTCGGGAATGCAATTCGAGCAAAAAGTTCTTCCGGGCCGACCATTTCCGTCAGCACCTGAAGCACAGCCACGCCGGGACAAGCGGGAAGTGGACAAACATGCTGGAGAATGCCTGTATGATGGAAGAAGATCCACCGGTACCGAGATAACATGCGAACATGTTTCAACGAAAAAAATCAGGGGGAACAGAGATAAAAAGACGGAAACGGAAAACAGGAACGATTATTGGCGTCGAAGCATGGGTCGGATGGATTACACCGCGTACTAGCTATGGAGCGAATATTGGCGTCGAAGCATGGGTCGGATGGATTACACCGCGTACTAGCTATGGAGCGAAGCTGTCCTACTCAGCTATCTAACATGGGACGAATGCGAGCGACAGCACTCAATGGGGGAATCTTTGTCCAAGGCCGTTCGTTGGATCACTGGGGATTTTTGGTAGCGTGGAAAGTCCCACGAAGTTGGTGCGCAGCCATGGCAGTTGTGACGTTTACAGTCAAATTACTTCCGATTTGCAGCCGGCCACTGTGGAGCTTTGAAGGATACAACGTGTGGCCGCGGCGCAGGAAGTCAAAGGATGGACGTGACCGGGCCCAGCATTTTTAGGAGGGGTTGGGGCCATGGCTTGACCAGGCATTGGGAGGACACGAAGCAAATATTTTTTTTATTCACAGGTTAAAATCCACAAATTACTTACCTTATCCCGCCAAAGTGTCTGCCAAGTGAGAGGGATGATGATGTCGCCGGTCATGATTAGAATTGAGGATGGGACAACAGCGGACAACAGCCGCCACATAAATTTCTAGCTTTACGGAGTACTAAGATGGTGTATAGGGGGCTGGTGACTGGAGTTGGCTGGTGCATAGTATGCGAGCGACGCTTTGACGGATAACTGCAGCTCTCGGCAACGTCAGGGATAGCGAGCATGGACGCTAGGAAGGGTCTGGGAAGACGTTTCTTGTGGCGCTCCCTTTTGAGCTCGAAGCCGCCCCAGGCGCGCTCGGACAACAACAGGGTGTGGTGATGGTTGGTACGCCAGGAGCCAGGTCATCAACGTCCGGACGCCCTCGCGTCCTTGGAAGGCGGGCCCAATTGGCCGTCTGTCGACTGACCGGGTATGTACTCGGTATGTATGCGACGATGCCGTTGTGCATGGCAGCCCCACTTGTCTGGCTGGCTAGCTGGCTAGCTGCTTGACATGGTCGAGGTATGTAGGTTAGGTATTTTTGCGGCCTTCCTGTTGCGGCCCGTGGCAGCTCCGTCGGGGTGCGTTGCCGTTGTTCGAACCTGCAGCACGCGCATTCGATATAATGCTGGGTTGCTTGCTTGCTTGCTTGCTTCCATGCCTGCTTGATCAGCAGCAACAGCAACTGCAGCACCAGCAGCAACACCCGCTCCCTGGCCCCCGGCGGCTGCATATTGCCCGTACATACATACCTATGCTTCCAATGGATTCGTGGACCAACCGGCGTGTCGCGGCAATGCCGCTCTGCCAAGTTCTTCTGCACTCTGGGAGCATGCAAATCCAGTTGGATCGAGTCTTGGAAGTCGAGGTCACATCTGACCGACCGTGACCCGTGCTCTCCTTCCACCCTCACCCCCTCTCTCCCTGCCCGGGCCCTTGGGTTCTCACGTATAACGAATCCGTCTCGCGTCCTCGGACACTATGGATGACGCGGAGTCTCTCACGGAAGGATCTGCATCCACGGCCCTAATAAGTATGCTTGTATTGCATGGACCAGCCAACTGAACGGAGGCTGTCCGTTCGGAGTAATCCCCGAGATTACGGCGTGTGACATGTTCTATTTATCGTCCCGGGGAATTTTGGGGGCCACTTATTACGGTTAAAAATAGCGGTTGGTCGGCCATCTATCATTGTTGTGTATGCACAGTTACTGTTGTGCTCGTGCGACCTGGAAGAAATCTCCTTTCATATCCTGCAGTTTTAATGTTTTGACCGCAGGAGCAATGCAATTCCACCTCATCTCTCTTCAGCCCAGGATTTATCAGGGGATGATACCTTACCCAAAATAGCGCTGTGCGCGTGGCACAGCGTGCAGCAGAGGATCTGCCCAGGGTCCGTCAGTGAGAACCATATTTTTCACGCTTGTTCAAGACGTTCACGAAGACCTACCTCGGTACTCCGTCTCTTGCACAGAGTAAGCAAAGGCCTTGAAAAACCAGGAACATGCCAATATCATGGTTGGCTTTCTTCTCGATGTTTGCCATAGCGCAATACACCTAGGTCCTGGGGTGAAGTCAGATCGAATAAAGGGGGAAAGGTCCCAACTCTTCTGTAGGGCTCTCACCTCAAAATATGACCTGTCATTCTCGGCCCCGGACAACCTAAAATTCGATTTCTTGGTTGTTCCCCACGCTGAGCTATGGCCCCCAAACTAGTCTTACGCCCCACTGTTTGAACCCTTGGAGGGGTTAATCCCTAGCGGGGCGGCGGAATGATGACCCCGCGCCAGGAAGAAAAACAAGCTTGAGAAGCGGACGGCATCATCGACGGCTGCTCAAGAAAAGGCGGATCTGCATACAGACTACGCAAGAACACGCCACGAGGCTCTCCAAATATCTGACCGAAAGTGCAATGGCCCTCAATCGGATCAATGGGAAGGAAGACCTCTACGTCGGAGGGTAAGCGCTGCCAGTTTCGCCTCTCCTGGTCCGCCATCATCGCAGCCAACCTCGCCATGGCGCCAGCGGGTTTGACGGTACTGACTGCATGGGCTTAGATTATTTGGTCTCCGGCGGAAGCAGGCATTGAAAGAAGGCAATATCACGCACGTATTGTCCGTCATCAAGTACTCGCTCGACTTTGACCCAGACACGTTCGCCAACGTTCAACATCTCAGCGTAGACATCGACGACGATGCAGACCAGGATATCCTAGTGCAGCTACCTAAAATGGTGCGCTTCATCGAGAGCGGGCTCTACGGCGATGCGTCCCGCCCCGGCGGCGTCTTTGTCCATTGCGCAATGGGCGTATCCCGCTCCGTCTCGGCCGTCATCGCCTACCTCCTGTGGAAGTACCCGCACCGCTTCGGCCGGTCGAGCCCAACCACAACACCCGAGCAGGCCGTCACCCAGGCTCTTGAGCTAGTGCGCGAGACGCGGCCAATTGCAGAACCGAACTCGGGGTTCATGCGCCAGTTGGGCGTGTGGTGGGAGATGGGCTGCCCCGCCGACAGCGACGATGCCGTCGAGAAAAAGCCGGCATATCAGCGCTGGGTCTACAAACGGGAGGTTGACGACGCGGCACGGATCGGGCGGGTGCCGGACTGGATACGATTTGAGGACGAAGAGGCGGAAAAGCAGCGAGGCGGCGGCAATAAGGAAGACGGCAAAGAAAGCGGGTTGGAGCTCCGCTGCAAGAAATGTCGCCGCGTAATGGCCACCAAACCCTTCATACTTGAGCACCGGCGCAAGAACAATGCAGAGCGGCCGGACTGCCCGCACTACTTCATCGAGGCGCTTTCGTGGATGCGTCCGGTTCTCGAAGAGGGCGCACTCGACGGCCGGCTCGTCTGCCCCAACGCCAAATGCTCAGCGTCTATCGGTCGATACGCCTGGCAAGGCTTCAAATGCAGCTGCGGCGACTGGGTTGCTCCTGCCTTTTCTCTGCAGAAGAGCAAGGTCGACGACGTTGTTATTGGGCCTCGCCGGGACCAAGGCATGGCAACGGCTGCCGATCGGATGGCTGCGCTTGGTATCCGGATGCCGCCCGGTAAAAGTGCGGCGAGCCTTGTTCTCCCGACAGATGCGGCGGCAACCTCGCCTCCGACAGCGGCTATTGAGGGCCAGAAAGAGAATCTTTGATGAGACCACACGCCTTATTGGCAAAAAGACGAGCTTACTGTGTCGGGAATATTGCTGTGCGATTGCATTCTGAACCAAATCCGCCCTTGCCGTCCGTCCCGTCCGGGTCCGGGTGTATACGTGGCGCCTCGAATAGACTTGTATTGGGGAATTTGCGGCCGCCGCACGGGAGGAGCCGATCTACGTGGCACGGCTACAAAACAGTGTGGCCGCCGATCCTCGTCCCTAGTGCACCCATCGGCACCCCGGTTCTCTCAACCTCACCTAACCCGGACAACCTTCTGCGCCGGCGCACTGCATTTTGAATTGCTGGCTCCCGTGTCACCTGCACACCCCCTGCATGTTCTTTCCTCCGGCTCCCTTCGCTCATTACATCCCCTTCCAAACCCTCCACCGTCAGCCTTCTTGCTCTTCCTTTCATCCGACCAGAACAAGGGGGTTTGGAAAGAATTTGAGCCATGAACTCGTGGCCCAGGCTTCAGCTCGTGTTCGAAATCCTTGCTGCGCGAACGAGGCCTGGAAGCGCCTGCTGGACAAGCGGGATCAAATTGCTGGGCCTAGGGCTTACTCTGCTCTGCACTATGGTCCCCGCTCAACCCCGAAACCCGTGGGCTGTTGGCAGCCCAAGTCTCCGAGGTACTGCTTTCATTCGGCGCCGGTTTCTTGCGCATCCACCAAGCCCACTGTTGTCTGCTTTTCGATGCCATATTCCGAAGAGGGTAGAAAGATTTGCATTATCAACGGGCTCGCCGACACCTGGCTCCGCGACCGTATTTGCCTTGGAATGCCAAGCTTCAGAAGGTCTAGAGGAGAGTCTAAAGAGGGCAGTTTTGCCCTATTTGGTTTGGGGCGATCGGGCGCCATACCTCTCTTGGTGAGATGAGGCGGCGGCCCAGCAGTGGTCACCCACTGTCCCAGCCTTGGGCGCGACCGTGTTTAACTCCACATCACTAATCAATAGTTGACTCCATTCTCTCCAGTCACGAAGAGGCGGAGATGCGAACCGGGCGCGAAGATAGCAACCCAATCAATCACGAGTTAATGACAGTGAGATCCGAGCCAAGCATGGGTAGAGCTCGCACTCTGCCTCTCTCCACACCGTCATCAGGAATCGGATGGTGGCTTGGGAGGGAAGAGATTGCTTACTAAACATGCGCAGGCAAGGCAGGTAGATGAACCTGAAATGACGCTCAGTCTCAAAAATACGAGTTACCTCGCCTGTAAGATCCCTATTACAGTTACGTATCTGATTGTACATGTGTGTCAGGGTAAGAAGACGAACAAGGGCATGGGGGCGAAGACCACATGCACCCCGACGCCAGTAAGACGTAAGCCGATGTCAGAACCTGCTTGGCAGCCCCGAGCCGACGCCTTGATGACGGGCTAGTGATGATGACAGCATCCCGATCTCCGTGTTGGCGCAAAACACAATCATATCGGGCCACGGCAAATCAACAACTAGACAGGGGCTAAAGGCAATTGTTTCCCTAAAGCAGTTACCGTCCCCTATCGCGCCTTAGTTTCTCACCCTGCCTTCGGCGCTGGCCCGGGCATCAGCCGTCAATGCAACCGACCGGGCTCGGGACCCAGACCCCGTCTAGGCCTCGTATCATCCCGAGTCCGGACAGCCTAGTCTCCAATTACTCATGAGGCTGATGGAATGACGCCGTATTAACGACGACAGTGGTGGCAACGGTGGTATTACGCAACGCTGGTGAGCGGATTGGGAAAACTTGCCTCGCTCGCACTGGCAACGCAGCGCAACCTTCCTAAACGCTGGTGCCTGCCGTGAAATTAACAGGCGCCCACCGCTGCAAAGTGCCTTCAACACGAACCGCAGTGGACAACTCGACCGCTCGGGAGAGAAATACACCGACTCCAGGCACCTGGCTTACCGGCCCCGTGGAAAATCAGTCACCTCTCCCTGGGTACTTTACCATCTCTGCCAAGCGGCAGCGTAGTTACGTAGCACTGCAAGCTTTCTGCCCAAGACTCCACCCCCAAGCAACCGCTTTACGGGGCACTCGATAACAATCAAAAGAGACTGAAAGCCCGAGACCTCGCAACCCCAGCCTCCGAGAAGACGGTGACATTATACGGTCCTCAGAGTCAGAGCGGTAAGTACTAAACGGTGCTCGAGGCAGCGAGGTACACAGTGCACTCATAATACTGTGCTGGACCTTGAGGGCATTGGAAGGGGTATTGAGGGTGTTGTGCAGAAAATAGGAACCCCCTTTCTTGTCTCTTTACCTCTCTCTGTATTCGGGCTTGTCAGTTCAGAGGCTTCTCGGATTCCTTGATTCCCACTTCCCATTATCCTCCACCCAGTTCTTTAGCTACTCGACATGACGATGAAGTGATACGTCCCTTGCCAAGTGTAAAAAAGAATCACTAGGCTGCATTCTATATGCGTGTGCAACCCCACAGCTCTCAGCTCTCAGCTCTCAGAAAAGCCGAATGTCTTTTTGGCGGTGCCAAGGAATCAACAAGTGGAAGCCAGCCTCCCTAGTAAATGTTGGAATAAAATAAAATAAAATAAAACGGAACTAGGGTAATATATAAAAGATGCCGATCAAATCAAGAAAAGAGCAAATGGGGAAAATGCACAGGTTTACAAAATAAGAATTAAGCTTTCTCATTCTCATGGCTGGCTGGGTGGCGCTAACGGCCAGGCATGCGGCGGCCCTATGCCAGCCCCTAAAAGTGGTGAGATTTCTCTTTTTTACACATTTTGCAACGGACACAACAGTACCTTCTTTTGCCTGCACGTTATGGCTATTATGGAGAAAGGACGTAATAGTCTTCTACTCCGTAGATTTTCCCTTTCTTCTTTCTTCCTCTCCCTGCTCTCATTTTTTTTTCGCGAGTAGTGTCGATATTACATGCGGCGGGGGAAAACCGTGCGAGAAACGGGAAAACGCCACCCAGTGCTAAATCCCGGAGGTTTATTATATATAGAATATCTACGGGTGTGAGAATATCGAGGGTACCTCATCTTTCCCTGCTCTGAGGTATACACTAAATGTTTAAATGTGATGTGCCAATTCCCCTATCTTATCAAGATCTTCCCCCCTCAAATCGATCGGGCCAGGGATGACACTGGGCTCGTCCCCACTTGACCCAAGATCTGATGAAGCTGGTGTCTCACGCCAGGCAGTGCGAGCGAGAGGGAGAGGGGGAAATTTCCCCGCCAGCCCTAATTAGACTGATTGGGCCCTGGTTTTTTTTTTTACCAGTTTCCTGGGTTTTGTTCGCAGACGAAGTTCATGACTTCATGTCTTGAGTTGTACCCGCAAGTATCCGGCGGCGGGCTGGGTTGGGGCACGGCTGCGTGCTTATTGTTTAACTCTGCGTGCTTGCTTCTATTGCTTGTTCCGGGGTCGCTTGACCGCGCCCCTTCCTCTGCGCATGTAATTATTTCGTGCACAGAAGGTCGGCTCTGTTTGTCTTTTGTCCAGGGCCTCGTGAGTGGCTGAACCGTGGGCTCGGTGTCGAGTCGAGACTGTTCAGTTTTTTACAGCAAAGGAAGCGCGTGTCAATTGCTACGGTGGTATACCGTCGTACTATTTGAGCTGGGTAATTGGTCGTCTACATGAATGGGTCCAAGACAACTGTCCGTTTTCACCAGACTGGCCCGAAGGCGGAGACTAGCTGGCACGAGAATGGCGGACGCCACAATTGCGAGGGCGCTTTCGAGGTCGCTCTCACGGCGGTACTAACTTAAGGCACCGTGCCGTCGGGGCATCCCGTGCACGCAAATACGGCGAGGGGGCGTTCGTATCTGCGACTCCAGTTGCTGCCTGTTCCCACACGCACATTTGCGTAAAATTATCGACCCTTCCTTTTCCATGCTTGGCGTGATTAGATTTAGGCCGCAACCTGGCGCCGCCGAGTGTCTCGATAACGTCTCAAGGTCCGCAGTCGACAGGCCGATGCCTGCTTAGACTCTTGTCGTCCGTCTTCATCTTGGACTGGGCAAGCGGGGCGGCGGGATGTGGGGAGTTTCGAGTTTCTAAGGTTGCCTGGTGAAAGTATCCGTAATTCACGGGTTTTGGCCGTCACTCGCATGATCGCCGGGCGGGCTAGGTACGCATTGTCACCTGGCTGCACCTGGTTGCCCTATTCCCGTACTTTGCCCCGAGTTGGGAGATTGAGCGACAAACAGCCCGTTCCACTGCGTGCCGGGAGACATTCGCTTCCCCACTACTGCTAGCCTTGAAAACATGTGATATGTGGGGGGGAAGAGCTCATCACTCTAAATTGTTAGCGTGGAGGGGTCAAGGTTTGAGTGTCCGGGATAGGGCAGAGAGCCAGCCAGAGAGAGACACACACGCTGCGCCGCATGCCGTGTGACACGACGCGGCAGTTTCGTGTAACGCTTGGCCCCGCGCTCTCGCCAAGGAATCCAACCTTGTAGGGCTGCTGACTAACTGGCCTGGGTAAGTGCACACCCCGCCCAACGAGAGAAACACCGGACTGGCACTGGCCTGCACAACCGCAGGCGGATGGGAAAATCCGCGACCAGGTTCACGATCCTTCGCGAGTACGCCCAAAATCCTTTTACCTGCAGCGAAACCCACCATTCCGTCCTGTGCCCATCGTCCGCCCTGCTCTGCTCTGCCCTGTCTCCGCCACGGACTTTTGCGTGTGCCCACTAAGTCCGAGAAACGACGGCGGACGGAAGGGCAAGGGTTCGAACTTCGGCCGCGGGGCTGATTGCCTTGTTCAAGGCATTACAAATACAGTGCACAGCAGCCATCGTTATCGGCTATCGATCGCTATCGCCATCGTTACATAATACACATACAGCCATGAGGGGAAGGTCTCTGCAGACTCCAGCATGTCTCGGTGGTCGGGCGGAGGCCAGATACCCGCTGGCCTGGGCATTGCAGTGATAACTCACATACGCAGTATAGCACACGTCTGTCAGCGTGATCCTTCTTGCTGGGCCGAGCTGGATCAGGAGGGCACGCTGCACACACGCACGTACAGCAACCACCGGGCGGGGGAAGGCAGTTGCTCCGGTTCCGAGTAAGCATCCCAAGAGTAGAGTACGTAGGGTGACGGCGTTCTCGTCGGCTTGCCTCCAAGCCAAGCCCATCCCATATCCGGCTCGCTAGCCAGTGCCATATTAAGCAGGACACCTTGACGCGCGCAGCACCGTCTCGACTCTTTGCAGCTTGCACAAGTTCGGCGCATCAATAGAATAGTACGTAGTCAGCAAATGTGTCAGCGCTAGGCCCTATTGCAGTCACTCCAGAAGCGCCTGTAGGCAAACGGAACGGGCAGCTCGACTCAGTTCTGCGTGGACCACGGTGAAGTCTACTCGGTATGCAGACTAAGGCAACCCTCGCTGCACGCCCAAGGCCTCGGCAGATTACTTTGTGCTCTTGCTTGTGAAACGGAAGGGCCAGTGTTTCCCAATGATGTGAGACATAATTGAAGTGATATAGTCACACAGCCAGCACCGCGTTTTTTGTTAGCTTAGCCCTCAGTCCCATCCTCGAGATCGCCCGCTTATCCAGCCCACCACTCGAGCTCGGAGTACGGAGTACCAGATAGAGACACTGGCTGACCTTGGCCTCTACTGCTCCACAACGCCGTTCGACAAACGGCGGGTCGTTTTCCCCTCGTTACGGGCGCAGTACTCAGATCAAGGGGACGGGCCCGTCGGATTTCAAATTAGATGAGCTACCTAAGCAGGTTCACTCAAGTTGCATCGTCAACTTGTACTTTCCCACCCCCCAATTGACCTGAGAGGAGTCGCAGCTGCTTAGTGTGAGTTACACTAATGATAGATAGCTATTCAGTACGCGGAAAGGCAAAGGGGGCTCTGTCTGCCAACTGCTCTTGCCAGTTAACTTCCGATGAGCAACGAACTTGAGCTCGAGAAGCCAAGCCTGTGGGAGGGACACCCCGGTACCTACCCGACTTGCCCGTCAGGCGAACAGGCGGCGCAGTGCGAACTGCGCGATAGCTACCCATCTTCGCGGGGATCGCCTGCCCACATGGGTAGTGACATTCCCCGCCCTTCCTTCGTTGGTTTATCACAGAGGAAGTGCGAGAGAAGTGTGCGCGGGGTCATGGCAGAATATCGAATTAGTAACCGAGAGCTGCAGACGATCTGTATCTCCCGTACGACGCACTACTGACACGGCGTGGCCGGCGCCCGCAGGGACAACCATGACGTGATTGCTGCCGGAGAAGTCCGCTCCAGAAGCACCCAAGTGGTGGTTGGCGTGACGTGCGTGTGGGCGGGTGGGCAAGTGGAGTGATTAAAGAAGGATACCTTGGTGTATGGGTCGTGGGATGGGTGAGCGAAAACACGGCGTGTGAACGGTGGTTCCCCCATACAGACCGGTAATAAGGCGGATGCACGGTTCTTGCGGCATCTCCGAATTGAGTGTGCCTTTTTCTTCTTCTTTTTTTTTTGCTGGACCGTTCGACAGTGCTTCTGGAATGAAGCCAGAAGCCTGAAGCCGACAGGGGTCTTGCGTCTTCACGTGCAGGAGCCAGCCAACGCTTGCAGCGAACCAACAATATTAATAGCTCCAATATGGGACAGCGGATTGGGTTCGCTAGCGATTCGCTGATATGGTGATCGGTTGGCGGGAACCTGCTGTGTTCCACCCAATATCTATGCCCGTATTGGCAGTTTCAACCTCGTCAGGGCAGATCTTTGGGGACGGATGGGAAGAATGTTGGGTCCTGCAGCCTCTCGCGGTTGCGCTTGGCAATCTCAATTTGTCGCTTCTTTTGGAGTCGCTGCTGGTAAAAGGTGCTGCAGGCAGTGCTAGTTAGCCCATTGCCCATTGAGCAGCGCGGGGGCTGATGCGCGGCTGACCTCTTGAGCTCGAACACGCGTGGTTCGTCTTCTTCAGCCGTCGGTGATGTCGGTGATGTTGGCGATACCGCTTTGTCTGTGCTCTGCAGCCCGCGTATCAGTTCCGGACAGCGAGAAGCGACGAGCAGTCACGAAAACGTACCTCGTTGCCAAGCTCGTCTTCCTTCTTGCCGTCATCGGCCTTGCCGTCATTTTCCTTGTCCTTGTCCTTGTCCTTGTCCTTGTCCTTGTTGTCCGCGCTCTTGTCGTCCGTCTTCTTGTCCTGGTCCTCCTTCTCCTTCTTTTTCCTCTTTTCCTCGTATTCCTTCTTCACACGCTCAATCTCGTCCTCGAGTTCCCGCTTCCTCCGTGCTTCGGCCGCGGCCGGGTCGATTTTCGGGGTGCAGAAGCCGGCATCCTTGAGGTGGCTCGGGCAAACGTAGAACCAATCCTGCGAAGAGTTAGATGGTGTCGATAGGGGGCATCGGCGAGGGGGCTGATCAGGCCCATGGGCTATGGCGGACCTTGTTCCCGACCGTAATCAGGACGCTCGTGCTCGGCTTAAAACATATGTCGCACGGCTTGGCGCTCGTCTCCGCCACCTTGCGGTGTGTGTAAACATTAGAAAATGCCATGGTGGCAGATGTGAGCCAGGGCGACGGCTTCGCTACGGCTTCGGTGTTGGCTTGGGATCGTCGGCGCGGACGAGCTGGACGTGTTGCGCGGGGTTTGCCCCTTGGGCGTCAAGCCGTGGTGGGGTTGGGCGGGTCGGGGGAGTACGAGCCACCCCGCACACTGTTTAGCGACACTGTGCCCCTATTTTGACCCGTGTCGCCAGACCGAAGCGGCGTTGTGAGTAAACAGAACAGAGGAAAACTGTCCATGAGTGCAGATACGGTTGTAATTGTTCTAGAGTCGCTAAGCTCGTCACCTTGCAATCAACGTACCTCAGCCACCGATTACCATCTAGGTTCGAACATGCTTCGGTTCGAGGACGCCCTGACAAGTGGTGAAAGTTGAACATATGAGACAGCCGCCCTAAAGAGATGAAAGGGAAGCCCGCTAATACGGACATGGGGAAGTGCAGAGATTGAAGTAGCCCAAACGCCGCATCCCATAGTTCTTATAGGCAGCACCATTTCATCCACAATTATCCAACCACTCCGTTTCACACATGCTTAGTTGGCGCTGCCCAACACAAACATCGCCTTTCACGACTAAGGATAGAAAACGCCTTGGTCTCCAACATCCGAGAAATACCCATGCGAAGACACCGCATCTAGATCCAGGATGTTGAAGCCCGGCGAGGTATGTCCCGAGTCGAACTGGTGGCTGTGATACAAGTCGTGAAGGGCTATCTGCAGATCCGATGTCTGCGTCTCGGCGTCAGCCGCTGGCGGGACGGCCGACGACAAGAGCACGGCCTCGGGGCGGCTCGCCTCGGCTGTGCGGCCGACAGGTGACTGCGTCATGTCGATGTCCTGAAGGCTTTCGTCCATCTCCTGGAGCGCAACCGCGACAAAGCTGACGCCCTTTGCCCTGACCTTGAGGCTCCACCGAAAGTCTCCCAGTTTCCGTCTGTAGAACTCGGCCTCTTCGTGGGAGGAACTCGTCGCCCAGAGCAGTCCGCCGTACGTGCGGATGAAGGCGAGCGATTTCGGAGACGCAAACCACCAAAAGGCCTGGAGATGCTCGGGCCGGAGGGCCTCGACGAAATTGATGGCACGCTCGAGACGAGCTTTCCCAGCTTCGCGGCAGAGGTCCCGCAGATGCGGCGGGGTGGCCGGTGTCAAGTTGCGGATGATGTGGCGGTGGATAATGATCTCGGTCACAAAGTAGGAGAGGTGGAGGTATCCATTCGAACACAGTTTCCTCGTCCGGACGCCCTCCATGTGCAGATCTGCCGGCATGTCTTTGGCCCACTCCTTGAGCCTCACAGCCAGCGGCTTCACGAGCTCGAGCAGCCCCTGAACTCCGCTTCGCGAGACAAGCTCGTGGATCCTGGTCTGGTCTGGGCTGTACAGAATCTCAGTAGCCTGAGCCATAATCTCGGTGAGCTTGGTGAGGTGGATAAAGAGCAGGCGGCCCTTCTCGACCTCGGTACTCCCCTCCTTGTCGTCCTCGTCGGCGGCAGACTCGGGGAAGTCGGCAAGCGACACGTGGGCCATCTGCCAGTTGGAAGCCGTGACGTGAGAGGGCCGGCCGTGTATCAGAGCACCCCACTTGTCCTGCATGTATATTGCCCATGCAAGCCGCCGTCGGAGGCCCTTCTCCCACTCGGGGATGTTCCAGGGCGTGCAGTCGAGATGCAGGCCCAGCTCCTCGCCTATGCCCACGACTTGGGTGGTCAAGACCCACGAATCGCCCCCGGCGCGCTGCAGCAACAGGAGACCGGCTTGGACGGAGGACAGCTTGGGCCTGTGAATGACCCCTGTCAGGGCTTTCATGGCGGTTCGCAACAGCGCCTCGGCGTCTGGTTTCTGTTTCGAAGCCAGCTCGAGATCGAATTCCCACCAATCCATGGCCAGGAGATAGACGGCGGCAAGAAGTGGTGGGGAGAATTCCTTGTAACTGCGCGCGTACTTTTCGATGAAGACGCCTTTGTGGAGGATGGGGTAGCTGGGATGGACGGTGCGGAAGTACAGGTCCACCAAGCCAGGGCCGTGAGGCTGGACAATTTGCTCTACTGTGTCAAGATCATGGTCGACGTCGGCGCTGAAGAGCGTGTGGCGGTCAGATTTAGACAGAAATGTCGTTGCATCAGCCACACGGCGAAACTTGCAGCCATCCTCGCCGTTTCCTGACTCGTAGAACCGATGGATAAGATCCAGCAGCCGTTCCTCGTGCAGGGAGCTGGGGCCAATGTACTTGAAGTGGGTTGTTCGGTGCAAACCCAAGGTGCGGTCTAGTAGGGATCGGACTGAGGAGGAGGCGATAGGGGGGCCGAGAGTGCCGTCATCGGGCGTCTGCGTCGCCTTGGTCTTCTTGAGAGGCGGCCTGTAGGTGATGCTGCGTCAGTGGTAAGCCGTGAGTGGCCAGACGGGGGTGGTCAGACCTTGGATCGCTGTCGCCATGGCCGTCTACACTTATCGCCCTGTCGTCGGCAAACTCGGCCCTCTTCTTTCTCGGCTGGGGCGCGTCGAGATAAGTGCATTCGCGGTCATGGAACGTGCAAAGCACGCATCTGTCTTGGTCGGGCTCTTTAGCGCATCGCGACTTGCGCCTCCGGCAGACATCGCAAGGTCGGTCGGTGCGCGTTCCCTTTCGCGGGAGGGCTTGGAGGGCAGCGGCATCGGGGCTCGACCGGCTTGATTCCGAGGCATTGTCCATGGCGATATCAGTAGTGCACTGCTCTCGAAGCTCACATGCTGCTGTATGCTAAATTTGCAGAGCCGCTAGAGTTGGCGAACTACCGAGAGCCGGCACCACTACGTGCCGTATTCGAGTAGTGTTTGAGTGAGCGGTTGTGCTGAGCCCGAGGCTTCGTGCCGGGGATACAGAGCTGTCGCGGGAGCTGGAGCTGGAGCTGGAGGCGTCCTTATCGTCGGATTGACATGCATGGCGTTTGGCCGCAGGAGGCCGTCTTGATTGGACCGTGGGCATCATTGCCTTTTCCTCTTGTGAACAAGGGCGTTCAGCTCGTTCAAGGGGACCTGGGAGCCGTCCAATCAAAGACAACTCGATGGTTGGCTCGGCAGTTTGCAACTGCGATGTTTGCGCATGTTGAATTGTGTGACGTTGCCGAGTTGCGATGTCATGCAAACCGGCAGAGACTGGACGAATGTCAAAGGTTCGGAGGAATGGATCCAGGCACTTGGGAACATGTGGCAAGGCGAGTGGGTTTGAGACAGGGGCTATCTGGAGCTCCCTGTTCTCCACACTCCACAGGCCTGGGTTGGGCCTGGCAGGCCGCATCGCAGTGGAATTAGAGGTGACGTCACTTTACGTGCTCAGCAACCATTGTACCTGCCCGGGCATCAATAGCTCAGGTACGGAGCCGCGCAAATGGGACGACTTGACAACTTGTTAACAAACCGAAGATCGATGGAATTCCTAGACATCACCTTACCTATTCGCCAGTCGCGCCGCGCAGGCCGGTAGTTGGAGGGAGAGAAGCTGCCGATAGACCGCAAAACAACAAAACTGGAAGACCGCCATGAGCTGTAAGACCGTCCTTGGACAGTTGCCTTACCGGCTTCCGTGTGTTCCTCTGGTTCAAAGGGGGTTTGCGCGCTCCAGTTTGGCTTGGGGCGTTGGGTTACAGAACAAGCATCGGACATGTCGCCCAGCAAGGAAATTCGCGTGTCAACCAAGGCCCTTCTCGACCTCGAACTGTCTCGGAGAGGACAAGTACGACACAAAGGCAAAAGAGTTGAGCAAGAGGAGCTTGGATGAGCAAGAACAAGAAGTAAGCGCGCGTAGCCATCAAGTCAAGCGCCCATGGCTCCGCGAGGGAGCCGACAAACCCCCGGTTGCCGAAGAAGGCAAAGAGCCAGAGCCAGTAACCAAGGGTACGTGACCCAGTCTATTTCGCGCCGTCTACCTCGAGAAGTCTCTAACCCATCATGACGACTAGGCAAACTACTCACCACGCCGACGCGATTACTGAAACTCATTCTCCCCCTCCCAATAGCCGTGGAGAAAGACCGAGACAACAACAGCCACGACTATGGTCGTTCCATCTCGTCCAACGATACCATACAACCTCTGGCGCTCTTGATCCATCCCCAGCAGCCCCTCTCCTATGTTGAGCGCCTGATCCAGGCCGAGATTCCCCCTGTGGTGGAAGACGGCAAGGAGAAGATACCCAACATATATTTCCGTGCCGAAGATACCGACCAGAGCGGCAACAAGCCCACCACAAGGTCAGAGTCGAAGCGCAATAATAGAGACGGCGCTGGAGACAGCACCTCAGTCGAGAGAACGCATGTCGCATCGTACTCGGGTCTCGGTCACGAAGGCCCCAAACGTGAAGGCTCGGACAAGAACTGGGTGCGGTGGAGCAGCAGCACCGAGATCGGCGACTTCATACGCGACGCGGCGCGGGGCCGAGAGTTTGCCATTGAGATTGAGGGTTACAATTTAGAGATGCGAGTCACGGTGCCATCCTTTTATGACCGTACCTACTACATGCACGCCCAACTCAGGAAAATGAGCCGAGAAATCAACAAGCTTGCCCAGATAAAACGGGAGTGCGACTTGCTGGCGCACAGGGGCGCCCACCGGCTCGCAAAGGGGGGGTTTGCGCTGCTCACCGGGTGGTGGGGGATCGTGTACTATGTCTCGTTCCATACCGAGATGGGCTGGGATCTCGTCGAGCCCGTGACATATCTCGCTGGCCTGGGCACCATCATGGGCGGCTATCTGTGGTTCATGTACATCAGCAAGGACTTAAGCTACAAGGCCGCCATGAACGTGACCGTGTCGCGGCGGCAAGATGCCCTGTATGAGGCGCGCGGGTTCGATATTCAGCGTTGGGAGCAGCTGGTGCAGGAGGCAAATGCATTGCGCAGGGAGATCAAGGCGATTGCGGTCGAGTACGACGTCGATTGGGACGAGACGAGGGACGTCGGAGAGCAAGTCAAGGAAGTTTTAGACGAGGAGAAAACGAAACGCGGGGACAGATCACCGTCTTCGGAAAAAAAGAAGGACGAGGAGCTTACTAAACAGGAGAGGAAGGAAAAGGGCCACGAAGAGAATGACTGAAAATGACTAATGTCCGCAAACAAACGCAGGTTCCACAAGAGCAAGGCAGCTGCAACAGCGCGGTCTCGTGAGGATAGCTCACGATGGTCACCGAACTATATCTCAAACTCTCACTTGACTCAAACCTCCATTGCATCAAGTGATAGAAAGCAAACATGCCCATCTTGACACTCAACTGGCTTCGGCTCTGGTATAAGTTCCCCACGATTCCTCGTCTTCCCAGCTGCACCGAACCCATCACCTATCAGCATCCACTCTTATCACTCTAAGAAACTCGACACAACAGTGCAACAACAAGTCCCTTGGTCACCAGAGAACCTCATACCCAAGATCAAAAGTGAGGCACACAGCTCAACGTATCTTGTTCACAGGATGTTGACATGAACAGGCAATCTCCAGACTCTCAGCAATTTCTAGGCTCTCAGCAATTTCTAGGCTCTCAGCAATCTCCAAGCTCAGCACATCATCCATTTGTGTTAATTTTCCCGCAATTACCTCCTTGACAAACTCTGCCAGAAGCCCGCCTCGCAGTCAGATGCGGTATACGATGTCACCCTCATATTGGAAATGTTGCTCATGCGGAGACTATAACACAGTAGACGAGAAAAGATGCCTCAACGAGTCTTGTCGCCACACTACCTGCTATGACGACAATGGAAGTTGTGTAAAGGTCTGATAAGCAACTTCTTTGTGGAGATTGAGATATTCAGACTCTAGGGGTTGGCTACCTAGCTGGACTTGTTTCTTGGAAGTGGTGGGACATAAAGCACGGCGTTAATGGAGTATTTAGGGAAGGTTGGAAAAGGGGAGAACACTCATTCACCGACTTTTTTTTGAGATATTCTGAGATGGAGCTGGCAACTGACCTAATTGCTAGCGATAGAGCCTGAACAAACACAAACTTACTACCCTCCGTCGCTTTTGGAGCCTTTTAGGTTTTTTTCCCCCTTCACATACCTTGGTTCCCTATTTCTGAAAATTTGTACCTATTGGTATTGTGATTCTGTTCAGCCTCGAGTTCGCTACGGTGGCAAGTACTTGATGTAGTTACCGAGTGAAAGTCAATCTCTCTTCACCTCTCCAAACCTTACGAGTGTATGTCGTACTAGAACTAGACCTGGGACTTTCAATGTTGAACTAGGTAAGATAATCCACCCGGCAAATTAGGAAGAGAGCTGAACGGCCTTCTCTCTTTATTGCCTCCTGCGGCCCTCTGGGGGCGCCTGCGGCTGGCTGCTCGCTATGCACGAAATTCCCCTCGTCCCCTTCTCTCAGAATCTCCGGAACTTATTTATTTTACATTTATCCGATCGACTAGTCCCCGTTATCCATTTCTTAACTAACAAATCCCTAGTCGAGACACTTCTGGGTTAACTATAAACAAGTAGAAAGCCTCTCTCTCCGTAACCTACGCTACTTTACGGCCTGCAAACTCGCCGGTGGCGGCTCCGTTTAGAATAAATATTGCATTTACTAAATAGGTACCCGGCGGTAGCACATGTGCCCTAAGAAAATAAGACAGTTCCCGGTTTAACTCTTCCGGTCATAGCGTGCACAGTAAATACTAAGCATTACGTGCACAGTAAAAAGTAAGCATTAGATAAATCACGTTCCCTTTGGTCTGTACGTTGGGATGGTTACAAGCCATTTCGCCATGTGTTATGAAATTTAACTCTTTGTGAATCGCTACTCGAGGGCATGACGAACAAAAAGAAAAAGAAAACATGATCTATTACGGGGTAACCCTAACCCGCCGGGAATTCGGTAAAACTCCCTAACCTACGGTATCTTAGGTAAACTGCCCCGTTAAAATTTCGTTCAGTGACACAATGAACCCACAAACTTTACGTTCTTTGCTTCTCTCTCATTGCACGCTGCAACTACAGAGCGCACTATATATGTTCATTAAGCGAGTCATATACTTCTCAAACGCGGAAACTTCAAAATGTGCCCGGTGACAGAGGTATCTAATTGGAAATGCACGCCAAGACGTACTCTAGCTGACATTAGCGGTAGCCTGTCAGCGACTTCAGTGGAGTGATGGGTCCGCCGGGAAGGAAGCTTTGACCTCGTTCAGATGACGGAGCTCCCTTCCGACCCCTCCAAAGTTCAGACCAAGGCGGGCAACAGCTGAGCGCAACATCTGACATCTCATGTCGTCGGTCGCGCACGGCAGGAGACGGCCGAGATGCCGCGATAACACGTTCTAGAACACGTCAACGCCAGCTGGCCCGCCCCGTGCATTTATTTGAGCCTTGTTGTCTCAGCCGCCAGTCCCGCTCGAGCTTGCCCCGCACTTCTGTAATTACCTTAAACCTACCTCCAACCACTAACTATAACGTATCGCCCTGGGCCGAGCCCGTTATCTGGACATCGGCCCCTCACTTCAGCAGATCACGAACCACCGCGCGCCCTTTCGATGGGCCCTCAAGTCATCCACCTGCCCGACGGGCAAAACATCACCGTCACCCCCGTCTTCGCCGGCCTCTTCTTCAAGTCGAACGATCTCAGCACCCACCAAAATGCCTTCCCAATTGGCTGGACGATCGTTATCCACACCGAAGACGGCGACGGCGACGGCGACAGCGACGGCAGCAATGGCGGCGGCGCATTGGATGCCGGCAGCTCGACCCCCAAAGACGAGGCAAAGCCACATCTCCACTCCTTCACGAAGCCGACGCTGCAGCACGACAGCCTCTTCATCTCGTCTATCTCGAACCCCTCGAGCCAAGACTTCAAGCCGGCCGCGAGCCCGACGCGCCAGGTCGCCATGATGCTCTGGGTCACGCTGTATTGGTACTTCCACCAGCCCGCCCCGCCTACCACGCTGGTGACGGAGAGCTCGAAGCTCACCCCCGAGGCTGGCCGCCCGCGGGGCGACTGGCGAGTGCGCGTTAAGAGGGACGGAGTGCTTCGCGGGAGGAACCTGATACCGAAGCTGGAGCGCATGGGCCTGATATCGAGCCTCGACTCGGCCGTGGGCACAGCCCTCGAGGACAGCGACGAGACGTGGGCGCATATGTTTGTCTCGCAAAAGATGTTTTGGCAGACGCCGGGACGGCTGTTCCTGTTCACCCTCCAGCCCAATTACAAGAACACGCGCTCGTATCCGGGCTCGCCCGCCGGGAGTCGCCCCGGCTCTCCGGCCGTAGGCGAGCAGACGCTTGGACAGTCCCAGCTTTACATATCCCACGTCTCCGACGTCCCTGGGTCCCCCCCGCCGACCTCGCTCACCAGCATGCCGTCGTTTCCCATCGGGCCCTTCTTCAGCGCGTCCCATCTCCCTACCTACTACCCCCCGCACCGCTGCAGTACACTGTCACGGACCAGGTGCGCCATCCCGTCCGGCCGAAACCGCCGCGCATGGGTGAGGTCTTCTACACGCGCTTTGTTCCTTCCGTGGGGCAGTATCTCTCGCTCCGCGTGGCGTCTCTGTCCCCGAAGCCCGTCCCGTACATGGGCCCGGTCAGTCAGAAACCGCCCCAGCACGCGCATCTTGGCGGGCTCAGCGACACCGGTCTGCTGGAGCTGTGGCACGCGAACCCGCGCGTCTCGGCCTTCTGGGGCAAGTTTGTGCCCGACTTTCTGATCAGCGCCATGAAGAGCCGCCACAGCTTCCCCGTCATTGGCATGTGGGACGGCGTGCCGTTTGGCTACTTTGAGCTGTACTGGGTCAAGGAAGACATCCTGGGCCGCTACATTGGCAGAGAGGCAGACGACTGGGACCGGGGGTGCCACGTGCTGATCGGCGAGGAGTGGGCGCGCGGCCGCGTGCAGAGCTGGCTGACCAGCCTGGTACACTGGGCTTTGTGTGCCGATAATAGGACCATGAGTGTGTGTCTGGAGCCGAGGGTAGACAACGCCAGGTGAGTCTTGATATTCCCGACCGCGTCGCGATGCTGACGACCCCTTTGCAGATTCATCCAGCACGTCGAGTACGCCGGATTTACCAAGGAGATGGAGATTGCGTTTCCACACAAGCAAGCATGGTTCGGCCGGCTGAGGCGGGAGACCTGGAACGGCCCTGCCTTGTGATTTGTGGGTCCATGTTACTGGTTCTTGCTACCGTGAAGGCGATAAGCCTGGAGCTCACGTTGCTGCAGCAAACAAACAATTACATGTATTGCAGGCACCTTTCATATCGGGGCTTATTCTGTCGAGCCGGCCCCTAATTATCTGACGACGCGATACCGCTGCCACTCGCCATCTGTCAATTTGGGTTGCTAGCAAATTTGCGGTTATTGCCTCCGGCGGCCCTCCGGGGGCTGTGGCGGGCTGCTCGCTACGCTCGAATATGCTGTTCACGTCTTCTCTCATCTCATAGCGCGGGACTAGATGAAAGCCGAACCCTATTCTTTGGACGATCGAGTTTGAGGTCTTAATTACAAGGTGGTACACGTGCGCACTGCCCTGCCCTCGGTAACGCCTTCCAGTGCATTAGAGACTGGCAAGAAAAAGGAAGAGTTGCGCAAAGTAAAGATATTTACAAAACCAGTATCCACGGCGTTATTGGCGACGTGTGGATGACCGCTTCAGTTCCGGAGCATCATGAGGGTCCAGATGAGGCCGTTACTGATGACGACTCCAACGGTAAACATGACGGCGGCGACGCGGTCAACCGTGGTGATGGGCTTGGGCTTGGGCCTCTTGCTCTTGAATCTGCGGCCGCCGCCACCATAATCGCCCGTGCTCGTGCCGCCGGTCAGGTTCGTGGTGGGCGCGTCGGTGGCGTCGATCAGGAGGCTCGACACGGCGGCCAGCACGTTCATCGCCTCGCCGGCGCCGGAGGTCCCGTCGACCGACGGGTCCACATAGACGCCCGACGACCAGTAGAAGCCGCAGCGCCGCCGCGTCCGGCCGCCCGTACACTGGCGCACCGCCGCCGCCGCCGAGCTCCGCAGCACCGGCAGGATCCGGCCGCGCGTGTGCGGCGCCAGCTGCGTCACCACGGCCAGCCACCGGTGCACGTACCCCTTGAAGCTCAGCATGTCGGTCGTGCACGCGCCGCCCGGCCGGCTCTCGCACGGCAGCTCGTACGCCACGCCGCCGGGGAAGAAGTCGCGCAGCATGCCGTCCAGCAGCCCGTCGACGCGGCGCCGCCACACGGCGCCGCCCCCCGTGTAGTTGAGCATGTACGCGGCCCCCTGCAGCAGCAGCGCCGCGTTGTAGCTGAACTGTGCCCGGTTGACGTCGGTGCAATTGTGCCCCACGTGCCCTCCGTCAAACACGCGCCACTCGGCCGTGTCGACGTACCGGCGCGCCAGCAGCCAGTCGAAGGTGTGCTCGGCCCAGGCGGCGTACGTGTCGTTGCGCGTGTAGCGGGCCAGGCGGGCGCCGAGGTTGAAGAAGCAGGCGTTGGCGACCGTGTTCTTGTAGTCGTAGCCGACGTTGACGGCGGGGATCTGCCAGCGCAGGCCGCCGCCGCACGTCTTGTCGCGCCGCGCCGGGTCCGCCTGCGTGTTGAACACGGCCTGCGCCAGCGCCAGCCACTGCGGCTGGCCCGGCGGCGGGTCCGGGAACCGCGTCTCGGCCGCCAGCATGGCCGACATGCCCCAGAACGCCTGGTCGTCGTTGCCCAGCGACGCCGTGTGGTTCACGGGCTGGTAGTCGCGCCCCGCGCCCACCTGGTGCAGAAGCGCCTGCGTCGTCACCGCGTTGTAGCTGCTGTCGCCTGTCAGGTGCCAGTAGTCCACCATGGTGCCCCAAAGCGCCCCGCCCTCCCACCAGTAGTAGTCGCCCTTGTGCTCCGTCGGCGGGCCCGGCAGGATCCCCGGCGTCTGCCCCGTCTGGTTGCCCTTGTAGAACAGCATCATGTCGTAGGCCAGCGTCCGCGCCGACGCCAGGATCTCATCTGCATGGTCAGCGTGCTGAGTTTGTGGCCGTCCTGCGTGACATACCTCTGGTGTTGATCTTGTAGTGTGCTGCCTGCGCCGTGGGGAGCAGGCAGCCCACTGCCAGCAGCGCTGTCAGGCATTGGCCTGGACACGGCATTGGCAGTACTGGCGTTCGTTTTGGTTGGTTTAAGAAAGGAATGTGGCGAAGAACGGAAGAACGAGTGTAAGGAAGACCGAGTGTAAGGAAGAACGGAAGAACGAGTGTGAGGAGCACCAGAGGTGCTGTGACAGCGCCGAGGGCAGCTATGCAGCTAGAGAGGCATTAAAGAGTGGATGGAGGTCAAGGAGTGATGTCCAACGCCGCACGAGCGACGACAACGGCGGCGGTCATGTTTAGGGGAGGGACGGAGGAGACGAAAACATGGTTCGAGAGCCGGCAGTGGAGTGGAGGCGATGCCGAAGTGGCTTTCTAGGTTTGCTGGCTTTGCCGTGCCACCGCTCCCCTCTTCGATGTTCAAGGCCACACGTAGGAGGCGTTGTGGGCAGCCGACAGACCGGGCCGTTCAACCACCACAGGCTGGAAGGACCAGGGCGAGATGGAGATCAAACTAGACAACCTTCCGCTGCCTAAGTCTCTTATATTTTGATTTCCACAATAATTGGGACTCAAATGCCTGGGGATGGGGCCCGTGGTTCTGCAAAGTTGCTGAACATATTCTATGAGCATAGAGTTCACGACACAAGCATTCCCCGGGCGAAGCCAAACCTTGCCCGATAACACGAGAACATAGCTCATAGCCTACCGAGCAGGGCGAATAACACAAACACCACTAGACTGCCATGTTGGTTGAAGGTCACTTAATCACACCAAAAATGATGCAGTTCCTAGGTCTTGAATATGGCAGTGATATGCAGATGCCGCCATTTTGAGCGCAGAGAGCAGCCCGCCGCAGCCTGGAGGACCGCCTGAGGTAACATGAGCGGTGCACCACAGCATTTTTTTATCCTGCTGCCTTGCATTGATATTCTATCAAGGTTACCGAGTAGTTAATAACATTGGAGAGCGAAATAGGTTTCCAAAATTTGGTGACTGACTCGTGGCTATGTATGGAGCTGCTAGGATAGGAGCAGTTACAACTCCACCAACCATCAACCGCAGACACGGCGCTTGTTTAAGAGCCCGATTCCCGTCCGTATGGTCTAGCGGTATGACGTTCGCCTCACACATCCACAACGTGGTCGCGACAGGTCCCAGGTTCGATCTTGTTCCTGGCGTGGACAATTCCTTTTGTTGCTCTCTGGCACCGAGCGGCGTGCAGCCGTGTTTGGTTACATATTTTCTTTTTCTTGCTCCTCTCCGCACCACCCGTTTCGCGATATCTAGTTATTTGCTGTCTTGTCGTTGTAGTAATGTACCTGGCCGGGCACGAGGTTAGCCACTCTCATCTGGCTTTATTCTAGCCTTCGCACTCAGCTCACCGTTTGGTCCGAACATCCCGACGGGGTCTGGTACGAGTAGGCGCCCGTGTTGATGAACAGGGCCTGCTTCGCGCACACGAGCCACGCGGCGAGGTTCTGCCGCTGGAGGCCCGGCGCCGACCAGGTGACGGCGTCGCCCTGGAAAGCAAAGGTGCCGAATGTGTTCTTCGTCGAGTTGAACCAAGTGGCCAGCGTCCTTGGCGGGCTGGCCTTGTCCGCGGGTTCCTGCACCCACATATATAGCGGCGGGCTCGAAACCTTGTTCAACAGCTGCCCCCCCTCGATGTTGAACTGGCCGGCCGTCGTGTACGAGTCGAGAATCGCGGTCCCGGGCACGTTGGCCGGCTTCGTCTGCAGGTATTTGTGGTAGTTGGGCGCCGCCACCGCCCGGATCCAGAGCGCTCCCGTCTGCAGCGTCTTCGGCGTGTCGTCGGCAGCTGTCGGCAAGCTCAAGGCCGTGCCTGCGAGGAGGGCGACAAGAGATTCGAGTTTGACCATGGTGCCCGGGTCTGACTGTGTTATGTGTCGAATTCGGGGGGTACTTGGCTCTACGAGGCCGTTTGTCGTCCTTTTAAGGAAACTCTGAGAGGAGCCTCATTTACTCCTAGTCCCAAATTAAGAGCTCGGAGTGTCTGGGCTAGTCGGCGGCGCAGACCGTGGCCGTTAATCTATCTAGCAATAATAGGACGCTATTTGCAGGGCCCGTCTCCCGCCGGTTAAACATGCCCTCCGCATTTACTATCTAATATTAATTCCTAATGATGGAAGCAGCGGCTTGCAGTTCAGGAGCCGGTTCTGGGTAAACAGCTCCTTGGCTCTATTGCCATTAGCCAGAGGCGCCAAGTATGGGCTTTGCTGTTTTTATAGCCATGCACAGCTTGTACCGGGTTCTGTGAACGGCTTTTGGCGAGCCCAAAGTCCCAGCACTTGGGTTTCAAAGTCCGCCTCGTTTGCGCTAGTCACTTGCACTGGATCAGTGATTGCTATTTTCAACTTTGTGTTCGGAACAGGAACAAAAGCCAGTCTTTGGGACAAGTGTTCCGTCTTCGCTATTTTGAATGTCAAAATGTAATATCGCCTAGTCACATGTTTCTCCAAGGTAAATTAAGACCTCCCAGCCTTGGACGAGTCGATGGACTGGCTGAAGAAGTGGCTGAAGAAGGATGAATCTTTGCCACTGGCGGTCCTCCGGGGCTCCTGCGGCAGGTTGTTCGCTGCGCTCAAAAAGACACGGCGTCCTATATGAACTCTTTCCCAGACTCATTGACTACCTAACCAAGCGAAGCCTCGCTTTAGCAAAGGACCGAATACCTGCCTCGTCTAGGTAGCTTGAAATACAGACACGTACAACCCCAGAGATCAAGAATTCGTAATATGTGACGATATGTTAACAATAACAATTGAAAGACTCCGTCAAGAGAGTTGGAAGAGTCATTCAAATCTCAGTTCTCGAATATTTTAACACCACCTAGATAATTATGTAGTGCTCGGCGAAGTCAAAATCCGTCGTTCTCGCCAGTACCACATCAGTTGGCAACCAAAAAACAAAGGATAATTGCAGATCAAAGTTATCGCGACCCCCGCTGCAATTGGACTGGCTCACAATGGTTGCCAGATTCTCGTGCATTTTAAATACAATGCCAGGCAGAAAAACACCCTCACCCGTGGAAGGATTGCCTCGCGTTACACGGCATCAACCTGATACACGGGGGCCATTGTCTACCACAGCAGCGGGCCGCGAGAGCCATGCAGCATAAAATTGGACACGCCGGCGAGTCGGCGACGCCTCTGGCAGGCTCGACGCATCTTGGCGGCGCTGGCCAATTCCAACCGGCCTGCCAGCGCCCCTTAATCCCGCCGCCTCGTCGTCTCAATGCCCCCCTCACCTCCAGGCTGCGGCACAGCGGCTGCAGCCAGGGATTCAATCTTGCAGATCCCGTTCGGCATATGAGCTGGCCGTGCTGCCATGGTCGAGCACCCAGGCGGTCCGTACTTCCCCAGCCGTCAAATACCGCCGGGGCCCAGGCGCTGTTTCTCCGAGCAAGACCTCCCTGTCATACCCCTCCAACGCAAGCAGCCATGTCTGTGCTTCCGAGGAACCAAATCCAGTCCGGCAGCAGTGTCGAGGGCGTGGACAACGACGACACGTACGGGCCCCGGATACTGATTGCGTGCTGCTTGGTCGAAGTGCTGTCGACCGTGCTGATCACTCTGCGCTTCTACTGCAAGCTGAAGCGGGGCCGGCGCCTGTGGTGGGATGACTATATTTTGGCCTCGGCGTGGGTACGTGCAGTCTCATAAGCTCTTCCTTCTACTCTCTGGCAGTCAGCCTCTGCATGGCGGCATGGCGGCATGGCGGCAAACACGTCGTTGAACTCGAGCCGCCACAGCTATTCCAGACCTGCGACGTCGCTCTGATCAGCGTCAACGTCGGCCTTGGCGAGGGCCAGCACGTGTGGCGGCTGGGCCGCGGCGTGCTCTCCACGCTGGGCCTCAACGGCAACGTGTCGGGGACGCTTTCCATCATCGCCGCCTGTCTCGGCAAGACGTCGTTCGGCCTCACGCTGCTGCGCCTGACGGCCGGGCTGACGAGAAAGGGCGTGATTTTCTTGATCGTGTCCATGAACATCGCGCTCGGCCTCTCGGCCCTGTTCATCTGGCTGCAGTGCGACCCGCCGGCCAAGGCCTGGAGCCCGGACCTCGACGGCACGTGCTGGGACCCGAGCTTCAGCTTCAAATACGGGGTCTTCTCGGGGGGTATGCCTACATCCTTTTCCTCCACCGGCTGGTCGGTGCTAACCCGCCTGCAACAATGCCAGCCTACTCCGCGCTCACGGACTTGGTTCTGTCCATCCTCCCTTGGCCTCTAATCTGGCGTCTCCAGATGGAGATGAAGGAAAAGGTCGGCGTTGCCGTGGCCATCAGCATGGGCGTGTTGTGAGTTGGCACAGATCACATTGATATGGGGTTCTTGGGTCTGACCCCCTATCCAGCTCCGCAGGCGCCGCAGTCGTCAAGACAGTCCAGCTACGCTACCTCAGCAGAGGGGATTTCACGTGTAAGCTCTCTGCCCACCTTCTTTGGCAGTCGATCTCTAACGCGGCACAGACTACGAGAGCGAGGTAGTGATCTGGGGCACCGTCGAGACGGCTGTGACCATCATGGCAGCCTCGGTTCCCTTTCTGCGGGTGCTTGTCGTCGAAGTCCAGTCTGCGTACGCCCGCCGCGACGGCGTGTCTGGCGGCAGCGGCCGTACCAGGACGCGCGGAGCGGAACACACTGACAACGGCGCCGGGGCCAGCGAGATCGTCTTGACGTCAGGCAAGAGCCCGTACGATGTCGAGTCCTCGCAGATTACTCTCAGGTCTGGGGAGGCGGTGCTAGCGGACGAGGGACGCGAGGGGCAACATGACGGCGCACGACGTTTAACTAATATTACGAATGCAGCTGTTGGAGGTGTTTAGTTGTGTTTGACTGGGCTCTCGGGCTCTGTGTGAATTTAGTTTCTATTTACTTGGTACCCAGTCTAAGCATCATCATTCTATGGAGAGGGGCGGGAGGGACGCGGCTGAGCATCGTTTGGGAAAACGTGCAGAGACAACAATCACATGCCGCAGTGGATTCCTAATTGGGAATTAATTCTCCTCATTTCTTTCACGGTTCTATTCATGTAGCTTCTGTGACCTCTTCGTCCACGGGGTGCAGGACCACCATGCACGCCTTGTGGCCAGAACGCTACCCGCCATGGTGAAGCGTTGAAAAGACACCACCGCAAGACCCAAAACAACAACAATAGCAGGATCAATGGAAGCAATCGAGCTGTAGGCTCGATAGGTTGGTGAGCTTGAAGCAGAGTAAAGGCACAGAGTCCCATAGCCGGGAAAGTCAAACGTAAACAAAGAAAAGGCACTACGGCGTGCGCTGGTCTGGGGATCTCAATTCACGGTAAAAAGACGTGATTTCTTCCTAAAGATCAAGGGCCCGGGGGAAGATCGATGTCCTCCCTCTGATGAGGGAGGGGCGGGGGCGGGCTATCCACCTTATACGAGGTGGGTAGGCCACGAAAAAAAGAAAAAAAGTACACTAGATTATTTTAGGCAAGGTTGTAAACAACCCCCTTGTTGCCTGGCCCCTGAGCCCCTGATCAATGGTAGAACCGAAGGAACCCCCGGGTCCCTAAAGTACAAGTGCTCGCGAACCAGGCTAGACCACAGGCAGCTGCTTCGGTTCCAAGACTGATTCTCGAAGGGCCGCGTCATGAAACTTGAATTGAATTGAGAAGTTCGAGGTGGGAAGGCTTCGGTTAAAAAGTGTCTCCTCTACAGTATCCAGGACTTCAAATCTTTCCTGTAGGGGCCACCTTGATTAGGTTAGATGCAGCTGCAATATTGATTCAGGTTGTGAGAAGCCGCCATCTCAAGGATGCAGGCCAGCGTGGCGTCACCGCGAGTGGCAGGCCGATTTCCCATTTGCCATTTCGTGACAAGTGCTGGGTGAAGAAAAACAGGGCTGGCTGAATAGACATGACCTCTTGGAAACATTCTAGCCCACTATCGACTCCCGCACGCACTTGCCTCCTTCACCGTATACAAGCAAGCATAGCAAAGATCCCGGCACGAAAATGATATTAACCTCACTGACGGCTACCAAGCTCCTAAGCGGCCCAGTGTCACCCCCAAGAAAGCTGCCGATAAGCTGATCAAACCAACCATCGGCCCCGGGCTAGACGACAAACAAGATGAAGGGCAGCATCTTAGTCCTAATGTGCGTCCGTGAGGTTGCCGATAATGTCCTTAGAAGACACCTTGTCTCCCCACACTGTTTTGAGATCAGATAGGCAGATAAAGGACTCGTCAGCTAGATCGTCATGTAAGTCTTTTCTTTGCATTTCGGCCTTCATCTCCACGGTGATGGCGATGATCCGACTCTTCCTAGGTGTAGTGGGCTCCAGAGCCGCCGTCGCACCCGGCACTGGCCCGGGACGTTGGTGCATCATGGTGTCACTGAAAGAGCTTACAGACGTCCGGTTTCAAACGAAGAATCTTAGGAAAGTCTGCCTTCCAGAACACATCGCCGTGGTCTTTGGGCAACAGCAATTCATCTTTGCGCCCTCTTTTATTGCCTTTACCGACCACGCACGACAAGGTGCGAGTCATCAGCAAAGACACACGCCTGCCGTTTGTCGAGCGAAGCCTTGACACGATACAGGGTGCCTGACGATCAACACCAACAACCAAACTGCTTTGCACCTTGCGTTGATTTGCCACGACCTGCAACACTTGATTATTTTCCCTCGTGCCGCCTTTGGAGACCTTTGGCAGTTTCTGCACTGCGGAGACCCGCCGGACGACACGCAAAGAAAGCAGCATGACTATGTCTTCAAGAATAAAGACCCTAAAAGCTACCCTGTTGGGTGGTGGAAGATTGGCGACTTTGGTATCTCGGCATTTAAGGAACTCGACACTGACAGCGAGAACCAAATAGGACTCGCTTCTCCCACCCCCCACGCCTCATCTACGGATCGCCGCAATACTGGGCGAAAAGGAGACGTATGGTCCTTTGGGACGGAAAGATCATGTGGACAAGTTTCGTGAAAAACGGGTCGCAGAATGCAAAGCAAGCAGGGAGGAGCCTGTAAATGATAACTACTATTTTAAAGTGCTTCTACTGGGACAGAAATTGGCCTAGATTTTGCTTCGACCGGCTGTCAAGGAATGGCTGACGGGGGACGACTATTCATTGATGTATATGCTTATCCCTAGACGACAAGAGAGGAGATGGGGTAGAGGGTGGAGGGTGGAGGGTGGAGGGTGGAGGGTGGAGGAGGATGCCGCGGAGACGGTGGCGGGGGGAGGGGGGGCGGCGGCGGCGGCTACGACGACGTGGAGTCAAGTGGATGGTCAATAACAAAGTTTTAACGACACAAGACGTGATATTCCCGCCCGACTTTCGTTGAGGAGCGGTAAGGAATTTGTTACGACTACTCCAATACCCTGGCGTAATTAGACCACTAGACATAAGTGATCCGGCATTCTGGTCCTATGGGCGTGAGATGATCCAGGCACGAGAGCCGGGCAGGAGGGTGTCTATGTAGCAGAGCTCAAAATCAGAGCCTGCTATCTCGGCGACCACAGACAACACACTGCGCTCCCCACTCCAAAATCGACTTCTTCCTGTCATGTTTTAATTATTTCGTCTGCGCAAGGAGGCTCTGCTCGAGGAGGCTCGACCGTAGGCGTCGTCTTTCGAACCGTAGGCACATCGCTCGCCAAGAAGCTCCATCGTCGCTTGGAAAGGAAGCTGTCCGCCGAGATCATCCTTGCAAAGGTATGGCGAAGGGGGCGGAGCTGTCTGTTGGGAATGCAGATGCCAGGACCTTTCGGCGCAAATGGCGATTCTTGACGCTCGGTCGGCAATTGTAGGTGGTGAATGCCTCGTCTAGCTGCGGTTTGAGCTCGCCCCGTTATTTGTAAAGACGCATTGTCTAATCTTCAGCGGTGAAGTTGTTGCATCCCCATCGACAGTCCCCATCGACAGTCCCCATCGACAGTCTCGCTCTTGGTACGTGGTTTGCGCGACGAGCCTCTGTAGGACAGCGTGGGCAGGCACCAAAGTCCTTGATGTACCCCGCCCTGCATGTTCGTTGGCGTGGTACTCCGTCTTAGCAAGATGGTGTACATCCAATCATGCGGGTGAAAGTCGCATATTATCAAAATATTTCGCATCGGCCCTTTCCTCGGCCGACCCTGCCTCTTCCCATCCATCGCCCATATCTGGGGCTCTTCAAAGACGGCGTGTTTCGGGAAAATGAGCTAGTAAGAGAGCTATATGCCGATAAGCTCCTTAATGGGGATCTCCTCCGTCGGTCGATTCCGTATGGAAAGCTCCTCCTACTGAAACTCCCGGGGGTGCGTTGGTTGATCAAGCCCTGCTTGCAGTGGATTCATTCGGGGGGGGCATCGACAATCTTGCGGAGATGTCATCTCTGGAGCCAGAGCCATCTTAGCACAATTCTCTACCGATGGGTTCGATCAAACTTGGGCACCATGAGGTAGCTCGGCAGCTGGTAGAAGATGGTGTCGATGTTAACACTCTTCTTGCGGGGACAAGCGGATTATGAATCTGGCTGTTGAGGAGGCTCCGGTCCGATACTCTGGGATGCCCATGTCTGAAGTGCAATTTATCGCCTTTCTACTCGACAAAGGCGTAAACATGCATCTCTCTTCTGGGCCATCGACATCATCCCAACGACAAACACCGTTTCATTCTATCTTGCGCTATTATCCAGTATCTTTCGTTCTTTGCGTGTTGGACAAGCAGCCTCTCCGCGGAAATCCAGATGCTGTTCGAGCCCTCTGTCTTCACCGACACGTGAAGCAATGCTTCAAGGGGCTGGCGTCTGGCCTCTACCCTGACCCTCTTTGGCATACCGAACGTAGGCGTTGCATCCACCCTGGCTCACTTTCACCCGACGATCGCCTCGTCCTCGCCCTTCTTGCCGCTGGGGCCGACCCTGCCCAGCTGGACGAGAATGGAAACACACACCCCTGTTGCTCTGGTTGGCAGAAATGTCCAGTCGGGCATCGACCCCCCCCCCCCCCCGATTTGGATAAGCCCGCTACTGCAGCCTTTGAGCCGTGGTGTGGACTTTGATCAGAAAAACGCGACGGGAGTTCGGTCGCCGACTATCTTGCGGCCTGAAGGCCAAGTACCGGGATCAGCAAAGGCAGGGTGAGTTTGTCTACAAGCCCGAATGATCCATTCGCCTCGATCACACCTCGTATTTGCCGGCAGCGGGGCCACCAAGAGTTTGGGCAGGATCGATAGTCTCGTGCTAGGCAGACTAGAAGGCTCTTCATCAACTTCCAGGCTAGGTGTGCTTAGAAATGTCAAGGCCCCCAGTCGAGGCGGAAGGCGTCAGCGCTAGCTTTGGCATCAATGTCATGTCTTGAGTCTTATCGTCGAGTCCTTCTTGGCCAGTCCGGAGGTGGCATTGGCATCGAGGCTTCTAGCGCATTCTTTGCGTGTGGGTGTCTGAAAAGGGTGTGTGAAAGGGGTGTGGAGAGTGCAGCTTGTTACATTGGATGCCGCCGCCAACGTCAAGAGGCAACCCCCGCGTAAAGTTTTGCATCATCCTACCAAGGCGAGCAGCTCCATCATTTCAGAAACAATATTGCCGCTTTTCAAACCCTGTTTAGCCCTGTTTGGCGCTCTAAAGCCATCGATCCCATCCTGGCCAGTAGGTCTCGGGGGAGGCCGGCGGTCCGGTGGAAACACTGAGGGAACACTCGGCTGTTGGGTTTGGCACGGCCGAGTTCCGATGGACAACTGCACGTTATCATCGCAAAGGTCCTTGGGTGTTTTTTACCGGGTTGTCTGCTGTCAACAAAAGGACTGGCAGGCCTGGGCCGAAATTTTGGGCAGGGACTTGGCGAGGAATAAGCGCCAAGGGGCGTGGTGAGGAAATAATGGAGATACAGCCAAAGCAACTGGCCAACAAACGATGGATTGTGCCGCTGAAAGGAGGCGCACGCCTCAATTCTCAAACAGCAATGGCCCAACGCTCGCAGACGTGGCTGTGCCGTCCGACCGGGCCGGTCACGCCCAAGAGCACAAACCGGGGCGCCTAACGACACAGCCACACAAGGCGGGATTTCAGAACTGCCAACCCTCACGTCACCTCCCCCCCCCCGCAAACAGGGCACGGGTTGAGATCAAATAGATCCATTTCATTTAAACAACCCCCAAAGCACGCGACCGTTTGCTACTTAAGGCTGCATCACTGAGCATCATCGCCTTTTTCCCAAATCACAGAACCAGCGCATTTGCACTCACTTCCTGCAGCAAGTGGACGCATTGCCAAGGCCATCCTCCCGCACTTCTTCTCAATGACGCTTACTGCCCTGCCATCAAGACCCGCTCCCAACACAATGTCCACCACCACAGACTCAGGCCCTCCCAACCTCAGTCGCTGGAACCTGAACGCTGATTGGTGGGATCAGAAGCTCCTCGACGGCAACGACATGTTCCTCGAGCTGATCCTCCCCACCATCGACGAGCTCGCCGACGTGAAGCCCGGCCAGCGGGTCCTCGACGTCGGCACCGGCAACGGCATCGTGGCCCGGCGCCTGGCCCGGGACGGGGTCGATGTTCTAGCCACCGACTACAGCCTCGGCCAGATAGAAAACGCTTGGCGACGGACCCAGAAGTCGGCGCACGCAGCCCAGATCGCCTTCGAGCAGCTCGACCTCTTGAGCCGGCCTGCCCTTGACGACTTTGCGCAGCGGCATCCGGAGTACGTCATTTCCCTCGCGGGGCCCTACCCAGATACCCAGATACCCAGATACCCAGCGGACCGTCTCTGATGGTCGCCGATGCTAATGCGCTTCGCCAGGGAGTTCGACCTTGTCACCGGCAGCATGCTGCTCAAGGAGCTGTCCGACCTGCGGCCGCTCGCCGAGTTCTTGCCCAAGATTCTGAAGCCCGCCGGGCGGTTAGTCGCCTCCGCCGTTCTGCTGTTGAGCGTCTTGAGATTCGCGAGCTAATCAGCGTCGCCAGAGTGATATTCGCCAACCTCCACCCCGCCTTCCACAAGCCAGGTGCGCACAGGCTCATCGAAGTCGCCGAGAACCCCGACACGGGCGTCCAGGAGATCAAGGCGTCCATCAAAGTCGAAAAGTACCTGAACATTGGCCCGGTGCAGAGCTCTGCGCTGCGCGGCCAGCCCGAGCCTCTGGTGAGTCACCCCGGGCCGTTGTGCATTTCGCCACCCGGCCTTGGCGGACGAGACGCGCTGACTGGTTGGCTCAGATCTGGTTCCACCGGCCCATCCACGAGCTGCTCGAGCCCTTCTTTGACGCCGGCCTGGCCCTCAACAAGGTCCGCGAGCCGTCCTTCTCCAATGGCCCCGATCCCTCCCAGGCGCAGTCGTACCACAATTTCCCTCAGATCCCGATGCAATTCATCTTCCGCCTCGTGCGCCTGCCGGGGCAGTAAGTAGGCTGGCTGCCGATGCTGTTCGCGCTTATATTATGATGCGCATTGGGGCCGATGGCGGCATGGCCTAGCTTGCTCTGCATTGGCTTTGGCTTTCGTTCCTCGGAGACGGTCAAGATATGACCATTGGTTTTGGGGGGAGCTTTCGGTGATGACCCTTGATGACAGGAGCTGATTAACGCGTGAACGAATTTCGGTCTTTGTCTCATTTCGGAGAGGGGGGCGTTGCATCCATCTTAGAGGTGTTTAGAGAGAGGGGGAAAGTACATTAAGGACTCGTTGACTCGCTATTTGCCTTCTGATTACGTCTCTGTGACTTGTTTGAGTCTGTGGCACATGTGGCACATGTGTTATGTGCTAGGCACAGCCAAGCCTGGCCTAGCCTGGACCACTTAATGGTCCATGCACCACCAGCCTATCCCCCCGCCATAGATTTCCCGCCTGCGGGCCAATAGATTTTAGCTTCCCCAAGCAATTCATCACCTTTCATACATGGCCGTGCCTCGCATATGTTATCCCCTCCTCGGGCTGCCGCTTGCTTGGGTCCATAAGCTCTGTGCTGGCTCATCATTTGTTTTCTTTTGTTTACTCTAGGAGCGACTTCAACTATTCTTGGCCACAGGCGAAAACGAGCACAGAAGTCCATATCTTCCAGTCGCCATTGAGAGCGGGAAATGGGGTTCTCCAACAAATGCAACGAATACACCCAACTACCCCTTATTCGGCCCGCCATAGTACAGAGTTCTCAGAGTGCCTGTTGCATCACCTACCAACACGATTCCTGCAAATTCGACGACACAAGACTGGACTCATACGCCGCAGGTAGACAGACAATGCTTTTCAGCGCTGAAAACTCAAGGCAGAAAGCACTCAATCGCCTCGATTCCGGCCCCGTTGACAAACAGTCACCTCTTAAAATCGTCAGGCCGTCCTTTAGTAGAGGTGGCTCAGGCCCGAACGGGCTCCCTCTTTTATCTCGCCAATTCTCTTCCGACTTCCCTGCCGCGGTCAGATTTGTTGTCTCCGTGTTCTGGTTGGCTCAGACACTGGACCCAGAACGCAGGTTCGGCGGCTGACGGACCTGTATGTCAGTCGGGTCGCGGGGCTGTGATAGGTTGGAAACCCGCAGATGCGCAAACTAGGGCTGGCTGAATTTTTCGTGCAAAGTTTGAAACTTCGGAAAGGTTGCGGAAATTTCATGAAAAAACCAATCGTATTTTCAGTCCATGCGTTGGGCCCCACATTTTCTCTAATCTGGCCAATCATAGTTATTTAGCTCTCAACCAACTCGAACCGGGCGGGGGTGGGGGTATATCTTTGTCATATGTAACCCTAACCCGACAAGTCCGATTTTTTCATGAATTTCATGAAAAGTGAAATTTCATAAAAACTCGGATTTTTTCCAAAATATGCCAACGCTAGCGCAAACTGGCCTCGCCCGGACCCAGCTGACCTGTGACTCGGCCGGGCGAGACGCCCGCTCTGAGTCGGGGTTGAGGCGGATCGCTAATTCCCTTTCTTGGTGCATGAGCAGCCCCGTGGCGGCTGGGTCAGGCAGTTAGGTGTACCTTGGCAAGGCTCCGAGATCGAGCTCTTGACCTTGCAGGTCCTTGTGCCTTTTCCAAGTCTGTCGGGTATCTTAATTAGGCAATTGCGCTTGTCAAGACAATAATCAGGGGGAAAAAACAGGAAGCCCTACCAGTGCCTGCCAGCAGGTGGACAACACCAATATTTTGAAGTTGTTACGGGCTGCCGCTGCACCCACAGACAAAACAGACTCCTGTTTTCTTGTTCCTTGGTCCTCGGCCTTCGTAGCACAGAACCACCAATTCTTTCCCAACATCGATCCAACCCTTTGTCTAAATTGATGCTGCTGTCGCCCATGTCGATGGTGTGTGCGGTTGGCTGGACTTGGGGTGATGGAAGGGACAACTCTAAGCCACCGCCGCAGTCACCGGGGACCATTTCAGGGTGACTTTTCCTAGGCATTGGTATGAAAAGCTGTTGTACTCGCACACGTGCATCCTCTCAGAGCCCAAAAGCCAAACTTGCAACGTCCCCATTCTTCAAGATCACGCCAACAAGGCCCATGATTACTGATATGACCAGACTAGGAGTGTTTTGCAGGCTGCTGAAACCGTTAGGGAGGCAGAAAACTGGTCATAAGTTCTATCGACAACCGGTGACCTCGTGCAGTCCGTTTCATAAGTTGAAAGACTTCCTCAGGATATCTCAAACTCCACACGTAAGGTTGCCAAAGCTCACAACGGGTAGTATAAATAGGATGATCTTCTCTATCCTCGACATCAAGCCCGGACGTTCAGTTACGTCTGCCATTCGAGAAACCACCAACAACAGAAACCCCAAAATAACCACCGTCAATAAACCTAAAATAGCCACCGACTATCGACGCTCCCTTAAGGGGGCGACCGATAGCGACTTCCGCGATGTGTTGGCGGGTTTAATATACACACCCAGTCTGCAGCGATTTTTTTGGAAACCGCTTTTCGCAGCCTTGCGACGGATTCTTCAATTACATATGCAATGCCCAATATAAACCCCACGACAACAGGCAGACTATAGACGTTGGCGTGAATCCGGAGCAGTGCCCTTGGTAAGCTTGGACGAGAGGAGTTGGACCTGCATTTTCTGCCGTACTTCCCGTTATCTACATAAAAAGGTCAATGGGCGCCAAGACGGCTTGTGCCAACAGGGCCGTCTCCAGTGGTTACGATGGAAAAGTCTCGTGCATATATGCTTTGCCGAGTTTGTTGCGAAAGACGCATACGGACACCCAAAGAGGAGACTAAACTCCTTCAAAGATTTGGCTACGTTTCCCTCTTCAAATGCAATAGGTCCTTCGATATTTAGAAGCTCTAGAATGATAGCTGCCGTCAGTAAGAGGACCCCTTTCACGTTATGACTAATTTTGTAACCACTGCTAACCGCCATAACTGACTTGAGAAATCTCCAATGGGCCGGACCCAAAGGCTGTCCGCCGGACCATCATGTGGAATCTCAAAGCGGAGAAATGCGACGAACAAGGGGGTTGGCGAATGGGCTAGAGCGAGATGAATGGGCTCGACAAGTTTCGACAAGTTTCTAAAAACGCTTAGGATGCCTGACGGAGAGCGTTCTATTAATAAAAGGTATTTGAAGAGACTTGGAGAGGAAATTTACAATCTACACGCCGCTCTAGGAACAAAAGGCTAGTTCTCGACTTCTCTACTTTCCAAATATCTAGCAAAGAGCGTAATTATCAAAAGTGGCTTAATCCTGGGCTTCCCACCAACCCCAGCAGCAGGTCAACTGGATCACAGGGGTTTTACCTTGACCCTGCTGCTCCACCGTCGGAACGAAGACGGTCCCGAAAAGATAATGCTCTAGGTAAAGGCCAGAGACCTGTTCTCATCCAGGCGGTTGGGGGGCCGGTGTGGCCCCTCCCGGGCCCTGACAACACGCAGCCCTGATGGAAGAAGCGGAAGCGCCAGGCTATTATACCGGTCTCCTTCCCGGGGCACACGTGCCATGCAGAATTCGACTAGATCATGGAGGGAGACGGCAGGGGGTAGCCAAATTCTATCAGCCGGGGCCGCTCCAATATTTTGAAAATCCAGCTGGCCAAGGAGTTTCCTCGACATCCGCCACTGCAGCCCCAGTCTCCCTATCATGCCGCGGCACTACTAGATATCCCAGATCTAGCCCCCAGCAAACTGCAGGTTATGATGGAGGCGCGCCAGAGGCTCTTAGACCTAATGGCAGGCAGTCTAGTACGGGGCTAGTATTCAGGCCCAGCCCCAACAGGAGCGTGAGGCCCGGCAGCTGGGAGCGCGGACGTGGCGCCATTTCCGTTAGTCACTAAGGATGGATTCCTACACAGGTTGGCGGAGACTGGAGGCAATGGGCGCTGTTGAGCTCCAAGGCGGGAGGATGATGGATGTATGGAGAGCCATTGTGTCAATCAGCCTCGATGTCGGGGCAGGGCCGCGACCTTTTTAAAAAGAAAAAAACCCTCCTCCCCCCCCCCCCAAAAAAAAAAAATAGAAAAAAAATTGGGGGGAAGTCCTTTTAATGATTAGCAGAATGACAAACCAAGTTCCCTCTCCATTCAAGTCCCGGGTCAGGAAAGGGTTTAAGTGGTGGGTTGGATCTGCTGCCGCAAGAACAGCCCCTCAAAGTTGGTCTCCCGGTTCAAATCAACTGCCCGTATTCCTTTATTGTGCGGCTTTGGTGAATCTGTTGTCTGAAAGTCGCCTGTTGCTGCTGTTGGGGTCACTGCTGTGCTGCGGCCTAATTAGCCCCGACTTCCCCTGCCCGCTTGAAACACCATCCGGCAGAGACTGGCGGATTCTGCCGTGTCTCAAACCACTTCTTTGACCAGACGGAACTTGTGGGTTTGGTTCTGCCGACTCCGATGTGTGTTATTTGGTTGCAGTTGGGAGAGAAAAGATGCCGGCCATAATGTTATCCGCGGTGCCCGCAGATCCCGAGTGCGCGCGGGCCGCCGGCACCCGCGGGCGCCCGGCAGCCTGACCACGGGCACGCAGCCTGACCACGGGCACGCAGCCTGGCCACGGGCACATGATACCTTGGCGAGGATGCGTGGGTATAAGATACTTGGTGGCAACGCCGGTTGCTTCCACAGACTTGCCATTAACAGCTCGGTCTAGACTTGCCATCAACAGCTCGATCTAAACTAGCTACACTTGATTCACGACTCCTTTCTTTGACATCACCGCTGGAAAGAGATGGCTGCTCCCCGTTCAGTGCTTATTGTTGGCGGCACAGCCGGCCTGGGCTTTCACACAACCCTCCAGATTGCTAAAGAGCACCCCGGATTTCTCGTTGTCATCGCGGCGCGGAGCTCCAACAACGATGCCGCCGGGAGAATCAACAAGACTCTCGGCCAGACCAACGTCAAATACATGCCTCTCGACCTTGCCGATCTAGACAACGTGCGCGACTTTGCCCGCAAGTGGGTGACCGAGAAGCTCCCACCCATCAAGGCCCTGCTCCTCAATGCAGGAGGCCAGTATACTGGTCCTTTGGAGAAAGCGCCGTCTGTTCGTGTCCTCATATTCCCTGCTCCGTGGCTAGAGCCAAGTTAATTAGGAGATCAGGGCATTGAGAAAACCTTTGCGATCAACCACGTAGGCAACGCCTTTGTCTTCTTCCTGCTCTTCCCGCAGCTAGCAGACAACGCCCGGGTAGTCCTGACCTCTAGCGGCACCCACGATCCCGACCAAGAAACTGGCGGCTTCCCTAAACCCATCTTCACCACCGCCCAGGACGCCGCGTATGTGCCGCCCGCCGCCGCCGCAGCAGGCTCCAGCCTGCGCTACTACTCGACAGCAAAACTCTGCAACGTACTGTTCATGTACGCACTTCACCGCCGCCTTCAGGAGCGCAAGAGCTCCGTCGCCGTGACGGTCATGGACCCTGGCCTGATGCCCGGCACCGAGCTGGCCCGCACCCGCCCCAAGGTGGTCCAGTGGTTGTGGTTAGTCCCAGCACGCCGTCCGCCGTCTCTTCACCGTGTTAAAGCTAACCTCTCCAAAGGAAACACGTCATGCCGCACATGCTACCCGTCCTGAGGCTGCTGACCGGCTCCTCCAACATCCACCGCATCTCCCACTCGGGCGCCAACCTCGCGCGGCTGGCCTTTGGGCCCGAATTTGACGGCGTCAGCGGCAAGTACTTTGAGGGCAACACGGAGATCAGGTCCAGCAAAGATAGCTACGACGTCGCCAAGCAGGAGGACTTGTGGGGCTGGACAGTAAAGTTCCTTACCGCAGGCGACGCCGCGCAGGAGGCGCAGTGGAGGGAGTTGAGGGTATTGCCTGGCGGCGTGGGTGGCTTTGTGTAGGGATTCCTCAAAAGGTGTTACTGCGGCTGTCATGTACGATGTTCGGTAATTAATTGCTTTGACCTTTTCCTTCTGTTGTCTTTAGAGACGATATCGAGGTAACTAATCCGCCAATAAAACATAGCAGGTCCCAGCGTACGATTTGTTTTGAGAGTTGCGACCATGTAGCTGCTGTTGCCCAGAGTGCAGTGCCAGGCAACAGGTATCTGTTTTTTTTTTATTGCGCAAGCCGGCGTAACGGCACACCGTTACACAATTCTAACATGTTACCTCTGCAAGCAATGCTGTATAATTAGTGTATTCCAAGTTTTATGGAGGCCAGGATATCTTCAGGAAAGTTTTGTTGTTCCGGGCCGAGTGTGTTCTTTGTCTGGAGTGGCCTGAGAACCACGTCTTCTGCTTTCGGCCAGCCTAGAATGGACCATGCTAAGTGACGATCCCTCGGGTTGAGCCTCTTTGTTGTTCCTATGCTTATCGATGGATGCCCGCGTTCTGGCAGCGGCAATGGCTCCCTCCATATCAACGTCTGCTGGGGATTAGAATATTCCCCCTAATATTGCACGCAGTCCAGAGCTGTATTCATGATCAAAATGACCTTGGCAAAAGACTTTTTGCGTTTCGTTTGCCTATACTTCTTTGCCCTAGCAGTACACGGAGATGCGCAATGGCAGCCAGCGAAAGAGACGGGAATTAATGGATTTCGACCAGCCGGCGCCCTTCAACTGGCTCCCCAGCCCTCTCAAGCACCACATTTCAAGGAACTTATGAGACTGGATGGCCGGTAAAACACAGAGCAAACATGTGCCTACGTCAACGGAAGTAAGCTGCCCAAGACAAAACGGCCATCCCGGCTCTGACAGGTCTCAGCGAGTGCTCTCACCTGCAACTCCGGGTACAGATGCACTACTCCTCCGCCCGGCAACAACAATGATACAGCACCCCCTGAGAAGCTATCCAGCACGCCGGTCGGCCCCATCGTGAGCGGGGTGGTAGGCGGCATCGCCGCACAGGCGGCTCTGGCGGGGTTGATCGCGTTTCTTGTACTCAGAAAACGCGAGAAGAAGCGCAATGCCAACAAACGGGACGGCCCGCCCGACCCCGGCATGGCAGTAGCAGCAGCAGTAGCAATAGCAGCAGCAGCAGCAGCAGCAGCAACTCCCCCGTGGCCGGGCCAGCTGCCATATTACCACCACCGCAGCGATATACTGCTGGGTGCACTCCCAGCATCAGCCACAGCCGACCACACGGCCGAGTTGGAAGACGAAATATATTTAGCATTGATGACGACGATCCGCCCATTAACACTTCAAGCTCTATATTTACAGGTTGTTCAACAAATCCAAGAAAAGAAAGGCCCGTGTTCAATATCCAATCATGCTTATATATATACGCCAGAACATATGCATCACTTCATTCGGGTGGAGGATCTCGCTGGCCCTCCCCCTGCATTCGCACTCATCTCAATCAGGGCTTGGCCACTTGCTCTTTGCGGAAGAACTTGAAGAAGCCGACCGGGATGATCAGCTGGAACAGCAAACACACCCAGAACCACTGACTCGAAACGCCCGGGTAGAGACCCTGCGAGAAGTCGGGGAACGTCGTGTTCGGCGACAGAGCGTTGGGACTCGTCGCCCGCGCCAGTATCGTAAAGGCGCTGCCAATGATCTGCGCCATGATCAAGACGATCAGCACGTGTTGGCGTGTGAGCGTCGCCAACAACATCATGCCGAGCCCGACACCCTGAATATTGTCCAACAGGCCCAGCCACAGCCAGAGGAGCCGCGATAGAATTGCCGAGCCCATAGGGCTGCCCGCCCACGGTATGTACCAGCCGAGACCGCTGGTGCCCCAGAATTCCTGGGCCCAGCGGGGCGCGAGCAGGCCGATGGCGAAGATGGGCAGGAGCCACGTGTGCTCGTCCGAGAAGTACGAAAAGCCGTACAGGACAAGACCCCAAATGATCACAAAGAAGCCGAGAGCCATGAGGAAGACGCCCCAGCCGGGAATGAACTGCGAAGCGAAGAGGAATTGCCAGCTGCGGCCGTATGGCGCCGAGAGCCAGTAGTTCTGGACGATAATCATGACGAAGAACCAGGGAACGACCTTGCGTCGGTACAGCGAGATGTAGAAGCCGGGGATTTTGGCTGGAGACTGGCGGTAAAAGTCTGGCAGTCCGAACAGGAGAACGACGCCGATGATCCAGAAGATGACGGCAACGGGGACGCAGATGGCAAGCGCCTGAGGAATCTTGGTGCCCGTCAAGTAGACGGTCATGGTCGTGTCAACATTGGTCACCAGAGAGCCCCAGTACCATAGCAACAGACTGTAGACCTGGGCAAGCCCGGCCACAACTAGAGCACGGGTGATCCATTGTTTTGTTGGAGCGCCGCCTAAGGACAAGGTTAGTTCGGCAATACGGTCCCCGTTGCGCTCTGATCAGCTAAAGCATGTGGGTGGACGTACCTTCATCACCGAAGTTGAGCGCAAAGGACAAGGCACCGCTGCTCGCTCCGACCGCGTATATGCAGCTCGCCACGGAAAATAGGTTGTCCCGGCTGTGCCACTCAAGGAACGGAGCGACACCGAGGAGGAAGAATCCCAGGCCGAAGAAGAACCAAGCAGCCGACAGGGCGTAGACCGACTTCAGATTGCGCTCCATGATCCACCAGAGGATCGAACCGGCGATATAGCTTCCGGCGACCATGTACAGCTTCTCGGGCTTCTGATTCGTTTCGCCACTGAGGAGGACGATTTGGTAAGAGTTGACGGAAATGATTTGACCCAACGCGAGGAAGAAGGAGTACAGCGGCCAATCGCCAACACGGACGGACGACAATAACCTGGAAACATATCACGTCAGCATCACGCATCCGAGCCATGGGCGGCTGTGTTACAGCCAGCAACTTACTTCTTGACTCCCGTGGGAGCTTGGTATCCATCGCCCAACAGGAACTCGTCATCGATATGGTTCAGTGGCGGTGACGTCTCAAAGACCGATCTCGCCAGACCGCTAGGTGTAACGCTACGGTGACGCTGACGGCCGCGGCTGACAATGGACTCGTTCCGGCGGTCACTGCTCCTCGACACGGGCCGGCTGCTGCCGCCTGGGCTTCTCGGTCGGCTCGAGTCCCTATTGCGCCCAAGCTTCGCGTCTCTGTACCGGCCGAACCACTCCTTTTCGCTCTTCTTCAAGAAGTTCTCGACGCAAAGTTCGGAGACGGAATTCGAGGCCGTCATGTTCTCGAGCAGCTCGTCAAACTCGGCATAGTACTCGCCGCTCGTGTCCGTGAAGAATTGATCGACTTGCTGGAGCTTCAGGTCGTGTCTATCACCAACCACGTCGGGAAGGCTGAGCAGACTGCTGTTGCGGTGCGACATGAAAGCCGGCCGGGGAAATCCTAGCCCACCATCCGGGCCCAACGTCGGCGACGAGATACCGTCCTTCTGCGCTCGGATGGCGAAACTGTCGACACTGGCCGTGCTATCACGTGCGGTAGAGTGGTTATAAAATGGCGCGTTGATGGAGCTCGCGATGGACCCACGGGGCGAATTCGACCTCGATCCGCCAGCCCATGGTGCGTTAGGGGTGGGCAGTGTTGGGGAGGCGAACGATCTCACCGTCGCAATCGTCGGAGTGCCGACACGAGAGGGCGGTGCGATTGAGGCCGGAGACATGCGGCCCGTGTCTAGCCCTGGACTTAGCATCGAGTTATGGTTCTGGTCGATATAAGAGGCCGAGCTGGCTCGAGAGGAGGGTCGAGTCAATGCTAGGGAGCTGACAACCTCCAGCTTCATCTTCTTCGCCTCCTTCTGGTGGATGCGGATCGATTGGCTGTGAAGCTCGTCGAGCTGTTTAACCCACTGAGCAACAGGGAACCGCTGCTTGGCGCTCCAGGCACGCATGAGGGCTCTCTTCGAGGACCTACATTTTTGTCAGCAAGTCGCAACCCTCGAGGGGGGAGAAGGGAGGCGAGAAGAATACTCACTTGCAGTCGAGCGCCGAGACGATCGCTTGCCTGAACTGTTGCAGCAGATGGGACGGAGTCATCGACTCAACCGTATACCAAAAGCCGGGCATCTGACCGAGGCCGCCCACGCGCGCACCCACGCCAAGCGCTCCTTTCCGTCCGAACTCGACAGCAACCAGGCCAAAGGGTTCGTCACGCGAGGGAATAAGCGCGAATTCGGCGCCGCTGAAGATGTACGGAGGAAGCTGGGTGAACTCGGGCTTGCTGAACACTCTCCGGGGGTATCTGTGCATCAGCTTTTCCAGCTTCAACGCCGCAAACCGTCCGTAAAGATCAATAACCGGCCCGACGCAGATCAGCTGGGTCTTGGGGTACTTGTCCAAAATGCTGGGGAAGATGTCGGCGATCAAGTCAACGCCCTTTTGCAGACTCCACCGGCCGACGAAAACGAACAGCTCGGCCGAGGGGTCGACCTCTAGGCCAGCCCACTCCTGCGCCTGGCGGCGTAGGTTACCCCTCTTCTCCTCGAAGCTCTGGTTGATCTCGATATCCTTGGACTGCTTGGAGATATCCTCGTTTGGATTCCAGTCAGCCGTATCTGACGGGTCGGGGTTGGGAAGCTGGCCAATGTTCTTCAAACTCCAGAAGATTGGGTACCGAGCAAGCGACCGATCACCGTACTTCCTCGACACGCCCACGGCTCCGAAACCGCGTTGGTGCAGCCGAAGGTAGCTAGCACCAGCATGGAGCAAGTTAAAAACGGAGCCGTACTGCACGTAGTCCTTGACTATTTCTGGGGACAGGTTGAAGACCTCGCACACCTCCTTCGCTTCCTCGGGCGTCCTCATCGGCCACATGCCCTGGAACTCGGCGTTGTGGAGGGACAGGCAGACGGGGATGGTCTGCGGTAGAAGGTACAGCGGAGCAGCGGCGCCATGGTAGTCATTAATGTGGTAGATGTCGACAGGAAAGCGGCGGATTGACTCGGCGATACAGCTATTCCAGGCACCATACAAGATGGCGCTCTCTATATCGTCCATACGGGCGATGTACGGATCGGCCTTGGTCTGTTTACGGAAGATGGGGGCATCGAGGATGACGTAGGTGATGTTCTTGTAGACGTGGTAGTAAACGACGATCTCGTATGGCTGTCCCATAATGTCAACGAACATGGACTCGGCCTGTTCCATCCGGTCAGTGGGGTACTGGATGTCGCCGACCATGGGCACGACCCAGACAAGATCGAGATGCGATAGCGCATCGGCCATGAGCTGGGCCATGACACCCAAGCCGCCAATCTTGATCTTGATGCCAAAGTCCTCCATGTTGTATTCCATGGTGGCGATCAGCACCGTCCTCCTGCCTCCATTTTCACCAAAGGGGCCCAGCGCGGCGCTCGGGGGAGGTGGCGGAGTGATGGCACTCATCTCCACCCCTCTCCCGGTGCCCTTCATGTCGAGCTTGGACATGTTGCCGAGCTTCAAAGGACGCCAGCCCTTTGTGCTGAATCCGGACTTGTTGATTTTGACTTGGTAAAAGCTGCGGAAGTAGATCCACAGTGCCATGCAGCCGAACAAGAGAGGCAAGATGGCGAGAAGGGCAAAGATGATGATCTGGATCCAGATACTGCCAACGGGCTCGTAGTTGTACCTCCAGGTGGCATCGTTATATATGAGTCTGTATGCGAGAGCGGGCATCGGGGGCGGCGACGTAATGTTGATGACGTTGTTTGCCAGGCTGCTGGGAGGGAGGCGGTCGACGATTCCATCCCCGTCAATGTCGCCGTAAATGGCACCGGCGTCGGGCTGGTTGTCTGGGTTGATGCCCCAGATGTTGAGCTGGAAGGTGGCGGGCCATTCGTACATGAAATGCAACGCCCACTTATGGTGGTCAATGATAGTCATGGCTCCGGGCAAGCCCGCATCATAACCCCACTTGTTGTACGGACCGTGGATTTTGATGTGCGGGAACTCGCGTTCAAAGAGGATGTCGGGAGTGTCCGAGTGCTGCATGAAGGCCGAAGAACCAAGCGGCTTGCTGTAGTACTGGACCATGAGATGCTTTCCAGTCCAAGACTGCAGTGCTGTTCCTTCCCATGACTGCTCCGTGATGAGTACCTTGGTCTTGGAGGAGGAGTAAGGAACCCATTTGCTCCAAATCGTACCCCAGTTCGTGCTATAGCGCCATAGCGTGGCGCCTGGGGCGTCGTGTTGGGCATACATGGCGTTGCCCTCGACGACCAGGAGACTGCGCGAGTAATTTCCCGTTCCCGGGAAGACGACGGGATTATTGGGCCTACCGAAGCGGAGCAGAAAATGGTCGACGGCGTCTGTAGTGACGTTGTTCGCCGACGTCGCGTTGTTCACAGTGAGCTTCACGATACCCTCGCCGACATTCAGCAATGTCGCTTGGAACACCCAGGCCGACTGAATGGCTCCCGTGAACGAGATCTTGTCGCCGCCGGTAAACTTGGGACAGGAGCTCTCGAACCCCACGCTCGTACCGTTGGGGTTTGTGCCGTCGACAAACTGCAAGACTGAAAAGGCCTTCTTGACGGCGTCGCAGTTCATGGGAGTATTGAACTCGATGGTGATGTTTATCTTGCCGTTAGCATTTGTCGAGTCGATGGGGAAGTCATGGCCGGGCGTGAACTTCGTAATCATCGGTGCGGGTTCTACCCATGACGGATCGGGAACGTAGGCACGGAACTCGAACGGTTCCATCGTGATGCTGCTGAGGCAGCCGGCTTTCTTGTCGCCGGTGAAGCCGTTGCTCTTTGTCGAAGCGGTCAACCCGATGGCGGCATCACTACTGAACAGGTTTCGGACTTTGACGTCAGAACTAAACGGGGCATAGAATGCCGAGCTCTCGTCACTGCAGTCGAACGTGTACGTGGTGCGGTTCTGTTGGTTGTGGTACACAAGCCACACTGGGTCTGCCTTTTCCGTCTGGACACCGCTGTACATGCCTCGGACAACGCTCCAGATGCCGAACTCGGTGTCTTCGGGACTACCCAACAGGCGCTCAAACCTGGTTTGGTTGGAAAGCTGTTCCAGCAGCCAGCCGTGCTCAAGGACTGGGTAATCTTCGCGAAGCGCGAACATGCGCTTGAAGATATTTCTGACGGGCGCCGAAGGATCCCTGTGGTCCCAGCCCACTGCCTCGTCGTGGCAGCCATCCGCTCCCTTCCCGAGCGGCCAGTCCACATACAGGTCGTTCACGAGCGAAAAGCAGCCATGCGCCTTCCAAGCCGGGGAGGGTGCGAATGACTGACGGCCAAAGACGTAGTTCTCAGCCGTGCCGTCCAAGACATAAAGACCCTGCTCTTCGCCGTAGTAAACCAACGGAGCCCCAGGCAAGAGGAGACTCGTAATGAAATATGCGAGGAGCATGCGCTCGGTCCCGAGCTGAATGGTTGGCCACCGGAACACATCCTGGTTGGAAGAGCCATACAGGTGGCGAGGGTCGAAATTGCCGTTGTTAGCGTTGAAGAAGTCGTTAGTCGTGATCATGGTCTCCCAAGTCTTGACCCAGTCGGTCGGCAAATCGTAGCCGGCCTTCAGGTTGCCACTCATGCCGAGGAACCGTGCCATGTACCGGTATACCGAATAGTGGAAAGCGCCAGCGTCCAAAGCGCTGTTCTTGTTCTCTCGAACAAAGTACTTGTCGGCGTCGGTCGTGTTTACGGGCAGAGTCATGGCCGTCTTCATGTCGAGGGCTTCGGCCACACTAGGCACGCGTCCGCGGCCGAGGTAGATGGACCCGAGCGTGTTTCCGGCGGTGATTTCACCCACAATCATGAAGTTCGTCTTGTTGTGCTTAACAGCGCAATCACGCATCGCAGAACTCCAGTGCGCCTGCGCGTCAACAGTGACCTGGACGGCCTTGTCAATACGGAACCCGTCGATATCCAACATCGCGATGGTCATGCACGAGAAGCGCTCGAGGCGGGCGAGGACTGACGGCTCCCACTCGCGGAGACGATCCTGGACGGAGGCAAACTTTGCTAGCTGACGCTTCCAGTCGGGGTAAACGCCGAAGGCCTCGATGTCACCATACTGGTCGAAGTCGCTGTTGTAGCACCCATTTAACCCGTCCGGCTTGATGACGGTCCCGTCCTCGAACCAGAACTCGGGATACTTGCAGGTGTTGTTGTAGTCGTTGCCGATATCGAAGTCGAGATACTGCCGGTCCGTCTTCCACTGGACTCGATGTTCTGATTCCTGGAACGGGGTACTCTCGTTTAGATGTCCCTCGAAGCCAATGAGGTCGCCCATGCTACAAGGCGTCAGGTCAGGTAGTCTCGACGGAATTGGGGACTGCTTACGTCGCCATGGTGTTGTCCATCACGACATACATCCCCCTCTTGTGTATTTCGTCGATGGCGGTTTGCCACGTCAAGATGCTGCCGAAATGCTTGTCGAGGAGAGTCAAATCCAGGGGCTGGGGCACTCGTCAGCACGCAAGCTTGCACCCATGCACGTCAAAGTCGACATACCGAGTAGGAATCGGCACCCCACGGCTGATTGATGAAGGGTGATCCGGCAATGTAAAGGGCCTGGCGCGGTCAGTAACAAGCACGTCGTCTGCACGCCGAGCACTTTACCTTGATGCCCATGCCGGCAATGTAATCCAACGAGTCAGTCAGGCCAGACAGGTCGCCGCCGAACCGGAGCTGGGTGCTCATCATGTCGGCCTCGAAGACAGTACCGTTGATATCATCGTTTTCTGGGTCGCCATTGACGAAGCGGTCGATGAAGATTGTGTAGAAGGGGACTCTCCAGTTGTCCGGAGACGTCTGGTACTCGAAGCCGACATCGCGACTGCCCCAGTAGTTGAGGGGGTCTGTGGCGGACTGATTAGTGTTGAGGTTGTAATCGAGGAATTCGCTGTCATATTTGAGTCCATTAACGAGTGTGGTGGTTGTCGCAACCAAGGTAAAAAGAAGGCGAGTCGAAAGCAACGCAAGAAGAGTCATCGTAGCCGCCGCTCACCACCTCATGGGAGCGACAGAAGACAGACAAACGAGAGACAAATGCTGCTTGTGGAAGGGAACGACGTAGCCGCAGGCTTGACCTAGAATCCCCGAGACCAAGACAAGCAAGCCACAGCATCAACAAACGATAAGGAACGTGGATGTTGAAGGGAGGAAAAGATGTGCCCGCCGAGGCCGATAACACTCTCTAGCAGCCGTGGCTCCCAACCCCACGACATGTTCTGGGCTCAGGTCACCGGTCCACTGCAGAAAGGGGCTTGGTCCCGGCCGGGGGCGAGGCGATGGCAGATGGCGCGGGAAGCTTGTGTGTGTTCCTTGCTTCCCAGACCCATCCCCGTCTCCGTACTGTGCAGCGTACCTGACTGCCCGCCCGCCTGGGATCTTGGTATGCCGGGGACGACAGGGGTTTGGACCAGTCGGTCCGCTGCATCTCCGCCGCGGGCCCTGATTCGACCCCAAAAAAACTGCCCCTTTGCAGTTTGCAGGCAAATCGCAAATCGGCGGTCGGCGAATAAGGGGCGGGAGCGGCGCGTTGCCTTTTGCACGTGGTCAGCAGCCTGGGAGCTGAGGGAGCACCAAATGAAGCTTTTTATTTTTTTCTCTGCCGTCCTGTCCTGTCTCGCCGTGTTCCGCCTTGTCTCAGCTCTTTACTGTCTCCCTGCCCACTAGAGCAGAGCCCGCCTTGGTGTTTCACGCGCAAATATTCTGGGGCCGCCAAGATGCCCACTCGAATCGGATTTCGCTTGTTTGGAAACTGGGACACTGGCTAGACAGTGCAAACTCGAGCGCCGAGCAATGCTTGGCAGACGGCCCAATTTTCTTTTTTTTCGCTGCCTTTGCCCCCTTTCCCTTCTGCCCCACTGTATTAGCTTGGGGCCAGGGTTCCCGGTTGTTGTGGGTATGACGGGCATTGCCACCGATATGAGCGACGCGACACGAGCCTTGCGTCGCTGGGAGCCTGGGCAATTGCCCTCTTCCCAGCGGCAGGTGAGGATCAACCGGGCGCGGTTGCGAACGATCGTTTCTTGAAACCAGGAAAGTCGTGGTGCTCGTGTCTGCTATTCCCGTTCGCCCGTTCTGCACGAAACAAGGCCAGCGCTGCGCTGTGAGCGCCCAAGTGAATAGCGCCGGCCCGCGCTCGCGCGCTTGTTAGAGGGGGGGCCACTGTCGACTCGTCGAGCAATTCAATCTCAGCCAAAACGAAAGAGGAGCGGGAGCAATGGGGTCTGGAGGCAGGACTGCTGGTGTGCTGGGCCACACGCAATTTTCCCTGCTAAAAGTTGCAGCGGCGCTGTGATTTTGGCTGAACCCAGTCCAATTTTCTAGTGGGGTTCGCCAAGACAGCTGCATCATTAGCGCCCTGATGCACGCACAATCTTGAAATGCCCCCTGCTGATTGGCAGGACCAAGGACAGTCGCAGTGGTGCCACCAACGGCCTCCATATTTCCATTTGCGCTCTGGCTGGGCAGGCGCAACCCAGCGCGCCGAAGGTACCTACCGAGTTTGGAACTTGCCTGGTTTCCCCATGAAAGGCCACCCGTGACGGGAATGCGACGGAACTGGTCGTATTGCAATTCGAGCACTCGGCAGCAGATACGCTCATTGACACTTGACAGCGGATGGGGGTGCCGTGACATGCGGTCGATTTGTAAGAGGTTCACTAGCTGTGGTCGAAAATTGGAATGGTATCCATCGCACAGTGCCGTTTATTAGCAACTGCCAACTGGACCGCAACTTCTCGGCGGGACAGCGCGCCTGCCTGTGCCTGTGCCTGTGCCTGTGGTGCTGGCCGTGGGCGCGGGTTCCTCCCGAGACTGACTAAGAAGGTAGAATCAATCGTGTCGGGCCATCGCTTTGCCCGCTGGCCCGAATCTGCTTCACTTTCTTCACGTCATCGCATGTCGACGGCACTGAGGAAACAGCCGCGGCACTAGACATCCTGTCGTGCCGTGGCTGGGCATCGAGTTCCCAGTTAAGATGATCGGTAATGCGTGCAGTTTTCCGACTGTGGCAGTGCCAGCCAGAACATGAGTCGGGCGCGCTGGAAGTGGGCAGCATGCAGCAGCTTCACAGTGCACTGACTGTACGAAATGAAGGACATCCAGGGTACTCCTTGGCTTCCCAATGCGGAAGTGCTCCTTTTTTTCAGTCCATTTTTTTGGATACGAACTTGTCGCGCTATCGCCGGCGGCCGGACACGCGGGACAGTCGGTTCGCACACCACCCCCTTCCACTGGGCTTACCGTTCGGCCCTCCCTCCAGTCTTCGTTAGGTCGTCGTAGGTAGTCGTTGGCAGAATCGCCATCTCACACTCTTTCCTCCTCTTTGCTACTGCAACCGCCAATCTGAGGCGCTTCTCGACACTCGTTTTTGTCCCCGTATTTGCTGTTCGTACTTTGATGGACTAGGAAGGAAATTGCTGCATCTCTAACCCAAGTCGCTCGCTGTGCTCAATCCCGCGCGCCCACGAAAACATCAACCGAGACACACGCACACGCACCGCACTCTACCGCAGTATATTACCTTGTCTGTTCTGCCTTGGTTCACACGCGTCAGAGCCTGCAGCCCGTCGGCCACCCGCCCTGCCAAGAAGTCTTTGGAGGCGTTTTGCCTGCTTGACGTCAACGGCGACTCGCAAGGTCCAATTCACTTCTCTCCCGAAGCGCGGCTCTACGCTGCTGTACCACCCCGCCCGCATCACCATGCGGTCTTCCGGCCTCAACGTGGCTGCCGCCGCCGCCCTGGCCTTCGCGGGCCTGTCCGCCGCCGCCAACGTGACCGAGTGGAAGACGCGGTCCATCTACCAGGTCATGATCGACCGCTTCGCCCGCACCGACGGGTCGACGACGGCCCCGTGCAACGATCTCTCCGTGTTTTGCAATGGCACATGGACTGGTCTTATCAACAAGCTCGATTACATTCAAGGTGAGCATGTCTCCTCCCCCTCTCCCTCTGCTGCCCGCCGTCGCGTCTCCATGGCCGCATGTACCAACCTGCCGTGCAGATATGGGCTTCACTGCCGTCCAGATCAGCCCCATCGTCACCAACATTGAGGAAGAGACGTCGGTCGGCATGGCCTACCACGGCTACTGGACCAAGGACATGTACGGCATCAACCAACACTTTGGCACCCAGAGCGACTTCCAGAACCTCGTCGCCGAGCTCCACAAGCGCAAGATGTATGTCATGGTTGACGTAGTGGTCAACAACATGGCGCAAAAGTTCGACAACAAGCTCCCCCCCAAGGTCGACTTCTCGCAGTTCGACCCCTTCAACAACGAGAAGTTCTTCCACCCCTACTGCAACGTCACCATGTGGGAGAACGCGACCGACTACCAGGACTGCTGGCTCTATCCCTACGGCGTTGCCCTCGCCGATCTCGACACCGACTCGAGTGCCGTCGTGCAGGAGATGGGCAAGTGGGTCAAGGAGCTCGTGTCCAACTACTCGATTGATGGCCTGCGTATCGATGCCGCCAAGCACGTAGACGACGCTTTCCTTCCCCAGTTTGTCAACGCATCTGGAGTCTTTGCCTGGGGCGAGGTCTTGACCGGTGTCACCACCGACATGTGCCGGTACCAGCTCAAGGATCTCCTCCCCGGCATGCCCAACTACCTCGAGTACTATCCCCTCAACGTGGCGTTCAACGGCGGCTCCATGGAGGGTGTCTTGAAGATGAAGCAGGAGGCTGCCACCGGGTGTACCGATGTCCTGGCCCTCGGGTCTTTCATCGAGAACCACGACATGCCCCGCTTCGCCAGCCAGAACCCCGACATGGCTCTTGCCAGAAACGCCATGACCTATGTCCTGTTGAACGACGGCATTCCGACCAGTAAGTTGCGCTCTTCCTCTCTCTCTCACGCGCACTACTAACGCGTCTTTCTCCCCAGTTTACCAAGGCCAGGAGCAGCACTTCAAGGGCAACGGCACGCCGTTCAACCGCGAGGCTCTCTGGCTCTCGGGCTACAACACGTCGGCGCCGCTGTACCAGCTCGCCAAGACGCTGAACAAGGTCCGCAACAACGCCATCGCACTGTCCAAGGACTACGTCGGCAAGACCTCGGAGTCCCTCCTGGCCGACACCAACCACCTCTGCCTGACCAAGGGGCCCAACGGCAGCCAGGTCGTCTTCTGCATCAACAACTGGAGCAGCACCGGCGCCAGCTACTCGCTCAACGTCGGCGGCTTCCAGGCCAGCGACGCCGTCGTCGAGGTCCTCACATGCACCACCATGACCGCCGACGGCACCGGCACCATCGCCACCTTCCAGGGCGCCGGCGAGCCCAAGGTCTACGTGCCTGCCGCCGCGCTCAACGGCACCGGCCTCTGCCCTCAGACCACGGTGGCCAAGCCAATAGAAGGCACCAACAAGTCCATCGCCTCGGCCGGCGCCGCCAGCAGCATGCTGGTAGCGGCGATGGCAGGGTTCGCCGCCCTCTTCTTCGCTCTCTAAGTCTAATGTCAATGGGGAGCGCAAGGAAGGGGGAGCCGGGGTCAAGCCAGCTGCATTACATGGCTGAGGATGTTTTTAATCAGGTGTCACTGTAAATACTTTTGTGTTGCCATATCTCTATCTTTTTGCGCCTTTATTCCCTTGAGCGGCCAGTGCGTCATTTTCCCAGCTTCTTTCTTGTGTAAGGTAGCGGTCTCGTACTTCTTGCCGGTTTCCTCGCGGCTGCTGATTTGGCTCTGGCGCAACCGAGTTGGGCAATAATTAATTAACCTGGGCAAATAAGTTGAATGTTGGGGTCGCACGTCAATATCATATTTTAATGTGTCTCGAGAGTTTCTCTAGAACCAGTTAGGTAGTTAGGCGGGCAGGCAGGCATAGAATTTGCGGGTGTCGTTCAGCTTGCTGTGTCTCTTGTGATCTTTAGCTCCATGCAAGTGCCAGGTGTCTCTGTCGGCTGTCTCGGATGGCAACATGGCTTTCCGCGCCTTGTCTTGCTTCTAGAAGAGCGCTTGTGTGCCGCCGTGCCACGCCCGGTAAAACGCTGTTTCGCCCGGCCAGGGCCGAACCTTGTTCCCTTGTTTGGGCTGTCAGCGCGTGTTCCGCCCTGTGCTTAGGACAGTGCATTCCTTAGATGTGGGCTCCGACGTGGTGATTTTTAGCCGTTAGCGAACATGGTAGCATTTTGTTGGGCATGTAATGAGACTGCAGCTAGTGTTTGTGTTTGCCAGGTAACACAAGCAAACTTGATCTGAGTAGTATGTTGGTGGACGATAAGTGGATGGGTAGGATTCGTCCCTAAGGAGTCTGACGGAGGTGGTACTTGTGCTGCGGCGGACAAGCTATTGTCAGCAATAAATAAATATGAGCATACCGTTCTTTGAGCTAATCTTGAAGGATCTCTGGTCGTTTTGACACTGCAAAGGTAAGCTCATGTCAAACCCTCCTAACATCCGCCTAGTACCTTCCATTCTCTTCTACACTCGTTTAAGAATTGTATTGTCAGTCTTACCCTGTTCCATGGATTTAATTTACTTGCGAGTGGCTAAGTTCTTGTGACGGTTCTAGAGGGGGAAATAACGAGGGACGTGACAGAGAAAGGAGATTCAGAAGGAGGAAAAGTTTTTTTTTTTTTTTTTTTTTTTTAAAAAAAAAAAAAAAAAAAAAAAAAAAGGTCAAAAGGTCAAAAGGGCCAAAGAACAGGATAGAGTGAAATATTATTTATTTAATTTGTCACCCTTATTCAGGCACCTCTAAATAGATGCCCTATATGTGCTACTGAGGTTAGTCGGACTTATATCATGCCACCTAAGACTGTAAAGCCAATGTCAGGCCTTTCCCGTATAGCAGCTAGACCTGGAAAGCCAACTAAACAGGTGCTTGCTAGTTTAATGCACAATGGGGTACCAAAAGTGTTGCGCCACCCACTTACACACCCCTTTTTCTTCCAAAATCCACAACTTCATCAATTTGAGACTAAAATAAGTGTAAAATATACCAAAATGATCCTCATTCAATACTTGATCGGCCTGCCCTTTGAATGCCTAAGTAAATCCATCCTTTTGGGTGTAGAATTCACCAATTTCATCATGACTTCAGGGGTAATTTCCACCCAAACCTCCTCAACGGCCAGCGTCATCTGCGTGAAGTTTTTAATCCTGTGCCTTCGTGCCCCTATTTTGAGCATCATCCAGTGCCATAGATTCTCAATGGGCGAGAGATCCGGGCTTTGTGGCGGCCAGTTAAGGGTCCTGACGTCGAAAGCCTTCTTCAGATGACCTAGGAACCCGTTGTGGTGATAGGAAGCTCCATCCTCTTATATCTGAACGCCGTGACCGTACTTTTCCTTCATTCGGTTATAGAAAGGAAGGAAATGAGGAACAAATATCTGGTCGGTATATTCCTGACGGTTAAGACGGTTGATCTTGCACCCAGACTTTGAGGGCGTTCCGAGGGCTACAAGGGTGTCTGTTCGAGACAGCATTGTATAACGAATCAGCCTTCGATTCGCCCGGTCATCGAGCTTCTTCAGGCGCCCGTTTCTAGGCTTTGAGCCGAATGGGTTTTCGAGGCCATTGGCTAGGTTTTGCGTCACTTTTTGTATAGTCCTGTTGATGGTGGACCTGCCGACCCCCACTTGCGCCGAAATGGTGGTTGCGGTCGCTCCGAAGACGGTGGAGAGCCCTAATCTGGGCTCTTTTTTCTCCTGAAAGCTTTGTTCTGAAGCTCTTCGAAATGCCAACCATTTTGCAGTTGAAAAGAAGAAAAAGGTGAGAAGACGGTGAAGATTTTTTACTTTGAAGATAGGGGGTCATTTCGGCCAACCATGGATTTGGTGGCTTTTTTAGTGTGTACGTGGCGCAAGACTTTTGGTACCCGATTGTACATTAAGCCGCATACGGAATCAAACCAAAAAAGACATTGCTAAATTGCCATTAACAATTACTAATTCCAGCAGCACCGGAATATGACACCGCGCTGATTCCTAACTATACTGGAAAAGCAAGTGTTGGATTCATCAGGTACCGGTACTGGAAGCAACAGGGCGTAACTGCACGCCGAAAACTGGTGGTTCAAGTGATGATTGTTGTGTGTGTCTAGAAGAGAGAGGTGGCCGTAGGCCGCTTATATAGAATCCGTGGCCCTGCGCCTTCACCGCCACCTATGTGGCTGACTAGCGCGTTATTCCAACAGCAAGAGACTTATGTAAGGAAAGAGCCCCAACCCACACACACGACCAACTCACACGCGTACCGAGCGGCCAAGACCTCACTCCTTTGTCATGACCTCTCGCCCGCCCTGCACTCTGTCATGTATATAAGCAGTGGCCCTCGCCCCTTCCTTTGCGAGGGCTAGGTTGAAGTTTCTTACCAATACCAGTCATTACCTGCTCTCTTCAGTACCTTTATTGTGACCAAATTGATCAGGCGTACCTGCCTTCACTTACACTTATCACAGTCATACAGTTATTATTAAGAGCCTAAAGCACCAAGCCTCTAGAATACCACCCCCTCCCCCCCTCCCCCAATCCATCACCCCAGCTCCTGGGGACTTCTAGGAGCTGCACTCTCGCCCGACATCTCAACGAGCGGGACCTGCGGGGCATGTACGCTGTCGAGCTCGGGCCTCGACACGCCCATGTGCAGCGGCGGGCTGGACGGCGAGGCGCCGCCGCCGTACGGGGTGTACGCGCTGTAGTTCCGCGGCACCAGCCCGACAGTGTTGTTTTTGTGGTTGTTGTGCTGCGGTGACTTTTTACGGCTTCAGCATTGCTATGACAGCTCTTCATAGGATTAACTGTGCCACCAAATTTACGGAGCCATGGTGACTGACGCGCTCGCCGAAAAAAGCCATGTCGAAAGGACGAGCCCCCTGAACCTACCTGAGCTGATTCGCCATGGAAGGCGCCAGACACTCTATCCGATCGGTCCCGAAGGGATCGCGCCTTTGGAAAGGAAAGCATCGCTGACTAGCCCGCTCAATACACTATTGAACTACGCTCTTCTTGATCAGAGATGAACCCGTGCAACGGAAAGAGCGTAGGTCTCGTGATCCTGAAGATAGTTGATGTTTAGTGCTTTGTACCTTCCCGATTTAGCCCCCCATTTGAACAGGGGGAAACAGCTAACACTAAAAACCCACACTATTGTACAATTTAGCAGAGAGAATTACCTCTGAAGAACGAAAATAAAAGGTAGTTTTGATATTAAATATAGCAAAGTTAACCAAAATACGTATATCGCGTTAAAGTGATCGATTGTGTTACATCTACATGCTCTCTTTGCAAGTGTTTGGGGCACCCTTCCTACGTAATCCCTTCGGGACCAATTGGACAGAGTGTCGGGCGCCTTCCATGGCGAATCAGGCCAGGTAGGTTCAGGTGGGCTCGAGTAAATATAGTTGAGCCTTCTCTGGCTGGCACTGAGTGCCGTAATGATACTCTAATAGGCTTTCGGCAGGTCGGTGTTGGCCTTGCCGTGTCGTTATTGCCGTTGCCCGCCATCGTAGTTGCCTTCTCGCCCAAGTTCAAGTTCAAGCAGCCGAAGCAGGCACCACGCTCATCAAGTAGTTTAAATATTTCATCCACCGCTATCTCTCTCCTCTTCTCTTCCCTTTCCTTTCCTTGTCATCGTTTCGTATCAAATCAACAATTTTGGTACATTCTGGTACAACAATTTTGCTACAACAAAATTTTCAAAAAAAAAAAATCATTATGAACAAGCTGTCCCCCACTCCTGCGTCTGGCAACGCCATTCCTCCTACGCCTCGCAGGGCCCCTCCTCCTGTGCCTGGCAGCGCCGCCGCGGCGGTCAATGCCCTCGTGGCGGCCAAAATGCCGCACTTTTCACGGTGCCTGTGCGGGGGCACCCACCTCTGCCCCTCGCCCCCGGCCGTCTCTGCTGCTTTGTGAGTCTCCCGAACCAATTGTGCCATCTCGAGGATATCACCGGTCTGTCTGATGTCAAGATCGTATGCTGATCGGATCCGATGCTAGGGAGGGGGACGTCGAGCTTGAGGGAGGGGGAGGGGGGGTGTGGACCGCCGGCTGTGGAGAGTGCGGTGGTTGACGTACCGCCAGGGGGTGACAGGGGTGTCAGCGCTTCTTGCGCTGTCGTTGGCCGTGTTCGGTAAGTCTCAGGAGCCTACTATAATATATCCCTCTTGTTGCCACAGTGACTGACGAATAATTAGGTTGGGGGTGGTCGTTGGGCTGGTGGATTGGTGGGGGAGCCGCGGGGGCTGTTATTATTATTATCGACATTGTTTTGGCGTTGGTGGCCCGCCCTGGGTGGGAATATCTTTATAATTTTGCCAACTAAATATGGTTGTTTTGGAATGCATTTCTCTCCACCGTGACCCAGATTTGCTATCGATATATAAAAACGACATCCACGTCCAGCTCCACCTAGTCGGTAAGCGTAGGTGACAGTCCGGATATTTTTTCATCGTTACCGACAGCAAAGGCGACACCCACGGTAGCACCCACGGTAACACTCTCGGTAACACCCACGGCAACATCAACCGCAGCACTAGCGGCAACATCAGCCGCGATATTTTCTTCGACCTCCACCTTGGCCAATCCGAGTATTTTCGTAAACAACGACGCCGATTCCGGGCTCGGCCCTGGTGCAAAGGTGGGACCCTTGACATATAATTACCCCTGACCAGCGTATGTTCTTGCCCCTCTGAGCAGGCGAGCCTTACAGAATACAGGTACACCATTCCATGGTAAATAGTTTACCGCAGCTGCCCGACAAGGGGCCCAGTTCGTGGCTTTTCAGGCCCCCTCGTTTTGATCCTTGAAATCTACACGAGTACTGTAAATACCTTATAAGTCAACGATGCCAAAAGCGGAACACGCCGGAAGCGGAACATGCCGTGCAAGCCACCAACGCCACCACTTCCTCCGCGCGCGCACACCGCTCCAACACGCACGACTTGTTCAATTCTTTTCCAAATTCCCTCTTTTCTACTGCATTCGACGCAGAACTGACTGGGCATCATCATCATGTGCGACTACGACGAGGAGTGCGTGTCGAACGCGCTCGAAATGGCCGAAAATGGCGTCTCTTTGCGCCGGGCCGCCTAGGAATAGGAGTATGGCATTCCACTTACAACACTTCATCGCCGTAATCGCGGAAACAACGCTTTACCGCTAGAAACCCTCAAATCGCCACCCAAAGGGCGAAGCGTGTTGACTCGGCGAGGCTCAACGGTGCCACCAAGGAAATAATGGAGGTTTGGTTTAAGCATTTCGACCTTCCTGCCGTCAGGGACACCAAGCCCGAGAACTGTTGGAATAAAGACGAGACAGGCCTGCAGGAAGGCCAGGGCAGGAGGCACTTCGACCGTGCGTTATTTTCAAGGGGAACAAGGTTCAACAGCAGTGATTTCCTTTGGAGATGGCGAGTTGTACAGCCTCTCGATTTGGGCGCCTTCTCGTCCCTGAAGCAACTGTACAGAAGGTCCCTGACTTTGACGACGGTATAGTCAGAGGCTACGCTTGTGGGCAAAAGGGCGATACTTGTGTGTTACTACAAGGCTCGGGAGATCGATAGAGGACCGGGCATGTGGAAGACTCCCTACAAGGTAGCGGACCTAACGATTCAGCTAGCCAAATTCAACATCGAGAAGAAGGCTAACAGGGCACAACGGGAGCTCTTCAGGAAGGTCGCAAAAGGCTTCATCCGGAAGGACGTCGGCCTGGCATTACTTTAACACGAAGTCGCGGTGTTGCGAGCGCAGTTGGAGCTTGCAAAGAATAAAAAGAAGAAGGCTGTCACTGCGGACCCGAATAAACGCTTTGTTGACATCACGAAGATCAGGCAGGCGCAGATTGAGGCCGGGGCTACTCAGGAAGACCTTGAAGAGAGCTCTGATGAAGGCCCTGTGGACGAGACGCAGTCCTATATTGTTTGCAAATAGCTTCATTGAACGGTAGTAATTTGAATGTTGACTGCCCCGGGCTTACACGGGCGGAAAAAAAACCAATGCCCGGCGGAACCACGAAGCACAAGTCCAACACGAAAGGTTCTCGGACCCGGCTAGCTACAACTCTCGCCCCGGTTTGCAATATTTCTATAATTTAAATAACCAAATATAATAGCTATTGCCCTCTGCTCGTCGTCAATCACCGCCCCGAATAAACCTCTCGATAAACTCACCCATACGTTGACGCGTTTCCGCATCATGGGCCACGTCATCCGGAGGGGCGCACGTCATGCCGTTGTGTCCACGCCATTCCAGAACACCTTGGCTGGCGTTGGGATGTCCACCCCTTTGGATAGTAGTAGCAGTAGCAGTAGCAGTGGGAGTGGCAGCAGCAGTAGCAGGTGCGATGAATATCTTGTTCTTGCGACGTCCACCCCTTTGGATAGTAGCAGCAGCAGCAACAGCAGAAGTGGGAGTGGCAGCAGCAGTAGCGGGTGCGGTGTATATCTTGTTCTTGCGATGTCGTGAGACGTTTGGGAAGATTCGGCGTAGCGCCCGCCCCCAGAGTCCCTTACTAGCCTCTTCCTGCTGCTGGGCTCTTGTGTCGTTAGGCTCGACTGAGTGCAATGTGGAAGGACATTTCTCCTTTTCAAAGACGTCGCCCGACTCTGATTGTGGCGCGTAAGGAGGAGGAGGAGGAAACGTAGGGTCCAGCTTGTCTTCGGGTAGCCAACACTTGCTTTCGTTCAGCAAGTTGGTTGAAGAGAAGCAGGGGTGTGAGAATACCTTGAAGACCATGATAGAGGAAGAGAGAGAGGTTATTATACCTCGCTCGATATAGGGTGGAGTTGATTTGATGGATTTGGTTGATTTGATAGATTTGGTTGATTTGGTTGATTTGGTTGATTTGGTTGATTTGGTTGATTTGGTTGATTTGGTTGATTTGGTTGATTTGGTTGATTTGGTTGATTTGGTTGATCTGGTGGATTTGATGGATTTGGTGGATTTGATGGATTTGGTTGATTTGGTGGATTTGGTTGATCTGGTGGATTTGGGTGAGGACTGGAAGAGCATTCTTGTTCTATTTGTACTCGTGCCGGCTGATTGAGTTTGACACCACGGCACGGCGTGAGTCTTCTCGGCGTACGTATCATCGGGTAGCAAATCTATGGTTGTGCCGAACCTTGACGCCTCTGGGCCGTTCAAAGTTCGGGTGTGTGGAGCGGAGCGGCCGGTATGTGGTGAGCCAGTTCCGGCTCCGAGAACCTTTCGTGTTGGACTTGTGCTTCCTGCTTCCGCCGGGTATTGGCGTTTTTTTCCGTGACCAACTTTAATCTATATATTATGCGAGGGCACGTAGGGAATGCATGTGTGTATTGCTTTTTATGGAAGCTAAGCTATCTACGCGTGGGCGGAGAATCTATGTGCGGGGGATAGGCTGGATCTGCAGGGGCCAACCAGTGCCCCGGGCTAGGCCTGGGCCTAGCACATATCAAATATCCACACCCCGCGTTTGGTGGCTTGGTCAGCCGCTTGTTGATGCATTAGCGCCAAATTCCGGCCGTGCCGTCAGCGCCAGTCAGCAGTGGAAAATATTCGCCCATATCGTAACCTAGCAAGCTGACCCCTGCAGGGCTTCCGTTTCTTCCATTTTTCTACTACTTCTTCTTGACTACAAGCTGTGCCTTCCGGTTAGCTCGCAATTGCTTACAGAACTGGTCCATAGAAGAGCCAGTCCGCTGCTGTTGTAGATGGACGATATACATCGCAGCCTCCTCGCCAATACGGCGGTTCCGCGCAATACGCTCGATTTCCCTAATGACCTCCAGCCGTAGAGAATACCACTGCAGCTCTGTCCGCCGGCCTGCCCGCCAACTATGGCCCCACCGACTATCTAAATCACGTACGGCTGGCTGGCCGTGTAGACCAACAGTCCATTCCTTCCAAAGACCCTCTACCGTTTTGATGGCGCGGCTCATGCTATACTGCGGTGGTTGCCCTGCAGTAGGTGGGCTAGCCGGCGCTGCAGGTGGGATAGCCGGTTCTGCAGGGGGTGCCGGTTCTACAGAGGTTGCCGGTCCTGTGGTAGCTGTAATGGCAACTCCCATCGTGCCATCTGAGCCTGTATTGGTTGCTTTGATGTGGACTGTTAGGCCATTTGAGAGCAGTGATAGAATATGGGAGCCTTGTTGTGACTGGCTACTAAGTGTCTTCTCAAGCTTCTGGTCCAGTTGAGTAATCCGTACCTCGTTCCGCATATCGATCGACTGGAGGAAGTCAGAGAGGACAGGCATAGCCTGTGTCAATACTGCTAGTTGGCTTGGCCTCTCTTCTTCTTGCGTAAAGGCCCGGATCTCCTGCGCGTATTGGAGATATGCCCTATGCTGAAAGACTGGATGGAGCCAGACTGGGCTCCTTGGATACCTCAGCATAAGGAAAGCTGAGTCCTGAAGGACTACCTCGCGAAGGTAGAAAAGCAAGTTCGTCAAGCCCATTGCTGCAAGGTCGTTGGCTTGCCCAGGACCAGATCCAAATCGGCCCTCCCACTGGCTAAGCTCTGGCCATATCATTGACAAAAGTTCAGGTGGCGGTACGAGGTTAGCGCGGCGGATCTCAAAGCACCCAATCTGCTTCGGGTGGCCGGCCATGGTACGCATAAACTCTCGAGGCAACGCATTCAGATAACAGCCGACCATTTGCTCCTGGTTCCAACGGCCAGCCCGGCGAATCTGGTCCTCGGAAACCCCCTTTAACTCAGCCGTCTTAGCCCTTGAACTGTGGCTGATATGGGTCTTCTTGTTGGAGGTGATCCTAGCGTACGAGAAGGCTTTGACAACCCACTCGCGTTGCGCATTGTACGAGAAAGGTTTCGTACGATCAGAGCTGTTGCTATTGCCTTTGATCAGTCGGATATCGTACCAGGCCGAGCGTTGGCTGAAGTCTGGGAAAGCCTCGTTGGTAAGGTCCCAGCGGAAAAGAAGGTAGAAAGCTACCGCGCCTAATAGGCAAAGCTGAGGATTCCGATTCCGTAGGGCGCCAGCAGTCTCCAGCCGGCCGTGCTGATTCTGCTTACCAGCACGTGTCGTCATAATTAGCGGTATACAACGGGTAGGGCCCTCTCCGACAAACTCGAAGGTAAAGAGATCCGAGAGCTCCAAAGCACGACGATCGCCACCGCGAGTAAGCATATAGTGACTAAGAAGAATGTCGACAATTGTACGGAGGTAGCACTCAGGCGATTCGCCAGTCTGTGCCCAAAGCCCCTGGCAGACCCGTAAAAGCTGGGGCTCCGTATATCCGTCAAGGAGGGTGTCACGGCCTTTGTCAGCGTAGTTGGCCTTGTCGCGTACTGCATCTCGGCGTTGTAAGGACTTGATATATTCCCGTACGCTATGCTCACGAGGAGACGGGTGACTGTTCATCCCTAGAGCCTTCTGGGTACAATATAGGTCGGTAATAGCTGTGACGTAGCTCCGGACCGATCGCCATGCTAGCCGAGTAGCCGTCCGGGGGGTCTCAGGGGCCGTCTTATAACTCTTGCCTCTAAGCGGCCGCTGTACCACACGCTCGACAAGGAAGAGGAGGAGCTTGTCTTCTGTAACAGTATCACGATCGTGATACTGCTTGGAAACACAGAACTCTTGGAATTCTCGCTTCTTTGGTTCGTACGCAATGGTGGTGTTCTTTGGCCGGTCTTGCTGGATCAGCTGGTGCACATTACGCGCGTTGGCGCGTAGTTCGGCACTATTCAGAGCAGTCCGCTCAGCGTGCTCGACGGCTGCCACTGTAATCGAGTCTTGCAGTTGCGCCGTCTTCCGTTGCGAAGTCCGGGCCATGGTTCAGTGCGGTGCAGTGTGGTGCGGGCGGTAGGCGGTATGGTAGATGGTGTGGTGTGGCGGGAGAGCGGACTTGGAAGACGCGTAAAGGCCGGAGACCGTGTATCTATAGCGCGTGAACAGGGGCCCAGTCATCCGGGCTAGCCCTGTGGTGGGCGAGGCCCCTGTATTACAGGGGCCTAGCCGGCCGGCTAGGCTCAATCTGGCGATAGAATCATCGACGGCGCTGAAAACACAAGCCAAGAAGCGAATATCGCATGCTGGCTAGCGTGGCCAGATTGGGTGATGCGCAGATATAGTGGGCCAGAAGTGTGGTCAGCGAGGGTCATCTGCAGTCAGCCGAGTGGTTGATACCACATACTCCTAGCCTTCATGTGTGTGTCTGTTTGCGCAACAGGATTCCAGAATTATAATATGTTTGACGAACCAAAGTAGTATAATAGGGATATTTGCCCATTACTTCTTCTTTTCCAACCTTCGATACCTCTACCTATCCACAAACATAATATTCACTGCTATACTAAAGTACTCCTGGTTACCTTGATATGCGGCTAAAAAACTGCCGTAGTACCCCTGAGCAAGGTTATGGGAAGCCCTACAGCAAAAATGTAGCAAAAAAACATACAACACCAGGGATTCGCCACTGACTTGCGCACAATGCGTACCCACTTTCGTAATGTTGATCTGGGGCATTAGGCTCCAGTCGGCACCGTCGTGACGTTGCCGCCGCCGGCATTAGGCGCCTAGGACAGCCGCCTCCTTGGTTACACGCATGCTTGTGTCGAGATGAAGAGTTGACGACCGTCGCCTCAACTGTCTGGGTTCTCTATATCGAAACGCGGAGCCGAGTATCATCAAGGCCGCGAACGCCGTCATGGTTGGCCCATGCCAACTATATGCAATCACATAACTAGCTCAATTGCCTACTTGCGAATAGCTTCACAATTTACTACGTTGTTGTTGTTGTTGTGTTCAAAAAGGGAGATCCACTGCTAGGGTGATTCTTTGGGGGTGGGGTAGGGCATCCGCCTTCAAACAGAGCTGAAGCAGTCATCTGTCATCGCCATCCAGCATAAATTGTTTGTCCTGCACACGTGCCACCCACACGTGAAGCATGTTTTGGACAGTTTGACATGACAGTTGTGATATCCGCGTCTTGCGGGTATCGAAGCGCGAATAGAAAATGAAGATGAAAACAGATGGGAGGGGACGCGTCAGGCGGCATGAAGTCTAGATGCGGCTCCGGCTCACGGACTAGCTCTTGAGGAGAAACGAAATTCGAGGGAAGGTGTTTTGACTACGAGGTGCCATTCTGCAGCGCCTTAATAGCTGAAAGTACAATCCGCTAGCTAATATAATACTACCGTCATAATTAACTAGTCTTGAAACAAACAACGAAAAAAAAGACAAGCGCCACAAAAAAACCACCCTCAAGGAATATCATAGCCTGCATGCTATCCCAGCTGGGCCGAGACCATTCTGATTTCGCCTCGACCCTTAAATGCCACCCTTAACCCAAGGGTCCTCCAATAGTTCCAATACTGACGGGCGTTGCTGTGGAAGCCAGCAGAGCACCTTGCGAATGAAATTCATAAAGACGACCGCATCGTTCCCCTTCAATGCCTTCTGCAGGGATTCCATTGTCCTTTCTGTCGGGACCTTGACTGTGGCATGCTTCCACGTGCCTAGAGCGATGTAGTGAATATATCGTCTTGAGCGAGATGGGGAGGCGAGGGAACGAAAGAGGGGGAGAGGGGAAAACGGGAGAATAAAAAAGAACCTACCATCTTTGTCCCAAAACTTTTCACAAGCCTTACTCTTGCTGAGAAATTCTCTTGGCGGTGGACCCATCAACGCGACCATTTCAGCAAGATGGTGGGCCGTGTAGAGCTCCATGCCTAGCTCGTCGTGGTTCTTGAAGAGGGATGTCGGCTGCATCAAGTCCCAGGCCTGGGCGTGTCTTGATATCAGCTAAATGGCAAATACAAATATCGGGGTGGCGGCAAGGAAAAGTAGAATGGAGCCTCACCGTAAGAGCATAGGACCAGACGTCGACGGCATGACCCCATATCATGCCAAGATTGACCTCGGGTGACCGATACCTCAAGGGCATGGCAGTGCCCTGATGTGCATCGCCAATCCGGGCCAGGCCAAAGTCGCAGAGGATAATTTCACCGGCCCCGGACATTATGTCCCGAGAGGTATAGACGACGCCATCCTCTGTTACCTTCCGGGGCGAGGGGTTGGACTTCGTTTCGGATATGGCTGCCTCGGCAAAGATGGAGCGGTCGATAATTTCGAAATGCAGGTTGCCCGAGTGGAAGTCTTGTCGAGCGAGGTCAGCCGCGCTGGAGACCACTTGCACGCAGGTGAGGGGCTGGAGACCACCTGCACGCAGGTGAGGGGCTGGAGGAATTGGGGCACGTACCAGTATGCGTGACGTTGGCGACGGCGTGCAGGTAGATGAGGCCAAGGAGCGCCTTGACAAGGGCCATCTGGACTACGTTTTGGGGAAGGATCAGGTCTGGCTTTGTCTTCTGGTATTGCAGCAGACTGAAACCCAGAGGCTCGAAAACGAAAACATGGTGAGTGGTGCCCGGCTGTGGCCTCGGAATCGTGAAATGGTCGTCTATTTGGCGGAGATGGGCCCGCATGAGGTCTGTCACCTCACGCTGTGTGTCCTGAGCTAGGGTATTGCGAAGGTGCTCGAATATCTCGAGCTCCCGGATGACTGGAAGGGTGTTGATGTGAATCTTGAGCGCCTTGTACTCTTTTTTCCTGGAAAAAGACTCAGTCTTTAGAAAGTCATGACACTGACGAGGTACGCATGTAACTCGAGGTAATTCTCCGACACGTCATGCCCGGACAGGTCAACTCACCAGAGATTGTAACAAAGCCAGACAGTTGAACTGGATCCATACCCAAGCTTGGCAATTATCTGGTACTGGTTTTTGCCATGTGGGATGATCTGGCCGAGGCGAGCGGGATACCGTTCCTTGGGGTCATAGGTCGGGTCTTTTTCCTCCTCCACCTTTTCCGCAGGGTCGATGAGTTGGAACCCTGTGGTTGGAAATGTGAGTGGAAATGTGAGAGGGGGGGCGGAAACAGGCTCCGCCTTCTTTTCCGGGCCCGCCGAGTTCGATGAGGTCGAGTGTGTGCTTGAGGATCGAGACATGGTGGAGGGCGAAGCAGCAGCAACAGCAGCTAGCGAACACGTGACTAGGACAAGAGGGCGAGTGCCGTGATTGAGCTTTCTCGATGTAGATGCCGCAACCAAGCCTAAGGTTGACAACCACACTCGCCTCATCTTCATAGGTGAGAAGTGCGACTTGTGAGGGAAAAGCTTGCGACTTAAATAAGTCGATGGGTTGTGCAATGCGCAATGTGTAATGTGCGCGTCCAAGACGAGACGCGGCGCGGTTCGGTAGGTGGGCCTCTAAGTCCCGTGTTCCTTACGTAATCGTTCCACAGCGGCCCAGTGCCACTGGAACCCCGGGAGCTAACTGTTAACCGTTGGGTCTAGGACGAACCATCCCCTCTGCAGACCGTTGGTCTGTTCAATATTATACCTCTGCCGGGTTTAAAACCTTTGTGGAGCGACTTCCAGCCCCCTGTATCTTTGGGTTATATCCCCTGCTTAGGAAGTCACTCTATAAGCTGTTGGACGGTGCCACTCGCGATACCGTGCCCTATAATCAATGTAATAGTGCTAAACATGCCCGTATAGGCTCTCTCATTTAATATACTGTACCTTATTCACACGCTGGCCGAGGCAACAAACCTCAAGGTTGGAGCTGAACTTGGTCCGGCGGTTTCATATTTCCGCGCAAATAAGTCCCTGCAACAAGAACAAAACATGCAGCACCCTCCCGTAAGTCGGATCGTGAAAACAGGGCTGGATACGCGCCATACACGCTTATACGCGCGTGTTACTCGGTCTCAGGTCCTCTTCTTGGCCCGAAGCCAGCCCCCATCCCCTCAACAGTGTGTCAGTGACGGGACTGAGGCAGTGAGGCGACGTGAAACCTCTTTAACGGCGCAAACACGGCGCCTTGGGCTCCAACGGGAGTCTCGGGACGCAACCATCAGCCCTGGGACCCAGCAAGTCGTCCCGACACGTCTCCCAACGCCCTTCAGCGCCGTCCTAGGCCACCCGGAAATGACCCAACACACCAGCTATAACCACCTTGACGTGTCTATTTTGGATTTTATTTCGTGCGTTGCTCGCCAAGACGCCTTTCAATGCCGGTCAACGGCATTCACCGCCGTCCTAGGCCCACCAACACATGTAAGCTCGCTCCATGCCAACGATCACCTTTGCTTCTATTCTAGGTTTTATTCCGCGTGTGGCTCCCCCACACCTTGTTCAGCGCCATCCTGGGCCACCTCAATCTGGTGAAGCACACCGGCAACAGCCCACTTTTCCTTTTTTTTCTAGGATTGATTCCGCGTGTGGCTCTCCAACTCGCCGTCCAACGCCGTCCAACGCCGTCTAACGCCGTCCAACGCCGTCCTGGGCCTTCTCAAAATCATGAAGCACACAGTCAACAACCCATTTCTGCTCCTATTTTTACCGCATTGAAGGAGAGCGCGCCGCCTGCGTGTTGCGCACAGGCCACGGGGCGTGTTCTCAGTTTCGCCCAACCCCCACCGATGGCTGCTCTGATCCCCTGCCGGAGACCACATTCGACAGTCGAAACTCGCATTTCGCCCTCCGCAGGACCTATGATGACGCCCACTCCACTCAGCAGGCGGCGTTAGGTAGCTGAGAGAGCTCCCGAGGCCTGTTAGAAATCCGTTCTTACGCGTTCATGAGTTTCAGGGTCACCAACTTGACTTGACCAAGCTGTCCAACAAGTTCAACGCAAGGGTTGATTAACACCATGATCAAGGCTTGGGACTCGAGGGTTGACCGTCCTGTCCGGTTGTCGGCGCTTCGGGGTATAAAGATGTCGGCGATGGTCGGATATCCAGGGGAGAAAAGAACAGCATCATCAGTCCATCAGCTTTTCAGTTCCAGTCTCTTCTTCATCTCAACTCTTTTCCAGTTTCCACCTTCGATTCAATCTCAGGTTTACCTTTTCGTTCTCCAACTTTTCCCAACACCACATCATCAACAATGTCGAAAATCGGCGGTCTCAAGATCATCGGATCGGTCACGCTGGACGCCATCAAGACAGCGGCTAGCACCAAAGCCAGTACGTGGGAAACCGCGCTAACCACTGGCAGTACCACTATAAAATCCTAAAACCCGAGAGCGGGCTCTACTAGTTTCAAGTAAGCAAAATATTCCTTCACCTTGGTGCAGTCCAGAAACACCTACCCTCTGTACTCACGCGCAGAGCAGTGGATCCTACCCGCACAAGTCCCACACCGACAAGACTGAGACGTTGGACGTGGTGAGTTGTAAAATTTTCGAGGGGGAGGATGGAAAGCGACTCAAGTCCGGCCATATCAACGAAGAAGGCATAGTCAAGTATAGCAAGTGAGCACAATTGGAAGACCGAGACAATGGCTGGCTGGTCCAGCCTGGTGATTTGATGGTGGAGAAAAGGGTGGATTGTTAGAAATAACCCATTAGGCTAGACCTAATGGCTTAGAAGTAGGCTCTCTTTACCTAGTCTAGTAGACTTTATAAAGATGGGCCTTTTCGCTTGATTATTCGTGTTATCTCGGTGAACTCGGAACCGCCTGACAGTGAGGAAGACGAAAAGTTTTTAAGCGACAGACCTACTCGTCTGAGCTCAAAGCGCCTCAGCTAGAAACCCCGACATTCGAGCCAAAGTAGGCAAGAGAATGGAAGCCGCTCGCTTTAACGGGTTTACTTCCAAAGCCGTCAACTGGTACTTTAATATAAGGGAGAAAGAATACGACTAGATTAGGCCTAAGCTTACCTTTAACGTCGATAAGGCCGGCATTATGGCGGGCTTTGGTGAGTAAATAATGCCTAGTTGTAGTATCTATTGTCACGGTCGCCACAGGGCTCTTGTGACAGGATTGATTCTATTGGCTGCATTGTGCTTAGGGTGTGGCCTGTGCGCACTGAGCACCACTACCTATTTCTCCGCGCCCTGCGCGGACCCGGCGATAGATTCCTTTCTCTTCCTTAGCTTTAAATCTACATTCGTTGCTGCCTTCAACTATTGACATCCCTACTGCGTAAGGCGGGCCGTCACATCTATTACTTATACTATATAGGGCTTGATTTCTTAGTCCTAGGGAAATCAGAGACGAAGAAAGCCTACCTAAAAAGCGACCAACGTCGAGGCTGGTCCTGTCACGAGAGAGAGATATTGACCGGCCAAAGCATAGTAGAACCTGACCTATATTATGGAATCTTAAGGTAAGGAAAAAAAGGAAGCTATCTGAGGGATCGCGGGGTCCTAGGAGTGGAAGATATGGTGCCGCCTTATGTAAGATAGGGCTTTGCGTATCGACCACACTCTAAAAAGGATACGACCAACCAGGACCACGTAGTACGTCATTGCCAACACGGCACCCGCCGTAACAGGTCCACCATCATCGAATGCATCAGTGCCGGGGGCCTCGCACTCGACCCGGGTATCATTTTTAAAAGAAAAGACTTTAAAACATCGTGGTTTGAAGAGGAAATACAGAAAATCTATAACTGGCGCTTCGATATTAAGTTAGGTGGGGGAGTAAGCGAACGCCACTGATCCAGAACATTCTAGATAAGCGAGGAACACAACCAACCCTCTTATATAAAAAGCCCATAACTCAACCAATTCTTTTCCAATTCTCTTCATCTTCAATTCGTTTTATTCTTCTCTTGACAATGGTTTCATATACAGAAGAAGACCTCCGCAAGGCTTGCAAGGAAGCCGTCAGAACACATCGATTACGCAAAGTCGCGCGAAAATGGAACGTTCCACCCTCCACCCTTTATGGCCGTCTACATGGCTCCCTACCTCGAAATGTTGCTCATCAAGATGAGCAAAGGCTTACACAGACCCAAGAGGATCGTTTAGTCGAATGGATTCTTCTTCAACAAGATTTAGGATTGCCCCCTACACATGCACAGATCAGGGAGCTTGCACGCCGTATTCTAGCTGAAAGGGGGGACTCCTTACCACTTGGAAAGGGGTGGTGCCGTGCCTTTCTTAACCGCAATCGAATTTTGAAGACTCAGAGGGCCAAGAGAGTCGATTCGGTCCGCGTCAACTGCGCTACAGAGTCAACAATTCGACCTTGGTTCAACCATTTCCAAACACCAGCTATCAAGGCGATTAAGCCAGAGAATCGCTGGAACAAGGACGAATCTGGTATTATGGAAGGCAGAGGAACCAACGGCCTTGTCATTGGAAGCCGTGCCTTTAAGGCGCTTCAAAAAAAACAGCCTGGAACCCGCACTTGGGCCACTTTTGTCGAATGCATCTCAGCAGCTGGCCGTTGCCTTCCTCCTTTGGTCATTTTTAAGGGGAAAAGCGTTCAACAACAATGGTTTCCTTTGGATATGAAGCCATTTCAGGATTAGTTCTTTACAGCAACTGAGAAAGGATGGACTGCCGATGAGACAAGCCTCAAATGGTTAAAAAATGTGTTCATTCCTCTCACCAAGCCAGCAAACTCCTCTGAGAAACGACTCCTTATTATTGATGGCCATGGCAGCCACACAACTGCCGATTATATGTGGGAGGCATTCACAAACAATATTCACATTATTTATCTGCCTCCCCATACTTCCCATGTCCTCCAACCCCTAGATTTGGCCATATTTGTCCCCCTAAAACGACTTTATCGCAGACGGCTTGAGGACCTTCTTGCTAACGCCTTTGACGACTCTTCTGTAGCCGGAAAACGTGCGTTTCTGGAATGCTACCAGATTTCACGCACAGAGGCAATTACTAAGAGTAATGCTAAGTCAGGATGGAAGGCATCAGGCCTTTGGCCCTTGAATGTCAACAAACCGCTAAGAAGCCCACTCCTCCTCAAGAATTCTAATACTTCACGCCCCTTAAGAACTACTATAGTTACCCCAGAGGTTCGCACACTCCGTATGCCAATCCTGGAGGATTATGGAGACGATCGGGTGCAGTGGAGGACTCCTAGAAAGGCACGTGATTACGTTGAGCAGGCAAAGAAGTTCGCACGCATCATCAAAGCAATGCCAGCGGATAAGCTCTTCCTCAGAAAGATTGGTAAGGCTTTGGATGAACAGGCCTTTGAACTGGCTATTAGGAAGCGAAAGATTGAAGGTCTAGAACACACTCTCGAATCAATAAGAGCCAGAAAGAAGAAGAAGGTTGAAGAAGATCCAAATACCACCTTTGCGAATATTCAGACTATTCGTGAGGCCCAGAGAGCTGTAGGGCGTGCAGCAGAGGTTTTAGAAGATGCGGAAGAAGCGGATGATTCAGAGGATATCAAAGATTGTATTGAAGTTTTGTAAATAAAAAGATCACCCTTTCGTTTGTTGGAGGGTTAGTTGGGACTCCTGCTTATACAGAATGTTCTAAATCAGTAGTGTTCGCTTACCCCCCCACCTAACTTACAGAAAAGGGTTACTACAGAAAAGGGCTGGACTGATAACCAAATAGAGATTAGCTAGCTTGAGGATATTTTCATTCCACAACCGATAGGCTTCTAAACTACGAAAATGAGGCTTGGGTGCTGATTCTTGATGGCCACGGTACCTAAATAACTGTAAGAGATAAGTCCCGTACGCTCTTTCATCCAGGAATCTCACAATATATATATATATAGGACGACTTCTTGACGATATGCAGCCTGAATAATATATATCTTTACTTCCTGACGGCCCACACCTCTCACGGCTTACAGCCACTTGATAACGGGACTTTCCACTCTATCAAAGCTCTCTATAGACGTGAGCTAGCCAAGTTGGCTAGTCTAACCGACGCAGCACCTGTTGACAAGATAACTTCATTCGCTGCTACAAGGTAGCCATGGAGGAAGCATTGATAGGAAGAACCATCAAATCATCATTCCGGACGACCGGAAATTAGCCTATTAATAGGCAAAAAGCCCTGAGCCACCCAGAGACTCAGAAAGACAGGGCAAAGACCCCTGAAACCCCTGTCCTCTCTGGAGTCCCTAGTACACCGAATACAGGGCGTCAGATAACGGATTTTAGCAAAGGAAGCAGTCCCTAGACTGGATGGAAGTTCCAGAAAGCCGCGGCAGCCGTTGAGAAGCTTCAGACCGAATTGATACTCAAGCAACACCGCATTGAAGCCCCGGAGTGATGCCTGATTGAGCGAGGGAGCGCCAAGACAAGGTCATATGACCGGCACGTGTAATTTAAGTACATAGGTACATAGGGAAGCGGGGCTTACCCTGACGCGGTTAGACCGCGTCTGCCCCACCAAAGGACCACATTAAGGTCCTCGGCAGGGCAGTGCTCCCGAGCTTCCTCCCTCGATCATCAATTTACCTACCTTTTCACGAATAGCCTACCGCATTCCGTGATCTAGGTGACGATCACCCTTCACGGAGGCTCAACTGGAGCGTATTAGGCCCCAAAAACGAAGGAAAATTCCCAATCCTAACAAGCGGTTCATGGACCTAGGGACTATACTACTGGGTGGCAAGGTTTCCACAGAGACTCAAGCAGAGCCTCAAATTGAAGAGGTGGATGATGAAGAAGAGGCTGAAGAAGAGGCTGAAGAAGAGGCTGAAGAAGAAAAGTTGCCTGCAATACTGACAAGATCTGGCCAAGCACTTCGTATGTCAGCACAATATATGAATTGAACAGTCAATTAGCTACATTTTGATATATTTGGCTTGTAAATAGCTTCATAATTGAGTGCGCTGTCGTTGTTCAAAGATGTAGTGTTTTGGTGTAAAACGGTGATCCACTGCTAGGGTGATCCGTTGGGGGGTGGGGCATGGTAGGTCGTTTATAGTCGGTCCCAACCCCCTGGACTACTGATTACCAGGTAGCCGTGCTTAGCGTATCAAGCGTGTATATAAAGTAATTACCTGCCACAACTCATTATGCACGATATCAGCGGCCTTAGGCCGGCCACGAGCCCCATGGCCCTCTCCGGAATTGGTTTCGTCGAGACAACCGTCAACTACAGCAACCCAAGCCCGAAAAGCCCTTTGGTCGGCTTCTTTTGACTTTCCCGCTCCGCGACTCCGGTTGGGGGCAGACATTTAAATGCATGTGTCTTCCTGTAGCACGGCGCGACGAAACCAAACCAAGCCCAAAATTTCAAATCCTTCGGAGTCCGACGCGCAAGAATGCGTTCAGAGTCCGAGCGTCAACTTTGGCTCCAATTTGGCCGATCAGCGATCAGCACCAAGCGCCGCTCATCATTTCGGTCCGAAAAAGATTTGAATAAGACGATGTTGGAATCTTTGAATTGAGAATCCTTCACCACTCTGCGGAAAAGGGGTTATCGGAAAAGGGGTTATCGGAAAAGGGGATGGTGGCATTTGGGTGGCTGCGCTGCTTTGACGGAACAGACAGATCAAGGGGCGGCCGCGGCCAACAGGGCAGAATGCGCATGTTTGGCGCCTGCCTGCTGTTTCTAACTTCTAACGAGACTCAGAAATGGTAAAGACTAACGAGACTCAGAACTAGTAAAGAGTGCGTTAGGGAAGAGGGCTATTCTAGGCGGCCAACTACTCTTTCTGATAGCGCCCCGAAAGCAGATCAAAGGGGTTGTCAGGAGGGTGTTATATGGGCGCCTACTTTTTCTAACGAGGCTCTGAGGAGGATTGGCAGGGCATACTGGGTGCCTGCTCCGGCGGGGTCCACCTCTTATATTAGACTCTTCCCCAATAGTAAGGGGAGCCGTCTTTGGGATGGCCCGATTGCGTTGCTCGGTGACTGGGTGGCACGGAGCAGTGCTGACCCCTGGCGATCAAGCAAAAGCAGTGCTGAGTGAGTCTACGGGTCCTAGGCTGCCTGGAGCTCTGCAACATCTACGTGTAGATGGATACGGCCAAAATATCCCTCAACCTCGCCGCTAACTGGATCTTCCCCGTGGCCATCTTGTTTGGCCTCCCATTCGAGTCCCTGAGAAAGAAGAAACTTGTCGGTACGCTGAAAGCCGTGTCCAACTGACTCGGCTCACCCCAGACGGCCATGACATCCATCATATTTGCCTTCCACCGGTTATGGCAGTGCCGGAAGCGTGTCGAATACTTAGATGCCTACCACACCGTCAAATGCATTACCCAATTCGAGTTGCCGCCGGGAATGGACGAAGGGCCCGACCGTGGTCCGCTCGACGCCAAGTTCCTCAAGACTCTCGTGTACGGACTATTCCAGCCGGCCCACCAGACAAAGGCGAGCCGGCCACGGAACCAGGCATCGAGTATACGAGACAGCTCCTGGCATTGCTCGTAAAGAAGCCCCGCTTATTGCGCCGCCGCGGCGTCGTACCTACGGCCCTATCCCTCGCCATTTACTTCTTTGCCTTTGGCATCTCGATCTACCTCGCCTTTGGCATCTCGATCTACCTCGCCTTTGGTTTTGGTACAAGCCCAAGTCTATGTGGAAGACGGACGAGAAGGATGGGGCCACCGAATTGATCCCGGCCCGGGGCCAGAACCAGAAAGTGCGGGCAGACACGGCATGGCTCCAGTGATGGGAAAGCGGTCGGACAATAAAGCTGCATCCTTTCTTCCCATCCCCGACCTAGTTTTGGCCTTCTTTGTCCTTCTGTTTCGTGTCAACCCAGGTGGCTGGCTTGCCTCTGTCGCTATTCCTCTGTTAGCTATTCGTCTCAATCTGTTCTTATTCTCGCTTTTTTTGCTCCTTGACCAACTACGCGGCGGTGTCATTCTATGTTATTTGACTGATTACGAATCTCGCCTCAAGGCTGACGTTGCGTCTGCCATAAATAGATACCGCGAACAGAGGCAAGTGATCAGTTTGGTGGGGCTTGTTCGGACGTGGAATCTAGGTCAACAGAGATGCCCTTGCACGTCGTTCCGCCTCCGTGGCTATATAAAGGGGGGGCCCATAAATCCCCAATCAATGCTACACTTTATCCGGCCGCACCAGCCCGCGCGGCGCCTTGCTGATTCGGGAACACTTGTAGACGAGTCCGGGGGTCACATCCAACGCCATTTGCGGCAGAACCCTCCGCTCACTCAAAATTTTTAGTCTTTCGGGACCCCTGTCCCCTGCCCGCGAGACGTGTTTTCCTGGGAAGCTAAGCTGCTGGCCCATTGATGGTTGCCAAGCTGCTGGCCCATTGACGACGGGCATGGTAGTCGCACCGTCGCTTTGCAGGCTCCGTAGCAGATTAGATGATGGCGTTCGCCAAGAATAAATAGAGGGCTTAAGATGCGCTGCTGTAATATATGTATCTGCAGATTTCTACCTCGGCGATCCCTTCACCTCGTGTCCGCCACGCTGCTTCCCTCCCTCTCTCCCCACCCCCCCGGGCTCCGGCGACAAAGGACTCGGCCTGGTTGTACACATACTCATAAACACACACACACACACACACACACACACACACACACACACACACACACACACACACACATATATATATATATATATAGACTCACAGACACCCGGTCCAGCTACCTCCTGCATGCATCTGTCGCCCGCTACCACCAGCCCTCGCCGCCTCCTCCGCTGACGATGCAGCTCTGGGGCAGGACGACGCTCGCCGCCGTCGCGGGCGCAGCGTGTGCCCTGCAGCCGGTGTGTGCCCTGCAGCCGGTGCGCCTAGTTCTGCTGCCATCGGACACGGACACGGCTGCGCACGCGCGAGGCGTCCCGTCGTCATCATCCAACACGCACCACCTGCACGAGCGACACGAGCCGGCCCACGTCGACGGGTGGGCGCGCCGCGAGCGCGTCGATGCTGGAACCACGCTGCCCATGCGCGTCGGCCTGCGCCAGTCGAACCTGGATGCTGGGCGCGAGCTGCTGATGAATATGTGCGTCTGCGTGGCGGGGCGTGGCGTGGCATGGTGGCCTTTGTTTCACTTCCTTTCGACACTTGGAATGTTTGGTTGCTGTTGGTTGTTGACGGGGATGTGCAACTAATCAAGGGACTGCAGATCAGATCCAGAGTCGCCTCGCTACGGGAAGCACTTGTCCGCGAAAGACGTCACTGCCATGTTTGCGCCGTCGGCTGAATCTGTTGACGCGGTCAAGAGCTGGCTGGTCGAGTCTGGTATCCCGGCGCATCGACTGTCGCAGTCGACGAATAAGCAGGTGTGTTTTCTATTCCTCGGCGACATGAATCCCTTGGAAGCTGGTTTGTGCTGTTTAAAGACGATCTGTCTGAAACCATCTAGGGAAGCACCTGGCTGACATGTTGGACACAAATAGTGGATACAATTCGACGCCCTCGTCGGCGAAGCCGAGAGGCTGCTGCTAGCCAAGTACCACGTGTTTGAGCATCTGGAGTCGGGCGTCACCAATATTGCCTGTTCCGAGTGAGTCTGCCCAACCCAGAACTCACCCACCCACCCACCGACCGCAAGACACTAACTAAGCCCGGATTCTACGCAGATACCACATCCCCACCGCGGTGGCCGAGCACGTCGACTACATCACGCCAGGCACCAAGCTCGTGTCCGCCGGGTACGGGGCGCAGGCTACCGAGCGCATGCGGCGGCGGCGGATTCGGCGGCGGCACCCAGTCCGCAGAAGGAAACCGAAGAAGCCGCGGGCCGACTCGGACATTGCGCACGTCGAGTGCGTCGACGAGGAGCGCGAGTTCAAGATCCTCGGGTCGTGCGGCTACGACGTCACGCCGACCTGCGTCAGAAGTGAGTCCAGTTACTTGGCCAGGGGTGATCCGAGCAAAGAATGCATCTAGCAGTAAGCCACTGACACGACAGACTTGGCCGTCGGGCAGACCAGTACCAGATCCCCAACGGCACGACCGCGACTCCGGGGAACGAGCTGGGCGTGTTCCAGGGCCTGAACCAGCACTACAACCAGTGGGATCTCGACATGTACTGGAAGCACACGGCCTCGTAAGTTGTGTGCTCTGGTCTTTCCTCTGAGCTCTGCTCGACTGGCGGAATTATTAGTCGTCTCGCGGCTTGCTGACAAGGGGGGTTCAGATGGATACCACAGGGTACGCACCCGGAGCTGCGCGCCATCAACGGCGCCTACGGACCCATAGAAGACGTTGCGCTGGCCGGAGATGAAGCAGACCTGGACTTCCAGGTGGCGATCCCGCTCATCTGGCCTCAGACGGCGGTGCTGTACCAGGCCGACGACGAGTGGTACCAGCAGGAGCAGCTCAAGAGCGACACCAGGTACGCGGGCTTCTTCAACAGTAAGCGGCGCGCTCCCTCCTGGTTCTGTCTCCCTGCCGTGCTGCAGCTAATACTCCCCGCAAAGCCTTCTTCGACGCCATCGACGGCAGCTACTGCGCGCTGGACGCGTTCGGGCAGGCGGGCAACTGCGAAGACGACGCGTGCCGCGACCCCGAGTACCCGAACCCCAACGACACGGAGGACGGGTACCAGGGAGAGCTGATGTGCGGCGAGTACGAGCCGACCAACGTCATCAGCATCAGCTACAGCGGCGTCGAGAGCGCGCTGCCGTACGGCTACATGCAGCGGCAGTGCCTCGAGATCATGAAGCTGGCGCTGCAGGGCGTGACCGTGGTCGAGTCGTCGGGCGACAACGGCGTCGGCGGCCGCCGCTACGACCCGCGCGCCGGCTGCCTCGGCCCCAACCGCGACGTCTTCTCGCCGCGCCTCATGAGCAACTGCCCCTACATCCTGAGCGTTGGCGCCACCGAGCTCGTCAGCGACAACCGCACGGCGAGGCCCGGCAACAACGGTAGCAGCAACAATAACGCGCCCGAGGCCAAGTTCGTCGAGCGGGCGACGACCTACTTTGCGTCGGGGGGCGGCTTCTCCAACGTGTTCGAGACGCCGCCGTGGCAGGCGCGGCACGTCGAGCGGTACCTGGCGCGCGCCAACATGTCGCACCTGGGGTACGAGGGCGGGGGGCGCAACTACAGCAACGTCGGCGCGCAGCCGGGGCGGCTGTTCAACCGCGCCGGGCGCGGCTACCCCGACGTGGCGGCCATCGGCGACAACTACCGCGTCGTCACGCGGGGGTCGGCCGACCGCATGGGCGGCACGTCCGTCGCCGTGCCCATCTGGGCCTCGATCCTGACCCTCGTCAACGAGGCGCGGCTGGCCGCCGGCAAGAGCACCGTGGGATTCGTGCACCAGGTCCTCGTGAGTTTTCCGCCTTGTGAGTTAAGAGAGCGGTGCTGACTGAGACCCGCAGTATAAACACCCCGAGGTCTTCAACGACATCACCAAGGGCTCGAATCCCGGGTGCGGCGGCGACGGGTTCCGCGTCGAAGAGGGCTGGGATCCCGTAACGGGACTTGGGTACGTTCAAGCACCGAGGCGTGAAGCAACCCTTAATCACTGACCGAGTGCGAACATAGGACACCGATATATCCCAAGCTACTGGACTTATTTACGAGCCTGCCATGACTAGGGGCTGGAAGCAAAGAACCCAGGCGCACACGGCACGCTACGGAACACAACTTCTTTTGGTGCACATATCAGGGGAGTTGCCGGCATTGCCAGCATCGATGCGAATTGGGACACCAAACGGTATAAGGCATTCAATCCCATCACCCGAGCCATGGCCCTGGCTACTAAAAATAAGCGTCAGCCAGGCCCCCGAAAGCAACCTTACTACCTTACCTAATTAAAGTACCTTGGGTATCTGGGTGAAGGGTGGCAGAGGACAGAGGAAGAAAGTAAAAGAGAGGGAAGGAAAGCAAAAGAAAGGAAATGAAATGAAATGAGAGAAAAGGCAAACTGGGAATGAAACGAAACGAGAGAAAAGGCAAACCAGAATATCCTCCCCTGAGCTAAGCAAAGATCAAATAAGCAAGAGAATTTGATAATAACCGCTCCAAAGAGCAAAGAAGACGAGAATGCGTGGACCGGAGGTAAATTTAGGCCCCGAGATATATCGTGGTAAGAGTGCCACAGCCTTAATAGCCAGACAGGTACTTTTCGAATTGACGGATAAATATCCCCGAGAACATGCTTGCCGTAAAGGAAGGTAAGCAGCCTGTCCTACGGCAGCATGCAATTCCACTGGATATTGTGAAAAGTGCGAGCCCAGTCGTAGGCAGCCTCGTTAAGCTGCATTGTTTATCCGTCGTCCCGCGGCCACTATTAGATGGCCATAAGCTAGTTGTGAAGGATTTGAAGGTAGGGGGGTTCGTTAAAGTCTATAAGCAAATATCCCGTCCATCCGTCATTTCCGCGGCGCAAGTTGCCTCGCGCGATTTTCCGTCGCCAATAAAAAGATTCTCTTTCAAATATTTGCCACCTCCTACACGTAAAATCCATCTCGGTTCCAGCAATTTGCAACTCCCAAAGAACAGAAAAGAATCCCCCAAAATCCGCCTTCATGCGCCAGTTTATCCATCTCCACGACTCCTTTTATTCCTTCCAGATCATCATTCTCTGAGACTCTTCGTACGAATACTCTTCGTACGAATACTCTTCGTACGAATACTCTTCGTACGAGTACTCTTCTCTCGGCCAACCTGCCGTCCCTTTCTGTGTCTGGAAACCATCATCTGCCAGTGGCAGGAACCTCTGTTGTTGCCCTCAAGGTGGCCTCAAATTTCCGGCTTGGGACGAAATAAGACAGCCGTGGCTGTTCTTTCTTGACTACTTTGATTGACTTTCTGGCATTTAAGCACAACCCGAATTCGTTGTTCAGACCGATGGGCGTGACGTCCTTTTCTTCCCTGGAAAACGCCTCCCATTGTCCGCTGCTCCTCGACGTCCTGAGCTGCAAGATGAAGTTGAGTGCTCGTTCCCCTTTCCGCCAGGCTGCGCTCTTGAGATGGCCAAATTAAAGTTGATTTCTAGGCGCGTTTGATAGTGGGCCTCGGGGCCTGACGGAGCTGCCCTTCACTCCCCTGTCATCCATTAGAATCTTAAAATTTATTCCTCCGAGTTATCCCCGTCGGTAGAGTAGCGATGGGGATTTCGGCCGTCCTCCCAAAAGACCATGCATCGGTGATGTGGTGCCGTGAACACCAACACCTCCGCGCACTCCCACTTTAGTAGCGTGCCCATGACGAGGAGTTATTGTTACTACTAAACACGGTCAGATAGGTTTTCCATTTTGACGACAGAACAAGAGGTTTCAGGCAAGGGCTAGTACCCTAGGGTCTTTCGGCTTCAGCTCCTTAAGCGGTTTTATGACAAACTCGGGCTTTGGCTTGCCCTTGGCCTCTTTCTCCTTTAACAACGCCGCAGGCACAGGGAGTATTGGAGGCGGCGACTTGCAGGCCTTGACAAGACGATGCCGCTAGACGCATTGATTAGCAACAGCATCTCAACGAGGGAAGGCCGGCGGCGTGGTTTGGGTACCTTGAGGGCATCCTTCCTAGAGAAGCACTTATCGCAACTTGGACACGGAAAGGGCTTCGCCGCCAGGTGAATTCGCTTGTGCCGCTTCAAGTCGTGGTTCCGGCTGAAGCACTGGGTGCAGAGGTCGCATTTGAAGGGGCGATCCTGCTGTGACGACTCGCGCACCACAGGATAGGTGCCGACGCTAAACTCGTGGTACTGGCCGCCAGGGCCGGTTGCCCCTGCCCCTGCTCCCGACCCTGGCGCCGGGCCCGGACCTGCACCGTGGCCCGGCATCGGCGGTACTGAGGGTAGTCCGTGGGCTAGGTGCGGTGGCACCATGGGCATGGCGTGGCGCGGCGTTGGAGGCGACGTAACCATGCCTGCGGGACGGGCAAGGGGCCCAGGGCGGGGTCCGGAGCGGGGAGAAGGCTGACCCTGACCCAGGCCCTGGTGGGCAGACTGCGGTGGTGCATACTGGGAGGCGGGGGGTATTAAACTGGCGATAGAGGGGAGCTTTTCGCCGAAGCGTTGGTTTGGCGGCGACGATTGGGTTGGCGAAGCCGGCAAGGGCTTGCGCTGAGTGCCTGTGCCCGGACCAGAGGCCGAGGTGGAGCCAGAACTAGAGCCAACGCCCGGTCTCGATCGAGAGCCGGAGGTAGATGAGGTAGAGCCGGAGCCCGAGGGCGTGGTGGTGGCCGTGGTGGTGGCCGTGGCGGTGGCCGTGGTAGTGGTGGTGACCGCACCAGCGCCCGCGCCCGCGCCCGCGCCGGTTCTGCCTCGGCGCGCTGTCGACTCGCCCCCGTCAGAAGGCCGAGTAGGACGCGGCGCTAACGGATATGGGGTGGAGGAGGACGGGTTCGCCGGCATGCTGCTGGTGGAATAGCCGGGACTGCTGGCTGTTGAGTAGGACGAGGAGCCGGCCGAGTGCACGATGCTTGCCGGGCTCGCCAGGCCGTCAGGGGCGGCGCCAGTGCCGGCGGCAGACCCAGAACCAGACCCGATGCGAAGGGCACTGTCGGTGTCGGTGCCAGAGAGCGCGCTTCGTGGGATTGCGGGTGGCAGGGGAAGCGAGAATGGGGGTAATGCAGCTCGGGCCTGGGGTCTCCGTGACGCAAACGACGACGACGAGGGCGGGTTGATGGCGCGCATTCTCAATGTCGCGCTGTGCGCTTGCGCTGGCACTCGCTCGCGCCTGTGCTCGCAGCGGCCGCGGCGTCGCACGATGGAAGCAAAAAACAATGGGCGAGTCGGTGGCCCGCCCTCGTGCTCAATTGAAGCGCGCACACGAGTACAAGCACAGCACAGGCACGGGCAGCACGGGCACAGGCACCGGCTCAGCACAGTGGGCAGATGAGGTAGATTAGATGTCGGAGGCAGGTCGGTCTGCACTTGCGGCGCTGCCGTCGTCACTTCCCCCTTCAGCTGAACTGCCCCCATCCCAAGAAGGTGTGGCTCAGTGGCTGTGCCCACAACAGGCATCGCGCAGTTTCCCGCAGTCTTGGCAACAGCCTCTCAGAGCTAATTCACTGACAGCTCTCGCAGTCAGCCGGCCCACGGTCTGCTTGGCTGCTGCTGTCAGGAGCGGCCTGTGAACTCTGGGCGGTTGTGCCTGCCACCGGTGGGCCTTTGCCTGCCACTGGTGGGCCTTTGCCGATGCCCTGCTGCGGGGGCGCTGTGGTCACTGTCGCAGTGCCGCCTGTTCGCTAGCACCTTCCCGTCCGTAGGGTTCAGCGTCCGCGGGGGTGCTTCGCTCCTTCCCTGCCCGAGTCGTTCCCGGTTCCCGGTATTTTCGCTGCAAACCTAAAAACTAACGTCAGGCCTATCCTCTGAACCAGGCACGCCCGGTTTTAGGTTACGTCGACGGAGAACGATCAGACAGTTTTTTCCCATTTGCCATGTCGCACAAAACAAACCGACCAAGGCAGTTGCGACTTCTAGTTACTCGGGGTTGACGTTAAAATCCCCTCGGGTTACAACGCGCCACCGTCAGACGGCACAATTCTCTGGCCCAAATGCGTCCAGGGACCCTGCTGAGAGGCTGCTTACTGTCAGTTACGGAACACTCCTTACATATCCCGCACAGCGAGATTCAGATTCTTAGCCAATTGCAATGGCCGACTGGGGGCCCGAGCCAAGACATTGGGCCTGTCGAACAAGCAAGCCACCGCCCCTCTTCTCCTGATGAGGTCGCCCTACGGCACTCTCGGGACTCGGGCCAGGCAAATCTGCTCGACGGCTTCAACAACACACCAATTCGCAGCTCGTTTTTTTGTTTTAGGGGAAAATCAAGAAGCTTCGCATCATGAAATTCGCTCCGGCCTCAAGGATCGACATCCTTCCGGTCGACAAGCGCGGAACTTGCGAGGCGCTCCCCTCCAATCGCAACGCTTCGCCGGCGGACACGGGAAGCCAGGGCGTCCGCGCTCCGCTTCAGGACGCGGGCTTGACGCCACCAGCAGCCACATGCCCCCAAAGGGACAAGCCGCGGCCCACAAAGTGAAGCGAGATCCCTGTTGATAGACGAGGCACTCGGACCGTGGGCTGATCCAGACCGGCCCTTTCCCCAGTGGCTTGCATTTGCAGCCTCTCGTGGAGCCAATCGCAGCCAGGTTGCGTCGCACAACTCAACAAAGTCCCCTTCGGGTGGTGGCTGACAGCCTAGCGCGCTGCGCATTGAGCACACACGTCGCGGTTGGCGGCCTTTCCCAGTTTTGCCAGGGCACCGAACACGAAGGGGGGGCCGCTTTTTTCCCAAGAGCAACAACCGCTTACTACTGGTAATAGTCATTTAGTGTGCCTGTCTGCAAGTCGTCTGCACTCGCGAACCAACGAGCCTGGTGGCGCCATACTTGCAAGCAGAGCTTCTCGCGTCTCAACCAATAGCGCAGCCACAGATACTCCAAAGACCCTTGGAACCGGTGAGACGACACAGGCTCGGGCCGAAGTGTCTTGGCGGTCTCATCAGCCTCTGCGAGCCCCATTTGAGTGATTGACTCGAGTGATCTTATGTCTGTGCACCGGGTATGTCGGTCGGTCGCAGACTAAAACACCAACGATGAAATGTGCGAATAGTAAACAGGTGGCGGAGCTGCACTGCACCGTTGTTTACCTACCACCTAATCAGTGGCGTAATCTCAATTAGTCTACATTGAGTTGAGTTGTTAATTAAACTTTCCATTACGGTATGAGTTGGTAGTAGTTTTACCAAAAGGACAGACACTAATCAAGGCAATGGCTCACATGATAAATTTACACGGTTTTACATTCCATTGAAGCGTCATATGTTGTGGCTGTGACTGCTGTTCGTACTAGGTAGACATGTGGCCCCAAACCTTTGAAGCCTAATTACACTCCAATCCCTATCTCAATGTTTGTTGGAGTGATACTTGGGAAGAAGAAAAGCCTATGGCTAATAACCGGACTTTAACACCTTACTACTTGCCTTGACTACTGAATCCAAAAGGCCTATATCTCCCCTAAAAACACACATTAAAGGCTTTCCTGGCCGGTTTACTTGCTGCAATCTTCATTCTGCTCGGATAAAACATTTAGGGGGGATTGTATGGTATTTGCCTACGCGAGAGTTCCAAGATTGGGATAAAATACTTTTGGATACTCCGTACACCTTTCAATAGCCCAAGTAGACAATAGGCTAGATTAATACAAAAGTTTCCAATTCTTATTCAAATTAATCGAAAATGGGCGTCTCAGTTTCTTGTCGTCGAACTTTTGCCTCGACTACAGTCATTGCAGTGTTCAAGTGCATTCCCTTTCTCTTTATGCTCTATTTTTTTCCTTCACTCTTTATCCTTTTTCGCTCAGTTTTTTCCCTTTTTCCCTTTTTTTCTTTTCTAAGAGGTGAAGAGGTGAGGGTCGGTCGGTGAGACGACGCCAAGCCTAACGACTCGATACTGCCTGCTGAAAAGAACGGTATGGAATGGGTTGTCCTCTCTAAAAGCTACAGGCCGAAGGCCACTAGCTATGAAGCGCGATTCTAGGTGTAGGGTATACCCTAACCCTGAGGATAATCCTGCGGTGGGGCTTTCACTGCTAGTGCCTAATTATTAGGCTTGATTCAGAGCTAAAGAGCTTCAAATTTTCGTCCTTCAAAACTCCGCAATTGTGTCGAAGACCTTTGTTCACACACAGACGCAGTATCTTTTGACACATAACTACACTGGGTGGAATCCGCAACTTGTGTCCTGTGTCTCTACGCAAACAACCAAAACGAGCCTGAAAACCCACCTTCAAACTGCTCTTGCAGAATCATGGACTACGGTGGCCCCCAACCGGATTTCACCCAGGGCTTTGGCTCATTTAACTTCCGCCCGAAAGTCGACTTGAATTCCATTGACCGCCGTGGACTTTGAACGGTTAAACCTGCCCGAGAGAAATGGCGCGTGGACAAGGCACCGGCTAGTGGGTAGGAAATGGCTCCATGGGTTAATTTCCTGAAAGCGGTCGCGTGGTCACCATCATAATCAGCTAACAGATTTAAACTATTCTTCTTAGATCTGGCTTTCCATTTTTCAGTCTCCCCCTCGAGATACGCCGAATCATATGCAAGCTATTCACAGACCGCCTCCTGGGAGACAGCGAGCACGACGGCGATGGTGTTCATGCCAGTTTTCACGCCGGGTGGCGCCGAGGCATTTGCTTCAACTTGTCGGCTCGCTCTTACAAGGATCCTGGGGACGGACGCCTTGACAGAAACGTGCATTGGGCCGCCGACCTGAGCTGGACGCATGCCGACGATATCCTTCCTGAATACATTGCGTGGCGAAGCGGCCTCACTGAGCCACATGGTGGGACCTGACGAGCTTGACAGCCTTGCTGAATCCGAACCCAAAGCGACGTGCTCGTCGTGCTCGTCGTGCTCGTCGTGCTCGTCGTGCTCAATTGACGACGACGACGACGACGATGGCGAGGGCGAGTCCCAGGATGAGGACCCATCTAGGAGCCCGAGGTCTTTATGAAGTTTGCGAGGTCCCGGCCAGCCACGCTCTCCTACATTCGTGCCATCGTCTTGAACAACGACGGGGCCATCACCGGCGGCCTAGCCGTCATGCTCGAGCACGCTTCCACACACATGAACCTGAAGTCCTTCGGCGTCAACCTGTACAGACCGGAGCTCCTAATGGAGTCGAGAGAGTTGGGTGCCGTCAAAGTAACGGCTTGGGCTCCTCTGTTCAGGTCGCTGCGCACAGCCGCATTTGCTCTCAAGATCTGTGTCGCAGACCCAGCGCCTCGCTCCATGAGCTATTTGAACAAAAACTGGGAGTGGGACGACAAAAGCGACATTACTGTTTCCATGAAGCAGCAGCGGATGCCAGACTGCCTCCGTGCAGAACCCGAGGAGAGCGGAGAAGCTACCTGTCTCCGATCGCGCGATAGACTATGATTCCTTATTTTGGTGGATGGATATATATTGAGCTGGAGAATTCTCTCCTTTCCTTCATTTTATTCTCTCCTCTCCTTCATTTTATTTTCTTACCAAGCCTGGACACCACATTCTCTTTGCTCACCATTCCGGAATCAAGAACATCTTCATGAACTCGTCTCCCATTGACTTTAGGCCTTGTGCTAGCCGTGCCAATGGCCGAAGGCCCACCACGTGAAATGAGTAAATCAACCAAGATGACGCCAAGGGCGGACCACAAGACGAACATCACGGCGTCGGGCGGCTCAATGGGTAGAGGCCTTGGCGTCGTATATGCCTGACGAGTGGCCGAGTTTGGGGCTGCCCATGTGCCGAGTGGTCTGTCGTCATAGCGGCCGGTATTATAGACCAAACCAACGCGACTCTGCCCCACGCCCTTGGTCTCTTCCCCGCAATACCCGTGGCTCCCTCAGGCGGGCGAGTTCTGGATCAGCGCAGACCAGGGGCCAGCCGTCAATGAGACGATCAGCCAGCCGCGGGCCCAATCGGGAGATGGCACACCGCCCACACGGAGACCACCCAAACTATTAGCCATTAATTGCATATGAGCTACCTACCGGACACACCTGCCGCCCTTCTGTCGCCATTCGCCCTGGGTCAGTCCTGTTCCTGCTGTGATTCTTTGGCTTTTGCTCCTGCATCGTCTCGAAGTGGCAGACATGGCCTTCAAGCAGAGAACAAAGCTTGGACGCCAAGAATTGTCGCCCGCTGAAGTCTGAAGGTCTGGTAGGCCGATTTCAAATCCGGCACCGGCTTGCACGGGGAGCTGCTGGCATGGCATGCATGGAACTGGCGGCTCGGAGAAGACGACTCCCAGTGCTGCTGCACCATGCTGCTACCACACGCACGCTTCGCTAAGCCCTGTCTCCGTCGCGGTGACGTGACCGGCACTTCCCGGACCAGCAACCGCAGTGCCGTCGACTCCCCGTCTTGCTTCTGTGCAGTGCAAGTGCCGCTTGGCACGTTTGGATTGATTGGTCGAAAAGCGTAAACTTGCACCCCAGACAAGGGCCAGAACTTTGGCAAGTCGACGCTGTGTTTTTGCTCCTCGTTCCCTCGTCGCCGCCGCTCGTGGGCGGTTGCGCAATTTGCATTTATCCGCCTCCACCACGTAGGCAATATCCTCGAGTTTATTGTTGCCCTTACCCCGGATCGGGTAAAAAAGCGGCCCTCGCTCGTAACGGGTGTAGTGAGCTGTCGAGCTACGGACAGATATTGCCGCGTCTGTGGGGCCAAACATGGCTAGAGATTGGGAAACCCGCGCAGGAGCAGCAGCAACGGAAGCAGCAGCAACAGAAGCAGCAGCAACAGAAGCAGCAGAGACGGCAGCTTTACCACCAGCGCGAAACACTTGCTGCTCCCAAGGCGCACTGCGGCGAGTGCAGATTCTGCCTTGTCTACCGTACATCCGCCTCTGCCAGCACGAGCCGAGCCCTGCACGACGCCATATCCTCTCACCCTCTGCTCGCCGGAGAGTTTTCAGCGCTGCTCCTGCGCGAGTGGAACCATCTGCAGATTTGCATGCGTGCCGAAGTTGGCAAAGCGGCGCACCCATTTCTCTCTCGCCCATCCGCATCCCGGGCTTCCTTGGCGTCGGCTTCGTCTTCCCATGTTTCTCCTGTCCACTCTCGATCCGTGTGGAGAACAGCTTTAGGCAGGGGGCTTGCTATAGCGCTGCTGTATGCGTCCCGGCGGGCAGATCTTGTCCATTACTTGACTCGCCGTCCCAGCTTTCTGGAAGCTGCTGATACCACCACTATCTTCCCACTCTTCCCGAGACACTGGGCTGGGAAAACTCCCCGGTGGTAGCTTTGCGAGGGACTGACCTTTCCCACGGCCACACAAGATAAACGAGGCCCTACTACTGCACACACGTCGCCGACTTGTTCCTGGAGCCCGGCCACCGCGAAGTCTCGTAATAATGATGGTGGCAATATAACGGGCCATGGTCGACAACATACAAACATCATCTCGCAGGAGAATCAGCGCGAGTCTCGACTCCTGAGCCGCCCGCCCGCCCGCCCGCTTCAGCGCGTTCCCTTCTCACCAGACTCTGACGGCCGCCGACGCGGCCGACGCGGCTCTACCATGTTGCTGTTGCCCAACATCGCCGTCTGCGTGCTGCTTTCGGCCGCAGCGTGCCATGGCGCCACCATCCCCGGGCCCGCTCACGGGGCTCACCAAGACGGCGCGGCGCCACGGCCGGCGGTAGGGTCAGACCTGGTCGGCGCGGCGCCGCCGCCGACCAAGAAGCCAGGCTACGTGCGGCTGCCCGTGTCGCGGCACTACTTCAACGGGTCGAGCGGGTGGAAATGGGGCTGGCACTGGTCGCCGCCGCCGGGCTTTCCGTCAGGACCGCTGGGGGGGCCAGGTGGAGGACCAGGCGGTGGCCAGAACGGACCCATCCCGGGCCCCTGGCCCACCGGATCCCCCTTCCAGCCCACCATCCCCGGCTGGCCGCCGATACCAGGGCAGACGGGCTTCCCGTCGCCGCCGTCCTTCTCGCCGTGGCCGTCCTTCTCCTTCCCCACGCCCTCGGGCGGCGGCAGCTTCCCCCTGCCGTCCTACTACCCCGGACGGCCCCCGCCGTCATCCCTGTCCACCGTGACCAGGCCGCCATCGTCGACGGTGGCGCAGGCGACGAGACTGACCCCGCCGTCGCCGACCGCGTTCACCGTGACCGTGACCGCAACCGCGACGGCAAAGCCCGCCGCCGCGGCGCAGATCCGCCGCAGAGACCAGACGGACCGCCGCTGGGGCTGGCAGCACCTCGAAGACCTGGGCGGAATTGCCTACATTCTGCAGCGTGCGGGAAACCTCTCATTTGTCTTATCCCCCCTTGAATTGCCCCTGAATACGCACTCTCTCCTCCCAATTCTCCAAACCGATGCAAACAAAGACTGAAGAAGACATGCGCTGATGCGGAGTCAGACACAGTGGACATTGGCACGCCGCCGCAGAAGATCAAGGTGTTCATCGACACGGGCTCGTACGAGCTGTGGGTCAACCCGCGGTGCAACACGTCGGCCGACGCCACGCTGTGCCAGAGCTACGGCAACTACTTCCCCAACAAGTCCAACTCGTCGTCGTTTGTCGGCGGCGACTTTGCCGTCACGTACGGCACGGGCGCCGTGAAAGGCAGCTACTGGTCGGATATTATGAGTATTGCGAGTGAGTTTTGCATTCTTTCGCCTTTCTTGCCTGTTGTGCTTTACCTTACTCCTTTCCTTACTCCTTTCGTCACTCCCTTTCTTACTCCCTCCCTTACTCCTTTCCTTACTCCTTTCGTCACTCCCTTTCTTACTCCCTCCCTTACTCCCTCCCTTACTCCCTTCCTTACCCCCTTCCTTACTCCCTTACCCCCTTCCTTACTCCCTTCCTTACTCCCTTCCTTCCTTCCTTCCCGTATATTGTGGTGGTTGTTTTAGCCTTTGGACCGAATCCGTTCATTCCCCTCTTTGGATGGCCGAGCAGAGAAATGGAGAAATTTCTCACACATTGACTCTCACACGTTGACTCGTTGCCCAACAGTGTTCCAGATCCCCGCCGTGCAGTTCGCCGTGGCCAACGACAGCAACTACACCTTCTCGGGCATCCTCGGGCTGGGCTACTCGTACCCGTACTCGATCAATTACCCGAGCGTGCTGGACCTGATGGTGTCGCAGAAGCTGATCTCGGCGCCCATCTTCAGCTTGGGGCTGGGCGGCGACCAGGACGGCTTTAGTCAGCCCCCCCTTTCTTTGTTGTCTGTCTCGTGCTTACTGACATGGGCTGCAACAGGCGAAATCATCTTTGGCGGCATCAACCGGTGGAAGTTTGCGGGCCCGCTGGAGCCCGTGGCGATATGGCCGCCCATCTCGCAGCAGGACCCGAACTGGATCCAGTGAGTCTTTGTCTTCCTGCCCCCTCCCAACCAGAAAGAGAAACCATCACACACAAACTGACACGCCCAAGATACTGGGTCAACGTGACGTCGGTGGGCATGACCAAGCCGGGGCAGGCGCCCGTCATCTACACGCCGCGGGACACGTTCACGATGCCGACGCTGATCGACACGGGGTCGACGCTGTCGTACATCCGCGAGGACCTGGTCGCGCAGATCGGGCAGCAGTTCCAGGCGACCATCGACGCGGCGGGCAACTACATCGTCGACTGCGCGTGGCGCAACAACACGGGGCCCGGCACCGTCGACTTCGGCTTCAACCGTGGCCGCATGGTCATCAGCGTGCGCTACAAGGACTTTATCTACCAGCAGTACCCCGGCCACTGCATGCTCGGCGTGCAGCCGGCCGACGTCGGGTCGACCAATTATGTGTTGGGCGACACGTTCATCCGGGGCGCGTACCGTGGGTTTCTCTCCTCTCTCTTTGTCTCTGTCGGATGCGTCTTTGCCTCTGTCGGATGTTTCTTTGTCTCTGTCGGATGTGTGGCTTGGTTTTTGCTGACTTTTATCCCCCGAATTGCAGTCGTCTTCGACCAGCAGTCAGACGTGGTCTGGATGAACCAGTACTACAACTGCGGCGACGGGGTGGTCAGCGTGGGGCAGACGACGCGCGACACCCAGTATGTGGTCGGCGCATGTTGACGAGGGGAAGACGGCGGAGGCGAGCAGACAGTTGCGACACACACTATACTCGAAATGCATTCCGGTGGGCGGTTGTTGTGGGCGATTGTTGTGCTGCGGAATACACAGGGAAATAGTTTTGCCCGACATGCTGTGTTATGGTTGGGGTGGGAAAAGGGGGAAGGGGAAGACTCTGGCCAGTCAGCCAGAGCCAATCATGACTGAGACATACAGGCTGCAAGGGGACAGACAGGAGGAAAAGAATAGTAAACCCGAGGCGAGCGGGAGGGAGTTGTTGTCAGGCTGTACGGACGCATCATTTTGTATCGGAAATTGGGATAAATAAACATTTGTTGTATATTAATTACATCGTTGCCTCGTTGGCTTGCATCTAGGTGTTTGACTTGCATTTGGGTGTTTGACTTGCATTTTGGTGTTTGGTTTGCATTTGGGTGTTTGGTTTGCCCTTGTGGACGGACCCTTGGTGACTGACACCTGGAGACGCAAGGACCACAATCGGTTTCGGTGCAAACCCACCCCAAAGTTCACGCCTATCTCATCCGTAAAAACCCAAAAAGACCGTAAAGCCAAATCTTGCCTCTGACCCAAAACTCTACAAAGCGCGGGCTAGTCGGCCACGGCAGCGGTACATGGGCCAAATTGCGCGCCTGGTTACTCAACATGCAAACCCACCACACTCGCCCGGCTGGCTCAATCGGTAGAGCGTGAGACTCTTAATCTCAAGGTTGTGGGTTGGACCCCCACGTCGGGCTCAATTCCCGGCGGCGAGATGTCCTCTTTTTTGCCCCCTCACCTCTTTTTGTTAGAGAAGCAATCGCATCACAGGTCGGGGCCGCGGATGTCGTCGCCGAGGGGCAGCTGGCGGGTCCAGATGTTCATGCCGATCTTGCCGCCGCCCGACACGGGCAGGCCGGCGTGCAGGGTGCGCTCGTCGCCGGAGCCGTCGGGCAACAGGTTCTCCCAGAAGATGGCGTTGCCCTCGACGGGGCGGAACGTGACGCCGTTCTCCCACGGCTCGTCGCAGTCGACCAGCCCGGCGTCGCACCAGCGCGCGTCGCCCGGCGCGTCGAGCCGCGGGAAGTTGGTGCCGCCGCCCGTCGTGTCGTTGGCCACGTGCACGTACGCGAAGAAGGAGCTGGCCCGGTTGCCGCCCGCTGCTGCTGCCGCGTGCGTGGCCGTGCCGTCGGTGAACCAGTCCGTGTGGAAGTGGTACCGCTCCGTCGGCCCGTACTTGACCAGCTGCACCGGCTCCAGGTGCGTCCGTGGCACCGAGTAGCCCTGGAACGCGAGCGCCCGCTCCTCGATGCACCGCACCACCCCGTCGCGCCCCACGTTCGTCGACTGCGACGTCCGTACCTGGTGCACCGCCTTGCCGCCGACGCCGCCGCGGTCCGCCACGCCCGACCGCGAGAACGAGTCCTTGCTGCAGTGGGGAGAATGTTAGTCGTGCGTGCATGCATGCATGCGCTGTTGGGTGGTGGGTAGTGGGTGGTGGGTAGTAGGTGGTGGGAGGTGGGAGGAGTTGACGTACGTGACGCGCTGCAGGTGGGCGCGCTCGTCGGCCGTGAGGAAGTTGCTGATGTAGATGACGAGCGGCGACTTGGACACCATGAGAACCTTGTACGGCGGATGTTCGCAGGCGTACTCGCTGCTGCTGCCACTGCTCACGAGAGGCGTCTGCTGCTGCTGCTGCTGCTGCGCGTCACTGGAGCCGGCCGCGACGCATTGAAGGGCAGCGAGCGCGCCCAATGCCGAGAGGAATGCCTGCGACAAAGCCATTGTCGTCGGGTTCGTTGGTTGTTTGTTCCAAGACTTGGTATCTGGCAGTCAAGTGTCAACAACAACAGGGCAGCCGTGACATGGCGAGGACGGCGAGGACGGCGCGAATGTCGAACCCGAGAGGGGGAGAGAGACGTCGAGGCCAGCGCGCTTGTCTTAACCCTCCACCCCTCGACATTGCCGGGTTGGGCTGCTGCCGCCGTCTGATGACATGACATGACGCCCTACGGCCGACTAAGCCCGGCGTCGTCTGACGCAGGCGGACGGCTCTGCGTATCTTGAAACAAAATCGACAGAGGCTGTTGGCGCTGCGACAGGGGCTTCCTGCTAGAAAAGCTTGTCTGCGCACGTTTTCAGGGGCTTTCACCTGTCGCAGAGCCGCTGGCACGGTCGTAAGGTCTGGGCGGCCCGGCTCATGCACCCCTGTTGGGCCCCTGTCGGGACAGCTACCCCTGTCAGCTCACGCCTCCCCCCGCGGCCCTGCCCTGCCCTGCCGTTGTCAAATACCTACGTGCTGCGGATCCCCTTGCCGTGTCGTCGAGAGGGACGACGCTCCGGTCGTCCTGAAGATGGCGAGCTGGCCTCTGTGCTTATTTCTGCCGACTCGCGCTGCTTGAACGTCGAGATGAGATTTTTTAGGCCTTTTTTTGCCGTCGGCCTTCTGTTGTCCGGCCCGACGCTGGCGTGGGACCATGTCGACGACACAGGCGCGCTGAAGGAGGCCCTGCGGTCCAACGAGCACACTCTAGTTGCATGTGAGTACAGTACCTTAGAGCTTTGGAGACACAAAGCAAACGGCCGTGGTCTTTCTTATTGCTGACGTTGATCTTTGAGCAGTTATTCTCGTATGTAATCAGGACCCCAGAACCCGGTCGCCGTTGACTGGCACTGACCTGAAGACGTCTGCCACAGCCCGACGAGTGAGCATCCGACCCCGGCCAAAACTAACCCCGCCGTCACCGCCGCCGTCACAGAGCCAAGTGAAGTCCTGACGGGGCCACCGCAACAGGGAAAACAGCCAAGCTCTCGAGCCAGAATGGACGCTGCTCCGGCAAAACGAAGGCGAGGATGACGTGGTCAGCGTCGACTGCTCCGCGACGCCCAAGGACTGCGAAGAGCTCGGCGTGGCGTCGTTCCCGGCGATCCGGCTCTACCGCCGCGGCGGGAAGCTCGACCGGTACCGCGGCCCGCGCAAGGCCGAAGCCATCGCCGGCTATCTGCGCCGCGCCCTCCGCCCCGCCGTGTCGCACATCAGAGGGCGGAATGCCACGTCCTTCACCGCCGCCGACGACCTGGTCTTTGTCGGCCATTTCGTCGCCGGCGACGCAACGCTCCGAGACCGCTTCGCCGCCGTCGCCCACAAGTACTGCGACCGCTTCTCCTTTGCCGAGTCGAGCGAGCCGCACCCGCTCCAGCAGCAGCACCCGCGCCAGTCCGTGGTGACATGCTACAACAACCCCGACGGCCTGCAGCGTTCGACGGCCGAGCTGGCCGGCGCCGCTGCGCTCGACAATTTTGTCCGGCTGTGTTCAACGCCGCTGATCCCCGAGCTGACGCGGCGCAACGAACTGTCGTTTTACCAGGTGCGTCAACCACACAACACGGGGGACCGCACAACACGGGGGACCACACAACACGAGGGACTAACAAACCAAATCCCTGCCTCCCCCTAGAACATATATATATATATATATAAATAAATAAAACACTGACCCCGCCTCACAGACCGGAAAGAGCATAGTGCACTACTTCACCCACGACACCGCAGAGCGCGGCGCGTACGTGGCCGAGATGCGGCCGCTAGCACAAAAGTACGACGAGTACCTGCACTTCACGACGACGGACGCGGGCGAGTACGCCGACGCGGCGGCGGCGATGGGGCTGCCTTACGGGGCCGGCGGGCTGGCCGTCCAGAACCCCAACAACGGTGACGTGTTCCCGTGGCCGCGCGACGGCCGCCGCGGGCCCGTCACGGCTGCGGCCGTCGAGGCGTTCCTAGTTGATATCATCCAGGGCGCGGTGAAGCCGTGGCGGCCTGGGAGTGGGACTGGACAGGGAAAGGGGGGGCATGACGAGCTGTGACGTATTGGGTGTATTGCGTGTGGCTATATGCTCTATATGTTCTTCTAGAATGACGTGAATGCTGAAAAGAGTACAAAGCATGTGTCACCACCAACCAAATTTAACCACCAGCTACCCGTATGGGTATATGTGTCACCACCGACCAAATTCAACCACCAGCTACCCGTATGTGCCCATACGGCTTGCAACGTGAAGCACCATCATTAACACATGGCCTTTGCCCTTCGTTGCCTCCCTCCCCACCAACCAACCCAATCTTGCATGATATCTCACTTCGCTCTCGCCGTCGAAACAGCCGGAAACGCCCTCACAAACCTACCCGTCGTATCCTCCGCCTGATCCAGCAGCCAGCGCGCGAGCTGGCCGCGCCTGATCGAATACGTCCACTCCGGGCCCGTCGGTCCCGCATGCACATGACCCTGTTCGCGATCGACAGCCCAGCTTGCATCAACACCAAGCAGGATCGGCACGCGGTAGACTGTCCACTCGATATTGCTCCCCTCCCGTTCCCCCTCGTCACGAAACACGCCCGCGATGCCGAGCATGGCGCGGTACGCGGCGCCGAACGTCAGCCACACGCCGGTGCGCATGGCCCAGCGCAGCGCCGAGTCGGCGTCGCCGCCTTTGGTGTCGACGTACGACGTGGTGCTCATGGTCAAAACACGGCGCACGCCGTGCTGTTTCATGGCTGGGTTGATAAATTATGTGAAATGGGATTCTGGCTGGTTCGTATCTCGGTTGCTCAGTGTCAATTATCTAGATTCATGCACAATCGGGATCCAATCTGAGGCAGGCAGTTCGAGTTACTTTTTGTTCAACGCGAGTATGTCGACGCTGATGCCCGCTGCTTGGTCATCCCGTCATTGGTGTCAAAAGGCCAAGTCTCTATCTAGTACCCTGTTTAACCAGTCCACCGTCTATTCGGGCGCTACCAAGTGTCCGGCTCGCTAGCCCAGGGGCTAATTGCAGCCGGATTGCCAATGTCTTTGGAAACCGGCACTTAAGCTAGCTTGGCTGTTGACAAATCAGTGAACGTCGAGCTACGGCCGAGTATGTTCTAGCCTCCAGCCTAGACGGTTCAGGGACGCGCTCCTTTCGTTGTTAGCCTTGGCCTTTACCTGAATTGAAACTGGACGGACTTTCTCCGGATTGGTTTAGACTCAGTAACAAGCTGTTTGCATGCATATGCAGCAAGTGTCTGAGAAACTCTTTTTCATCAACATTAATAATAACCCCCTTTTCCGCTGCCTGTCCACGTGCAGTATCATATGTTCATTAGATCCTTTTCATCAGTCGGCGACATCATAACCACCCACCAGCCCCTTTAATGCAATGCCCGGTTTAGCCCCCCCATATCCTTCATCCCAGTTTTGCAGCAACCAGAGTATGTACATGTACATGATATGCACAGGATACTCTGAAATATGAACAATAGAAGAAAATCAAATTATTAACCCCCCAGCCTAAATTCTCAAAATCCCGACGTTTGCCTTGATCCAGTTATACTGCTCGGTGCGGAAGTCGTCCTTGAGAAGACCGCCGCCGTTGTTGAAGAACTGCATAAGTTGGCGCCCCGAGTTGGTCCACTGCGGCCACGACAGGGCAACCTTTGACTTGGCGCTGGTGCCGCCCGACGCGTCGTTGGGGTCGAGGTTGTAGACAAAGTTGGAGTAATAGTTCTGGATGCTCTTGCTCGCGTAGTTGGGAAGGATGCCGTAGAACACCTGCAGCAGGTCGCTGCCGTGGAAGGTGCCGAGCACCGGCGTCCCAAAGTCGTAGCTCGACAGGTACGACCATGTGGGAACCGTGGGCTTGACCGCCCGGGCATTCTCGAGGAAGAGGCGCCGCGACAGGGTAAAGACAAGGTCGCCCAGGATGGCCGCGAGCCGCTTGAAGCCCGGGTACACCTCGTTCAAGATTCCCGTGCGAAAAGGCGAGCCAGATGTGAGGATGACGTCGTATGTGTCGACCAGGCCACTGATCTGGGTAGGGGTGGCGCTTTGGAAGAAGATGGTCTGGAGATACGTCACGAGCTTGGACGTGCTGGTGACGTTGGACTGGAAGAGAGAAAATAGCGTTCCCTCGTCCTCTTGGTCTCCGACGATCAAGGGCACGGAAGCGTACTGGCCGTTCTTGGCCAGAACCTCTGGGCTCTGGGTCAGGACCTTGCCGTCGGGCCGGGGCAGATACGACAGCGAGACCGAGTTGTACGATAGAATGCCAGGGACCGAGTTGGCAGCGTCGAGGAACGTAGCGTAGGGCAGGGCGCGGAGGCAGGCAAGGGTGTCGGCTGCCCCCGAGCACCCAGACTTGGCTACGACGGCGTCGTAGATCTTCTGGCCTTTGGGACCGTCGACGGCATCGGCGGGAACGATGCTGCCCGAGTTCATGATGGCACCGCGGAAGAGTGGCTTGCCCTTGTACGTGTTGTCGCCGTCGTACAGGGCCATCTGGTCGAACACGGAGATGGCACCCGCACTCTCTCCCCAAATCGTGACCTTGTCCGGGTCGCCACCAAACGCGGCAATGTTGTCTGCGACCCACTCCAGGCCCATGCGCTGGTCAAGCAGGCCGAGATTAGAGGAACCGTCTTTCAGGATCTCCTTGCCAGCCATGAAGCCAAACCCGCCGACGCGGTAATTGACAGCCACGAAGACGTAGGGCTTGCCCGAGGCTATGGCGTTGCTCAGCAGGGGACCACCGTCGTACATGGAAGTCCATCCGAGCTGCAAACCAAGTTAGCGGTTGTGCTCGGTTTTGCACGAGACGACTGGATGGGAACCGACCTCGAAGCCGCCGCCAAAGATCCAGAACAAGACTGGGAGCTTGTCGCCCGCCTTGGTGCCGACAGGGCGGATGACATTGATACCAAGGCAGTCCTCCTTCTGGTTCAAGGCGACCTGCAGCAAGGGCGAATTGGTGAGGGCGCCTAGGACCTGGACGAGGAGCTCACTCGAGTCGGTTGACGACAGGAACTGCGGGCAAGCCGGTGCAATGCCCGTTGCGTCGAACGTGCCGAAGGAGGCGGTGAGACGGACGGGGGGCTTGAGCCGGAGCGGGCCGACGGGAGGCAGAGCATAAGGAATGCCGTTGAAGGCCTCGGTGCCTATGCGCGTGACCCCGACGACGTTGCCAGTACCAATAGAGACGGTCGGCGCCGCCCGTTTCTCGACAACCGGCGAAGGAGGCTCGCTCGGCGCGGCAGCGACACCTCGGAGGAGGGCCAAAGAGCCGGCGGCAAGAACGGCAGCGATGGCCTTCATGGTGCCTGTCCTGAACCAGGTACCTTAGGTACGAAGGCAGGATTAGAGAAGCCGGGCAAGAGGGACGGACAGGTACGCGAAGACGGAGAGAAGCTGGGTGGTGAGCCTGGGTGTCGATCTTATCTTGTTTGGCGAGGAATTCGGCTGGTTAAATACTCGTGACGATCTCCATCACAACCCGCTCTCGTGGAGCAGGCAATTTTGTTGCCCGTGGCCGCCCACGCGGTGCCGAGAAGGAAGGGGCACGGAAAGGGGGAGGTGCAACGTGCGGCTGGAAACGGTTGTGCCACAAAAAATGGTGGAGGCTGTACTGTCTCGGCCGAAAGCACAGCCCAGACATTTCCGGGTACAGAATATTGTGTAGGATAGGCATTCGTACTGGGCCTCGACCTGGTCTGGTGGCCCAATATTGGACGGACCCCAAGACCCACCACCGTGGAGTCGTCGTCGGGGTCAACAAGCCACGGCGATCCAAGAAAAGATCACGGAACAGGGCCAAAGTCCGGGGAGAGGGCAGCTGACCGCGTGACAGGCAGGGAAGTCGAGCACGACGGGCGGGCGGCGCACGACGCTGGTCGGCGACGGTCCGTATACGGTGCTGTCCCGTCGCTGCATATGGGTTCCCCGCGATCAACGAGCTCGCGAGCCGCGGGGCACCATGCCCAGGTAACATCAAGATGGGGTTCGGCATGTGCTACCCATGGCTATATCCAACTTCCCCATGGGGAGGTGAATCTAGCCGGTACTTGGGTGGCAGTGTCTGGTCGGTGCGCTCGGGGGGAAAGTGAGGTAGCGTCGTGAGCCTTGAGGGAGAAGCTCGTCAACACGACACAGAGTCCGATTCCATCCAAGTCGAAGCAGTTTGCTCGTGACAGGCTCTAGAACCAACGTGGTGAAAGGGCGGCTCGGTCGTGGTCTGGGCGGTGCATGTGAAGACGCAGGGTGTCTGTTGTGCCTGACGCACGACACAAGCCTCGGTTTGGGACTCCATGGTAGGGCGAGACGGGCAGGGCGGGTGCGCGTGCATCAAGCTAGACGTGATGGGAAGGATGCCCATCGTGACCAGCAGAGCACGCCGTCTTTCCCGGCCTCGACCCGTGAGGGGTAGCGCAGAACAGACAGCCCAGGTAAGGTAAGTTTGCGGCACCGAGTACTAGCACGGCATGTACCTTGCCTTGGCGATGTGTGGAGGAGAGGGAGGGGCGTTGGACACACACAAAAAGATCGTGTGCCAGTCTTACCGCCGACCCTTAATAATTGGGGTAACCCAATCGCTGAACCGCGAGCACGATATCCGCGGACAGAATGGGGAGGATTATTGGAGGCTCGGAAGCCCATCCGATTCCTCGGACTCGTCAGGGCGAAGATGAGATGACGGTGGCTTGCGCCAACAGTGGCAATCCCACAGCATAGCCCGAACAGGGTTGCGATGGGGTCCCGCGGAAGCAAAAGTTACGGAACCTTAACTTGCTTTTGCAAATTTGGGATGAAGTTTGGACACGACTTGGAGTTGACAGATCGCGCCGGCAAGTCAAGTGCCATAAAAGGGAGCTTGCAGAGGTGCAGGCGGGGTCGCAGGGATCACACCTTCCTGGAATGCGGGGCTGGCTCGCTGAGCTGGCCCTGTGGCCCGGACCCTTGCGAGGCACAAGGCCCGTGCATCCTTGCCATTTGTGGGGGAGTCGGGCGGCCGTTTCCTTTTCGATCGACAACCTCCGGTACCATTTGCTTGGTCGAATTCCATCACACACTAGCCGCCCTGATCTGCTAACCGCTAGGTCGCCGAATATCCAGCCATAATCTCGAGATGCATTCAGTTGGGTATCAACATCCTAGCAACGACAAGCGCCGATCAGAAACCATCGTACCACCAACCAGAAACCCGCCCGCCCTCTCAGAGCCTGCAGTCTTGTTGAGTCTCAGCTCTCTGTTTCTCCCCGCGTTCACGCTCGAGTCGCAGCACAGGAAAGGAGGGTGGGACACGGACTGAGCTGCGAACTACTGCAGAGCTTTTGTTCCCTAATTTGGGTGGCTGAGCCGCGACGAAATCGGGTACGGGCTTGCGCTTTCTTCTTCTTCTTCTTCAGAGTTGGCGCGCCCATTATGCCGTGAGTTGGTGTCTCTCGGTCTCGTTGTCGGCTTGTGAACAGGCTTTTGCTGTTCACTCTTCCATATGACATGGGCTTCTCGCCGTGGTCGTCACGCCATTCTTACCGATTATCTATGTCTATCGGGGGGTATTCGGCTGGTCAGCTTTAGAACCAGATCGAGGCACGCGTAAAGACACTAACTGCATAGACATTAAGCACTATGGTAAGAGTCGGGCCAGAGAATAACCTGGTCCTCATGGTAATTACCCAATTATATGGGATCGGATATTGGCCTAAGAACCCGGTGATAAAATGCTTATCACGGCTATTGCTGCATCCTGGCTGGGATATTTGTGTTCTCGTGTATGTATTTTTTTCATCTGCTCGAGGAGGCTGTACTCAAGGGGGGACCTCCACAGCTAGCCCGACATCCATCACAAAAGTGAAATAGCTTTACCCGTCACCCATGCACACACTAGAGGTCGCGTTCTAATGTATAGCTTCCATGAACTGTGCGGTTCCTGCTTTGTTTCCGGGGAGGAGTTGGAGTCTCACCATGCTAGACTCATCAACTCAGAGATCAGGGGCATGCGGGAAACTCAAAATAAAGGTCATGTGTGAGTTTCCTGGTAATTAAGTACCCGATAATTAACGCCCCGGTAGTTTCAAACTATAAAAAGAGAAGAAGTAGAAGTGTTAGAAGAGCAATATCGTGACGTATTCAATGGCGATGGAGAGACGTAGCGTGAGCCACGTCCCGCCCCATGTGGTCGCACGGACCACGCGCACCCAAGCATAAAACTGGGAGTTGTGCGGCCACAATTCCTCCTTCCTAGCTCTCCGGATATCGATAAATAGAGAACAACCTTACCCCCAACCTTGGTAGTATTACCACCACCATCCTTAGGCAAGGCCATCAGCGGTATTGACTAGAGTACTACGAACAAAAAGCGTTTATAAGACACAGTGTTCACGTGTTCAATACTGCCAATTAATTCACACACAACTTCGGTTACATTTTTCATTTCGACCTTATTATGCAAACAAGATCCCGTCATCTCACTTTCATGCATCTGACTTCCACCAACAAGAAGTTCGTTGTCTCTTGGTTGAATGGCGCGATGGCTTGGCTGACAGTTGTTTCAGTTCCAGCCGCACCACTCTTGATATCTTGTCAATTATTGCTGATTAGATAACAGCAACAGGGGTAGGAGTCTCGAGAGTAGCATGGGCATTGCTGATATATCAGAAAATGACCAGCCTCGACCACCTCGTCTCTCAGTATCCGGTGCTCTCGACGCTCGCATCATACGTCTCGTCGCTAGACCTCTTCAACCTGGCCTTGACCAATCGCGCAAACCACTCCGCCATTCTCAGTTCGCCGTCTTTGCGACGCCACTGTCTCTGCGACGGACATGGCCTGCGTGACCGACAAGGCTTCGCCGGCGCATACGCAATTCCCAAGCATGCATACACGAAAGACTATCAGTTCGGCGGCGAGGCCCGCAGTGACAACTGGCCGGAGCACAACGTGGGCGCCATCAACGAGGACGAACCGATTGAGGTGAGACTCTACAACATCAAATGCGACGAGGCCGGCGCACTGCCCTGCCGCCGGTGCGGCATCAACGTGTGCGAAGAGTGCCGCTACTACCCGCGCATCCGGCCCGCGCACATGGACGGCCCCGTGCGGCGGCCCCATCTCTCCCTGTCCTGCTTCAGCCACAACATCATGGGCTTCTGCCCGCCGTGCGACGCCCGGACCGAGAGCGAGGTCCGCGGCAAGTTCCTCAGCGAGCTGTGCGACTGCGACATGTTCCGGCGCTGGATCTGCAACAAATGCCACCTCGAGGAGGAGCAGGAGTCAAAGGCCTACTACGCCAAGCACACTGACGAGTACGGCTGGATTATCGGGCCTCACTACGGGCCCTGTGACACAAAGACTGTCATAAACCGCCAAAACGCCATACAGGTGAGTCTCGCGTGGCGCTGGCCCTTGTAGGATGCCGCCACGCGGCAGCTAACCTCTTCGACCTAGCTGCTGTATTGCCCCTGCGGCGCCAACGTCCCTCCTGAGAGCCGCTTGAGATGCAGCTTATGCAAACGCCGCCATCTCCCCGAATGGGAATGGCGTCGCGAGATACTGGAGGGCGGCACTGGAATGCCGTGGTTTGACGATGTGAGTGGCCGGACTTTTATAGGACCCCCAATGACATTTGAATCCAACAGTCTCACTCTCGGGAGACCCTGGCTGATGCATGACTTGACAGGACCCAAACTACCCCCACTGGCTTCCGTATTTAGGCCTGCCGACAAAATACCCAGACCCATACCCACCGCTAGCCGACAAGGAAGTGCTGCGGCGAGCGTTCCAAATTGCCCGTACCGTGTGCAGCCGCGGTAGAATGTGAGCAAAAGAGTGCTTGTATTAGGAAGGAGAAAGGAAGATGGGCACAGCTTGGCCTAGATACCCTACAATTGTATCATGTGTTCGGATCTTTATGAGCTAATTAGATAGGCCACAGGTGGCTACTATGTGCACCACGTATGGATGCAGCCCAACGGCTTCTTCCGGCAGCCCACCCCTACCGTGGGAAGCGAGAACCCAAAGGTTTCCACCCATGACACTTTTGCCGTGTGCAAATAAAGGGTGAAAGGTGCAGACAATCACATGTCTCCTGCATGGCGCAACAGTGTGCTGTAAGCCTTCGCGGCGTGCGTTTCGTGGGCAAAAAGCTACGGTTATACTAAACCTTGACGCTTCCGGGTACTGGAGGAGATGGCCCGGCATATAATGCTCCGGCTGTGGCGTGCTGCTATTTAATATTTTTATATCCTGTTTCGTCTGCTCAAGAAGGGAGTTCTACGGTTAGATCTGCCTTTACCACCAAAGTGAAATGGCATAATTATCACCTTAAATGAACACAGTTAAGATGCTGTTTTGCAATTAGATGTCATGTTAATACACCATTGCAATCTTCTCGGAATGACGCTCATAACCAGGTTATTTTAATCTTCTGAGCATCCTTCTTCTCTTTTCCTTATTTCTCTCTTTAAAATTGAACTTGTGCAGTTGAAACCCCAACAGACACAGAGCATGCACCATCGCCAAAACTATTCCACAGTCAAGAACGAATGTAAGAATCACCACCTAAATACGTTTGTTCAAAAACAAGTAGGTGGAGAAGGATCAATGCAATGCTGCGAAATCAGATTCAGCCTCATGCCGGGGACCGAGTTGAACCACGGAGTGGCGAATTCCCCTGGCAGGGGTCAAGCGGCCTGGCCCGTTCCAGGGTACATACAGCATGCAAGATCTCGATCGATGCAGTGGCGTGAAGAAAAAGCAACGTTTACCGGGGATCTCTCGGACCAATTGAACACATCTGAGACAGGTCGGACCATTCTGGGATGAAAGCTGGATGACCAGCTTGATCTTGCTACCTGAGTTACCTAGGCAGTCAATTCGTATTTACATTTTGGGGCTTGCTAAAAGGCAGCCTGAGATGAAAGCCTTATCGGCGTGAAAGACGAAGAATCGTCGGGGCCGGTATGCCCAATGTTTTCTATACCGAGTCCAAAAATGAAAAATGGGAAACGTAGAGGGAGGGGTGTGCCCGTCGGTCATCCATCATGGAGAATGTGGAGGTAGAAAGACGGACAATGTTGCCCCTTGCTCCCCGCAGAAAGCAAAAAGAAAAGAAAAGAGAACGCTGGCCTACTGCCAACCCACCACGATGCGCGAGCATCAATGGACTTTTCTGTCTGAAACACCTGTAATTGTTGAGCCTGGTATTCGAACCATTCATGCCATCGTCAAGCAATTCATCAAGCCCGCATGCCAGCGAGCCGCTAACCAATAACCGGGAAAAGACCAAGAAAATATTCCAGACCGTCCCAACACCATGCGCCATGACTCCTTGCTGTTAAGACACCTCTAACACACTTCCAATGTACTGATCGACTGTGTAGTCCGTCTCCTCTTAGCGTCGGGACTCATGATCGATTGTTCATCAGAGCTGTCGGCCTCATCACCGTCAAAGCTGCTGTCACAGGTCACAAAGGGGTCATAGAATGACCTCTTCAGACTCGGGGCTGGCGGGGGGTAGTAGGCTTGTCGAGGGGGCTCCAGCAGCTCCTCCCAGAGAGCGATGTGGTCAGGATCGCCATATTTTGGGTAACCGGCAATCCTCTCACCGAGAGCCTTGGAGAGCCGTTCCTTCAACCCCAGAACAGGCCAAAACGGCACGCGGTGGTAAGTAATTCGGAGACCCTCCCCGGCCTTGTCGCTGTCTCTGGGAACGGGCGCTTTGTCCGGGTGCAGGAAGCGATTTAAAAAGGTTGAGGTGACAGTAGCCGTGTAGATGATGAAATTGGGGTCGATGGTGTTGGCGTCATCATGGGTTATAACCTGAACCTTGACATTGCGAAACTTTGGCGGCGGCATGCGGACTGGCTTCTGGCCGGCCGGGGAGTCCGACGACTCCTGAGAAGACTTTGCCGCCTTTGGGGGGCGGCGGTAAAAGTGTGCCTGTGCCATGCCGAGCAGGATCGCAGCAATGTAGGGGTCATGATCGATGTTAGCCGGGATCAGCATCTTGGAACGCAGACGCTGCAAACTGGCCACCGGCTCATTTGGGCCGCGGTCGGGTCCGCGGACGACTCGGAAGAGGCTCTTGCGGATCCCGGCGAGTTGGGACCGATTGATGTATGCTAAGAAGGGAGCATTGCCGGGATTATTCGCATCCTGGAAGCTGGAAGGAACCTTGCCGAAGGACGTGTATGGAATCGTCGTGGCCGAGTCAAACGACTTCTCCGTGCAGGATGCAGTTCGCCACACACATGGAACCCGGATCGCCTTCTTGTAGACACGTTGGCCGAAAAATAGATCGAGCTCTGCGTCAGTCTTGGCCCGCGAGAGTGTTTCAGGAAACAGCTTTGCCAGCACATGCTTGATGGAGCGGTTTTTGCAAAACGTCCGGGGCGATTTGTCTGGGCGAACCAGAATGTGCAGCTCCGAGGTGATTGCGCGTGCAAAAGAGGACGGCTCAAGCCACCTGTCCGGCACAAGGTCTGGAACAGGCGTGTCGATGACTGGACGTTCCACAAAATCCACGCCGAGAAGCTCATAATGGAGATCAGTCCAGCAGATGGGGAGGACATAGAGCGATGTGCCGGAATAGTCGTACATGATGTCGTAGAGCGAGCCGAGCTCGGGGCGCGTGTATGGTCGCTGGACAGATTGCCGCTTGGTGACCCGGGTGCTTGTCTGCGACGCGACATCGCCATTCTTGTCGCTGCCGTTTGCCTCGTTGGTGGTTTCGCTGTTGGTGGCATCGATGCTGGTGGCATCGCTGTTGGTGACATCGCTGTTGGTGGCATCGCTCTTGGTGGCATGATGCTTGGCGGCTTCGCCTTTTGCGACCTCGCTCTTGTCAAATAGTTCGCGACTCACCGCGCTGGGCGACGAGTCGTCGCGTGGGGCCGACATGCGAATAATTGTCCGCAGCTGGCCAAAGAGGTCGCTGCCGAAGAATGAGCTGAAGGAAGGTACGCGCGTGTTAGCGAATGCAGCCTCGCGGTAAACAAAGCGCTGATTGAGGACTCCTATCCACTCGATTTTGGCGACCAGGCGAGTGTGCACGCGCGACTTACTCAATAGTGAGCATCGAACGAGGATCTAGTCGCCTTGCGAGTTCTGGGGAGGGTGGCTTGTGTGTTTTGCACCGGACCGCTGGTCACGTCACGGGAGGGCCCCTGCAGCAACAGACGAACCCAGAAATGGGGAGCGGGGGTGCGCGACTTCCCCAGACCGCGCGAAGTGGTAAAAAGGTGGGCAAAAGAGACAAACCTTTGCCAAAAATGCAGTGAAGGCACAGATTTCGTCCAAAATCGAGAATTGAGAGGTCTCTGTCAGACGTTCGCTGCGCAGGTTGAGGCCGGTCTCTCACTCGGGTTTTGGAGAGTTGAGAGAGGGCTGGGCAGAGACGGCTGGGTTTAAGGAAACGCGACTGAAGAGGGAAAGAGCGAGGGTGCGAGCGAGGCCCCCTCAATCGAGGGGGGCGACTGGAATCGGGCCAACCGAAGCGCTTTCTGCCGAGCGCAGGAATCGCGCTAGCACACGAGCTCCCGTGACAGCAATGCCCGGGCTAGGCTCCAACGAGAAATGCCGCCCAAGCCACACACCCTCTCTCAAAGGCTCGCACAAACCTGAAATCGTCAATGCAAAACCGGCTGCACGCGAAAGTCAACGTGTTTCGCAGACAGCAAGCAAGCAATCTGCAAACTTGTAATTACGTATAGAGACAACGGGCACACCGCTTCGCCTTATAGACACAGGGCAAGGAAAATGCAAAGGCCTCCAAGAAATGTGACGAGCGCCTGGCCGCATCGGATCGTTTTCAAGTTGTGCGGCGTTGGGCGTGGCGGCTGGCGTCACCATCGTGGGCCGTGGGGTGCTTGGCCGGTTTTAGCCGGCCGTCAGGCTTCAGTCAGCCAATGAAGACGCTTGGGCCACCTCAGATGCGGCGGCTGCCTCGATGACTGTTCCTTAGAGTTCCTGCCTCAGGCTTAAATTTGGGAGCTTGGGCAGGCTCGGCGCTAGTGTAAAACGGGGGAGGGCCAGGCAAGCGAACCCCGCAAGGATGCGTACAATCGACTGGGACTCGGTAGCGCATCGGCAGGACAGCGACCGCAACCGATGACCTAGAGGCATCCTACGCCGACGCTATTCCCACGCATTGACAGGTTCGCCAGGAGTTAGCTAGCCAGCCTGCCGCCTACCCACGATGCCGGTAAGTTTGATGTCATCCGCGCGGCGTAGCTAGGCTCGGTGGCCAGCAGCGCGGCCTGTCGCGAGTCCTCGTCCCTTTTCTGCCTCGCCCTCCAAAATGAACAATGGCCTCTTGTGACTAACCTGCCTCCGCCCCTCCCCCAACCTGGGAGGGCGGCTCTGCTCCAGGCCTACAACTCGGTCTTCAACGCAGACCCCCACCAGCCGCGGCTGGTTGGGAACTTCCCGCTGATGCCTCTGCGCACCAAGGTGCGCGGGCCCGTATACGCGCTGCCCTTCCCGGACACGCCGCTGCCGGCCGGCGAGTCGCCCGACGAGGACTCGGAGAGCTACGACATCCTCGACGAGGTGCTGCAAAAGTTCCGCGCCAACACCTTCTTCCGCAACTTTGAGATCCAGGGCCCCGCCGACCGCCTGCTCATCTACGGCATCTGGTTCGTCTCGGACTGCCTGGCCAAGATCAAGCCCTCGGCCGGCGTGCGTGATGCCACCAAAGACGTCACGAACCTCGCCCTCGACCTCAACTTTGCCCTCCCCGGCGACCCCGCCTGGCCGTTAAACCAGGTAAGACAGAAAGGCAGGCTGATTTCTATGAAGAGGGGTTCGGCTGCTGACACGGCGCCCACGCCTGCTAGATGTATGAACCACCCCGCGACAGGCAAGACGCAGAGATTCTACGGCAATACATGTCACAGGTGAGGCAGGAGTTGGCGACGAGGTTACTGGCACGCGTATATGAGGAGGACGGCGACGGCAAGCCGAGCAAGTGGTGGCTGAGCTTCACGAAGCGGAAATTCATGGGCAAGGGTCTGTGAAGTGAAGACCGGACAGCTATGCGTTAGAAGCAAAAACACTGGGAGGGTAGACACTTTTTTTTTTTTTTTTTTTAAAAAAAAAAAAAAAAAGAGGAATTAAGGCGAGATATCCGCATCTTCCTTGCAGCTAAAAGCCAGATCGTGGCGTGCTGTGAACAATAGCTGGGCCCCTCTATTATCTGTACAATGGTATCTAATCTCGTCTATGATGCAGAGGGAAGAGCTCCACGCCAGTGTCTAAGCCTAGCGTCCCCGTTCAGCTCGTGTTTAAAGACTCGTTTAAGCCGGGGTCTCAGCCGCCTCCGACTGCGGTGCAGAGTCGTCCTCGAGCTTCCTCCGCTTGAACTTGCCCTTGGCGGCGACCTTCCCCTCGGCCGGCTTCGCCTTCCATCCCGTAAATATAAACCCGTCGGATCCGCCACGCTCCGTCATAAGCGGATGTGTTCTTCCCGGCAATACTTGCCACCGGCGGGCCCGGCTGGTCTGGATTGACGTGCCCAGCAATAGCGTCGGGTTGAGCGGGAACTGCTCGGTGCCGGCCCAGTGCTCCAGCTCCTCGTTGGACTTGTCGGCGATTTCGGGCACGGCGCCGCTCGTCCAGGCTGTCCGGCGGTTCACGCTGAAGCAGTCCACCAGGGCCGTCAGGGGCTCGATGGTGGGCGAGTAGATGGAAACGGGCGCGCCACCGGCTAGGAGCGGGAGGGCGTGCTTCATGATGCTGATCGGGTCCATGGTGCTGGCGCACACCAGGCCCGAAAAGTTCCCTGCTCGTGCCGTGTCGACGATGTGGCGGATCCGCGCGTACCTTCTCCTCTTGCGGTGGAAGTTGCCTCTCCGGCTCGGCTTCCATGAGCTGAGCGTTTCGGACGAGGCGGTCAGGGGCGGGGTGGAGTACGATGTGTCTAGCTCCGGCTTGAGCAGCTGAAGCCAGGTGAGAGTCAGGAGGTGGTTGAGGAGAGGGTGTGGCGGGTGGTTGGGTGATGTGACGTCGAAGCCCCAGTAATTGAGGAACGACAGGTTCGGCTGGCTTGCTCCGTGGACGACAGTGATGGTATTTGTCTGCGAAAAGGGTATGGCAAAGTCAGAGGCGCGAGGCCTGTGGTGCTTCGGCTTCGCATCTGCTCTTGGCTTCTGGTCTTCGTCTTGCGCATCCGCCATCTCTGTGTCGCTGCCCTGATGTGTTGTCTCTTTGGACTCTTCGTCGCCATCCACCACCTCCTTTTTGATATTCTCATCGGTAGGTGCCGAGTCTTTCGCTGTCTCGGCACCGTCTGTGGCTTTATCTTCGGACTTTTCGTCCGCCTCGTCGTCGCTATCAGTCTCTTCCGGGGAGAGCACGCCCATCCTCTCGGCCAGCGCAGCGACCAACAGCCCGCAAGTGTCGTCCACCACCAACCATCTTCCTTTCAACAGCTGCTCCTGGACGACGGGGCATGCCTCGTGTCCCTGCTCGCTCGTCGCTTTTGGGTCATCTAGATAGACGTCCTCGCCCCCGTAGTGAACATTACCCCAGCAACCCACAAGACCCATCATCTCGGCCCGTAAATCCAATATTCTACTAGCGTCTCTCTCCTCTAATTGCCACGTCGAAAAATTCGGCACGTCAATCGGCAGCACTTGGAATCGCCGGATGTACTTTTTCGTCTTCAGCAGCTTGTACTTGGCCAAGCTGAAACTTGTTTTTTGGTCCAGCGCCGTGTGTGAGAGCAGCAGCTTGGCAATAACATCCTTGCCTGCGTTGTTGCCGTCCCGCTTCAACTCCTCAATCTCCTCCTGCGTTAATGTTTGCCGCGCGCTATCGTCGATCGCCTCGTTGTTTGACCGCACCACAACTTTCCCACTGTCAGCATCGACAAGGCTGAACTCGTCGCCATCGGCGGCAGTTATGACGGCCTCGGTGGTGCCAGGTGCCGGAGTCGAGCAGGAAGGTGCTTCCTCGTCGGCGAAGACTTCAGCGTAGAGTTCGGACGGCGGAACGGCTCGGAGACGCGAGAAGGTCTCGCCAGGGCGCTTGTCCTCAAGCTCGAAAGTGAGGTGGTATGGTCGTCCCAGAATCAAGTTGGCTGGAAAGGCGCCATGCTTGCCGAGCGAGATTGTTCTGTTCGAGAGCTGTTAGCGCGCTGGAAGCAGTCTCCTAGGGGTACCAGAAGGCGCGTTCGGAAGGAAGGCACGAACGTGTTTGGGGCTACTTGGAGCACCCGAGTGATGCCTGATGGAAGCTTCACCGCGACCCAGGCGTTTGGGCGGATTATTGAATGCATCTTTGCTTAGACAGACCAAGCTATCACGAGAAGGACGGCGTGTTTGCTGGGATGAACCACAGCCTCGAGATTTTAAAAAGTTTGCGCCGCGGCAAGGAAGGCTAGGTTGAATGCGGGGTGCGGGGTGGGTTCCAGTGAGGGGACCTTGACGGGTAAGGGATTCGTACCCCATCTCACTAAACCGCGAGCCGAGCCAGTCCCTCGGGGCCGTCATAGAACTTGCCAATGTTCTTTGCATGTTCCTCGTTGCTGGAGGTTGGGGCTTTGAAGGACAGAATGAACTAACTACCAGCATGGTCTTGAAAGCTATGAATAAGGGGAGGGGCCCGTCTTTTCGAGGTGGGTAGTCCAGAATACGTAATTACAATCTGGCCACCCGAACCCCGCCAACCTCTCAACCTCTCTTGAGCAGCTCACTCCGAGTTCCGCCAGCCGGGAGCAGATTGAGCTTCCGCTGCGAGACTTGACTGCGGGGTTCTGCATGTGCTTTGTCACTACAAACTCTTCAATTATTAATGGCGTCCAAAATCGCGTCATTTTTGACATGACTCGCTCGTTCGGACGAGATGTTGGCCAAGACGGGGAGGCCTATCTAGTATATGGGGCGCCTCAGCATTCCCCGGTTCATTGCTCCATTGCCAGCTCTCAACGTCTACAGTTCATTCGTGCCGAGATTTGAAAGCGTCTCTCGTCAGCCCAAGAGAAACATGGCAGAAAAGGTAGGCCGCACCCGTGTTAAACTTGCAGGTGTGCACCCTGTGAGGGGCGACTGACATTGAACCAACTCAGTCGGTTTACAAGGACGGGAGTTTTAATCGCGCGCCCAGCTCGTTTCGCAACTTTATCTCGGCGGATCCAAACTCTCGGTTCCCGGCAGAGAAAGGACGATATGCGCTGTATCTCTCGCCACTCTGCCCATGGGTGAGACGCGACAGCCTACCTGAAATGTTTGCTCTCAAACTGACAACGTTGCCCTGATTAGGCCCACAGGACGATAATTGTCCGCGCCATCAAGGGTCTGGAGGACATTGTAGATCTGTATGAGGTCGATGGTGGCTCAGAGGGATGGTACTTCACCGGCGAGGGCAGGGTTCTCGCGGCGGACCCCCTCTACGGCCTCGAGAGCATACGGGACCTCTACAAGAAAGTCAACCCGGACTTCCCGGGGCGGTTCACGGTGCCGGTTCTGTGGGACAAGAAAACACATACCATTGTCAACAACGAGAGCTCCGAGATCATCCGCATGTTCAGCAGCGCCTTCGACCACCTGATTCCGGAGCCCCTCCGAGAATCGAACCGGCCGGGCGGCGGGCTCTACCCGGAGCCCCTGCGGGCGCAGATCGACGAACTCAACGAGTGGGTCTACGACAAGATCAACAACGGCGTGTACAAGGTCGGCTTTTCGCCGGCGCAGGAATCGTACGAGGCGAACCTGTACCCGCTCTTCGACGCGCTCGACCGCGTCGAGAGCATCCTGGCCGACGGCCGGCGGTTCCTCTTCGGCGAGCACCTGACCGAGGCCGACGTGCGGCTCTACACTACCATTGTCCGCTTTGACGTGGCCTATCACACCGTCTTCATGTGCAACCTCAAGTCCATCCGCCACGACTACCCGCACATCTATTTCTGGGCCCGCCGGCTGTACTGGGACGCTGACGAGGCCGGCGAGTTCAGGGCAGCGTTCAACAAGACCACGGCGCCAAACATCCACCGCTATAGCGAGGGATATGCCAAGACGCGCCACCACGTCGTCTTGGGGAAGCAGGGGCCGCTGATCGTTCCAAAGGGCCCCAAGGTGTTGATCGATCCTCTTTAACAGAGAAGGGGTGTCTGCAACGGTGCTCTCTGGAAAGTCTCTCTGGCATTTGATTTCTTTTCTCTGCTTTTCATACCCTACCCTTTTCCTGCTCTGTACCCTCCTCTGCTCTTTCTTTCTATTCCTGCTCTACGGCTCATGATGATAGTTTACTCTCGAGTTTGTTGACCCTGCGTGTTGACCTGCGGTCTTCAATTAAGTGGGCTGCGTCAGGGGTCTCTTGGTAATGTATTTCATCGTGTAATTCCTGGGAAACTAGGAACCAATGAATTACTATTCCGGAACTAAAGTCGTAAAGTGGCATTGATACAGAGCCATCGTATATGGGTTAATATTTTCAAAACAATAACGTTATATTAATTATTTATTAATTAAATACGCAGCCCTCGCCCATGCACACACAACTGACCTGGCAGAAACTCAGGACGGCTTTCGGGCATTGTATTGCAAGTCGCTCTGATTCGTTTATGGTCTTGCACACACAGCCTCAGCATCCAGGCCTTCGTTAATTACAGGCGAAAAATTGCCGAGCGTTTCTTCCCCGGACAATACTGAGAAACAGAGATCGTTTCCGTAAAGGTTCACAAATCGTTCCCTCTTCATCTCGAACAGAATATTGATGCGGGAGGACATCAAACAATATCTCTCTCTTGTGGAAGCTAAACTGGAGCTCAAAGAGAGGGACGGGACCTCTAGTTTATGGCCGCATTGCTATGGATGTTTCGATATCGCCACTGTTCGGACCCTCTAGACATGTTGTATTCGTTGCTTCGGCTTGTGGATACAAATTGGGTATCTGAAGCGCCTCCCCATGACGATAACACAACTCCAAGTAATTTGGAACAATCCAAGCTCACCATCAATTACGAGGCGACAGTAGAGGATGCCTACGCCGCATCGTTGAGTGCGCCATCTACAAAACACATTCCCTGAACATCACCTGCGCATCTCAGCATCCAAGCCAGTTCGCCAGGTCTTAGGTCCCGGACTGGTCGTAGCACTGGCAGCGGTACAGCCTCCCCGGTCCGACCATGTATAAGAAGTCATTTAAACAAGTTAGCGCGGATTTTGTCGAGATATACTCTGCGCCGGCCTTGAGGCCTGCAACATTCTCCTTCAGGCAGGATCAAGCCACTCTCCGTGTCCAAGGTGTCCGGTGCGACCAGGTACACAGCTTATTCAACATACCACCGTTTCCGCCGCAGACACCACAAGCGAGTATCTCTTGGGTGCGAGAGACATTCGACGCGCTTGTGCTCCGAGCACGAGAAAGTCTTGAGAAAAGATACCCACTACTTGGTCGAACTAGCGCATTTTGCCATGCCTTGGAGAGAGATCCAGCTGATAGACCCCGAACTCGCGGCGACAGCTACCTTTTCTATATTGCCGCAAGCCCTCAGTGGCATGAGTATGGTTTATCATTCGGTACTGGAGAACGACTCAACGAAGCAGAGTCAGACCACGACATTAGGATGCACCAAGTGGGTTATCGAAGGGAATTCTTCATTGGCGATAGCGGATACATGGTCTAGTGCCGGACAATGCGCAGGTTGGGGATATTGTGTGTGTTGTATTTGGCTGCGACGTTCCGGTTTTGCTTCGAAACTTGAACGAGGATTGATTCGCTTCTGTGGGAGAGTCTTATGCTGAAGGCTTGATTCATGGAGAAGCTATCGAGTCTTTGGAAGAGGGCGATTTAGTTTCCTCTGAGTTTGAGCTTGTTTAGCCAGCTGTTGACTTCGCGCGACATCCCGAGATTGAAGGTTATTCTGTCTCTTTTCTTCTCTTACGCTTATAAGTCGAAGACTTAACCTCCCTGCGGATACTCGTTAGTATTACGTAGCTGGTCTGAGCCAAATCCTGCCCACACCAAGGCGAATTTCCTGACATAATTGAACGGATGGAAGCCCCGAGCAAGAAGAGGTATAAAAGAGTTGACAGACTGCTAAATTGGCTGTGTAATTTATCTTCCTTTCTTCATGCAAGCTAAGGTAGCCAACAGGGATCTAATGCATCAATTGACATAACCTCTGACAATACTAGATACTAGACACCGTATAACCCCAAGCTTTCTTGCTTACTATATTTCACGGTATATTCTACCAAAGGGAAGCGGAGCAACTGTAGAAATCAACCCGTAATAACCTCTTAAGATGCAGTAACCCGGAAAACACTTCCACTGATTCCAAAGGCGTCGAGTAGCTTCTGTGGCCCCTGGGACTAGCTGAGAACCGGCAATCTTGTTGTGGCAGCGAGCTTTCCCCGCCCCCTATTTCGCGAATGGTGTGCGACATCCCCGAAAATATTCCTGAATCCCTCACCCGCTTGCAGAGATACTCCACGTCGATTTCGAGTGTGGAAATGTAAATACCCTCGTCCGGTCTCAAGATCTAGCACCAACAGTACCTCGGTCTGGCTCTCACTTCTACGCGCCACGGTTGCTGACCTCACTGACATATCCCCACTGGGGGAACACGCTCGACAGGCCCTAAGGAATTTGTGCCCCGTATATGCCAATGGCCTTCTGGTCACATGCTGCGGCTCGAAGTGACAGGCTAGCTTGTGACTTCTTCGGGTGCGCGTGTCTCTGTGGCTGGAGCTTTGGATGTATTTGGGCTAGGTACGCGCCGATAAGATCCAGCCCGGACTTGACTCTGTCACTAGATGTGTTCGTGCTGGCGACCACGGCAGAAAAGGTCTTGTCATCACTCTCCCGGTCGTCTTTTGGCAGGCCTTGGTCGTCTTTTGGCAGGCCTTGGTCATCTTTTGGCAGGCCTTAGTCGTCTTTTGGCAAGCCTTGCAAGACCTGTCATTGCTTGTGACGGCCCTCAACACCGGGAATAGACTATGCACCCCGTCAAAGTCCATCTTCTCCATTGCCTTGCGCTCCACATGCGCGGGATATAGGTCCGACATTTTTTCCACATGGTATGTACCTTAGTTGTCCTCGTTTGTGTTTTGTCGTCTTGTTGGGGTGGTGGAGTTTAGAGGTATACATAAACAAAAAAAACACGAAAGGGCAAAAATGAGGCTGAGCATCTGAGACTAATTAATTCGTTCGGCGTGCACTAGAGAAGCATCCAGCTCCTTGCGTGAGGACCTACCCAGCAAACCATTTTTCATTATTTATCATTACCACCTTTACCTAAACCTATTATTATGTTAATTTATCAGGATACCAAGTAGCTCCTTACCTTATTAAGCAATGCATTTATATTACATTTCCTGTATCGGTCGTACTTATTCAATTTCTCTTCTCTTCTCTCTTTTCTGTTGCTACGGTCAACGGTTAACGGTGTACTTGGCACCTTGATTGAATTTATGAGTTGTTCGAAATGAACTCGCCGCGAGGGTTAGGTACAGTTGTGAATCAACATTGGATTTCTTCAAACCGCAGTACCTAGTTCGCTTATTCTCGTCTCCGAGCGGGTTGTTTCAGGTCATTGATTTTGATCGAATGGGGTCACAATCACTCTAGGATTGCCATGAAATCACCCCACGTTTTACTTGGCAACCAGCATCAGGCCAGCTTGGCGGACTTCGGTCAGGCAGCACTCCCGGATCCTGATGCGGCGCATCATCTGCTAACACTGCTAGGATTCTAGTCTAGATATGGACTCAATTATTTCTCAGGAATAAATCTCCTTTGCTGACCCGTTTCTGAGGTCATATTCCCCAGGCCAACAGACCGACTACGAACTGGTGATCGCAGCACCCCTTTACCTTTTGTTTTCGAGGTGAGGCGGTTGAGGCAGAGGGTCGAGATAACGTGACAAGCCACCCAGTAGCGTGTTTTTAACAAATTTATTTCTGGGGCGACGGCGGAAAGGCGGGACGCGATTCGGAGCCTCTGCTGCGTCCGTCCAGGATAACAAGCTTCATATAAATATCCTGGAATAACCTTTCACACTCACTCATTGCCAAATCACTCCTCAATTCGAACTGATTACTTCCCAGAAACTCGCCACAACATGTCGGAAACGGCCACACGCCCAGACGATGAGGGCCGTCGTGTGGGAGTGCACGCCGTTGGGGTGGCAGTTTGCGACGTGCCCAAGCCGACGATCCGGTTGCTGAGGACACCATCATGCGGGATGATGACGGCCGGGGTTTGCGGGTCTGATGTGTACATAGACCGCAGCTTCTTTGGCAGTTCGACGCCGCCGTGGGGCCTGAGCGAAGAAGTCGTCGGGATCATGGCCGCGGTCGGCGGCGCCACGGAGCCGTTCAAGGTCGGCGACGGGGTGCTCGTGCCCTGCTCGACTGGCACGACTCATTTTGCTAATGCATAATAGCTGCTGACACCCGCTTTCCCTTTAATGGACGTGGACCCGACTTTTCTGACCTGGGTCGGTGTCAAGATGAGTGGCTTGCCATCAAATGGCGCCGGCGACGACACCGGCGGCACCGAGGAGGCAAAGCAGGACGAGGCTAGTGGCCTAGGTAAATCCCCGACTAATTAATAGCCATAAAGATGCAACGGCGCCGTTGAGATAGAGAAACCTGCCAGTGTGAGTGTCACCTTAGCATACGGCCTTGGTAGCGGGCCGACCAGCGGTTTATTTGTGCGCATTGCTGATCTGACAACATGCGTCCTAGGCACCGGCGATTGTTCCGACCATGCGAGGGGTGGGTGGGACCATGGGCCGGGCCGAAAGATTAACGCTCAGACAGCTTCCTTGTTGCTTCTCTTGCTCTGTTGAGTCTGTTTAGCGAGTGTTGCCTAGAGTTACTGATTTCAAATAGGTTAGTGCGTAATGAGCTGTGCAAAAGACAAGATGCCATAAGGTGACAAGGGCAATTGGACAGAATCGAAACTCGAATCAATCGTTTAATTATTCTCAATGAATTCACCTATATTCTGTCGGATTTGCGCACTTGGTTGGGTATCGCCGTGTTTTGATTTGGGTATCCGTAGAAAGGGAGAATTGCTGAGGGTTGCAGGGAGTTGAAGAGTTCTGTTTGCCCAGACCTTGCCACTCAAAATCCCCAATCTCGCACCAACGGAATTAAAAGGCTTGATTTCTGTTTGGCAGACCGGGGGCGTTTGAATGTGGCGGATAACATTGGCTCTTTGGATTATTAAACCAAAAACAGGCCAGCCTCGTGTTTGTCATTGCGTTCACTAGCTCAACTTGGCGTTTGTTTCACGCGCCCTGCTGCAATGGGCCAACTCATGACTCGAGGCGCGAGGCAGGTGCGGATGCTGACAGCCAAGCCCTTGGTTTTGTCAACGCCAAGCACAAGTCAGTGATGATGCGAGACGGAAATCCACAGAGCCAAGCCGGTGCCAAGAGCTCCCAAGAGCCTTGGAACTCCCAAACACTCAAAGCCAAGGCTCGGCGATAGCACACCGTCGGAACCTCCCAGCTGCGATTTATTCCTGCCCTTTCCCATTCTTTCAATCGTCCCCGTCCACCTCCATTTTTTTCCCATCCACCGCATCGTCGCCAAACAACGCCACCACGAGCTGCCCGCGCCTTTGCAGCACCCATCTCGCCCATTTCCCTGTCGCCCCGACTCCACGCCAAGATAATTACATGAAACGTGAACCCTGCTGCCGCGCCAGGCCGAATGAGCAGCAACCGCAGCACCGCAACCCGCCTACCAACCCACGCCGTCTGGAGCGACGATGGAGCCTGGGGAAGCAGAAGACCCTGAAGACCACAGGATCGATCGGCGGCGGCAGCGGCAGCGGCAGCAGCAAGCGCAGGCGACATGCGCGGGTACGCAGCAGCAGCGGCAGCGCGCCACAAAGTCGTGGCTCACGGCGCGGACGGTCCTCGAGGGCTTTTCTGCCCTGATCTCAATAGCCCTGCTGGGTCTGGGCATCAAAATGGCGGCGTCGTACGACACGGCGCCGCTGATCCATGTATCGGTTGCCTTTGTCGGGTTCGCGGTAAGTTGTTCAGAGCCGAGACTGAAACCGATCCGCGAATGACGGGCCAGGCCCGAATAGACCCTCTCCCCTTTTTCAATCGCACTTGCACCTGTCATTTCAACTCAAACCGAGTTGCTGAAAGAACCGGGCTAATCAGACCACGACGGAACCAGGCGGCGGCATCCATCGCATGGCCGTGCCTCGAGTTCAGCACCATGTGGCTGCGCCGCGACCACCGGGGCATCTACCCGGGCGCGCACGTCGGCGTGCACATCTGCCTGTTCCTGGCGAGCGTGGCCGTCATCGGCTACGTGTGCCTGTGGGTCTCGGAGGGCGACCACTGGAAGTACGTCGTCGTCCACGGCCAGAACATGGAGTACTCGCCGCTCTACCACATGGGCATCGCCGCCATGGCGCTTGCCGTGGTCCTGTTGTACGTTTTTTGTCTCGTTTGTTTTTCCCTCTGAACCTCTCAAACATTCAAACACCGCCATACGACGAATGCGCAGCGTCCTAACTAGCCCCGGACAGCCTGATACACTTCATCCTGTCCATCCTCGCGTGCCGAGAAATCAGACGGAAGGACTACGCGGACGAGACGTTTGTGACGGTCGTCGTGCGCTACGACGGCGTCGGCCCCGAGGGGACCGCCCGGCCGCGGGGCTACCACGTGTCCCCGGCGGCCATCAACCTGCCGGCGTACGCGGCCAGAGAGACGTCCACTACCAGCCTGGCGCCGGCGCCGGCAGTCATCCCCACGGGGGACCTCGGGAGGGTTGACGTGAGCGAAGAGTTTGCCGTCTACGAAACGCGGTCTGAGAACCCAGAGAAGCCGGGCCGGTCTGGGCTGAGGTAGTAGGTAAGGTAGTATACCCTAGAGGTTGTGGGCTTGTGACGAAGGGGCGCGGCGGTCAAGCGTCAGCTCTGTATTATTCTACGTATCTAATGGGCTGGCTTGGGATGGGAGGTTAAGGTCTAGCACGGAGTCAGGGGCATTGGTAGCGGATCTTGAGTCGTTTTGTTTTGTTTTGAGAGCATATATACCAAAAAGTTTACCTCCCCCTTGAGAAGCACAAAATCCCGAGTGCTGGAAACGTCTTGCTCTTGGCGACACCTTCGGCCGCCCAGCCCAGAAAAGAGAACCCCTGAAAAAAATCTCGCCGGCCTTGATTACACGCGATGCCAGTTCTCCTTGATCACGTCGACGATGACGCCGTGGTCCTGGGCCTGCTTGAGCCCGCTGACGACGACGACGGCCACGACGCCCTCGACGCCGCGGACGCGGATGGGGACGGCGCCGCCATGGATCGCGTACTGGCTAGCCTGCTCGGCGCTCATGCCGAACTTGAGCCGGAACGCCTCCTCGTCGCCGCCGTACTTGCAGTGCAGGTACCACGTGCTGCAGTCCCAGCGGAGCACGCTGTTCCGCTTCCGCTTGACCCACGTCTCGTTGTCCGGCGCCGTGCCCGGGCCACTGACGCACTGGAACACGACCTGGCTGCTGTTGGCCAGCGAGATGGAGATGAGCGTCGGCGTGCCGGCCAGTAGTGCTAGCCGCGCATGGAGCAGGTGGCCAAGCTCCCACGCGTCGTCAGAGGTGAACGCGTCGAACGTGAACGAGTCGCAGTCTTTTTTGATCTCGTCGAGCTGCCGAACAATGTTAACGAAGGGTTCGGCACAAGTCTGGGCCGCTGCCTCGCTCCATGGGAAAACCCACGTTGGATGGCGGGATGTTGATGGGGATTGGAGTCGCGTCTCGCGCTTCTTTGCTGCTGAGCATAGATCCGACGCAAGTGCTGTTTCGGGTGTAAACCGCCATGGCTTCGGTGCTTTGTGGTCAAGAGAGGGCCGCGGTGTTGCTCGTGTTACTGATCTCGAGGTGTCAGCCTCAGTCAACTGATGGATGCGAAGTAAACACTGCGGGGTTTGTTGGGGCAGAATTTGCAGGTCCGCAACGTAAGCCCCGTTTTCGTAACCGACGTCATGGAGCTGGTTCGCTCAACCGACATGCGCTTCCTCGCCACTGCCTGAGAGGCAATCCAGTGTTTATCGCAGGTCTCAATAAGTTCTTAATACAGCGCTAATCTTCTTGAACATATATGCATTCTATGGCCGAGCGTCTTTTATATTGGCGATACCATAGACCTTTGTTCGGACTAGCCATGGAAGATGACTCTGGCGGTGATGCATTGAGTCTTCTCAGTCTGGTGGCAATGATAAGGCGTAGAATAACAACGCTGGCGTGTTATGAAGAAGTGAATAAGGTAATATGATGAAGGTGGTGAATAAACCCGACGGGTAATAAAGGACGTAAAGCCAGGAGAACACTGGTTCTCCTGGAATTATAATAACGAAAACAGCGGGAGAATTAGGGGCGACTTGGCAAGACGCAGGAAAAGCGCGACCAAAAATACAAAGACGTCAACAACAGCAGAGGAGCGGAACGCATCTCCATCTAATAAGCCCCCGATCGCATATAGCTGGCTTAATCGGATGGCAGGATCTAGTATATCCGCGTGCAACTGGCTCTCGTGAGATTGGACTGCCTCTGTAAGCAACCAAGCCTCCAACGCAAAAGTTCATGGAGCTGGGAGGGGCCGGTGCATCGTGCTACAATTCGCGACAGTAGACTTCTTTCGTCGGCTTCATTCTCGTCGGAAACGGGTATGACAACGGGACGAAACCGGAACCAGAGCAGGCATTTCCTCAAATCGTTTGGCTGCGAGGTCAAGAGTACGGATGTACGGATGGATGTTGGAGACGTTGAAACATTGGTGTGCTATTTTCGGCCGCCCTGCAATTTTATTTAGTGCTGGTTGGTGCTTTAGGTGGAGGGAGAGTCCGGGTTGGGCGGGGGAAGACAGTGGACGATAGGGAGCTATCAGCAGACATTGTTTGCAATCGTGGAAATTGTTAGTGTCTTATCTGGAATCATGCGCGAAATCCTGGATTTCGGCTCTATCAGCAGGCCTGGCGTGGGGCGCTAGGCAGGATTCCCATTTGCAGCGCTAGTGGGGCTTGCGATCCAAGCTCTCGCTTCCGTCATCATCCCCAGCCTTCCATTCCTGGTCGGTCGCATCATCTTTCGTCTGCGGATGTCTGGTCTGTCTGTCAGCAAGTCCTACAGTATTAACCGATTGCTCCTGGCGGGCTGTTCGGTCTTTCCCATTCTCCAAGCATTCCCTTCTGCTGCCACACGTGCCGCCACTCGCTGTTTTCTGTTTTCGAGACTTCGACTTCTTTGTTTCCGGGTCGAAGCCTTCAAGGTTGACCAGGCTAGGCCGACGCCTGCACTGCACCGCATGATCCCGCTAATCCGACCCGGCCGTTGTTTGACGCAGTCTTGCACCACCCGCCTAAAGTCCGACCACGACCCTCGAGACTTTGGTCGCATGCCCACCCTCATGAACGAGACGTCCTTCAAACGGTCGGCTTGATCTACCCGCGAATTTATTTTATTTCGCATACTTATCGCCAATACCCCCAGCAAGACGCGATCTCCCTTCAAACACCCCACCACGAGCCGTTACAATGCGCCGACCGTCTTTGGACTTGGCCGAGCCTTCTCGGAACCTCGAGGAATCGGTCGGACCGCCGACTCCATCTACACCTCAGCCCGATGTCGACCTCTCCGTCATGCCGCCCGAGGAAGAGATAGACCTCATTGATGACGATGGCGATGGCGATGGCGGCGAGCCCAAGATCTTCACCCCGCCCCCACATATTGCCGCTCGCCTGTTTTACCGCCCAACAAACCAGACCCGCCGCAGAGACAGCGCCGCTTCGTCGCGCCGCAACAGCATCTCTTCCGTCCACTCCCGTTCGTCCCATGGCTGCAGTCGCAATGTTGGTCCCCAGAGCAAGTATGTTGCCCAACACCTCCGCCGAGCTTCCATCCTTGAGGACCGAAAAGCACGACTTGCCGACCGCGCAGCCCACGCCGAAAAGGTGCGCCTGAGGGCAGCATCCGCAAAGGCTGCCACCAAAGACATAAGCGCTAGCGAGGAGAGAGCCCTGGCTGCGGCCCAGGCACGAGAGCGCAACCTCGCCGAGATTGCCGCTGCCTGCGCCGAGGAGGTCAAGAGGGCCAAGGCCATCGCGGAGAACATGAAAGAGAAGCGCGAGCAGGACATCCGCAAGATGAAGCTCAACATGGAAGAGCGACTTGCCGAGGCCGAAAGGAGGAGGGAGGAGCTCCGCAGCCGGACGGCTGCCAAGGGCCGCGTGAGAGAACGAGGACAGAGTATTGTGGCGCGGAAGCCCACCCTCGTCGAAGTCATGCCCGAAGTCAGGGAAGTCAAGGAGCGCGAGTCCACCCCCGTCTCCGAAGACGTTGCCGTCGCCAGGATACAGTGGTGGTGGAGGTCGGTGAAGAGAAAGCAGACCGTTGCCGAGTTCGGCGCCCTCGGGCTGTCTATCGACACCGTCCGCGCCGCTTCTTTCGACCAGATCACGTTGCTGCTTTCACAAGACAAGGTGCTGGGGTCGACTACCCGCCTGCTTCGTATTTGCGGTCTGAACGTGGGCGAGACTTGGTCCGCGGACGAGATGGCAGTAGTGCGCTCTTTCCTCAGCGCTTTTCTTATCCTCAGCCACCCGTCCCAAGTTCTTAGCAACAAGGAGGGAAAGGGAGAACTGGAGCAGGTTGGATCGACCCCGGTTAGGCCGATACCCCGGGATGATCTAGCTAATCCGCGGTCGCAGGAGTTGGTGGGCAAGGCCAGAGATTTGCTGATCTCGTTCGAGAACATCTTGGGGCGGCTGACGTTGTCGAACAACTTCACTCCTCCCCCGGTGCTCTGCAAGTCCTTCACAGAGGTCTACGCTAGCTACTACAATGCTTTCATCGCTTGGAAGGCCCGCGACTCGAACTCGCTGGTGGAGTTGATGGTTATGCAGTTCGTCGAGCTTGACGCTATCTGGGAGTCCGTGAAGGACAGTACGGACGGATCGGTCGACCAGGTATACAAGGAGAGCATTCGCAACAACCAGCTTATCCTGCTGGTCCGAATCAAGAAGCTTGCGGGCCCGGTAAGGGGAAAGCAGATGGTCACCAACGCCGTGAAAGCAGCTCGCAAGGCCAAGGCAAAGAAGCGCACGGGAGACACCAAACCTCGCATTGCGGAGCACTCGACCACCGAGACGGCCATGGGAGCTCTTACCGACGACAGTCACGAATATGAGCCCGGGACACAACACCTGACCCCTCCCTCTACTCCTGACAAGAAGCCCAAGCCATTCAAGGTCAATGTTATGGTGCCCAACTCCAAAAGCCTCCTTCCAGATAACAGGATTGTTGTGCACGAGCTTGCCATCAACAAAGAGTTCCGTACAGAGCCCCACGAGTACCACGAACAGCAGGCTCAATTCCTAGCCCCCCTATTTGAACAGATGAGGTCGACAATGCAAGCTGACGACCAAGAAGCACACTTTTTCCTCCTGCTCAAGGTTGCCGATTCCATCAGAGAGAAACTTCAGCGCTTGGTCAGCTCTGGAAGCTCGATGCATAACTTCATTGGCGAGTTGCTCAGTACCGACATTGCGCGGCGTCAGTTTACCATGGGGAGCTTCTCTTATGAGAAGTTCTTTCAGGCGATGGGCTCTCTGCTTCCCAAGCTTTGCGCGCCGGTTCGAGACGACGAGGTCAAAAGACTGATCGACGAGAACCTCAGCCAAGGCAACTACGTTGACCGACTCGAGGCACTGAACGGGTTTATCGACGTCATGCTCAGCGACTATGCGAATTACTTGTTGCAACTCGCCGCGCCGAGGCTCATCGATGAAGCCTCAACCTACGAGGCAAAAGCGTTCGCGGCTGGTGTAAAGTCTGGAAAACATGACCTGTCTGCCGCGACGGCAGCTTGGCGCACTGCACGGCAGAAGCTGCTACAGGAGGCAGCAAGACGCGACCCTGAGCGCATCAATCTCGCAGCCTCCCGTCCCACAGCAAATCGTATTTACACGCAGATGCTCGTGGACATGTTCACGCATTTCACGCCAGTTTCGGCCCAAGAAACCCCCGAGATGCTCCTCCTCGACCACAAACGCGCCCTCGAGGCCGGCCGGTTGTCCAGGAGGATCGTCACGACCGGCGCTATCCTGCTTCAATCCAAAAATCTCCTGAAGCGCGACGTCCGCTCACCGTGGAAGCTCGAGGCAGACCGTATCATGGCCGTGCTCGAGAAGAGCGAAGCACAGCCAGACACACCGCTCGACGTCGTCGTGGAAGGCATCTTGGCGGCACTTGAGTCGGGGCGGTCTATGCCTGCGGCGACCAAACTCCACCTCAAAGCCCTCGTCACAAAGTTTGCGGCTGCTGGCGCCGAAGCTACGACGAGGCAAGATCCCGACCCTCGCGACCCCGTATTGCGTCTTCTTCTGAACCGTCTCCGAGGCTACATTGTGGCGCGTCTGGCCGCTGCTTCTGCTAGCGAGAAGGTCAAGGCCACTATCGCCGCCGGAGAGAAGCTCGCAAGCCTCGGTCTCGCCGAGTTCGTGGAGAAGGTTCGCGACATGGTGGACATGATGGGCAAGGTGTCCTCTGTTGACCGCAATGCCCATAGCCTATGGTGGGACCAAGTTGCAGAGGGCATCGAGGGTGAGGACAGCCCCTCAGCTGCGTCGGGACTGGCATCGCCTGCTCCATAGGAGACCGGATGCAGGTGTCCACGAGCGGAGATGCTGGGATGCTAAGCATGGCTCTACGCGGTTTATCTTTTCGTTTCTTTTCCCGTTTCTTCTTCCGTTTCTTCTCCCGTTTCTTCTCCCGTTTGGAATGAACATGAATGGTGGATGGGATAGGCGTGGCACTTAGGGGCATGTGACGGCATCATACCCGTTGGTTTTGGCTTTGGTTCGATTTACTTTCTTCCTTCTCTACTTACTCACGACTTCTATTTGGCTTTTGCTTTTGCATCGAGCGACTTCTTGCCACCTGCTCTTTGGGCGTTCAGCGGATTGAAGGGGATCATATTGGGCAATATACATACTGGCTGCCTTTAGGGCATTTACCACACGGCCATGGGAGGCGGAATACGGGCGTAACGCACTACTGTTTTAAATGGTTCATGTCGGGCGGCGACAGGCGAAGCCCGAATATAGGCTGCCTGCTATCATTACTTTGCACAGAACATATATTGGCATGTTATCATGGCCGCGTAACTGCTTATTTTTTGCTGTCTCTTCTCCAACCAAGTGCTCAGAGCGAGAGGCGTGTCCATGCGCCCGTACTAGAAGAAAGTGGTACGACCAAGTCCATGCAGTACGTAAGTACCTGAAATGTACTGTTACGACGCACGTTAACGTTAGATGCATTTTCAGAGTAACATAAGCAATTTCACACTTACGTAAGCGCACACACCTGTGCTTCTAGTTAACTTAGTGGGAGCCTACGATGCACACTTGCTGACATAATAACGATGCAATAAATCCCGCCCAAACGCGGGATAAATTAGGGGGGCAGTTGCAGTTGGCGGGGTCGAGGGGCCCCACCAAAGATTCCGACACTAACATTTGGGCAACCCCGCCTCGAAATGGGACTGGAACCCAAACCACGACACCGGTTCGCATCTTCCTTCCGTTTCTTGGGCGACCCGGTGAAGCCCCTCAGCTGAAATCCCATCTGAAGCTACATCGATCCGACATCTGGTCTCTTCGAGTTGAAGCCGAATTTTGCCCTGTGGCATTTCTAGCTGCCCAATTCCACCACTTCACCACCAACCAACAAAGGACGGGGACTCGGTGGATGTTCCTCCCTCCCCTCGTCTGGGTTACGTCAATTGCGGCAGTTGTGATGCACAGAGAAACGGCCCCGGCCGGCTTTTTATGAATTCCGTGACAAGAATTCCCGCCAGAATTTACAGCAACTGGACGACAGTTCTCAGCTCAACCCCGGCAACCTTCGCTACCGCTTCTCGGCGGCCACTCCAACCTGGTGCCATCGTCGACATCCGCGCACCTTTGGGTATCTCCACCTGCCGTTCCAGGTTTCTGTCGACGTCCTCCACCTGCCATTCCAGGTTTCTGTCGACGTCCTCCTCAAAGCAGCCAGCTGTTCATCCACGATCGGCCTTCACCGCTGCTCGTCTTCCTTGTGCTTCCCACTCGACACCGTCAGCGAGGCCATCCTCTGTTCACCATCGGATCTTGGATCAAGGACCAGCCATGGCGGACAGAGATATCCTCCCAGGCAACTTCAAGCCGACCCACTACGACCTCGTCATCAAGGACTTGGACTTTGAGAAGTGGGCCTACAAGGGCACTGTCAGGTACGTGTGTGTTGTGCGTAAAGAGGCCGCGAGATGATGTCTAACAGCTGTCCAGAATCGATGGTGAACTCGTCGCTCCGACGAGCCAGATCACCCTAAACACGCTCGAGCTCAAGCTTCTCAGCTCCAAAATTGTCGTCAGCCAGAACAAGAGCGAACAATCATGGGCGTCGACCGGTTCGACCGAGGACACGGCGTCGCAGCGGTCTACCATCACGTTCCCCGAGGAGCTTCCCGTATCGTCCAAGGCGTCTCTGACCATTGTGTTCACTGGTGAGCTGAATCACGACATGGCCGGCTTCTATCGCAGCCAGTACAAGCCCGCTGTTGCGGCAGCTGCGAGCGTGCCCCGCGATGGCCAGTTTCACTACATGCTGAGCACCCAGTTCGAGTCCTGCGATGCTCGCCGTGCCTTTCCCTGCTTTGATGAGCCGAATCTCAAGGCGACATTTGACTTCGCCGTTGAGATTCCTGACGATCAGGTTGCCTTGTCCAATATGCCTGCCAAGGACACACAAGCTGCCGGGCCTAACAAGAAGCTCGTGTCGTTTGAGACAACCCCGGTCATGAGCACCTACCTGCTCGCGTGGGCGGTGGGCGACTTTGAGTATGTTGAAGCCTTCACTGACCGCAAGTATAACGGCAAGACGGTTCCCGTCCGTGTCTATACGACTCGCGGACTCGAGGAGCAGGGGCGGTGGGCACTGGAACATGCGCCAAAGATCATCGACTTCTTCTCGGAATCGTTCGAGATCGACTACCCCCTTCCAAAGAGCGATATCCTTGCCGTGCACGAGTTCACCCATGGCGCCATGGAGAACTGGGGCTTGGTCACCTATCGAATGACTGCAATCCTCTTTGACGAGAAGCTCTCCGAGGCTAGGTTCCGGAACCGAATTGCTTACGTCGTCGCCCACGAGCTTGCACACCAGTGGTTTGGCAACCTTGTCACCATGGACTGGTGGGATGAGCTGTGGCTCAACGAGGGGTTTGCCACGTGGGCCGGCTGGCTGGCGACGGACCATCTCCACCCCGAGTGGGAGGTCTGGCCGCAATGGGTAAACGAGGGCATGGACTCGGCGCTCGACCTCGACTCTGTCCGCGCATCCCATCCGATCCAGGTGGCAGTCCGCGATGCCCTTGATGTCAACCAAATCTTTGACAGCATCAGCTACTTGAAGGGCTGCTCAATGATTCGCATGCTGGCGTCGAACCTCGGAATCAAGACGTTTCTCAAAGGTATTGCCATCTACCTGAAGAAAAACGCATACGGCAACGCAAAGACGGAGGCACTGTGGGGCGCCCTTAGCGAAGCGTCCGGTGTTGATGTCAACACGATGATGAAGCCCTGGATCGAGAAGATTGGCTTCCCCGTGCTCACGGTCACAGAAGGGTCGGATGAAATATCTGTCAAGCAGAATCGCTTTCTTTCAACTGGCGATGCCAAGCCCGAGGATGATGAGACGATTTGGTGGGTGCCGCTTGCCGTCAAGGGCAAGGTCGGGTCGCAAGACATCGAGCCGCTCTCCCTCACCACCAAGCAGTCCACCATCAGCGGAGTCAGCTCCGAGTTTTACCAAATCAATGCCGGCGCAACTGGCTTTTATCGTGTCAACTACTCAGAGCCGCGGCTGAAGCTCCTGGGCACCCAGCTTGATCGGTTAAGCACCGAAGATAAGATTTTCATCACCGGATGCGCCTCTGACCTTGCCTTCTCTGGATACGGCACTACTGCGGCCCTTTTGTCCTTCATCCAGGGCATGAAGAACGAATCGCATTTCCGGGTCTTGAGCCAGGCGCTCGACTCGATCAACAGGCTCAAGTCCATCTTTGCCAGTGATGAAGAGACCAAGAAAGCCCTGCAGAAGTTTGTTCTCGAGCTGATTGACGTCCCATTGAAGAGCTTGGGCTGGGAGGCATCAGAGGACGAAGACTACAACACCGGCCTGCTGCGAAAGCGCCTCCTTCTCACGGCCATCGGCAACGGCCATGAAGAGTGGGTTAACGATTCTCTATAGCTTCCCGCGTCTCAGTGTGTCGAGCGCGGACGAGGCAGTGTGTCGGCCTGAATAATTGCTAACTCTTTGCATAGGACGATTCGAGCAGCCTTTAAACTCTGGACCGCTTACCGTGAGAACCCCACCAAAGCTCCGCTTCCAGCAGACCTTCGCGCTCCCGTGTATCGTGCTGCTACCCGCACAGACACTGCGGCCAGCGTGGTGGCTTTGAAGGAGGAGTGGTTCACGACTCCCGCGGTTGACGGAAAGGAAATCTGCCTCCAGGCTCTTGGCCACGTCACGGATGCCACGATTGTCGAGCAGGTCCTTCTGCCGTTCTTGTTTAGCATTTCGCCCCCGGCAACAGCCGCCGACTCGGTGCCGTCCGGTGACATGCATACGCTGGCTGGAGCGCTGGCAGGCAACCGTGTGGCCAAGCCCCTGCTCTGGGCGTTCATCCGCGACAATTGGGAGCAGGTCCTCGCGAAGGTCGGCGGCAATCCCATCGTCCTTGACCGCCTCGTAAACCGGAGTCTGAGCAAGTTTGATGATCTGGAGACGCTCAGGGACATTGAAAAGTTCTTCTCCAGTGTCGACACCAAGGGGTTCGATCGCACTCTCGAGACGGTCAAGGACAAGGTCCGGGGCCGTGCTGCCTACAAGAAGCGCGATGCCCAAGGACTCAAGGAGTGGCTAGCTAGCAACGGCTATGCGTGAGCACGGTATTTTGGAAGATGGGAGGATATTTCCCTAGGTGTGTTTGGGCTTCTTCGGGCGGTTGGCCTGGGCTAGGTCAGAGTTAGTTTGTCAGCCCAACTGGGCATCTTACCGACTTATCCTGAGGAGTACCGGCTTGTTCCGACCTGTCCGTCTCAAATAATAGCGTCTGAATCTTTTAGGCGTTGATTGAAAATCAGCAGTGTAATGATTTAGGTATGACATTAACTCGAGGCCAAGAAGTTGAGGATTCAAGACAAGTCAACACAATCTGGTCGAGAGATTCACTGTTAATTACTATACAACAGGCCATCCGCTCGAAAAATCAATCTTATTCCATCCGAAGCGCTTTTGCCCGTCGGCATAGCCAACTCGGGTGTCCACATAGTGGTAGTACAAGACCTACAAGTCCGGTCAGCATCCAATAGTAAACTACCAGGTAATGTATCACGCACCGGTCCGTAGGTTGGGTCCTGGTAGACTCCCTGGCCGCCAGGCCCATAGACCCAGCCGTGCGACTCGAGCACGACCGACCCGCCGCCGCTCGCACACGGCTTGCCGGCCTTGTCCACGAACCCTCCCGTCGCCGCCGCCGACCGGCACACCATGATCCGGTACTCTTTGCCGCGCGACGGCCGCTCCCGGTCGTACCCGCAGCACGACCCCTGCGAGAAGAACAGAAAGTACTGCCCGCCGGCGGCCGGGAACACGAACCCGCCCTCGCGCGCCCTGTCGCTGCTGTCGAACGACAGCTGTATGTGTTGCCCGCCCGCATCCGCACCCGCTCGCATCCGCACCCGCACGCTGTTGTTGCCGGTGCTGACGTCGACGGGCGCCGCGAAGATGCCGTCCCAGAAACTGCCGAACACGAGGCTGTACGATGGCCCGCTGCCGTCAACACCGCCAGAGGCGCTCGAGACCAGGTTCCCGTCGATCGCGTTGTAGCGCGACTGCGGTGTGGATGCCACCACGGCTCCGGCGTCGGTCCATGTTCCAGTGTCCATGCTGGGCGATGTGGCGAGCCCGACCGCCGAGTTTTGCGATCCGAACGTGCTTACTGAGTACAGGAGGACGTACTGTGTGTCTACAAAGGAGATGTCTGGTGCCTGGGGCGGGAGAGGGGGGGGGGGGGGGGTGGGGGTGTTAATCACTGGTTTTTTTTTTTTTAGCAAAGTGACGGCGCGACGAACCCAGAGATCCTGGTTGCCGCGCAGGCTGATCGCCGAGCCCCGCGGCAGTGCCGCGCCCTGGTACGTCCACGGGCCCGTGAGGTCCCGCGCCGTGTGCACGGCGATCTTGCCGCCCGTTGAGAAGCGGAAGTACGTCCCGTCCCGGCGCCGGATTACGGACGGGTCGTGGCTGTTGGTGCAGACCCCCGTGCAGGCTTCGGGCAGCGCGTAGGCGGCGGTGGTTAGGGAGATGGTGGCGAGGCTGAGGAGGGTTGAGATCTTAGGCATGGTGGAGATTCTCGGGGCCCTGTGTGCTTTGAGCATGCTTTTTGGGTGGGAATATTTGGGGTTTGTGTGGTCATGTGTGAATTAGTTGGTATATGGTGAATGGGCGGAAACGCTGGGTGATATTCCCTGGAAACGCTAGGTGATATTCCCCGAAAGCCAGCGGAACTGGGGTAAATCTAGGTGAAGTCTAGTCTATTTATCCAGGGATAATCCGCGTGACCCCTCAGCGCTCTGAGGGTTGAGGTGGGCCAACTATACCACACGACCTACAAGAACAATAGATGACATACCGGCTGACTAGGCTATTTTCTATATTTAAACTCGACCTCGAACCGCTCCTCCACACCCAACCTCCAGTGTTGCCAGACGTTGCGCAGCCTTCATTGTCGGTAATCTCTCATTCAACATTATTTCTCGCCAACGTACTGCGAGCAAGATGACCAAACTCTTGAATTGCCGGGTGAATTACTGGAAACAGCCGGCTCCAATCCTGTCGCCATGGTCCGGAATTGCCAGCGAGCGTACACGGAGGTTGGCAGCACTTGGTTAGCCCAGATCCTCTTCAGCTTCGAGGGGGTCCAAACGCCATGCTCGACGTATTTTCCAGAATTTCCGTTACCGTGCTTCCTAAGATCCGACACCTGCGCGTGGTTGACAAGTATTTTTCTCTGCGCCTAACCATATACGAAAACTATGGCGTTAATCGTTAATCTCGCCACAGCTTTCGGTGTGCTTCCTAGCTTGTGTCTGGATGAGCTTACGGTCGTGGGTCAAGATTGTCGAATTAGTCGACGGGAGATGTTCGAACACGACATCGGCATTGACCAACTTACATATCTTGCGGCTTCCGAGTAGGAGGAAGAGGAGATGCTCGTCGTTGTCAAGAGAGGCTCGGGCGCCGACTACCGCCAGCAACGGGCTTCGCTGCTCGGTGTTCGCATTGCAACGAGCCGATGTGCCGTCATGTGTACCCTTTTTCGTCCGCCATTTTGGGCCGGCGGAAGTTGAAAGACACCGAATTTGATGAGGAAACACATTCATAGTTAGAGCCCGGCTCATCGCCTCTACCAAAACTAATTAAAACAAATGGTCTTTCTAGTCTCTTGCGCTCCTCTGCGAAGGCTGGTATCACTTTCGGCCGCTCAATCTACGAACTTCTGCAAGCTGTGCGAAAAATGGCATGGATAGGTGCTGCAGGTCTTTGAGTGAGTGATGGCGTACTTTAAACTCGAGCTGAGCTGTACTGATAGGCCGATTTCTCGCCCTCGAGCATGTTCTGGATCATGGGGGGGCGGGGCTTCCAAACCTGGCCGCTCGATATGGAAGCCAATCCTACCTGGGAACACCTTACGAGGGTCACTATTGGTTCGAACTACTTGCTGACCGCATCAAGGATCTAACGCCTGCAAGCCAAGACTAATCAGGATGGATTCTATGAGACTATCGTTTTCCCCAAGCCGAGACTCAATCATGACCCTAGAAGAGACTCGAGGGTCCATGGTCATAACCCTGCCCGTAGATACCGCATTTGGCCATTTTAGCTGAAGGCCAGTCAGAAGTCTGTCTTGACGACATTCCCACTTACTTGGCGCTACTACTGATTTGGTCTATGTTCTGAGATTCAAAGACACAAGCGCCGAAGACACAAGCGCCGAAGACACAAGCGCCGCCAGCAAAGAACCCTTTTCAATTGCAATCCATTGTCTTCGTCAACCTAACTGCCTCAAGGGTACCGTGGAGGGAGGCATATCGCATAACTGATAATTAGATCAAAGAAAGGCACAGGATTCTATGTAAATATGGAAGTCTTGGGCTATCGTAAAAAGAGCGGAGTTTCCCCCCCCCCCCCCGGGGAAAAGAAACCTAAGAAAAGAGGAAAAAGAGGAACTCCCCACATCCCTTCTCCCGTTTGATCGACGGGACTGAACCAACAATCTCAAAAAAGGTACATAACCAAGCCAAACGAGAAATAAAAAAAAGCTAATAATAGGCTGGGGCGTTCCCTCTTCTGATTGTAAGTGAGAGCATCCCCCTTATTCTCCGACCAACATGTTCCCCCCCAATCGGCGAGAATGAGTGATCTTGAATAAATAACAACGCCATATATCACCGGATCTCCTTGGGCATTTGCAAACTTTGCGGGTAGATAACGGGTAGCCAAAACATGATGAAGAAGTGACCAAAACAGGCCGGCCCCCTGCGGTCAGATTACCCCGAAAACCCCTTGAGCGTCTCCAGCACCCTCTTCAGCGTGTCCAAGTCGGCCTGGTCGCGCTCGCGCTTTCTGGCATCCGATGCCTTCTCCCCCGCAATGAGCTCAATCTTGGTAGCATCTTCGCGCAAGATGCGGTGCTGCGTGAGAATGGCCTGGGGAAGTTCGTGCAGGATCCCGCTCTCCACCACCAGCGAGTTGGCGTAGCCGACGAAGGACATCATGCTCATCTAACGACGGTCTGTCAGTCACTAGCTTTTGCCAAATATCCTAGCAGACAAGGGCAGATTCTGGAAAGGGGAGCTCCCTCGCCCACTCACCTCGTAAAACATCTCGACGTGCTCCACGGCACGCCCAGCGGCCAAGTTGTCCATGGAGCGCGGGACCAGCACGAAGTAGGCCTCGCGGCCGCCCTCTCCATCGCCGGCATCCGCGTCACTCTCACCCGTGCCCTCGGACACATGGGCAAGCGCCCCCCCGAGCTGGCGCAGCACGGCGCCGCGAGCCAGCTCGCTGGCCAGCACCCCGATGCTGCTCTGGGCCCACGCGGCGTTGCCGCCCACGGCGCTGACGACGAAGCCAAGCATGTCGCCTGTAAACGAGCTGCCAGCGTTGCTATCGTCGCCTGAGCGGCCCAGCCGCGCCGATAGCGCGCGCGCGCGCCGCCGCAGCGGCCCGACGTCGACGAAGCCGTCGTAGAACCCCGTGCGGCCGCGCGCGTGGCAGTTGAGCAGGTTGAGCATGGCGCGGTGCGACGCGCGCTGCAGGTCTGCGAGCGCCGGCTGCGTCAGGTGCGTGCGGATCGCGGCGCGCACGTCGTCGTCGGCCGGGCAGGATGCGGTCAATGCCACGTCGACGAACCGCTGCACGGCCTGCCACACGGCGTCGAGGTGCGCTGCGGCGATGGCGGGCCACTTCTGGGATTGGTACTCGAAGAGAAGGTGGTACGTGTTCTCGCTCGCCTCGCCCTGCGGCTCGCGGCCGCGCCACTGCGGGATCCGCGCCGCGAGCCACGTGTTGAGGTCTTGGTGCGAGATGCGCTCCGGCGCCGGGAACGTGTAGTGCGAGGCGATGGTGTCGGGGCTGAGAAGGCCGGCGACGTCGTGGGGCTCGTGTGCGGGGTGGTCTGTCTCGCGGTTTGGGCTGGTGTTGATGCTGGCGTTGCTGTTGCTGTTGCGGTTGTTGTTGTTGTTGCTGTTGCTGTTGCGGTTGTTGTTGCTGTTGCTGTTGTTGATGCTGTTGTTGCTGTTGCTGTTGTTGATGCTGGTGTTGCTGGTGTTGCTGGTGTTGCTGGTGTTGCTGGTGTTGCTGGTGTTGCTGGTGTTGCTAGTGTTGCTAGTGTTGCTGTTGTTGCTGCTGCTAACAATCTCTTTGGTCTTGCCATACTCGCGCATGGCAGACGCAAACGCGCGGCTGAGAAGGCGGATGTTGGCCCGCAGGTTCCGGTCCTCGTTCGCAGGGGAGTCGTCGCGGTAGCGCGGGAAGAAGCGCGCGCAGACCCGGCACTCGTCGCCGACGTTGTGCAGCGCCTTGCACTGCTCGCCCTGGTACGTGCCCAAGCAGGCTTCTCGGGCGAGGTCCGAGAACTTTTGCGCAATGTCGCAGAGATAGACTCGGCGCGCATCGTGCGTGGACCGGCAGACGCCGGCGTCGAGCCGTGCCTCGAGCGTCTTGACCGTGGCCTCGACTTCGGCCGTGACGCCGGGCAGCGCGGCCTGCGTGTGCTGCAGAAGAGCAACCCGCAGCGTGCTTCGGAGTGCGTTGATGCCGCATTGGCTTCTCGGAACGCGGTTCCACTCGGGGTGGTTGAGAAAGAAGTGCTCCTCCTGCCAGTCCCTCCGGTCAAGCGGCTCGTTGCTCCGCTCTTGCTGCCCCTGGTTCTTGACCACGAGCCACTTGTGTCGCAGGTTGGTCGAGTCCAAGCTGCCGTTCAGAACGTCGAGAGCATCTTCGACCGAGACGGCACGGTCGGGGTTGGTCATGACGCCAATGACGCGGTCCTCCAGGGTGCGGTCCGTCTGTGCCATGTCCTGGATCATGGCGCGGGCCGCCTGGTTGGCGAAGCTGGTCGCGACGCTGACGACGAGCAGCACGAGGCTGTTCCGGGACCGGATGTACTGCCCGACCATGTCGTTGACAATCCTCATGCCCACGCTGTCTTGCTGCTGGGTCTCGGCGGTAAACAAGCCGGGCAGGTCGACCAAGTCCACCTGGACGAGATCCGGGCCTGACGATTTCACCACCAGGACGTCTTCAACGAATCGGAGCGGCTCTGGGCTGCCGCCGGCTCCGTAATTGGAGCTTGCCGGCACCCCGAGCTCGGCCCTGACCCTGTCGACCACCGCGGGGAACTCATCCGGTCTCGACAGCTCCTCTCTGAACCTCTCAAGGCGCTCCCTGTCGGCATCTGTCCTGGATGGGGCAGGCTGGATTGACACGACGGTGTGCTCTTCGGACGAGCGGCGCAGGATGAGCTTGGTGGGGAATTGGGTGCAGACTCGGCCAGCCACGGGGAAGTGGAAGCGGCCAATGGCCTCGAGAACAGAGCTCTTGCCCGTGCTCTGGTCGCCCACCACGACGAGCTGGGGGATCTCGATGGTGCTTGTGACCTTGAGCCGGGAGAGCTCTTTGAGGGCGTCAAAGACGCCGACCTGCTGTGGGTCTGTCAGGTCCTGCACGGCTCCAGGTCTGGCCTGGCTCTCGGCACTGCCGGCGCTGCCGAGCCAGCCCGAGGCCAAGCCGGAAGCGGCACTGGCAAAGAGGTTGCTCATGGTTGCAGGGATGAAAGCTCTTGATGAGTTGAAGGGTTGCGAGAAGTGAAGTTGCGAAGCTGTGACGAGAAGTGAAGTTGCGAAGCTGTGACGAGAAGTGAAGTTGCGAAGCTGTGACGAGAAGTGAAGTTGTGAAGCTGTGACGAGAAGTGGAGTTGTGAAGCTGTGACAAGAAGTGGAGTTGTGAAGCTGTGAAGAGTTTGAGACTGGAAAATGAGGAGACTGTAGAATGTGATGGAGGCTTGCTGCGAGGTTGAAGTGGTGGTTGGGGGATGGAGAGACGGAAAAGAATTCTGGCGGTGACGGACGACGTATTTGTACACATTTTCCCGGCGGCAGCAACTTGAATTCGCGTAAGTAGAGGTTAGGAGAATTAACAGTGAGGCTTGGCAAAAGGAGGCTCGCGATACCCCATTGCTCTCGGAGTTTTGTTTGTGCTGGCTTGGCCGTTGGACGAATGACAGCCGTTGACGGCTCGAAGGCTGCTCGCCGTCGACCTATCAGCGCAACATTTACCACAGTCAATGTAGGAAACTTAGACGCCGGCCAATGGTTTCTCCCAGATACTAGTGGGGCAACGGGGCCACGATGCAAGAGTTGAGGAAACTTAGAATCGGTCTAGTTCATTGGCTTTCAACTGGGACGTGGCGCCGGCTTCTGCTGTGTCACATAATGTCGTGGCGATTCGGACAGTTGGGCAGCACCGCAATCCTGTTCACCCTCCTAGTTTTCTCCGCTCGACGTGTCTTGCGAACATTTTCGCACCCCCGACCATCTTGCCCACAGCTCTTTGTCATTCATTCTCTTTGCGGTCATGGATTTTCCCCAATATCTTAACCCACAACCTGGATTTGGCTTCACGCCTCTGCCTTTGCACCACTCTCCGGATCATGATATTGGTCAGCTGGGTGCCGGGGAGTGGCAGGACCATGAATCCGGCCGATTCCATGATTTCGACTACTGGCCGAGTTATGGTAGTCATTATTATTCCGCAGCGGAATTGTATTACTACCTTCCCTATCCTATCCCCGGCGCTTGCCACCCAGGTCAAACTGTTCTTCACCCGCTTGCTGCTATCGGAACGCCCAACGTCCTTCAGCTGGGCACCCACCAGCCGCCCGCACCTGAAAGTGAGCCTGTCGTACTCATCCCGCAAACCGCGGGAGAACAGGTTATTGTTCCCAGGCTTCCACATCCAGGAGCCGGGCCGGGAACTGGAGCTGGGCCGGGAACTCAAGCCCGAACAAGAACAAAACGCAAGAGCACACCCCAAAAGCCCCGGGGTCAGGCCGGAGGTGTCAATAAGCGAACAGGAAGCAGCGGCACCAGTTACCGAATTGACTGGGAGAGATGGAAACCACTGCTTTACGAGCTTTATGTGAAGCAGAATCTCTCAGCCGAGCAGGTAGAAACTGCCATTGCCCTGAAACGGCTTAAGGTTTCGTACGTCTCTCTCCGGCCTCATAACCATTACCAACCCACCGGATGCATCGCTGACATTGATACGCCTGCCTGCCTGCCTGCCTGCCTATCTAGGTACAAGACGTTGCAGAAGAAATTCTGCAACAGCGAGTGGCCCGAGTTCAAAAAGAACAAGTCAGGTCTGCCTCCTGTCGAGGGACAGGCGCCCCGCCACCGCCTGGCCAAGTCTCTGCCTCCAAGCCAGGAGGCGCTCTCGAGATATAGACTCACAAGAAACTTTCTCCTGTCGTTTATAGTCGCTGGAGACTCGGAAAACCCACGGCCATGCTCAACGCCGCCCGTCACGCTCGAGGCAGACGCTTGTCGACACATCGAGGACATGCTGAGATGCATCGACAAGCTTGTCAAAGGAATTTTCGACCGAAGAAAGTCTAGCAGCTCCTCTTCCTGCTGTGCCTCCCCGTCCTGGCAGCTTCTATACGACAAGTGCCACGGCCTGGAAGGCATCAGGGGCATCACTGTGCAGCCCGGAAAGCTCTGGTTCCTGTGGCACCAGCTCCTCGACCAGCTGGGGAGCGCAGCGGCAACGCAGGCCCGGACCCCTGCTTTTCTCACCCAGTTCTGGAGAATATGCGCGTGCTTGCTGCACGTGCACCTCTTTGGTCGGATCAAGTCCACCGCCTCTCTCGTCCTGCGGATATTTCTCTCCCGGCTGAAAACCCATTTCCTGGCAACGATGGGTAGGCGAGACGATCTGGTAGTCCTCGTGGAAAGCCTTCTCGGGGTGCTGGTCTCGGCGCCCCTGCATCTCAAGACGGCGCTCGGCATTGGCTGCCTGGCGACCATGGATGGCCTGAGCCGCATGGTGGGATGCAGCGACGCGCTCGTCTTGAAGTTGGCCTCGTGCCGCTTCGAGCACTGGAAGCCCGACACGTCGTCGGAAGAGCAGCGCCGACTCGAGCTTTACAGGCCGCTGCTGGACGGCATCAACGCCGCGTCCCCCACGCAGAGCGACATTGAAGTCTTGTCCGACTTCACCGTGTCCCAACGATACAGCAACCCGCAACAGGCGCCCCAGCACGCCGCTCGCCTCCACAAGCTCGCGCTGGAACAGTGCCGAGCGGCGCCACGGACCGGGGGGCTCAAATACAACCAGAGCTCCCGAGCACTGGCATACTCGGCCGAGCTGCTCGCCGTGTGCCAGCTCGACCGCAAGCCCGACCGCGACCGCGACCGCGACCGCAACCAGGCCTTCCAGCGGGTAGCCGACGCCATCGAGCTGCTGCGGCGCGGCGATCTCGAGTGCCGCGTCCGCGCGGCCCACCTCTCCAAGCGGCTGTCCATCTGGTTCAAGGCGTTCTTTCCCAGCCGGGCGAAAACCAGCAGCTGGCAGCAGCACTCCAGGGAGATGCAGCAGCGCCACGAGACCTGGGCAATCTTGGCGCAGATTGACGAGCTGGCGCCAGCTCATATGCATGTGCCGCGATTAGCGACAGACCGGAATGCCGAGAGCAAAAGTAAGAACAACCGCTGGCGTAGAGTGGTGCGTGAGCGGCGGCAGACGGCTCTGCACGATATTGTTGCGGATGGGAGATCCACGGCCGTGGACGGGACGGCGGCGCCCACAGTCGTGATCATCAAGGGGCCTCGTGCTCCTCGAGTCGAGAAGGCGAGAAAGGAAAAGGGCCCAGCTCAGACCCCGCCCACAAACTTGAATAGAAGGTGCGATCACTGCGGGCAATCGTTTGTGTCCCGGAACATGCTCTTTCGGCATCTGGAGAAGCGCTGTGCTGAAACCCACCCGTGGGCGTTGGTTTAGGAGGACAAGGATGGCGACGAGATTGGATTTATGTCGGATCTAGAACATTAGCTGCAAAATATGGTTCGCCGCTGCCTTGGTCGCTAGATTATCTTCTTGTAAACTGTTAAAGTATGGCTGGTTACTATAGCTATAAGGCCCCGAAGTGCAGGGCACTATAGCGGTCGTGTTGGTGTGATCAGTGCTGTTGATCAGCCTGTCTCCAGATTGTTGACTGAGCCCCATAGCACCTTCCAGAACCTCTACTCGTCTTGCAGACCCACTAGAAGGTTCTGGAATACAGGACCACTTATATGACCTACGCGTAGGCCTCTGGAACCTTTCAGAGGGCCTGCCTCTGGTCGTAGGGCACAGTTTCCTGCGACCTACCCCGCACTGGGACCGTAGGGCACAGTTCCCTGCGATCTACCCTGCACTTGGCTCCCCAGTCTACGTCAAAACGCTTCCGCTTCGCCTGCCTGCAACACGCAGTTCAACATAAACAATACAGCTACCAGGTTCCTGCCAGAGAGGGTTGTTGAGCTGGAAGCGACGGTATGTGACATATTTACGCCTTCTCGTGCAATTGCAGTGCCTTTAGCCTCGTCACCAGAGTGGCCACAGTCATTCGATAGCCATGGTTGGGATGGTTTGTCACCATCGCCACTTGTTGCCGGGTCGATATATAAAGCAAAGCAAGCCTAGCTGACCGTGTGAGCAAGGACAAACAGCAGGAATATAGCGAGTAATCCAAGTGCCAAATAAAACAAAACCTTGACAATGAGGAGAACGCAGCGCCCCGCCGCTGCGATTGCGGCCTTGGAAAACCTCGGGATCCAATGCCACCCCCTACTACTCGAGCGACAGTGCCCGAGGTCCAGATGTGCTCGTAGGCGGCGGGTAGAAGCCAGCCAAGTGCAAGACCAAGAAATAATAAAAGCACGTACGATGCGAGCGAGTCATACTTGGGGCTGGCGTCTAGAACCCCAAATACGGTACCAAGCCCGTACGCGACGATCAAGCCCGCCGCCGCGTAAAGTGCGGTATCGACGACGAGTTCTGTCCAGGACCACGCCACCGCAACCACGGCATTGGCAGATGGTAGGATCTGACGCCAACCCACCGACCGAGCCCATCGGACAGCAACCGCCACATCGAGGCCGCACGAGGCCCAGATGTACTCGGTGGCAGTGTGTTGGAGCTGAGCGAATGCGACGACAAGCACGAACAGGGCGAGCAGCCTGGCCGCCGCGTAAAGCACGACCTTGGAAAATCCCGGGACCCGATGCCGACTTAGGAAAGAAGAAGCCCCGACAAAAACTGCGCACAAGATCCAGATGTACCCTATAACCGCAGCGTCTGGAAAACCCCCAAATCCAATACCAAGAAGGGATACAAACGCAATAGCAAGCACGTACGCAGCGAGTGAGCCGGCCGTCGCGTAAAGCATCACCTTGGGGGCGAGTTTGGTCCAGCGCCACGCCGTCGAAAAGACGGCCTTGACGAGCCGCCGGATCCGGCGCGACCCGGTTGCCTGGAGCGCTGCGAGACAAAAGGATGCAGCCCAGACGTGCTCGGCGCCGGCGTATTGGAACACGGCGAACGGGAGCACGATGTCCTCGAGGAGAGTGCGCCCGCGCGACTTGGAGCTGAGGGACGCGAGGCCGCCGAGCACCAGCATGGCCGGGAAGGTGCCGCCAGTGTATGACTGCAGGATGGCAGGCAGGAACAGAGCCAACACCTCGGGTGACTTCCACGCCGCCGTTGGGGGGGATATGTCGTCGCTCGGGGGTTGAGCGGTCGCCGCCTGGCCTGGGGCGGAAGGACTAGCACTCGGCGGCTTCTCGACGCGAGCCCGAGGAGCAGACGCTGCTTTTTCTTCCACCTTCGTCTTCGCTTTCTTTGGCCCCTCCGTCTTCGCTTTCTTTGGCCCCTGCGTCTTCGCTTTCTTTGGCCCCTCTGTCTCGACCACACGCTCAACGTGAACAGCAGCGACCGCCACCTTTTCGCTCTCTTCCTCTGTATCCTCCCCTTCAATTGTCCTTGGCCGCTTGATTACGACCGCGCTCTCGATTATACCGACAGCAGCGCTCGCCAGCTCCCCAACCGCCTTGTCGGTTCCTTCGGCAATGGCCCAGTGGCCCGCGGTATCGATGCTCCGTTCGACGACATTGTGCGTCGAGTGGTAGATGGTCTCTTGCAAGGCCTGGTCCGACGCCGTGCCCGCGCCGCGGTCGCCGGCCATGCGTGCAAGGTGGATGCCGACGCCATCGGCGACGTGGTGGGTGCCGTGGTGGACGATGGCCGTGGAGGCGCCGTGCACGGCTGCGTGGCCGGCGACTTGGTTGGCTGCGTGGCCGGCGGCGTGGCCGGCGACTTGGTTGGCTGCGTGGTCCGACATGATCTGGGTGGCGACGTGGTGGACGCCGTGCTAGACGACGTGTTCGGCGCCGGGTGCGAAGTGCGAGACGATGGCGCCGGGCAGCGCGCCGAAGATGTCTTGGGCGTCGAGGTCGTGGCCCGACCATCCCATCTGGGCTAGCCGAGCCTCGATGATGTCCAGGCGCTGTTTGTTGACGTCGATGCGGCGCGCCGCGATGCCGGCGGGGAAGGCTGAGACGAGGGTCACAGGCATGGCGGCGACCGACGTGGCGAGCGTGGCCGAGATGCCGACGAGCTTGCGCTTGATGAGTTTGTGCTCCTCGTAGAGATCATCCGGGCCCATGGACTCGATGCGCCGTCGGTAGTTGGAGGACTGGAACTCGATAAAGTTGTCAATGGCATTTGCCATTTTGCGCCGGAAACCCATCTTCAGCTGGATGTGGCAGCAGCCAAAGAGAGAATCCAGGGGGTACGGGGTTCATTGCCCTTGTCTCTGTCCGCGTAACCCTTCTAGCCCTTAAACCAGCCGGACACCTTGGTGTCCATTATTACGTCTTGCAACTTTTTTTTTGAAGCGGGAAATAACGCTCAACACTTATCCTGCTCCGTGGCTTCTTCACCCATATTCACAATACGCCACAAGCATTCTCAAGAACTTATGTCCTATTGAATCCAAAAGAAAACCTCGGACCAGGAACACAACATCATTACGCTTTGTATGCCTCCGCATTCCTCGCATTTAGTCCAACCATTAGATGTTGGTTGTTTTGGGCCGTTGAAGAAGGCTTACGGTTACCAAATCGAGGAACTCATACGTATGTATATCACACATATCACTAAGTTGGAATTCCTTTGTAAGTTTTAAGAGGCATTTTTTCTCTCTTTTACCGACAAGAATATCTACGGAACCTTTACCGGACCCGGCCTTGTACTGTACGATCTAGAAGGGGTGATTTCTAAGATGGATATACGACTCCGAACTCCAACTCCACCAATCTCACGGCCAGGCACGGTATTACCTTGGCTAACTCAGACGCCACAAAACCCCCGAGAGGCCACCTCACAAAAGGACCTAATCAAAAGCCGGATATCCAACCACCAAGACAGTTCTCCGACACCTGTACTGGCTACTATAGACCAATTAGGTAAAGGTACGATGGCTGTGATGCACGAGGTAGCCCTTCTCCGTACGGAGGTCTCAGCATTACGAAAGGCCAATGAGGAGCTTAGTAAGCGACGAGGGCTAAAAAAACACGTGTACGGCTTGGGGGGTCTCTTACCGTACAAGAGGCCCAGGATTTACTGGCCCAGAAAGCTGTGGGTAGGCCAGTAGGCCAAGAAATCCAGCTGGAAGGTAGTGGTGTGGGGGGGTCTCGTACGAAGATTCGGTGCTGTGGCTTGTGCGGCAAGCCTGGCCATAATGCACGCACCTGTCAGGAGGCTGGAGAATCATCTGATTCATCGATTTCTGGTTCGGTTATTATTATTTTCTAGTCTTGTGGTGTAATTGTAGATAATCGTCGTAGAGTAGTGGGGCGTGGGTTATTCGCTCGTGTGGGTCATTCGCTCGTGCGGGTCATTCGCTTGTTAAATGGTAAGCCATACAAGGTATACAAGTGGTGTGCTCAGCCGGCGAAGACGAATTTACCCGACCGCTTCATCGTAGAGCCCAGATCACAGGCCGCGCTTAACTCCTGGACCGATTTCTTGGCCCATGACGGGTGAATCAGATCGGAACAGTCTTAGGTCTTCTAAATTTGTAACTTGGTAGCCCAAAACATGGACTGGAAAGTTGCGGCCCAAAATTGGGACCGCGGGCATATACATGGTGTGGGATAGTACATTCTAGTTCAATCTGTAACATAGTACATAGTATCCTGGCTCCAAGACTGGGACAGAATTCAATATACCAGTGCATAATATGGCATGGTACATAGTATACTGGTTTACACAGCCGTCAAAACCTCGTTCATCCTCCCTCTCCCTGCATCCATCTCCTTCACCGAAGCCGCGAACTCGCCTTCCTCCATCGGCACCACCGCTCTGATCCTGTATCAGATCCTCTCTGTCCCCCTCCCTAGCATCTCCTCCTCCAACCCCGCCATTCAACGTCCAGGAGAGAAAAAACTAACCCTCCTAATCTGGAGTGGCGCCTCCAATGTCGGCACAGCCCTAATCCGGCTCGCAAAGCTCTCCGGAGTAGAGCACATCGTCGCCACAGCGAGCGCTAAGAACCACGATACCCTCAAGTCGCTAGGCGCAAAGACTCCGGTGTATTACCCCTCTCCGACTGCCGTGGAAGAGATTGTTGCTGCGCTTGGCGGGGCCGTGAACGAGACACATCCGCTTTACGCGGTGGACACCATCTCTCCCAAAACAGCAGAATCGGTTGCGGAAGCGCTGAAACGCTTCAAGGCGACGGGCGAAACGACAAACATTGTACCAATCTCTTGTTGGCGCATTCAATCCTCCGCCGTCGATGATATCAGCAGACCCGTCGAAAGCAACAGCCCCTCAGATAGTGAGTGCCAGGATACGACCATTTCTCGAAGAAGACATTGCCGCTGGGTTTCCCTGTGCGGTGTTTCCACGTGCTGTTTCGAGTGTAGTCGACATTCATGATCTTTACAACCACCCGCGTGGGCGTCCAATTCTGAAAGTATTATACTTATTGAACATTTTAACGGTTAGACTCAGCTTCCACTCTAACAGCCTGGCACCAGTCCTTCAACTACAAGTTCGACAAGCTCTATACCCCCGAAGTGACCACAGGGCAAATTTACGACGATCTTCTTGTAAACCTCATCCCCTTTGTCCAAAACGGCGGCGTCGGTACCATTTTCGCCTACGGCCAAACCGGCTCCGGCAAAACCTTCACCATCAGTCGCGTCCAACAACTCGTCTTCAAAGCCCTCACCAAATCCTCCAATCTAGAGCCCAACAACACACCGCAACCCCAAGTCCAACTCACCATCATTGAACTCGCTGGAAACTCCGCCTTCGACCTCCTTAGCGACCGCAAGCCTGTCTCCATCCTCGAAGACACACACGGAACAATCCACCTCTCCGGCGCAGCTGAACATTCCATATCCACTACCGAGGAGGCCCTCTCTCTGGTCGGTCTAGCCGCCTCCTTCCGGCGCACCGCACTAACACTCAAAAACGATGCTTCCTCTCCATCGCACGGAATATGCCGCATTCGAGTCACCCATCCCTCACCTTCTACCTCTACCTCCACTGACCCCTCCCCCGATTCTAAAAAAGAAGGCTTCCTTACCTAGTCGACCTAGCCGGCTCCGAAGCTGCCCGCGACGTAGCAACCCACGGCGCAGACGGCATGCGCAAGATAACGGAGATAAACATGAGTTTATCTGTACTTAGAGATTGTATTAGGGGAAGAGCGGAGTGGGATGCCCTCTACCGTTCCCAATCAGATATAGGAGGAAAAGGGAAGAGGAAGAAACAAAGGATCCCCTTCCAATAGAGCGCATTGGCGAAGGTGCTGAAGCATGTTTTTGGTCCGCCAACTTCAGTTTTAGCCGCAGGCTTCTATGAAAGGGTTACTCAGTTTGAGTTGCAAAACCGAGCCGCAATCACTGAGCCGGGATTTTCTATCTCGGGTATGATAAAAGTATTCTGATTGTTGTTTTTCTGTTGCTTGTTGTTTTTCTTCCGTTATTGCATTTATTTTGGGCATTTGGTAGACATCGTCACAAAATAACCTTTGGCTTGCTTACTTGAGTTACATAGCGGCAGCGACTGGTCCTTGGAACATTTCATTCATGGGAAACTTGCTTCGAAAGAAGCCGCCTAGCACACTCAACTATTAAAACAGAAATCTTTTACACCAAAGTTGCCGTCAGAAATTTCTATGTTCGTGCGTGACCCTGAGCCGCTCCTGATCTAGGGTGAGCTATGGGCGAGCCTAGCCTACACAACCGTGTGGCCTAGTGTTGGACCTCGACAAAAGTTGCTATTCGGAGATTCCGGTGCGGTCCTCGGCTTATACTAACTATACTATATAGGTTGCGGCTACGTTAGCGGTGACGTTCGTCGCAAAATAGGATTCTGTTGGCATGCATTGCAGCCTGGACGTTTGACAGCATGTAGTGAGATGAAGCACGGAAAGGGACGGAGAAATGTCCTCAGTTTGAAGCTTTGAGTATCTCATTGCTCTCTCAAAGAATGATTCCTGAAAGGTATAAGCGGCATCAGAGCCCCTGGCTACTGTCAGACTGCAACAGCACTTTTAGGATTATGTGCACCAGAGTGAATTGCTTCTATTCTCCTCCTCCAGTCTTTCCACAAAAGGCTCTCTCTTATACTTCCTTATGTGGCAATTACATGACGAATCCCAGTGGCGAAGATTACGCATCGTAGGTTCCAGCACCTTCTAGGCCATTCCATCTGACAGCTTCCTTCGATTAGATCTAGATGCAAAGATCCGCAAAGCCTCTGGACCGCTGTTGTCGGTGCCAGCTCCACACATGCCCCAAGCAGGCGCGAAAACTAGCCTGAAATGTATGGATCTGCAGGCGAAGTCGCTTATGTCGTCGTCTAGGGTCTGGTCTTTGCCGTCTGTGAGAAGGTCCTTCTACAGCGACGAGACGAGAATCCCGCCCAACCACCACGGCACAGCGCCAGGATCGTGGCCAAGAAGACCAACCCGCCGCCACCGCCACCACAGGAAAGGCCGACCCCTCGGCCTATTGTGAGACCGTTGAGAAGTGGTCGCCTGGGCGCCTACTCTCGAACCTGGAGAAAATGTAAGTCCAAAGATTAAGGAGGTTTCCAACGTCTCCATACGGAGTTCGGCCGTACACAAGTATTACAAACCACTCGACTGTTACGGTCGTCTGTCTGTAAGGGAGCACGGGCTCCACAGGATGCTGGGGTTGGTAATTATGAAGATAGAACAAAGGGCAAGCTCCTATCGCACGGGTAATACAGTCAAATCGGAATGCCACTCAAAGTGTATGAGTGCAGTGAATGTGTATTGCTTGCTTGAAGAACCAAGCAAGAACTATCTAAGACCGTGGCTACGGCCGTCGTATATATCTATCTAAGGTGGGCCAATTAGGACGTTGCTCTGTTGCTCTCATTGTGGGGACACAGAGCACATCGCTCTGTTCTCCACACGACAGAGCAACTGTAAGAGAAGGCAGGTACGCCTGATCAAGGTGGTCACGATGGAGAGAACAATAGGACGAGCAATGACTGGCATTGGTAAAAGACTTCAACCTGGCCCTCGCAAAGGAAGGTGGGCGAGGGCCACTATTCATATACATAGTTGGGTGGCTCAATCTGGCGGGTGCCTGGGCCGGGTGTTTGGGGCCAGCTGGTGGCGCCTGGGCCGGGCCGGGCGTTTGGGGTGCTCTTTCCTTACAACTATCCCCCCCCGGTAGATCGACGTCCCCGTCGATCATTTTAGTCGTTCCACTTCCTATGCCTTTGTTTTGCCTTCTTCTCGCATCGCCGTAGCACCTTCTGTGCGTTGCTAAGGTGTTCCTTAGGTTCCCAGGTGTTGTACTCTGCTGGCCAGCCTGCCCACTTGACTAGGAACCTTCTTCGATCTCCTTCATCCTTATGCTCCACGATGTCTTCTACCTCCCATTCTTCTTCTCCTTCAGCTAGCTCTGGTAGTGGTAGTATTTTCTGGCCTTCGGCTATTGACCATTTCTCTAATAGGGAGACGGAGAAGACATCATGGGCCCGGGCGTACTTGGCGGGTAGCTGGATCCGGTATGCCTGCGTGCCGATCCTTTCTGTAATCTTGACTGGAATGAATCTTGGTGCTAGCTTTCTTCCGGCCTTAAAGCGGAAGTTCTGTGTAGAGAGCCCAACCGTTTCGCCTACTTCGAACTCGATCCACTGGTGCCGTGCATCGTAGTACTTCTTCTGTGAATCTACGGCCTTCTGCCAGTAGTAGTACATCCTTTCCCTCAGGTTGGCTAGCCTGCTCAGACGCTCGTGGACCCCTTGTACCTTTAGCTGCGTAGATGGTACGTAGTCCACCATTAGAGGGTTGTAGCCATATAAGGCCTCGAACGGGCTCACTCCGATGGTTACGTGTACGCTATTATTATACGCAAACTCGGCTTCAGGGAGCAGTGGTGCCCATTGGGCCTCTTCACCGGCGAAGCACCTTAGGTAGTTCTGTAGACTCTGGTGTGTGCGTTCTGACTGACCATCGGTCTGCGGGTGGTAGGTTGTTGAGAGCCTCTGCTTGACTTGGCGGGCTTTGGAAAGTTCTACCCAAAATTTGCTAGTTAATAGGGAATCTCTATCGGAGACCATACATATTAGCGTGCCGAATCGGCACTCCACGTGCTCATAGATTAACTAGGCTAGCTCAGCTGCCGTGACGGTAGTAGTAGTCGGGATGAAGAGTGCGATCTTCGTAAACCGATCTACGACGACGAGGATAGCATCTACTACACGGTCCTTATACTGGCAGGGTGGTAGTTTGGTAATGAAGTCTAGGCTAATCTCTTCGAAAGGTTGAGTAGGTAGTGGCAGGGAGTTGAGCCTACCGTACGGCTTATGCCGGGGCTGCCGGTTACCAAGGCATACTTGGCACTGTTTCGTGTAAGCTTGTACTTCTGCATCTAGATTTTCCCAATGAAATCTCCGCTTCAATAGGTCCACTGTCTTGTGGCTCCCAAAATGCCCGGCTCTGGGGTCATCGTGGTGTAAGCGTATGAGCTCCCTACGCACTGCTGGCGCCGTGGGGATCACTAGCCTGCCTTTATACCGGAGGGCCCCCTCGTCATCAACGCTGTCGTTTCCTAGCTTACCCTGGGCACCAGTACCCGCGTCTCTTCGACTTTCATTGTCAACGCGTCGTTTCCTAGCTTACCCTGGGCACTAGTACCCGCGTCTCTTTGACCCTCGAGCACCTCCTTAATACGGCTTCTACATTCTATATCCCCTTTCTGTAGGGCGATAATCGACCTGTAGAACCTATGCCTAGGATCCTGTTCCTCAGCTGCCTCACCGGCGCAAACCTCTGCCGCAACCGCGTAAGGAATCAATAGGTCGTCACCCTGAGCGCCTTGCTGCAGTTGCCCCTCGACCCTCTGATCTGACCGCCCCGGCGAGATCGACTGCTCTGGCGAGTCCGTAGTAGTTCTCATAGTACGGCGTCCCAGCCCCTCCCTCAGGGTGCATTCGTTCCGCTGGTGGCTCCTTTCTCGGGGCTCCGCTTTATCAAACGCCACGCGCCCGGTGGCCCCGAGGGCAAAGCGCGTCACAGCCGAAACCCTAGCCATATCTTCAACTCGAGGACATTGAAGGGTCTGTTCAACTCGTCTAACCGCTCGGCGGTACTTCCGGAAGCACGATTTCTTCCGTACTCCGGCTCTAATCTGGGCCACAACTGCCCTTACCGCGGCTAGCAACCTCGTTGCCAACCGCAGCTTCTTCGTTAAGGTAGGCAGTACATCGCCATAAGCGATCTCTCCTGCCATGTAGTCAGGTCTTCTTGAAAGGGGGTCGGCGGGGTGTCACGAATCCCTATTCGTACTGGTTTGAAGGCGGGGCAGGGGCGGCGGGACCCGCCCCGGCCAATCCCGTCGATGAAGAGCAGATGGACCCACAGTTGCTCTGTCGTGTAGAGAACAGAGCGATGTGCTCTGTGTCCCCACAATGAGAGCAACAGAGCAACGCCCTAATTGGCCCACCTTAGATAGATATATACGACGGCCGTAGCCACGGTCTTGGATAGTTCTTGCTTGGTTCTTCAAGCAAGCAATACACATTCACTGCACTCATACACTTTGAGTGGCATTCCGATTTGACTGTATTACCCGTGCAATAGGAGCTTGCCCTTTGTTCTATCTTCATAATTACCAACCTATTACAAACCACTCGACTGTTAGGGTCGTCTGTCTGTAAGGGAGCACGGGCTCCACAGGATGCTGGGGTTGGTAATTATGAAGATAGAACAAAGGGCAAGCTCCTATCGCACGGGTAATACAGTCAAATCGGAATGCCACTCAAAGTGTATGAGTGTAGTGAATGTGTATTGCTTGCTTGCCGAACCAAGCAAGAACTATCTAAGACAGTGGCTACGGTCGTCGTATATATCTATCTAGAGCGGCCCAATTAGGTTGTTGCTCTGTTGCTCTCTGTCAGAGCTACAGAGCATCGTGTTACGATCCTGGTTCAGGGTGCATGAGGCGCCCTGCTTCCTCCTTGTGATTGGGTGACGTGGTGGAGACGGACAGACCCCACCCCGTTTAGGTGCGGCCAACCAGGGAGCGCTCTGCCTGATTAGCTGCCAAGACCAGCAGAGCGGACGGAGCGGGCGCTCTGTGGGGCCCCTGCGCTCTGCGAGCAGAGCGCCCTGGACCCACGGAGCGCAGACACCAAGGACTCTGATTGGTCCGCCTTAGATAGATATATACGACGACCGTAGCCACGGTCTTAGATAGTTCTTGCTTGGTTCTTCAAGCAAGCAATACACATTCACTGCACTCATACACTTTGAGTGGCATTCCGATTTGACTGTATTACCCGTGCGATAGGAGCTTGCCCTTTGTTCTATCTTCATAATTACCAACCCCAGCATCCTGTGGAGCCCGTGCTCCCTTACAGACAGACGACCCTAACAGTCGAGTGGTTTGTAATACATCGCTCTGTTGCTCTCTGGCAGAGCTACAGAGCAACTCCGTAGAGCCAATAAAACCGTTGCTCCGTGGCCCGCTCCACAGAGCAAATGCGGGTCCCTGCCCCGCATGCCTGTCTCGTCATTCCTACTGGCCGGCCCCACTTTCAGAATTATGACTAGCCCAGGACGGGCGCGGTTCATCACACAACCCCAGCATCCTGTGGAGCCCGTGCTCCCTTACAGATAGACGACACTAACAGTCGAGTGGTTTGTAATATCACTGCATAATACAGGAGATAGCTGGATATATCTCCTCTAGTAGGCGGAAGGGGGTTGCGTATAATGGCAGGAAGATAAAATGACCCAGCTAAAAAAGACAAACTTCCTAAACTTGCTATAAGAACAGCAAAGAAGCAAGGAATAATGTTGTTATTTAACCATGATGATGTGAACTTGAGCGTAGCCCTGAACAATTGCCGTTGGTCGGCGGCCACACGATATTCCCAGGTGGTAATTAACCATTGGCACCGAAGATAGAGATAAGAGAGGATATGGAAAAGGTGAAGAAGAGACGGAGCTACGAGGCAATTAGTGTACTCGATAGGCGTGTGTCTGGCCGTGAAACCCACGGCAACTATGACCAGGTCGTAGAGCAACATGTAAAACGACAGCGGATAGGGAATCCTCGACAGGGTGGCCCTAGCGCTCCTGACATCCCAGAAGCTCAAGGCCCACAGATAGCGCGTTTGGCGGTTTCTTGCTGCCATGAGACGGGTAAGCCTCCAAGCGTGGCCGAGCATGAGAATTGAAGCCAGGCCACTCATACCCATTGCGCGTAACATGCCACTCCAGGCTAATAGGAAGTAGGAAACTATGCTTAGAGACAAGGGGGACACCACAGCCATGAGTATTGAGATGCACATAAAAACTCCAGGTAAAATCACGCTCTTCTGAGCGTGCAGATGCCTAAACGGGCAGGCTGTGAATCTGGACGTTTTGAGGGCAGGCCAAATGCGAGTATCTAGGATAGGGGGCGTGCGTCAGTGAGATTCAAACGGACGACGAACCGGGGGTTGGAAGGAGATTAATAGTTAACGAACCCATCTCGATCAATATGGGGCATGAATTGGCGACAGCCAAACACGTGTGGTCAGTGACCTCGTTGTTCTGGGACAGACCATATTGTGGTCTGATGTCGACCTTCCAGGTGATAGTGGCGTCGACGATGCGCAATCGGAGAACGTCGTCGGTGCGTCCATAGATAGCGCACAGAAGCCCGACTTTCCAAGCAGGGTGCTGGGGAGAAGTCTTTGATAGGAAGAACAAAATCTGGGACTCTTCCGGAGCTTCCACCTGTTTCCCTTTCGAGGGGGTGGGAGGAAGAGTGACCTGGACTGCGAAGACGTCGTTTCCCTGAACGTCTCGAAGCAAAAAGTGGCCTTCTGGCCGGCCAAGACCTGAGGGGCACTCGAAGATGCGAGTGGTGGAATTTTGCAAGTTGACAAGGAAGCCGTTGGCTGTATGCTGGATGGCGCCGTGGGCAAAGTCCAATTCGGGAACGCTTTCTCGAGATCCCGGGAATCTGGGCACCCAGCCACAATCTAGACTCGAAGTTAGAGCCAACCATGCTGTGCGGTCGCGCTCGACGGCTAGGATGTCTAGAGGCAACGACTGGACACAGCGTAGGATGGCTTGTCTGCGGCGCTCAGGCGCAGTGGACGGCAGCTCCCCTAGGCTCCTATACAGAAGCGTCGCGAAAATGGCCGGAACATCGTCAGGGTACGAGGTGGTCCTTCGGGCGAGCTGATTCCAGACCGAGATGAATTCGGCATTGGGCGAGTGGCGTACCACTTCTTCCGTGAAAAACTCATCAGTGGAAACTCATTAGGGATTCGAAGTCGACCCCAAGAGAGGATATGGGCATTTTGGATTTGGTTGGGAAGCATCTCCAGCGTTATACTGATGCCCAGATGCGAGCCTTCATATCGGAACATGTGGTCAGCAAACCGGACGTAGATTGCCGAGGTGAGCGCAGCTTCTTGGAGCGGCCAGCTGCGAGCCATCCATGGGGAGGAGTCGACCACGGCGACAGCCATCATGTTCCTCCAGTCAACATGGCAATCCGTGAGGGGCTCCGTTTCCGTCATGCGCTGGTGGGCAGACAAGCTAGAGAAGCTGATTCTGCTGATGGCAGGGTCCATGACGAGTATGCTGTTGGCACCCGCATAGATCCTCCCCATGGAATTGATGGCCCGGTCCTTCCCCTCGTAGTGGCGGACCGGAATGCAGAGGGTAAGTCAGGTGGTCTGCTTATGGAACACCCCTGGATTTGGAACAAGGTTTGTCATCAAGGACTTGCCGCTCGCCACCCAACTCACCTATTTCAATCGCTTGCAACTCGACCAATTCTACTTCAATACTTATCTTCTTTTCTCCATTCAATTGAGAAATGAAAGATGAAGCGATATACTCAGTTGGATTTGCAGAATGCGCTGGCAGAGTATGCAGAAATCGGCTTACTCCGTAGCTCTGCTGAAAATCACGGCATCCCCCCTACTACTCTCTTTAATCGGGTTCGTGGTTCTGAGCCAGCCTCCAAGGCCCAAATTCTTAATCAAAAGCTTTCTCCGGCTATGGAAGAACGCTTAACCGAATGGATTCTATTCCAAGGGTCGCTCGGTCACCCTCCAACCCACGCCCAAATTCGGAAACTAGCTAGAAGAATGCTCGAAGATAACGAGACCCTCGGAAAACGCTGGACTAGCCGGTTTTTGGCTAGAAATCCATCTATTTCTACAATTAGGCTTCGGAGAATCCATGCAAACCGTGCTGATCGAGCCTGTGAGGCCGTTATCCGGCCTTGGTTTGACTATTTGAAGCCTCCAGGCGTGGAGGCTATTCCAGCCAAGCATAGGTATAATATGGATGAAACTGGCATTGCTTCTGGCATTGGAGATAACGGCCTGGTTGTTGGATCTAAGGAGAGAAAGAAATTCCAGAAAAAGAAGAAAGGAGACCGAATTTGGACCTCGATTATCGAATGTATTTCCGCTGACGGCCGGTATTTGAACCCAGTCGTCATTTTCAAAGGTGGAAGCCTTCAACAACAATGGTATCCACGCGATTTACAGCCATTTAAGGGCTGGAAGTGGAAACCCACTGAAAACGGCTGGTCTGACGATGATACTGCCGTCGCATGGCTCCGCAATATCTTTCTTCCAGAGACTCGGCCAGCTACCCCCTCGGAGAAGCGCCTCCTTATTTTAGATGGCCACGGTAGTCATACCACCGAAGAATTCATGTGGCTAGCCTTTTCTAATAACGTACAATTGTTATTTCTACCAGCCCACACCTCCCACGTTCTCCAGCCCCTGGATTTATCGGTTTTCGGCCTCTAAAAGCCCGGTACAGAGCCAAGCATAACGAGGTTGTTTCCGGCTTCGACGAAGGCACTGTTGCTGAAAAGAGGGCCTTCCTAGAATGCTACCGGCAAGCCAGGGTCTATGGAATGACTGAATCTAATATCAAAGCCAGCTGGAAAGCTACAGGCCTCTGGCCGGTCAGCCTCAGGAAGCCCCTAAGCAACGGCCTTGTTATTAAGAATTCTAACGGCGACGTTGGTCAACTGACCTCTACGGTTTCTATAGACCTTCAAGAGGTCCATAACCCCATTCTAAATAAGAATTCGGAGGGCCGGCCTATATGGTTTACCCCTAAAAAGCCGAAGGATTTCCGTATTCAGGGGCAGGTTTTTCTAGCCGGCCAGAAACGGACTGCCAACGACCGACTTTTCATACGCAAGGCCGCAAAAGCCTTCGATTACGTGGTTTTCCAACTAGCCAATACGGCGCATCAATTAGAGGCTGCAGAAAAAAGCCTAGAACGCACAAGAGGCCGAAAGAGAAGGAAGGTCCAAGTCGACCCTAATACGCAGTTCGCTGGAATTGAGGAGGTTCGTGCCTCACAGAGAGAGGCTGGCAGAGAGGACCTTAGTTATTCTGAAAGAGAAGAATCAGGAGAATCCGATACTGAAGACTTCATCATTGTAGCTAATTAATTGACAAAGTTGTTGGCAATTGAAGTTTGTGGTGTTGTGCGGGGTCCGATTCAGGGGCTGTTCCATAGGCAGGGGTGTTCCAAAAGTCCCCCACCTGACTTATCTATCCAGTAATAGCAGTAGTATATCCACGTGGGCCAGGTGGTGGGTGATTCAGCCACTTAGCTGCATTTTAGCGCCAAAAAACGCCCGTGCGATCAGCACGTTAAAAGATCCTACCATATGCACTGTCGGCCCCGCCGAAGGAGGCCACGAAAAGATTGCAAAAAGGGTCTTAAAAAAGGTCAAAAAATTCGAAGAAAAGGTTTAAAGGAGGGTTTTAATCGGGGCTCTAAAATGGCTCGAAAAGCAAGGTAAAAGGTGGTTTTATTTGCGAGTTATTTTGGCTTATGGCCCACAAGTCTTGCTTTGCGGCTGGCCCGTAGCTGCTTACAAAACTTGTCAATGGAGCAGCCAATTTGCTGCTGTTGAAGATGAACTATGCGGACGGCAGCTTCCTCGCTCGTACGCTGGGCTCGCACAATCCGCTGAACCTCCTTAACAACTTCGGACCGTAAAGAATACCACTGCAGTTCAGTCTGCCGGCCGGCCCGCCACCGGTTCCCCCATCTCCGATCAAGAGTAGCCACGGCCGGCCCGCCCTGGAGGCCAACAGTCCACTCACGCCAAAGGTCTGCCACCGTCCTGACTGCACGGCTCATACGGTACTGTGGCGGCTGTTCTTCTCCTCCTTCGACCGGTAGCCAGCTAATTGTGGGAGCCGGGCTGCAAAGGCGGCTAGTAGCAGAGCCATACTAGCTTTGTTCATCTGGGCCAGCTCCCGGCCTAGCCATAGGGCCAGCTCCCGGCCTAGCCATAGGGCCAGCTCCCGGCCCATTTATAGGGCCAGTTCGTTGGCCCGCTTCGGCTAGGACCGGCTGTGGAGCGGTTGCTTGTATATGGACTGTAAGACCAGCAGAAAGGGTATTGTGGAGCTTAACTGTCTGCTGCGACTGGGCCTCGATAAGCCGCATCTCGGTGGCTTGGAGCTTTGCTGTGAGCTCTAGGACCCGGGCCTCATTACGAGCATCGATCGATTTTAAGTAGTCTGATAGGACTGGAAGCGCTTGGGTTAACACAGCCAGTTGGCTGGGCCGCTCTTCTTCCTGTACGAAAGCAGCCACCTGCTTGGCGAATGGCTTATATCCCGGGTGTTGAAATACTGGGTGGCTCCAAACTGGGCTGTTCGGGAACCTATCCATCAGGACAGCCGAGTCTTGTAGAACTACCCCACGGAGGTAAAAAAGGAGGTTAGTAAAGCCCATAGCAGCTAGATCGTTAATTTGGCCAGGCCCTGGGCCAAACCGGCCTTGCCACTGGTCCAACTGCGGCCAAATCATCGAAAGGAGGTCGGCTGGCGGCGCCACGCCGGCCCTCCGGACCTCAAAGCATCCCATCTGCGGAGGATGGCCGGCCATAGTACGCATAAACGTGCGGGGCAGGGAGTTGAGGTAACAGCCGATCATCTGCTCTTGGTTCCAACGGCCGGCCCGGCGGATTTGATCCTCGCTAACACCCTTCAATTCGGCCACCTTCGCTCCCGAGCTACGGCCGATGTGTGTCTTCTTTTGGGAGCTGATCCCGGCATATGAGAGGGCCCGGGCCGCCCACTCCCGTTGCGAGTTGTAGGAGAGACCTGCCGTCCGCCCCGTACTACTGCTCGTAATCAGGCGGATGCCGTACCACGCCGGCCGCTGGCTGAAGTCTGGGAACGGCTCTTCTGTAAGATCCCAGCGAAAAAGGAGGTAAAATGCGAGGCCGCTCAATGCACAAATCAGTGGCTTGCGGTTCCGTAGGGCCCCGGCTGTCTCGAGCCGGCCGTGCTGGTTGGTCTTCCCGGCCCGCGTCGTCATAATTAACGGCATACAAGGAGTAGGGCCTTCGTCCGGGAACTCAAAGGTAAATAGATCGGATAGCTCTAAAGCCCTCCGGTCGCCTCCACGTGTGAGCATATAGTGGCCAAGAAGCAGGTCGACAAGGGTCCGTAGGTGGCTCTCGGCTGGGCCGGTGGCTGTATGTACCCATAGCTCGTGGCATATCGTCTCGAACTCCAGCTCCGTATAGCCATCCAGCAGAGTATCAGAACCTTTATCCGCATAGCTGGTCTTGGCCTGCTCGGCATCGCGCCGCTGTAAGGACTTGAGATAGTCCCGGACATTGTCTTCGCGTGGAGATGGGTGGATGTTCATACCGCGTGCCTTTTGCGTGCGGTAGAGATCCGTAATTGCCGTGATATAGCTACGGACCGATCGCCAGGCTAGCCGTGTCTCTTCTTGTGGGGTATCCACGGCCGCCTTCCGGCTTTTGGCTCGTAACGGCCGGCTGGTGACGCTCTTGGTGAGGAAGTAAAGGAGCTTGTCTTCTGTGACGGTATCCCCATCGTAATACTGCTGTAGCCTACAGAAATTTTGGAATTCCCGCTGCTTTGGCTCGTACGTAGAGGTCGTATTCTTTGGCCACATATTGTGGATTACCGAGAGGATGCTTTGCGCGTTGGCGCGTAGTTCTGCGTTGTTGTGTGCGTCGCGTTGCACGCGTCCCAAGCCTAGGACAGGGGGTAGGCCGCTAACCGTAATCACATCCCCACTCTGGCCGCCAGCCGGAGCCGTAGCCGGAGCCGGCTGCGCCGCCGGCGCCCTCTGTCGCTTGCGGGCCATAGTTAAAAAGAGGTCAATTGATCGATAAGATGCGCAGGAAGCTGGCTAGCTCTACGGCTAGCCGGCCAGACGTGGAGCGAGCGAGAGGCCTTATACGCATTCGAGCAGCCAACTCGCTGGCACGCCCCGCGGGCAGGCTGGTCAATAGGGGGCCACAGCGGCTCGATCAGCCAAGCTAGCCTAGTTACAGCGGCCTGTCTAACTGGGAAGCGCTGTAGCGCTAGCGTACTAGACCCAACTCAGCTGCGCAATCAGCTGAGTGGATGGAGAGACTGGGATCTAGGCTGCATTTGTGTGGTGGCCTGGTGTGGAGATCCCAAAATACGATAGGCCGGCGAGCGCAAGGTGGGGCACGGGCCATAGTCAGCCGGCTCAGCGAGAGCTCAGCGAGGGCTCGGATACCTATTATATCCCTACCTACCACAAGGGGCCTATACTATAGGTAAGGAGCCTAGCTCCCTAGCTGGCTTATGCTACCCTACCTGTTACGATCCTGGTTCAAAGGTGCAGAGGGCGTTGCCCGCTCGCGACAGATTGGCTGGAGCGGCATTTAGGGTGGGGCTCTCGGCAAGGCGAGTGCAGCCAATCAGGGAGCGCTTAGTGTGATTAGTACGCCCAATCGGCTCAGTTGGCCTGGGAGCGCACCGAGCATACGGAGCGCACTGAGCAGGCGGATGCAGCCAATTAGGGGGCGCTTAGTATAATTAGTACGCTTAATCGGCTTAGTTGGCCTAGGAGCGTACTGAGTACCTCAAGAGACCCTGAACGACCGGATTCCTCCTGATAACCAGCACTTTATGAGGGCTCCTAAAATGCCTCAGCCACCCATTCCTTCGAGCGAAGCGAGGGCAGGCCGCCGCAGGCGCCGCCGGAAGCTCCGTTCAGCTGACCCCTTCCTGATTAGTCAGGTAACCTATTTTAGCCGTATGACTTGCATGTTGAGCGACAACAAACGAGGTGTTCCTCTTAGTTCCGGGAAGCGATGAAATACTGGAAAGGCGGAGATGTGATATTACGGTTCATTTGTGGCATGTCCGGGACGGGGTGGTGTGCATTCTGATAAGGACGTGTCGGGTTCATTGCATCATTAGCTCGGTATTCCAGACGCGCAGAAAACAACGATGGCTAAGCCGACGCGGCAAAGGGGTACCGCCCGGCTCGTAGATTAATCTGGCCCGTGATCAAAGTTGACAGTGGCTGGAAGGGTCTTGAATTGTCTGGCTCCCTCCCCTCTAATAATACAGGAAAGAAGGCCTTTTATGCTTCCAAGAAAAGGACAAAGGAAACCTGGTTCAACAATCTGTCCAGTCGTACTACGTAAGGGACTAAGCCGTAGCAAGGGAGAAAAAAAGAGAGCATTCGGAAGTCCGGGAGCCCGAAAAAAGGGATCAGGGCTGAAAGTAACGAATGAAGGGATATGCAGGGATATGCAGGTATGTGACTTGACAATGTGGCTCAAAAGTGGCTCAAAAGTGGGCGACAATTAATGAACAGGCAATGAGACTAATGGTCGTGATTAGGGGCACGGCTTTTGGGCCCCCAACCCGATAGATTACCCAGACCCCCAATATGAAGCCGACCCGCGGGTCTCCCCTTCAAGTAGCCTTCGTGAACGGTAATCGACAAAGTAATGGCATGATAAGTATTCGCCCATTCTGCTTATTGTCGCCAATATCCCGTGTTCCCCGTCTCCAGCAACCCAATCTCTTCTGACATCTACACGCAAACACAGTGGAACTTGCAGCAGCCTCCTTCGGACTTATCGGCGTGACAGGCCGTGCCAGCTCAAAGGTGTGGAAGTTGTGCGATCCCTGGAGAGACGCGCCTCGAGAGGTTCACCAACTCTGCGACAACCTGGTCCGCGCCAGTGATCCGCGCCGGTGACTTTTTCTCGCAGGTCAAGTCTGGCGTGGAAAGAACGTCAAACAGCAACTCAACTCCCAGTGCACACCAGCAAGCGGAGGAAGATTGCACGGTTGGCGAATGCGAAAAAGCTGAGACGGCTTGGAGCTTCGCTCAAGGAAATCAGCGTCAAGATCTGCGCGAGCTTCGCCTGCCGAGTCCCAGGAGGCGATAATAGAACAAATCACCGAGACCGAGTCGCGCCTCTCCGAGCACCTCGACGAGTCGAGAGAAGGGGTGGTATCGGGCATCGAGCAGAGACTCGGCGTGATATCCAACCAAATCACGACACGCATCGAAGAGAGACTCGACACTATGTCCAGCCAGATCACCTCACGCATTGATTGCAGCGTCTCTGAGATTCAGCACCTCGATTTCTCTCGCCACGTTGGCGCAAGGCCTGTGGCAGGAAGGAACAGGGAGCGTCAACTAGCATCCCAGAACCAGGACGTGGCGTCAGTGGACAGGTTTCTCTTGGCGACGGCTAATACCGCCATCAGAAGGACACTGAATACCTGGCAGCTTTTTGCTCGTTGCAAGCCAACATGCGTTTGCCAATGCCACCGGAGACCCGGGGGCAGCAACCTCGCTATCCGATGGAGATCGCAACACTTCAAAAGCACTTGGGTCAGCAAGTCTGAACTATGGAGTTCTTACGCGGCGGAACTCGTGTTGTGACAGCAATTGCCACAGCTATCAGGTCGGTGAGATTGTCAACTTCACTTACCAATTTCTCTCTTGGCTGTTTAGCATGGTCATCTGCCTGTTTTTTTTTCGACTAGGCTGCTCGGAAGCCCCGGGCTCCTTCGCGTCTACCGCACCATCCCAACAGACAGCGCAACTATAGACTCGAGCATATTTGGCTGCGTCCGCGTGTCCGACATCAATGGGGCGAAGTGCCTTCTACGGGAACGACGTGGCTCCGTTTACGACGTGGTGGCCGATAACAAGATAACGCCGCTGGTGGCCGCAATTTCTTTGCAGAAAATGGAGTTTGTGCGCTTCTCCTGCAGGCCGAGTCGGATCCTTTCCGTAACGGTTCCCGTGGACAGCCTATGCCAATGTTGGCGGCCATGCGGCAGTCCGAGGAGTCCGAGGGGGAAATAGGTAGGCAGCTGGCAGAGCTACTCCCCATCGAGCAGCTTGTACAGTATGAGGAGATATACACGGACCCTGCACAAGATCGTCCTTGGCGTCCTCTCACTCGACTTGGAGACCGAGTTGGAGAAAGCTCCCATCAGGGCCGAGTTGAATACTAGATCGTGGACAGCAAATACACCACTCCATCTGGCCATCATGCGAGGCAAGACACACATGGCCGTCTTGCCGTTGAAGGCTGGCGCAGATGTGACGGCCCGTGGATACCGCAACAAAACTGCTTTGCACATGGCCTGCTGCAGTGGCAAAATTGAGACTGCCAAAATGTCGATTGAGAGCGGAGCAGACGTCAACGCGCGAGACGCAAACGGCGAAACCCCGCTTCATAATTACCAGGGACTGCTTAGACTGAAAATGGTATCTTTGCTCGTAGACCACGGTGCCAACGTGAGAGCACTCACCAATAGAAAAGGCGAGCCTCTCGTCAAGGCCGCCTACTACGCCTCGACCGCTACAATAAACTACCTTTTAGACCATGGAGCCGATATCAACCATCACGACTGGGAGGGGGATGTTCCGCTTTTTGAAAGCATTAGAACGAAACAACACGACGCTGTCCCTCTTCTCCTCCACCGCGGTGCAGACTACACGAATATCAACAATTACGGCCGTGGTACTCTTCACCAGCTTGCTTTGATGGGCGACATGGAGATGTTTCGGATATTCAGCCAGGTCAGGATGAGAGGCGTGGACGTCCAGTGGATGGATAGCACGGGCAAGACGCCACGGCAGCTGTTTACAGAGCGACCTGGCTTTGGCGAGACACCGGAATCCCTAGGTTTGCGGCCCGCTTTTGACAAATTACTAGCCAGCGTCACTCTGGAGCCAGACCTGGAGTCAGATTTGGGGATCGAGGAAGAGGAAGAAGACCTCTCGCATGCCTCAGAAGACGACGAGTTCTTTGACTTTGAGGAAAGTTAGGGGTCTTCAGGTCAACAGCGAGGGATTGGCCGGCCGATGAGTGTCTAGGCAAATATCTAGTTGACGAATACGAAATACCACCGTGTTCCTAGTGAGATAGGCACCGTGCTCCTAGTGAGATAAGCAATAATACGTCATATTCAAGGCCTGGAATACATTAGAAACGGAATTACATCAGTGACAAGACAACGAGCACCCTCGTTCTACAACGATAACATCCTTATTTGTGCCTATAATAATTCACCTCAAACATGGAACAATCACCGAGGCACGTGAAAGACGAGAACGCTCACTGCAACATTGCATTCAATATCTGCAATCTCGCACTGCATGGCTATGTGGGAATGTAGACTAGGGAGATGATATCGTGGTTGTTGAAGGGGCATGTGGAGTCCGAAAACCTCCGTCGGACGCAAGATTCGCTCGTCCGAGGTCGCTCCTTCGGGCTTTAGTCTCAAGGCTACGTCTCAGAAACGGCGTGGTTCGTACCACGGATCTATTTTTGGCTCATGCATGTTGGGGGGGAATAAAGGGGGGGAGTAAAGGGAGGGAGTAAGGGGGGGGAGTAAAGGGGGGGAGTAAAGGGGGGGCGTAAAGGGGGGGGGAGAGAGCAACCATCACGATGTCGGATGCGGCGGGCTAGGCTTGCACGCAGCCACAAGGCCCTGATTCACACAAGCCGAACGGGTTGCCGAGCCGGCGGGGAGCTTCCTGACGGGTGGGATTCAATATGTCCGAACAAACGAGCGGCGAAGGACAGTAGCGACAACCCAAGAACCCGGGCCTCGAGGGGTGATCCTGGGAGGGCTCGTCGGGGCCCCTCTCTGCAAAGCTTGACAGCGTGGGAGCGATGGCGTAGGAGGTGGCATTTTCAGGATGCCATGTGAGGTCGTGTGACTAGAGCGGCGGTGCGTTGGCATGGGGAATGCGCGCAGAGTCGAAGACGGGCGGGGGCTTGGCTTCACTGCTTCTTGGTTCGGAGTACCTCCCGAAGCTTTATCATTTCCTGGACGTAGCACTGCGGGGTCATGGCGAGGGCTGTGGTGTAAACACCGGTGGTCTACGAGGAGCTACGCACACCAAGATGTAGTTTTACCAATAACAAGCCGACCAACCAATCAACCAAGGAAACTCAACGTCCTTGCTGTTACTACACGTCAATGCCGTTACCACACGTCAATGCTGTTTGGTCTCGAATATCCCACAGGCCGCGCCCCAGGATATCCGTTATCAGTTTAATTTGGTAGACTGACACGGCATCGACGTGCCCCGCGGGTCAGCGACGGTGTGTTGTTGGTATGCAGCGGTGTTTTAGGTCAGCAAAGGCCACGACACCTCAACGTCGTAGCAGTAGTATCGAACTGGCTTGGTCGCGGTTTACCAGGACTAAAGGGGATGACGGAGTGATACAATCACATTGCCGGACCGAAAACACAGACCAAACAGGGGAAAACAGGCGAGCCCCAGATTGAAGCACGCCTACCTTACCCAGGCCTGGCAAAGACGTGACCACACATGTGATGTCAGACTAGTCGTCGGTCGACGGATGTGGTGGGGGGCGGAACCCGGGTTCGGGAGAATGAGCCGTTCAACCACAACAAAGACGGAAGACGAGAAAAAATAGCACACGAAAATCTCTTCGCCAGGCCGAAGATGGGACACGCCAGGACTCACGACAGTATATGTAGGACCTCGGAAGGGCCCATATCCAGGACGTTGAGACGAGGGGCAATCTAAGGAGGCTCAAACCGCCTTGTAGATTCCGATTCCCGATAACATGCCATGCCATGCCATGCCATGCTGTGCCAGGTCGGTTGGCCGGTCGGTTTGAGCAGGTTGAATGAATGGCGGCAGGGATCCGTCCAAGGCAAGGGTGCATGTCTCGGTTCGCTTTCTTTTGTTTCGCTGAGGTGCAATCGCCGCCGCTCAAATCCCCGGCCACGGGCACTAATTAGCGCCCCACCCGGGGCAACCTGCCACTAACCCCAGGGCAGCCTGGGGCTCTGGGGAGACGGCGCAGCGAGCCCAGCGAATCACGGCGCGTTGCTGCGGGGCCCCACTGATCTCGATATCGGAAGGCCGACCGATGTTGAGCGAGACAGGCTTGGCGGGGTCGAGGGTCCACCACACAGAACGTCGAAAACCCGCGGGAAGGGGCGGAAGGCTTGGGAATGGCGGGCCGCGAGGCGGTTCGCCGGCGCCATGCTTTCAGGCGATGCGGAGTCGTGGTTCCGACAAGGCCCCCACTGCGGGCTGCCACGGCCAATTGGGGCCAGTAGGGCATTTCCTGCTGGCCCAGAAAACCAAATTGCCTTGCAACTTGCGCATGGCCTGCGGGTGTGCGTCCCTTGCGCCCAGCGCCCAGCAGCCCAGATGCCCCGATTGCTTGCATCCACCAAATGTCGAGAGTATTGCAACGCATCTCCAACAACGAAGCACGGCCCGCAGCACCCAAGCCTCCGCCAGCCGTCTGGCCCTGTGCATGGTGTTTTCGACGGCCCGCCAGTTGCTGGCTTCTGCACTGCTTCTGGGCATGCTGGTCCGCCGGGATTCCTGGGTCCACGTCTGCATGGCATTGGTCTGGGTCCACGTCTGCATGGCATTGGTCTGGACTCTAGGTTCGCTCGCCGGGACCGAAGCACGATGTCGCTCGCCACCCAGCCTAGCCCAGCCCGAGACGAGACAAAAGTCCGCGCGCCGGCCAAGCGGGCTGGGTCGAAGACATGCGACAGGGGACGCATCGGGCGGCCGGGTTAGCGTCGCGGAGATAAAGGCACCGCACACGTACATAGTAGACAGCGGACAGAAATGTATGCTCGGAAGGAGTCCTGGTTGGCGCTGGTCGGCGACAAGGCCCTCGAGTGCGCGTTGGCGAGAATGCTGAAGCTTCGGCCGCAGGCCTAGCCTATTCTGCCTAAACGTCACAGCGAAAAACATTGAACCTTTATATTGGCGAGGCAGTCGCATTTCAGTCCCCAGTCGCCATTCCGACGACTCTGGCTGGCGCGGCGCCGAACACCGAGCGAGCCCAAGTTCTGGACGGGCAATAGGTTTTAACTATCAAGTGTTCAAGGGCGCCTGCTCCTTCGAGAACTGCAGCTCCTTCCAGGTTGGTGGTTCTTTCCTGCCCAGCCAGAGCAATTCCGCAAGCCAAGGTCAACGCACCCTCTTGGGTGGGACTTGGGAAGGCACGCCTCCGACATCTACCCGACGGACACACCTGCACGCGCCCGTGGGCACGCCTCACAACCAGCCCACATTGCTGCCGCTTGCTCGGGAAGCAGCTCCTAGGCCGGTGGATCTGGAGCCGAGGTTCACCCGCCCCAGCGGTCCTATCTGCTGTGTAAAGCCAGTGCATTCCCCCACCACACCACCCGGCCCAAATGCGGAACATCAAGCACGAGTCGCACTTGGTCCAACCTCGACCGCCGCCGCCGCCGCACATCTACCCAACACACGACTCGATGGTTGCCGACGCACGATGACGAGCTCAACAGCCGGCGCCGCCGTTTCGGTGTCGACGACGAGGGCCACGAGGTCCAAGAACATGATCATGGGAGGTATCGGCTCGCTGGCGACAGTGCAAGGCGGTATTACCCCAGACGGTACGAATACCGCGGGCGATACCCAAGCCAATACCAATACCAATACCAGTCCCAGCAGTCCCAGCAGTCCCAGCACCGCCGCCAGCAAGGGCAAGGGTCGAGAGCCACGCGCACCGCGGTGCAGCCAATGCGCAGCCAGCCGTCGACGGACAGCGTGCAGCCATCTTCCTTCGCAGCTACCGTCTCACTCGCCCACGCCGCCGCCCAAGCCAAGCTCCAGTTCTAGTTCCAAGCCCGCGCCCACGCCCTCCACGCTGCCTTCCTCCGCAATTACCAGCGGAAGTCTCAGCGCCGCCGCCCGACCCCGCAGAATCTCCAAGCTCAAGCACCGTACTTTAAGTGCAGCCGTCGCCTCGTTAAAAAATGCCAGACCCCTCACCAACGCCAGCCCCAGCGCCAGCGCCAGTGCCAGCGCCAGCAACTTCTACAGCGCGGTCGCCAGCGCAACCGCCAGCGCAACCGCCAGCAGCTCTGCAACGGACTCGACCGCCATGGACCCGCCCGTCCTGTCCTTCTACGGCACCGAGCCCGTGCCACTGCCCTCGCGTTTTGCCAAGATCAAGCACGATCTCGCCGCTGGCCACGAGGCCGAGCTCGAAGCCTCGTGGGCTCGTCTGCTTGACGCGCTCAAGGATGCCGTTGAGCACATCGAGTCGCGTGGCCCGAACATCACCCCGCACATAGATTTTACCGACATCGACAACCCCGCCAGGGCCCAGACGTTCGCACGCGACTTGAAGCGCTACGGCGTCGGCGTCGTCCGGGGCGTCGTACCCCGCGCTGATGCACAAGCCGCAATCGACGAGACGGTCAAGTACCTCGAGACCAAGCACGATTTCAAGACGCCACCACCCCAAGATCCCACATGCTTCGACTTCTTCTGGACCCCTGCGCAAGTGCGCACGCGAGGCCATCCCCGCGTCTTGGAGGCGCAGCGGTTTGCCATGTCGCTATGGGACAACGACGCAGACGACCGCATGGCCATCCGCTTCCCAATCGCCTACGCCGATCGGCTCCGCATCCACGGCGCCAATGTTGGAGGCGTGGGTCCAGACGCCGCGGCCAACGCCGCGGAGGCCCGGAACGGTGATGCGGGCAGCGGCGACAGCAATGCAGAAGCGCAGCGAGCGGTTGTCGAGCTGCTTGGCGACTTTGCATCCTCGACGGTGATTGCGCAGGTGGACAATGGTAGTCTCGAGCGCTGGGAGCCCGACGGATACGGTCGCGGCGGCACGTACGATGCCGTGTTCAAGGGCGAGTGGGAGAAGTACGACCCGTGGGACCCGACCTTCCGCGTGAGCTCGACGCCAGATCTCTACAACGGCTATGGTGCATGCAGCATCTTCCGCATGTACCAAGGCGTCGTAGCCCTGAGCACCATCGAGCCCGGCCTGATCAGGCTTCTGCCGAGCCCCAAGCTTGCCACGGCGTACTTCCTGCTGCGTCCCTTCTTCTCGCCCAAGACAAAGCCACCGGAGCGCCGCGAAGGTCCAGAATGGGATACATTCTTAGACGCGTCGAACTGGGCGCTTGAACGGGACCACAGCACCATCATCCACGGTGCCGTCTACGGGCACGCGCAGCGGCTGACCGAGCTGTGGCATCCCCACCTGCACCTGCGCCGCACCCTTGTCACTATTCCTACGCTGCAGACCGGGGACTATATTGTCTGGCACCCGGATTTGGCGTACCACATTACTTCAAATCCCAACGTCATGGCCAGCCGGGCCCCCACACCTCCGCCCATGGCGGACGGCGACGGACCCTCTGGGAGGCCAGTCTCTATCCTAGTATACGTCCCTGCTGCGCCTCTTACGCAGACGAACGCACTTTACCTGGCCCGCCAGCGCAAGACCTTTTTGCGCGGCCACCCAAGTCCCGACTTCGACTCGACGGGCAGTGGACTCGGTAGCGAAGCCTCGCATGCAGGGCGGCCGGGCGAGACGGAGATCGCAGAAGTCAGTGGTCCGGGCGGGCTGCAATCCATGGGCCTAGCGCCCTTCGATGTGGCCCCGACGCCGCCGGCCGACGGGAGCAACGACGACGGCGACGTCGAAATGGAGAACGCCGGGACGAGCAACGGCATCAAGCCTCGCTCGCCGATAACGCGTGCCGAAGCCGAGGTCGCACGGCTAGCCAACATCATTTTGTTTCCAGACCGCTACGACTTTTACATGGGGAAACGGAACGGCACAAGACCGCGGAGATCAAAGCCAGAGGTGAAAGAGGAAGAGAAGCCAGAAACAGTCGCGGAAGAGGAAAACAAGAGCTGAAACGTCCGCATCACTGCGGACAGCCCGACTAAAGGGGGCGGGGGGGGGGTGGGATGGGCGGTGCAGGGGGGGTTCGAGATTCTGCGGTCAGGTCATATTAGATGGGATTCATACCCCGAAAGAGCTGGAATTTCTGCCTGGTCCATCCAGCGCCGCATCGCTTGAGTGTTGGTGCTGGCTATTCTTGTATTCATTGTTCTCTTGCATATAGCTTTATTCTGACTGGATTAGTAGTTAATGTGTGCATGGCCTCCTCCGTTGAGGCGTCGCATCAATACAAGCTCAGTTGCTTAGTCGGGTTTGATTTTGGTCCTCTTTGTTTTCTCGCACTTGATCAATCAATCACTAGCCCAAGATTCAAGAACGAAGATGTAAGAGTGCCGGCAATACCTCGAAAGTCTGGCCGCTAATTGGATTAAAATATCATCGAGGGAATCAAGCTACAGCCACAAGTGGAATCGCGCGTTACGAAGTTCAGGAAACCCCATGATATATATCACAGCGACAATCACTTCGTATTTCCGGTCACATTTGGTCTGGAAACGAAAAGACTTGAATGACGTATGATATGATCCGCGCGGACTAATCAGACCGCGTCGGCCTACGGCTACAGCTACTAGACTGCGCAGATATCGAAGCTGGCAGCTACGACGACAGATAGCCAGGAACCCAAATTTGTGTGCCGTGCCGTCTATGATAAAGTTAACTTTCTTAACTCAGTAATATATAGCCCTCCCCGTCCCCGTCAAAAGCTCTTCCTCTTCCACACAATCACACATCGTTCCAGTCACTATATCCAGTCACCATCGTTCAGCATGTACCGCCGCCAAACACTATGGCCCTCTACCTAGGGAACTACATCCCGAGCTCCCATGGGCCCGTACCAGCCTACTCTCGCCCTCGCCGTCTTCCCGGGCCCCGCACCGCTCACCCTTTGGATATGGGGCTGGGTTCCCTGACGTCGCCGGGGCCAGCCACTCCACCGAAGTCGCCGTCCTTCCCGACGTCGCCGGGACCAGCCACTCCCTTGCCCTCGCTGTCCTTCTCGACGTCGTCAGGCCCAGCCGCTCCCCCTCAAAACATGCAGGCGACCCAGGCTCGTATACCCGCGCCGGATATGACCAACTCGGCCGTGTCCTCGGCGCAGGCTGCCTGGGATGAATAGGGCAATGGCGGGGTCGAACACCGCAATGGCTGGAATGAACGCCGCAATGTAAGTGCGCATTTTCTCTCCCCTGGTTAGTTTTGGCGGCCAGGTAGTTGGTTAACCTTTCCATGTAGGAAAACGTCCAAATGAACTCCTTTAGCCCCTCGCTCGCAAGGCAGGAGGACCTCCAGATGAACTCCTGAGCGTCTTGGATGGTGATTGCCCACGAAGTCTCCGCCTGCTGTAGGTCGACGTGGCGTGCAGAGAATTTCTCAAATTTGAGCCGGCAGGTCCGGCCTTGTGTGGGAGATGAACTCGTCCTGACGGGAATCACGGCTGGGCGCTTGCCTCTGGTGTTTTCATCCTGTTTCTCGCCTTTGGTTGCTTTTATTTCTGGCTTTAACCGATATTTTATTACTTCTGATATTTTATTCTGCTCGATGAGCGTCTGCTCAACGACGGACTTCCACAGCTGGGTTTATTCATCAAACCATGTTTGCTCATGTTCACCGATTTCAACGTCCGCGGCGCAAGGCGCAAGTCCAGTTCAATATGGCAGGCCAGAGGCATTACTATTAATAGACGTAAGAGCCGGATATTTGGACTATTCCACCAACTGCATGTCAAGCGAGCTAAAAAGGCCTTGCCGGCCTCGCTTACCCGGCCGGAGCAGGTGCCCTGCCCCCTTTCGGCTGACAGCTGGAGGGCATTCAAGACTCGTGAATTGAGCGGCGTGTGGGAAATGCAGCAAAAGAAAATACGGATCCGGCTTTGACTCGGGTGGAGCAATAATATGCAAGTTCATTTCTACAAACTGTATTCCCTTATTAGCTTGTGTTGGCCGAGTTTTCACTCAGTTTTGTCGGCACGTTATCAACTTGCACCGCTGGACGGCTTGCTAGTGGTGCAGGCCCATAAGTAGAAACGCAAAATCCCAGATCAACCGATATACAATATTTAGCACTTCACCTTAACAGGATCGCGGGCAGGCAGATCCGCAGAAACTTGGGGACCCCACCCATTAGGCCCAGACTCGTGATTTCGGAAAGGAGGCGGCCGTGTGACAGCTGTCCGAGACAGGGAGTTGTTGTAGGCGCCACCTAGCGCTATGGGGTGGCCCCGCCAGCGATATAGGCTTTCGCGGTATATTGCGGCGCAGATTACGTTGGACGGCAGCACATGTCTTCTCATTAGGGAAAGCGCCTTACCCGCTCCTTCGCCTGCAAATTTTACACATACAGCCACGCGGTGCTGTTTCCTGCCATGCGCGGGCCAAACACTCGCAAAAGGCCACAAAAAGCGTATGTAGCATAAATAACCTGGAATTGGCCGGGTTTGCGCCATTGCGGCCACGACACGACGCCTCTCTCTGTACGACAGTCGGGCAGACAGCAATTATTTCCAGACAGCAATTATTTCCAGACGGCAATTATTTCCAGACAGCAATTATTTCCAGTCAGCAGATTATTTCCAGACACGAGACAGACTTCGACGCCCGCCAACTGCCAGCATCACATCATTCATGGCCACCCCCGGCCATGGCGGCTTCTACGACAGGCTGGCCCATGTCGTCAGGCTGCACGGCGACGACGGCAGCCTGCCCCGAATCCGGTCGGCGCTGAAATGGCTCTCGGTGGCCGAGCGGCCCGTCCGCGCCCGCGAGCTTTGGACGGCTCTCCTGATCGATCAGTCCGAAGACCTCGAGCACATCGAACGCCTCTTGACCACACGCGACCATGGAGATGACCAGAGTGTCGTGCCCTTGCTGCAAGATCTGATGGGGCCGCTGATCTCGACTAGACGAGACGCCCCCCACGCAGCCACCTTCATCACTCTGTACGGTCCCGACCCGGCCGCCTTCCTCCACCGTCTGCACGAGCACAGCACTCCCGGAGCCATACGCTCGCTCGCTTTCTCGGCTGCCGAGGCCCACACATACGTGGCCACTCTCTGCATGACCGTCTGCTCCGTGACGTCGCTGCAGCTAGCCCACGTCCACGACGACACGACCCCCGCGTCTCTGGTCCTCTACGCCTGGGCGCACTGGAGCACACACCTGTCGCTGTCCCGGCACTCCCTGGCGAGCGGGGATGCCGCTCGCCTGACTGACTCCATGATCTACCGCGTCTGCAACGACGTGCTGGTGTTCCTGCTCGCCCTCAACGACTTCTACACCGGGCCCATCACCTTTGCGGCCGCGCAGGACCGTACGCGGTGTGCCGCACTAGTCAAGCAGACCCAGGACGCCCTGGACACGCCGATCGCGCTCCTGTCCGCCCTGGTCCAGCCGCAGGCCCATAGCAGGGCGTTGCAGAGTGCTCGAGACGCCGTCGAGGCGTCGGCGCATCTGTCCCACTCGCGGACAAACCACAGGGCCTGGTCGAGGCTCCATGTCGACCGAGACCTCCTTGCCGGGGAGGGCGGGAACTCACCCGACCCGCGGATCTTGTCCAAAGTGGAAACCTTGCTGATAGACGGGCTGTTGACCGACACCAAACACCTGTTCAGCCAGGACGCGAAGAAAATCATCTGCGGGTTTGCCGAGCTTGCACGAGGACTGCGCCTGCTGTCGACGCTGGTCACCCAGGCCCCCGTGTACCAAGAGCTGCTCAAAGAGTACGGCATCGCGTGTTCGGCGCTCGACCTGCTCGTCAACGCCGCCAACTGGATGGAGGCCGTCGCCAGCTACCCCTATTGGGCCGAGACCCCAAAAGCCAGCTCCTACGACCCGCTCGACATAACAAGAACGCGCGACCCGAACTACGAGGCAGCCGCGCTGATCATGTCTCGGCTCAGAAGAGACGCGTCAGCAGTCGCGAGGCGCGAACCCAGCCCCGTGGTTCTGCAGACGGACGCAGCAGCAGCAGCAGCGAGGGCCGGCCTGGGCGTGTGCCCGATGCGGTGGAAGGCCGCGTCCCTGATGGGCAAACTCCAGGGCCTGCGCACCCGCAGCGCTACCTTCACGCTCAACGACGTCCGGCTCGTCAACCAGCGGACGTCGTCCTTCGCGACGTTCCCGCCGCGCATGGGCGGCCCGGCCGACCTGCCATACCCGCTAAAAGTTGCCATCCCACCTTCACTCCGCCGCTTCTACGGCCGGCGCGTGGGCGCGCTGTACAGGTGGGCCGCGCGCTCCGACATGTTCAAATCCGTCGACGACTTCAGCTCGGGGACCTTCACGGGCGGGATGAGCGAGCGGTGGCCGCAGCTCAAGGCCGCGCTGCTCGCCGCCGGCTACCGCGCCGCGTTCGCGCACTTCGCCATCGCCATCGTGCTGCACCACATCCGCGGCATCCTTGTCCCGTGGCTCGGCACGTACATGTGGTACACGCCGCTGGAAGACCTGCGGCTCGCCCTCTCGAGCCCTGCCGTCTTCCTCGACCAGGCCCTCGCGTTCCGCTGGCGCTGGCTGCTGTTCAGCTACGCGCAGAAGTACGCGTGCGACGTGCTGGGTGGCGTTGCTATGACGCTGCTGCTGGCTGCTGATGGCGAGGACGACGGTCGAGTAAGCCACCGCCGCCGCGGCTACGACTACAGCTACAGCTACAACCACTACAGCCCGCCGCGGCCAGCATTCACCCGCGGCAGCAGCAGCAACAACAGCAACAACAACAACAACAACAACAACAACAACAACAACAACAACAACAACAACAACAACAACAACAACAACAACAACAACAACAACAACAACAACAACAGGTGGCGATCACGGCTGGCGGGCGCGAGCAGAGTGGGCTACCTATGCTGGGTGCTCGTGACGCTGGACTACATGTTCGCGCGCGCCGTCAGCACGTTCGCGTTCCTGGCGGCGTACTACCGGCTCGTCGTCGCCGGCGGCGCGGCCGAGCACGTCGCGCTGGGCGCCGTGCTGAAAGCCCACTGGACGCGCCTGCCGCCGACGGCGTGGCAGCTCGCCCACTACGTGCGCCACGGGCTGTGGCCGCTGGCCTGGAGCGCCCTGCTGTGCGCCGTGCTCGGCCAGCCGGGGCTGTTGGTGGTCGTGCTGGCGGTCGTGGGGAGCGTCGCGGCGATCATCAGGTTCCGGAGCACGGTTTACATTGCGCTCGAGGTCAGTGGCATGTTTGTTGTGTGCGGGTTGCTGGGGGTTACGCTCGCGCTGTTGGCGGCAGAGTTTGTGCGCGATCCGCTTGGTTTGGAGGCCAGCACGGCTGTGGCGCGCAGGCGAGGGCATCGCGCGAGGGCCGTGCTGCCGCCCGGAGCTGCGGCGCGCACGAAGATTCTCAGGAGGGGGGCGGCGTCGGCAGGGGGGACTCGCGGGCGTGCTGCTGGGCGTGGTCGAGACGAGGCGGCGAGGGAGAAGAGGGACTGAGGGTTGCCGAAGTACACATTTCGGCGTGTCTTGTGAGTTGGTGGTGGTGCTTGCATTGTTTTGGGTTTTTGGATTGTTTTGGGTTTTTGTGTTGTTTTGGGTTTTGCATTGTTTTGGGTTTTTGCATTGTCATTTCTCCTGGGGTTCATGGTGGTTCATCCAGCGAGCATAGTAGCGCGGTTCTCAACTTTCTTCTATCCGAATATGGACATGCTTGCTTGCCAACTGCTACGACAAGTCTGCAGAAGCAAACCTCCCGGATATACGGCCTGCCCCGATAATGCCGGCCGGGTATCGGCGTTGCAGCCGCGATAAATCGGGTATGACATCTTGATACTTTACATTCCCCCGTTAAATCCGCAAGCCTCTCTGCCATCCGAAACCCACGCCAGCGAACCACATGACGCCGCCCACGTTGCGTTACCGTCACACGAAATAACGAGACCGCGCTGTTGGCTCTTTGATTGGCCGCTCTGGCCGCCGAAGCGGCGCCGAGGGGTGTGCTTAATTGAAATTCCGTCTGTCTTGACCTTCTCACAGCCCTTTGCAAACATCGGAATCTCAGCTGGCCGTGTTTGCTGCACTTTGCGCACTTCCCTCGTTGCGCCAGAAGGTGAGTCGTGGTCTGCAATGGCCGATCTTGCCATGTCGGCCTGACTGACTGACAAATCGCACCAGTCTCAAGATGCCCGAGGTCGACACCCGCGACAGCGTCGACCGGTCGAAGCGGTTCCAGGCCGAGCTACCGGCCGACGCGGCCAAGCGCGACCCGGCGTGGCGCCTGCTCGAGCAGTACGCCGGCATCCCGGCCGACGAGGTCGAGGCGCACCTGCACCGCGTCGTGCGTGCTCCCTCCCCCCCCCCCCCCCCCCTCCCCTTCCACCATTCCGAACCTATTAATGACATATAATAACATATAATCACTGACACGGCCCGCCTCCAGCGCGACCAAGCATGGCAGATCTTCCCCTACGGCTGCATCGGCCGCTGGCGCTTTTTAGACCTGTACATCGCCACCCTGCCACAGTACGGCGAGCTCATCGCGCGCACGCAGCGCGGCGCCGTGCTGCTCGACTGCGCGTGCTGCTTCGGCCAGGCGCTGCGGCAGCTGGCGGTCGACGGGGCGCCGGCGCAGAACCTCGTCGGGCTTGACCTGAGGCGCGAGTTCGTCGACCTCGGCTACGAGCTGTTCCGCGACCGCGGGACGTTCGCCGCGCGGTTTGTCGTCGGCGACATGCTGGATTCTGGTGACGCGCGCGTGGGAGTGCTGGACGGCGCCGTCGATGTCGTCCACGCCGCGAGCTTTTTCCATTTGTTTGGCTGGGCCGACCAGGTCGCCATTGGCGCGCGCATGGTGAGGTTCTTTCGCAAGGGGATCACGGATGCCGTGGTGCTGGGGCGCCAGATTGGCAGCGCGGTCGAGCCGCTCGATCCTGAGGAGCATGAGAAGCGTGGCCTGGGAAGGTATCATCACAATCAGAAGTCGATGCAGCGCCTGTGGGATGAGATTGGCCGCCGCACGGGCACTGCGTGGGCTGTTGAGGCCGAGCTCGCGACTGCCCTGGAGGAGGATAGCAATGGCGAGGTGGCCGAGCGGACGACCATCCGGTTTGTGGTGCGGCAGCGGGCAAGTTAGGAGGCGGCAGCGGGCTCGTTAGGAGGCGGCTGCGGGCTCGTTAGGAGGCGGCTGCGGGCTCGCATTATTTGGCTTTTGCATTACTACCGTGGCAAGAGGTGTGGATCTGTGCGCGTGTCTTTAGTGTGCGGGAGCCTGGTTTGATGTCTTGTGTTCTGAACACGTCTTGTGTTCTGAACATGTGGCCGTTTTGCGGTGAGAAGGCTCCGTATCCGGCTCCTATGAAGGAGTATAGAATGCCGCGTAACGCTCCAACCCGAGAATGCGTATTGGTAAATATCACGCAAGGAAAAGGGGTGGGTGGCCAGGCAATTAATTTGTCTTGATTTCTCAGACCCGCTGCTCCCATACGTCATAGCACTGGGCCCTGGCTGAGGCTGACGGGATCACCCAGTATATTCCCACTCTAAATAAAAAGCCGCCTGGTCAGCTGCGGGTTGGTTCGCCCCGACGAGGCGTATAGAGCGTACTTGGAGCACGATAGCGTATTGAGTTTGGTGCAATATTCACCCGTTTGGCAACATGGCCGCTTTGACAACTTCCCGCCCATTCCCGGGTCAGTAATCCACGACCGCGGCCGGAAGGTGCGGATACCTGATGTAACCCGTTCACAAGAGAAACCGAAGAGGAGAGAACAGGGCATGTGGCAAACAAATCACCAGGAATCCATGTATATAAGGTCTTATCTTGGCGCCAACAGCACCTCTTTCATCCTCAGTGACGGATCTATCTGCCCATTGACCCCTGGTCTCCTTGAATATTATCCCCCCAACGTCATGCGTTCCCATCTCTCTTCGTCCCTTCTTCTTGCAGGGACCGCCTTGTCGGCGGTCTCGGCAGCCGCCGTTGACGGGAGGGGACATCCTACAACGGAATGCTCCAACGTGTCGTTCAAAATCCCGGCAACCGCGCAAAACCTGGTATTTGCCACACCTCCCGGTGCCAATAACGAAACCGAGATCCTCGCCTTCATCAAGCAGTCCCTCACCACGGGTGAAGCTGTTAGCAGCACACAGAGAGTCAGCGGTGACTACGCCATCAACGCCGTCTTCTGCCAGCCCACGGGCAAAACCAAGGCCCGCGGTGTGCTGGAGGTGCTGGTCCACGGCCTCGGCTTCGACAAGGCCTCGTGGGGAGGCCTCGGGTTTGGAGATCAGTATAACTGGCACGCCGGCGCAAACGCACGGGGATACCACACGCTCGCCATCGACCGCCTGGGCCAGGGCGCCGACGCAGCACACCCCGACCCCCGGAACATCGTCCAGGCGCAGCTGCACGCCGAGATCATCCACCAGCTGATTACTACCATCCGCAAGAATGCCAAGAACAATGCGCTCGGCCAGGGGTTCGATAAGATTGTTTACGTGCGTGCCACTTGCACAGCCCTTGAATTGCACAACCCCTGAATTGCACAACCCCTGAATTGCACAACCCCTGAATTGCACAACCCCTGATTGTACAACCCCTGAATTGCACAACCCCTGAATTGCACAACCCCTGAATTGCACAACCCCTGATTGCACAACCCCTGAATTGCACAAAGTAAACTTAGTTGCTCTTGCTGACACCACCCTGTCTCCAGGTCGGCCACTCGTTTGGCTCAATTTTGGGGACGGCCGTGGGCCGGCAGTACCCCGCCGACGCCGACGTGACCGTGCTGACGGGGTACAGCTCGGCACCCAACCTCGGAGCCATCAGCGGGTACCAGCTGGCGTCGGCGGCTTTGTTCCGGCCGCAGCAGTTCGCCGGGTACCCGCTCGGGTACACCATGATGCCGGTCGAGGCAGAGCGGCGGGCCAACTTCTTCGAGGGCGCCTACGACCCGGCGCTAGCGCACTTTGACTATCTCACGCAGCGCCCGTCGACCGACGGCGAGTGGGCGACGCTCGCGGCGGGGGCGGGCCCCGGCGGGGGCGACTACCCCGGCGCCGTGTTCGTCGCCGCGGGCGTCTACGACGTCGGTGCCTGCCAGCCCCCGCTCGCAACATGCCAAGATATCCTCAACAAGACCCGCCTCGCCTTTCCCAAGGCAAGGGCCTACGACTTCTTCGCGCCCGACAACACGGGCCACGCCCTGTCCCTGCACTACTCGGCGCCCGAGACGCTAAAGCGGGTGCATGATTTCTTGGACAGGCACATCTATTAGGCGGCGAGGATCCTACGCATCTCGGATAGACTCAAGTTTTGCATTGTCAAATTATTCTTTTCGTAATTTAACTAGTCTAGTCAGTGCAATATATCTAGTCTATCCACATTCATCATCTCATGCACCAATCCGTCTTCATTTCATGCACCAATCCGTCTTCATTTCATACACCAATTCGTCTTCATTTCATACACCAATCCGTCTTCAGACACATGCACACGCCTCCCAAACAATTCAAACCCCCTCACCAGACTCATCCCCACCGCCGTCGTCCCCGCAAGCACAAGCCCCTTTCGGCGGCGGCCTAACAAACATGACCGCAGCCAGCGCGGCCAGCACCAAGAACGCGACGTAGAACCACGGCAGGCCGCGCCACCAGTGCGGGTGGCGGCCGGGCGTATCATCAATGCTGACAGCGATGACGCTGGCCAGAACGGGCCCGCCGAGGACCGCGCCGCCGGTCTCGGCCATGGTGACGAGAGCGTACAGGCGCGAGGTCTGGTGGGGCTCGACGTGGGCGGTGGCCACGGCGCGGCAGAAGGCCGTGGCGGCCGAGCCGAGCGTGCCCACGGCCAGCCCGGCGACGAACAGCCACAGGCCGGGGCTGGCGGCCTCGAGAAGCGCGCCGGTGGCCAGCAGCGCGAGGGACACCCTGGTCAGCAGCAGGTCTTTGGCGAAGACGGACATGCGGAAGCGGCCGTCGGGGCGCGTCAGTGCTGTGGCGAGCTGCGGCAGCGCGGCGATGACGGCCAGGTGCAGCAGCCCTAGTGTTGGCGCCAGCCGGTACGTGGTCGCGGCCATGGTCCAGTGGAAGTAGTGGCCGACGTAGACGAGCATGATGGACGAGTAGGCCGCGGACAGGGCGGGCTGGATGGCGAACGTGGCGAGGGCGAGCACGATGTTGTGGTTCTTGAGGAGGGCGAGGGATACGGCCAGCTCGCGCCGTACGCCGGCCAACGGCGGCCGCAGAGTCGACTTGTCGCTGCGGCTGCGTGGCCGCAGGTGCAGCGTCTCGGGCACGAACGCCATCAGCGCGAAGACGAGCGGCGTGATTACGATGACCAGACGGATGGGCAGCCACGGGCCCGCCGTGCTCATCAGAACCCCAGCCAGCAGCGGGCCGACGAGTATGCCGAGCACGCCGCCAAAGGACAGGTAGAGGAAGTTTGCTGCTCTGCGCGATGGAGTTAGCGTGTTGTTCAATCACCTGATACAAGGTGGACGAGATTGCTCGACCCTACTTTTCACCTTCGGTGCCGACGTCGGCGGCCATCGAGTTGAGCGAGTTGAGGGCAATGGGCACGCCGCCGCCAATGACGAAGAACAGCGAGCCGACAATGACAACGTAGAGGTCGACGGTCCACCGCAGGGCCAGCACCAGGGGCGCCCAGCTGAACGCGAGCATGATGCCGCAGTAGGCCAGGAGGAAGGTGGGCTTGCGGCCGATTCTAATCACCACCACAGGGGGGGGTGGGGTCAGATAATCAGCAACCAGACCTTCGTCAGTCACGGGACAGGCAAGCACACCGGTCAGCCAGGATGCCGTAGGGCAGGGCCGTGGCGTAGCCGACGACGGCGCTGAGCAGTGCGCCCCAGCCGCTGAGGCGTGCGAGCTGCATCTGCACGGGGCCGACCTTGCAGCGCTCCTCGTCGACGTCGGCATCCGGGGGCACGCCGTAGTGCGCGTGGCAGATGGCGTCCTCGAGTAGCCGGAACACGGGCACCACGACCAGGAACCCGCTCAGCGTCACCCCGAACAGCACCACCGTAAGTAGTGCTACGATGGACCGCGGCTTCTGCGCCCGGAACCGCCGCCACCCGGGGTCTGGCCCTGAGCCTGCCGTCGAGGCGCGGGAGGATGGCGACGCTGGCGTCGGGTCATCGCTGTCCTCGTCGGCGGGGGCCGGGTCCGAGAGAAGCGGCGACAGCTCCATGCGTGGGTCTCGCCTGCGTTCCATGGCCACGTAAATTCAAGTCAAATCAAAAAGGTGGGCCGAACAGAAAGCTCGGACAGGTGAAATAAAGATGGAAAAAAAGCCAAAAACGAGAGTTCATGCACGTCTTATCATGTCCCTGGCTCCTGCCCCGACGTATGTGCCAGTCTAGCCGCATTCGGCCCTGTGCAGCCAGGCTTACGCAATAATTACGAAACACGAAGCCGGGCGGGATTGGGCGTGACCTGCTAGCAGATCCGCTGCGGATTTTGGCACAGATATGTTAGGGGCGCAGGGACGCTAGTCTCATTTTTTTAGACGTCTCTGAAGGAGGTTGATGTCCGAGTTCCCCTTTTCCTATCTAATTAACACATGTTCAAGACTGCCAATACTTTTTGTCTCTTCCGTCGCTCCAACAGGCAAGCCACGTCGTTACGCCTCGACGCCTCAGTGAGAGATGACGGACACAGTGTCGGTCGACCAATCCGGCAAAGATGACTGGGCTGTGACTCGATTGGGACACTCTCTTCAGTGGTTCGCACACCACCTTGGCTGCGCCGTGGCTCAGCCAGGCGGCCGTCGGGCTGGCCGTCCCGCTGACTGCACAACGCAGGCGCTGGGCTCTGAGGACTGTGGCTCACTTCCGATGATAAGGGTCGCGAATCTCTCGGCTTTTTGTTCCTGAATCGCCAATTGCCACTCCAACTCGTTTCGTCCCCAGCAATCAACACATGATGGCGTCGGACACAACCAACGTCGCCGAAGCCCCGAGGCGGAAATGGACAGCAGCCTTCAGCAGGTCCGACAAGAAGCCGTCGCCCGCGCTGGTGCCAGTCTCCCACGAGACGCAGCTCCAACGCTACACCCCGCCGGGCGCGCTCGTGCGCATCGGCAGCAGCAGCAGCAGCAGCCCCGACGACGCAGAAGACTCGCCAGCCAGCGCAACCTACACGCTCGTCGTCGCCAACCCGGAGCCAGCGGCAACCACCACCACCACCACCACCACCATCACCACCGCCGCCGCCGCCGCCAGCACCCCAGCGGCCGCGCCCAACTTCCTCGAGTGGCAGCGCTTCGACGAAGCGATCCTACCGCCGCGCAGCAACCCGCGCAAGTCGCGGCTGGAGCGCATCTTCGCGCCGCTGGACAAGCTCAAGGCCGAGCTGCCGGGCGGCGTCAGCGTCGAGGGCTTTGGCGGGCTGGCCGAGGCCGTGCACAACGTCTTCCACACGGCCCAGCGCCTCGACTTCATGCAGGCCGAGCGCACGCTGCACCTGCCGCAGCCGCTCCCCCACCCGCCGCTGCCGCGCCGCGAGCTCGAGCGCCTCGAGAACGAGCTGTTCGACCTCTCGCGCTACACCCCCGGCGGCGGACAGGGCGACTACCTCACCGCGCTGACGTGGGCCGAGGAGGGGCTCGCCGGCAGCATCACGCTGTTCGCGGTGCAGTTTGAGGACGACGGTGACGATGCTGCCCCCGTCGGCGTGCGGCCCGTCGGCGTGCGGCCCGTCGCCGCCATGCGCGACGTGCCCGTGCCGGTCCTGGTGCAGATGCGCACGCACGAGCGCGTGCGCCGCAAGGCCGTGTTCGTGCCCGCCGACGACGGCCGCGACGGTCGGCTCAAGTGGCGCGCGAACCCCAGCGAGGGACCCAACTATGCTACGCTACCCCGTCGCCAGCGGGATCGTAGCGCTAATGCCGGCGGCGGCGACGGTGGCGATGTCCTCGCGCCGCCGTCGCCGCTGCCGTCGCCCCCCGCGCGCCGCCCGTCGCTGTCGCCGTCGCCGCGCAGCCAGAACAGCAGCCACAGCCGCAGCCACAGCCGCAGCCGCACGCGGCTGGCAGACGGCGACGCGGTGCGCGCGACCATCCCGCAGTTCGTGGCGCTGCTGCACGCGAGCCGCGCGATCCTCGAGGACGTGCAGTCGGGGCGCGCCGAGGTGGTGGCGGCCGGTGCCGACAGCCATGGGGAAGTGCTGACGGTGAAGCTGGCGCGGGCGCCGCGGCCCAACGCGCACGACGGCGACCTTGTGCACGTCGTCGTGCTGATGCCGCATGATGCTGGCTGGACCGACGAGCCGTTCCTGTGGACCGACGGCGATGGGCTGGCTGAGATGCGCGCCCCGCGGTTCTGGGACTTGATTGAGCGCGAGCCGGAGAGGCCGAGGCCGAGGTCGGGGTCGAGGCCCGGGTCGGGGTTGAGGTCCGGGTCGGGGCGTGCCAGCGGTGGGGGCAGTGGAAGGGCGAGTACGAGTGATCGCGAGGTGGGCCGGACGAGGAGCCGGAGCCGGCACTCGCGCACGCGCTCTCCGACGCGGAGCCCGAGTCGACACCTCTCGCTGTTTTGATTTCTACGTTATTTTGGGACGTTGCTGGGTCATTTGGATGGAATGAGATACGAATAGGCATCGCATCAACTCAGGTACAGTTCACTGCGTCACTGTTTGTCATAATTAAACCGTGGCTGATATTGGCTGGTTGGATTTCCTAAACCAAGGGGCGCCGACATATGTTTCTCGGCGTCTATTACCAATGTAGCAGCGAGTTGAGATGGATTTAGGTGGAATGCCCCTTTCATGAGAATACAAGTGTTTTGAAGCATGCAGTTTTGCGCCGTTGGACTCGGCCTGTACATTGGGTTCGACACCCGTGTTTCATTCTTGAAGTCGAAAGCTCCGCTGTAGACTTCAATGGTCTGGTCTTTGGCCATGAGCGAGACATCATATTAGCCCTGCCGCCTCTACCCTTTTTCTATGCCCAGTCCCAGTACAGCAAACACCACGTAAGAAGTGCCCGTTTCATTGACTATTAGACTACGGGTCCATAGAAGGGGGTAGAGGCGTTGCTGTTAGCACGCACGGTCAGCGAACTATCTTGCATTAGTCTGCAATAACCATCACAGCCACCGATACATCGGACAGGAGAAGATAGACGCGGTGCCAGGTAGCGAACAAGATGCTATCGTGAGTGCAATACCCGACCATGCGCTTTTGAGCTCCGTTGATCTTATGCCATGGCAGATATGAAGAGCCGTAAATGCCTGCGATGACGGTCAGTGCAAAGCTGTAGAAAGGCGCGACTAAAGACTAATTAATCGTCTTACCCGCAATCTAGAAATAAGCTAACTAGTCGATCGGACTCATGGCCTGAAACCTCATGAGAGCGAGGACAAACATGGTCACCTGGAGCTGGTGATCAGGGCTTGCCGTGGTGTACCAGTCGTCTATCTCCAGCCGAAGCGGAGGATGGGCCTGCGTGGCTTGCAAGCCCTTGATTGCGTGGGTTGCCTCCTTGGAAGACATTCTGACCAGCTGATGTGGGCCGCGGGTGCAAGATGTAAATCGAATGTCTTGCGTGATGCGTAGGTTGTACGAATTAGGAGGCGCAGTTAGTGTCAAGCACAACGGATACAAGAGTCCTTGATATCGATGCATGGCGGGCTTATAGAGTAACTTGGTTGTTTGCATCTGTGTAACTCCTTAGCCAAAGTCGGTAGGGATCAGCGACTCAAGGAAACTGTCGTTGACCATTCGGGCCTACTGTGAGGCATCAGCTTTGACCATTCGGGCCGAATCGCAACAGTACGTCGATATTCATATAAGGGGTAACTACCGGTCTTCAGGGGTTAGAGACTAAAGGCTCGGTGAGATCGCAGGTTATGAGTGATAGCTGCAAAACTCTACCGTGTCGCGACTGAAAGGAAAGTTAAAAAATAGGAAAAAAGCGATAGTCAAGAAACCACGGATAATCAAACCTGGTTGCATTACAACAGTTTCTTCAATTCTTTCCGTCTTCTATTTCCTTCACCCCTCACTACCATTTGGGGCCTTCCGAAACTCTCGGCTCCCGTGCACCTCTGCGGCAAATAATAGTTCGTTCTTCCTTTATACTATTATTTTGAACCAACTACTAGATGCAGCTTCGGGATCGGCCCGGCTGCCCCCAGAACCTTACCCCGCTCTCCGGTCTTCAATGGAATCGGAAAAAATGGATTTGGGCCTGAACCCTTCAAGCTGAAGAAGAAGCATGGCGTGAGCTGCTTGTTCCGTTGGGTCTGTCCGGAAGGAAACGGCCCGAGTTCAGGCCCCGATCCCACATGTTTAGCTACCCCTCATCTAACATCAGCTCCAGATCAAACAACAGCAGGTGGCCTTGACCCGCAGTTGAGAAGATTTACTATATAGTGGGCAAGAGAGGGAGAGAGAGATGTCTCCTGCCGGTAGTAAGGATGTAGGAGTGAAGAATCTTGGAAAACGTGAAATTATGAAATAAAGAATGGACCAGTAAGGTACCTAGTTTATGTGCTCGAGAAAATGGAAATGTAATTAATTGATGGAGTTAACTAGGCAGGTACGTGACTATTTGAGCATAATCAAAAGGAATGACAAGGAAAATCCACTCTTCGCTACGAGTTTGTGCGGGAATGAGGCCTAGAAAGAGAAGGTCAAGCAACGAAAAAAAGCAAGAGTGGAAAAATCTCAATCCTCAGGGCCCCAGAGGTGTTTTGGCTGAATACCCCTTCGATGTACAGAGAAGCAGATTAGCATGGCTCTACTAACTCTCGCGTGCTCGTAGTGACGTACTAGAAAGCCTTGAGAGAATACTGCTAGAGATTCGATCCGTGTCTAATTCCTTCTCAGACACAGCGCTACAATCATAAGCACTATGGTGGGCATCCCGATTCCCAGCAGCCTAGTTGTGGCGCACACCATCCCTCTCCAGGTATGCTGCAGCCGCATTTGGGACAGCAGAGCCTTGTTCAAGCCAGATTCGAGCAAACGTAACATAACTAGGCAAAGTGCGAGACTAGCACTCTCGAAAAAGATTCATTAGAAAGTTACTGTTCACCTTCTAAAAGCTTGCAGTTCCGAGGATGGCACCGTCACGCAGATCAGCCCGCTATATGAAATTACGTTGATGAAAAGCTAGTAGAGGCAGGGTGAGCTAGGGTGAGCCAAGTGTGAAGAGAGCCTGGTTGTGGCTTAACTATCCTACGATGGGATGCAATCTTTTTCACGGTAGCCTACCTATATAGTCTCACCCGACATTTCTTTCTAGCCGAGTCCGTATTAGTCGCAGACCCTGAGCAAGAGGTAAGCCGCACTGAGGGCCGCTTGAGCCGAGGTGAGTCCAAGGAATTTGCCCCGGCTATACTTGCCGTGACCATAAATGGGCCAGTGTGCTTACAAGGACGATCCTGGGCCTAGTTTTGGGACACCTGCCCCCTGGCCGTAACGGTTGCTTTGCTTCGCCACGTAACTGCCGTTTTCTCTTTTCTATCCGAAAAATCACCGTTACGGGTCGGTTGAGGGATGAAGTGGGAAGAGGCGTATCAAGTGGTTGTGGCATTGTGAACTAACAAAGAAGAGGGCCAGAGAAACAGCGCGGTATATTGACCGTCCGATCGACTAAGGCTGATGGATTTGAGCTCAATGATTGTAGACCTATAGCATACTAGTCCTCTACATCCTAGGAAGTAGTTCTTACCATATTACGGCGCAGCACGTATAGCCGAATACCCCCTAAAACCCTTTAATTCTTAATGATAACATGGTTTGTTTATGCTTGTTTCTTCAATGCACTTCTGTATGTGCTATGAATCTCATATTATTATCTCCTATAAATAACAGCATGACCTTGTTTATAGGCACTTCTAGACTCGTTCTCCTGCGTAAAGGTCAACTACACGGCAGATGCGCCAAAAGGATGTAGATCCGTTTCCCTGCTATCGTGTCTAGGGAGGCCGGGCGGCAACAGGCCTTGTAGCTTCCGCGGTTCAACAGACCGGAGAGGCTCATAGAGATGCCCGTTACGCAGGGAAATGAAAGGGACATGCTTGTAGCTAAAGTTAGTCATTCATCCGGGCCTGCGGGCGAACTCGCCTTCTGCGTGATTGTATTGCTTTGTGTCCGCGACTCTAGCCTTTGCCAGCGAACCCTTTTTTATCGCTGTGAATTGTGACAAGCCTTTGCGCGTCAGTTTACGTGGCTGTGGGAACCTATTACAAGTCCCCAGCTCTAGCAGGTTCTAGACTAGATCCTTTGTTTCCAACCCGGGGCCTAGATCACGGCCCGCGATTAAATTCATAGGTCTATTTCTCGGCCGCGCGATGGATTTGGTAAACTGGGAACGCGGTGGAGTATTGGCAAAGGTAAGATCTTGGAGCTCGGTGGACCCAAAACATGGAAGTTAAAGCGTCAGTTCAGATGTGAAGAGGCATATATACCATTCATCAATTAGCGCTCTACACGATCTTGTCAGCGACAGAAATCTTCATTGAATGTGGCGGTAATGCGATAAAGCAACACGGAAAGACGGCAGGGAAGGGATGAGTGCTGTGAGAAGCTTTTAGAGCATATTATCACAATCGACCTGCGATACCGCTGGGATACAGTGAGTTCCGGGTATCGAGTGGGTGGTGCGAATCGTGAGAGCAGAACGCTCTGGGTGAAGAGGCTCGTTCGCGAGAGGATCAGAGTAAGGTACTTGAACAAGTGGATTCACACACTGCACCTGAGGTGATTGTCTTGCAGTTTACAGGACAAGGCCGAAGTCTAGCCGGGTTCATACTTCCTCTTCATTTGCAAGACGAACGGCGCAAGGTCGTTTAACGGTACGCGTGAACCCAGCGCAACACGGACATACTAGCGGGAGCACTAGCGACACGGTCTTCGGGATTAGTGGCGACCACTGGGTCACTTTGCACAAATAGTTTTCTGACTCCCAGCCACGGGAGGGTGGTCGAGGACTTGGAGACGGCGCGCGCGTTGCGAGACGTGAGCATCGGGGTGAACCGTTTCCGTGGCAAACTGCTGCTGCCCCGGCCACTACCTGAGATTCTGGAGAGAAACGGCCGCGACGGGCGGCCACACTGGGTGTACATAGGGGCTGACGTGTTTGACGTGGCAGGTAAGTGTTTGTGGCCGGACTCCTTCCCCTATTCAGTTGGCTTCGTTTATTTGCCTCTGGAAATTAGGGCCGTTGAACAAAATAAACACGATAGACTTCCCCTTCTCTGACACCGACGAACGCTATATCTTCCCAGCTCACCCCTTCCCTGTCACGTACAACGGCACGTCGAAAGCGGTCAAAAAAAGTGCTTATATTAGGAAGCAGAAAGGAAGGCGGGCTTAGCCTAGATGCCCTCTTTGAATCGTGAACATGAACTAGGCCACAAGTGGCTATTATGTGCGCCACCGTATGCATGTCAGCGACTTCTTCCGACATTCCCCGCTCCCGGAAGCGACAGCAGAGCCTGATGCCACACATGACGCCTACTCGGCTGCCTACTCGGCTGCCTCCCACGAGATGGTTGGTGCACCATCGCGACCGTTTCCCCTTTTGCTCCAAGCTACCAGGTCTGACGTTCCTCCGCCCCAGCCTCTGCCGCTCCCGATTGCTTCCGACCGACTTCCCCGATTGTCGTTGATGCAAAAGCCCTCCTATGAATCCGAAACGAGCGTACCAAGATGACGAACCGTCGGCGAGCCTTCCGAAGCGGCCGAGAACCTTCGACACCGCCTCCAACAGCGGCATTTACCCAAACCACGATGCTTACTCTTCTTCCCTTATGCATGGAGATTATACAATAGCCTGGATCTGTGCACTTTACTTGGAATTGGCGGCATCGCGTGCCATGCTGGACGAGGAACACCTACTACTACCCAACCAAGCCGGCGATGACAATACCTACGTGCTCGGACGTATCGACCAGCACAACGTCGTTATGGCGTGCTTGCCGGGACAGTACGGAACGAACAACGCCGCAATCGTCGCGACAAACCTGAAGCGAAGTTTTCCGAACGTCCGCGCTACCTTGATGGTCGGCATCGGCGGCGGAGCCCCTAGCCAGGCCGACTTGTACCTAGGCGATGTCGTCGTCGGTACGAGGATCATGCAATATGATATGGGCAAGATGGTTGCGGGCGGCTTGTTCCAAGAAACGGCTGATGTATCATGCTGACTAGGGATACGGGCAGACGATCATACTTCGGAACGGCGGCAACGCTTGCTAAAATGCCTTGAATTCCTGTAGATCGATGCCCGTAGAACCACGATTCGGGCTGCACACACCAAAACCTGCCGCTGGCTTCTGCAGCACTCTAAATACCGGGATTGGCTTGATCCTGGGAAGCAATCGCAGAATCATGGCTTCTTATGGATACGAGGCAAGCCAGGCGCCGGAACGTCAACAATGAAGTTCGTGTACCTGGAAACAAAGAAATATTCCAAGAAGCCCAAAATAGCCGTGGCGTCCTTCTTCTTCAATGCACGAGGCGACTATAAAGAAAGGTCCATCTCCGGGATGTACCGGTCTCTGTTACTGCAGCTCCTGTACGAGTTCCCGGATCTTCAATCCGTCCTGGACGACACGGACATCGTTCCACAGAACCAGCAAGATTGCCTGGCCTAACCGCTCTGAAGGAGCTTCTCAGTAGCGCTATCATGTCCCTTGGCCCGCGCTCCTTTACCTGCTTCGTCGACGCCCTCGACGAATGTGACGAACAGGGGGTCCGGGATATGGTCCATTTCTTCGAGGAATTGGCAGAGAATGCTACGATAAAGGCATTCGGTTTCGAATCTGTTTCTCAAGTCGGCCATACCCGTATATTAATATTCGATGGGGACTCCTGCTCACCCTTGAGGAGCAATCAGGACACAGAGAAGACTTGGCACAGTACGTCAAGAGTCATCTCAGGATTACGGACCGCCCGCATTCTGAAGAATTACAATCCCAAATCCTAGACAAAGCTACTGGGGTTTTTATATGGGTTGTGTTAGTAGTGGAAATCCTGAACAAGGAGAGTAACCACGGTAGCCTTGCTCTTAGGAAGAAACTTTCGGAAATTCCGGCCGAATTAAGCGAACTCTTCAAGAGAATGCTGACACACGATAATGATAGACCTGAATGGCTGAAGCTCTGCATTCTCTGGATTCTCTTTGCAAAGCGGCCTTTGAGTCCAGCAAAGTTCCGCCATGCGATATGGGCAGGCTTGTTGAAGCAGCGTCTAGTTGATCCCGAGCTACCAGTCCACATACATATGGATGCCGTCAAACTGGTCACGAGTTCCTCAAAGGGGCTTGCAGAGATCACCAAATCCAAGCAGCCGACCGTGCAGTTCATTCATGAATCAGTGCGGGACTTTTTGGTGAAAGAAAAGGGCATCCAGGACTTGTGGCCTGGACTTGAATTCGACTGGGAGGGCCCTAGCCACGATGTCCTCAAGCGTTGTTGCACTACGTACCTGCATCACCCAAGAGTACAGGCGGGTATCGCCGCGCTAGAGGGCGGAGACGAGGAACGGAACGTCGCGCCAGAGGGCGGAGACGAGGAACGGAACGTCGCGCCAGAGGGCGGAGACGAGGAACGGAACCTCGTGCCAGAGGGCGGAGACGAGGAACGAAACCAGCGAAGCTAATAAGTCAAGCAAGTCAAGTGAAGGGCCATACTTGACTTGCTTGATAGGACCCATCCCATACTTGACTTACTTGCAAGTGGTTATCAAGTGCTTGGCATCGGTGGCTGAGGCTTGGCACCCCACCCAAAAATTATCACGACGCAATTTTTTGGTGTTGTGAACAGCCTCATTTTTACCCACACACTACAAAAACCCGCAAAATGCTATACTGGCCCTACATCAAAACCTACACAACCTCAATCTAGCCCCTCAATCCCTCATTCCCCAAACAAGCCCAGATCTGCTCAATTCACGATTTCCCTAATTCAACGCCTCCTAGCGTGATGCCACCTTGCTTGACCCAATTTCGTAGCAGCTGCAATATCTCAAGCGTTTGAGGCTGGAGACGGCACCGCTGTGTAGATACTGACAATTTGGCTTGACTGAACTGCCGCTCGCAGTGATCTGCCATGGCTGGCATAGCTAGAAGATCCAAGGCCAACCGGCTAAGCCGTGGAAAGCTCTGTTTCCTAGCCACCCACCAATCTATTGGATCCTTGATGTTCTTGTCAGGCTGTATCTCAAGATACTGCCCAAGCTCGTTTGCTGTTTCTGTACAGGGATCATCATCTGCATCTGCCCAGTCCCGATACAGATCTGAATTTGGTTGCTGATGCCGCTGTGATGCCCTCATGGGAGAAGCCCGGAAATCATCGTGTCCGTGGCCTGGATAGTCGCGATCCAAGAACGATGTGAGCCCTTCCGTGGCATCACTCAACCACAATAGCTGCTCAGCAAGGGTCCATTTTCGTTGCAGCCACTTGAGCCCGTATCTAGGGTTCAATATCACAGCTGCTGCAAAAAGAGGTGACTCTCCGATAACCGTATAGTACTCGTTGAGCTTGACCCATGCGCTGTTGATGGAGATGCGCATGTAAGCTTGGTGATTAACGCCCATGACCCGAGCATCTTGGTCAGAGAGGGTAATGTAGTCATCCCTCACATGCCCGGGCAAAGCATGTTCGTCGAATCGGCTTGTTGGGACGGCAGCAGCAGCGGTTTCGGCAGCAACAGCAGCCCTGGTGCGGCGTCGGTTTGACCGATCGCGATGCCGTTGGGCATATCTCGGCTCAAGAGAATCGGCAGCTGGGAACAGAGCTGGGTCAAGAGGGATATTGTGACCGGCATCGACTGAATCCCGTACTATCTCGGCAGTGACTGTGTCATACCGAGTCTTCAGCATTTCGAAATGATCCAGGAGCCATTCCATTTGCATCAATACCATCCAGAGGGCTCCGTTGTTGCCCTCGGCCTGTAATGTGAAGCAATGGATCGGCTCAAGCACTTGCTGAAGCTCCCCGAGCAAACGCCAATCGTCAGGGGTCAATCGATCCTCTGCTGAAAGCCTCGCATTTCCGTGAGCCTCTGGATGGATGTCGACTGCTGTTAGATAGGCCTGGATCTGCCCATGGAGTCTCCAAGCCCGTCGGATCATTAGATGGGTCGAATTCCAACGTGTGGCGTTGTTCTGGACGAGCTTCAGGTCCTTGGATGAGGCCTCCGGCGATGTGAAGATCTCCAGATCGTCAAGATCACTCTCCTCAGCCGGACGACCATTCAGTATCTTGCTGAATGCCTCTATGCGTTGTGGCGATGCCCGGATAAATTTCACGATATTGTGAAGCTTGCCAACAGGGCCCTTGCGTCGCCAATGTTGTAAATCTTCCTCTTGTTGCCCCAGCAGATGGAACCTTTCCGACTGCAGCTCAAAGGCATCAGCCTCAGTCTCGAATAAGAAAGCCTTGGCTGTCAGATTCAAGATATGTCCCCAGCATCGCATCCTTCGGGCCTTGATGGCATTCTCAGATCGTGGGCCCAAGAGCTTCGGATAGAGGGCTTGCAAACAAGCATTGTTATTTGATGCATTGTCACAGATTGCCATCCCAATTTGCTCTTGAAAGCCCCAGTCCCGTATAACCTCCTCGATGGTCATGGCAAGAGCCTTGCCGCTGTGCCGGCCAGAGTGATGCCTGAACGCAACCAGCCGATGGCAGCGTTGATGCTGGAGGTTCAGAAAGTGAACGAAGATGGCAATGAATGCTAGGTTGTTTGGAGAGGTCCAGAGGTCAAAACTGAAGTTGATGGAGGATCTAGCAGCCCGGATCTCTTTCGTGATGATGCCCTTCTTGAGGCCAAAGATGTCCTTGAGGTCGTGGACCATCGTGCCCTTGCTCCACGGCACATCTGCAGCTACAGGAGCATTCAGATTTGCCAGTATCGCTTGGAAGAACGGGTCGGTAAAGATGGTAAAAGGAAGATCGGCGTTGACCATGAAACCAACCGCCAGTTGGCGTATCTTGTTGATCCTGGCGGCAGGGATTGGATCAGATGCCTTCCGTTTGCTGGCAGCAGCAACCTGAAGATCCATGACCGAAGCCGGTTCTTCCTGGTCATCCTGACCCGGCTCGAGATTATGAATCTTCACCAAATGGTCGGTGACTGATGTGGTGGCTTGGACCAGGAAGAACCGACCCTTTCTGAATGCATCGCAACGGCTGCATGCCCAGACAACGGCTGGCTTGGGGGTATCTCGTGGGCCCAGCTCGACCAGAAACCATCCATGATGTTTAATCCAGCTCCTTCGACCTCGCGATGTCTTTTTGTAGATTAAAGATTCAAGGACAAATCGGCGGTTGTCCCAGGAAATCTTGTAGAGATCCTTAACATCGTCATCGTTTGGGGAGGCACTCGCGAGGGCTTCTTCGACTTGTGTAACGAGGCTTTTACGTCGGCCGGAGAGGGCACTAAAAGCCGAAGATGTTGAGCGTCGGGAACGGTCTTGGGTTGAGGGCATTGTCGAGGATTATATCGGGGGCTCGGGGAGGAGGGCGTCGAGTAGCTTGGTCGGCCGGTTGATGCTCTGGATCGCACGGCAGCATGCATCGGATCCACAGTCAAGACGCGTGGGCTTGCGGGCTTGTTTTCCTACAGTAACTGCCATGCGCGCCGACACTAACCCTAAATAGGGTTGTTGTCAAGGTTGGTGGCCGGGGCTGTGGACACGAGCCAGGGTCAACCAAACCACCAACGGAACCGGATTAACTTATTTTTCCGGGGTCTGAACAGCCTCAAATACTTGTTACTTATCAAGTGGAACAAGTATTCGGGCCCTCAAACTTGACTTGCTTACTTGACTTGTTACTTGTTACTTGCTTGATATACTTGACTTAGTAGCTACGCTGAACGAAACGCCATGGCCGAAAAATGCTCGTTCCTGGGGTATGCCGGTCAGCAGATCCTCTACCACGCCAATGATGCGGCGCCTGCGGTTCCCCAAGACGACTTTTTGACCCAATTCTTTGCTTCGGCTGGAATCAGGGTTATCAACCACCTCGAGAAATTCAAAGCTCGGCGGTACAGTTCCCGCGCAACCCCGCTCTATGTTCTAGCAGACAGAGGGCTAGGAAGCCTCATTGCACACAGATGAAAAGAGAGCCAGCTACCGACGCTCCTGAAGAAAGGTACCAGCATCCGCTTTTCGCTGCACTAGCAAACGGCCATAAAAGTGCCATAGCCGCACTTTTGGGCGTGTCATCAACTGTCTGCGATGGCATCGATATCGCTGAAGGTTTGAAGTACAAGAAGGACTTTAAGAATTACGAAGGCCAGACGCCATTATCGTGGGCTACGCAGGAGGGTAGACTGAGTATTGTATAGCTGTTGATTCAAGGAGGGGCAGGCCTTACCATGATCGATAAAGGGGCCGATATTAACGCTCAGGATAGTAATAGATGGACGGTACTAATTTGGGCCTTAAAGAATAGCTACGAGGTGGCCGCGCGGCTTCTTATCGACAAAGGGCGGACGTTAACGCTCGGAGTAATAATAAATCGACGGCACTAATTTGGGCCCCAAGGAATGGCTACGAGGTAGTAGCATGGCTTCTTATCGATAAAGGGGTAGACGTCAACATTCAGGATAGTAATGGATGGACAGCACTAATTTGGGCCTCAAGGAATGGCTACGAGGCGGTAGCACGGCTTCTCATCGATAAAGGGGCAGACGTCAACGTTCGGGGCAATGATGGATCGACGGCACTGATTTGGGCTTAAAGAATGGCTACGAGGCGGTCGCGCGGCTTCTTATTAATAAAGGGGTGGACGTCAACGTTCAAGGTAATTATGGATCGACGGCACTAATTTAGGCCTTAACGAATAGCTACTAGGCGGTCGCGTAGCTTATTGATAACGGGGCGTTAGGTGTCAAGTAGAAAGGGTGCTCCAAACCGACCACACAAGTGAATGTGCCGAGGCTTAGCCATGATGCCGGCCTGACCGCCTTGTTGCAAGAAAGCCACTCAATGGCATGCGCATTACGCGCCTGCAAGAATATAGGTGATGCGGGAATAGCCTCATTCGCACATGTCAACAATAGACATGCCCGGCACGTGCCCGTAGCACGTGCGCGCCTATAAATTACGTAAACAGCACCGCACGGAGGCAACGAGGTAGGCGGTGTGGACCGGCAGGACAATACTGCTACAATCGCGGGGCATATCCCCGCGGGGAGCCACACCCACTACCTTTTCCATCTTCAACCTTCTACACACTCATAATAATACCAGACTTTGGTCAAAACCAGCCATTTTCCCCATCACTTTGACTGACTTCGCTACAATCAACAGCTCTTTCTTTACGGTTCCTGTTAGCTAAGTGGAGACTGTTGACAAAAAGGGTAGGCCCAGTGGGGGCCGTTGGCTGGTGAGCGCTCAGGGGCCACCGTGGGGTGCCCCTCCATGGGCTGGGGTTGGCCGAGGGTCGCCGAGGGTCGCCGAGGTCTCTGCGGGGCTCAGCCTGTCACAACCACAGCCCCTTTTACTAATCGCAACTTTCCCGATTCTTTTCCTTTTTCCTTTTTTTCCTCTCCTTTAGCTTAGTTTTTTACAAAATCTATTTGGTATTATGTTGGCAGAACCCTTCAAATTCTATAAACCGTGACAAAACTAAGCTCATTCACCTGCCTGGGAAGGCTTGATTATTATTCCACCAAGAGAAGGAACGCAGCGACCGCGATCGTTACATTGGAAGCTAGAACCCCGCCCGGCAGCGACCGAGCAATAAGAAAAGATAGCTCGCGAAGGCGCCGCTACGGCGTTGGCCATCAAGGAAGCCTAGTTTTAGTACGAGGACCTCGCTCTATCAACAGGCATGAAAGGAAATAGACGCCGGATGTCACGGCATGGCCTGGACAGGCTCCTGTTTAGAGTGTGGTCTGTGCCTGACGTATCACGTGGCCCACAACTACCCATTTCCCCGCGCCCTGCGCGGTCCCCGTCATAGCTTCCTTCTTCATCTTTAGATTCTACGAATTCAGCGATGATTACTGCAGCCCTGTCTCTTTACGTTGACTGAGCCGTGATAATCTAAAGATCGTTTCTACGGCCTTCCTTACCGAAGCCTGGATCCTATTCTCCTTCTTCTTCAATCGACCGAAAGAACCCGCGTTTTCTTTGTGGCTCGCACGACCACGGTCGCGCGTAGCGGAATCCGCCGCTTTTTTCCACCTCCACCTTCGACCTAACGCCCTGAGTGCCAAGGTTACTGGTAATGACCGAAATCTTCCCTGCTACACCTTTGGGGAGCTTCTAGCTACGTGTGTTCAAGGCAGCGGCAAGAGAGTAGAATCCAAGGCCAGGCAGCGGACCGCCGGACCCTCTATTCGACATCCTTTTCCTTCCTAGCAATCGGACCTTTCTTCAAAGCCAGCCGATTACCCTGATCCTCACGATGGCCGTGACCCCGGCTGATCAGATCGCTCAATTGCAACACATCGTCAACGGTCACAACGCGACCCTCGAGAACCTCACGACCAGACTGACGACTCTGGAGACCAACATCACGATGCTTACAGAGATTCTATCGGGCCGGAACAGTCGCCCGAAGCCTAGCATTCCTGATACCGAAAAGTTCTCTGGCTCCGATACCAACTGGGACACTTGGTTCCCGTCAATCAAAGCAAAGCTTCGTATCGATGGAGCAGCAATTGGCAACCATGAGGCTCAATTCTTTTACGTCTACGGTCGTCTTGACACCAAGGTCCAGGCTCTCGTAATGCCTCAGCTTACCGAAGCTGAAGACAACGATGATTACGATCCCCAGACCTTGATCGATCAGCTCAAGCGACTCCATGACGATCCCAACAAAGTCCAGAACGCAGAGGACAAGTTCCATAGCTGCCGATAGCAAGACAATGAAGGCGTCGCGGCATTCCTTATGCGCTTCGAACGCTTGATGTACAAGGCCAAAGCCAACACGTGGCCTGACAACACAAAGATCTCCCTACTACGCAAGGGACTCAACAAGGTCACACGTACCCGGCTTGATACCCAGGTCATTGTCCCCAAGAACTACGATGACTTCGTCAAGTTACTTCAGAAGCTTGGAAACCCTGGCTCAGGCTCGTACAACAGCCATTCCAACGGTGGTCAATCGAACAACCATGCAACCACGATGGATATCGGCGAACTTGCTTCTCTCGACCTTGCAGTCAAGCCTATTGACGGCATTGCCAAGCCAGTTCCTGGTCGCGAATACCTTACTTTAGCTGAATTACGCGAGCTGAAGGACCGTATGGATCGCGAATTCATCAACGACCTATCTGAGTAATCAGATATCGGTCCTGTCACAACACCCTGTCAGGCCACTACGCGCTCTGACAGCTCTGTACAATAACAACACATGCAGTCTATGCAGGACTGTCAGCCTCCCTTGACAGCCCTGGCCAACTGACTGTCTTCAACTACGGAATAGATTGATGGATCATGAAAATTACGTAAGCTTCGGGGCGAAGCTTTCCCGCCGGGGGGGTAGTGTCACGGCATGGCCTGGACAGGCTCCTGTTTAGAGTGTGGTCTGTGCCTGACGTATCACGTGGCCCACAACTACCCATTTCCCCGCGCCCTGCGCGGTCCCCGTCATAGCTTCCTTCTTCATCTTTAGATTCTACGAATTCAGCGATGATTACTGCAGCCCTGTCTCTTTACGTTGACTGAGCCGTGATACCGGACACTAATCTTCGTCGGCGATCGTCAATCTTGTTGAATTCACCATATGGAATATTCTAGTGGATGATAAATACTAGATTATTCAGCTGATGTGAGCCAAAATTGCCACACAGCTCGCCACCACTCATATGTATAAAGCCTGCACCTCTGGCATAGCCAGAGGGGAGGAGAGGAAAAATTGAACAGAACACAACACTTCATATTTTTTTCGGTCTGAATGTAAAATCCAACAAATCTCGGCATTTACGCTGCCATAGAACTACCAGGCTATCTCCGATACCCTGGAGGTAATGATTAGCGAAGTCGCCAACATAGGTCCTACCAGGTCCAGCATGACCACCTACGAGTTCCGACAGATAGTTAACGACGATATCAATAATGCAGCAACCGGGCATAGTTACGACGAGATTATCGTTAATTTACATAAGAAAGTTGAAACGCTTATAGCGTATTTCACTCGAACGGAAGGACCAGCCTTTCCCTTCTACCTATTGACCTCAGTTGGCAAGACTACGATGCCGAACACTAGCAGTTTGACCACTTTTAGCGCATTCGAGTCTATAATGACTAAGCACCCCGAGGCGCTCTCCAGGCATCTGGTCAGCTAAGCCGAGCTACTATGAAGACTGGGTGTTGGCTACTATTTGCAACCTACCATGCCACCATTCACGACTACAATACAAGCTCTCCAGCACTTACCAGAGAGCTAGATAGATACAACCAATTAGTTACGTCCCCATCAATTTCTCCAACGCGCTCGTGATAGTATGAAAGACGCGGGCTTGGAGGTGTTGAATTCACCATATGGAATCTTCTAGTGGATGATAAATACTAGATTATTCAGCTGATGTGAGCCAAAATTGCCACATCGCTCGCCACCACTCATATGTATAAAACCTGCACCTCTGGCATAGCCAGAGGAGGGGAGAAATAGAACACAACACTTCATATTTTTTTGGTCTGAATGTAAAATCCAACAATTAACAGTCTGACATCGCATAACGAACACAAACCGTCGCGCTACACCACAACGATTACGGATACAACATCCAGACCCACTTATTTCCACCTTTTTACCAATCAAATTCCACCATTCTATCCCAATTCAACATCATGGCAAAAAATACCGACTATGAAGGCGCCAAATTCAACAAGCCTAGCGACTGGGATGAATGGAGACAAGCCTACGAAAAGAAGGCTGAAAATGCTGGAATTCTTAACTACGTTCATCCAAACCCCAAGCTGCGGAAGCCATGGCCAACTGAACCGGCAGTACCGCAATACGACGACTATCAGAAGAAGCAGCTCCGTCAAGCTGTACGAAGCTCCAACAACAACAATGATAACGACGACGAAAACGTCAACAGAAGCGCTGCTCGAACGCGCGCTGCAACCGCAGCCAGGTCCGCAAGATCGCGAACTACCAGAAGATCATACATCGAAGTTAGTGATCACAACCCAGACGACGAAAACGACGATACACCACAAGCAAGTGACTCGGAGGAAGAGGAGGAACCCGAACCCGATGCACCAAAGATCACAAAGTTATCAGACCTCACCGCTATTGGCCAAACAGATTGGAAATCCGATTTCGAGATGTACAAGGAAAAGAAAAGTACTTACAACGCCAAAACCACTCATAGGTCGAAACTCTATGACTGGATCCTTAAGAGTATCGGTCCAAACTATTGCCATATAACCAAAGGAAAGGATATACCCGATATATATCAAGCGCTTAAAGAACAGTGGTTTCCATTCAAGAGGAAGATTAACCAAGACCTGAGATCTGAATATTCGGACCACCTCAGCCAAATCAAGACTTTCGAACGAAAGCTCGGAGAATGGACTACCCGCTGGCAAAACCTAGTTAGCGAAGGCATCGAACAAAAGGTACCACAGATTGCTACGCCAAGCTCATGGTATGATGACCTTACTGTCGCCTTGAAGCAAATAAGAGATGGAAAGACTTGGGCCCTAGGCGAGCTTGCAACCCTGGAAGAAAACATCCTCAATGGAAAATTCTCCCACAACCAAGTAGCTGCTCGTATGCAGTCAGCGATCGGCGGAAAGATTAAGGAACAAAAGCGTGGAAGAGTTGAAGCTGGCTTTCCGGCATTACACGGCAAAGATACCGATAATTCAAAGGATGATAAACCTGGCAAAAAGCGTGGCCGCCAGGATAAGGAAGGTCGTCAAAACCAACAAAGCAATTCGGAAGATATCTTGTCATCACGACCACCCAAAAAGACCAGAACTGAGGGAGACCGTTGCGAAGTATGCTTACAATTCGGCCACAAGCTCAACAAATGCTACTATACCTACACAATTGAAGAAGAAATCCCAGACTGGTTCGAAGATACCAAGAGCATCGTGATCGAGGACAGGGTAGCAAAGATCCTCAACCACGACAAGCAACTAGCCGAAAAGGTTAGAAAGGCTCAAGAAAGGCGCAAGAAGTTATGACTAGCCGCTATCTTCAAATCCGAATTAGCCCTCCTTACAGCACTTACCAAACCCATCCGCAATAAGCGAACCAGGAAACGTTTCCTACAATCAAAAGGGGCACTCAGTGCAACCACATATGCACTTCGAAATTCTGGAATTCTGGACTCCGGAACCACCATCCACATCTTCAACAATTCCAATAGGTTTCGGAACTTAAGACCAGCTCCATCAGGAGATTTTGTCTACGCTGGTGATACAGAAGTACCGATTCTTGGCTACGGAGAAGTCAGGATTAAGATCAAGACTAAGCATAGATCGAGTAGGCTACTACTTAAAGATGTAGCCTATTGTGAAGGTTTTGCTTGTAACTTGATCTCACTACGCCAGCTCCATAAGAAAGGTTTCTTTTGGGACAATAATCCACCAAATAATTGTCTTCGGAGGAAGGATGGCTCAGTCCTATGCAACCTATCTGACCAATATGGACAATTCGTTATCGAAGACGTTCCTTTCGAAGCACACTCGGCATTCCACTCACACGGAGCCTTCCAAACGGATCGGAAAACAAGCTGGACCGGCCGACCACCGAGTGATGGCACCGGGAAGCTATGGCATGGCCGTCTTGGACATCCAGGCGCTACAGCACTCGCTCACCTACAAGTATCAACAAATGGAGCCAGATTACGTGGCCCAGCTAGCTATGAATGCCCTGCATGCGGAGAGGCGAAGGCAAAGCGCAAAATCCGCAGAGAACTACGAGCAGAACCCCATGGCGTGGGAGAACGATTCGCTATCGACTTCCTCGATCTCAACCGCAGTCATAGAGGTTTCAATTCCGTTATACTATTTACAGAGCGGAAGAGTGGATACGTATACGATCTCTACCTCACGGAAAGAAAAGCACCTACTCTCATAATCGCTATCAACCTATTCCTGAATACAATGGAACGGCAGTACGGCTTGAAGATAAAAGCCATTGAGTGCGATGACGAGCTGATGCGCTCTAAAGCCTTGAATGACGTCAAATCGTGATGAACAAGTCTTTGATAGAATATCAGAGCGTGAAGAATTCCACGATTATGACATGACGTCGAATCGTGATGAACAAATCTTTGATAAAATATCAGAGCGTGAAGAATTCCACGATCTTGATAAGATGTCAGATCGTGAAGAACCTGGCAATATGGACGATGAAATGCAGGAGGCGTCAGATTTGGGGGTAGGTGATCAGAAAGAAGCTGATCAATACCACTCTTCAAATCTAGATCTGCTACTCACACCTGTAATTACTCCTCCACCGCCAACGGCGCTTCTTGAAGCAGCCTTTTCCTCACTCACGCTTGAAGAGCTCCAAGCTAGTGGGATGCCTCAGCAAGGGAAGAATCCTAAAGCAGGATTATTCGGCAGCATTTACGCGCCAATAATGATACGATAGAAGCAAATACTCGCTCTATCACCGTATGGCAAGCTGCGTTTACCGCAGGGCACCATGCAGCCAAAGTTGCAACCATTGACGGCCAGGCTGTGGACAAACACACCTTACGCAAAGAGCTTGACTATCGCCGTATATTGCCAAGAAGGCATCGGCAATTAGCTCGCTACGAAGCCGAGAGGATAACCAATAAACCTACCCCGATCATACAAGCCTCTGCTAATGGAAAGCATCATAGAAAGGATCTTCCACCGCCACCAAGTAGCTACAAAGAGCTCAAAAAGCATGCTCTATGCGATTGGTTTACAAAGGCTATGGAAGTCCATATGCAGAGCCACCACGAGATGAAGTCATTCGAGAAGTGTCACAAAAGCTTGGCAAAGAATACACATATCCTCGACTGTATGTGGGTATTTACCTACAAGTTCGACAAACACGGTTACTTGATTAAAGCCAAGGCACGGCTCGTCGTTAGAGGAGATCAACAAGCCAAGACCACAATAGAAAATACCTACGCCTCAACCCTCGCCGGCAAGTCATTCCGCACGCTCATGGCAATAGCAGCACGATTCGACCTTGAATTAATCCAGTGGGACGTTGTGAACGCCTTTGTACACGCCAAGCTCCCATATGACGTATTCATGCGGCTACCACCAGGGTATACAGAAGAAAACATGATTTTGAAGCTCACGAAAGCGCTTTATGGGCTCAGGGAATCGCCCTTACTGTGGCAGAAGGAATTCACAGCAACATTGCGGCGCCAAGGCTTCGATCCAGTTCCCCACGAACCCTGCTGCTGGACAAAGGAAGGAGTGATTATCTTCTTCTATGTAGATGATATTGTAGTCGCCTACCGGAAAGAAGACGAGGACGTCGCCAAATCAGAAACAGCCGTCCTACGATTACAGTATTCACTACAAGGAGGAGACGAGTTACAATGGTTTCTGGGAGTTGCGATAATTCGAGACCGAACCAAGCGGATTATCTGGCTATCCCAAGCCGACTACATCAACAAAATGAGCCGCTTCGTCAACCTACCCAGCAGAAGAAGAAAAAGAACTCCAATGACCTCAGCTGAGCTATTACCGTTCGAAGGCACGGCAACGAGAAGCCAGATCACCGAATACCAACGCAAAACGGGTACCATCTTATATTCCGCCGTAATCACACGGCCAGACATTGCTTTCGCCTGCTCGCGTCTTACCAGATTTAATCTAAATCCCGGTCCTCAACATCATGAAGCAGCTAATCGGGTAGTCGAATACCTACTCGACACAGCCAATTTTGCGCTTAAGCTCGGGGGTGAAGATGGCATGGCAACATGGAGTGATGCTTCATTTGCAGACAACACCATCGATCGACGAAGTTCACAAGGATACGCTATGAAGTTATTTGGCGGTACAATTGGCTGGCGAGCCAACAAACAAGACACAGTCACGACGTCAACCACGGAAGCAGAGCTTCTCGCACTCGCCCAAGCTACGAAGGAAGCGCTATTTGCGGACCGGCTAGTGAAGGAAATCGGAGTAGAGCTTGACGACGAAGCAATTCAGCTCTGGTGTGATAACACCCAAACAATCGGTCTAGTCACCAAGGAAATCGCTACACTGCAAACCAAACTACGACACGTTGATATCCACAACCACTGGCTTCGAGAAGCTGTCGATAGAGGCCAGATTAGGATCAACTACGCACCAACTAAGCAAATGGTGGCTGACGGACTCACTAAAGCTCTTCCAGAAGTCGACTTCTTACGATTCAGAGAACAGATTGGTGTCGAGGATATATCAGAAGCACTGAAAATCAGATACGATAAACTTAAGGGCTTAACGGACGAGGATTTGGAAGCTCTAGAAGACGAGTTCCAAGGTGGAGAAATCGATATTCACGAAGCTATTCAGTCAACAGCTAAGATGGCCGTCGACTGAGGGGGTGTGTTGAATTCACCATATGGAATCTTCTAGTGGATGATAAATACTAGATTATTCAGCTGATGTGAGCCAAAATTGCCACATCGCTCGCCACCACTCATATGTATAAAACCTGCACCTCTGGCATAGCCAGAGGAGGGGAGAAATAGAACACAACACTTCATATTTTTTCGGTCTGAATGTAAAATCCAACAAGAGGTCCTTGTACTAGTCGGCACCAATAATGAAAAGGCGTACTAAGCTGCTGGTTGCTTGCAGCGGGCTCGACAGCGGCCTGGCACTTGGAGGGATCATACACGGGCTCTCTGAGGTGGCAAGCCGCGCCAGAGGGTGTCGGTGAGATTAGCCCCCCACCCAAAGAATCGTTGAGAGCCGCTCACATTTGCCGCGAGGGTCTCGAGGGTCTCGAGGGACACCATCTCGGGTTGCCACTTGCGCCCCAATCAGATCACTGTTCTCGATGGGGCGTCCAAGCAAGCCCGCTTTATCTACAGTCCCCCGGTCTTCCCCCGTTAATGAAACCTTTCCGCCCATTAGCCTGTTATTGTCCAAGTAGGCCTTTCTCGACGTTAAGGACCGGTAGAGAAAACCGGGTACTTAAGACTGCCCTGATTACGCTTCACTACGAAAGACCAGGGAGTTGACAATGAATCGCCGTCCGATACTGGGTGCCCAAGGTAATCATGTTGCGATCTCTTCTGCTCGTCGTCACGCTAACGCGACAGACGCTTGCGGGATGCATCGCCGGCGCTCCGGCCGATCCCCCAAATTCGCGTGGCACGGGCACGGATTACGAGTAAGCACACTTGCAAGCCCGCTGGCCTGGCCCGCCCCGAGTGGGACGCTGTTAACCTACTGGCGTCAGTGGATTCTTTCCCTGGACGTGCAGTTGCAGCAACGGCGCTACAAAGCAGGACCACGAGCTCCGAGATTATTGTCACGAGATCCGGAGGAGGTCATGTCGAACCATGTACGTCCTCGCCCTCACTTCCAGACGACAGAGAAGCATAGGAAGGATTCTTACAAGGGTGTATCTATCCCCTTGTAGTGTGTTTACAGGGCGAATGACGACCGGAAAGGCCCCACGGGATTCACAGATGAAGCCTGTGCAGATGAATACGGCCACGGTTTCCGGGGCACGTATCAGTGCGGAGCCGACGGAAGGTGGACTCTCACCGAGCCCTCCGATGGGTGGTCCTGCTCTCCAGAGATAATCCCGCGGCGGACTGAGATATCTCCGCAAGCAAGAAACGCGGCCGGTTGGGGCCGTGATGCCTTTACGAGCCGTCTCGGCCCATTGGCTGATTGAAGGAAGTCTGGAGGAGTGGAAAGTACGCCTACGCTATGTTCAGAGAGGGTTAGGCAAGTGAGGCCAGCCCTATATAATAAATTATGTCTAAGAAGATAAATTAAAAAGGCTTCTACATGTACTATTTTGTGTACGTAAGGAGGCACTGCTTAAGGAATGTCCTCCAATTACAATGCTTGAAGTCAAACCGTTTTTCCTTTCGTCTTCTTTCGATATGTTTAGAGAGCCCGCAGTTCTTTCAGGGAAGGATGTGACACTACAAATACCCCTGTCAGGGGCGTTGTGTTGTGGGTTACAACCAACTGCCCTGCCGTGCTATAGAACACGCTACACACGGCCATCCCATCACCAGCCATCTGCACAACGCACATGATAATTAAGCACTCTGGGGCTTTCCATTGGCGGCATATATCTATAGCTATTGTCGAGGCTACTCGGGCCTGCTCGCCGCTTGCGGACAGAGCATTTTGAATCCATATTTCTGTTGGGGCAATTTGCAATCCATTGTCCAAGTCCACCTTGTCTTTCTCCTTTGAAGGCCCATCGCCTCTCCAACCCTCCCGAACCTTACCTACATAGCTACTTAACCTCAAGGACCGCAAACTCTAACATAAGAAATTTGCAAGAAATGCTTTGCCTGCCTGCCTACCTACCTACATTCTGCGTCAGATATGCGAGGGGAACCCGTCGCCACCCGCCTTCGTATTGGTAGCCCGCTGAAGTAGGGAGTATTGCGCCGGGTTAGCAGCATAGTCGACGTCGAATCGCGCATCACGGTGGTAGACCGCCACCTTGATGAAGTCAGAGGCAGGGATGTCCGTTCCGTCAAGCTGTTTAGTCCCCAGGAATGGTTAGCTCCGCAGTTAATACCAAAAAGAAACAGAAGAAAAGAAAAAAAGGAGAGACAAAGAAGCAAAAGACATGAACAGGAATCCAGATATACACACCGATCGCACTCTCCAATGTAGATACTCCTCGAGATAGTCCTCGACGCGAGGCTTCTCTAGCTCCTGTGCGGGGAAGGGGTAGATGCCATGGGAGATCTCGAGCTCGCCATGGTTGCTGCCGCGGGGGGGAATACGCGCCATCATTGCGCCCGTGATGGGCACCTGGGCGCGCGACTTTGTGCCCTCGGCCGACTTCTTCTTGCAAGCTCCGCAGCCGTCACCCTCTGAGTCGGCCTCGCCGCCGGCGGGCGCGGCGCTGGTGAACGTGCACACGAGGCCGACGTGCTGCTGGTGCTCTTCGAGACGGTCCGTGTAGCCGTCCAGGACGGATTTGTCGCCGATGAATAGGTGGAGAATGTACGGGGCGCCGCCGAACGCGAACCTGCGGATCTCTCTGTTAGCAGTCTTACTCCTTCTCTTCCACTTTGAAGCCCTGGACGTACCGGTCGTAGGTGATGTTGACAATGATATCCTTTGACCATTTCTTCCGCTGCCGCCGGGCAGGTGCTCCACCTCCCGGGCTGCGGACAAGCATCCTTGCGGCCAACGCTTGCGAGGTCTCCGTGTCTGTCTCGTCCGTCTCCGTGTTTTCATCATCATCATCATCATCCTCGTGCGGACTATAGAGCGTCTTGAGCTGCTTCTTGATGTCGTCAATGTACAGGTCGACGTCGAACTTGCCGTCCTTCTTGTACTTGTCCAGCCAAGGCTGCAACTCGGGGTACGAGTAGCCCCAGTCCAACCAGTTGCGGATGTCATTGGAGGTGAAGTAGTTTCCTTCCGTGTCCTTGTGGAACGGAGCCAACGGGGTCACGGGCGTGTCGGTCGCGCCCGCCTTGATGCTCCAGGTCCCGTCGTCCGGGAGCTGCTCCGACGGCTTCTGGAACCAGTTGCTGTCGGTGTTCTTCTGGTTGATTGCCTGCCAGATGGCAAACTGGCGATCGACATTCCTGTAGAAGCTCCCGATTGCAGAGTCAGTGTATCTTTCTCCGGGCTTGTCAATAAGGGGGTGCGAGATGGGACATGATACGTACGCATGGTGCATGTAGAAGATGGGATCGAACCCGGCCACAGGCACCTCGGTCATGTGGCCGATGTACTTGTCGAACCCGCCCGTCCAGTTGTGGATGTTGTTATGGATGTACTCTAGGTTCAGCCACGTAGCCGGTGCGTCCTTGCTGTGGAACTTGGTCGTGGCGAACTGGGTGAAGGTGGAGATGTAGTTCGGATCATAAAGACGGTACACCATCTCAGCGATGGGCACTTTGTCCGTGTCCTTCATATTCTTACCATACCACGAATGGTCCTTGAGCGATGTAGCCACCACCGTGTTGTTTACTTTGCCGATGATCCAGGTTTCCAGCCACTCCTGCGAGATCGGGCTAGTCGGGAAGGTGTCGCTTCGTGATGTGCCCTTGGACTTGGAGAACTGGGGTGTTTGGTCTTTGGTTAGCCTAGTATGTTGTTTTCGAAAGACGGCACCGCTATTTTAGCCACGTACCGGAATGTCCACCTTGCCTTCTTTGATGTCATGGACCCCATACTCCCCCATGGCCTTCTTGTGTGGCATGGTGAACTTGTACATCGGGTTGTCGACGTAATATTCCGAATCTGCGCCTTTGGGGTCTTTGAGGTTGATGACTGCGATCCTCGGATCCTGTGTGATCAATGGAACGTCGTAGATAGGGTCGTCGTTGCCGGCGCGGGTCTTCTTCTCCGCCCAGTCCCAGTAGGGCAAGCGCCAGGTATTGGCAGCGTCGGTCCAGTCCTTTCGCTCGTCCTTGGGCAACTGGGGAATGAGTTCTTTGATCATGATCTCATGCAGCACTTGCTAATTATTCCTTCTCGTCAGCCAAGGTAGATCAAAGTTGGACTTCTCGGTTAGACTCGCCTCGAAGAGCATCATATAGGGGCGGTGCCAGCACGGGAAGAGTAGGCTGTCGTGGGTGCAGTAACCCTCATTGGGTGTGGCAGGTTTGGTATCTTCGTCCCATGGTTTGTAGGGCATTCCATGGATTCCTACATTCAGGCGCACCACCCAGTCAGCAACAAAGACGCGGGTGAATTGAGTTCGGGAACACGTACCCCCGATCTGGAAGAAGGAGAGCTTCTTGCTGGGGTCTCTCTTCTGTAGGCGTCTGAGCGCATGCAGGAACAGGCTTCTCTGGAGTCTGTGCTCAGTCGTGCTGCTGAGGTACCAGGCGTCGGCCTCGAGGCGCAGGGGCACTGTAGTGGTGGTGACGCCTGTCTTGATGCCAGTGATGGCGTAGTAGCTCGGCGCCAGGCAGACTTGGCCCGAGAGGGACCACGTGTCCGCTGCAGGGGACGTTGTCGCCGTTAGCGTGGTAGCGAACACGTTGGTCTCGTGCGTTGTTCGCTTGACGTTATCGTAGTGCAAGAGATAAAAGATCACGATTCTTTCCTTGGCCGCTGCGTCCTTGACTAGCACGGCAGCAAGAGGCGAACTAGGAACCGGAGTGACATCTAGGGGTACCAGCTGTGGTTGGGCCACAACGCCCTGTTTATCGACGCGGAGACGATAGACCTGGTTAGAGTCTGTTGTGGAGAAGCACCAGAAGCTGTTCCCGTCATCGACGGCGGCGATGGAAGCATGCGCTGATAGAGCGGCGTGATTGTCGGTAATCACATAGGTGGCGTAATCTGGATTCCCATGCTTGTCAGTCACGGGGGATGACGGGGAAAGAGGAAGGGTGGAGCGGAGTGGCAATACCATCAGCTCCTTCGTCCTGAGACGAGCCAAGGTTGAGATTGTCGTACTGGAAGAAGACGGGGGGTCGAATGCGGGCAGTATCATCGTCTTGCGGTTTGACTTCGATTCCAGGCTGAGCAGGGACGACGGAAAGAGAGGTGCCGTAGAGAGGTGGATCGTCGATGGGCGCAGGTCCCTTCTCCCAGCCAAAGGAACGACCGTGGTGGACCACCTTAATGTCCCCCGTCTCGGCCGTATCTTGGAAGTATACGCACACGAAGTGTTCACCCTCTCTGTTGGTCACCTTGATGGCAGCGAGCTTTGAGTAGGCAGCGCACTTCCAGGCCTTCTGGCGTAGCTTTCCCTGGCTCCAGGTACCGTTGGCGGAGGCATAGATATCGCAGAGGTAGTTTTCGTCGTCGACGTAGAACACATAACGCTTCTGATACTCTGTTAGCATGAACTGGGCCGGGCATATCTGGCATCCTTAACGGTGAGGAATCACCTGCTGGTCAAAGTTGACGGCCGCCAAAGGCGTGAATCGCTTGGCAGGGGCGTGCCCAGTAGCGCTAGTGATGGAAATCACAGTCCAGTTGCCCGCCACATCGTAGGTCTCGGCGCTACCGGCGAGTCCGCCCTCGATCTCCACGAGTTCACGATGGTAAGTCTGAGCATAGGTGTAGATCTTGTCCTTGCTGGCCACGCTGGCCGCAACAGCCGTGTTGGGGAGAAAGGTGAACGACATTTCCCAAAGAGTTTGGAGGATTTGGGATGGAAAATGAAGGATGGAGGATAGATGCTAGCACACACTTGGCTCCTGGGGAGTGGAGTTTCGAGGTTATTGTTCTGTCAGGCTGTTTGGGATGCAAGGGAACAGAGTAGGTGGGTGATCAGACTGCCCCTTGAAGTAACCCCTTGAAGTAGCTCTAACTGCCTACCTAGGTACGTACCTCAGAGCCTGTACATATCTCCGTCGACCTATTCTCCTCATGGCGATAGAGCCTTCCCCGCCGGAAATGCATGGAAACCACAATCTAGAACTATGGCTTCGGCAGTGATCGTACGACTATGCCACACTCCGCGCAGCAGCAGCTCTTCTCGACAAAGGCGGTGTGTCCAATGGCCGCGTGTCAAGCAAGCTGACGCAGACCCGGATGCGAGCCCCTATTCGTGCCCGCTCGCAGCCGCCATTTCAATGGCTGCGTGTCAAGCAAGCTGACACAGACCCGGATGCCAGCCCTATTCGTGCCCGCTCGATTTCTTTGAATTCGCCACGAGAACCAAGGCTTGGCCAAGGCTGCCTTGGCCCGGAAGCATGACAAATTCGGAGACATATGATCGGAGACATACGGCGCCAGCTATTGGAAGTATTTGGGAATCACGGGGTTGTGGTTCACGGAACCAGATTGAGAGGGGCCAAGGACCTTGAGGCCAAGGAAAAGATTATTTGGCGAGTGGGCTATTTCCATGGCGTATCTTTGCCCCAGGGGTCTGCAATGTGTCGGGAGTTCCCCGTTGCAGCAATATTGCCCTGTGTCACACACCAGTATGGATTCATAATGCCTGCGGGGCAGATAATGGTATCAATAATGTTGTGGTGACAAAATGTGTAGAAAGTGCATTGGCAGGCTACTCTAGGGGGGGCTAATCCCCGTACTAAATGTGTGGGCGAGAACCCAGGTGCGGGCTGGTGGCCCAAGCGTTCAACCAGGGCTAAGCCCCGCAACAAATTATCCTTCCGTGACGTTCCCAAGATTTAATTAGTTGTCTACACTACCTATCTTAGTTTAAGGATTGAACTTATTACAAGTCCGTTTCCTGGCACATCGTCGGCAACATAAGTAGAGCCCCGTGTTGGAGAAATCTCTGTTATTTGTTAGTGTCCGATATCTAGTTTTAGTTTTAGCTATGGTAAGTATAGCCGGGCAGCACTAATCTCTGGCTCGCACCTAAGTCTCGGTGAACTAGTGATTCGTTTTATCCCTTCGACCGCGAACGTGCAACAGTGACATCTTGGGCCCCACACCACCCCTGTAGCTAGCGCGGTACGTCAAATTGACCGAGAAAAAAAGGAGAAGCCTCCTACATACATTTTTAGCTACAGCAGCCGTTATCCCCGTCACACAGGTTGTTCCTTTAGAAGATAAAGGCCTCAATCCGACCCAAGCCGTGGTTATTACCTTATTGACTGCTACAAAAAGCTAGATATCACGTATTCCCAGATAACCTCTTTCCAACTCCAAACTTGCTACGAGTCCTTCGTCAAAGATTTGGTGCTACGGGCACCTGCCGTACAAATAGCGGTATTCACGCAGCCCTCGTAGCACTTAAGGCGTCCGAAATGGAAGATCTTCCGTGGGGGGAACTCAGAATCATCCCTACAGCCGATGGACGGGTATCTCTTCTTTCTAGCTTCTCTCTAGCTTCTTTCCGGCTTCTCTCCGGCTTCTTTATAATTTGCCTAATAAGGTCCCCGTGTTTTAGGTTAACCAGTTTGCGTGGAAAGATAATGCTGCCGTTCTTGCGCTCTCGACCGTACACGACGGCACCAGTTACGTCATCGCAACCGACGCCGCCCGAATGCTTCATCTACTGCTGGACGGGCTGCCCGCAAGGTATTCGGGGCCGACGCCCGGAAAGAATTGCCGATCCCGAGTTTCATCGACGAGTATAATCATTAAATGAACGGCGTTGACGTTGGGGATCAGATGAGGGCGTATTACGCCTCGGGGCGGTCGATTCGGCGGAGCGGATGGCAGGCCCTCGCGTGGGATTACCTACTAAACGTCGTTACGGTGAATACCTTCATTTTACAAGACCAAGGGGAGCCCGACTGGGATCGTGCCACCAGTCATCTAGAATGGCGGCAGCTGCTTTCTGAACAGCTAATTGGGACCTTTGGGCTACAAGTCAAGACGCGGAAGCAGGCTCGGGCTGGCACACCGTTGGACAACCGGGATAAAACTATTCCCGTTGAGCAGCATGAATTCGTACATCGCGGCAAGCTCTTACGCTGCGTCATTTGCTCGAAAGGAGCCCGTCACAAGAGCCAGGCTTTTGGGGAAGTATCGGGAAATGCGCAGCGCAAAATGACGAGGAAGGGCTGCCGCCAGTGTGATGTAGCATTATGTACAGCAGGGTTATGCTGGTACTTATTTCACAGCTAAATTTACCAGTAAACTCATGTACCTTTCCAAAAGGTGGTCTGATTGGCCGAAAACCCCTGTCGATTTGTCACTGTTGCACGTTCGCGGTCGAAGGGATACGCCCAGCTTGAGAGCCTGTCCGTCCCTAAGCAGGAGATAGACCTTCCCATCCACTGATTGCGTCTTTCTGGTCCTCAGCCGGTCCCATTGCTCCCCATTGCTCCTCACTGCTCCTCACTGCTCCTCACTCCTGCTCGGCGGGCTTCGACAGGTATCACGTGTGATTCACGTGACTCCCTCCTTGAAGTGTACGCGACCATCACAACATCCTTTGACCCACCCCGGCCCAGGGGGATAGTCAATATGCCCCACCCCTGCTCAGGTCTTCCAACTAATACGGACCTGGAAAAAAGTGTTGTCCGGTGAGACTATATAGGTAGCTAGCGAGGTCGAGTTCCCCGAGGCGATGACAAGATAGCTCCAGGTTCATTAATTTGCACTATTTTTTGCTAATTAATGCAATATAAAATGCAAATATGCAATATGCAATGCTAGTGATGACGCCGAGTCATGCAACCGTGGTCTAATCTAGCGGTGGTAAATGTCCAGACCTCCAACGCCTTGCTAAATGATCAAATGGGCAAACCTAAATGATAGACAGAAAAAAAAGCCCCCCTTCACACTCAACCGAGCGGCGTCAGCTCGCCCCTAAACGGCCGCTGCACGCTGTCGACACACCCGTCTTCAATGCGCCACACGCCATTCGTCTTGTCCGAGTTGAGCTGCACCGGAATGCCCTCGCTTAGAGTATGGAACACGGCGTGGTCTTCGGGGGCGAGGCTGCGGAACAGCAGCGGGCGCCAGACATGTCCCGTGGCGGCCTCGCAGGCCCGCATCTGCCGCTGGGCCTGCTCGATGCGCGTCTTCTCGGCCAGCACGGTGCGCATGTCGCCGGCGGCCATGCCGCTGAGCACGCCGCCCCAGGCGCGGCGCGACTCCCAGGGGTCCTGCGCGTCGACGGGGTCGACGGACATGGGCGCGGTGGCGTTCTCGGGCGCGTCGACGACGTACTTCTCCATCACTTCGCCCGTGCGCGCGTCCTTGGCCGTCCACCCGTCGCTCCATATGCCCGACACCTCGTAGATGCTGCGCTTAGCAGCGTCGTCCTTGCGGAACACGCGCGCCTCGAAGGCGTTGCGCTTGCCGCGGATCAGGCCCTCGCCCGAGAAGCGCACCTCGGCGACGAAGCCCGAGCTCGCCGCGATGGTGTAGGTGCCCGTGATCTCGGGGTACATGCAACCCGAGAGGAAGCCACGAACCTTGACGTCGGGCAGGGGGACCAGGTAGTCCTCGTCGTAGCGGTCGATGTGCAGCACAGCGTGGCCGACCTGGCGGATGTTGACGCTGCCGTTGAAGGTCATCTCGACGCGGGCGTAGCCGTCGGCGCGGATGCCGTTGCCCTTGTCGGCCACGTGCATGGCCGTGATGGGCGGGTGGTGGCTGACCTGCTCGGCCACGATGCTGGTCGACGCCTTGGCCTCGGCGTCGGTCCACGAGGCTAGGAACAGCTCGCCGAGGAAGGCGTTGAGCGGCTTGCGGATGCTGATGCCCGGCGCGCCGGCCACGTAGAGCTGGCTCCGCAGCGACGTCAGGAACCACTTGAGCACGAGCAGGGAGCGCTTCTCGACGTCGGGCTCGAGCGCCGGCGCGGCGAACACGGCCGGCCGCTCCGCCCAGCACTGCCCAGCCTCGACGACCGACGACGGGGCCAGCAGTGACGGTGGCCCTGTGACATTGGAGAGGTCACCTTGCACTGTGGCGAGGAACTGATGAGGTGAAATGCAAGTCAGCCATCTCGAACAGTTTGAGACGGGGTGAGATGGACTGCGTGAAATGGGGAGGTCGGCACACTAAACTTACTTTGACGAGCTCACGCAAACGGGAGGAGACAGATTTGCCGTCCATTTTTGTGGATGACGATGTTCACTGTTAATGCCGGTGAAATGTGAATGATACGGCGTTTGCGGTTGTATTTGGAGCTCGAGGTGGGGGTGGTGCGAATTCACAATCGGCGCCCGCGCGGAGAATGGCGCGGCGAAGCTCTTAAAGGTTATTTAGGAGTGAAAAGGTCAAAAAGGCGATCTAGATCGCTTTGTGATTAGGTGGCGCTTGCTTTTTGCTGAGGCGAGAGCTTTGTTTCACCTTTGTCTCAATGCCAGGATGACGATCAGGGCTTGGCGGGAAATCGGACGAAAAAGTATTTGTGGGCGAATCTGCACGAAGCAAATCCTGGGTACTCTTCAATGCCCTTGTTGTTGGACAAAGGCGCACCCTGTGCTATTTGTTCCATTCACTGGCCGCAATCACAAGCCGATAGCGGTTGTCTGGCTGCACACGGCGTGGCGGCCAAGACCTGTGATACGCTGCCCTTTCCAGAGAGTCGGGACTACAAGACTCCGCGCCACTAACGACACTGATGAAAGGCGGTGCAGCGCTTGCAGGGCAGCGAAAAGCGGGGTGAAAGAGGCCCCCAAGTGGCCAAAGGCCCCAAAGTTCCCCCCGCTAAGCACTTGAGCTAGTTGCACGGCTGCGCGACAGACGGCAATCTTACGCCCCCAAAACTCTCAGTCAATTGGGCGGGTGAGTCTCTGCAGCCTGCAGCAAGTTCTCGGCGACTCAGTCGTCCGCGCCAGGTCGCATCCACGTTGAGTTTCAGGCCGTGGTGAGCGGGGCCCAGCGCCGATCCCACCCACCATTCAAACCGATTCACTCACCGTCCAGTGCCGGAAGGGGCAACGTGCGCCATTTCCTGCGCCACAGCACCCCTTCCCCACAGGGCGACGCGGCGGCAACCACGGGCTCCGAATCGACTCCACCTGGCACCGACACACTTCCGCATCAAGAGCCTTCTTGCGGCCCGCGTGCACACTTTATTTGGAACTTTAAATGGGCTGGAAGGAACTTTGCACTGCCGAACCAGCGCGCTTGCCAACAGGAACAAACTACCTGATTGCGCGTCGCGAGGGAGCCTAGGAAGTTCCCCAGAGCACGTTTTGTTCGGCGCCAGCAAAATTCTAGGTCAGCAAGTCGCCAAATCGTGCGACGGTGCGCCCTGGGGCACGACAAGGCCTGATCGCCGTTGCTCAAGCGCCGCACACCAGTCGCACGCCAGCCGCCACCAATGCACTCAGTCAACTGCCGTGCCGTCTGACGTCAAGCCTGTGGCTGACGTTGGCATCTTCTCGTCTCTCAACTTGAGAAAATGCACGGACTCTGGGCAATCTCGGAGGGTGCCTGGAATCCTTTTTTGGAGCGCTTGGCGCTGAAGTGAGAAATCCGAGCAGTTGGTTCCACGTGAAACACAGGCGACGATCGAAACCCCGTCTTGCTGCCTGCATTGCAATACTCGCGCACCGACTTAAATGGCGCCCGCCCCGGGTAGCTGTTTCTGGAGATTTGATCATCGCAGGATCGCCCAAGATGTGCTCTTGGCGGCGGGCCGGGCCGTTGCAAGCTGCGAGCGAGCTTGCGAGCCTGCGGTCATCGGTCCCTGGGCGCGCTGACTTGCGTCGCACAAGTTCGCGACAGCGAGAAGTCGCACGTGCAGTCCGACATCGTATGGTATGACAGACAGACCATGGCCCATGTTTGCAAGTGTAAACATTTGGAAGACGTTTGAGTCACGTGATATCATCTGATGATGCGTCATGCTGGTTTGCTTATGACTTTTCCCATCCCTATTCGAACTACGGCCCTCAAGTTCACCTATGCTAGAAGGATCTAAACTACGAACCTATGCGTTAGATACGACTTGCTTAGACTCAGACTCGAGCAAAATTCCCCGCTCTAATAGTTTGGTGTTTACGCTGGGTCGATTCATAACTCTGTACGTTGCGCAGGCCGCAGGATCCCTGATTCTATTACGGGACGGCAGGGAGCTTCGCATAAACACCCCAATTTATGTCGCTCTTTGGGTTTGCTCGTTGGTATCTTTGTTCGAGTGCTCCGCAATTAACAAAGTCAAAAACTACAGTCTATTTCCGACGCATCATTTGCTCATAAAGCCCAGTCACTCTGCTGTCCCTCGGCTAAACTGACAGAAATTCCAGGTATCGAGCCTCCCCCCTGTATTATGGACACCTCACTACAATTCTGGTTATCGGCCAGAACAAATCAGACCTTTTCTGTCTCCGGCACGATCTGTATCTCGCTTAATTCGTGCTCCTCGTGGCCCATCTTCCTCGCGACGACCTCCTTGATCCTGGCCGCAAGGCGCGGCTCGTCCTTGGTGGTCCACGGCTTGGGGCCTTCGTTGGAGAAGAGCACCTCGGTCTCCTCGAGCGTCTTGCCGCACGTCTCGAGATAAAGATCCAGAACCAGGCCGCCGCGGCAACGCACAGCACGCCGAAGATGATGAAGACGGCGTACTAGATGCCCGACGTCACCAGGGCCACATCGCCCGTCAGGCCCGCCATCTGCGCAATGTACGTGAGGTAGTATACGATGACGTTTGCGCCGGAGAGTTGCTGTCCGTCGCATCGAGTTAGCAGAGTGCACGCAGTAGCCGGTAGGTTCATGGGAGAGCAACATGCCTGCCATGCCTACACCGGCATGCCGGCCATGGTGCGCCGCCACATACCGTTTTTGAAAAACTTGCGCCACCCGCGGCCAGCCTCGCGCTCGGCGCGCAGCACCGTGACGATCTCCTCCCACTCGGCCGCGACTAGCGGGTCGTCGATGTTGCCACCGGCCTAGATGTTGGCCAGCTGCTGGGTGATGACGAGCTAGCCGCGCTTCTCGGCCTTTGCGATCTCGGCCAGGTACACGGGCACCTGCGACGACGGGACGCCGACGGTGAAGCTGTTGAGCACGCGCCCCGCGATCAGCTGCCCGTAGTTCTAGCAGACACTGCACGGCCGTGCCGACCAGCCAGAACAGGCACGCGAAAAGATGGCGTCCCGCCGCCTGATCCTGTCCGATAGCGGGCCCGCAAACGCCGAGCCCACCACGGACCCCGCCGCCAGCGCAGACCCAATGGCCCCCTGGAACACCCCCGACAGGTTGTCGAAGAATTCGAGGCACTGCTTGGTCACCACGATGGCCGACATGGAGCTAATGTCCAAGCCTGCCAAATTCTATCAGCCCACTTCACGGTAAGGTCTAGTCCAAGTCATGTGAGGCTCACCAAACAGCGCTCTGCCGAGCGTGGCAATCATGGCCACGAGGTGGATATTGTAGATGGTGGGTAATTTGACTCTCTTTCCGTCCGTACAGGGCCGTCTGCTGGTTCTAGCAGACGACTTGGGACACCTCGCGGGTTAGGGCAGGACGAAAGAAACGGCCACACATGCTCCTCTCAGGCGCACCCCTCTTCCCCGGCCACCAAGGTCAGGTGGGCTTGTTGCTATTGCAATTATCCGTAGAGATGTTAGTACCAGCCTGGCAAAGCCGCAAGATCTGCAAGTGGACACCTAATAGGGACGACGAGCATCTAATACTTGAAACTTGCAAGATGATATTCCCGGTTTTTGGTCCAGCCAAGTGCTCATCCTTGCATCCACCCGTCCCCAATTACCAGTTACCTAGGGACCTACCTACATGATGACATCCAACCAGGCCCCCTCTCGGCTCCGAAAGCCCCCAGACCATCATCCGCCAACCTCACCTCTCAACTGGCGTGAACCTGACCTTCACCTCCGGCTTGACGAGGAACCCGTAATGCCGCAGCGCGGCATCCAAGCCGTCGACGCGCTGTCCAGACCCCAGGGCAACGTCGAACGCCCAGAGCACCTTGGCGAGGAACAGCTTGCCCTGCATCCAGGCCAGCTCGCGGCCCATGCACATGCGCGGGCCGAGGCTGAAGGGCACGAAGCCACTGGCGTCGTCGGCGGCGAACCGCGCCTCGTGCAACGCGTGGCCCGGCGCCAGCCACCGCTGCGGCCGGAATGCCAGAGGCTCGTGGAAGTAGCGCGCGCTGCGGAAGCTGGCGAACACGCTCGTCTGCACGTGGGCCTAGTCGCGGTGTTGGTCGCAAGGTCAGCAAAATTGCGTGGCGATTAGGAACGACGGCAGACTGAGCGCGTGGACGTGTGTGAACATACCCCCTTGGGAACGAAATGGCCGTCGACGACGGCGCCGGGGCTGATGCGCGGCAGCCCGGTGCTGTTGCTGTTGAACAAGCGCAGCGATTCCTTGAGGCAGGCGTGCAGGTACGGCAGCGGGGCGACGGCCGTGGCCACGATGTCGGCGCTGCGCGCGAACGCGGCGCGCACCTCGCGCACCAGGGCCGCGTGGCACGCCGGCTCGGCCAGCAGGTGGACCAGCGCGCTGTAGAACCAGTCGGACATGGGCCCGAACTCGGCAAAGGTCAGCTGCACGGCGACGGCGGCGAGGTGCGTGGTGTCGGTGGGCGCCGGGGCCGCGGCGGGGAGCAGGAACTCGAAGAAGTCGGCGTGGTCTGTCTTGGCGCCGCGGTCGGCGATGCGCTGGCGCACCTGGCGCCGCGTCGTGGCTTCGGTGCGCGCAAACAGCAGCAGCTTGGACGCCGGTGCTAGCAGGTACTGCAGCTGGCGCAGCACGGGGCCGAAGCGCTTAAAGACTTGCATGGCCGTGGCGAAGGCGTTGAAGGCTAGCAGCATGTCGAGGCGCGCGTCGTTGCGCATCGCGCGCTGCTGGCCTAGGTCTTCGCTCAACGACATGGCGCCCGCTAGGTCCATGGCCAGCCAGTTGATCCACCGCGCGACGTCGACGCCGGCGGCGACACCCCCCAGCTCCGCCATGCGCGCCACAAAGTAGTCCATGTGCCGGTGGACGAGCGGCTCTAGGGCCCGCACGTTGCGGCTGCTGAAGGCCGGGTGCAGCTGGCGGGCGACGGCGCGGTGGCGCACCGGGTCCTCTTCCCACAAGATGCCGCCCAGGCCCTTGCCCATGTTATTGAAGTCAGTCTTGACCCACGCCTCGAGGCCCTTGTCGTGCGGCCCGTAGATGTCGGCGATGGCCTGCGGGGTCACGAAGACGAGCTCGTTGGGCGCAATGCGCACCACGTCGCCGTACTGGCGCAGCGCATCCTCGACGGCCCACGGGTACCTCCCGCTGAGCCTGGGTTGGTGTTACGGGTCAGGACCGTGTTGCAGCTTGCGCAGGATGGGGGCTGCGGGGGCTCCGGGTTGACTCACCAGTGGTAGCCGTACCAAAGGTCGGACACAGCGGCGAGCCGCGGGCCGGGGAACTTGGAGAGCGGGTGGAAGTACACGAGGTAGGCAGCTCTGGCTGCGCAGAGTAAGGTCTGCAGGCCGGGTTAGATTGGGGCTAGGGGCGTTTTTTGGAATTCGGCCACCAGCCGGACTTACGGCTCCAAGAAACAGCGTGGCCAGCGACTGCGGCTTGGCCACCTCTGACCAGAGGGTTTGCAGGTGGAAATCCATCTTTGGTCTCGTTGTTGGTATGGGCGGGTTGAATGCTGTGGAAGGTCGTCTGACAGCCAACGTGAGTGCTCGAGAGAGGTTGGACGCTGGGCGGTCAGCAGTCAGCACGCTCCAAAGAGGCTAGTCCAGATCGACATTGGGATTGGGCGGCTCATTGAGGTAAGCGCTGCGCGTAGCGCCAACTGCTCATCCTAATCGTATCCGCGGAGTCCGCGAAGGGAGCAAAGATCCTCTACGGATGCCACTATCTTTGCTTGTCGAGCTTGGCATCGTGAGGCTGTGGGTGGGCATTTCTCTGCGCGGAGGAGTAAATCCAAATCCAAAAAACGACCCACAACCCTGAGCTTCAACATCTTGTCTCAACGACTACCCTGTCCTGCTACCCTTCCATCATGTGCTCTAGCCCTGAAGCTAATATCCCATCACGCCCATTACTCCCATTACTCCCATTACGCAATCATAACTCCATCAAACCTGGTATCAATCCATGCCATGCACCTTAACCTCCAAACCCAAAAGGCAATACAACCCACTACTCCTACCGTCCCGCTTTATATCTCCCACAACAGCATGTTATCTACGTCCCAGACCTTTGTGCTCCCATGCATCTTCTCCGTGAGTCGAGCTTTACCGTCCCTCAGGATACCAGCAAACTTGTGCTTGGACCCTAGATTATGGCCGCCAATCACCAACAGGATCTGCTCGAGGGCGTGGCATATCTCCAGCGCCTCTTCATATTTGTCCTGCTTCTCCAGACATCGCACCAGATACCACAGGGTCAAGATACGGTCGGGATGCTCGCCGTCTTCGCCCGTCGTCTCCTGGTACTTCTTCTTCTCCGCGACGGACCGAAGAATCGTCTCGGCCTCGGTGAGTCGCCCTGCATGGGCGAGCGATTGCGCGTAGTACGTCTTGCCCGCCAGCAGCCCAATGTGTGCCTCGTCGAGGTTGCGCTCAGCGATGTCGAGCGCGAGCTTCATCATCCGCATGGCTTCGTCGTGGCGGCCCATTGCAGACTTGATCCTGCCGAGGTGGCACATGGCTAGTAGCGTGTACGGCTGCTCCTTGCCGAGCAGTCGCTTGCGATGGTCCAGCACGTATTCCATCTTGTCGTGGCAGTCCTGCAGGATAAGCTTGTCGGTGTGACCATAGCCCATCATGCGGCTGAGACAGAGGTCTTCGATGAATTCAAGGGCCAATTGGCTCGTGTCGTTGCCATGCAGCTTCCGTAGTCCCTCTAGTGCGTGCACGTGTAGTTCCGCCGACTTATCAAAGTCGAGAAGCCGGCGGTGGACGCGGCCGGCGTTGTTGATGGCCGTCAGCGTCCCGACGTGCAGGTCACCATGCACCCTCTTCATACCGTCAATGGCCTTGACGTGCAGAGCGAGCGCCTCGCTGAAGCGGCCTTGAAGCCAGATGCTCAACCCAAGCTTGTCCGTGACCTCCAACGTCTTGGGATGGTCCGGGCCGAGCCCGTCGTGATAGGTGTTGTAGACGCGACGCAGCAGCTCCGTGGCTTGGTTAGACTGAGTCAGCTGCCACAGCGTGCCGGAGAGAAACATGGTTACTTGGAGGGTGAGCATGTTTTCTTCACCCAAGCGGCTGACGAGAAAATTGCGGATCTGCCATTGAAGCTGCGAGGCTTCCTTGAACAAACCGCACTCGGAGTATACGCGGCTGAAGCGTCCGGCTTCTTGGGCTTGCAACGGCCCAAATTGCATCTCAGCCACGGGCCACCAAGACTTTCTGAGACGCTGGTTTTCCTTGAGGGTGTCTTGAATGATGCTTTGCCAGCGCCGGACGTGCATGATGTGAGGGAGAAGCTTGAGGCGCTTGCTCAGTTCATCGTCTGAGCCGCCGAGAGGGGGCAGGGGGATGCTGCGAGCCAGAACGGTCGTCGCCATCTGACACCAGAGCGCCTGTTCCGACGTGGAAATCTGCGGCCGCTCCCTGATCCATCTGTGCACCAGCGGGTGAATCGAGTACCGCTCCTCCAGCCGGTCCTGCCGAGCGACGAGCGACATACTGATCAACACTCTCATGGCGGCACGCAGGCGGTCCCCGACGTTGGCCTCAAAATCCTCGTCGTCAAGATTGTCCGTGTTCTTCAAGACATCGGGCAGTGGCGGGGGGGTTTCGAGAAACTTGTACACCCGGTACGCTTGTGTAGTAAGCCAGCTGGACAGGGACCCCTTTCTCGCTGCCAGCCTCCGTGACGCTTCCTCGTCCTCCTGGCTTTGAGGCGACTTTTGACGCGCCTTGGCTTCCTTGGTGGGGCCGACCGCGGCAGAAATTAAAGTGTCAAGCCGGATATCATGACAGTGAAAGAAGGAAAACACTTGCAGCAATTGTACGGCATCCTTGTGGTCCTCCTCGTCTTGACGCAGCTCAAGATTTCTGTAGAGGATTTCATACGTGGAGAAGACGTTCATGCTGGCGTCGTCCTCTTGTCTGCGGCGGCGATTTCTCGACGAGCTCCGGTCGCGGCGACTGTGCCACTGTCGGCGAATGAGCTTGATGCTTCTCTCGTAGTACTCAAGGTAGCCGTTCCACGAACAAAGATTGTGGAGAACAGCTTTGCCCGCGTGGACTATAGCCAGGGGCAAGTATCCGAGAGCGGTGCAGATGGCGCTTGCGGTATCCTGGACTGACGTGTCCCACGGCCTGGGCTCCTCGGCAACCTTGAGGATGAGCTCATTTGCTTCCTCGACGTTCATGTCCTTGAGTTCGAGAAACCTCTCTCCAGAAGTGCCGTACGACTTATGAGCCGGGTTCCGAGACGTGACAAGGATGCAGCCTTTGGTGCCAGAGGGCAGCAAGTCGTCCAGGGCCGTCTCGCTGTCAGCGTTATCGACGACTAAAAGCCAGGGAACGCTCCTGGTTGCAAGCCAGTGTTGGGCCGCCTTTTCGTTGTGGTCGACCCCTCCGATCTTTGCAATTTCCGCGTAGCTCCCTGCCGCGCTCTTGCGGGTGCTGGCGTCAACGAAGAAGACGCCCCAGAACTTTTGCGCGTTGTCTTGGGCGTACTTGAGCGCCAGCTCCGTCTTGCCCGAGCCTCCCAGGCCGTAGACGACGAACCGTCTCTGGGTTTGGGAGAGTGGCTGCTCAAAGGCAGCCGTGATCTTGGACATCTGCTGCTCGCGGCCGGTGTAGAAGGACTGGACGGATCTGCGCACGACAAAATGCTTGTTTAGCGAGACAGGCACGTGGAATGACACGCCCGTGGCGTCGGCGACAGCGTTGCGCAAGTCGGTCACGCCCTGGCCGTTGTAGGCCTGCAGCTTGGGGCCGAGCGCGGCAATTTGATAGGTGAGCTCCGACGACAGGGTCTGCGCCTCCGAGTTGTTGGAGAGGTTGCCGTTGTCATCGACCTCGTCCTTGTGCTGCATCAGCTCGATGGCGGAGATGAGGGTGTGGAGAGTCTCTGCGTGGAGCTTCAGGACGAGAAAGGTGTCTTCGTACCAGGCCCTGTGGCCGAGGACCTCTCTGTGGACCTGGCGGTAGCCGTTTTTCGCGTCTCTGTCGTGGGTAAGGTCCTTTAGATGGGACTGAAGGCTCTCGATGGCGTACGAGCACTCCTGCGTGACAGCAGCGACGCTGCGCCAGAGTTTGTGAAGATACAGAAGGTCGGCTTGCGGGGCCGTGGCGACGGCCCCTCGTCTCCTGCGGCCGCGCATGGCCATGTCGTCGAGTTCTGAGGCGGCATTTTGAACGTCTTTGAGCTGGTTGACGAGTTCGGTCCCCTTGGGTTCAGGCGAGTGGTTGAGCCAGTCGAGAGAGAGGAGGGCGCCTTCGGTGAGCCTCAACAGATTGGTCGTCCCAAAGCTCGGCGAGAAGGGGTCGTCCATGTTGGCCGGCGGTCGGGACGGAAGGATATTTGTTGTCGGCAATTACAGATCCACCAGGCCCCCACCGAAGTCTCCGCGGCAAAGCGCGACCAGGAGCAGGACAGGTTCATGGAAAAACGAGAGAAGAAAGAAGAAAAAAATGCGATGCGATGCGATCTCGGGTCAAGCAAGATCCACGTATGCAGTGTGCAGTGCGCAGTGCAGACAGGCGCGTGGGACGGCTGGGCAGGTGCTTGCCTGGGACGGCCAGACACCAAGTGGTATGGGCCTTGGTCATTGGCAGGTATGGGAGTGGTTTCAAGATGGGAAGGGTGGACGACGACGGTTATTTTTGGGGGCAGGCAAGGCAGTAAGGCACATGCGGGGTCCGGCGTAGTCGGGGCGGGGGAATGCCTGCCCGATGAGGTGCGTCACCCTGGCTCCAGGGTAGCACTTGCCACTGCCCCAGCCCTCCAGGGTAGCACTTGCCGCTGCCCCAGCCTCGATTGTCGCAGGCTTGCAGCTGGATTACACATCGCAGCAGACGAACAGCCTATAGAAGACGCCACGTGTTTGCAACTCTGCAGCTCTGGTGCCGCGGGAGTCTCGCTGCACAGTGTATTCGCGTCTCCAGCACGCCCAGCTGTTTCATACGCTGCTCTGGCGAACGAAAGAGATTGCGAGATGCGGTTGGATTACAGTGCTTTAGACGCCGTTAGTGTTCCGTCAACAGCGGCAGCATGGGCGTTCCCATTGGCTCGTAGGCAATTCCCAAGGCGGCCGCTGAAGGCTCTCGCCCTCGAACCCCGGTCAGAACCTTCCAGTGGTTCGGGTACACGACCCCAGGCTAGCTTGCGCTTTGTTGGTTGCCTAAACTCGACACCCCACATGAATGCACGCACCCTCTCTCACCCCTTTCCGCCCTCAATCTCGGGTAGCTTGGCTCTTTGGGAAACCGTAATTGCCCTCCACCTGCCCCGCGGGCCGCTCACCAATCTCGCACTAATAAGACCCATATCGGCAAGAAAGGGACACAAAGACGGAAGCGAACGAAGAAAGGCGCGACTGCAGCAAATATGACAGCCCCGTCGCCGCCGGCTTCTGCCGCTTCCAATTGGCGATATTCTAGTCCTGGCGCCTTCATCAGCCTGAGGCTCGTCCTTGTGACTGTTGCCCTGGGGGTTTTCATCAACTTCTACCTCGGAAGGCGACGACAAACAAGGGTTTTTAAGGCCCAGCCCCAGCACACAATGCGGCAATAGTGGCTAACTGCGGCCAGCTCGACGAGGCCTACGGCGCACAGCACGGCTGCAAGCCCGTGGTCCCACGGGTGCCCTACAAGTGGCCGCTGGCAATCGATCTGTTCAAGATCCAGTACGACGCGCTGCGGTCCGGCCACACGCTCGAGGCGTTTAGCAAGTACATCAACATCGAGGGCACCATCAAGTTCGAGGTGTTCGGCGGGTCCGGGCTCATCATCAACGACCCCAAGAACATCGAGGCCATCCTGTCGACCCACTTTGAGGACTACGGCCTGGGCTCGCGCCGCATCGGCGCCCTGCCCCTGCTCGGCGAAGGCATCTTCACCCAGGACGGCACCGCGTGGCAGCATTCGCGCGAGCTGATCCGCCGCCAGTTTGTGCGCGTGCAGAAGCAGAACCTGCGCGACTTCACCACCCACGTCGACGAGCTAGTCTCGGCCCTGGCCGACTCCGCCGTCGACAGCGCCACCGTCGTCAATATGCAGCCCTACTTCACCGAGTTCACCCTCGGCACCACCACCCAGCTCCTCTTTGGCGAGCCGCACAGCGTCCTGCCCAAGGCCGACCGCGACGCCCTGCGCGAGAGCTTCGACTATGCCAGCCAAATTTTCGGGATCCGCCTGCGCCTGGCAGATCTTGCACCGCTCTACAACCCGCCCAGATTCAAGAAGGCCTGCAAGACCGTCCGGGACTGGGCCACCTTCTTCTCCGACAAGGCCATGCGGTACAAGGACACCTTTGGCGAGGAAAAAGCCTCTGACAAGTACTCGTTCCTCATCGACCTCTGGCGCGAGATGCGCGACGAGGAGCTGGTCAGAGACCAGCTGCTCCACATCTTGATTGCCGGACGTGACACGACGGCTGCCACAATTGGCTGGACCTTGTAAGCCAACATGACAAGGCCTGGCTTATCCGATTTTCACTAACCATCCCGTCTTAGCTTCCATCTGGTTCGCAATCCCGACATTCTCGCCCGGCTCCAGAAGGAAGTAGCCGATGTTCCTCGAGACGAGCACGTCACTCGCGAAATGATTGCGAGGCTGCCCTATCTCCGCTGCTGTCTCAACGAAAGTGGGTCTTTCTTCTCGCACAGCCCGATGCCATCTTCAGTCGTCAGCAGAAACTAACGACGTGCCGGCGGCAACAGCACTGAGACTGTACCCCCAGCTAGCAGTCAACGTCCGCTTTGCCGTCAAGACGACCATCCTGCCCCAGGGAGGCGGGCCCGATGGCCGGTCCCCAGTCCTGATTCCTAGAGGCACTGGCGTGGGCTGGTCTACGTACCACCTGCACCGGCTCGAGTCCATCTACGGGAGAGACGCCCGGGTGTACCGGCCCGAGAGATGGGAGGACGGGGAGCTGATCAAGAAGGCGGGCCTGGGCGGCTACGTCGACTTCAACGCCGGTCCGCGGATCTGCCTGGGGAGTAAGCTGTTTCGCTGCCGTTCCCCTGTCGTTCTGGCTGTGCTAATTCTTTCTGTCTGCTTGCAGAGAACTTTGCGCTCATGGAGATCAGCTACGCCATCATCCGCATCCTGCAGGCTTTCCCCAACATACGACTCCCGCCCGGCGAGCAGAATTTGCCGGTCGGAGAGGAGCTGCAGGACCTGTCTATTATTCTGTTTCCAGGCGAGGGCGTGAAGGTCCAGTTGAAGTAGCTTCTTGTCCTTATCGTTCATTGGAACTGGATAAAATGCTGTTTAGACTTGTAACCTAGACAGGGCAATCAGGAGTGGCTTTGAAACGAATCCTATCCGTAACTGTTTTAAGGCTTGGCTGGACGCAAGTCACGCAACCGCTGGGATCAACAGAGCCAAGAAATCTCGGGAATGCTGGGAGCGTGTCCCGCGGGTCTCGCGGGTGCCGCAAGCAACAGATCGGCATCCGAAACAGACGAGGCTCTGATCATGGTTGACAACCCCCTACATGTTCACGCTGTGCATGTACAGTACAGTACCAGACGCCGCGCAGAAGGTAAACGCACCACTTACAGCCCGCCCTGCATCATACAGCCCGCCCCGCACCATATAGCCCGCCCCGCACCACCACAGCAGGGCCTTCGTCACTCTTGTGCCTGTCTCGATTGGGTAGTGCAAATACGAGTTGGGTTTAGGCAGCCATCCGTCTTCTGCACTGCCCTCGAACCAGCATGTGATTCGGTGGGGAAACTTGGGTCTCTTATCGTTTTGTTACCAATAGATATGCGCTAGAAATATCCGTAATCAGTGAGAGATTAGGTTTATTGCCCAGCATCTGCCGCTGATCAACCATTTCAGCTCCTAGAGCCCACAGTCCCACCACCAAAGGAGACGGTTGTCGCCGAGCGAGTCACACACAGCGGCACCAGCAGCCATGGCGGCCGCGGCGCCCCAAACCCCCAACCCCGACCCCAGCGTCTTCGAGTACCCGCCGCTGCCGGAGGGCGTGGACGCGATCCGCGTGCTCACGGTCGAGCCGGGCGGCTTCGCCGACCACGTGGTCTGCGGGCTCGTGCCGGTCGCCTTCTCGGCCAAGCCGCGGTACACGGCGCTATCGTACACGTGGCAGGATCCCTATCCGCACTGGGAGAACGAGAGCGAAAAGACGCTCCCTCCCAGCCCGGCGGCCATCGTGCTCAACGGGCGGCCGTTCGCGGTACAGCCCAACCTGTTCCTAGCGCTGGTACACCTGCGGTCGCCGAAGCACGCGCTGGCGCTGTGGGTTGACGCCGTGTGCATCAACCAGGCCGACCCCGAGGAGCGCGACTGCCAGGTGGCCATCATGTCCTTCATCTACACGCGCGCGCTGCTCGTCGCCGTGTGGCTCGGCCCCAAGGTCCACGGCGCGCAGACGGACCAGCTGCGCCGCATGCACACCGACTGGAAGATGGGCGAGGCGCGCCTGCTGGCCGCGTCCATCCACGACACCGACAAGCAGCTGCTGCACTACTCGGCCGAGCCCGACGCCGCGACCGCCGACCGCATCGCCGCCAGCGCCTACTGGACGCGCCTATGGATCGTGCAGGAGCTGTGCTTGCCGCAGCGGCTGGTATTCGTGTACGGGGCCGTGCTGTGGCGGTACGAGGACCTGGCGCGCTGGGACGTGGTGCGCGAGGCCCGCAATGCTGACCCCTCGGGCACATGCGCGAAGACACAGCACAGCAGTGTCGGTGCCGGCCTCGCCGCCATCGTCCAGCTCATCGCCACGCGCGACGCGCGCCACTCGGACCGCCTGCGCCTCGAGCGCCTCGTCGAGCGCTTCGCGCGCAGCCGCTGCTCCGAGCTGCGTGACCGCGTCTACAGCCTGCTCGGCTTGGCGACTGACGTGTACACGTTCCCGCGCGAGCGTGACGAGAGGGAAAGCGATAGCCGTGGCCAGCTGCCGGCCCGGCGCGGCAGTGGCTACTTCCCCGTGCGCTACGCGTGCGCGCTGTACGAACTGTGGGTCGACGTGGTGCGCTTCGCCTACTTCGGCGCGCGCGCCATCGACGCCGCCGAGTGGTGCACGCCCGCGTTTCTGCTCAAGCTGCCTACTACGTCCCTAGACGTGGACAAAACCCGATCGTACAAGCAGCAGTGGATCGACGAGCGACGTGTCAGCGTCGTGCGCACCGCGGGCGTGGTGCAGGCTGCGCTGGACCAGCGGGTCGCAGACGAGGAACCAACACCGCCGTCGTCGTCGTCGTCGTCCCCGTCAGACTCAGACTCGGATTCCGAGTCCCAGTCCGCAGGCAGCACAGGCGGCGTCATCCGCGCGTACGGCTACCTGGCAGGGCGAATCGTGCAGATGGGGCCAGCGTACGGCGCGTGGGTGGGCTCGTTCCGGGCGCACCAGGACTGGGTGGGTGCGTGGGAGGACCACGCCGGCTACGACACGCCGCCGCAGCTCGAGCGGCTGCACCGCATCCACGACCGCTACGCTGCCCGGCTCATGGCTTACGGCGCTGCGGACCTGGCACGCGTTGCTGTCATGCGCCGTAGCGGTGTTGTTGCGTGGAAGCTTGATAGGACGCACCAGGTCGATCCGGACGGGAAGCCGAGATTTGATGCGGATGATGGTGGGGAGAATGGTGATGGGTACCGTGCGGTGTTTGACAGGACGTGGGGGTCGGAGGCACCCGATATGAAGGCCAGGGTTGGTAACATACTTGGAAAGGGGATGTCGAAGCTTCCCCCCTCCCAAGACGACGACGAGCCCCGCCTGTTCCTCGGCACGGGGTGCGCCATAGGGCTGGTGCCGGCGCTGGCCCAGGTCGGGGACTGCATAGTGCGGTTCTGGAACTGCGACGCTGCGATCTTGATGCGCCCGGTTGCCGCGCCGAAGGACGACGCGGATGCGAGCGCGCCGGCCACTGCCAAAGCACAAGACCTGTCCCCAGCCCCGCCGACGGCGTTCATGCTGCTGGGAAGGGCGGACGTGGCCGAGGTGGTCGACCGCACGGCCACGCCGGGGTTCGATCCGCATGCAGAGCAGATGCTGCGGGGCGGCACGCCGGACGACGGGACGGCGGATCTGGGCGCCGTCTGCGTTGATTTGGATCTGCTTACTCTGCAGAAGATCACGGCGCATATCAACACGTAGATGTTGGTTCTGGCCTTGGTTATTATCAGCACTGCATACTATGAATGTGTGTTTCTAATTTGATTTGTGATGTATTGATTTGTGATGTATTGATTTGTGATGTATCGATTTGTGATGTATTGATTTGTGATCTAATTGTTAATTAGACATGTACAGTATTGATACAGTATTGGTGCAACCTGTCTACCTGTTCAAGAACATCCCAACCGCATGGAAAATATGACAACGTCCCATAAACATCCCTCGCCTTATTTGCGAGATGTGGGAACTTTATCGTGGGGCCTTGATGTTGGCCGCTGTTTAGTGTCCACGGAGTGTCTTGCCTTGCGTTGAGCTTTAATTATGGTTTCTCTTAGAAGCCAAAAGCATGCAAAAGCAGTCAAAAATCAGGGTGTTCCAATTGTGTATTGTGTTGTGTTCTAGGAAGGAAAAACCGGCCTGCCCCTACAGGCCCGGGGACCAATTTGACCCGGTAAAACCGCGGTCTAATTAGGTGCCCTGTGCGGGCCCTGCCCGGGCACCCTAGACCATGCCGAAAGTAGTAAGGCCTTTCTGACAGTTTCTCCCACTTCCCTCGCGATTTACCCCAAATCGAGCGCCAACGTCTGCTGCAGGCACAGATCGGGCCCGATATGCGGATGCACGATGCACGCCACTCGAGAGCCCAGAGCTCGGCCAGCTTCAACCCGACTGTCAGCTTCGCGGCTCCGTAGAATCGGAATAGCACAGGGATGTCTTTGCCTCTGCTGGCGTCTTCGGCGGGACGCGTTGATCTCGTCTTGTTTGCGGTTTGGAGTTTAGAGGGTTATTTGTCCTGAAAGGGTTGCACTGGTGTAGCATTGCATCACCGCCCTTTCTTCAGCGCCCTTTCTTCAGCGCCCTTTCTTCAGCGCCCTTTCTTCAGCACCCAGCTGCCATGCGAAAGCGTAACGCCACCAAATGTGCTGCGGCTTTTTGGTGCTCAACGACGTCCCGTGGGCTTCGTCTTCGACCAAGTATGGCGCTGTCTTTACTAGACACCCGATAACAGCTCTTCAGCTATGTGCTAGATATTCATCTTTGTCAATTTGACCTCCTTGTCTCACGTGCAGAAACCGCGACCACTCACCTTCAGGCCAAACGGCTTGACCAACTTGCCGATCTGGTCGATGAGGACATCGGTGTGCGGGCGGAGTGCCACCGGGATATTGCCAGTCGCGGTCTGGCTATTGAAGGCGTAGACGAGCCTCGCTACCGGGCCACCCTTGGCGCAGTAGTCTTTGTCGAGGGGTGAGGCCTTGATCTGCCCCAGGATGGCCTCGCAAATGGCCACGTCGGCGTTGAAAGTCGAGCCACTCCACTCGTCAAATAGCTTCTGGATATCTAGCGAGCGGAGAAAATCTCTGATGGTCCGGTGGGCGAAGTCAACTCGCAAGTCGAACATGATACTCGACGAGAGCGAGCTGCTCGGCTTGTTGGTGTCGTACATTTGGGCTTCGAGGAGTCCCTTGCAGCACGCGTTCAGCCTCTTCTTCATTTGTCTCATTCGAATGTTAGTCCTCTGTACCGACCACGTTTCGGCCGGGGATGCGACGACGGCGTCCGGGTCGTCTTGGTCAACGAACCAGTAGCAAACCAGCGGCAACAATTCGACCGAGGTCAAGGTGACTTGGAAGAACCGTGCTGTCCTCTGCCGGTAGAAGGGGTCAACCGAAAACAGCTCCCTCTCGAAAAACTCATACAGGTCCGTCGGAAACGTGTCAAGCCTCCTGCGCAGGTCTGCTACACTGTCGGCGTTGGTGACGCCCTGAAGCAGAGAGTTTACGACCAGTCGAACCCATAAGAAAACGCCGTTGGCGCGGTTGGTAATCTCTTGGATTAAGTCAACACATGACTCGTCGTCTTCCTTCATCTCCTGGAAGTTGGCGTCCTTTTCGAGAGTGTCTCGGACAAACAGCTTTATGTCGTCCCGGGTTAAATCCTGCACCCGCAGCTGCCGGAGGGCATTCCCGCCGAAGGCCTTTTCGAACTCGTTCCACGGCCGGCTGGAGACGCAGATCTTGACCTGTTGCGAGGAACCGAGCAGGCTTACGAGTTGAATGATATCGTCTGGCGTTCCTTCATACTCGTCGAGACCGTCAATGAAGAAGCAGAGTTTGAACGTCGGCTGTGTCTTGGTGTGCTCGAAGATGTTCTGAATGGCCTGAACGAGTTCCGCAACTTCCAAGCCAACCTTTCTCGACTCGTCCGTCAGTACAGCTCCGCTAGCGGTGTACTCTTGCCACTGCTCGGGATATGCGACCGAGATGAGATTCGGACACTGTCGAAGGATCTCGTACAGGAGCTGGCGTAGCAGGCCAGCCTGGGACTTTTGCAGAGAGCTTCGCCCTGCATTCCAGAAGAAAAAACTCGCAAAGACCAACTGGAGCCGTTCGCCTTTCTGACAAGTCGCCGGCACCCAGTGCAAAAGCCGTTCCCGGATGGCAGGAAGCTCACAGAGGTATTTCATCAGGGTTGACTTCCCGGAACCAAGCTTCCCAGAAACCCAGTACACAGCGGTGGGAGACTCGAGCCATTCAAAAAACGAGCCAGATCCAGGCGAGGCACTAAATGAAGCTGGCTCGTGAATCCAGGTAAATGTCCCCTCGTGGGCTTTTGTGACTGTGATATATCTGTAGTCCATTGTATCAAACCGCAGACAGCTCAAGATGGCCTGCTCGGCTGAGAATTTGGCACCCTTTTCAGAGCCAATTGCCAGCTGCGCCACGATGGCGTCAATGTCAAGCTTGGCGCTTTGCTGCGATAGCTGCCTGAAAATGTCGCCGAGGTGGATCCTAAGGTCCCGAATTTCGTCGGATCTTTTGGCATCCAGCCTCACGCTGGTAGTCTGGAGCGTCCCCAACTCTATGATGACGTTGGACTGCTTCTCGAGGATGGTCTGAAAGTTCATCTGGCTTCCGAGTCTGTCGAGCCGCTGCTGCAGTCTGTCGATAGCATCCTTCCTTTTGATGCCCTTGAGGGCCTGACGGAAGCTCTGCCATGCTTTGTGCCGACCCTGGGTCTTGATGCTCTGCAGCTCCACAACTAGCTCATCAGCTACCTCCTGACATTGCCGGCCCAGTGCCCGGAGGATTTGGTCATCTTGGGGGAGGGTGGACTCGTCTGGGGCTGGCGGGAGCGCGAACTTGGCAGCTCGGCGCTTGACATCTTGGGCCAACAGCTCAGACTCGAAATTCTCGCCACTTGTCCCGCTGGATGATTTGTACAGGCCGTGTGCCGATGAGACGAGCTCGCGAGAAAATGCGATAAATGAGAGGATGTTGCTCGCGAGACTGATAGCTGTTATGGCGTCCATGGTTGTCGCTGCCGTTGTCCTACTATCAGACGCCCTAGCCTCTTTTCATCTGAAAATCCGAATGCCTACTACCCGGGCTGGCTGGACGAGTTACGTCAAGGATTGTGCGGGGTTTTTCTCTTTAGGAAGTGTGTGGCAGTCAAGTTTGGTTAACCGCCCACACTAACCTGATCCGCCGTCGTACATGCAGGAATATCGCACAGCATGGGTTTATGCGCCACACCCATGTCTTTGCAGAGTTAGGGCACCGACGGCTGGGTCGTTTGGAAGATGAACTCTAAATATATATTGCCTCCAAACCCCTTACACATTGAGTTGGACGGGCCAAGTCCCTACCATCCCAGCGAAGAGGCCAGGGCTGAGTACCTCATCATTTCGAAAACTCACCAAAGGCAGTAATGACCCTGAAGGCTCTGTGCGTAGAGAGGTCGCATTGGGGTTAAATGTAGTTGGGCGGTGGCATTATTTCCAGTAGTCACGTATTACCTATAAAGACATTTATTTAGATTTACAAAGAATATGATTATGGAGGCAAAGTCCTGATATCGAAGTTATTTTACCCGTTCAGCGAATGGCTTCTGCGAGAGGAAATCGCACCTGTTTCTTGGTAGCTGGTTTGGTCCGCGTGCCCTGCAGGTAGGTATAGTTCTAGTAACAGAGTGACATGGTCTGACAGAACGCCCCGCTGCCACTTCTATTCGTACAAGAGGGTATTGTCCGCCCGCTCTATGAAGCTTTTTAACAACGTCGCGTCCTCACCTTCCAACGTTGAGAGCTTCAGCAGTCAACCGCGCCGGTTACAAAACGCACGACTTGATCATGTACGATGACCTGGCCATGAATGACCTCAAATCGGATTCACTGAAGAGAATCTAGGTACCTAGTCATAATATTAATCAGAGTTAGAAGACTTAATTTATCGGAATACAACCGCCGTAGGACCAACTAATTACCACAAAGTGTTGCGTCAGTCTAGTCACAATATTTTCCACGTTCACATGTAAATATTTGCTTCTGGATAAAGCGACAACTACCGGATCCGGATTGAGGCAACGGAAACAAAAAAAAGAAACCATTTAGAGCCTACAAGGTAGCGCTCACGTCTACTGGGGTGCAACTGTCGTAGCCCCGTGGCACAAGAGACTGAGCTCGGACTCCTCCCTACCATCCAACCCACGTTCATAATTGCCTTACATACTGATCGAGGGAGATGCTAGGTAAATATAATATTTCATATCAGTCGTGCACATGGTACACAACCACAAAGCCGACAGAGTTGCCGTCCCTTCTCGCAATCACATTACCATCGCCACTGTGCTTACCCAGGCTCACTTGAACCAGCCCTGACCTGAGTCAGCTCCGGATAATTAACGTTGCCCGAAAGCTACCTCGTATAGCCATCCCTCGTCACCTCACGTTTTTTGCTGACTGCGCCAAACCTATATAATTAGTTTTTTGATTACCCAACGGGATTGTCGACCGCGGCCCATACGCATGCGGCAGGATTACTACAAGCAGACACGTCGTGGCGAGACCCTCTCCAAGTGCAACGTCGTATTCACACCCTCGCGACTCCGGGTTCCGGAAGCCGACAATACCTTGAAAATTCTCCATATTAGAAAGCCATCTGACGTCAAGTTACCAAGAATCTCAGTTGTCTTGTCAACGTGCTGCGTGATCATGGGCATAGCCGGGATCTTACGAGCTCTAGGTAGTCGCGAAGCGCGACGGCTGGATACGAAAGGCACAGAACACGTCGTATTGACTGCAACTTTAATGGATCGAAAACGTGGCGCAGCATCTCGAGACTTGGATATATAAACCGGCAATTGTCTCTGGTTATCGAGAGTATCGAAACTGCTTCACCGCCACCACAGCATCATTCGATCATCATCGCAGCTCAACAAAGCCTTTCGCCATTGCATTTACACCCGCTCAGCTGCCCCTGTCTCTTCAAACACCCTCAAAATGAAGTCCTTCGCCATCCTCGCCGCGGCCCTCCTGGGTTCTGCCGTGTCTGCCGCCCCGGTCGAGCCGCGTGTCGTCGCGCAGGAGTTTGACGTGACCGGGTTCAGCGCCGGCTGCGTCCCGCACGGCACCCAATGCTCGCACGTCTGACCCAGCCCAGTTCTCTCACCCAACAACACCTTCCACTCCCCATCCAGAACACTAACCGACTAGCCCCCTGCAGAATCGGCTTCCAGGTCGCCAGCAACGAGACGCCGTTCCCGACGACGTGCACCTTCACGGGCGCGCCGCTGGGCGTCGGCTCGCTGCCCGACGTCGGCTTCACGGCGTGCGCGGACCCGTCCGTTGCCTGGTCGTTCCGCGCCGTGCCCGTCGGGTCCGGCGCCGCCCCCTTTTACGAGCTCGCCCTCGCCACGGCCGAGCAGAGCCTTGCGGCTGCCAAGTTCTTCCCCGCGTCCGACTTCCCGATTGTCAACGACGGCTCGTCGTTCCACCAGACTTACACGGGCGCTGGCAGCTTTGTTGTTGCTTAATTCCATGTTGAAGCCATTTGAGGCTGGCAGCTGGGTTATGGGGCTGACGGTATGTCGAGACGGGATGGGTTACGAGCGATAAAGAAACATGTGGAATGAGGTACCTTGGTTAAGGGAGGAATGCAATATCGTGTTACCTTGATCTGCGTTTGTTGTGGTCTATTATCTGCCTTTGACGAAGCCAATTAAATACGCAATCACCGAACAAGAATGGCGGGCACAGCCCAGAGGCCTTCAGGTCTTTGTGGCACTGCCCTCATCCCCCCTCTCCCCAGCACACCTGCTCATACGCACCTTACACCCTTCCATGCACGAGATGACCAGCCCAGTATTCTGCCGTTCCGAACCAAGCGGCTTACCACGGTCCTCGTCCAGAATCTCAATAATCTGAAACGCCTGACACAGCGCCACGACAACATACGAGACTTCGGCGAGTGCAAAGTCCTCGCCGATGCAGCGGCGCGGGCCAGCACTAAAGGCGAAAAACGCGTCCAGACACCGCTGCAGCTCCTCCCCGTCCCCACCCTCGTCCCGAGAATCCCACCGCTCAGGCCGAAACTCGCGCGCGTCGGGCCCAAAGACGCTCGTGCGCCGCGCCGTGATGTACGCCGACATGCCGGCGCACTCGCCGCGGCGCACCAGGACCGGGCTGCGGCCGTCGCGCCCGCCGCCCGTCGGCAGCACCGTCGTGCGCACCGCCTGCCGCACGTTCATGGCCACGGGCGGGTACAGCCGCAGGCTCTCCTTCACCACCTGCGCCAGGTACGGCATGCAGCGCATGTCGTCGCGCGTCGGCCGCGGCGCGGCGCCGATCGTCTGTGTGATTTCGCCGCGCAGCTTGCGGAAGACGGGCGGGTGGCGGACGAGTAGCCGGCTGTGGTGAATTAGGGTTAGATCTTTTTTATTTTTTTTATTTTTTTGGGGGGGGGGGGGCTGAACTCACAAAGTCCACGACAGACAGGACGCCGTCGTGTCGCGGCCGCCCAGCAGCACGTGGAGCACATGGCTGCGGATGGCCGTGTCGTCTGCGTCGGGATTCATGTCGATGATCTGGCCGACCAGGCCGCCAGACCTGTCGCCGTCGTCGCCGCCGCCGCCGCCGCTCTTTTCAGAAAGAGACGCGGGCGCAGCGGCCATCTTCCGGCTCCGGATATCTGCCACGTACCCGTCGACGAAGCCATGGATGAAGCTGCACGCGTCGTGGAACGCCTTGGGCCGGTACAGGTTGTGGAAGGGCACCATGCGGAAGCGGCGCGAGAGCCCGGCCAGGACCGTCTCGAAGCTGGCGGCGAAGCGCGCGTTGCGGCGCGCCTCGGGGGTCGCCGCGGCGGCGCCCTGCCGCAGCGCATAGATGGACTTGCCCAGCAGCAGCGCCGAGGCCGTGTCGAGGGTGAGGTCGTAGAAGAGCGGTTGCAGGTCGACGACAGCCGCGCCTTCGCCATCCGCCGGCAGCCGCGCGAGCAGGTTGTCGACGTGCTCGCGCAGGCCGTCGAGAGCGCGCGGCTGCACGCGCACCAGGTGGCGGCGCAGCAGGGTGCGCGAGGCCTTCCAGGCGGGGCCCTCCTCGGTGAAGATGCCGGCGCCGCACAGCGGGCGGAAGACGTCGGCGCGCACGCCGAAGCCGTAGTCGGCGAAGCTGGACGAGAGGATAGCCTCGACGTTCTGCGGCGCCACCACGTGGAAGTACCGCGGCCCGAACAGGAAGAACTGCGACAGCATGTTGGTCGGGTACTCGTCGGCAACGCGGCTCATGAACTCGAGCACCTCGCCCCGCGCGTCCTCCTTCCACAGCTGCATGATCCAGTTGATCCCCAGCGGCCACCGGTTGGGCAACTCGGGCGGCCGCTCGCACCCGTGCTGTTTGCTGAATGCCATGTCACACTGCAGTGGCTCGGGGTGCACAGGTTAGTTGCGCTCTGGCATTGAAGAACGGGCTAAGGGTGCGGTTCCGAGCGGAGCGGAGTGGAGTGGGAGGGAGGCAGGCGCACCCGGTACTCGAGATAGCTCCTGATGGAGTAGAAAGCAAGCCATATTGCGAGTGCAAGAACGGCGAGCGTGGTCCACTTTGAGGCTCCGCTGGGATGCTCGTGGATGTCCGAGGCGACCGGGACCGGGACAGACGACGCCATGTTATCTACCCTGAAGATATGTTTATGGGCTACTTATCGAAGGACAACAGACACTAACCACCTTCGGTCAGGGAAATCAAGTACAACTCCGAACTGGATATAATCATGTGAAGACTCTAATTAGCTGGCTTGGAGGTGCGGGTGCGCTAGTGACCAGGGACTAAATAATAGGGAAGCCGGCAAGTCCGGCTGCCTGTCCCAGACTCCGTGCCGCTTGAACGCGCAGTTGGGACCCAGTGTGTGCTGGAAAGGCTGCCTGGGAGCGTCCAGGGTCTCGTGAAGGATTGTGTGCAAATCCCAGTGCCGAACCGAGTACGATGGCGGCACAGATCCACGGATGGACCCGCCTTGGCATTCGCCTGTCTCTGCGGTTTCTCTCTTCGTGTCGTGACACCCTAACGGGGGAGGGGAATATCGGCCAATGCCTTGTTTGCCTGCGGTGCGGTGAGCGCCACGTATTTGGTGGTTGCACGTTACCTTTAGGCGGGCGTCGTTCCGGGAACGGCTTCCAAGTTGGGGCCGTTGGGGGCCGGACGAGTCGGATCATGTCGGTTTCCCTCTCCAGGCAACGGCTTAACGAAGAAAAACTGTTTCAGGTGCCACAGCTGTCTGTGCCGAGTCTGAGGCCCGTGCGAGACCAAACTTTATTGATCCCTAGTCAGAAGAGCGACAGTTTGAATAAAGGCGTGAGCGTATCTTATCTATTCTAACAGGGGATTCCCTTGCCTGCAACCAGCCCCTTCCCCTTGCTGTTCTATCGCCCAGCCTCAAAAGAAAAATGCAAAATAAAATTAAGCATGAAGCTGAGTTGTCCAGCATCTCTTCTTGTTCCGTCCCTGAATGAGTGTTTGCAGTCTTTACTCTAGACGTGGCGACCCAACAAAGAAATCGCCCCACAACGAAATTGGCCCACGCCATGCCCACACCCACTCCACGGGCGCAAATTATCCATTTCTACACAAAATAACTAGCAAAAAAAATACTCAATCCTCTTCTTCGGCCTGTCTATATTGTTCGAGCCCACGGGCGATTATTTCCCGGGCTTCTTCGACTGCATGTGGCTGGCTTTCTGCCCGAGCCGTTTTTTTCCGCTTTGGGGGTATTTGACTAGCTTTTTGTGCCTTGGCGATGTCCTCTATACGTGCAAATCGCTCATTTCCATCTTCATATACCCTCTTACGCGTGCGAGGCTTTGAAGCCTCTAATTCGGTTGTGAGATGCGTAATTTGTGCCTTCAAAGACGCGATCTCTGTATTCTTCAGATCCAGGGACCTCCCGACCTTAGTAAACAAGGCCCGCACACGCCGCTGAGCCGGACTGAGGGCATTCCGAATACTGTCCTGGTACTTCTTGATGTCCTGACTGCCGTGCGGTGTTTTGAAGAGCCTGTCATCGTCGTTCGGGGCCGTCGGCGGCGGTGTTGAAGGCCGGGCCGGGAGTGCCTCATTGTCCTTGACCGCCTCAGGGTCATCAAGTAAACAAGCCGGGTTGAAGGGCCAAATCCCGGTTTTACTGAAGCCCGACATGATGTTACGGGCACTCATGCCTTTACCCGAGGCATCTCTGTAGCAGTAAAGGAACCGAACCTTGTTGACAGGAGCTGACGATGTGAAGCTCGCGAGGGCCTTGGTATTTTCCCTAAAATAGGTCTTTAAAGGTGAAAAGACCGAGCGATCGAGAGGCTGAGACTTGTGCAATGTATGAGAAGGTAAATAGACGAACTGGACCTTATTTTGGAAGGCCGCTAACATGAATTTTTCGTTCATATGGCTCGAATGTTCGTCAAGGATCAGTATACGCCATTCGCCCGGCCTTTGGGGCTTTGTTTGGATCAGGTAGACCTCTTTGAGCCATTTCAGCGCAATACTGGCGTTGCTCCAGCCTGTAATTGAGTAATCGTACTTCCATTCCCGGAATTCCTTCGTCAGGTTGAAGTTATCAGGAAAGTGTTGTCCTTGAAGACTGGCCCCGGTAAATATGATCACGGGCTTCAAACGAACGCCCTCAGCAGTGCCGCATTCGATAACTGAAACCCAGGTTGTTGCATCAGAGCTTTTCACGTAGGTTCGGTTCGTCAGGGAGCTTCCTATGACCTTTCCGGCCCGGGTCTCGAGCTCCTGCATGCCGTGTTCATCCATGTTAGCGATGTTGGCCGGGATGACCTTTTTATCCTTGATTTGGAAGGCCAGGCGCTTGAAGAAAGCTTCATAAGCTTCACGAGTAGATCCGCAGACTCGAGAGGATTCCAACAAGGTTGAATTCTTCATCTTTACCGCCGGGTTGCGGCGTAGGAAGCGGTCCACATATCGCTCCCCAATGGTCTTTTTCGTGCCGGCCTCATTGAGTATAGCTTGAGCGAATCTCAGCACCTGACGACGGCTAGGAGCCCTGCCTGCAGCCTCCTCATTGAGGCACCAGTCGGCTAGGAAGCTTTCCTGCGCATTGGAGAGGTTTCTTTCGGCTTGTTTACTTTGTGCTCGATTTTCTGCCCCGTGGATGCGTTTGCAGAGGGTAGAAGGAGGGATCCCGAAGTCATGCGCGGCCTGCTTCTGCGATGCGCCCTGTTCAACTGCAAGTATTGCAGATTGAATTAGCTGCTCTCGGCGGTTCGACATGATGTATTTTGAAGCTATTCGAGCCTGAATTGATGAAGTTGTGTTGTGTTGAAGTTGAAGGGCGGGAAATTAGATGACAGGGGCAGAGATTTCGTTGTGGGGCGATTTCTTTGTTGGGTCGCCACGTCTAGAACCGAGGCACCTGCTTGATGCATTTAAACGAAAATTCCCGCCGTAGACTAGCTGGTGGCTGATACCTCTCAAGTCTCAACCAACGTGCAATCCTTGATCATCAGCCTTTCTTTTGCGAAATTGCTCCGTAGACTCCTCCATCTTACTATCCAGCCACTTGTCGATGATCCCGAGGGCATCGTGATCATGCTTTGATAGAGCCGGTGCGTCGACATGGTAAGCCGGTGTGTCGACACCATGGTAAGCCGCCCCATCCAATATTTGGCAGCAACTGAGATGAGCAAGGTAGGTAGATATGCAAGAAAACGAGAGAACTCACCCTTGGATATGGAGTAGTCGCCGTCGCCCATCCAGCCCACGGTGCCGCCTGTAAAGCCCATGGGGGTGTCGAGAGGCATACACGAGTTAAAGTCGACGAGCAGCGGCTTGCCGTCGGCCCGAGCATAACGTTTTGCGGGTTGATGTCGTTGTGCGCCACGCCGACGACGCCGTGCAGGAACGCGACGGCGGACCGCAGCCCCGACATTATCGCTTCCTTGTCGAAGGTGCCGTTGCTCTTGTCCACATACCCGAACAGCGTCGGGCCCGGCGCCCGGTCCAACACAATGGTTGTCGCGAACCCCCGCCGCACCCGGACACCGCGGTACCCGGCGATGTTAGGGTGCGGGGCGAGCGCCGTGATAAGCTGCAGCGCCTCGATCTCCTAGCGCAGGCAATCAATCGTGAATTTCCCTATTTGGTCCAGGGTGGGCGACGATAAGCTTATCGCCGATATATTGAATCAATAATTGTTATCGCCGATATTGACGATATCGACCGATATCGTCGATATCGGTTGCTTAGTAAGCAGATAATTTTTTACCCCTCCTCTCCCCTCAATATCATCATCTTCATCGGCTACGCCTTGTAATATAGCTACGAAAGTGGCTCAACTACAAAATGTCCACTCCCTCGACACAAGATACCGAGGAATCTCTGGTATCTCAAGAAACTATTCAGTCAAGTCTACATGATCATCTTCGACAGCCACTATCGACTGAGCCTTCACACAAAGGCAAAAATCGTCTCTACTATTGCCAATACTGCCCTTGGTTTGGGCAAAGCACCACGAATGTACGACTTCACCTTCGCAAGCATGCTATCACCCTCGAAGCCCCATCTCGTACGGCATCTCAATCTCTTCATTTCTTATACAACAAGGCATCGGAAATCGATCAGACTTCTGAATTGGATACTCGAGTTATGAGGAAGATTCTCAACCAGAAAACCCTCAATGAAGCCCTTGTTGCTATGATTGTCACCCAAAATCTTCCCTTCCGGATTATCGAGAGCCCATTCTTTCGTGCCTTTTGTCAGGAGCTAAATCCTGAGGCTCAGAGTCTTATCTCATCACATTCGACGCTTAAACTACGGATTAGCAGCTCGTTCAATCTTCATAAAGATATTCTACGGAAGAAGCTCCAATCAGCGCTCTCAACAATCCACCTTGCTCTGGATATTTGGACTTCTCCAAATCACAAGCTATTCCTAGGGATTTGTGCTCAATTTGTGGATTTCGAAACCGAGGAATTAGTCAAGGCCCTAATCGCTCTACATTCTATTCCTTCACACCACTCTGAGGTCCAGCACGATATTCTCTTCCAAACTCTTCAGGATTTCGGAATCTATCACAAGATTGGGGCATTTATCGGCGATAATGCTACCTCTAATGACAAACTTTGTTTACTTCTCGATTCGAAGTTTGAAGAAGAAGGCCTCTACTGGAAGGCGTCAGAGAATCGAATCAGATGTACGGGGCATATTATCAACCTAGCAGTCCAAGCGTTTCTTTTCCAAAAGGATGAAGAAGAAGAAGATTTCGAATCGGGCTTCTTTCGCAATATCGGCCCCCTTGGAAAGCTTCATAATATCGTCATCCACATCCGTGGTTCAGTCTCTCGTACGAATCAGTTTAAAACTCTTGCCGGCCGGAATATTCCTCTCGATAATAGCACAAGGTGGAATAGCTGGTACGAGATGTTAAGAGTTGCACTGGAAAAGGAATCAGCCCTTGATACCTATTCGAAAGCTTGGTACGAAGAGCTGAAGTCTGACTTTCTTTCTCCGCAAGATTGGGAGATTCTTCGATTTATCCAATCCTTCCTTAAGCCGTTTTATTCAGCAACAAAAACTACTGAGGGAGATCATGCAACAATCGACCGAGTTCTTCTTGTTATGGATGCGTTGGTTCAGCATTATAGGAGGAGCCAGGAAACCTTCAAATCTAATCCCTTTATCTCTCAACGAATCCAAAAGAGCTGGCAGACTTTCGACAAATACTATGCCAAAACGGAAGATACTCCGTATTATGCTGCTGCGATTCTTTTCCATCCTTCGAGGAAGACTGAATATCTCAAGTATAATTGGGAGAAAAAATGGGTCAAGCCAGCAATCCAAGCGGTCAAAACGCTCTGGATCAACTTCAAAGGAGCAGAAAATAAACCACAGTCAGCTCTTCTGATTGAGAAGGAGAGGAGCCAAGATCAGAATCCGAATCCGAATGATGATTTGGATACCTTAATGCGAGGTCTTGAGAACTTTCCAAGGCCACCAAGCAAAGATGAACTTGAAGAGTACTTGTCAGAGCCACCTCGTCAAATCGAAGGATCATCTCTCTATTGGTGGCTCCGTATAGAGCAACGAAGACGCTGGCCGAAGCTATCTCAATTGGCAATCAACATCCTATCAATCCCGGCAATGAGTGCTGAGCCGGAAAGGGTCTTTTCTGGGGCTGGTCGTACGATAACGTGGGAAAGAATGCGACTAGGAGAAAGTACAGTGGAAATGCTTGAATGCTTGAAGCATTGGATTAGGTCAGGGCTTACGGGGGAGCCAGGATGTATTCGAGAACGAGTTGTGGAGGTTGAGGCGGAGATAGATTGATAGCTGACTAAGCATTATCAATGTTATCGATATTTATCGACGATATCGCACGATTATCGGCGATAAGCGATATTTATCGTTGCCCCAGCGATAATATTTCGCCCACCCTGCTAACTTATAAGTTAGGTGGGGGGGTAAGCGAACACTACTGATTTAGAACATTCTGTATAAGCAGGAGTCCCAACTAACCCTCCAACAAAAGAAAGGGTGATCTTTTTATTTACAAAACTTCAATACAATCTTTGATATCCTCTGAATCATCCGCTTCTTCCGCATCTTCTAAAACCTCTGCTGCACGCCCTACAGCTCTCTGGGCCTCACGAATAGTCTGAATATTCGCAAAGGTGGTATTTGGATCTTCTTCAACCTTCTTCTTCTTTCTGGCTCTTATTGATTCGAGAGTGTGTTCTAGACCTTCAATCTTTCGCTTCCTAATAGCCAGTTCAAAGGCCTGTTCATCCAAAGCCTTACCAATCTTTCTGAGGAAGAGCTTATCCGCTGGCATTGCTTTGATGATGCGTGCGAACTTCTTTGCCTGCTCAACGTAATCACGTGCCTTTCTAGGAGTCCTCCACTGCACCCGATCGTCTCCATAATCCTCCAGGATTGGCATACGGAGTGTGCGAACCTCTGGGGTAACTATAGTAGTTCTTAAGGGGCGTGAAGTATTAGAATTCTTGAGGAGGAGTGGGCTTCTTAGCGGTTTGTTGACATTCAAGGGCCAAAGGCCTGATGCCTTCCATCCTGACTTAGCATTACTCTTAGTAATTGCCTCTGTGCGTGAAATCTGGTAGCATTCCAGAAACGCACGTTTTCCGGCTACAGAAGAGTCGTCAAAGGCGTTAGCAAGAAGGTCCTCAAGCCGTCTGCGATAAAGTCGTTTTAGGGGGACAAATATGGCCAAATCTAGGGGTTGGAGGACATGGGAAGTATGGGGAGGCAGATAAATAATGTGAATATTGTTTGTGAATGCCTCCCACATATAATCGGCAGTTGTGTGGCTGCCATGGCCATCAATAATAAGGAGTCGTTTCTCAGAGGAGTTTGCTGGCTTGGTGAGAGGAATGAACACATTTTTTAACCATTTGAGGCTTGTCTCATCGGCAGTCCATCCTTTCTCAGTTGCTGTAAAGAACTAATCCTGAAATGGCTTCATATCCAAAGGAAACCATTGTTGTTGAACGCTTTTCCCCTTAAAAATGACCAAAGGAGGAAGGCAACGGCCAGCTGCTGAGATGCATTCGACAAAAGTGGCCCAAGTGCGGGTTCCAGGCTGTTTTTTTTGAAGCGCCTTAAAGGCACGGCTTCCAATGACAAGGCCGTTGGTTCCTCTGCCTTCCATAATACCAGATTCGTCCTTGTTCCAGCGATTCTCTGGCTTAATCGCCTTGATAGCTGGTGTTTGGAAATGGTTGAACCAAGGTCGAATTGTTGACTCTGTAGCGCAGTTGACGCGGACCGAATCGACTCTCTTGGCCCTCTGAGTCTTCAAAATTCGATTGCGGTTAAGAAAGGCACGGCACCACCCCTTTCCAAGTGGTAAGGAGTCCCCCCTTTCAGCTAGAATACGGCGTGCAAGCTCCCTGATCTGTGCATGTGTAGGGGGCAATCCTAAATCTTGTTGAAGAAGAATCCATTCGACTAAACGATCCTCTTGGGTCTGTGTAAGCCTTTGCTCATCTTGATGAGCAACATTTCGAGGTAGGAAGCCATGTAGACGGCCATAAAGGGTGGAGGGTGGAACGTTCCATTTTCGCGCGACTTTGCGTAATCGATGTGTTCTGACGGCTTCCTCGCAAGCCTTGCGGAGGTCTTCTTCTGTATATGAAACCATTGTCAAGAGAAGAATAAAACGAATTGAAGATGAAGAGAATTGGAAAAGAATTGGTTGAGTTATGGGCTTTTTATATAAGAGGGTTGGTTGTGTTCCTCGCTTATCTAGAATGTTCTGGATCAGTGGCGTTCGCTTACTCCCCCACCTAACTTATGCTTTGCCAACCCGTCGATAGTTACCGGGGGAGCCTCACACATCAAAGACACTAGAAAATCAAGCCCACGACACGGGCAACAGAGTGCCACCCCACCCTGCCTGGCTGTGACAAGCTCACCAAAGCCGGACTGTTTGTAGCTGGGTTACCTCGAGTCAGAAGTTGGACATATTCTACTTATTTCCACCGAGGCAAGTGCGGCGAATGACTGCGGATTTTTACTTAATGGCCCTAATTTTATGACTCGTTTAGGTGTTTATGACATACCTGGAAACGAAGACTCGAGCAGATTGATAAAAGTAGATAGCTATGGATAACTATGTTTACTATGTACTTGATAGTAACAAGTAGCAATTGACCCATTCTACCAATACATGTGTCAGGAATAGAAGTCATTGTACGCCACACATCGTAATTGGCCGAAACCTGGGTCGATTTATAACCACTTGGGCAATTGAGCAGGCGAATTCAGGGTTGGCTCCTCGGTGTTTGTCGAGACTCGAAATTGTTTGCCCGTGGCAATACGCATAATGCCACAATGGCGCGTTGCCATAGTCCGTTTGTGCATCCAGGTTTCCAGACTGACGATATGAAACCGGCTCGAATGCATTTAAATACTTCGACCTAATTAGATCCCCATCACCATAACCAAACTAGTTCACTTTTCTCACACGCCGACTCAAGCCATATACACACTCAGCATCGAATCCCAGCATCGAATCCAGTAGTCCCAGAATCCGACAATACGCCCGCACTAACTGTCTAAAATCTCGTATCCAACCAAGCACCATGTGCAAACTCGTGATCGAATTCTTCGTGTGCGCCTGCCCGCTCCGCAACACCTCAAGATGCCCTCATCAAGCCTACATTCGAGAACCCGAAGACATCTCGGGCTACCCTAGAAACCCTCCAACAATTAACAACTATTACCTCCGTGACCAGAGCGACTATCAACGCTGCATCGACTGGGAGCCGTTAAAAGGGACAAATGTCTACTGGGACCACTGCCTCACTGGGAGGGCTCTGAATACGCGCGGAGGCAGCGACATGCTGTGCGGTGAGACGGACTCGGAAGTCTACACGCGTCCTGCAACCGTGAAAGTCCCGGGAATCTGTCCTGCGTGTGAATCCAAGCACCCGCCGACTGAAGTGCCCAGCATGCCCCAAGCCTCGCGGTTCCAGTTTGTTGAGTACTGGATGCGCAAACATAGGGAGGCGGACCATAGTGGTTGGCAGCGAGAGGCTCCCAGAGTTCAACCTGAGAGGCAGACGCTGCCGACAGTGGAGACAGACAAAGCAGAGGTGGAACAGAAGCCAGAGACGGACTCAGAGTTTGGGGAGAGGGTGAGGCTAGAGTTAGAGGAGGCTATTAAAGACGACATAGAGACCGAGTCGGAGCAATGGCACCGGGAACAATATGAGGAAATACTCAGGCAAGCGCTGAAGGGAGGGCCGGGGGCAAAGCCAACGCCGAAGCCAGCGCAAGAGTCAGAAGACGAAGACAACCACGAGGGCACAGAAGCCGAGCCCGCATTTCTACAACCAAGCGACGACGGCGATGTTGGCGACTTCTTCATGATCCGCCGTCCCAGCACCTTTTCAGAGAGCGGAGTTATCATCACTACTGGCCTGAACATAACTGGCCTAAACATACGAGAAGCCCCCAAGGCCGATAGCAGCACTAATTACACCACCGCCGTCACTCAGCCAAGCGCGAGGACGGGCACCGTGCTCCAGACAGCCATGGCCGCCGCACACATGACGTTCGAAATCATCACCGGCAGAGACAAGCCGGTTTCGGACGATGCTGATGACGATGTGGAGAGTGAAGATTTCGACAGCGAGCAGAGCGAGCCCGACGCAGCTGATGAGGACTGGGTGGCGCTGGCGGCGTGAGTAGTAATCGTTGACTCGATATGTAATGGTGGACTCGGTTTTCCATCCCTCTTAACAGGGGCCCTTGACATACCTTGCCTGCCCAGCCAAACCCCTCCCAAAATCTTTCAGGTCTAGGAATAGCGGTCGGATGTTGCACACAGAAACGGCTTCCTGCAGGTTGGTGGAGGTATGTTGCTAGGGGTGGGGGGAGCTGGAGAGCAAACGAATATGTACGTGAGTGTTAGTGGCAAATATGGAGGGTTTTGCGACTTGGGTTAATTTACTCGAAGCTGTTTAGCTAAATAAGGCGCTCGTTGGGGCTTTAAAAACAACTGTGGCATTGTATGTACAATCGGTTAAGAAATACAGTCGTACCGCTGTTAACCCATGTCTACCTAGTAATCTCACTTCTGAGCCATATATCCTAACTTGGGTCACTGAGCCTATTTCTGAGCTACTAAGCTCAGGCGCCAGATTTGGAGTATAAAGAGTAAAGCAGTAGCCAGTCATGTGCACCAACCATCCGATCTTGTATTATCGTTGAGAGCCCATCGCCGCCGACAACGTGGATCTTGCAGTCTGGCAGAATCCAGGTTTAAACACCAATTTGACAGTCGATACTACGCGGGTCAAAGTCTCTAATTGGCTTTGGAAGTGGGACTAAACTGCGCCGAACTCATGACTTGGACGATGAAGACTGTCTGTGAGCCTGCCTTGTTACGTTTTCGGTTCTGGAACCGCATCGCCCTAATTGGCGCCAATCTGCTGCGGCAGTTGACAGCGCTGAACAATTACCTACATTGGGGTCAGGGGACAGGACCCGCTCTCGCTGCGAAGGGTACAACATCCGTAGTCCGATTGCCTTCATAATGGAAGAGATTGGCTTCAAAGTCATTTAATTATCATTACCCCATCTTCATTCTCACTTAATTCTCACTTAATTAACACTTAGAACACCTACCTTGGGTTAAAGGCGCTCCCTCTACCCAGATATTAGGTAGAGAGCGCCTTTATGGGATGATACCAACACCTACCCACGACAAATCCCCCTCATGCACAAACACACGTCGACTTCACGGCATGCGATCCAGCTCAATTTCAAAGCTCTTGCTCCGCTTTTCCTGTTTGATCTTCACTCGATTCGTGGTCAAGTGCCAGGCCAGTATAGTGAGCGCGGTCAGGCCTGCCGAGATGACGATTAGTATCCATATGTAATTGGAGATGACTGGCTCGCCCTCGCTCGGGCGCCAATTGAAGATGGTTGTCGAGAAGATAGACTACGTAAGCAGTTGGGTTAGCAATACTACGGAATGTCGGGGACTTGGGAGGCGCACGCCAACGCAGGACAGCGGGAGGTATATCATGCCCAGGACGGCAATCGATCTCATCTGGGCATTCTCGATCTGTGACTCGAGGGCAATGGTCGTGTTGGCCTTGGCAATCTGGGTGTTGACGATGGAATCCTCGCGAGAGATTTGGCTCCATCCCTTGACCGACGAGCATGGTGAGCCATGGTACTAGTCAAGTAATTATTGGAGACCCGGATGCACTCACAGTCTGCATAGTTAATGACAGGTTCGCCGCCATCATGCTGCACTCGTCAATCTTGTCCTCATACTCATCCAACACGTCGCGGATCTACTACTAGATCAGCACCCCGGTCTCGAGCACAGCAGCCGGTGCCCATTCCTCCCGCGCAAGCGATTCGTTCTCTTCCAGCACCTTATTGAGCTGCCGCTTAAAGGAGCGAATCTGGTCCATCAGCGTGCGACTGTGCACGCAGGTAGCGAGAGACTCGCGTATTCTGTGTGTGTTGAGGTCCCAGTGCTTGTTCTCGAGCATGTCCGAATTGATGGTGAAGTTTCGACGAGATCCTCGGCGACGTTCACGAGTCGTTTGCGCTCGAGCTCTACGAATATCCCGACACATAGCAGTGGGTGGTCTATGTTGCTTGCGGCTGATCGCAAACTCATCTCAATATCGCGCATCTGTTCGGTGCTGCATCCGTAGAAGACCGAGTAGCTTGTGTTATCGGCTATCAGGTATGTACTAGAGAGAGCTACATCGCCTGGAAAGACGGCCGACGTGCGGGCGCTGTAGGCTGTACCACGAATTAGCTTATTTCCCTGGCCAAGGACCAGTAGGTCATGTGCGTAGGAAGCAACACGTCAGTACCTATCTCCGGGCTGAAAGTAGACAAGTCATCTTGTGAGTGACGACGGATGGGCGAGAAGTAGGGGACTCGTCTCGCAATGGTCCGTGTTATACTCCGGTGGACGTGCAATAGTTTTACCAGTTTTCGCCAAGTCCCTGTTGAAAATGGAAGATACGACACGGGTGAAGGTTGCCCTGGAAATACCTCAGGGGCCCGGCTACATATTCTGCTCAACGACTATCAGCCCGGGTCCGTCGTAAAACATATTGGGTCCTTCCAGATGACCTACACAACGTAGCTAGTAGCTCCCTCTCCTATGTCCGTCTCGTCTTGTACCTATCAGACCCGGCCGTGTTAGTTGTTGAATAGCTGCGCCCAGGGAGGGTTGAAAGTGGGTGGGTAAGTATACCGAACTAAACCAGGATTCCCAGTCTTCCTTTCCATTCAACCTATCAATCACCACGCCCTCCTATACCATCAATACTTTATATCCAGAAAAGTATGTCGGTAGGGATGGACGCTACAGACCTTGTGATTGTACCTACGTATCGCCACCGCTATGCGTCCTGCATACTTGAAAGTACTAAAATCGTGGGCCGACATATCCCGATTGTGTCCGGACCAATCCATGTCTCCCTTTCTAGGTTTTCAATGATTCGAAGTTGATGACAGTTGCAAAAATTGCCCAGTATTTGGAGGCAAGGTAACGTTGCTGGGTGGCTGTGCATATGCAGATGAGATTCAGAAGTGAGATCGAGAGCGAGACAAAAGTGAAGGCAAACGGTGTGACGATAGCGCGCAACTAGAAGTTTTGGGGAAAAGTTTGCCGCCACCTGGGCTTTTTTATAAAGCTGAAAGAGAAAGGGAAAGGGAAAAAGTGGGGGGGAAGGTGGGAGAGCCCCGCAGACTGCCTGCGCCACAGATATCTGCTCATAATCTTCCCATTGGCTGCTTGGAGAAGTCTTGGAGGCGGTGAGGGAAAAAATTGTTGCCCGATTCCTGCCGTGCGCCGTCAGGCAATCATCGTCAGGCATCGTCGTCAGGCATCATCGTCAGGCATCGTCATCAGACGCAGTGGCGACTAAGTTGAGTTTTCTTTTTTTTCCCCTCGTTCGTCGTTTTGTTTTTTAAATCCTCTGGTTTGTTGACTTCCGAATCGCCTACTCACCTACCTTGTTCACCTACCTCCCAGATGTTCACTCACTTTCAAGACGGGTACATAAACAACGAACGTGAGAGCCTCGTCAACACTCGGTATGGTATGGCACAAGAAAATCATGAAGCAAAAGTACAACGACCCGGACCAATTGAAGGTTTACTTAGACACGGTCTACGGATCGGGAAACTGGATGGTCGAGGTGAGCTGGACCTGAGTGTCTGGTCGCTCTAATCACCTTCTAGATGTATAACCCGCTGATCAGATGCGGCTTTGTTAGGTCAGGTCCAACAATCGCTGGATGATATCCCTCACAAGACCGTGGCAGGAGGTGAGTGGGATCAGCATCTCGTACATACATGAGCGAAACGTAGAGATACAAGGCTAATTAAGGCTTGGTTGAAGTCCGAGATGGAAAACATCGAGAGCAACATCCGGGTGCATTATGACATAAACGATAGCTATTTTCACCAGACCAGTGAGGGAACAAACAGTCCGACAATTAGAGACACCAAGCCTCGTCCTGGATGAATGACTCTATCTGTATCGGGGCATTGGGGTATCGCCGTTGAAATACAAGCGAGGCTAAAGATAGTTACGGCAGGCATGAGAAATGATATATAAATGTGATCATACAAGGAAAGGTGCCACCGCCATGCCGTGAATTCTTCCTACAATAGTACTTTGCCCATTGACTTCTCAATAAATGACACCTGGGCACCGTTGATGTAGTTATATTCATGTACCTGAAACCTGCCTACCTAACAGAAGAGAAAACGACGTTGTCAGTCCCTGAGGGCTGGCTATACCGGCGGAGCTGTGCGCTGGCGCTTGATGGACCGGGGGCAGGTTGACTCCACGGGGTCCGAATACCCTCTGCGGGGCTTTAGGCAGTAGAACGGAGGTCCCAACTCGGCTTCCGGGGAACTGGACAGTTAGCGTCCGAGTGACATAGGTAGCAGAAGGTGAATGAAACGTTCAAGCTACCTGAATTCCAGTAACCCGTGTAGTAGGACTGGTCAACGTTGCAGGTTTCACGGAATGCGTGCAAGTCCTTGGTGAGTTGAGATGACTGTATCCGCTTTTTGGGGTCAAGGTTGAGCATTCGTTCCTCTACTAGCTCCAGCATTTGGTGGAGATACCAGCTGCATCTCCGGTTCTTATTGAGATTTTTGATGTGGCCAAGGACCTGTGGTTTTAGAACCACTTTATCCACCTTGGACAACGACGAATGAATGCTGAAGAAGGCATCCGACTTGAAGCCAGGCCTGTGCGACTCAGCCTCAAATCTGGTTTCTGAGAATTCCTTTACTCCGTCGTTCCCGAGAAGGTACCAAGTGATGTACTCCAGGATAACGCAGCCAAAGCTGAAGATGTCGGTAGCCCGTGAGATCTCCCCCGTTTCGACGTCGAACTCGGGGCCTCTGTAAGTCTCGGTCCGATGAGTGAATTTGGTATTCCCAAATGTCCGAGACATGCGGCTATGCAGCTGGGCCAGTCCAAAGTCGGCCAGCTTCAGTTCGAGTCCGCTTTCTGTTACTGAGTACAGAATGTTCGAGGGCCCGAGATCACCGTGCCTGCCGTAGACGCTGTAGTGGTTTTGGGCAGGATTAGAGCGCTGATGAGCGGTGCGGTCGTTGTGGACACACTGAAGAGCCGCAGCCAGTCCGAAAATCTGCTGCGCCATGCACCGTGGGTGGTTCTCATCATTCCTGAGCCTGTCCCCATTTTCCCAAAGTTGCGTTAGGTTGCCGTCCTGCCAGTCAAAGAGGAGGAAGTAGTCTGTTGAATTGTTCGTCTTGTTGCGTATCTCAAATGATGCGCGAATATGAGCCATATGCTTTTGCCCCTCCTCGAGGAGCTTCTCATCGACAAACTTATGGTGGAGGCAGAACAAGAGCGACTTGAGCTCTTCCTCAAATACGTCAGGCCTATTGTCGTTGAGCTGCTTGAGAGCGAACCGCTTTTGTGGGCTCTCTGACTAGATAGGCACTGCTTGTGAGAGCACGTTCGTAGTAGGCTTCTTGTTTTAGTTGCGAAAGATGAACTTACCACGGTATTACCATTGTAGAAGTCTACTCGACTGACAAAGTTCCAGTGGCTGGGGTTGATCTGGACCTTGAAGACCTTTCCAAAGCCGCCAAGGGCATGATAGTCGGTGTTTTCCTTATTCGACACCATAATATGATTCGTCTCTGGATTTCCCAAAACTTGGCCAAGAGTCTCCATTGGCAGATGGTCGTCACGCTCCAACACATAGTGAAAGTGTTTATCCGGCAGTTGCTTGAGGTAGGGAGCCGTGAGCGAGTGGGTGTAGCGTTTGAGATTTTCCCGGTCGACCGTGTTTGAGAGTGCCTGGTTGAGTTTGCTATGCTCATGGTTTTGGTTCTGACATTTAAGGAAGAATTCTCGATCTCGGGGTGCGAACCAGAGTGGGAGGCAGTCGTCGCTCATACCGTCATCCATGGCACATTTGATCAAACCGGCACAGTTGATTCTAACCAGGGCAGCCAAGAGCTTGCGGCAAGGTGGTTTTCCATGAGTACCAAAGCATATCATACGGGCTAACCCATCATGCTCTGCCTCGTCTTGGTCCTTGAAGCACTCCAGCTCGGGCATAATTTTGGTGATCTGGGAAAGGCTCATGATCTCTTCCAAAATCTTTCGCGGGATGTAGGCAAGAGACTCGTAGAACGACTCCTCCCTGGCCTTATTCAAGATGTCGGCCAACTCTTTCAAGGGTACCGGCTCGCGTGGATGCGGGGGATTATCAGACGAGGCGCCAAAGTCTTTGCGGTAGTCTTGCTCCCCTCTGTCTTTGACGATGGTCACGATGTTACCCTCAAGGCCGAATTCGGAAACCCCGCCCTGTAGCAACTGTGCTGAGCTCGTCTCGGCAGCCATGGTGATCATGAGGGAGTTATGCCGGGGTACTTCTTCTTGTTGGTCGGGATAATTCATAAAAAAGGGGGCGGTGAAGAGATTTTTTGCGAGGAAACATACCAATAGAACATCAACGTAACATAGAAGTGTCATCTATTATAAAGCTCGCTTTCTTATTCATGTATCTGAGTCATTGCCGTTTAGCCACCTATCACGGTAAGTTGACCACGAGGCGTAAATTGTAAGAGAGTCTCATTACTATTAGCTCGCACTGTAATCTACTGTACAAGACCCTAGCCCTACTAACTCGGTACATCTACGATTCTGCCGCTCAGCACTGAATACGAAGTACCTACCTTCCATCGCTACTAAACAATATCGTCGTGCCATCAATAATCGATGCATCGGTCAGGCTCCATTTTCTATCGCTGATATCGTTGCCATGAATATAATAAAGATTTGAGCGACCTGAGCGATTCTAGTAACGCGGCCAATCTACGGCTACGGGTTTAAATTACGGATTTAGAAGCATGTTGACATTGGCGACGTAATTGTACTTCGCCAGCGCTTGGGGTGCAGCCAGTAAAGGTGGTAAATTTTCGTTGTATTAAGTGGTAATTCACAAGGCGGTGAGATGTAACTTATAGATGGCTGTTGTACCTACAGTGCGTTGGATCGATTTCACAGTACCAAGAGGCTTTCTGAATTATTGCATCAATTGTGTGGCAGTGCGTAGAGTGCATATGAGGGTGCGGCAGAGCCTAGTGCAAGAGGGGGGAATGATTCCCTGGAATTAGTTGTGGGAAAGAAGGTGAATTTTGTGGTGGCCCGGTTTGGGGGGTCTGAATTGAAATTTGCTTGGAATTGTTCGGTGAACCCGCCAGGCTGCCTCCTCGGAAATAATGCCAATGATTGGGCGACGACCAATTGCGGCATGATTGAGGAAAGAAAAGGAAAAAACATTTGACTCAAATAGGGCGTCCTACACCCTATTTACCAGGTAGGGAGGAGGAGGAGGAGGAGGAATATGCCTCGGGCCCAGCAAATTTCACATTCTTCTCCATGTCTTGAGATGCGATGCATTCAGGCGGAGTTTACCGGCTTCCACAGACTCTGACTGGTCAGGTTCGATGGCGTGGTGGCAGGGGCAATCACAAGGCTTCTCGGAAGGCGCAGTGCCAGGCTAGTTTTGGTGGCCGAATTACGCAAGTGCCTTACAGTCTGCCTAGATAGGTTTCACAGAGAATAGAATCCGCCTTTCCACTTAAACTCGCGAGCTTCTACACCCCCCCCCCCCCCCGGGTGGTTTAAATGGTTAGCTCGTTGGCTTTTGTAGTGCATTTGGAATACAGGGTGTTCGAAGTCACTTTCGTGCATCACTAAAAGGTCACGTGGTGGCTTGGTGGTGCCATGCAAGAGATGTTCCACATCACACTGGTGCAAAGTTTTAGGCAAAAATATAGGGTCACCCTTCATGAAAGCTAGGTTTCGCACTCCCACACCTCAGTATAGACACCACCTTTGTAGGTGTCGGCCAAGGCCTTTAAAATGGATAAATCTTTCTGACAACCCCGAAGACTTTTATCTTCTTACACTGTGCAACAGGTTGACCAATTAAAGGATGTGGCGTTGTGAGCCTTGCACTATCTGGGAGATTTTTATGAGGGTTGCCAGCATACAGCTGATGGTTACTCAAAGTGCCAAACAACAGGTATCTGTTGCATCTAGTAGCGTAGCGTTACAGAAGGCACGTGGGGGTGACCTTATCCAGGGTGGGCGGCGATATATTCGATACCCCTGTACAAATATTCGGCGAATATGATGCACTAAAACTTAGCGAGATGAGGACTGCTGTTGCGGGCACCATAGGGGGCGAAGCTAGCAGCAAAACGTAAAGGGAAAATACCCGCTGTAGCTTAGCGCCAGCCCGCTAAGTTACAGTATTTATCTCACTAATTTTTAGCGTTTACCCCACTAGAACTTTGGTCGATTTCAGCGTATCATATTCGCCAAATATTCGTACAGAGGCCCCCACCCTGACCTCATCTTCCCTTTACTAGCCAGCTCGTTACATTACGATTCTAAACTATAAAATGCTCCACGTTGCCATTCCGATAGTCCATCAGCGTCGGCCTCCTTCAGCCCATAAGCGAGCCATGTCAACATCAAGGATGGCTCAAGAACCCATTGTCGTGGCCATGAACCCACCACCAGTGCAGCCACTCTCCGCCCTTCGCGGAGTACATTGGAAATCCGAGAAAGACGGGACTTGGACAGCATTCACTACTCCTTCATGGGTCAGCTCAGCCTCTCTCAAGCAACTACTCGACACTCACTGCCCCGGCCGCCACTCAGTTGAGGTATGTCTACACGATGAACTGTCCCTGAAGGGCCGAGAGCTGACTTTAAGCACACTATTTTAGCTCAGACGCGATGTCTTCAAAATCTCAATCAACAGCGAGTCCGGGGGCGGCTAGGCTCGCTACCTGTATCCTCTTCTCCAGAGACTGTATCCCATTCCATATTCATCACTACCAGCACCACAATCAATATTAGCGGACCAGACCTGGGGCTTGAGAGCTTCCCGCTCGGAAACAGTTGCTCCTTGGAGGCTCCCAAGCCCTCAAGATTGGATTTTGGATTCCTGGACAGATACCTGCAGATACTGCGGAGGTGTTGTCCCACTCTTGTTACACATAATCTAATCTATGACTAAGTGATGGGAAGGAAGTGGTACGGCCGGGTTGTTGCGTTCGGCACCTAGAGTGGTGCTTTTACAGGAAGTCAGATTCTCGAAAGGTTGCTAGCGGGTGGCTTGGGACAATATGGAAAGTGTCACGCGCATTTACAGGGCAACGGAAATGAAGCATTTGATGCAGGGAGGTAAGGCTTGAATTGTCTGTCTTTTTGTTTCTTTTGGGAGGGCAAAAAGTCTCTCTTTTATAGTTATGAATAGTGGCAAAATCTGGTGGCGAAGAATCAAGTGGTAGCTTCTAGGTCCTTCTTTTGCCCACTAACCCCTATTGTCGTGACAGAAAGCCTTATTGCTGTGCACCGCCGCCCCCCTCGGTAACGCCCCGGCCGAACTTGACGACTCTCTCCTCCACGAAGTACAGCCCCGGCGCCCTCCGAGCACATAAATAGAAGATCTTTTAGATATGAGTGACGATGGAAGCACAATACTAAGTAATACACCGAGCCAGTAAGAGGGTGATATATTAAAGCGGGAGGTTATATTTATTTGGCTTAGAAATACAGCTTCAACACTATTGTTCATCCTGTTCTTCAACATACAGTACCAGTAACAGCCAACTAGGTCGCCTGCTCCGTATAAATAAAAGCGTAGTCAACATCGCCTTCTTCCTCTCGAAAAAGTATACCTGCGTGACGAAAATGTCCCTGAATGACTTTATGTCTTCCTGCAACCTCGAAAGCAGACTTGGTTAAAAAGCTCTTGAAGTCCTCGGCCGAAATATCATCACCACCGATCCACATATAATGCCGCCGCATAGAGGCCTTCAAGTCGCCGAAGAAGGCCTCGATAGGATTGAACTCTGGCGAATAGGGCGGTAAATACCACAACAAAACACCGCGTTGGCGCCAGATTCCCTTGACAGACTCGTGGTAATGCCAGGAAGCGTTGTCCATTACTAGTATACTGTTCGGGCTCGGGAATGCATTCATTTTCGGCAATAGGCACCGTTGTAACTACATGGCGAAGCCCTGGTTTGTTGTATGACCTTCGAAGACAAGCAAGTCGAGAAGACCGCTCAAACACAACGCAGGTAACAGATGGAAGCGATTCCCGCGAGTCAGGGTGCTCTTCATCCACGGCTCTACCCCCCTCGGCGCCCACCCCGTACGCCGCGCGCCGTCTCTCCGATCAGTGCCGGGTTCATCGACGAAGACGAACATTTCGGCTGTGAATAGCGTCACCTTCCTGACCCAGTCGAGGCGAAGCGGCTCGCTTTGTTGTGCGTCCTTGAAAAGCAGGCGTTTTTTGGTCCAGTTGGCGGCCTTCAGTTGTTGACTTATATATGCCGTCGTCACGTATATGATGCATTCGAGGACCAAAAACCACTGCATTTCATCGAGGTAAAGGTTCGGTTTGTCGGTAAGCAAGTCTAGCAGCTTCTAATATGGTCAGTTACCGCATGGAATGTATGGAGGATGCCAGACTTAGGTTAGGGCCCATGGGGCGAGGAGAAGCGCATTGAACCGGCTCCTAGGCTTCGTAAAAGGGTCGCCGGTATGAAGATATCGCTTCTGTAGTACGTAGGCGTATGCCACTGTGATTTCGGCTTCTTCGGCAACAACTTTGGGCTTTGCGCCAGAAACAAGCAGATAATAGGCACACGCCATTTATTGCTTGCTGAGTTGCCGAACCATTGGAAAGGACACGCGCGTAATACGCGCTGGATCAAGAGGATTCGATTGAGCTACTTTCTGGCCCTACGCAATGCGTTTTGGGCGGGAAAAGTAGGAAAAGGTGGCCACTTGTTGGAATCGTCGGTTGCAACTGTTGCAGCTGTGTCAAATTCGATGGTGTCGTATCCCCTAGACTGCTAGCTCGGCACCCCGCAAATTAGGTAAAAGGTCCGTCAGTGCCAAGGAAAATATGGGCCATAATTGTCTACCAATCGGGGTGGAGTCAAGGTACGGAAAAGGCTAAATTTTACACCAAAAATTAGGTGTGCCACTTGTACCAGCACTCATCAGAGTTACAGAGGGCCACCCCGCATTGTTGACAGCCAAACCTGATGTCCTGCGCCGCGGCCAGTGATTGAGGGCATTCGTACTCACTTCCTGCAGTGGATTTCGACGAAGTAAGGCGGTCTGGCCTTTCTAATCGTGCCCTAGGCAGGCCTGACAGTCAGACTTCTTGCCCCGATGGGTTAGTTGATGCTCCTGCGCCGGGATTTGTACTGTAAGAGCATCTTCAACGCTAGAGAACCTCCTTTTCTTTGCCAGAGCCGAAACGCCATATTGATCCAACAGAAGTGTGTAAATCTCGGTCTTCCAGGCCGAGAGGGTCTGGAACCTATGTCACCAAAGAGGTCCAGGGTAGTGTAGTTGCAAGTAATAACTGTTCGTGGATTCGGTGCGGTCGGTGTGGTACGTGGAGAGGTCGAAATTGGTCGCCGCGGCGCGGTTCGGGCGGTGCGACCGGCCTGACAGTGCTTACATCGCCGGCTTCCGGCCGCGCTTCCTCTTTTGGTCGTGGGTCAGCCATTTTAACGCGTGCAAAGGACCAGAAAGAATGAAGGCATTTACCTAGGCCGTGAGAGCTTCATTCGCGTTGTTTACTTTGGTGGTTTTCGCGGTCAAATTGTTAGTAGGGGGTGCCCTGACAACTGCGATAACCTCAAGTAGGGATTCCACTCCCGATTTTAAGAGGCAACGACTCTATGGCTTCAGGCAATTAGTTGGGTGCCCTTGTAGCACGAGGAACGGGGCTTCCTTGTGTCAGGCAAGTCCTCCGCGCTGCCTCGTGCGGGATTTGTTGCCCCTGTCGTTCCTTCCTTCCACGTTCCCCACTCCAACAATTTTCCCTTGAACCCATTCGCCGACTCCGATACTCTTACCTATTTTGGCCACGCCCACCTTTGGTCCCTGCGCAAGCCACCATGCACTTACACCAAATGATACCAACCAAGCCCGAAGACACAAGTTGGATGTTGCCTGTCGTAGGTTATAGCCCGCTTCCTTCCAATCTGTCGCTTGAATAGAGCACAAAATGGCACTACTATTAATCGTTGGCTAGGACGTTAAGTTTTCTTAATAAAATTTTCAGGGGCCTGGAGATTTATCAATCCTGTATGTTAAATCTTCAGGGCGATGGGACGATGACAAATGTCTAGATCTCAACTCTCAACCCGGACAGTCTTGCAAGGCTTTTCTCAAAATTTGTGATGCCATCGCCAACCTGGGGCTTCCCAGACACGGCCCAACGACAGCGGTGCTTCCGTTTTGGTGTTTTGACTCCAATGGAACCCCGCTGTTAGTCGAGCTCATTTTTGTTGGGGCGAAAATCGTCCTCTCGACTACCCCTCTAAACACGAGCTGCCCGCTGGCGCAGGCGGAGTGCGAGATGCAAAAAGCGAGCGATGAAATGCAGCCAATCATGCTACGCGACGCGCAGCTTTAAAGCCAACCGCCCGTCTTTGCTGCGCCGCGCCGCTTCCCGCAGATTGCAAGCCGAATGTCGGGCGCGTGCTCGCCAACGTTTTTTTTCTCGGCACCGCCTTCAACGTCAACCACTACCAAGCATCACAAAACGCGCAACGCACGCACACCCCATTTCGCGCGCAAACCTTAACCTCGCGACGCGATGGCATCCAGCCACTTCTCGCCGCGGCACATCCCCGCACTGATCCTCGCATCCACGACCACGCTGGGCGGGTTCTGGCCCATGCTCAACGCGCACTCGGCCATGCTGGCGTTTGGTTTCCCGCCGCACCTGGCCGAGGCGCCCGCCGCGCAGCCTGTCATGCTCCAGGGCCAGTCGCGCAGCACCATCCTCGGCGCCCTCATCTTCACCCTCTACTTCCGCCGCCGCTACGCCGAGATCGACACGCTCATGGCCATCATGGGGTTCTGGGGCGGCGCGGTCGACGCCTTCGTTGTTTGGAGGCACGGCAGGCCGGACAAGGCTTTCTTTCGGCTGGTCACGCTGTGGTCGTTTGCCGCTATTGGGTTGGCGGGCTTGACTGCGTCGTCTGGGTGAAGTTGCGGGGAGGAGCAGATACTGGGCCTGTGAGGCAGGTTAGGATTGAAGATTTGTTGCAAAAGTCGGAAATTAATTCCCGCACCAATTAGTTCTAATTACTAAGAGCAAGCAGTCGTCAGCCGCACCATGGTAATGAGGTCGGGGTGTAGATTACTTTTAGTCTACTAGAAAGTTATCACTTTCACCATGGGGAGGTATGGCCCCTGAAAATCGGTGACTTTTCACATCCCCACGAGCACCCCCTACGAGCACCCCCTCCTCGGCTGCCGATAATCCCGCGAGTCAATGCACAGCACGTCTCCCACAAACGGATTGCGCACCACGAGGTACCCGTCGCCCTTCGAATAGGCATACTTGACCCCCGTCGCCAGCCCAGCCTCGTCCAGCTCGGCGACGTCGATCAGCGGCAAGCCTGCACCGCGGCCCGCGCCGTCGGCATGCACGTCGCGCAGCGGCAGGCGCGTGCCGTTGGGGTGCACGACACCGGCGATGCCACCAAGATTTGTGAGACCGCCGTCGGCGAACAGCTCGATGACCTCGTTGGTTGTCGAGTTGTATTTTAATATCGAGGACGGCGACGAGGCCGACGCCGACGCCGACGCCGCGAACGCGCCGTTGGACGGGTTGCTGCGCAGCACGTGCGCTTGCACGTCCGCGAGCGACGCGAAGCGTGGCGAGGGCGGCACCACTTCCCAGAAGCCGCGGATGATGTTCTGCCGGCCCGCGGCGACAACCTTAAGCCCGGCCGTCACGAGGTAGTAACCCGTCTTTGTGTCGCCTGTTGTGGTGGTGCGGTCGTAGAAGCGGAAGACGACCTCGCGCGCCGTCTTCGGGTTGCTGCCCGCCGGCAGCGGGATGAAGGTGTCCTGGCCCTCGCCGGCGCGCTTCCAGGCGGCCGGAACGCGGAACGGCTCGAGCAGCTTCCCGGTGCCGGGCCTCTCGGTGGTCGTGGTCGCGTACGCCCAGGTGACGCCTTTGTACGTGCCGAGGTTGCTGGCGCCGTCGGTTGCTGCCGTCGTCGCCAGCAGCGTGTCCTCGGCCATCTTCGCCGTCCCCTCGCCCCAATCTCGCACGTGGCCGCCGGGCATAACGTACGACGGCTTGGGCGTGAAGTCGTACATGTAGGCGTCGCCCCAGCCCGTCAGCGGGTAGTCGTTGTGGCGGCCCCCGGCCACGTTGAGCACGTGGCTCGCGCCGTAGTACAGCTCGGCCGCCCACTCAACCGGCCCGTCGGCCCAGATCTTGGACGACGGCCCGTCGACAAAGTACCGCGGCCAGTGGTGCTTGGCATAGTTGCGCTCGTAGAAACGCGCCTGCATGCGCGCCCAGTACGCGCGCCGCTTGCGCAGCATGAAGTCGTGCACCGCCCGCGGCACCGCGTACGTCTTGTTGCCTAGCAGGTTGCTGTCTTGTGACAGGGCCGCCCAGAGCATGTGGCCCATGCCGTTGCCGTTGTACGCGGCTGGAAAGTAGGCGTCGAGGTTGATGCGGGCGGGTGACGACGACGGCACGAGGGTGACTGTGTCGTTCCACGCGTAGTAGCCCGACAGTACGCCGGCCACGAACGTGGTGGCGTCGTTGGCGTACATGGACATGCTGTTGCGGTACAGCGACTGGCGCCGCTGCGGCGCCAGCCGCTTGCCTTCGTACGACTGGAACGCGAACTTGGTCAGCGTGAAGTCGATAGCGTTGCGCGCGCCCTCGCGGATCGCGGCGCTGTCGGCAAACAGAAACAGGTTGAATAGCGAGTGCAGCGAGAAGGACTGGTACGGTCGCGCGTTGGTCTCAAAGTAGTCCGAGTATACGATGCGCGCCATGGCCTGCAGCAGCATTTCCTCGAATGACGCCGAGTTTTTGAAGTCGTTCCTCTTCACGTACGCGCCTTTGGTGAGTCTCGGGTCCTTTCGGGGGTTGTTGTAAATCCACTGGTTGGTCAGATACATGCTCGAGAGTGTCATGAGGACATGATTTTCAGTCTCAGGGTAGCTAATTAGGTGGTAAGTGATGTGTGAGCGGTGTGCTCCCAGCGAAGGAATTGAAAAAAAAAATGAAAAAAGAAAAAAATGAAAAAAAGAAAGAAAAAAAAAGAAAAAGAAAAAGAAAAAGGAAGACTAGAAGAAAATAGAAAAAAGTACGAGAACGAGGGAGACTGACGTGCCCACAAAGTCGATTTTGAAGCGCATATGCGAGCCCCAATCGTTGCCGCGGTAAACAAGACCTTTGTCTAATATGTTGAAGGCCGCATCGTTGCTTAAGAGGGTGGGTTCATTTTGGAAGAGATACAAGAACATCACCATCTCCTTCAGAACTGCAGGAATTTCCAGGGTTAGAAATCGACGGGCAAACGGGGCCGCCCACCTCAAAGGGGCTACCGCCAACTCACCCATGTCATAGTCTGCCGGTCCTCCGTTCGTGTCCGTGCCGGTCCTCGCATACTTGTATATCGTCTTGGTCCAATTTGCCACCATGGTCGGTGCATCGATGAGTGGCTTTGGATTCGTCATGAGGTCTCGATAATCGCCGCTCTTTTGGTACCGTCTCTTATAAGCCAACAGCCAGGCTGCCATGCGACGGAAGCTATGTCTGCTTCCGTGGTCCTTGAAGGAACCAAACGCGTGGGACTTGTGGACCGTTTTGGGACTGCCCGTGCCGCCGCGGCAGCCGCGCGGGTTGGTGCATGGCGGTGGTGGCTCGACGACTGTGTATTCAAGTGGCTGCGTGTCGGTGAGATCAACAAAAACTTGGATGAGGTCGTCACGCCGCTGGCGATAGTCTTGCACCGCTTGGTCTACGGATTGTGGAAACCGTGCTGCTTGAGTAGCATGCAACAAGATGAGCCATAGCACCGCAAGGATGGCGTAGGAACTGGGCCGCAATCGGCGACGCATTGCGTGTGACCCTTATTGGTTGAACGGGTGTGTTGAGTGGGCCTTGAGTGAATGTGCTGAATGAGCTTCAATGAGCGACTGTACTGAACGAGTGTGAAACAAATACGAAGCGGATTGCGATGTATTAAGGGCCTTGGAAACATGTTTCTTTCTTCTGTCGCGCGGCAGCCCCGTGTGATATCCCCGTGTGAAATAAAACCAACAATGCTTCGTTCAACTTGCTAGCAGGTCGGTAGGTGTTCAGCCTTGACAAACTCCGATTGCTCGGCCTCCTTCATCAAATACGCAAGGTAAACGTCCTACTTGCGGCTGAGTGCGGAGCCTCTTCATTGAGAGAGCAGCTGATCCGAAACGGGGCGCCGTACATGCTGTCACGCGGGCTTTCCTCCATTTATCTTGCCTGTCCACGCAAACCGATGATGCTCAGCGAGGCACCATACGCTCGTAGGAATGGAAAGGCAAACAAGGATCTTCAAAGAAGTGGACGTAGCTAAATATGCGAGTGTCTGTTTCTCACGGATTCGGGGTTCTTCAATTACAGAAATAGGAAAAGAGCCCTTGGCGATCGCTCCATATCTCTTGACACTGTGTTAGCAAGACAAACATCCGACAACAAAGGGCGCGCGATACCAAGAAGGGGGCTGAATGCCGATGACAAGCGCGTCCAGGGGCTAAACAGGCCCATTTTGACAGACTTTCTGACCGCACTGCTTGGAACGAGTCTCAGCCTCCACGTCGGCTCGAGGGTGGCTTGCGTTGCCTCCCATGATTTGGCCACGACACCGCTGCCAAGGAACCTACCGCTGAGAGAAGATGTAGATTGGTGCCCTTCTGGAGATCCTCGACTCAGCCCACTGGGTTACCAGTTAGTAACTTGCTTTACCGAAGGTGCATCCATTGAGAGTGAGTGCCGCCTCGCGCTAACTGTCTCCGCCGCCACCGCTGTCAGGGCCAAGAACTGTGGCTGACTCGCCTGCTGGGATGCGCCAGAAGTTGTCGCAATCGTCACTAAACTGAACAGCAGGACCCTTGTTCGGATATAGCCGTGGCCGAGACCGTGGCTGAGATCATGGACATGCGAGTGGAAATCCGTGACAGATATGGAAAGAATATGAGATCCCGCAGATGGGAGCTAGTGAGGCTGTCTCGGTACGCAGCGATATCGTACCTGAACAGGCAATCGAAGGAGCAGTTAGCGGCTGTTCCGTGACGAAAATAGGGCTACCACTCGGGCGCAGAAAATGATGCCGCGAGCCCCAAAGACAGGAGTTTGTTCGAACCCGAGCAAACGAGAAACGAACTTGCCGCCAGGGATTGAGCCCGACGTGGTGGTCAGACCCACAACCTTGAGATACTCGCAAACCGCATTGGCAAGCTTTGTTTGGCAACTAGCAAGGGGGGGAACCCTGAGCTGGGTGGGTTATTTCTCGGCGATTTCTACGAGGATGCATCCCGCATGTAGCTTGCAACTGGTCAATGTTCTCAAAATGCCATCTATTTCGGCTGGCCATCCTTACTGCTCACGCCTTACGCCTCCCCACCTTCTGTTCTCCTTCAGTTCATTCCAGCGAGTGAGATGCCTGTCAAACTTGAGGTACATCACTGTTGCACAATATGAGCACTGTTGCACAATGAAATAGGTTACCTGACGGATCAGGAAGGGGTCAGCTGAACGGAGCCTCTTTTTTTCTTGTTTTTTGCCTCCGGCGGCGCCTGCGGCGAGCTGTCCTCGCTTCGCTCGAGGGAATGGGTGGCTAGCCGAGGGGTGCTAGTTATGTTTGACCAAGTTATAACCACGGCATCTCTTGTATTCGGGAGGGATCTGGTCGTTTGGGGTCTCTTTAGTTGTAGGGAGGATCGGGCGGTCGGGAGGCTGGCCACCGCGCCTGGATTTGGCGCATCGGGCCGTGGGGGCTGCGGTTGAGGGACCCCGACCGTAGCCATCGCGGCGGCTTGAAAAACACGCGTTCCTAGTGATATATTAGTAGGGATTAATAGGGTCATAATCGTAAAGTATTCGGCGTGCCTGTCCATAGCTGGAAAGCGATAAATCGTACGTGCGATTGACTGAGGTTGAATTGCGAGTTGAGGAAGAAAGTCGTTTATTTTGAGGGGGGGGAGCTGGCTAGAAAGTTGAAGGTACCGCACGGACGGATTGACAGCTGTCACGGTCGCCACAGGGCTCATGTGACAGGATTGATTCTATTGGCTGCATTGTGTTTAGAGTGTGGCCTTTGCGCACTGAGCACCACCACCTATTTCCCCGCGCCCTGCGCGGACCCCGCGATAGATTCCTTTCTCTTCCTTAGCTTTAAATCCACATTCGTTACTGCCTTCAACCATTGGCATCCCTACTGCGTAAGGCGGGCCGTCACAACAGCCATTCTACCTCACGACACAGCAAAGCGGCATTTGACAGCTTAACACGTCCGAGGATTATCGATCGGCCAGTCCCCCGAGTCCATTTCGACACAGACGAAAACTGGCCAATCCCCAGGCGAGAAACTTTCGGCACCTTGACGGTAAAGTAGAAGAGACAGCCTCTCTACGCCATCTTCGGCTCGCAAGCTCGCCTACGGCGGCTCCGTTCAGCTGAATAAGGAGTAGGCCGTCTGCAGTCTGCCAGCGGGTATCCGTTTTAGCAGACGCCACTAGCATCAAAATTGCCCATGCGGCGACGCAGCGGCGGATTTGCATGCCGTCGACGGATAGATCGCCTGGTTCCCATGGCCGCGACCACGCCGGCCAGCCATGCCTCGCAATATCCCAGCAGGCGGCGACCGGACCAAGGCTGGGGGAAGCCTGGACTGTCGAAAACCGGGGCCACGCGCTCGCCAAAGACAGCAGTCCAAACCGCGGCACATGTTGTCTGTGTGAGGAAACCCAGCGCACCGAACTGCACGCCCCTACATGCCGCCGGAGCTGCGGGGCCCTCCGACATTCCACGAGCTGTCCGCTCAGCCGAGAACGTAGAGTCCAGGGAGCAGTCGTCTTGTTTGTTGCCGTGTAATTTCCCCAACACAGCGAGCGAGCGAAACACCGAGGGATTCCCGGACTTGGAGATGCTTTGCACCTGGCTATTCGGCCCTCTCTAGCTGGAGTTGATCTAGCGCATGGCGCTATTCGCACTAGGATAGCCTCTTGGTTATTGCTAAGCAGTTGCACTTGACAGCCCAACCACCTCCTCACTTGGCAACAAAAACTGCCCAGAGTTGGTGAATCCTGCCGTTGGTTGTCAGCACGGATTTAAGAAGATAGCGGATAGCGACAACCCGAGCCAAGGCGCCACCCCGCTTTGGCCCAGATATGGCCTGAGAGATAACCCGGCGAAACAGTTATGCCGGTCGGGACAGGCGCGTGGTCTAGAACATAGCCAAGCAGCCGGCTCGGCAGCTGCAGCAGTCTCGGAGCCGCATGCTTGTCTCAGCCTCTCTCCCAGGCGTTGTTATCGTGGGGGCCGGGACGAGGCCGGATCGGGCGGCGCCGAGATCCCTAGCCCACGGCCAAGACACACTTGACAAGCCCACCCAGGTCGAGGGCTGCACGTCAAAAGATAGCGGGCCGTTGGCGGCATTGATAATGTGACGGGTGGGTCGATCCATGCTGATCCACGGTGGATTATACGTGGTCTTGTATGAGACGATCCGTGCTAAAATGTGAAAATCCGGGGGTGGCACGCACGTGGTTGTATTGCCGAGAAGGTGTAATATGTGGGGGTATTGCGCGATGGCCGTGGCGACCCATTTGCAGCTGTTTCCACGCCCAACCTAGCCACACCTGCAGTGTGCATGCTCGATAGGCGCAGGAAGACGGGGAGCTCGCGGATGGTTAATCCGCAGCGTTGGTGGCGTGACGGCCGGTATCAATGAGCACATGTGCTGCGTTGTGCCGTGCTATTAGTAGCGCCGCGCCTCAGACCCGAAACGTGTCGTGGCCGCCGGTAACACGCAGGCAGTCTAATCTGCTCACCATGGGTCGCACAGATACCGAAGTCCGCACCTACGAGCGGGACGCCGAGGGCGATCCCCACGACACGCGCGAAGACCAGGTGGTGAAGCCCATCAAGTCGTGGAAGGGCTATGTTTGGGACACCTGGGACCTGCCCAAGGACCAGCGCCGGCTGTTGTTCAAGGTGGACGCCTTTGTTCTGACCTTTGCGTCGGTGAGTGCCCCGATTCAACTCCTCTCTTGCGACATCGATCTAATGCGAAAGCTCTATCCCTCGGTCAGGTCGGCTACTTTCTCAAAAACTTGGACCAGACAAATGTCAACAATGCATTCCTCAGCGGCATGCAGGAGGAGCTGGGCATGTGGGGCAACGAGCTCGTCACCAGCGTGTCTATCTGGACCGTTGGCTACGTCGTCGGCCAGATACCGTCCAACTTGCTCCTGACCCGCGTGTCTCCGCGGTGGGTCATCCCTGCACTTGAGCTGGGCTGGGGGATAGCCACCATCTGCACGGCATCCGTAAAATCATACGGAGCTCTCTACGCAATGCGTTTTCTCGTCGGTTTGTTTGAGTGAGTTTTACGCCTAGCCCCCCTGTTTGTTTCGCGTGCCTTCGGCTGACCAGCCAGGTCCGGATTCTACCCCGGCATCCACTACATGCTCGGCTCCTGGTACACGCCGTCGGAAATAGGCAAGCGAGCCATGATCTTCTGGCTGGCCGGCGCTATCGGCATGATGTTCAGCGGTTTCCTGCAAGCGGCCGCTTACACGGGCCTCCACGGGCACGGCGGCATGGCTGGCTGGAGATGGCTGTTCATCATCGACGGTATCATCACAATACCGCTCGCCCTGCTCGGCTTTCTCTTCTTTCCTAACCTACCGCAGAGCGGCGTGAGGACGTGGTGGACGACGCAGTCCGAGCACGACCTCGCCGTCAGCCGCATGAAGGCCATTGGCCGTGCCGGCAAGGTGCCCTGGACGAAGGCCAAGGTCTTTAGGATCTTGACCAGCTGGCACACCTACCTGCTGCGTGAGTACAGCATCCAGGCTTTGTGGACGTAATGGGTCTGCTGACACCTGACTCCCCATCAGCCCTGTGTTACATCATCTGGAACAACGGCTTGCCACAGCCCGCAATGGGGTATTGGCTAAAGAGTTTCAACGACAAGAAGAACCCTCCCGTGCCAGGCACCACTTTCACAGTTCCTCAGATCAACAACTGTAGGCCTGAATCCTGCCTCTCTCAAGGCTCCAAAGAGTCAAGCTAACCACGCCGTGTCTCCAGTGCCACTTCCCACGACCGGTTTCTTCGTACTGGTAGCCCTCAGCTGGGGCTGGCTCTCGGACGGACCGTTCCGCGGGGCACGGTGGCCCTTCATCTATGCCGGCGCCGTTATCACTGTAAGGAATCGACGTAAACTCTTTTCAACCTCAAGCTTGTCTTGCTAACCACAGTGACCCTACCGTGCAGCTCGTTTTCAGCATTACCCTGCGCCAAATGCCGCTTTATGACAACATCAACGGCCGCATAGCAGTCTACTGGCTCGCGAATATTGGCGTAAGTCGAAAACGCCACGTCACCATTCGCCAACACACCTTCTGACCAAACTCTTCTGACCAAACTCTTCAACAGGGCGGCGCCGGTCCGCTGATCTTCAGCTGGGTTAACGAAATATGCTCCGGCGACACGGAGAAAAGAGCACTGCTCATCGCCATGGGCAACGATCTTGCCTACGTTGTGCAGGCAGTGGTGCGTTCTCGTCGGCTTTGTGGTATAATTAGTTGCCTGCCCCAGAACCTGACACTGATCGTGACGCAGGCTCCCAACTTTGTGTGGAAGACGACCGACTTCCCGGCCGCGACAAAGGGGTATACCTGGTCGATCGTGCTGCAGGTCCTGCTCAGTAAGTCTTTCGCCCAATTAAGGCATCCCGGATTTTGTTCAAGACTGGGTGCAAGACATAGTTCCAAGACGTGCTAACAAAGCCCCTTTTTGCACAGTTCTCGAAACTGCCCTCATCCAGCTCCTGCTCTGGCGGGATAAAAGACGAGCGGCCCGGCTAGACGACTCTGACAGTTCATTACGCGCGCCGTCGGCGGATAGCGATGGCTCACCGTCGCCGATCGACGATGTTGTCAAGTGATGTTGGCAAGGTGAGGAGGGCGTGCTGGGCTGTGGGGTTTGCTATCCGCACATGGTAGTCTAGTCTCACTAGTTGGCTGCATTGGGCGGCTCATGTGTGTGAGATATGCCCTGAATATTAGGCAGACGGGCTGCCATGTCTAGGTACCATACGAAAGCTGCCATGCCACAGTCCTGCGGCGTCGTGTCACCTTTAATTAGCGTGCGAACCTTCACCGCAGTTTAATCACGTTTATTCTTTTGCATAAACATATGCTTTCACCCTCTTTCAGGAATTGGCCCCTCTCCTCCTTTGGTGTCAGAGTAAAGAGAATTATGAATCAGCTGATGCTAGCCGGGTGAGAGGTCACCAAAGAAATACAGCATATTTCCCACCTCCATGACTCATGCCATTCACAAAGGAGACGGGAAAGTAATTAGGGAAGAGGTCAAATAAAGCCAAGGTTCGGACCACACCGAGAAAAACAAATGAACTTTAGGCCCTGGCCACTTCCCTCCGCACGGAACGGGCCATGTTAGCATGGATCTGGACGTGTGCAATGAGATGGGAGGCCGTGGAACGGTCTTCCAGTTTCATGGATGCGAGGTACATGATGAAATTTCCGAAAAGGGCGAAACGCAGTACGGGCCGCTGCGCACAACTGCCACGAGGAGCAGGACTTGCTCTGACCCACGCATCCATTTTCTCATCAAAATCAGGTACACTTTGTGTCAGGTCTAGTTCTAGACGCACAGATACGGCCCGACAAATCAGACGAAACGCGCCACTCAGGCTACCGTCACTTCGCGCTCACTTTCTACTCAACTCACCTCACCTGCACTTAGAGAACAGATGAGCGAGCTTCCGTAGCCTCCAGTCAACAAAACCTTTGCCCAAGCAACGCACCTGCTAATTCGAACCGCCACCAGGTAGCCCGACCGACGACTAGCCACAGCAGCCGCACACTTTCCGCGCAAGGAACCTGCACCTACAAAGTGCAAAGTGCAAATTTCAAACCACAAAACCATAACCACAAAACCACAAAACCACAAAACCGCACCCCGCGACCGCGCAACACGACAAACCCTCGCAAACCGCAAATGGCCGACCAAGACCAAGAACACGAGACGAGCCGTTTCCGGGCGCTGCTCAGCAGCCTCAGGAAGCTGACAATCTCGGCGCCGCCCGGCCTGGCCCGCCACAGAGCCAGAGCCGACGACAGCATGGAGCTGGAGCCCTCAGTCTTGGTCCCGTACGACGGCTACGATTTCACCACCGACTCGCACACCACGTCGTTCCGCCGCGCGCTGGCCCAGACGCTGTTCCAGTACCGCGGGCGCGTGCCGGTGACTTTCTTCCGCGACGTCAAGGTGCGTATTCAATTTAATTTCTTTCTTTCAGTCCAACGTTCCCCGATCATCGGTCGCGTCGCAGCACCTGCTTTCTCCCTCACTCATCCTGACAGTTGTGTCACCCTAAACCAAGCCCACAGACACACCCCAACATGACTTGCATGGATGAGATGAAACGCGCGACGTGGCATGGCACACGCACGTTACCTACCAGACAAAGAAGGCAAACTCAATTAATGACTTCGCGGAAACGAATCAGGCCTACCTCGAGAGCGTGTACGGCACGGTGCAGGGCACGACGGACCTGGTCCGGCAGTTCGTGTACAACTTCGTCTTCTACTTCTGCACGACGAGCGGGGGCGAGCACCTGCAGCCGTTGGCGCTGCACGCGTCGATTCAGGGCCTGGAGCGGACGGTCGAGAACAACCAGACGCTGGCGGTGCGGCTGTCGGGGTTCCAGCCGCTGTGGACGGTGACCGGCGAGCAGCAGCTGCAGGGGCAGCAACGGCAAGCGGTGGTGATCCGCGAGGCGCTGATGGCGGAGATGGACGTGGACCTCGAGAAGGTGCTGCAGCTGTGCCCCCGCGTCGTCGAGGAGGTCGAGATGATTCCCGAGTCGGTAGACGGTGGTGACGATGACAAGGACGACGTGGTGATGAAGGACGAGGCCAGTGGCGAGGACACGGATTTTCCTGGGGCTCCGGCTTACGTGTTGTCGAAGACGGAGGCGGACGAGGAGGCGGACGAGGACGAGGACGAGGGCCTGAACTTGGTCCCGGACGATGACCACGACGACACGTACGGCATGATGGACAACTCCGTTGTGGAAATTCGCCAGCAGGAGAGCGACGACGACAGCGACAGAGACTGAGGCTATAGTTATTGGTCTCGGCATTCCGTAAACTCGTGTAGCTTAGCTGCCTTGTCTTAAAGTAGCATACGAGTAGCAATGTGCCGATGGCTTGTATATAACACGTGCAGCAGCATAGCATACCGCAGTGTGATACCCACGCATGGGCGTGCATGAACAAGTCTCGTTGCTTATTCGGAGCGCAAGAATAGCAGGGGGGGAACCTCCATTTCACTTGTGATCTCTGACCCTCTACCATCCTCCAACTGCCCCACACCTCATCTCAACCTGCCTACTTACTCAAGCAAGGTTGCTTCCTCTTATTCCGCCAACCGAAACCCTGAGAAAGTCGACGTCCGAGTCAAGACGCTTCTTCAGCTCGCCCTGGGCGAGCTCGTCCACGTCCCAAGACGCCCACACATAGCGGCCGTGGAGGAAGCGGGCCTCCCTGGACGCCGCCCACACGGCAAAGTTTCCCGGCAGCGATGCTATTTGTCAAGTGTCAGCAGTGCCAATCGGGCAGTGCCAATCAGCCTGACCTGCCTGTCGTTGTTGGAAGAGGGCCGTGGCTGGGTACGAAACTCACCGTCGTCAAAGGGCAGGAAATCCTCAGTGGCGCCCGCCTTGCGCCACGGCTCGGTGAAGATCATGCCGGGGTTGAAGCTGATGATCTGCAGCTTCTCCGGCTCCACGTCCTGGGCGATGTACTTCAGGGCCAGCACGGCGGTGCCCTTGGTCAGCGCGTACTCTGGGCGGGCGGCAGCGAGGGGCTGGTAGGCGTTGTTGCTGATGTGGATGCTGCTTGTCGAGACATTGAGTAGGACCTGATTGATCAATTAAGTTAAGCTGGGCCATTCTGAGAGGCCCATGAGAAATATCCCGGAACGGGGCTGTCTACCTTGGGCCTGTCCGCAGCATTCGCCTGGCCGTGGAACCGCTCAGTCAGCAGCAGCAAGTTCCTGACGTTGACCCCGAACGTGTCCCAGATGTACTCGGTGCCGAGCTCGAGGAGCGGCTTGACGACAGCGAACTTGGCAATGTTGGTGACTAGCACATCGACCACAATGCCCTTCTCGGCAAGGCTGGTCCACAAGGCATCGATGACTGCTGGATTTGACATATCGGCTTTCTCGGCGACGATCTGCGTGCCTGTGTTTACTTTGGCTGCCTGTTCCTCGAGCAAGGCCCGCGCATTGTCGAGTTTGTCCTGGTTCCGGCCGGTGATGATGACAGTCGAGGCCGAGGCTGCGGTGAAGCCCTTGGCGATGGCTAGACCAATGCCAGCGGTAGAGCCGGTAATGAGAACAGTTTTGCCAGCCTGGCTGAGCTCGGGGCGAGCTGCGTCGATGGCGGGGTACGAGGTCCGGTGCGTGGTTGAGGTCACGTTGGTTGCTACAGCGCTCGCCATGGTTGGTTGGGTTGCTGCCTGTTTCGACGAGTCTGAGGACTGATTAAAAGTTATTTGGCTTGTCCCTAGGGATGATTGCGTGTCTCCTAGTAAATACATTGTTAATATCAGCGGCGATCGCAAATTATATACGTCAGGCACTTCGGCCAAGTACCTAGAGAATCTGAGCGAGTGAGAATTGCACCGTGTTCCGCCGACTGACAAATCCGACAGTCACACTTGGATTCAGCGAAATATCCAAATCATTCAACAGCGTATAGAGCATACAGCCACGGGCGAATACAACCCGGGCCGTGATAAGCCGTGGAGTTCAGGCCCGTATATGTGCGCCGGACAGTGCGCCGGACATACGGGGTGCGGGCGGCGAAATCCGTGAATTCCGGGCCGTGGCCATTGGGGCCGCGGCGGAACGCCCGCCCTTCTAGATTAGGATAGCGCCCGCAACAAGGGGGCCAATCAGTGCCGGGGGCCAATCAGTGCCAGAGGCATGGCGGATATTTCCAGGAAACCCGCAGTGACCGATGGAGTGCCAACAGCAGGCGGAGCCGGGGTTAACCACTCCTCGACACAATCTTCGACAATCGCTCAGTAATTAGTCTCTTTACTTGCTCCGCCTAACTCCATCGTGTTTGCAATCCCAGAAGCTTAAAGCGCCCGCCCGACTCCCAGAGAATGTCATCAGCCGCCGAGACCAAGGCCTGCGACCGCTGTGCCAAGGCCAAGCGGAAGTGCGACAGGGGGCAGCCCGCCTGCGTTCGTTGTGCGACCCGCGAGCTCACTTGCACGTATCCGGCCCCCCGCCCGAGCTGCTGGGTGTTGGTCAATAGCGCATCGGACGCGGGCAGGCCTGAAACGGACGTCCCGTCCATGCCCTTGTTTGCAAACGTGCTTGAGTCGGTATCTGCGTTACCCGCTGTGACAGCACCAGCAGCCATCGAGCCACCACGCTCACAGAACTCGGCCGAAGGCGCCCAAGCCGAGTTCCAGCTAGAATTGGAACATTCCGACGCCCTCGTTGGTGCTCTCGGACTTGGCGATGCTCTCGTCGGCTCCACCATCCACATCAGCCAGCCCAGGCTGCAGACTGGCCTCTCGACCGGCTGGTTTCTCACCCCCGAGACGTGGGTGTTACAGCCCATTCCAAAAGGGGGCCTTGGCGTCGTCGAGTTTGTGTACCCGACGTTGCACCGGCTCAGGCGCCAGATCCACAGCCTGATGCTGGACTGGGTGAGCAAGGGCAGCAGCCCGCTGATACACGCGCGGCTATACCAGGTCCGTTTTCCGCGGTGCATGCAAGATGCCTACATGACGCTGTCGGCGTACACGACACAAGTGCCGCAGACGGAGAAGATGGTTCGGCGCATCATTTCCGACCGCAGCGCCCAGCTCATGCGCCAGTATGCCCGTACGTCCCCCAGCGATCTTGATGCGTTCGAGCACCTGGCCCGGGTCCAGGCGCTGCTGATTTTCACCGCCCTCGGCTTCTTCGACGAAGACGACGGCCTGCGCCACATTGCCACGACGCAGCTGCAGGTGCTGGAGAGGTGGAGCTTGCAGATGCTCGAGGCTACGCGGCTGGCAGCGTTCAACGGCCAGCTGCGGATGGGCAACCTAATCGACGGCAACGGAAACAACGACGGCAGCGGGGTTGGTCTTCTCGGTGTATCTCCCCCAAACTCTCAAACCTCGAACGGGAGCAACGAGCATGACGTGGAGATGATGTGGTATGTATTCCTTCATTATCTGATCTCCAGCTCCGCGGACTTTGTGTGTGTGCGTGTGTGTGTTTGCAGGGAGGGGTAGGGGGAGCAAAGGAGAGAAATAAGGAAAAGAAAGAGAGAAAAAAGAAAGAAAAAAAGGAAAGGAGAGAAATAAAGCAAAGAAAGAAAGAGAAAAAAAAAGGAACGTCCCGGAACGGTCGAAGTGTGATTACTGACAACAAGGAACAGGCATGCCTGGATAATCGCCGAGTCTGTCCGCCGAACGTGGTTCATGTCGTGCACCTTGCAGGCGATCCACACCGTGACGCACCGCTACGCGCTCCAGTGCCACGGCGACATTATGTTCACGCTGCTCACGGGCGTCTTTGACGCGCCGACCTGTTGGGCCTGGGCTAAAATATGCAGCGAGCGAGACATTAGCTTCATGTCGCGCATGCACGTCCGCCGCCTCCTCGGCGAGAAGACTCCAGACGACGTGGACTTCTTTGGCAAGATGGTGCTGGAGCTCATGTACGGCGTCTCAAAGGTACAGAATTGGGGCGCGGACTAGCGACGAAAGACTAAAGTCAGGCGTGCGCAGCTGCGGCGTCTGGTGGGGGGGCCCGCGTGTCTGCCGCTTCAAAGAGTGTTTGCTTTAGAATCGGAAGGAGCGACGGAGATGCACGCGACGTGGCGGAATGGAATTTCCTTTGAGCTCCAAACAACAACCAGCCAGCCAATTGAACTTGGCAGGCAATGGAAAATATGACGTTCGTTAATCACGCGTCCCCCTGGACGGAAGAAAGTCAAAAGCTCGAATTCCAGCTATCTCAGACTCGGAGATAAAAGATGCAAAAAATTAGGGTTGTAAGGCTGATGTTGCGCGATCCGAGGTTCGAACTCGGGTCCCTCGCTGATCCAAGATAAGATGGGAAGCGAGAATTCTAACCACTAAACTAACCGCGCCTTATCATTTGATGGCTGTTTGCAGCGCTAATTCGGCCCACATGGGCTAGAGTGTCTGAGACCGGGGTGTGCGTTGGCACACTGTGCCGCGATTGACTGACAAAGAGCTCTGTGAAAAGTAAATAAGGGTAAATCTCTAACGTGTACGGAGGAGTATTACTGCTGGTCAAATAAGAGCTTTGTGTGAGGTTCCGCGAGGGTTGCACCGCTGTGCAACTTCCGCCTAATTGAACAGCCTGTTTGTTGTCAATGCTCAACGGCTGAGTGCCACTACAATTACGTCACCAAACAACACAACAACTTTTCTCACGGCCCCCTTCACATTAGGTTCTGTAATCCACATGTCATGAGATTTGGTATTCATCATCACAAACACTCTTTTTGCGAACAATTTTTGTCGAATGGTTACATTGTTTTCTTACCAACTAATCTCAATGTTTACCCTATTGTCTGTTGTCGCTACCAGCACAAAAGGCAGACAGGTACCTCAATGCTGCTAATTTGGCGGTTAGTCAACCACCTAGTTACTCATCGGCCGGGGAGGGACTGCCTCTCTCACATACTCACGGCTCGGAACCGTCCAGTTTTCGTCGTGCGAAAAATAGCCCTGGTCGTCAGTTTTGCCTAGCTCCTCCTCCGAGACCTCCTTCTAGTCGGCTCTGGAATCGAACTCGGCGTCGAGACGCTCGAAAAGGGGCGTCTCTTTGACGACGAATGAAGGGCTGCGGGGCTCGTCGGACCGCTCCATGTGTTTCTCCTTCGGCACTTCCAGGAACTGTCCGAATTTGCGAGGACGATGCTGTGGCTGGGGTTGCTGATTGCCCGGGGACAGAGAGCAGCGAGGCTCAATGTTCTTATCTGCTTGTTTGTCTTTCGGGACTTCCAGGAATCGCCCGAACTTCTGGGGCTGGGCTGGGCCGGACTGAGACGACGAGGTCGGCGCTTGGCCTTGCTGGTGCTGGTGCTGCTGCTGTTCGCGTCGCTCTTGCAGCCGGCTCTGTTGCTGGTCGCGCAACTTCTGCTGCTCTTCCGGCGAGCGAAGGCTTGGCGGCGGCTTGATAGTCCGGCGCTGCTCTGTGGGAGGTCCAGAGGAGGCCATGTCGGCTGGTGGTTGCGTTATCCGAATTCTTTTCTTCAGTATACAAAGTTAAAATTTCGTTCAGTTTGCTAGTTATTGTTTTGTGGTGTTTTGTTAAAGTGGGTAGGGGCTTGACGTTGTGGCCACTTCCAGATTATATAGCCGAATTTAGCATGAACAATGGATTTGTATGCTGCCCTTCATCGGGGACCACTCCTCATTGTTCCCGAACAGTAAGTACCTGTGTCCCGGCTTCGATCGCTATTGTTCCTGTTCAGTGGCTTGTTTTTTCGTGTTAGTTTTGCAAAAAGGGTGGAGTCGTTTAATTTCTTACAGCCTCATTAACACCATTTTTATTCTATTGCGTGTATGGTAATAGTCTATCATAGATCTACCTGGGGAGATCGCTCCTGGAGTATACGGAAGAAAACATAACCTCGTAGACAAATTAATATGGCCTGGTAATAACGTGCAATTGTTAGAGTACCCGAGTCAATAATATTTAGCACCCAATATAATGGACTATGCGAGAAACACTGTGCTTCATCAATGTCTGAACGACCAGAAGCGAACATATGGATGGATACTCCGACTACTAAGACACCGAGCCACAACCCTTGTATAATCCCAGTTTTGATACCCACCGCCGCCAAAGGCACACCGCTTGTGGCCTCTACAACAGCTCCAAGATCCCAAAATCGATCCGTCGCTAAGTAAAAGTCTTACTTGAGACTAAAAGGTGGATATAATTAATGTAAAGGACGAAAAAGAGAGGGGTATGTTCGTGTCCCGGCGCCTTGTAAATGCATACAAATAAACGAGCTGATACTTCCGCCAGTCCATTGTTCAAAACCTATAAACGAAGCGAAGGTGTATAAGTGCAGAAAGTGTTGGGTTATGTGAGTAAGCTGAGTCCTAGGACGAAGCTTGGCACGACGCTTGGCTCTGCTAGTTCCGGCTCATGCCTTGTTTGGCCTAAAAGTTTGGTTAGTGACGTGCTTGTGGGACTGGAGTTCGCGTTGCTGAGGGAAGACAAACCTTCATCATCTCGATCCGAGCCTTCAACTGGCTTGTGACTTCGGCGGCCCTCTTCCAGCTCTCCACCCCATTGCCAGTCGATATTCCACTCGGGGGTGCGTCGCCTTGCCTGGCCCCAGCTCGACTGTCAGCCCTACTGCTTACGCCATCACTGGGAGCATTATGCCCTATGCCGCCGACAGCATTGTCGGATGCTGTATCGTCTCCCATATACCGGAATCCACGCGCGGGGCTTCCCCGCCCGCTAGCTGCACTGCCCGTGTACCTAAGCGCGGGAGACAGCTTAGTGTGAGGGTATGGCACGTTGTCGCCGTTCTCTTTCTCCTCGCTTCGTGTGCTGGCAAAGCTCCGGCGGTTGAAGTTTGAACCGGAGTAGTGATCGCCGTCACGATAAATATCCTGCTGGTGCGGACTCATCGTTCGGTGTCCGAGGAGAGGCGAGCTGGGACTAGGCGACCTAACACTGGCGCTAGACGCCTCAGCTTTGCTCAAGGCACGCTTGAGCCGGTCGAGCTCGCGCTGGAGGCGCTCATTTGTCTGCTCTGCAGCTTCTGCATCACTGCGAGCCCTAACTAACTGCGTTTCTTTAGCTTTGATGGAGAGCACGTCCCTGGTGTGGTCTTCAATCAGACCGGCATTCTGATTCTTAAGTTCCTGGATCTCAGAGTGAAGTTTGGACCGATCGTGCCGTGCATCGTCGAGCTGCTTCAGCAGACGCTCATTTGCCGAACGGAGTTCTTCGAGCTCGGCTCGGTCAGTGTGCGAGAAGTTGGAATATGGGGTTGGTGATGGCGGTGCGACTGGCTGCGAGGGCGCAGCCGGCTTGGCCAAGGAACGACCAGCAAGCCCGCCCCTGCCGAGACCAAGGCGCGGAGCCACCTTCGCCGGGGTGGGCGGCAGCTCTTCCTCCTCCTCCTCCTCCTCGAGGGGAGGAGACGGGGCTGCTGCTGGGCGCCGCGGCGAGGCAGCACCCAGTCCTGGGAGCGTCCGCTTTTGGGGTGCTTTGAGTCCCCCAAGGCCGGTTGGCTTTGGCATTCCGATCTTGCCTTCCGGGGCAGCACGTGACGTGGGCTGTGGTGCAAGAGGCTGCTGCGCGTACTGCGATGGAGGCGGTGGTGGCTTCTTGGCCGCTGGCGCTTTCTTCGTGCCCACTTTCTTCGGTTGAGAGGGCGGCGGCGCTCGAGCGACTGGCGCGGGTGGCGGTTTTGGCTTTTCCTTCGCCCGTACTTCAGCCGTCTCGCAGAATTCCTTGATTTTGACCTTTCGGAGGTCGTCCAACCCTTCGAGGTGTGGACCCATTCCCCGCTCGCCAATCATCTTCATGATGGTTCCCAGAATCTCGGCACCGCCAGATCGGAGCACTTCACTCGACTCCGAAAGCAACTTCTTGGCCGACTCGACGATCGTGGCGATTTCGGGCTTGCTAGGAACGTCTCGCGTAGTTCTCAAGCACCTGAGGAGAAACTTCATGGTGCCTTCCTTGACCGCCGGATTCTTGTTGACAAGAAAGGTGGTGATATCCTCGAGGCATTCTGTAAGACTGGTGGTCGTGAACACAGCATCCAGAGCAGCGCCAAGAGCATCAGCTACTGTTTGTTTCTTCTCCTTGAGTCTCTCCATGATCGGCTGCATGACGGTGGGCCGGTGCTTGGCGTAAGATTTCCGCAGACCCTTGGCAAGCAGCTCGATACACTGCGCTGCCTGCGTGACCACTGCTACGTTCGCATCTTTCATGCACTTGGCCAAGACGCGGTTGACATCGTTGAAGTCCCCGTCCTTGATCCGGGGTACGTTGACGACGGCGTATAGGGCCTCGAGAGCTTCCTTCCTTTCTTTCCACTTGGTCGAGGCAATGTTGTCGAAAAAGTCCTTTGGGATCTTGCTGGCGACATCCTGTGGTTCTGCTAGATCGAAGGCATCTATCTCGGCGGGTTCTTCGGCGTCCCCGCCCTCATCGTACTCTTCTTCGGCGGCGCCCGCAGCTGGAGCCCGCTCCTTTGCGGCTTGCTGCGACCTCAGAAGGCGCTCTTGCTTTGGGACACCTTCTGCCTTGACCTTCTCGAACTGCGCCTCGAGGTCCGCCTGCTGGGTTGGCTTGAGATCGCCCCAAAACATCGGTTTCATGGCCTCGCGCAACCACCTGTAGAACTCGACGGCCAAATTCGTAGCCTCTGCTCGCACGTTTTTGTCTGCATGGCCAAAGACCTTCGGCAAAACCTTGAGCACGGGTTTGGGATCGGCGACCTTGCAGCCATAGTTGTGGAATATTTGTGTCAGAGCTGCGAGCGACGCGGCCACGAGTTTGGGCTGTTTATTAGACAGGGTGGGGAGGATGTCCTCGATGACAGGGGCGGCGACGTCGAGCTCGATGAAGAGAAGTAGGGCTTCGATGGACGAGGCTTTTGTCGCAGCTCGTGTCGAGGACAGGCCTTTTTCGGTGATGGGCGTGACGGCGTGCTGTCTCGCTCGCACTGCTCCTTCGCGCCCGCCGAATTTCAAGAAAGCACAGAGTGCGCTGAGGCCATCTTGCTGTGCAGCGACATTGGAGTCCGCCGCCGCCGATTTCCACAGGCCCGAATCTTGTATGAACGGCCTGAATACGGGGTCATACTCGTCCGGTGACTTCTCGAACAGGGCGGCGGCCTCTTCGTATGCTTGCTTTCGCACTTTCCAGTTCTATCCACGACATGAACATCAGCTCTGTCGCCATGGTAGCCGGTGCAATGCATCCCCGCAACACGTACCTTGTGCACCCAGCGATCGGTTAAGGGGAGGGCGCTGAAATCCTCTTCTTCGGCCATTCTGTTCACTGCTGTACGCGTGTCGCGCGGAGACGGGCCGTTGCGGGCGGGAGGACGAGAAGCTAGGCTCAGCGAATATCGACTGGAAAGATTGGCGAGACCGGGAGGGGCTTCGAATGGCTGTCTAGCGTGTGCCTATGGCCACAAATTTGAGTGTCAGTCAGCCTTCCAAGCATAGGAAGCCCAGACATGAACGGGTACGGCCAAAGCAGTGTGTACCGGACAGACCAGGAGTGACAGCAAAATAGAGGGCACCGAATCCACAGGGCCAGAGAGAGGGGGTACCCACGTCTACTGCGGTAAAGCGATTGAGCTAAATGGAACTAATGGCAAAAACCTGTCGTCCGTTCGGTACAGCGGTGGTGCAAAATGGTGACGCGCAGGAATCAATCCAAAAATGACGTTGTTGTCGGTTGTTGGTCGCTGCAGTTCGTCCGGGGTTACGGTATCTCGGATTGGGAGGGTCGGTCGTGGAAAAAAAGCTCGAGTTGCGCCGCTTGTTGTTCGAGCCCTTGCCGCCCGCGATTTTACCTCGCTGGAGCGCGCGGGACAGGGGAGGCGTGTCCGGGGCAGCCCTGGCAACTGCCAATTGCTGTGGCACAGTTGCTCCGTATTGATAGGGATAACGAGTGGGTCGCGGGGTTGACCTTAATCTGGACGCCTCAGTTCTCTCTCACAGGTATATATCGAGACTTTTTTTTTTTTTTTTTTTTAAAAAAAAAATCGAACGATGGCGTAAGTGAGAATTGGGTTGTCTCAATCTTGAATCCTTTTTTTCTGTTTTTTTGGTTGTGTTCCTCGCTCTGATGCGGCGGCTAGTCTGTTTTGTTCCCGTGCGACTTGTTCGAGCCACAAACGCGCTGAGGTTGGGGGTGTCCCAATTTGGGACTTGCATGTTGACGTGGCTCAGCAGGGCTCGTCTCGTGCCCCACTCGCTACTGCCCGCCGCCCATTGCTGGAGAAACCCAATCCATGTGATGTCACGAACCCAACCCTGAGGCATGCAGCCGGCAGATCCAGCCTGACAGCTGCCACAAACCGCCACCCGATTTGGTTGCTGCCTACCAGCAGCGCAGCAGCCGCTTTCTGCTTTCTGCATAGCCAATGCCGCAATAGTATTTTCAACAAAGCTGCAAGTCCCGGTCTTGAAAGCATTCCCGCCCCGCCATCAAAAAATCTTGAATGCATTTGCCCGTAGCGACCTTCTCACCCAACGGCCAGCCGACAGAGTCGCCCTTTTGTGCATTGAAGATCAAAGAGTGAGCCCCAGCAAGATCCACTTTTGGCTGCCGCCCTTGCTCCTCCGCCGTAGAGCCTGTGGATTTTGGCGAATGCTTGGACCCTGAGACGGAATTGCCTCCTGACAAAGAGCTCCTCCTGCACGACTGAGGTGACAGGCTACGGCTCATATCTTGACCGCCACGAATACGCACGGCCCGGTCATGGATTTTTGGATTTCGATCCTCCAAGCGATATATCCATAGCTGCCTTCTACTGCCGTCGACGAAACGACCGACATTTTGCGCTTGCGCTGTTCCACAATCCTGCAGCGATTTCTGCGATTTCTGCGATTTCTGCCGACCAAGCTAGGCTTGGACTCGACGCCGCCCCTCTGCGCCCGCCATCATGGCCCAAATCCTGACGCCTCGGCAAGCTGAGGAACTGTAAGCTCCTCGATAGTGCTTCCCAGCGGAGAGATCTACTCCTCGCCCGAGGAGTTTGCTGACTGCCATGCAGACACCGAGCCCTTATTGCCTACTTGACCGCCAACAACCTACCGCAAACCGCCGCGGCGCTGCGAAGCGAGCTAGATTTGGGAGAAGATGCATTCGATGCAGCCACGGCCAAGAAGTACGAGGGGCTATTGGAGAAGAAATGGACAAGTGTCGTCCGTCTGCAGAAGAAGGTCCGTCTTCTCCCCTCCCTGCCCTCTTCTACGTTGTCGTCCTCTAACCCGCTCATCGGCACAGATTATGGATCTCGAATCCCGAAACAGTACCCTCCAGTCGGAGCTTAACAACGCGACGCCAACCTCGCGGCAGAACAAGGATCCCGTCTCCTGGCTTCCCAAGGCGCCCGCCCGACACACGCTCCAGTCACACCGAGAAGCTATAACATCCGTCGCATTCCACCCCGTGTTTTCCTCACTCGCGTCCGGGTCCGACGACCAGACTATCAAGATATGGGACTGGGAGCTGGGGGAGCTTGAACGGACAGTCAAAGGTCACACGAGGGCCGTGCTGGATCTGGATTACGGAGGCCCACGTGGAAACACGCTGCTGGCGTCCTGCAGCTCAGACTTGACCATCAAGCTCTGGGATCCCCTGGACGGGTACAAAAACATTCGGACTCTCCCCGGGCACGACCACAGTGTCAGCGCTGTGCGATTCATTCCGTCTGGCGTCGCCGGGGGCACCGGCAATCTCCTGGTCAGCGCGAGCCGGGACAAGACGCTGAGAATATGGGACGTGAGCACAGGCTATTGTGTAAAAACGCTGCGCGGGCATGCGGAATGGGTGCGCGATGTCTGCCCATCCCCAGACGGGAGGTTTATACTGTCGACCAGCGACGACTATACCGGGCGGTTGTGGGATGTGTCGATACCGAATCCGGAGGCTAAGATTACCCTCATCGGTCACGAACACCACGTTCTCTGTTGTGCAATTGCCCCGCCGGCAGCGTACTCACATCTTGCCGCCATGGCTGGCGTCAAGAAACCGCCCGCTACGAGCATGGCGGAGTTCATGGCGACGGGCTCTAGGGATAAAACAATCCGGTTGTGGGATTCGCGAGGGACATGCATAAAAACACTAATCGGGCACGACAACTGGGTACGGGGCTTGGTATTCCACCCCGGCGGGAAGTATCTCATCTCTGTGGCAGACGACTACTCACTCCGATGCTGGGATCTAACCCAAGAAGGAAGATGCGTCAAGACTTTGGGCGACACACATGGGCATTTTGTGCAATGTATCAGATGGGCTCCCTCGATTGTCAAGGATGTGCCCACAGCCAACGGTACCGACGGAATGAACGGAGGCGCCAATGGGACGCCGGCAAAGACGACTAGCTCCGAGACTGGCGGCGAGGCGCAGATCCGCTGCGTTATCGCCACGGGCAGCGTGGATCTCAGCGTACGCATTTTTGCCAACTAAAGATGGCGACGCGTGGGACCTGGCCAAAATATGGCAAGTGAGAAACAGGACGACCAACCACACGCCTCACCCGGGAATGCTCGAGACTGCATACATACAAGCTGCCAAAGATGCAACCCCTCGCCGAGAATTGGCTTAATCGAGATGGCACAACCGCTCCTGGGAGAAAGGAGCCGTCATGGGAAATGCCCGCCTTCTAGGGCTATGAGGCTATCTCCAATACTCCCAAGCTGTGTTGCAGTGCTGCCTTTGCCGGCAGCCTCGAAGAGTTCGCCCTGTGCCTTTTGACAATGCCATGTCTTGCTTCACGGCTGACGAGAGGTCTTGCAGGGTTGTACATACGACAGAATTAGATAGATACCCAGATATTGAACGATTTATGACCGTCATCGAGCCAGCTTGCCTTTGATCCAGCCCCGATACGACGAGCACGCGGCTAGACCCCGGAGCCAGATCTGTCGGCTGGCACTTTCCGCCGCCCATTCTATGACAACAGTCCAATCCCTAACATTAATCCCCAAAAGCCTTTCGGCCGCCCATGCCAGAGAATCTCGTCCTTGGCATCTCTTTCTTTCCGACCTCCCCACTATTCCATGCACTTGCCTGTTCCCAAGAGAGACCGGCTTTCGGGGTGCAGGCCCATTTTATCAAGACGCTCGCTTCACAACTTCACAACCCCTTCACCTTGGCATTAGTACAATTACATGTATAAAGCATCCGTATTTCAACGTCGTCTTTGGTCGAAACTCTGACAGCGAGACGCGATCGGTTGCCAAACTTCAAGTCTCGTCAATGTTGCGGGCGTGCACCATGATGCCAACGTTCCACTTCACTCCCAGGTGGGTAAACGTGTTCACCCCATATTCTTTTCGCCACTTTGTATGACCACCAGCCCGAAATGAACAGCAAAACGACCAGGATGGCAACGCAAACGCCGAGAAGGGCCCTGACAATTGGCGTACTCAATGGAGATGTGTCCGCCGCTGGCCCCCCTGAGACACAGCCATCTCCTCCTGCACCACTTCCCGTCTCCGCAACCGGATCTGTGGCCACGAGAGAGACGGGCGCCGCGTCTGAGACCGCACGTGCCGACGGAGCCAGACTGAACTCGCCCCGGTCATAGTCCACAAACAGGTATACCTGGCTGAGGAAAGATCGGCCTAATACTGCGGCATTGGCGGGGGCCTCGGACTGATACACGGCCAGCTCGTTGAAGCCGAGTTCAACTGCGCGGCTGCCGTCGGCGGCAAGCCCGCGGACGGGGTTGAACAGCTCGTTCGATGGGATATTCACTGTCTGCCCGCCCTCCAGCGTCACCACCAGGCTCGCGTCGAACCGCGCGGTGCTGTTGGCTGGGTAGATGAGCCCGGGCTCGTTGATGTACAGCGACAGAAGCTGGCGCAGCAGCGGGTCTTTCTCCGCCTCCGGGTGCTGCACCGGCTTGTACGACACCGGTCCACCAGTCCGCCCCGTCATGGTGTCGACGTAATTCTTCAGGTTGTTCAGCACAGTCACGGGAAGCCGGGTGTAGATGTCGTACACCTCGAGGCACGCCTCCAGCGGCAGCGCCGAGTCGACCAACTGGAAGCTGTCGTTCGCGCCAGCCGTGGAGTTGCTTGGCACTAGCCACATGCTGCTGATGGTCACCTGCAGCGGGCACACGCGCTGGTTATTCACTACCTTATTGTACGCGGACATGGAGTATGTCACGGGCGACCCGGCCACGGCCCCGACGTCCCGCCCGCCCAGCGTCAGCGCGCCACTGCGCGGCCGCGCGTACGAGAGCGATCCGGCGTCGAAACCCCACGACCGCGTCGGCCCCGTCACGCCCGCCGCGATGAGCGCCGCGCTCAGCGTCGAGCTGTCGGCCAGCCCCAGGTGTGACGCCGTATGGTTGATGCCCGACTCGATCAGCCCGTCCACCATGGCCACGGACCGCCCGTCGTGCAGGGCTAGCGACGCGTTGACCGCTGCCGGGAACGCTACGGCCTCGGTGCCGCCCATGATGACGATCCATCCCGGGTTGCTGCTGCCCAGCCCGGCCGTCGACACGGTCGGCAGCCCCACAGGGTTGCCCGCGCCGTCGACAGCCAGCGCGCTTCCCCGGCGCGAGTAGCACTGTCCCCGCGTCATGTTCTGCGTGCTCAGCGCCGTGTCGTTGCATAGCGGCCCCGGGACCGTGAGTAGCGTCGCGTTTGTGACCGTTGATGGCGTCACGCAGACGGATTGACTCCCGGGGGCGGAGGAGGCCGTGGTGGAGTTGTGGAGCGAGAACAGGATTCCCCACGAGTTAATAGTCGCCTGAGACGCGGATGTGATGGAGCAGTTTCCGACGGGAATCCATATCGGGGCTGCTGGCTGACAAGCTGAATGCGCCCCGGGCGTCAAGTTCGCGACGGTGAGGAAAAGGAGGAGGGCCGAGAAGGTGGGGACGCAGGTCGTGCCGGACCACGGCCGAGGGGGGCGACCTGTCATGGTGCTGGCCAAGAAATCCAAGAGGCACTAACACCTGTCTGTGTAACGGCGGATATCTGGGAGTTTCAGCCGATCGCCTGCCAATGACGGTTTCATTGTGTGAATGCTGTGGGGCAGGATTTGCGTGGATCACCCGAGGGCCCCGACTGCGTTTTATTGCTTTCTCTCGCCCCCTTCGCTTATTCACACGGCTTCAATGATTCCCTGACCCGAGTTCAGCGGCCCTGGATGTGGAATCATTCCTACGCCCCTACTGGGTGCGCTAGATGGCTTTGAGGGTGCGCCACTGCGCCTCCCGGTCAGTCTACACCTCGTGTCTACGAGGCAAGTGAGCAAAAGATGGGGCGGGACGCCTAAGAGGTAGACAAGGCTGTGTGAATCGTACGCGTACTCTATGGACCCCGGCTCCCCTGCATCGCGTGCCCCAGTCTCAGTCTCCAGGGATCACGATCTGCAGCCTACTGGATACGACCGCACGAACCATCAGTGGTAGACAAATTAATCGAGGCTTCAGAAATTGCATTTGCTAATTATGAACAATACGTGCTGGACCGCATGACGCCAATATCTGGCTCCGCTCGCCGTTGAGCTCTATTAGTCAGGCCTGTCGCCCAAGAGGTACATAAAGACCTTGAAGAAATCAGATCCGTGCATGGTCTGACGTGGCCGATGTTTTTTTTAATTAAAGCAGCTGTCGAGAGAAGATTGCTCCAACCCTCGTGCAACCAACCCCCTGCACATTATTGAGGCTCTTCTGGCCCCTTTTCCCCAATTCTCCAGAGCCTCGTGCGGGATCTACGTGCCGGAGCATATCCCCGGGGGTCGCCCAAAATCCATCTTCACACCCAACCAAACTCCAAACAAACATGAACCAACCATCCACCAACCGCTCCGGAACCATGTCGGCGGGAAATCCAGACAGCGGTCTATCCTACCCTCCTTAAATTCCGTCTTTTCCTTCCCCTCCCAAAGGGGCGCGGCTTGTTCGCAACCTGACTGCGTTGCCAGTTTGTTTTTGGGGGTGGCTCCCCTCATTATCTATCTGGCTACCGAGAACGCCACCACACCTGCAATGGCACCACACCCAGCAGCACCGCCCATGCAGGCATGACAGGCGGGGATGGCAGGCAGGCAGGCAGGCAGCCCTCGACCGCAGCAGCCGCGCAAGAAATAATAAGCCGGGCGTGCGGCATTTTCAGATTTGCGCTTGTGGAGGGCACCACAGAGCCCCTGAAGCTGCCGCTGCAGCCCTTTTCAGTGCGAGTGCAATTATCTGTGCTGGGCCGGGAAAACTGTTCCGCCTGTCCTTTGGACCAATCTTGGGTTCGCTTTGGGACGCTCGAGGCTTGCATTTGCAGTGCCTGTAGGGGGTGAACAGTGGCGATAATTGATACTATGTATGGAATACGTTATTTATTCTTCTGCGGCACGGCAGGTTGCATCGGGGGTGGGCAGAGAGTCGAAACGCGAGGCCCTACAACGTCGAATTGGTCTCGTTGATAATTAAGTCTCGGCTTCTGGCCTATCACACGGGAACATGAAATCACGGGTGGCATAGGTAGTTATAAAATTATCATGCCTCAAATGTCTGCCCCCGACTCTACTCTCGCGCCTCCTCCAGAGTCCCTCCCATCTACCCCGGCTGCAGCCATCACAGCGACTCGAAGGTCGACGCGGGAGGGGGGTCGAAGTACCAGGGGTCGGGATATTTGAGGCCGACGGGGTCGCACCCCGCGCAGGCTCGCGAGAAATCCGAGATGACCTTGTGGCAGGCGTTCTGCACATGTCCCAGCGTGCCCCATTCGCGGTTGGCGTCGCGGTGCTCCTTGCACCGCACCGGCAGAGTCACCTTCTGGATCATGGCCGAGAAGCACACCCGGCAGTGGAAGCACGTCGTCACCCAGCCGCACATGTTGGCCGTCTCGCTCGTCCTGTGAGCCGGTAGAAGTGCGACCTTGATTTCTTGACGATATCGACGGGTTCCTGGCGGTGAGATCGGGTGGCGATGCAAGACTAGGTAAAGACAAGTTTGCAGTGGCCAAGGCAAAAGATTAGGAGAAAATAAAGATATAAATATGTGCGCTGGGAAACACCAGTGATTCATTCTAGGTCGCTGGAAAACACTAGTGATTCATTCTAGGTGACGAATACAGAAGAAAGGAAACTGTCGCGGGACAAACGTGTATTGCACCGGCGCTTCAACAAAGAAATTTGTGGTATTGTCTCTGACCTGTGTTTGTTACATTGTTCCAGCCGCTGTGTCTGTTGTGGACTGACAATGTTCAGCGCATCAATCAGGCCATGAGTCGCGGTCTAACGTCCAGGGCTACCAGGCGTGATTCTTTTTCTAACCTGACCACTGAGACGGAGTGTTTCATGATCTCACAGAAGCCGTTGAATGGTTGAAGTGGTTCAGTCGCTATACAGATGTTTCTTCGTGTAAGGCTCTAGTAATTCGACCCCAAAAATCTAAGTTGCTTTGTTGCTTAGGGGATAAATGTTCCCAAAAGAAAGCTGGAAATATGCAGTGTAACATGGCTCTATGCCAAGTCACGGCAAACCGGCTTTTACCCCATGTCTTGCTCCAATGCTAATGCTGTGACCTCCTCCGCTCCAGGTGCCGATGATACAACATTAACGGTCTCTCGCCTTTAGGTTTCATCACAGCGACACAGCCTCCTCCGCAGCCCCTTTCATGCAAACAAGCAGAACTACTCGTAGCGAACAAGATGACTACGCTGGGCAGCTGGACGTTTACGCCGTTCCCGGCCTTTCCCGCCACCCTGTTCGCAAACACAGCATTCTGGAACGCCAGCAGCGTGGTCCTCAACATGACATATCAGATTGCGTGTCTTGGCCGTTTGAGTCTTGGCTGTTTGAGTGGGAGTCGCGTGAAGTGTCAAACAAGTCGGCGCTGACCATGTACGTCCTCGAGGGCAACGCCATGGGCATGACGGCGGCCGAGGGCTTCAAGCGGCGCCAGCCCGTCGCGTTTGGCCAGCCCGACGCGTTTGGCCAGCCCGACAGCGTCATAGTCAGCATCGGTTACCCGCTCACCGACTCCGTCTACAGCTTCGCCCACCGCTGCATCGATTACCGCTGCATCGACTACAAGCCGCCGCTGCCCAGCCCTGAAAACCCCCAGGGCACGCCGCCGGGCGCCGACGCTCTTATCGAGTTCGTTGACGGCGCGCTGCGCCCTTTTGTGCGCAACACTATCTTTCCAAATGTGGCGTTCACCCGCCATGCTATTTTCGGCCACTCGTTTGGTGGCCTCTTCGTCGTGTATGCTCTCATCTCCCACCCTGTCATGTTTGACACGTACCTGGCCGCCAGTCCCGCTCTAGAGGTGCAGAACTCGTCGATACTGGACTGGGTGAGCGCGCATTTTGGGACGAGTGCTATTCCGGATATTAGCTCGGTGTGCTCTAACCCTCCACGCCAAGCCAGCCGTCTCTGTTCATCAGCTACGGGAGTATCGAGGAGTTTCCCGTGCGTCGCCTCACCGAGACGCAGGCCGCTTTCCAGACGAGAAAGGACTGTTTTCGGCCTCTGGCCATGACGGAGCACTGTCACCTGTACGACCGCGTCAAAGCGAGCGGGAGGACAAGGGATGTGGTGTTGAAAGAGTACGCGGGCCAAGACCACGCCGGCGTCGCTGCGAGTGCCGTCACAGACGGGATCGATTACTTTGTTGACTGGTAGAGTCTGGGGTTCAAGAATCATAACTAACTGGAATTATCCTCTAACTACGTCGCACCCCGTATCTAGCTAGCCAATGTATGGAAAGCAGCCAGACCAGTCTCCAGCTTGGAGCACCAAGTCTGGAAGTAAGCTACGTCGACAACGGTCTTCACCAAGAGGTAAACCCTTCCGACGACATACATTGGGAACCCCACCAGATAATATTCCCACACAAAACGCTAGACCATGACCAATGATGGTTTTCCCCGGTATAATTGCAAAACGCAATAGCCATTTTGGCGTGACGTTGTCTAACCGAGGCGTGACGACGCACAGCCACTTGGCTGTTATATAATATTCCCCGAAACCTGCGTCCACGGTACAAAAAGGATGGACCGCGACTAATACTGCCGAGACTTTCCAGAATTTCGCCTGCTCCGGGTCTGCGAGGGTAAGTTCTAGGCTAGTAAGTGAAGACAGCCGTATGCCGCTCCAGCTATGACTAGTCCCAACGCAATGTAATCGTAGCTCCAGTGTCCGGCCGAATTCTTGCATGCCCCATCATGGTATGGGAAATTTCCGATTCTCGGGGCTACGTATTTGGTGAGGGTTTGCCGGTAGTCGTCGTAGGTATTGTTGTGGGTGGACAAAATGTGTGCATTGGCTAGCTAATTCGTGGAGGAAATCTCCCTACTAAATGTGTGTGGGCGAAATCCCCAGGGCGGGGCTAATGCCCACGTGCCCAGTCATGTGCAGGGTAACCCCGCCACAGGTATTGTGGGCATCGTACAAGGAGGGCACTTCATTCCTGTTTCTGGCGGGAACTTTGAGGAGGCCTAGGTACTTTTCACAGCAATCCTGAGCCCTGAGCGGCCCTCAATCTTGATATGTCATTTGGTGCCAGCTCAACAAAGGGGCGCTGACATGCCTTGATACTATGACCAGCTAGCTACACGGACCCGATATTTACGAGACCTCGGACGGTAATAGCGACTGTCTGCGTCCCGACAATCGACAGGGCCAACGAAAGGATTTGCGCAAAACGTGACACAGGAAACCACGGCCGCCAAGGATATATCTTTGGCAATATCTCCTAGGAGAATTCTGGAACACCACGCCGGAACTATAAGCTTGTCTCGGAAACGGGCTCCACGGGAAACCTAGCGGCCCAGTAGGTGCGCGGTACGACCTGCGGCGCCAGGGCAATTCACTCATCAAGTCCAAGTCCAAGACTGCCCCATTCCCTACGCAGTTTACGCCCCCTTCCCTACGCAATTTACGCCCCCTTCCCTACGCAATTTACACCCCATTCACACATCGGCCAGAAACCACACGTGCCCAAAATGCAACTAAACATCGTCCAAAATAAGACTCAATCCGACTCGTCTTCGGCGGTATTCGGCGAGGCCACGGGCACCCAGAGCCAAATGGTCCGCAAGTGCCCTGGCGCAACCTGCATATCTTTGCTGCCCCAGTAATACTGCCACACCGGCGCGCTATCGTCTTCGCGCGACGGCACCGTCTTGATCTCGTAGATGCAGTTGATGTTGCCGTTGCAGATGAAGGGGTATGGGAGCCCGTTCTGGCGGCACGAGCAGTCACAAGTCAGCATCTGTCCTGGGAGCATACGGCAAGACAAGCTTGGAGTCGGGGGCTGCTTACAAGGGTGTAGTAATTCTCGTCTGGCGGCGATCTGACGGCGGCATCACCGGGCTGGCAGGCCCAGGCGTGCGAGTCCCTGCCGTAGTAGCTGTCCTTGTTGGTGGGCATGTTCTCGTCGCGGAAGCCGCAGCTGCCGATGCGCGATGACAGCGTGTGCGGTGCCTGGTCGAGCTGCGTGAAGACGGCGCAGCGGTTGAACGTGAGGGCTCCGTGCGCGTCGAGGCACCCGATCCTGTCGCTCGGCAACGCGTCCAACAGGTCGGTGCTGTTCAGCACCCAAATCTTTCCCCGCCCGGAAAACTCGTTTGGTGGCGTCGGGAATGCGGTTACGGTGGAAAGAAGCACGGCTGCTGCTGAGAGCAGCAGTAGTCTAGACATGACTGCCGTGGTGGTGAAAGAGCTCAATATTTGACTTTGAGGAACTTTGGGTGACAGAAGAGCTCAATGTTTGACTTTGAGGAACCTTGGGTGACAAAAGAGCTCAATGTTTGACTTTGAGGAACTTTGGGTGACAATGCATCCAGTTGGGAGCGGGCTTGGAGCCCATTTATTCGATTCAGGATCGATTGAATGGTCTCAGCCCACGATACTACCTGCCCGAATGTCAAGGGCGTTGGTTCTCGGCGAAAGTTTCGACCTGAGGTCATCGCCAACGCATGTGTTGGCCCGGAACCGAATATGGGGTATTTAAGCGCATCCAGCCAACTGGTCTGCCATTGATTAACCGTCCACCCTAGAGGTGCTGCAGCCCGGGGCTTTGACAGTTTTGCGGAGCGATATAGTAAGTTGGAGGGCTACGGCAGATGACTTAGATTGACCCTTCCACCGGGCACCATGGTGTTTGGTTTCCTTGGTGGAATTCTAATTGGAATTATGCAACACGTAGCATACGGTCCTGTGCTGTCTTGTCACTGGGCCTATCAAGGGCAGGTTGTGTTGCATCGGGGCCTAGCGACCGGTTTACCTTCCCCAACTGTGAACCAACCACTAGTGAACTTGAGAGGGTCCTTTCCGGCTGAAGTCGCGGCAAAACTGCTAGCTTCATTAAACCGGCCAAGCAAGATCAACGCCTGTTCCTGGAAGCGGGGTGCATCACCTGATTGTTTGATTGTTTTCCAGGTGGTCGAAGGAATTGTCTTGTTCCAGAAGGAAAAGCTTAGCTGAGGAAGCTGGGGTCACTCTGCATTGTGTGGACAGGCGCGAACTTGGCCGTTTGACTGCAACACGGACACAGAGAATTGCACCCCTCATCTAGAATAACAAGACACAAAGATGACATACTTTAAAACCTGGGCACAAAAGTGCACGTGTATCTGTAAGCTGGCACTGGTCGCAAACTTTCTACCTGGCTGCGGGAGGCTCGAAAGAGCCAACCCAATGAAATCGGCACCAGAGCCAGCTAGCACCAACATCCGTTCAACCTGTAGCCGATATTAATACAAATTCTTCAAAAGCTACTAAGTCTATGAAAATGTTTGAAGGGCCAGGTTCCGCTGTCTCAGAACCAGATACAAATATGCCAAGCAAACGCTAATCGGTTCTAATTAACGTTATCCGTACTTGGTGAAAATTCGCCTCTTAACCAGTCAAAGTAAGCCATCCCGATCCAACATTGCCCTGCATACATCGAACGCCTTTTCAAACTTTTGAGAAAGGTCATGTATAGAGTCTATATGGAGAACAAGGCATGATTACACTGTGTTCTGTTGTGTCTATAAGTTTGTGTCTGTACTTGTGTTGAAGTGTAAATGGTAAACCAGACTGTGAGGCATCATTGGACACGGCCAAAATAAGAAACTCAGGAGATGAGATAAAACTTCGGAACTATTTAACTCTACACTCCAAGGCAGAACATCTACAACTAGTCTACACTTCAAGGCAGAACATCCACAACTAGTCACAAGAACGAACATAATGGAGACCAAGGGTAAAATGCCCGACGGGATGGAAGGCCCGGAACGAGCCGAAATCAAAGCTCACAACCGTCTTATTGATGACGGCGGTCGGCCCTCGCATCCTATCAAGTTGCCTCTATCGGCCGTGCGCAACTCTCGCGAATACCGCGACATCCTATCGTACTGGCAGAACACTCCCGGAAAATGTCAGGTTTTCACCAAGCAGCTGCGCTGGTGGCAGAGATTCCGCGAGTTCCAACAAAAGCAGCGACGCCCCAATCAAGACTTTGATCTTTACGCAGAAAGGGTTATATCCTGTCTCGCGAAAGACGGCGTCGAGCCCCCGCAACCGTGGCCGCCCATCTCCTACCAGCTACGCCGCGACATTAGCCAACAGACTGACGTGGTAACGTGGCTCGAGTGCCTATCCTTCGCCCACGACGAAATCAGCCTGCACAAGGAGCGTCTAGAGTCCGGGCGGCAGGGCTTCGACGAGGCCTGGGACAGGCTGCTGTCGACAGGGCTGCTGAAGCCGAGCGAGACGGTCAAGGACAACGCCAGGGCGACACGGGAGCGCTACATATCGCGGAACCTGCAATGCGAGGCCAAGCGGGTACGGCTCGTCGGCTTCTTGTACTCCAAACCCGACGACTTCCACGTCGCCCACCAGCCGCAAGGCACAGGCTGGGCCGAGGCGATGCAAACGTGGAACAAACTAACGGCCGCGGCCGAGCAAGACCTGAAACGCATGACCCGGCGCGAAGAGTGCCTGACCCGCTTCTTCGACGCCGCCCGCGACCACCTCGCGCTGCGGGATTCTGTCGACAACGAAGAGAAACTCGTGCGCTGGGTGCGCGAGCAAGTGGTCGCCTTGATCGACGCGGCGTGCGTGTCGGCGAAGACCTTCGACCGGTTCATGCGGCTGCCCGCCGAGCTGCGGATCATGGTCTGGCAGCAGTGCGTGCCGGCGCCGCGGTCGGCGCACTTCTTCGACGTGGTCAGCGCCACGACGCTCCGCCGCTTGGTTGCCGACCGCGTGTTCCCGGACGGGATCCGCGTGCGCGCCACGGCCGCGCACGCCTCCGCCTACCGCGTCGTGTACAACCTACTCGCGTCTTGCTGGGATGCGCGCCATGTTGTGACTGAGTACTACAACGGCATACACCAGGGCGGCTAGACGGCGGCCGAGGCCGAGGCCGCGACGTTCCGCACGTTCCGGTCGTTCGACTGGATCCCCGACCCCGACCTCATCGTGCTGTGTCTGCCGCTGAAGAAGGAGCAGGCCGCGTGGATACCGGCGGCGAACGCCGTGAGCCTTGACCGCGGCCCGGCGCGCCACGTCGGCATCTTCGTGCCCGACAGCCTGTTATATAGGCGGCAGTCCGCTCTTCTCGGAGCCGCGCAGCAGGGGGGCGAGGCGTATCCCAGCTTGGAGGACACGCGGCGGCACATGCGGCACGCTTCCATGATTCTCGAGTGCCTGCGCGAGGATGCTGGCGGCGGTAGTAGCGAGACAGGCGGCGGTGGTGGCGAGACAAGCGGCGGGGATGCTGGCGGCGGTGGTGGCGAGACAAGCGGCGGCGGCGGCGGCGGCGGCATCAAGAGCGTGGACGTAATCCTCGAGGGGATCACGGGCGGGATCGAGGATAATACGGACCTTACCCGTGTTCCGAGCGGGTCGGCCCTGCGAATGCTTCAGACTTCGTGCAGACTGGCGTGGAGGCACGAGTCGGACGGCGAGAACGAAACCGCGACGCGGCAACGCTTCTTCTGGGGTGGCATAGCAGTGTATCTGGACCCGCACAGCAACCAGCGGCAAGTTTGGTGGCTTGGCAAGTCTGGACTGGAGGCGCTCGCGCAGCCGGCCACCGAAGACGCTCCACACACGCTGCCCAGCCTCTACCCCATCATCCAGGTTGGCTGGTGGCTCCACCATGAGTGTCTACGGCGCCACTGGCCTGAACTCAAACGTTGCGGTCTGCTGGGGGTTGTGGATTTCGCGGCGGTTTGAGAGTCTGAGAAAGGTTTTGGTTAAACAGGTAGGTGGTTAGGTACCTCAAGTGCAGGGGAGGTCGCCAAGTGCAGTGTGACTCGCAAGTGCAGGTTAGCAAGGTGCCCTTCAACCTGCCTTTATTGCCAGGCCAGGTAAGTTGAATTAGTCTGTCTTTCAAGTAGCAAATAATTAGTAGCGTGGATCGTCTTTCAAGCGGACGATGTTGCACGATTAAGGTTACTCTTCCCGGTTTGTAAGACTCAAGTTTTCCAATCCAAATAAATTACGTACTAGTTATTCTAATGTTGCCAGATGGCGGCTATGTGATTAAAAACTTGAGATGGACGGCATGAATGAAGTGGAATGAAGTGGGATCAAAACATGTCGTGGTTGTCCCGGAGACGCCGATCATTTGTAAACAATGGACGCCCCAGCGGACCGGTCATTGGACTGGCCCTACAATCAAGGTTTCTCTCCGCGGAACGCCAACGGAATCCCGACGGCCGCCTTCCCGGATATTCTTATCAACCCGGCAGTGTAATATCTGGTTCTGTGTATTACTGTTGTTTTGATCACTAGGGTACCCACCAAATCGTCCCGCGTCAGATAATGCGGCAACGAGCGTTCCTCTTCTGGGGGTCTAGACCTCAACCTTTCTGTTAGGCTGGATATGGGCTATACCGTGTAGATTGAGTGGATATGGGTTATACCGTGTAGATTGAGATGCGGAATACTTATGGTCTTGGGGCGCTGATATCTCCTGTCTCCACTAATCCCGTGGCTTATCCCGTTTCTCCTGCCGGGGAATTCTCCTGCCGAGTCTGCAGCTTTAGGAGGTGACTGGGCTAGACTGCTTGATCTGTCAATCGCGCATTGCTATAAATATTTTGCTGAGAGCTACTATCTGCGGTGCTGTAGGTCTGCATCGCCTCTCTTGGTGGGGATTTCCATCGGAACTCAAAGTTTGTCTCGAGGCCCGTCTTGTGCAGGTATCTTGACTGCCAGGTAGTCCGTTGTCCGGGGCGAATTGTAGGGAAAGCGTCGGCAGTTGGGATCGGTTTTTTTGAACTCCTGGATCGAGGCACTCCCGAGATCAAAGTCCGGCGGTCGAGCTTCCTGTCCACCCTCGACAGAATGGCAAACCGGTGAACAGAGGTGGCGAGCTCCGTGGATATCCTACGTCACAGCGCTGGCCGGATATTGTGTGCGCCGGACACGGGAAGTCGGTCGAGATAGGATCAAGGGGTGGAGCGGTCTGGCAGGCAATAGGCCCCGGCTGAGGACGAAAACGCTCTCTGCCCCTGACAAGAGTCTGGACTCGGCCCCTATAAGTGGCCGAATAAGGCTCATCCCGCCCTTGCGATAATTTCCGAGCCGCTGCTCAAGGTATTTTCCGACTTGTCAGAATCTCCTTTTCGACAATATCCGGGTCACATTTCTTCCGCCGTCGACTCGCTAGCCTACACCACGGCCGAGGCTGTGGCCAATCGACGACAGCTGATGCCGTGATGTTGTTTAGTCACAACGATTTATCCGCTGCGCCATATACCCGCGACCTCAGTCCCGGTGCCCGGTTCTGCAAGAAACATCCCACGAGGGCTTCTATTTCTGTCCTCCAGTCGTTGGGAACAGGCTCGATATTGGCTGGTCGGTCGAAGAGGCCTGATCTGGCTTGTATGCACCGGGTTGCTCGGTGATATCTCCTTCACCGCGGGGTCTAGACTGGCCCCCCCGCGATTTAGTCAGACCCGGGCCGCCAGATCATTCCCTGTTGGCGTTGGGTGAGGCCATTGGGTCATGTTCTCGGACACTGAACCCGCCACCCACGTGTGAAGCCCGCTGTGGGCATCTCATCCATGCGTTTAGCCATCGCGGACGCGCGCTAGCAGTGATATGTCGGGTCTTAAGGCCGGCAAGTGTTGCACAAAGCAACGGCTCGACGTCAAAACAAGCCTGCCAATGCCCCCTTGGCTGCCCGGGATGCCGGACCACCACGGGCCGGAGAGATACATTATTTGAATCTAGAGAGAGATATGCAGGATTCATTATTTGCAGCTAGATATCGGTATGATATTGTGCCTTATCGTACAAGACCCCTGCAAGGCCGCGACCAGGCAGTTGGCTATCAGATCCAGTAACCAAAATGCCCAGAGTGGCGGACCGGGCTAGTATAAAGACTGCCAAATATCCTATCAGATTCTGATCCGTTTATAGCAGCTGCATTCACACTTCCTCAACCCAAAGCCACAGCCCGACATGACTAAGCTCGCCATCATCGTGCTGGCCACGGCCGCCGCCCTGGTCAAGAGCACAGCTGCCTACGGCTTCAAGTCGCCGTGTCCAGTAGACAAGGACATTTGCGGATGGGCCCTGCAGTCCAACTACGGTGAGCCACTGACTCCCTCCCCCATTCTAACACCCAAAACCGCCATACTAACCGAGCTGCCAGGCTACGACAACGAGATCCTCGCAGATGCAACCGGAGCGGCCAACCAGAACGTCGGCTCCGGGACCGTCATCTACGACAGCATCTACAACTGCTACCCCGACGGCGAGATTGTGTGGAGCGTGTGGTGCGGCGGCGGCGGCAGCTGCGACAAGGCGGCCAGCCCCAACAGCCAGGCCCTGTGCAAGGGCGAGCCCGTCGACACGGGCCGGGCCCCGCCTGTCTTCCCGCCCGACGACCCGATTCCCGACGACCCGTTGCCGGTGTCGTCGGCCCGCCCGGTCTCGACACCGGCGAGCAGGAGATGGGTTGCCTAGGGGGCGGCTTTCGTGGATTTTGACGAGAATGAGGATGGTGTATGATAGTTAATTACGGTCTCTAATTAATGCTGCTTGCCATTGACAATCCACACTAGAGCCTCTTTTTTTGTGAACCTTTTCCAGCCCATGTTTTGTTTCCCCTTTTAGGAGAGACGAGGCATAATCTTGCGCCAAGCGGAGGCTGTGTGCCTGCCCTTTAATAGTTCTAGACTAGCGCTAGAGCTTAGGTAGCGACAAGCCATACAAGTCTAAAGAATAAGAGAGCTACGACTCCGCTATTCGAATCATCCTCATTGCGCACTCTTTTGGATTGCAATTTAGAACCATTTTCTGTAGACTCCGGATCAATCGCCTGTTTTTTGACATTCCCATCGTGGCCCAGAGACGCAGACAGGGAGAGTGGATGCGTTTCATCAACGTTACTGCCTTGGAGCTGCGGGAATTTGTAGGAAACACGATTCCGAAATACGCCATCCTCTCCCATCGATGGCTGGAAGAGGAGGTCACGTTCGACGAAATGAGTAACCAGACGGCCGCGGTTCGAGCAAAGAAGGGCTTTTTGAAGAAGATCATAACGAGCGAAGAAAGGCTTTTTGAAGATCATAAACACGGCGAGCCAAGCCAAGAGAGATGGGCTGGACTGGGCCTGGGCCGATACTTGCTGTATCGATAAAAGGAGTAGTGCCGAGCTCAGCAGCTATCAACTCCATGTTCAACTGGTACGAACGATCTAAAATCTGCTACGCCTATCTCGCCGATGTCGATGGCGAGTATCGAAAATTATCCCCATATTGGCCTCCAGACTTTGGTCGCAGCTCGTGGTTTACCAGGGGCTGGACACTACAGGAGTTGATTGCGCCGCAACTACTCCAATTCTATAACAGCAGATGGGCCAAGCTTGGACCTCCCATCAATAAGGGGCTCAAGGAATACTCGAACGAGAGACATGGGCGGACCATTTGGCTTAGAGTGCGGGAATTCCTGCATCTGTTGTAGGTGGATACAGCCATTTTACCACATTCGGCGTGGCCCAACGCATGTCCTGGGGTGCGATGCGGCAGTGCACCCGATCCGAGGATACGGCTTACTGCCTCATGGGTCTCTTTGATATTAACATGCCTCTACTATGCCGCGAAGAGCCGCGCGCCTTTGCTCAACTGCAGGAGGAAACCCTGAGGCTAACCGACGACCAGTCCTTGCTCGCTTGGGGAGAGAGACGCTAACTTGAGACCAATCCCCGCCGTGGCCACCTTCCCATCCGACTTTCTAAATTCGGGCGACGTGGTGAGGGGAGAAGACGAGAATGGCGAGTTGTCAGCAGGGTGGGCGGCGATATATTCGACACCCCTGTACGAATATTGGCGAATATGATACGCTGAAATCGACAGAAGTTCTAGTGGGGTAAACGCTAAAAATTAGTGAGATGAATACTGCAACTTAGCGGGCTGGCGCTAAGCTATAGCGGGTATTTCCCTTTACGTTTTGCTGCCAGCTTCGCTCCCTATGGTGCCCGCAACAGGAGTCCTCATCTCGCCAAGTTTTAGTGCATCATATTCGCCGAATATTTGTACAGGGGTATCGAATATATCGCCGCCCACCCTGACTGTTGTCAGGATTGACAAAGCGCGGCTTACGCATTGAGCTGCCAATCAATCGCGTCATTTTCCCCGAGACGCATCATCTCTTCTCGAGTCGTGGAAGTTGCGAAACATACGTGGCTGAGCTGAACTGTCAGACTTTCGGAAGACCAGTGTGCATCCTGCTATTGGGGGAGCACACCGTCAGCCAGAGTGGGCGCAGCAATTCATCGCCCTCACTATATCTTCGACTGATGATGCGCCCGTGCGCTTTGAATGAATTCCCTAGAGCCTTGCGGTTGAGGCCGTTGGTATTCGTCGATACCTAGGTGCTATATAATTATACGGTAGAAGGTTGGCCCGGGCTTGACCTCGTCATATACATCTCACCACAGTCTTCACTTTAACGAACCCTCCGTTCCCGTACCCCCTTTCGGATCTACATACCCCGTCCCTCTCCAAGTTGCGATTGCACTCCCACGATTCTTGGCCCATAATTACGAGGTCGTCCAGAGCTGCCACCGTTGGCCCAACTACTGCATCTCAAAACATTATTTTGATATCTGCCACCTCGGAGGATGGGATCTTACTCTCGATCGATCCACAAACTTTGGGGCTGGAAAAGGAAGCTGGCTAGGTGTTATAAGTTCTGGTCTAGGCGATGATATGTGGGACGGCCCAAGCAACTGGTTGGTATCGGTTGAGGCTGTCGAAGAGATGCGGAACCCTCTTCAAGTTAGTTACCAACTTAGCTGAGCTGGAAATTGGGGTCAACTTGGCTATCAATTACAACGAGCCTGGGATGTAACACCCCGTGACATGACACTATTTTCCTTCGACACACCAACAATTGATTCTCCGGCCCCGGGCAAGACGTATTGTCACAAACATCGTCGTAAGTGTATGTGGGTTTTGCATCCCGAATTAGCTGATACCCAACCAAGTTCATTACTACCCGAATCAGAAACGAAACTTTGCTGTGATCGCAGGGATCAGGCCGGAACCCGGCCATGCGCTCGAGCCTAGGCAGAAGTGGATCTGGGATCCACCAGTCCAGGCCGTCATTTCCACATATATATTCCGCCGTGGCCCAGATAGCTAGACTTCCTGCAAGCAATCCAGTCATTCCCTTCCTGACCACAAAACTACGTGGTCTTGCGGCAGCTGACAGATCGCCGTGCCCCAAACGGATAGTGTGGAAGGGGTCAACTGCACAATTATAACCAACGATTCTGAGTCTTTTTTCCATCAGCTCCTTCTACACCCAGCCCAAATTGAAGAAATACATACAGTACTAGTATGGACGTAGGCTCAACATCTACAGTCCCATTCTTCGCGGCCCGTGGTCCACCGACCCTCCGACACCAGGTTCTCACCAAGCGGCTGGCACATCTTCTCAGAATCCTTTTGAGGATAGATAGCCCCCCTAGAGCTGGCTTGGTATCACATGCAACACTGCACAATTTTTAGGGCAAAAGAGTGCTTGCATTCGGAAGAAGGAAGAAAGGCCGGCAAGTCCTAAGTGCCCTGCTTTATAGGGAAAAAGGAGGCCTTTCTCCTTGAGTGTAGAGCCGGAAATGGTCAGCCGGGTCACGTGTGGCTCGGCTTCTTTCGACACTGAGCAGGTTGCATGGGTGAGACCAAACAAGCCTAGCCTACAGCAGGCCCCGCTTGTCGAGGGAATTACGAAACGGGCTCATGGATGGAACGATTCCCAGCTCCCGAGATGGTCACGACCTCATGTTTTGGGGTCGAATTGGCCATCGCACAAACATGTGCATCAACATCACAGAGCCCGAGGACGATTACGAACAGATCTTGAAAGACGAACCCTTTTTACCCGGGGAAAAATAAGCTGGAAGAGGGAGAGAATCTCAACTTTAAGGTGTCTCGCTCTCCTTGATTGATCCGCCACTTGCTATTCTCATTTTCATCTTCCCCTTGCCCATCAGTTAGCTAACCCTCTCCGCAATCCGTTGAGATGCGCCTTCTTCGCACGGAGGTATCGGCAGGACGTCTTCAGCTGTGTGAATTTTCGGACGATGCGATCCCCGAGTACGCCATCCTGTCGCACACGTGGGGCGAGGACGAAGTCACCCTCCAAGACATCCGGGCGGAAGCGCGCCAGCTCGGCCATTTAAGTGGCTACGAGAAAATCCTGAACTGCTGCGCTCGCGCCAAAGCCGACGGTCACGACTATGTCTGGATTGACACGTGCTGCATCGACAAGACAAGCAGTGCCGAGCTGTCCGAGACCATCAATTCCATGTACCGCTGGTACGAGCGAGCCGGGCAGTGCTATGCCTTTCTAGCCGACGTGCCCTCTAAGTCGTCCTTCTCCGAAAGCCGGTGGTTCACCCGAGGATGGACTCTGCAAGAACTCATCGCCCCTCCAACCGTCGTCTTTGTCGATGGAAATTGGAACGACCTGGGCACCAAGGTGACACTCCAGCAGGACATCTCACGCCGCACCAACATATCTCCTGGCGTTCTTGCCGGGAACGTGAGCGACGCCAGCGTCGCGCAGAAAATGTCGTGGGCCGCGGGACGGCAGACCACGCGGGCCGAAGATACGGCTTATTGTCTGATGGGGCTTTTTGGTGTTAACATGCCGCTGCTCTATGGCGAAGGAGAAAGGGGCTTTCTTCGGCTCCAAGAAGAAATCATCAAGATCTCCGATGACCACAGCATCCTGGCCTGGCAGTCCCGTGACAACCGTGGGGGGCTCCTGGCAACGGGGCCTGCAGCATTTGCCGAATCAGGCGACATTGTGGTCCGGCACCCCCCTGTGTCCGACGACAGGTCGCTGACTATCAACAGCAGAGGGGCGCATCTCAATATCCCCTTCATGGGCTTACTTCAGAGTGGGGTTGGCCTTGGGCTCCTCAACTGCACCAAGGTTGGCAGCGGAAACGGCGTAGTCGGCGTCTTCCTTCTCGACCGGCATCTCGACATGAACCGTCTCGAGCGAACTCGGACATGGGAATTTGCCGTCATAGATGTGTCCAAGATTGGTCCCTCACAGCGTCCTGTGAGACGGATATGCGCCAAACTGGGACGGCTGGAGCATACTTGGTCGCGGCGTTCTGTGAAGCCCGCGAAGGCCGCGGCCTCATTGGAGGAGGGCGATTTTGACGACTCGCAAATCCCCGACCTCTTCTTAGTGCTGTCAGGGTATTCCGGCATGCGGAACGACGATAAAACCAGGGCGTCTCTCCTTCAGCTCGCCTCACTTGGAGATGGAGATGGAGTCTGTCGTTACCTGGCCTCCGGGATCCTGTCTGCGGATCTGCGGGACGACAAGGGGCGGACAGCGCTTATGCGTGCTGCCGAAAGTGGGCACATGGGTGTTGTGTGGCTGCTTTTGGCCCGGAGCGATGTCTCGCCTAGTGCCAAGGACAATGCCGGGATGACGGCCCTCTCGTTGGCGGCGAGGAAGGATCGTCGGGACGTGGTCAAGGCTCTCATGGCCCGGAGTGACATGCAACAGCACCTGGTCGACGGCTTTGGACGCACGCTGCTCTCGCACGCCGCCCAGGCGGGCCAGGAGTTGCTGGTCGAATATCTGCTCCTCACAGGCACGTTTGAACCGGATGCACAAGATCTCGACGGACGACGCGTCATTCAGTACGCTTTTAGAGGTGGACACGCTGGAGTGATGAAACTGCTGATCGAGACGGATCGCGTCGACTTCTACGAGAGGGTCGACGGCCAGGATCTTCTCGGCTGGGCTGTTGGTGGGGAGCACTCTGATATCATTGCTCGGCTGCTGGAGAGGGATGTCGACCTCGAGAGGAAGACCAAGAAGCACGACAGCACGCTGCTACTCGATGGCGACTTGCAGCACCAGCCTGGTCCCCACCGACACATTGAAGCGTCTAACCGATTCGGAATAACGCCGCTACTCATAGCAGTACAGAACGGAAGTATTCCCATCGCCACGGCCTTACTCGAGAAGGGCGCCAACATCGAGGCAGAAAACAAGGCAGGGCAGAGATCTCTAGCTCTAGCCGCCATATACGGCAATGGGGCCATGATGCGTCTGCTTTTAGATAAAGGAGCTGACATTGACGCGAAGGATAACGAGGGTTTCACGCCGCTCAATACAGCCGTCATGTGCCGACGCCCCGAAATTGTTGAGCTGCTCTTGGATAGAGGAGCCAACATGGAGGCAGCAAACGCGCAAGGGCGGGCACCCTTGGCTGTAGCAAGCAATCGCGGTCTGGAGCCGACGGTCCGCTTGCTTTTAGCAAAGGGGGCTGAGATCGACGCGGGACACAAGACCGATTACACGGCACTCGCCGGAGCTATTGACGGCCTACACCCTGAAGTCGTCCAATTGCTGCTAGACAACGGGGCCGATGCAGGCAAGCTATTGGCGTCTACGGGCACGATTTTGAGGAACCCCGCTGGCCAGGGCTTTGATATGGATGACGATAAAGTCAGGGCAAGATATGAGAAAGTCGAGGCGCTGCTGGAGGGAATCGGGTACGGTCTGAAATACTGGTCCAGCAAATCGAAAAAGGGAAAGAGAAAGAAAAGCAGTCGGGCGGCAGAAAACGCCCCCTTCCCATTTTGAATTTTCATATCTCGCCATCCATCTCGCCATCCATCTCCTCATCCATCTCCCCATCCATCTCCTCATCCATCTCCTCATCCATCTCCTCATCCACATACATTACGGGCGGAATAAGACACTTTTGTTACCACAACCTCCACGCCAGGCCTAATTATAGCTGGCTGTCAACCAGGTTGCCCTCGGCGGCCAGCGTGGCGTAGAACAGCTGCGTCTCGCCGCCAATGACGACGCGGCCGCCGCCGACAAACTGGAAGTTGGCCGACGTGCGCCCCGTGTAGATCTTGCCGAGCAGCGTGCCCGACGGGTTCCACACGTGCACGCCGTCGCCCACACCCGCGTACACGTTGCCCTTGCTGTCGCAGTGCACGCCTGCAGTCATACATTGTCAGTTGAGCTCGGTTTCATGTGAAGAGATGGGGGGTAGGGGGGAGTAAGGAGAGGGAGTAAGGGGGGGGAAGGGTTAGGGTGCTCACCATCGGGGATGTTGGTGTCGATAAAGGCGAATGTCTTGCGGTTCTCAAACGTGCCGTCGTCCTGCACGGTGTACCGGTAGCTTTGCGTGGCGCGTCAGTTTGGCGTCACTTTTCTCGCTGCAGGGATTTGACTCACATGGACGAAGGCAGCGTCAGCTCCAGCCCGTGCCGCCAGATGCCCGTGTCGGTGATGTAGACGTACTTGCCGCCGGGCGAGAACGCGATGCCTGTTGCGGATGTCGTGTCAGCACTCGACTCGCAGCTGTTTTGGTCTCTTTCACGCAGGACAAAGGGCGAGCGCAGCTGTTTTGGTCTCTTTCACGCAGGACAAGGGGCGAGCACTCACCGTTGGGCATCGCGAAGCCGTCAGCAGCCACCGTCACGGCGCCCGTCTTGTCGTTGTAGCGGTACACCTGGTTCTGCAGGCCGGGCGCGGGGCGGAAGTTGTTCGACTCGCCGTACGTCGGGTCCGTGAAGTAGATGTCTAGGTTCTTGGGGTGCACCGTGATGTCGTTGAGCGAGTTGAACTGCCGCCCGAAGTAGTTGTTTAGCAGCACTGTCGCGGTCGAGCACGGTCAGTAAAAAATTGAAGGATGTCTGGGTGCTTGCACGCGCTGGCCTACCTGTGGTGTTGTATGGCACGACCGGGTTCATGACGTAGAGCGCCGGGGCCTTGTTGGGGCCCTGTCCCTCGGCCGCGAAGAGCAGCTGGCCCTTGTACTGGGTTGCGCCTGTTTTAACGTCGTCGTCAGCAATGCGCTCTCGGGCTCGCACTTGGGCGCGCGAGCGACATCCACTCACCGTTGGGGTTGGGGATCTCGGGGTTGGACGGGACCTGGGTCACGGTGACCTTGCCGGTGGCGTTCCACGAGCCCTTGACGGCGTCGGCCTGCTTGAGCGAGATCTTGAAGATGGCGGCCGACTTGTTGAGGCCGGTGCCAGCGTCGGCGTTGCCGGCGTTCTGCACGAAGAAGGCCTCGTCGTTGGGCTTGTACCACACTACGGCCTCGTGGAAGATGGGGTCCTTGGGCGTCTGCGCCAGGATGGTGAAGGTCGGGTTGGGCCCCAGGATGTCGAGGAACGCGTCGTCGTAGACGTGAAACGGCTTCTCCAGCAGCCCTTGGCTGGTGAAGTTCTGCGGGATCCAGGGTGCCTGTGGCCGTGTTAGCACAGCTGTGGTATGTCAAGCTGCGGCGTGTCAAGCTGCGGCGTGTCAAGCTGCGGCGTGTCAAGCTGCGGCGTGTCAAGCTGCGGCGTGTCAAGCTGCGGCATGTCAAGCTGTGGCATGTCAAGCTGTGGCATGTCAAGCCGTGGTGTTTACTCACGCTGCTGGCGTTGTACTCCTCGGCGGTCGGCACAGTGGCGAGCACGTTGAAGCTCTTCTGGTTGATGGCCTGGGCCAGAGCGGGCAGTGTGCGCTTGCCAGCGTGGACGCCGTTGACGAGGAGGGCCGCGGCCGCGAACGAACGGAGGGATGCCATGGCGAGACTGACGTTTCCTTGACTTCTCGGCGACTTTCCGGCGCGATCGAAGCTGCGATCCTCGTTGTTGTAGAATCCGAGAAGCGGCCATGGTGGTACCAAACTCCGCTTTTTGACCCGCCGGTGCGAGAGGGGTTCGGTGGGTGGGATCAGCCGCCAAGGCCCAGGTACGGGTAAAGGCAATATAATCTGACCCCGTATAAGAGGCCGTGATATCATTGTGCCGCCAGCCCGCCGCTAGACTTAATATGGCTGATCACCGGGCTGCCGATCCCGGGGCCCCAGCCAGCCAGCTCGGGTTTTTACCACCTCCCTGGGCCGTACCTTGCATACCTGATTTTATTGTCGAATTAGGGGTTAGGGGCTGCACTCCCGGCGGACTGCCCCATCAAAAACCAAGCGTGGGCGTACTACAATTGACTACCACTGCGGAGAAACTAGCCAGGCGGGCCAGGGTCGCTTTTGCAAGCAATATTGCCGCCGTGCACTTTATCCAGCCGAACTGCTAGCGTGTCCGCTCAGGGCTCCTCCCACGGAACCGGGCCCGTCAACGCGCTGAGTGGTTGGGAGTCGGCCGTTTCCCCGGAATTGCCAATTCTATGGTAGTATCACTGCAGCCCCGTGGTAGTATTCCCAGCCACTGCACCGTTGAAACACGAATCCGGACACCTGCCTTTTGTCTGTAGCATGGTAGATTCTAGAAAGTCGCTTCTTTCGGTGTTTTGTGCCCCTCTGCGAGCAAACCCCAGCTCTTCCTCATGTTTAGAGTCCACTGGTATTGTCACATTCGGTTTCAAAGCTACATTACAGTCAGGCTCACGTTCAGGCTACGCACAAAATGACATGATGCTTGGGCGCATTGTCAAAATTCGGCGACTCAATTGATCATTTATCCCAATCTGCATCTTTGCTTCATTTTCACTGAAAGTTTTGTGCAGTTGAGACCCTCTTTGATCTTGGCTTGGGTGGATGTAACAGCATCTCCAAGCAAAAGCAACCACTCGAGTTGGGTCTTTTAATGCACCGTACGTGTGGAGAGCACTTGGATGTCGCGAACCCCCACATGCTAGGCCGCTGAAGAAGTTAAGAAAGAAACACGCAGTACCTTTGTTTGACTATAGTCTGTTGGCAGCAGTGCAGTTGTCCTGAGACTGCTGGTCTTGGCCAAGCAGTTAAAATAAAAATGTGGGGTCGGTAGGCTCCAACCCCTAAGATGGCGCCTAGCATTGGCAACTTTCACGCACGCGGCAAAGGACAAAGGTGCAACAAATAACAATAGCCCGACCCAGAGCTGCAGCCGGAGCCGTAGCGCTAGGATGGGTTCTCCGACGAATGGCCGGTCCACGATGTCGATGTTTGATTCATCAGGTACCGGTACTGGAAGCAACAGGGCGTAACTGCACGCCGAAAACTGTTGGTTCAAGTGATGGATTGTTCTGTATATGCCTCTTCTTCTGGCAGTACCAGAAAACTCCCCTTTACACTACTATTGTGGTGGCGAAATAGGTGGCGAAGTAGGTCGCGAATTAGGCTACGAAGTAGGTTACGAAGTAGGCTGCAAATCCTTTGCCTAGCTCCTTCGAGGCCCACATTCCAACAGTCGATGCACCTCCACATTCATATCAATGCGGGACAGCAAACTTGAGTGTTCTAGCTCCCCACAAGCTGCAGCAGATGCTACCACCCGTGCAGCAGATCAGCCAAGACTCACATAAAGCTCACACCCTTGAGAAAGAAGATAGTTCAACGTTCGCAGTTTACATTTTGCTAATTCAGCCTCTCTACGCCACCGTAGGCGAGCTTGCGAGCCGGAGGTGGCTCCGTTCCGCTGTATTCTATATTACCGTGAGGGTGCCGAAAGTTTCTCGCATAGCGATTGCCCAGTTTTCGTCCGTGTCGAAATGGACTCGAGGGACTGGTCGATCGGATGAACCTTAGACAGGTTTAGGCCGTGAAATGCCGCTTTGCTGTGTCGTGGTTGTGTCAGGAAGGAGCAATTTCCCAATTGGTAGATATAACGCGCGTAAGCTGCATGAAGGAAGGCACCACAGGCACAGCGCCGCAGCCAAGAGCGCCGTAGCTAAAAGCGCCGCAGGTACTGGGGGTCTTAGGGGGCTTGCCCCCTAGAAATCCAACAATTAGACCATGAACATCGAAATATCTAATTATCATGAGAATTTATTCTGGTATTGAGGGGCTAGAATAGCTGTAGATCCGTTGTCCCGAAGTTTAGCTGGGTAGAGTCCTTACTTCCGAAGTTTTATGATATCGCTTAGGCTCCCTTTGTCCTACTTGTCAAAATGGACAAGTATAACGGCCCGGCTTGCTTCCCTGACGATGAGGCTATTCCGAGAAATGTTGTGCCGATCTTCCAGTCCTTGCGGGACTTCCAGAGCGGTAATGCGGCCTGCTCTCGCCGTCAAGTCCCCGTTGCTATTACGTACGCCATCAAGTTTCACAAGTCACAGGGAGCTACGCTTGACAGCAGCGCCGGCACCAACTCAAATTTATCCAATTCAATCGATCAAATATAGCCATTTAGAGCAATTAATTACACGATTTTGAGGTCAAATTCAACCGACTCGTAGGGCCAAAATAATTGGCGAATTGTCAATTATTTCCCATTGGCTAGGCTATTTTAGGGCGATTTTTCGGATTTTCCTGGGTCCAGGGTGCTCCTTGACTAAGACTAGTCCCGTATTTTCCTGGGCCCGGGAAAATCTCTGACTGCCAGGCAGGCCGCAGGTTGCTGTAATGCACCGTTGAAGCTGTAATGTAACCATCACGACGTAAATAAGCAGCCGAATCCGACCTTTCTACCGAACCTTCCATTCCTACAGCGATTCTAAGCATATTACTATTACGAGAAGGTCTTTACGGCCGTAAGCACAAGCTCGGCGGCAGGCCATTTGCAAAAGGAGCATGCCGAAAGTTTCACGTCGAGGAAGACGGCGTTGAGGTCTAAGTCAACTGGGCTAAAAGCAGAACACCCTAGCTGCGGAACATGCCGGTGGCGCTTTTTCGCCCGTGTAAGCTAGAGCACTCAACATAAATTACTACCGTTTAATGAAGCAGTTACAAATTACTACCGTTCAATGAAACAGTTGTGCGTATTCGGCGGTGTGACCTGCGCGAAGGATGTGATGGCGTTTGTGTCTTACACGCAAATTCCGCAGCCAGGGTGTTCCGCTTTTGGCCTAGTTGACTTGTGTCAGCGGACCCGGAGGGGGCATTCAGTAACGGTAAGCTGGTCTTCGGCGCATAGATAGAATGGGCGACGATACCTTCAATAACATCATGTATTTGAAGGATTGGGTACGTTGACGAGCTTTTCCGGGCTTCAGGGCATTTTATTTACTATTTTAGACCTCTTCGATAACGTTTTACATCTTTTTTTGGTGGAGCTGAAGATGCCGTCAAATATCATCAATTATTACCATATCAATCAATTCTAGCCTCAACCCAGCCAAATATCCATTTTTGGTGGCTCAATTCAACCAAATACGGCCTCAAGATTGAGTTGTTTGAGCCATTGCCAACGCTGGCCAAGAATGACGTTACAAGTGCCTCGCGTGCGGCGGATTACCAGCGTCGTGTTGACGTCGGCGAGATGTTGGTCCGGGTGCAGCCTAGATAGCAGAATCGACTTTTTCTGCCTCAACACCATGCTGTTTACGTTGTGATGACTCTCCTGTGTTTTTTACTTTTAACACAGTTGACACAGTTGACACAGTTGACACAGTTGACACAGTTGACACAGTTGACACAGTTGACACAGTTGACACAGTTGACACGGTTGATACAGTTGAGTCAACCTTTGGCTACGAGCTATGGCACAAAGCGGGGTTGTCCTTACTAATTTCTTAGTAAAATGGCCCAGCCAGCCTTCCCTCGAGCGAAGCGAGGACAGCCCGCGGCAGGCGCCGCCGGAGGCATCCGTTCAGCTGACCCCTTCCTACCTAGTCAGGTAGCTTATTTTTATGCCTTGAATGCGTAAGAAAAGGAGCCCGGAGACTCCTATTATTGATGTTACAGGCCCTCCGCCCACCCAAAGAGAGCTGACAACTGCCAATGTATTCAGAAATAAAACTTCTTAGCTTCCGCCTTGTCAGCCCAGTGCGTTCGTTTGCGGTGGGTAATACTGCGGCTGGAGGTTCATATTCGGCGGAGGGTTGTAGATTTGTGTTTGTGCATAATACGGGGCCGGGGCCGGCTGGCTCATTGCTTGCGGCTGCATCTCATAGCCCTGCACGTTTCCGTATGGCGCTGGCGCGTATGCGGTGGACTGTTGGGCGTTCTTGTTGCGAGAGCAGCAGAGGTAGTCGCAGAAGATTTCGAGCAGCCAGTCTGAGCAGTCCGTCATTGCGTCGCTCTGTATTTGGATTAGACCTTACATGAGAAGCTGGCCGTGGCTGAGATTCTTAGATATGTAGTCCCAGAACACAGAAGGCAGACGTAAGATGTTAGAGACGAACATTGATAAGTTTCAGAAGATATTTCAGCTCTGTTCTTGTTCTTGTGTATGACGGGTGTAGTAGACTGGAACGCAGGGTGTTCGAGCAGAATTGGCGCAGTTAGCAGTTAGCGGTGTGGTAGTTGGCTTGTTGACGACCCGGGGGCGAGACAAGAATGAAGACGAGCAAATAATTTCATTCTGGGTTGCTGGGATCAATTGGCACCTTTATACCAACCTAAGTAGCTGGCTTGCAATTCAATGCCCTAGCTGCGGTGACACACCCCAGTATGCAAGAACCCGATATTGAAACCAATAAGGTTACACGCCTCATTCAGCTGGCGTTCTGGCCGCAAAGAGCACCAAAACAGAAACGCGGCGAGCTGGCTTGGCGACACTAGCAGTACGCCACTTGCCATTTTATCGCCCAATTCTCGCTTGCCAAGCTCTCCGATGCGATCTAGGCGGTGAATCCAGGGGCAATAAGCGCCCAGTGCCACAGATCATGGCGATAATATGGGGTGTTCCAGGCTTGGCTCAGAGCGTTGTCAGGAGAAGCAGGCAAGTCTCTTCCAGTCCACGGCAGTCTCATGCATACCGCCACAAAGTCAAATGGCAGCGCGTGGGTCTTTGAGCAGGTTATTTAAGACCTAGATAATCCGCCGTTGACCCCCTTTTTAGCTTCAACATCACCTACCAACACCTAGGCACCCATCAACACCTAGGCACTAGTTCTAGTACAGCGGCAAATTATACGCGTCAAACTTGTACTTCCACGTGTCGATCGACTTTTGGTCGTAGACACAGTCCAACTTCGTCCCGTTGGCAGACCAAAGCGGCCGCAGCGGCCAGCGGCAAATGGCATCGATCCCGCCCGCAGAGGTGCTATTCAGCGTGTCCGGCGCAACGCCCTCCTCAACCCACTCGATGACGGTCTGCAGCGTCGTCTGCGGCCAGCCGCCGGCGGGCTGGGCCCTGTTCGGCCCGCAGTGCGCGCCGCCAGGTACGATATACAGCCGATAAAAGTCGTCCAGCACGGCCGTGCTGGCGTTGAACGGCAGGTCGGGGAACATGACGGCGCGCACGGCCTCGTAGTAGTGCACGGAAGATCCGGCGGGGATGCCGTCGTCCGCCTCGCCGTGGACTTGCACGACCTTGGCGCCGGCGGCTCTCAGGGGGGCCAGGTCCGGGTACGTCGTCTGCAGCGTGTCGGCGTACGCGTTCTGGCCCTGCACCATCCAGGCCTTGAGCGTGTCGTACGTGACCCCGTCGAGGCTGCCCAGCACGCTCGTGTCGCGCAGCTGCAGGTACCGCGCCACCCACTCGCCGCCTAGCCCGTTGATGCTCGGGCGCCACTTGTTGGCGGCGGCGTCGAAGGTTGTGCGCGCGTCCGAGAAGCCCGCGGCCGGCTGCGGCGCGAGGTACGCGAGGCGGCCCTGCGAGTCGTGCAGCCCGTTGAGGATGGTCTGGGCCACGGCGACGGCCTGGGCGGTGACGGTGCCGTTCTGCGCGGGGCTCGGGGCCGGGAATGGGAACTGTCGCGGCTTGCGTGCGCCCGGCCGACCGAAGCCGCCGCCGGTGCCGGTGGCTGCGCAGGAGTAGGGGGCGCCGATGGTGCTGCTGATGTTGAAGTGCAGCTTGCACAGGTCGGACCGGGCCACGACGCCGTCGAGGCGGCCGTCCAGCCCGTCGCAGGCGGCAATGGTGAGGTTAACAATCTTCTCCAGCTCGCACGGCGGCGGGAAGTAGCCCAGCGTCTGCTCGACCACGCTGGGGGTCAGGTGGCTGACCTGCAGCTGGCTGAAGCGGAAGGCGGGCGCGCCGATGGCGGCGCCGTCGAACTGGTCGGCGAACCGCTGCAGCTGGCTCCAGCCCTCGCGGCCGCCCTCGGAGCAGCCCTGGTAGTACGAGAAGACCTTGGACACGTTGAACAGGTTCCTGGCGAACTCGGCGCCCAGAGTGGCGAGCTCGTGGTGGGCTTGGTACCCGAACATGTGGGTTGCCTGCCAGTTCACGGTGCCGTTGGAGAGCAGAAACACCGAGTCGGCCTGGTTGCTGAAGGACCCGAAGCCGCCGTCGGTCAAGCCCGACACGGCGCCGACAATGATGCCAGTAGGAATAAACCCCTTCCCCGAGTTGATGGCGAGGCCTCCGCCCCCGGTCGAGACGTAGCGGTTCTGGAACCTGTCCGGCGCGGGCACCCAGTACGTCACCTGCACCCTGTCGCCGGTGAGGCCATCGTGCTTGTAGGCGAAAGTCACGTTGCAGTAGTCGACGACGCTGGCGGGGAACCACTCGGAGGTGACCGCGGCCTTGGTGACGATCGATGTCTGGACCGAGACCGGGTCGATGGTGATGCCGGGGAAGAAGCCGTGGGCGGGGAGCGATGCCTTGGCGTACGCCGTGGTGCAGACATCGCCGAGGGTGGCGGCGCCTCTCTTCTCGACGGCACTGGCGCCGATAGAGAAGGCGATGGCCGCTGAAACAACCCGCAGAGAGAAAGGCATGGCTAGCTATCCGTTTCTATTGCTTGGCCTCTATCGAGAGTGAAGTGGTGTGAGAAGACGGCGTGCAAAGCTCCTGCAACAGATAGAGGAGAAGATAACAACAGTAGCAATATCTGACACGATAGCCCGCCCTCATTTGTGTAGATGTCGCGCACGCTGCTGACGCGTCGTCGATCGCGCAGATCGGGCAGATCCACCGGCATAGAAAATCACTAATTATAAAGTGGGCGGGAGCGAGAGACGGGATATTTAGCCGGCGCGCCGCTCGCGCTAATCGGGAGGTCGAGAGGCAGAAATAGTACCTGCGGCGGGAAAGGCCTGGCTGATCCGGGAAAGGCCTGGCTGGTCCGGGAAAGGCCTGGCTGGTCCGGGCTGATAAAGGTTAGTGCGTTGTGATTGCAGTGTTTTCATTTTTCTGTGGTTAGAATGCTGGCGACTGGAAACTGGGTATCCCTAACAGGAGCGAGCTAGAAAGGAGCTGGAAAGGAGCCGGAAAGGAGCCAGAAAGGAGCTAGAAAGGAGCTACAAAGGAGCTACAAAGGAGCCAGAAAGAAGCTACTATACGAACGACACGTACCAAGTCGCCTTCTGAACACTCAACTTGGTATCTCATTGAAACGCTTAAAACTGCGGCAGGCCGAAAGATGTGAACCGTGACTTGAACATGCAAGCTATCTAGACTAGCAGATGGTCGCCTCGTACGGAGAACAAACACCGTCTGTCGTTACAAGCCGCCTCGTACGAGGACAAACATCGTCTGTCGTTACAAGCCCACCCGCAGCCATCCTCATCCAAACACACGCCCAAACACGCGCCCAAACACGCGCCCAAACCCCTTCACGTAAACTGCGAGAAAAACGCCCACGTCTCTGCCGGGACCCACGTATCGCTCTGCCCCTTGTCCTTGGGCGTCGGCGTATGCGGACCGTCAAACGTGACCCACACGACGGGCTTGTCGGGCTTGCAGCCGCGGTAGACAGTCTTGACATGAGTCCCGCTGCCGGTGGCGGGGTCTGTGGCCTCCTTCTGGGCGGCGTCGCAGCCGTTGAGCTGCAGGAAGCGGTCGCGCATGGACCGGCTGCCGGCGATGGGCAGCACCGTGTCGCTGGTGCCGTGCTGGCCGTAGTAGGCGACCGCATCATCGGCCGACGCCGTGCTGCCCGGGCACGTGCCGCTGATCTGCGGGTTGCCCGACAGCGCGGCGACCGCGCGCAGCCCGTCGATGCCGCCGCCGATGGAGCACGCCAGGATGTACGACATGGCGCTGCCGAAGCTGAAGCCCGTCGAGAAGCGCAGGGACTGGTCCACGCACGCGTCGGCCTCGACGGCCGCGAGCACCTGCGCGATGAACTTGACGTCGGTGCCGTTGGTGTTGCCCCAGCCGTTGCTGAGGCCGTTGGGCGCGACGAAGATGGTCCGCGTGTTGGTGGCCAGGGTGGCGTTGGTGCTGGTGGCCAGCGCCGCGAGGCCGTAGTAGGGCAGGTAGCCGCCCGTGCCGGCGACGACCTGCGATGCCTGGCCGCCCAGCGCGTGGAGCGTGAGCACCAGCCGGTGCGGGTGCGTGTTGTTGTAGTTGTCGGGCAGCTTGACGAAGAACTCGCGCTTCTGGTTGTTGACGGTCAGCGTAAGAGGCGTCTGCGTGCTGGCCGACGTGATGAGCTTGGGGGCGCTGCCGCAGCCCGAGGACGGTTTGGCGGCGAGGCCGAGGCTAACCAGGGTTGTGATGAGGAGGGTTAGGGAGACGCGAGGGTGGGATTTGCTGGCTGCCATTTTTGGGATCTCTTTTTTTTTTACCGATGGTGATTCTTGAGATGGCGATTCTTGAGATGGTGATTCTTGAGATGGCGATTCTTGAGATGGCGATTCTTGAGATGGTGATTCTTGAGCTGTCCTCTAGAGGGTCTCAGTGCCACGGCCAAGACCATTGCACAATATCTTTGTCGTGGACCTAATGCTAAGGCCCGCTTTATATGGCATACCAGACTCCTAGTACGTGGTTTTAGCCGCTGGGAGTTGGCCGCTCTCTCACTGCACGAATGCCGCGACGATTGCCGATGCAGATTCGCCGACAGTGGGTAATATTAGCCACGACCTATTATATAGGTGACCATTGAAGCCGGAAGCACGCTTTCCTTGGCTTCCGAGGCGTTGGCCAACCTTTCGTCGCATTGGCATGAAACAGAATAAATCAAAGCAATCAGCACTCTTCCTCCGCCTACTTTCACCGCAACCTGTCTTATACCTTTAGACGTTATGCATGCGGTGGAATTTTGTGCGAGTCACCCTAGCCACCCCGCACCGCGCCGAAAGGTTGCATCGCCAGCACAGTTTCCGGCCTCGTCCGTGTCGGGCTTATATCTTCCTTCAACTTGAGGCCGAGACTGGCTGGCGAGCGCTGGAGCTCAAGAGTGTGCCTAAGCTGAGAGGGGTGTGATGGTGTTGAGCTGGCGGATAATGCTGAGCTGGAATTTGACTGGATAATGCTAAGCTGGAATTTGACTGGAGACACATTGATCACCGGGGTCAGAGCCGCCGCATTCGCGGCCAGACGATGGAAAATGCCAGACGATGGAAAATGCCAGACGATGGAAAATGGAGTAGGGCGTTCAACGCTAGGCTAGGAAACGCATCTCCGCCAAGCTTCACTAGTTACGCCAGGGCTAGAACCGCGTCGTGCGTAAGAGCTTTCCTGAACCTACATGCACAGCAAAGAAAATAGTACCCGCGTAAGACTAAATATCATCTATAGCTAGGCCAATATATAAATTAGCCCGTAGCCTTCCCACACCATTTCATCGTGATCTAAATGGGCTTCCTCCTCTGACAAGCATTGCAGTCACCAGTTTCGTGCCTGATTAAACCATTCTTCGAGTCTTTAAAACACGTTTGTGAACCTCCAAGGCCATCGCCCGAATTGACCCGCGCTTCATGTGGCGGTGTACCAATATAGAATGTGAATTAGGAATTAACGTGGTGGTACAGCTGAGACCCCTACTATGTCGGCAAGATCAATAAAAGCGACGCTAGCGCTCTCGAGGCCACTGCTGCTTGCCATGGCGGAGCTTTCGAAGGTTTGGGGTGCGAGACGAGAAAAGGGAGACGAGAAAAGGGAGACGAGAAAAGGGAGACGAGAAAAGGGGGACTGACAGAGATTTCTCACCCGCTTGGGTGAGGAGTCTCGTGGATGAAGAAGTCAGATCAGAAAATATGGATCTGTGAAGGAGGTAGTGGGAGTGGCTGAAATAGTGTTTGTTGTCTTCGGAATGAGAGAGGGAGCTGTCGCATACAACACTGCATCAATTGAGGGGAAAAGAGTGCTTATTTTCTTCCAGAAGGAAAGAGAGAGGGGCATAGCCTAGATACCCTACTTTGTATGCATCCTTCGCTTGGTTGATCTATGCCACATTTGGCTCAGTGAGTGCGCCACGTATGCAGACCCTCGGATTCTTCCGACAGGAGCAGAGGGAGCATTTAAATACACGTCGAGCTGAGTGGAATCAACCAGTATCACAGAGGAATTCTGTCAGATTACACAGGGGGCTGGAGGGACCATGACAAAAATGCCGGTCAGGCTCTCCAGCTCAGTAGTAATTCCCTGCTACCTCCACAACAACGCGAACAGAGCAAAAAAAGCATCACCCCAGGGGGTTGACCGAATACGGGCGGCCCTGAAATCCAGGCACCAGGCCTGTGGTGGTGGCCTTGCTCCCGGCGCCGTCCCTAGACGGGCACGGGTCAGAGTCGGCATGACAGAGGCCAACATGGATGATTGATCTCGATCTCCAAGTGGTCGAGATGGTCTTGGGCATCGCGGATGTCAATTAGACGAGGGGACAGCGCCACATGAGTCAAGTTGGTTGTTTTGCAACTGCCGCGGGATCAATCCCGGGCTAGCCTCAGCACCCGCAATGTAATGTATGTACCTCCTCCCAGTACTAATTAGTCGAGAATAGTTCTAACAGGGGAAGCACATGGCAATCAGCCACAAACCCAGCCCGTCCGACGCCGTGCAGTATTGCCAGTTTCAGCCACAACTGTTGGTGCAGCGCGCCGGCACACGACGCGGCTGCTCAACACGGGACTTTTCTGCCTAGAGCGCCATGTAGCGGTCAGGATGCTGATGCACCCTTTCCGGAGCGGCTCGCCGACCAACCGGGCACGGTCCGGGACACCACGATCCCCGAGCATGTTTCGGGCGTTCGACTGTGGCGTTCGCCAAGACGTGGCCACGAGGCACGACCCTCCCTTGGACTGTTCTAATTCCGTGTCTTCGCCCGCGAGCGCGTCGGCGTCGCCCCAGCAGTGGCTGAGAGTGACGTACGTGAGCTGCCAGACGTCGGGCGGGAGGCAGAGAATGTCAATGGAAGGCTCATCTGGTGCCATCGTTGGTGATGGTGATGGATGAGAAGTTCAAAAGAAGGGTTCTACTCCCGTAGAGCTATTTCCTAGCCACGTGGTGGTCTAGGCTCTGCATGTCAGGTTTCCCTGTAAATTGCACGCCGCCTTCTGTACGCAGCTGTACAACTGAAAACTTTAATAAGTAGAAATGAGAACGTTTTTATACACTGTTAAATCGTTGTCGTGCACTGTAGGTACATCGGCGCCAAGGCCTTACAGCTCACCGCCCAAGAAATTACCACTTTCGCTGGCTGCACCGCTCCAAGCACTGGCAGCGCAATTGTACCCCAATTGCAGCTCGCCGCCTCGCCGCCGTCGCCAACGTCAACACACTTCTAAATGCGGTACTTCCAGCCCAGGGCCGTAGAATCGCTCAAATTGTTCAAATCTACAATAAAAATCGAAGCTGGCTTCGTTTAATTCGCTTACGTAACATAGCCAAAAATGCAATAAAAAACTGCGGCCTGTCACAACTACTCACAACTGCATGCAACTGACAGCCTTACTGATCCATGCCTTCCGCCCGGGCACTCGGTCGCGGGACCCTTCCACTTCGTGTAGGCCTTACAACACGACCTTCAGCCACTGCAGAGGCCGCAGGGCCACGTGAAGCTCGTGATGTTGTGCCGCCCCGGCTAACACGCTACGTGCCTTGGTGTTGAGCACTGCTTGTTGCCCTGCCAGCCCGGCTCCCTGCGCCCCGAGTGGTTGTGCCCTGATGGTTGTGCCCCGAGTGGTTGTGCCCTGAGTGGTTGTGCCCCGTGTGGTTGTGCCCCGTGTGGTTGTGCCCCGTGTGGTTGTTGCCCGGCCGTGTTGAAGAGGGCAGAAGCGGCCCAATCGTTCAAATCCTCGATAAGATCATCGAGGCTATCATATTTGGTGTTGAAGAGCTTATGGCCGGCCGGTGGGTTCGAGAGTAGTGGTGGCGGCGGCGCATTTTCATCAGGCGCATCGCTGAGATGGCCAAAGTCGCTCAGATCGCTTAGAAGATCTTCAAAAGCGGACTTTTTTATCACTAGTTAGTACTGCGCGACGAATAAATGAAGCCATACCGATGCATCGACTGAATGCGGTGCCGACGATGTTTTTTAGGCTTGTGGAAGGACGGTTGTAGAGGAAAGGTAAGGTTCGGTTGCGTCATGGTAAAAAGTGGTAAATTACTACGCGGCAGAATCTTGGATGCACTGGAGAGCGGAGTAGGTCGCTGGATTAGGGTTATATGTGGTGGACTACAGTGCACGACAACGATTTTACAGTGTATAAAAACGTTCCCGTAGAAATATACAAGGCAACAGCCCGGGCTAGCCAGCCAACCCGTCAATTGCAAGGCAGTTGCGAAGGTCTTGAACCTGCACGCAGAGCAGTTGCTTGGCTAGCTCTTAGCAACTGGCTTGTAGTTGACAAGCTGATTGTACTATAACGTATATATATAACGTACGAACACTATGTAACGTATAACTTTCTCTTTCTTAAAGAATATTCTAATCTAAGTCACTGTAGGACCCGGGCGACTGACTGACTGCAAGGCCCGAGCAACTGCCCTGTGCGCAGGTCGAAGACCCTCGAAACTGCCCTGGAACTAATAGGTAGACCGACTGGCCCGGGTAACTACAAGGCGAGGACTGGGCTGTTATGATTGTAAGGGGTGGGCAGTATTTTGGTACTACGATATCACCATAGAGTACGATACGAATTACCTAGGTCTGGGAGCTCTTAATGTGGATATCTAGGGGTTGAAGCAGTAAGACGCGGACCAAAAAAGGGGTTTAGGACACTTGTCTCTGTCGCATGCCATACCAGGAATCTACACGGCCTTTGCCCACCTCCCTTTTTTTTCCTAACACAACCACTCTTTTGCCCTCAATTAGGCACCGTTGTATTTAACAAGATGGGCCCAACGGTCACGATGTAACCACGCCGGATGACAATCCTGCAGCCAAGGTCTGGCCCGCAAGTTGTCTTTCCCAATTAGCACGAGTATAAGACCCGTGGAGAAAAAATTATAATTCTATGGAATAGGTAATGATACAAAGCTATCTCAACTCCTAAGGCCGTCAGGGTTCTTTCAACTAATCCATTGCTTAAGAGATACAAGATCATGTTAGTCCCGTATAAAGTAGTGAGAAGAATGGTTCTACCATTCGACCAGTGGAAAATCCAATGCAATTAAGATATTGATATACGACCCGAGGAGTTGGAATACAGAGGCTAATCAAATTGCCACAGGGCACAGGGTGGTACAGTGGAAGGTTTAATAGGTGACAGAAGGTGGATAAAAGGCAAAGTGGGCACGAAGCACACAATGCAATCCACAATATACGGGTTAATTAATTAGCAGCGACAGCCGGTCAGCAACGTCTTTTCCGCTGCCTGCCACGGTTGGTCTCGACTGTAATCTTAGACCAAAGTGATAACCAACCGCCGATAGCACGCCAAGCCATGTCCCGGGTGAATGAGCGTGCGTCGTCGCGGGCAGGCACCAGGCCATCCCCGCTTTCAAGTCGTCATATCGTTCACCATATCATTCCAGAGCTGCATGGCCGAGACGGATCAGCGGCTATGGTGATGGTGACAAGCAGCGGCCGAGGTGTGCACCGGCTTGGCAAATTCCGGTGCTGCGTGGTGCTCGTGTAACGAGACACAGGGGTTGAAATAAAGGGGCGGTCCTCCCACCCCCTCGGAACGGGACGAGCTCGAAGTAAGCTTCGCAGCATATACCTATTCAAATCGGCATCTTCAGCATCAATTCGCGATTATGACCCGCTTCTCTTTCGCGGTTCGAGGCCTTGCCGCCCTCGCATGGCTGCTCCCTTCCGACGCGGCCGCCCAGTCGGCGTGCCCAGGCGTGACCAGCCGCCTCTCGCCCAAGATGGGCTCCGGCTACAGGGTCAACGTGCTCGCGTCGGGTCTACAGAACCCTCGCCACATCGCCGTCGACTCTGCCGGCAACCTTCTCGTCGCCGAGGGCGGCAGCGGGTCCGTGCAGCGACTGGTGCTGAGAGAGCAGGGCGACATTGTTTGCGTGCAGTCCAAGTCGGCCCTGACGAGCGACCAAAGCGTAGGTTGCCACCCTACACCGACTCCATGGCATGTGCGTCGCTGACACCCCATCTCAGACCAACCACGGCATCGCCCTCGGCGCCGACGGACGGACGCTCTTCACGTCCAACCTGTCCAGTGTCACGGCGTACGAGTACGACGCCGACGCGGGCAAGGTCGGGCCGGGCAAGGTCTTGATCAGGGGCATGTACCACGACGGCCACCCAACCCGGACTCTGCTGGTCTCCAGGTCGAGCCCCGACGTCATGGCCATTGCGCGCGGGTCTCGCCTCAACATCGACACGCCCACGGTGGACCAGTCGTCGGGACGCAGCATGATCAAGACGTTCAGCATCGCCCAGTCGCGGCTGGCGGCAATCGACTACATCTCGGGTGGCGAGGTGTTGGGATGGGGCCTGCGCAACATTGTGGGCATGGACGAAGATCCGCTGGGGGCCGTGGTATGACGCCATGCTGCTTGATCACGTCCCTCGCCATCTTTAAAACTACCACACACCCGCCAAACAGCTAACACGACAGCAACACACAGTGGTCGGTAGAAAACTCAATCGACGACCTCAGAGTCAACGGCAACGACGTGCACAACGAGAACCCGGCCGAGAAGCTCAACTACCACGGCGCTCTCGGCATCAGCAACAACACGGCCAAGGGCGCCAACTTCGGGTACCCGTGGTGCGTGCCGGCATGGGACACGGAGATGCTGGGGGTGGCCGGACAGGCCGGACTGACGGTCGGCACGCTGTTCGCGCCCGACGACGTGCCCAAGCTGGAGGCCGGCGAGGGCTGCGCCGCGCACCCGCCCGGCGCGCTGCACTTTGACCCGCACACGGCGCCGCTCGACTTCAAGTTCACCGCCAACGGCTCGAGCGCGTATATTGCCTTTCACGGGAGCTGGCAGGTCTTCCCGGCAGAGAAAGCAAGAGAAACAACGACAGTGCTGACATGCAAACCACGCCAGGGATCGGCAGCCGGCCGACGGATACCGCGTCATGCGCATCGACTTTGCGAACGGCAAGCCCGTCGCCCCGCCGACCAGCAAGACGGCGGCCATCCCCGTCATGGAGAACAGCAACCTCGGCAACTGCCCGGGCGGCTGCTTCCGGCCCGTCGGGCTGGCGTTCGACGGCAAAGGCCGCCTGTATGTGTCGAGCGATTCGACCGGGGAGGTCTACGTTGTGTACGGCGCCTAAAGCGAAGTGAAGGGGGCTTCGGCTATGCGAGCATTTTGGCTAGTTAGTTCTAAATAAAATGGTTGTTGCGTTGTACGACGGAGGGATATCTTACCACGACCTCTTGCCCTGCTCACTCATCCTCGACTATAGTTAAGCCGTTGCATATCCATACGTGTTGGCGCAGGGACGACATGCCACCCAGCCGTGCCGATCATAACTTCGTTGTTATTACTCGTAATCGGAGCTAGCCCGCTAAAACTGAGACGGTAAATTACAGATATTAATTACCAAGAGCTATCTTCGCCAGAGACCCTTATTTCGTTACCTGCCGTGTTAGCTCAAGATGTGCCTTGGAGTAAAAACTAGCAATAGATTACAGTCAACCAAACCACTTGTGACTGAGCAAACAAATCCACCCACAGCGCAAGCAAATCAACTCAGAGCAAACAAATCCACTCACACATAAAAGTCATCCGCATGTGACGACAAACAATCAAAAGCCGACATTACCTCACTTCCTTATCTAGACAATGCGAAAGCGAGCGGCTCGCTCGCCAAACTCGCCGCCGTCGATGACGCCACTCTTCATGCGCGCCGGCACGACAGTGGGCCCGACAAAAGCGCAAGAAATGGGCGCGCCGCCGCTGCCATCATCGTCATCGTCATCGTCATCGTCATCATCATCAGACGAGTCCTCGTCCAAGAGCAGCGGGCGCAGCGTCATGAGCACGGCCGAGCCGCGCACGCGGCACACGAGGTCGCCGGGGCGGGCGACGCGCGAGCCCATGCCGACGAGGCCGTGGGCGGCCGTGCGGTATACGACGCGGCACATGGCCGGCCAGGTCATGCACTCGAGGAAGGCGCCGCTCGTGGCGCCGCCGGCCGCGCGCCGCCGCAGCTCGGCCTGCGCCGCCGACGGCAGGCTGGCGTAGAGCGAGCGCGCGGGCAGGTCGTGGTGATGGCGATGGTGCTGCTGCTGGCTGCTGGCTGCCGCCGCCGCCGCGTCGCCGTCGTTGGCGCTGCGCCACAGTTCGTGGTACTCGAGCACGTAGGCGGCGAACGAGCGGCGGTGCTCGGCCAGATTCGGCTGGGGCCCCGCCACCGCGCTCGTCGGCTGGTCGCTCTCCCTAGTGCCCTGCTGCAGGGCCAGCGACAGCGTGTCCAGCACGGCGAGCGCGTCGCCGTCGCCGTCGCCGTCAGCTGGCGCATCGGCGGGAACAAAGACCAGCTCCCAGACGCGGTCGAGCCAGAAGGGGTTGGTCTTGGCGCGCTCGCGCGCGAGGTTCGTCACGGGGAAGTCGGTCGTCTCCATGCGCGGCGACACGGCCGCGATTTCGTCGACCAGCCAGCCGCGCGCCAGCAGCTGCGGCAGCGGCGTGCCCGCGGCGCCCTGGATCTCGCCGTCTCCGCCGGTGATGCGGATGCCGGCGCGGTCGTCAGCGGCGGCCGCGGGCACGCAGTAGTCGGGCGGCGTGGTGCGGTTGATGCTGTGCCAGTCGGGCACCCAGCTGGGCATGCGGCCGTCGTCGGCGGGGTCCCAGGACCGTCCTGCAGCCGCCAGCGGCGGGCCGTGTTCGTGGTCGACGAGGTTGACAGCGGCCAGGTTGCCGGTGCGGCGCACGAAGCCGGCGGCCAGCCGCGTGTACACGACGCCGCGCGTGACCGTGTAGTCGGGCCGCGCCACGAGGTGGCCGTCGGCGGTGACGGCCAGCGGGTGGCCCAGCAGCCCGTAGACGCGATCGCGCGCGTCCGTCACCCCAAGGATGCGCGTCCAGTGCATGCCCGTCAGGAAGTCGCATGCCGGCGTGCCGTCGTCGGCCCGCATCTCCCACACCATCAGGATGTGGTGCGTCACCCACGAGAGCAGGTTGAGGTGCGTCACGAGCGACGCGCCGCTGTAGTCGACGAACCTGGCGAATCGCCCCACCAGCGCCCAGTCGATGTAGTCTAGCTCCAGGGCGTGGCTCTGGTCCTGGTCCCAGTCCTGGTCGGGGTTCTGGTCAGCGCTGCTCCCAACCCCAGCTGATGCTGATGCTGATGCTGATGCTGATGCTGATGCTGGTGCTGGTGCTGATGCTGGTGCTGGTGCTGGTGCTGATGCTGGTGCTGGTGCTGATGCTGCTGCTGCTGCTTCACCCCCAACACCCATGGCGGGCTTGACCGCCGTGTACATGATGGCCTTGCGGGCGAGGCCTAGCTCCTGGACGATCCAGGTGCGGTGGAAGTACTTGATCTCGAAGAAGGCCTTGACGTTCTCCCACATGCGCGACTGCTCTTGGAACCGGCGCCGGTCGTGCTCGGACGCGAGGGCGGCGGGGCGAGAAGCGGGGTCGGCCATCAGGGCGGCCACGTCGTCGTGGAGGAGGATGCGGGCGTCGCGCAGGCCGGCTTCGGGGTCCTCCATGAAGGAATGGATGAAGCGGATGGCGGCGCGAGTGTGGCGGCGGCCGTCCTGGCCCTGTTCCCAGCCGAGCCAGGCGAGCACGCGCTGGGCGCCGGCGAAGATGCGGCCCATCAGCTCCAGCTGCGACGTGCGCTCGGGCAGGTCCTCCTGGTTGATGCACAGGGCGTCGGCCCACAGCCGGCGCACTTGGCCTCGGTGCCGTTGCGCCCATCTCGTGGTGTTGCTGCTGCTCTTCCCAGACTCGGGCCCATATCGGAAGGCGGCGAGGGCTCCGTGAAGACTCGCCGTGACGGACAGGGTGGCGCCGCTAATTGCGATGTCGCGGCGGTCGCGGCCGTTGCCCCACACATACGACACGGCTTCGTAGGGCTGCCCGTCGATTGTCTGGGGCACCAGCCGCCCGGTGATGGGATCCGACGGCCTGCCGGCTTCGAGCTCGAAGACGCGGATGACATCTGGGCCGAGACGGCGGTAGCATTTAGGGTAGTGGGGATGCTCGGGGTCGTGATCGTCCATGGCGGCACCCGACTCTTTGTCTAGACTAACTAGACCTCGGGAAGCAATTGCCAAGAAATGGGGCGTTCCAGTCGCATCTGTGCTGAATGGACAGGGGGCCAGGGCTGGATTACTGTACATGTTACATTGATTTGGTAATCACCTGAAAGCCCCACCGCAGGATTATTCTCAGGGTTAGGGTTTACCCCACACCTAGAATCGCGCTTCATAGCTGGTGGCCTTCGGCCTGTAGTTTTTAGAGGACAACCCATTCCATACCGTTCTTTTCACACCCCAGAACCTCAGGTGGTGCTGGTGCCGGTGCCACCTGGTTCCAACTGGCGTGGGTGGTGGCTGACCCGGGAAGATTCATCTAACGGGCTCAGACGCAAGCCGGCTTCTTTTATTACTCTGCGCAAACAATAATTAATTATCCCAAAATTCTACCGAAGAAACGTTGCCCACAGCACAAAGATGAACCCAGAGAGGGCCATAAGACGGGCCACCTTCGACAGAGGCTTGCTTCCAGAGGTTACGCCTACAGCGACAAATCTACACTCCACAGGCTGGCTAGCTGCATGCACTTGCGCCCAATGCCATGTTCGCCAATAGACCAGCCCCGCATGTGGGCCCGAGCAGCTATATAACTCACTCTCGCCAAGGGGCGCCCGCATGCATCTTGCATTCCACTATCCTCCTGCATCTTGCATCCCACTATCCTCCTGCATCTCTGATCAAATAATTAACAAAGACGCGGCATTGAATACTAGTTCTAATTAGCTGGCACTGCCACGAAACCCAAACAGCAACCATGGCAGAGCCGCAAGTCCAAGATGCCGGCTCAAGCGCAGGCATAGCTCCCGTTATAGAAGAAATAGCAGAAAGGCAAGTCTCTCATTCCCGTCAATTAGGCCTAGACCTAGGTACTTACCTGGAACACCCCCAAACTCACACATGGTCATCAATTGCCCCAAAAACAGACTGGACGAGCAACACACCTTCACCACCCAAACCTTCGGCTTCCTCATCCACCCCAACATCCCGGCGCTGCCGCCCAACGCCAAGATAGCCGACGTCGGCACGGGCACGGGCATCTGGCTGCTGGACGTGGCTAAGACGCTGCCGGCGACGTGCGAGCTGCGGGGGTTCGACGTCTTGGCGTCGTCGTTCCCGGCGCGCGAGACGTGGCCGGCCAACGTGACGTTTGCGACACACGACATGCACGCGCCGTTCTCGGCTGCCGAGCTGGGCACGTACGACGTCGTGGCCGTGCGCTTCGTCAGCAGCGCCACCCCGCGCGCCGCCTGGGCCCGCGCCGTCGCCAACCTCGCCACTCTCCTACGCCCCGCCGCCGGCTGGCTGCAGTGGATCGACTCGGCCAACTTCGCCCTGTACAGCTCGGCCCCCGGCGCCTCGCGCGCCGCCTGCCAGCAGATCTACGACGGGCTGCGGCCGTTCCGGCCTGCACCGAGAAGTGCGCGCGCGCGGAGAGGAGATGGCGGCGGTGGAGATGGCGACGACGACGACGACGACGCCGCCGTCATCGGCTTGATGATGCGTGAGCCCGGCAACCTGCGGCGGCCAGACGTGTGGCGCGCGCTAGGCCTCGTCGACGTGCACGAGGACGTCTTCTCGACCGACCGCCTGCAGGACCCGGCGCTGCGGCTGCGCGACCGCGGCACGCGCAACGTCATCGAGTGCTTCGTCGGCTGCCTGCAGAGCCTGGTTGGCGTCGAGGGCAGCGGGTGGACCAGGGAGCGCATCGAGCGGCTGAACGCCGAGGCCATGCGCGAGATCGACGCCGGCGTCTATCACACGCTGGACCAGATCTGCATCGTGGGCAGAAGGGCGGGCTAGCTAGGTTTGGTTCGAGCGAGCGGGCGTAGTATTAACGCGATATTTATAATTAATATCGGCAGTTCGCGAACGAGATTCCGTAGGCTAGAATACAAGATCCTTATTTGAGGCATTTCGGACAACGTTATAAGACGCTGTCAAGCCTGCCTCTTCGTAACTGAGTACCGATCTGGTAGAAGAATGATACCTTTCTCACCAAAGCTCGAATGGATTTTTTATAGCTTATCGAGTCTCACTCTTCATTAGACTCGTCTTCCTCCCCCTCCGATGCGTCTTCCTCTTTCCCGCTGCTTTCCTACTCGTCCTCGTCCTCGTCCTCGTCTTCGTCCTTGTCATCTTGGTTAGCCGAGGAGGTCTCGACGTACCCTCCTTCTCGTCACTAGCCCTAGAGCAACAGGTCCACAGGAATCCCTCCAGGTATTCCTGTCGATTCTCAAATGTATTGAAGTCATTTTCCTCGTTATCTTCCCATATGTAAGAATCTTCGTTATACTCCATCTCGCCTATTCCCCCCCCCCGATTAGATACGATTGTCAGTCGATTGCACTCGCACACGCGCGGGGGATGCCTGCCGGCGGGGACAACGCTGGGTCTGGCCGGGTAATTATGGATGGTACCAGCAGCCGTTGACCTTTCTATTATCGGCCTCGTCGAAGACGTTGTCACACTCGCCGTAGATGCTCGCCCCCCATTTTGCCTTACGCTTGGTGCCAGGCAACTCCGCCACGCGTAGGGCATTGGGCTCGAGGTGCCCCAAGTATCTCTGTGCAGTTGCCCAGTTGGCCGGGTTGTTGCAGAGCGCGATGAGAATGGCGCGGACCGTGCCGTCCGACGCGAACCTGAGGGCGTCCATATCCATGGCTGGATTTTGAGTGCTCTATACCCGTGACTATAGACAGAGCTGCAAATCTTGGTCTGTTTGGTGATAATGGTCAAGTCAAGTCAAGTCAGCTGTTGGGCACGGTTTCGACGCGGTAGGACGTGCAACTAGCAAATTTGATAAACATGCCAGGATTCGCTAATTAAATAAAGAAAAGGTAGTTCAGGTTAGTACTCAAATACTAATAGCGGGGACCTCGGTTGAGCTAGCGGGCATTATTCGCGGTGTTGTGATCTGCGGCAAGGATTTTCAGGCATCGCGACTAACATCGTCATCATCGTGACATCCTATCTTGGTCTCATGTGACGAAGACATTCAGAACGGTCTTTTGACTCTGGGCGCCTCAGAGATCGATTGGAAGCCGGAACAAACGATTAATTCCGGCCCAAAAATATGCCCTCGACTTGGTAGATCTAACCTATACCCGCTTCCAGTGTAGAGGATAGACGTATGGGAGAAAGTATTATATCGCCTAGATTTAAGTCACTCTAAGCCGCATCCGAGCCACATCCGAGCCACAACCGAGTTCAACCTTGAAAAGACCCTCTATAACGCTCACTTCCTAGTACTACTACTAGGTTTCCTTTATTTACTTGTTGGGTATAAATAGGGCCTTCCTTTCCTATATCCCTAGCCTTTTTCAGACAGACAATTCAATGCGCTGTCAACTGCGATCACGTGCAACATATTGAATACAGCCTAGGTATTCTGCGACTAGGAAGTTTTCTACCCAATGACCACAAGAGTCCCAAGAGCAAGGAAATTAAGCAGAACGGTTTGGAATCAAAGAAATATACAATAGATAGGGAGAACATTGAAAGAACGATTGGGGGAACAGTGAAAGAACGATTGGGGGAACATTGCAAGTAGTGAATCCATTTCCTCCGCAGCCACCAAACGTCACATACAACACTGCATTGACTGACGGCAAAAGAGTGCTTGTATTTGGAAGAAGTAAAAGAAAAAAGAAAGGGCAGGTGCCCTGGCCGGAAATGGTCAGCCGAATCACGTGACGCGGCTTCCTCCGGCACAAAAGCTCTAACCCCCAATCAATGAAGACGGCCGACCAGCCAGAGCCCAGCCGCAAGTAGAGAACTAAGAAACCCTCAGCGCCTATACCTTACGGAAGTTTATCTGCCGGGAACCCGCGAATTAAGCCTAGGGCTAGGGGGGTCACAAATTGGGCGCGAGATCCCAGACGTGGGTCTGGTTGAGGGGCATGGCCTGCCGGAGTGGGCAGCGCGCCGATTCGAGGTGATCGGCAGTCCGACCCGGCTTCTCTTGGGGCTCTCCTTCATGTCCCTTCTCGACCTTGGTGCCTGTGTGGGGGCTGAAGCATCCGCCTCGTAGAGGCTGAAGCATCCGCCTTGTAGAGAATGCTGGCAAGAAATGAGCAGATAATCAAACAACAGGGAATGGAATTTGATCACGTATTCGATCACGTACATTCACCTCGCGAAGAAGCCAGTCGCTCGAACTAGGGATTCATATTTCCGGTGATCTCATGATGTAGTCGTAGTTGAAGCGAGCAGTACTGTCGGACATGGCGGTCGGCATTGTCTTTTCAAGCGAAGAGCCGTGCACATCCCTCGTGTGGACACTTGAAACAGTCCTCCTCGCGGGGCTTTTGGTGGCGAAACCCATGCTTCCGCAGGTCCTTGCGCGAGTGGGTGGAGTATTCGCAGCTTGAGCACAAGTGCTTCTTCCTCCGACTGGGGCCCGGCGGAAACGAGGGATTTGATGGAGACGACACGTCGCCTAGCGAGTCCGCTGACGTTGATGGGCCCGGGGTGACAACAGAGACGGGCTGGCCGTGCCGGAGGGGGGTCGACGGCCAGCCGCACAGGCTCGACTGGGTGGGAAGGGGGGAAGAGTCGAGGTCGAGCCAAGAGTAGCCAAAATCGGGGAGAGAGTCGGGAGTGGGATGTGGTGGTGAGAGGAACGAATTGATAGCTCCCCAAGCGAATGTACGAGGCAGTAGGACGCTTGGAGAGGGGGGGGGCAAACCCTCGAGAGGGGGGAGCAAACCCTCCTGAATGGCCCAGTAACGCTTGGTCGTAGGAAGCTATATAAATAGGAGGAACTCTGGCGACGTCTTGGAGTGCTGATGGGATGGGATCTGGGTCATACGAAACTTCGAAATCTGGGGCAAGTATGCCGAACCAAACTCGTCTGGAACTGATGAGCTCTCAAAAGGCCGCCGCCTTTTGGGGGCGGCGGCCTGCTGAGCTCAATGAACAGACAACAAAGTACTGGCGCAGCGAACTAGGCTCTCGCCAAACTTGGCCCGACCACGGGCAGACTGCAAAAGTCGCGGTGGACTGACGGGCGGGGTTGGAGAAAGAGAGGAAAGAAGAGGGATGGGACGGGGGCTGGGAGCCTTGTTCTTTATTAGCGACCGAGACTTGCCTGGCCCTAAGGAGTGGCCGTAGGTACCTCCTCCACACTGCCATGAGTCCCCCTCCTTTTCAGCCAACCGTGCATACGAGTCCCTCCGACCAGAACACGCCCAATTACGCCCCACTGTTTCCGCGGGACTCAGCCGCTTGCCACGATGCGCGCCGGAGATCAATTGGGCCGACCAAGGGGGACTCGGAGTCCCACGGCGACAATTGGGCTTTCGCCGCCCTGTGTTGGTGAGTTTGGGACTCGGCGCACGTCTTTTTATCGTGAGTCCCTGCTCGGCGTAAAACTATTCCCTCCTGCCGGTGGCGAATTTAGGACTCGGCACCCTTTCTTTCCCCTTGCATTGCGTAGTCACAGTAATCAAGACCATAACAGGCGCAAATGGCTGCAAGCACTAGACACGTGCCGCAGAGCCTTAGGGTGGCCTATGGGTCTAACATTTGAGCGAATGGCGGCTTGACACAAGTCAGGTCTCCCGCAGTCCAATGAAGATGAGTGTGCATGAGCCGCTTGAGTCCCTTGAGTCCCTTGAGTCCCTGGGACTCCTTCGGGACTCGCAAACACGGGGACCGAGAACAAGACTGACTGTTCATGAGGCTGCGGCGAAAGAATGTTAGCAACGAGATAAATCCACGAAGATTTATAGCAGTCTTCCTGTTTGTTGATGGCATAGGAAGCCATCGTCAGTGCCTGATCGCCAATTCATCTGCATCTCAAAATCATCGCTCTCGGCTGTCAATTCGAGCCATTTTTCGCCTACGATGTCCCATTCAAATATCGATTACGTCGCCGTGCAATATGCATCTAAGCACGGGTACGAGAAACTCCCCATAATCAAGTTTCCATCTAATCACCTCAATCCACCCACCGCTAACACTTACATTCGCACCGCAGAGACCAGGACGCTGTTCGGCGCGGGGGCGTAGGTTCCAGAGAGGCTGAACCCGCCAACATCGGAACCCTGAACACAATCCAACAAAACAGCGACAGCATCCAGCAGCAGGAGGGGAACGAAACGACCATGGACCGCTACTTCAAATCGAATTTACCGTGGTCGCATGTATCCTGCAGGTCAAGCTGAAAAACAAGGGTATGCTGCTAGAAAAGGTGTGCGCGAGCTGAGAGGAGTTGTCGGGACGTTGTGGTCAAGCCTTCATGTATTCGATAATTGCGTTCATCTACCTAATTATGCACAGTGGATGTGAATTGGTGTATTCTCTCTGACAGAGAGAGTTGGGCCGGTTGGTAGCTGTCCGATGTTAAGTGAGCGAGGTAAACATGGCCCACTTGATGAAGTTTCTTCTCCTACTTATCTACCGTAAGGTGGACGTGGCGTTCGAGGGCTGGCTATACGGCGTAAGCTCGGTGACACGACTGAGCGTTGTGTATTGGGAGCGGCCAGGTTCGACGAGTAGCTGCGTGCCGCGGGCGCCAAGCCGCCCGATAGTATCCGGCAGACGAAATTCGGCAGGAAGGCCTTGATCAACAAGCAATACCGGTATATTTGAGGAGAGGTCAATAGTATTTCTTGTTAGGTTGGTTGAGGTCACACGATGTTGGTGATATCCCGTGCCGTCATCGTCAGCGATATGATGTGTGAAGAAGTTAATGTTGGTGCCGTCAGTAGTAAAAGTCGCAACCTCTGCATGGCTAGCTGGGTCGGGTTTCCCGATATATGAAAGGGCCTGGTTCCTCACATAAATAAGAGCCGTTTCATTAAAGGCGCTCTGTAGCCTCGCTTGTTGAACGAGCCTGGGGCGAAGGGAGCACGTTACATGGTTTTCTTGAGGAAGTGGTAATTACCTAGGTAGCGAGTGATGATACTAGGTGCCAGGTCTTAAGTCAGTAAACAGTCAACAGTAAACAGTCAACAGTGCAAAGATCAATGCTTGGTCGCATGCTGCCTCCCATACCTGAGTGATCGCTGATCAGCACAAATGTTGTCCAGTTCCTTACCTTGAACCCCCTATGTTCAGAATATGCAATCCCCTGTATTTCTAACCTGAAATTTCAGTAACGACTAGGGCAACTTAGATGTTTTCTAGACACCGACTGTTTCTACGTAAGGATCATTTGTCCCCAACGCCCGTCAGGCAAGCCCTCTTACGGCCCAAGAGCGGGGTCGGTGTCGGACTGTCGGTGGGCATGTATGACCACACATATAGACTGGTGCGCCCCTTCCCAACGAAACTCGCAGCGGAAGCGGTTGCCGGAGACGAATTGGCGTCCGGCAATGGCAGATTCTCTCCTGTTAGGAAGTGCAACCTGGAGGGGTGGGGAGGAATTTCTACCTAGGGGAGGAATTTCTACCTAGTTTTCCGTTTCTCAACGTCGTCAGATCCCCGTCCCACCACGGCGCCAAGTCAAGCTTCCCCACAAACAGCCAGAACCAGGCATCCCAATCCCAAGAGTCCACAGCGATGAGCTGAATGACCAAAATTCCGTCGGATGTCCATTTTCAATTATCGTACGTCCACAGCAACACCGTAGAAGAGGTAGCTTAGTGTTATCCCGGCAAGCACGAAGGCATTCCAGTCTCTCGCCGCCTTCTTTGCACCTCCTGCAGCGCGAGAAGGAGAGGGCTCGGCCGAAGGTTTTGGCCTTGCCAACTACGATCTCAACCTAAACAACTTCCTTGTTGATTGGGATTTCAACGTACTCGCCGTTATTGACTGGGACTCGGTCGTCTCGGTGCCCGATGCGGCCCTCTACCGCTTGCCATTTGCGATGGGCATCAGCTGCGCTGTTCCTGGAGTTGTCGACACACACCCCGCCGTGATGAGACGAGAGCAACTCAGGAGCCGGTTTGCCGAGGTTGTGGAGGCAGTAGCACATGAGAATGGCCCCAAGTTGCGAAAAAATGGCCCGCGTACGTTCTCAAGAAGCCGGGATTTTTCTCTAAAGAAGCGGTCGCGATCTGCTCGCTGGTCTGGTAAAAATGAAGCAGGATGCCAGGATTGGGTAACGAAAAGTGGGTGGCTGCAGGGTCTGAAAAGGCTGAGCAAGCACGATGAGCCGCAGGTGGCGGAGTTTTATCTTGAAACTTGCAGCCGCGATAACGATTTCGGCGGTAAAAGCCCCACCACAGGATTATCCTCAGGGTTAGGGTTTACACCACACCTAGAATCGCGCTTCATAGCTGGCGGCCTTCGGCCTGTAGTTTTAGAGAGGACAACCTATTCTATACTGTTCTTTTCAGCGGTTCTCGTTGTCCTTTCTTTCCTCAGAGTTCGCGATAGTAGATACCTACCTAGCGTCTCCATTCTCCCGTCTCAGCTTGCTCGATCTGGCACGCCCTAACCCGTAATTACTTGCAGGATTTAGAGTTTTATTCATCCCGTTTCGCTTCCCAGAGAGAATGCAGACTTCTTTGGGCCCAGTCAATCCCGAAAGGGGCCGTTTATTCCAACGCTACCACGCGGCTCCATTCTAGATCACTAAAACAGCCGTTACGTTGTCTCGGCACGGTTCTGTGACAGCTCCGACTAATCGAACTAATTTATGAGCCCAGGAAAGAGAACATGTTTCGGCCAGCTGGCCACGACTAGACCATGATTTCCTGCAGACCTTCCCGGGGCATTGACGCCTGGAACCTGCTTCAGGATTGTCTACCAAGCAGCTCACGCAAACTATATACCTTGGCGAACGTTTGGGGCCAAGAGAGAGAGTCTGGCGTCTTGAGGCTTGCTGAATCAATAGTCTACCGCTCGCCTCAGCTGCGACGTGGGACGTGGTTTCTGGGCGATACTTCATAGCCTCGGCCAAGTAGCTGCACGGCCGGGGCACTGATGCTCTTCAGGTTGTTATACCACTGCTGCACTCTTCCTGACAGTTCACCTCCCTGTGTTGTCGTATGACGTGGTTCCTGACCCACGTCTCTAGCGTTCCTATGCCGTACATGTATTCTTTCCAGGCCTCGAGGTAAAATTCGTAGCGGCGGTAATCGTCGTTGTACACGGCACGCATTGCTACCGTGAGCTGGCGTGCATGTTGGATAGGCGGTACCGCATCAGATTAGTCCGTGACGATCGGGGCCGCGGGCTTCGAGGGTGGCGGCACCGGCGGCTCTTGAGCAGGATCGACGTATTCCCAGATCATGAGGGTCTTGGCCTTGGACCGGTATGAAGCGGACCAGTCTGGCCAGTCTTTGGGGCCGGCGAACGATGTGTCTGTTGACATTGTGATATTGTTGCGTATAGCTTCACTTTCGTAGCGTTGCAAGCGTTGTAGCGATTGAAGGCGTGATTCGATTGCGTTGCGCGTATCAGACTGTTCATTGTCACATACAACACTACATTATTTTCGGGCAAAAGAGTGCTTCTGTTCGGAAGAAGGAAGAGAGGTCGGGTGCCCTGCTATATGAGGAAAAAGAGGTCTTCGTCCTTGAGTGGCCGAAAATGGTCAGCCGCATCACGTGAAGTGGCTTCTTCCCGGTGTTGTCGTGGTTCGAACTCGCAGATCACGCAGCAGTAGGAGCTGTGGATGCCGTTAAACGGCGTGTCCTGTCTCGGGGCTGCCGACCCGGGCGTCTACTTGGATCTTAAGACGCTCACCGTGGCCCTCCAGGCCAACCACATCAATGCACAAATAAGGCTGTTCCCGTACCTCGACCAGATCAAGGCCTGCATGGTCCGGTATAGTGTTGTGGGAAATGTTAGAATTGTCGAAGATTTATTAGTGCTGCGCAACAGGCTACCTGCTTATGGCAGCTGGAGTCTCGATTTTAATGGCACCCGCTTGCTAGAATATTAATAAGCGCATGCCGAGAAAGGGTCTAAGCTTGCTGAGATGAGGGAAAGAGGCTTGGTCGTAGATTCCTAGTTTTACGCCTCCCCTTAGTCCCCTGAATGGCCGCTAGCTGGGAGCGAGTAAGATTTGGTTGAGGTATTAGGTATAGATAGCGGGTGTATTTCTTCACTACCTAACTCTAAAATGTTTTGGCTACGTATTTTATAATAGCCTGCACGTAGGACGTTCACATACTATAAGGAATCAACCCCCTAATCCTTCCTCCCAATCGCCCCGTAACATCTGTTCCTTCCGTCATTAACAAGCAAAGCGAGCCTCACTCCTCACAATCGCCCTGAGCGCACACACATTCTATCATCATCATCATAATCGAACCTATCCACCAATATGGCCGATAAGCGAACAATCACCCAGCCCGATCAGCTGACTCTCTACCCTATACCGTCCGTGGGCTTGCCGGTCTCGCGCGTCGATTAGATTATCGCCGAAATTCGTAATCGCATCTCTAGCCGAGTTAAGGTCGAAGAGGACTAATGGTGCGGCGTCCTCGACCGCGGCGAGTTCAAGGCTTTTGAGGCGCGCTTCAAAGCCGAAGGGGATTACCGCTGGCCAAAGTAGGTAGCCCATTATTAAAAACCACTCGACTATTAGGGTCGTCTGTCTGTAAGGGAGCACGGGCTCCACGGGATGCTGGGTTGGTAATTATGAAGATAGAACAAAGGGCAAGCTCCTATCGCACGGGTAATACAGTCAAATCGGAATGCCACTCAAAGTATATGAGCGCAGTGAATGTGTATTGCTTGCTTGAAGAACCAAGCAAGAACTATCTAAGGCCGTGGCTATGGCCGTCGTATATATCTATCTAAGGTGGGCCAATTAGGGCGTTGCTCTGTTGCTCTCATTGTGGGGACACAGAGCACATTGCTCTGTTCTCCACACGACAGAGCAACTGTGGGTCCATCTGCTCTTCATCGATGGGACTGGCCGGGGCGGGTCCCGCCGCCCCTGCCCCGCCTTCAAGCCAGTACGAATAGGGATTCGTTGTCACGGCCGGCTTGGAATGAGGACGGAACTCCTCTATTGGGCGCTATTGACGAAGATTCTAAACTAAAGGGAAAAGGGAAAAGAAGCTCAAAAGCCTCCCCTCGCGAGATTCTTCCAGGGCGTCTCAAGGTGGGGCTCTGGCCGAGCTTCCATTAGTCAGTTGGGTGGATCCCTCTGGCTGGTCGGGTGGATCCACCCGGCTGGCGTCTGATTAGTCAGAGCGTCTGGGAGGCCTGGAGGACCAGGCCCTCACATTCGTGACATTTGGTCGATAGGGAACGGATCCTTCGTATAGGGCTCAAAGATTTTGGGTACTAGCCCGATTACCTCAGAATCGACGATATCCCCGGGGAGTTTACTATTCCGTTTTCTTAACTTTATAGAATAGTATAGCGGGCTGAGGGTCTAGCGGCGCGTATAGGTTCGCATAGGAAGGAACTAGATGGGAAATATTTGAAGCGGCCAATAGTTGTCAACACTGCATTGATCGAAGGCAAAAGAGTGCTCTCGTTCCCAAGAAGTAAAAGAAGGAAGAAAGAGCAGGTGCCCTGCTATATAAGGAAAAAGAAGTCTTTGTTCGTTGAGTGGCTGGAAATGGTCAGCCGGATTACGTGACGCGGCTTCTTCCGACAATACTTCGGTCACTATCATAGTAACTCACAGAATTAGACGAGGAGCGGTTTAAGGTAGCCGAGAAAAGAGTTAAGAGGATTCTATTTTGGGGTAGGTGGCAAAGATAGAGCTTGTAGAACTAATAGGCGTCGTCGGTATACTTGGATGCGCGGATCCTGGGGTTCTTGGTAGTCGCTCTGTACCTACCCGGCATTTCTTCCTACGCGCGGGCTAGTTTCCGTTCTTTCCTGCACCAGGCCAATGGAAGCTGAAGGCAACCCCTTCTGGTGGAAGCTAGAGCATCTCAGCCACATGCGCTGCAGATGGGCTTACTTTACAATTCGGGCTTCAACCTCCCGCACTCGGCTACCCTTCCTCGCTATGTTTTTTTTTCAGAGAATAGGTGAGCCAAGAAAGCGCTTCTTAACTGCTTCAAACTTGTCACCTCCCCATCTCGTTTCCTGGTCTCATTCTTACCTTATCTATCAAATTAGGCTGCTGTGCATGCCAATAATTACAAATTGACCCATTGATTGAACTGTCAGGCTCGTCCGCGAGGACTGGGTGAGTGAGGGCTAATTTAGACCATGGCAGGCCCCCTCTCAGCAATCAGCCTGGCAGGCAGCATCATCCAGTTTGTCGAGTTTGGCACAAAGCTTGTGAGCAACTCGATCGAGATCTACAACAGCACGTCGGGCAGTATCCAAGAACACAAGGAGCACTCAATAGGAATGAGCTCGAGAATCTTGCCCGCCGCTTGGAACGCATGAGGGACTCCATCTGCGCACACTTGAACTTCCTTACCTCGCACGTTTCTGATCCCTTTGGGTCTTGATTCTCACTCCCAGAGGCACATCTGATGCTGATAGCGCACTACTTGCAGCCATCACCGCACCGAGATGGAGCATTTCCTTGGCCAGCTAGGCAGCCTGGGAATTCATCTTCGGCCCATGGCCCAACCTCAACTAGGCACCCTCACTACCCAAGTGGCCACTATGAAAAATCTCTTGGTAACCCGGATTGTCGCCTAGTGCAAAGACCTGGTCCATATCACAGAGAACAAAGACCACGAGAACACGCCCTGGAGTCACACGGCCCAACTCCTCCACCGAACCGTGGCCGACTTCTTTAAGACTCCTGTCATGGACGCCTTGCTAACCAAGCGGGCGGGACAAGGATTATAGAGACGAAAAATCGCCTTGGAGAGTGCTCGTTAGGTGGTGGCTACCACCAGGTATAAAAGAGTCGCACCCGGCTTCATACCAGTTACTGCATCTGATGTTGTGGTTCTGATGTTGTGGTTTGGGGCTGTTCCAGCAGCTGGGGGCTGGAACCTCAGCGAAGTCGGCCGACCATCTCTGCAGCGGGCTGGACTTGACAGGAAAGCTTTGTACCAAGCACCATAGCCACCCACTCCCAAGTGCCAATTAAGCCTCCGGCAAAGTTGTCCGTATCAATTGATTGTAATGTCCATTGAGCCTCTCTCATCTATCTAGGTAGTTAAACCCTATCTAGGCAATCCCTCCGTACACAATCCTCGCCGGAAAATTCTGGCCGTCCACCGGGAACTAGCAGCGTTCCCCTTCATCTGACACCGAAAAGTCCTCTAGAACTAATCACTTGGCGACGCCACCGCTTGCTGAGCTGCCACTAGCAGCAGCAGCCACTTCTATGGCCCGAGCCGCCGCCGCCGCCGCCGCCAATCGCACCGTGTCACACGAACCACCCTCTACAGAACCGGTCGACCTATCGGAAGACTGTGCAGCCCCAAGAGTTGGGCGGCGAAGAAATGAGTGGCTCACTCAGCTGAGACAGGGTGCTGAATGTATCCAATCATGGAATACAGGTAGCCGCCCTTACCAGGCCAACAAAGTAGGCCTTCAAGTACCGAGGCCAGTCTTCCCCTGGGCATAAATAGGCCCCCTGGGCATAAATAGGCCTTGCTCCAAGCAACAAGATTGCAAAAAGCAAGGACCTTGAGGCCAAAGAAGATTATTGCGCACTAGCACTTCGCTCCAGGCCATCTAACCCTACAGCCAGATCCCCTTGTCATACACCGCCTGCTGCCCCCTGCGTCCCATGGCCCTGGCTGTGGCCATGGTTGGTGATGGGGGTTTTGCCGTAAGATTCCGACCGCCGGCAGGTTGGGAAATTGCAGTATCTCTTTATACCCGGCCCTTAAATCCCTAATCACTCGTAATAGGCCTAATATTTATTCCCTACGACTCTATAACTACAACAAATATGAACTAAAAGGCTGTCTGTTAACCGACTGTTTCTCTATCTCTTTATTTAGGCTTTCAGGGGTATTTTAAGCGTATTTCCGTAAGCAAATAGCATTAATAAAACAACTTTATGAGAGCCTATGTGTGCTAGGCACAGGTTAACCGAGCTGCTGGCTAGGGTCACCATTTGCTACTACACACATCGTTAGCATTAGATGTAACTATAATAACGACTCTCTGGCTTAACCACTCTCTGGCTGAGCCAGGGAGCCAGGGAACAAGCAGTATAATCACCATTCTACTTTATCCACAATTGAGATCTAAGGTACCATGCTTCCGACAACTTAATTCCGCCGCTCCCCCATTGAACCACTGCCTCAACCCCTTGCCTCCTGCCTCATCTCATTGCCCCCCCCGCTCCCCCCCCCCCCTCCCCCCGCCCCCCAACGGACACTGTGTCGCCTCGTTGCCCCCCAATGGAACACTGCGTCACCCCGCTGTCCCCCAATAGAACACTGCATCGCCCCCTTGCCCCCCAATATAACACTGCATCGCTCTCTTCCCCCCAATGAAACACCACCGTATTTTAGCAAATACGCGCTGCTCAGATCAGAGGTCAATATACACATTCCAATTCTTTAAGGAATCGATCTCCGAGCTGCATCTGCTGTGTAACCACCATGCCCGTGGTCGGTTGAATCTCACGTCATCAATATGTTGCCATTGTGTGGGTTGATTAGAAGTATTTAAGTAGAGCAGCGACCTAGGCGTCAGGCCTGCAAGATGCACACTTCCCCCCACGGCTTCGGGAATCCGCTCTCCAGACAGAAGCAGGAAGAGGTCATTTCACTCCCACAGCACCCAGAATCCCCAGTGAGTGATTGCAGGGCTCTGATATGGCCGAAGTGCTGGGCATAGTGGCCAGCCTTGTCGCCATCGGCCAGGCTCTAGCCGCTATACCCACAATCGTCGACACCCTCGCGTCCGTAGCCGCCGTAAGCGATGAGCTTACAGATCTGGTGAATGAAGTATGTACCTTCCGCTCTTGCATCTTCCAGTTTCATTTTTCGGCCGACTAAACACGACTGAAGCTCGAGACCATTCGCGCCTGCGAAGCTCATGTCGACCAGGTTCTCAAGACCATGTCCATTTCCACAGCGCCAGGCTCAGACATTCAAGAGCCTCCCTCACTTCGCGCAACAAGGTCCCGGCTAGAACGAGTCATATCACAGCTAACTCGTCTTATCGACCCTTACTTGAGCGCCAACACTCGCAACGGCCAGGTGCGAGCCGTTGGGTTGAAATGGGCACTGAAAAAGAAAAGAATCGCTACACTTCTCAGCGAGACACGAGAAGCTCGCCTGGACTTGCACTTCGCCGTCAATACTATGATGCTTGAAAGTCAGCAGTGAGTCTCAGTCTCTCAGCAGAACTCTTGGCTTAGGGTCTTTTCCAAACCCCCTTTGTAAACCATGCCGACAGTTGTTGTGCAGTGCCCAAAGACTCACTATTCTTGACGTTCACGCCATCGCCACAGAGACGGCGCAGTCACTCAGGTCGATACACCAACACTCGCAGCAAGCATCGGAATCCTCCCAACTTGCTGCGGAGCGAGCCTTGACTTTATTGGAGGCCAGGACTGTAAAGCCCGCCCAGGCAGTGACGGACCCTGGTGGTCCTGCTACGCCAGCGGTGCAAATCGAAAGTGGTAGCTTTCTGGGCCAGGCAGAGCCACCCCACAACATTGGAGAAACTCCAACCGCGGGCCCGATGACGACTCAAGCATAATCCAGAACCCAAGACGAGCAGCCTACCACAAACAATATCTTGGAATTTTCTGGATCGGGCCTACAGCCGGATAGGGACTCAGTTGTCTGTGTCCATGCTACAATGCGCCTGAAGTGCGCCACCGGCTGCCGCTGCCAGTGCCATGTCGCTCGAAGGAGAGTCTCGAGCCCCCTCTGGCTGAGGCCAGTCCTAGGGTCTGTGCTGTTGGTCTACAACAATCTACCCCTTCTGGGCTTCCGGCCGTGCGATGAGCTGGAATGTCTGAACGCAAGCTCCCTGAGCCTAAACTATCGCTTTCCAACCTGGCTATGGAACCGTGTCCTGGTCTTGACTACAGCTCTTGCCAGCCTCGGCGGAACCGGTGCCTCTTTACATCTGAGAATCCCGCGCGTGGTGTATCCAGACGATAGTCTCTGGATGCTCATCAAGAAAAACGAATTGCCCAAGATAAAAATGGCCTTCTCTCGGCGGCTATATTTCCCAACAGATGTTGGTCAGTCGGGAAACTCCATTGTCCATGTAAGCACGAGCCTACCCGAGGCACCTAATCCCATAGAAATCCACCTCAGCTAATCAATATCCCAACCAGTGGAGTCTCACACGCCGCGAATTCGGCACGGTCGCGTTTCTAATGGGACATTTCTTGGAGATATATAGGTCTCAGGATATGCAAAAGTACATCGTTTCCAATTGCATACCACTAATTAGATCATCCTTCGTACCCGAATGCGGTAAAGTCGAACGAGCTAACAAGTTGCCCAACTTTTTAGGGAAATATTCGAGGCAAAGCGTCTGCTTCAGCGAAACCAAGACTTGAGCGACGCGGACAAGTGATTGCTCAAAATGATTGCCGCTCTACATGGCGACGATGGCGACAACAGTGACGACCCCTTCCAGCACCTGAACCACATCCAGCGTGCCGCTCTAGGCCTCGGCGACATGGCTACCGCTCTCGAAGGAAGTACCAAAGGGCGAGACGACCAAGACGACGGTGGCCGCGCACCGGCGCACCACGTGTGCCAACGAGGCGACGTTGATGGCCTGAGACTACTGCTCTATGCCGGCGCTCATGTGGATGTCCGGGACGACTTTGACGCAACGCCATTGATGATGGCGTCTGAGAACGGCTATGTCGCGTGTGTAAGGCTTCTCGTGGAGCTTGGTGGCGCCGACGTTGACGTGCGCGACTGCCCCGGGCGGACGGCTCTTCACTACGCCGCTGGCGCGCCGCACCTCGGCGCGCATGAGATCATTGAATATCTCTTGTCCAAGAAAGCCCGTTACGGACGGACAAATCTCGGTGCAATGCCTATCCGCTTTCTTGGCCCCCCTGACCAGAGAGGCGTAGGAGGACCATTGGATGCTGAATCCGTTGAAGCAGAGGCAAGCCAGCGCTTTGAAGCATTGCTCCGGTTTGGCGCTGCAAGTCTCGACGAGGTGGACGGGAGCGGCCGGAGGCCGGTAGATTGGGCAATGCGCGAAGAAAAGGCTAGCGTCTTGAAGGTGCTCATCCGGGCAGGAGCAATGCTGGACGGGCTCTCTCTCGACGGGCGGAGCATCCTGCACCACGCCGCCATGCACGGCAAACAGAGGACCATCGCGGTGCTGCTCAATGAGGCAGACCTCGTAAATCTCAATGTCGGCCACCGCGACAAGCACGGAGATACGCCAGAAGACTGCCTGCGCCTGCGGAAGGAGGGCGGTAGGAGATCGGACCATTGGGCTCAAGTGCGGATCCAGTCGCAAGAGGAGGAAGACGCCATCCGGACGCTGTTCCGAGAAATTCGCAAACGCAACGAGGCGGCAGATGTGCGCGTGTGCGTGTCTGTCAAGGAGGCATTGCAGCATCACGATGGCCGCGGGGCCTTGCGTTTGCTGACGCCCTTGATGGAGCAAAAGAGGGCGTGGAAGAAGGATGGCGACGTTGAAACTCTCGACGCTATCGTGATACAGATTAAGGAGAGAGTGTTCGATGCGGCGATAGAGTCTCTGGATGAAGTCATGGAACTGTGGCGCAAAGGCGAAGATTTGCTTTCGTTGGCAGTCGAGTGTGACAGAGGATAATTAGGCGTCCTCGGTAGCAAGCCGCTGTGCATGGATGGGAGCTGCCTAATGTTCCAATTCCACGCAGACTACATGTGCCGCGATTTGGACTGCTGTTTTTGGCAGGCGTGGGGCCTCAAATTTCAGCAGTCTCGGCCGCCTTGATAAGTACATCTCAGGCGGGACACATGTCCCCTCGGCGTTAACAGTACCCACACAGTACTGTCTATCCCCCCGGCACGCACGCAAGCGCTGCGCACTTCTCAGCTGGTTGGCGGGAACCCGTAACTATAGCGGTCTTGCGGCGATGAAGGCCACAAGCCTGGCTTAAAACCCGCCGTGCCTACCCTCGCTGGCATTTTTTATTGCTGAGGCCTTTTCTGTTGTTAGGAAGGAGAGGATCCTCGGTATCAAATTTTTACACCTACAACTATTTTAGGTGCTTTTGTAGATAGGGGTTATAGAGTCGGACGAAAAGCGTAACTCGGTAACTTTTGAAGGTCTAGTCGTACCAAAATCGGTAATTTACATGCAAATGCGTTCAAACCGACGTCAGGAAGGCGAAGACTACCATACCCTTGAGTCTTTTCTTGTTGCCGGGACCAGCAACGCTCGCCGAGCCGGCCAGCTACGACGCGTACTATTACAACCAAAGTTAGGGCCTGATCGGCTCGCCGTTGCGGTGTCGTTGCGGTTGGGAAAACCTGCACAAAAAAAATCGCATGGGGCCTTGCAAGGCCACTAACCCCAATCGAGTGGTAATTTCCCACATTTATCGACCAAATTTGAGGCCGAGCGCCCGGAACGATCCGTCTCGATTTATGCAATGTATCTTCGCGGGGCTCTTCGTGACACCCTGGTCAACGCCCTTCATATGGTATAGTGCACAGCCAAATCTAGTATGGTTGGCTTTTTCCCAACAGTACGGCAACCCTTCTTCGAGAAGGGTTGCCGTACCGTCGAGATCCTACGTACTGCTGCCAATGGCTTCCATTAATAACCCTCTGCTCAACGCCGTCATCACGAAAGCTGTAGTGGATGTAGCCCTACAGTATGTTGATCGCCGTCGACTACTAGGGCCACGCGACTGCGATATTATCCACCCAGAGGGGCCCTCGGGGGCCTGCCATCTTGCTGAGTCGATTCTCAGTGGCTCGGATACCCAATTCGTTGATCTTTTTCGTATGCCAAAGGCCGCTTTCCATCGATTGGTTACATGGCTACAAGAGCATACCGGGCTCAAGGGGTCCAGATACCTGACAGCCGAGCTAAAGCTTATGATCGTGCTATGGATATTCGCCCACGACGAGAGCCAGCGTAATGCTGCCCACCGGTTCCGAGTCAGCCAGTCTACTGTGAGCTCTGTTATGACGGATCTACTGGACAAGCTCGTACAGCTACACTGCGCCTTCGTCAAGCCAAAAGACGATGACTGGCTCGACCCGTCTATCGACGATGCATTCTACGGTTGTATCGGGGCCATTGATGGTACATATATCCACGCCTTCATTCCAGAGCCTCAGCAACACCAGTGGCGAACCCGGAAAGGCTTTATCGCACAGAACGTCTTCGCCGCAGTCCGATTTGATGGTGCGTTCTCGTACGTACTCGCTGGTGCTGAGGGCTCAACACACGATTCTACGCTCCTTAGCATCGCTACTGCGAATGACTTTGCGGTCCCCTCGGGCCGGTTCTACCTTGCAGACGCTGCATTTGGTGGGCATGTAGGGATTCTTACACCTTATAATGGTGTCAGATATCACCTCGAGGATTGGAGGAATGCCAAAAACCCGCCGACCACAGCAAAAGAACTATATAACATCCGGCACGCACGCCTTCGGGTTATCGTTGAGAAGGTATTCGGTATTCTAAAGAGGAAGTGGAAGATTATCCGAGCTACTGCGCCAGAGTACTCGATACGAAACCAGGTCCAGATCGTGTACGCAGTCACTGGTATCCATAACTTCCTTCTTGACACCAGCGATGAGGAGCTAGTAATTGAGGCTACACAAGAGGCTTGTCGGTATGCTGAGCAGATAATTAGGAGTCGGTATAGTAAGGATATCCGGGATGCTATTGCAGAGGTTCTATGGAGGGAGCGGGATTTCTAGCTAGTCTTCCATGACTCGATCAGAGCCTCTTTAATATCCCGGTCTACAGTGTTCCATACAACAGCATTTGAGTGCTCTTTTAGCTGCATGATACACGTTACACGCTCTGCGGGGCTTAACTGGATAGAGAAGTTGTGCATAAAGTCCTTGATCGCAAGCTGGATCTCATCCTGCCCTTTCAGGCGAAGCATGGCCTCAGCCTGCTTAACCATAGCTTCTGCTTGCTTCATAGAGGCCTCAGCTTGCTTATCGAGGCTCTGGGCCAGTGCTAATACCTCTGGATTTGTATTGGCTTTCCGAACCCTCCGGTACGACGGCGCCACAGAGGGTTGGCGAGAGTTAGCATCAGTAGCTGAGCTCGTACTCAGGACCATGGCATCCTCGGTATCGCCCTCGCCCTCGTCGTCAGGCGTCGTAGTAGAGGGGCCAAAGGCATTACTCGCGCGGATAATGTTACGGCCATGACCAGACTGGTTGGCGTATATCGTCTCATAGTCTGACAGAGTAAACCGAGCAGTCCGAAGCCATCCAGCATCCTTATATTGCAAAAGGAAGTTATTCCAGACTTCCACAGAGCCTTCCACCATCCTCTCTTCTTTGTTATATTTCGCACCTGACTTGTTAAGGAAGGTCTTGATCGTTCGGAATCGCTTCTTCTCGTTATCGTACTTGTCCCTGATCTTCTCTGCTGACCAGTGGAAGTCTGGAAAGGATTCCTCCATTGTAACAGAGATCCTCTGGAATGCCGGCCGCGTCTCGGTCAACTTGTTGATACGGAACGCTCCAGCGATAGCCTCGTCTCGGAATAACTCGATAATCTTCGCCTGCATTTCGGTTGTGTAGATGATTTTCCTCCGCCTCGTACGCGGGGTCGACGAAGACGCGTTAGGTGTCGGCTCGGAAGTAGGGCCGTCATCGGAGGCTTGCAGGCCGTCGTCAGAGGGTAGGTCATCGGCTTGAACAACAATAGAGGCCTCAGGAGCAGGAGACTCTACTGCGGTTGCCCTGATGCGGGGTCTTCTGGGCATCTTGACGATAGGTGGGTTGCTGTCGTGGCTGTATTTTGGTCAAAAAATTGCGGGAAGACAGGGCGGAAGTCACACGGGACTATGATTAATTAGGAAAAGCCTAGTTACAGGGGGTTTCGGGGTACATTGGCTGTGTCTCCACTTTAATTATGCACATGGCTCGTATCTTTTCCCAACCGCAACGACACCGCAACGGCGAGCCGATCAGGCCCTTACGAGATAACCTCGCGCGGATCATTGCTCGCTCGCTCCAGTACCTTCATTGTGACCACCTTGATCAGGCGTACCTGCCTTCACTCACACTGACCCCCGCCTAAATCCGATACATCCAATGAGGGGTTTCTGGACCCTGCCGTGACAGGCTCCTTGTGACTGTGGCTGCACCACAGTGTGGATCCTTCTGGCTTGTAGGGTGGTGCGTGCGCACAGGTGGGCCACGGGCTCTGGGGTGCTCTTTCCTTACAGCCAGGCAGATATCGCAATGAGGGGGAAGCTGTTAGAAACAGGCCAAGGGTAGCGCGGAATCTGATTGGCTAGCCTTGGTGGATCCAGCAGGGAACGCTGAGCAATCAGAATTCGGCAGTCCCGACCACGGCACATGTCTTCTGCGAGTTGTGCCTGCAGGAGTGATTGAGGCGAGAGGCCTCGAGAAACAAACCGCCGGAGCTGGCCTGGGAGCTGGCCTGGGAGCCAAGAGGGAGCACGTCGGTCCTGGCAATTCCGAGAGGTTGGCTGTTAGAATTCTCGTAGATGATAGCCAGGTCGAAGAAAGTACGTTGTTAGTCCTCGTCGAGGCGCTCCACCTCTTTTGCAACGATGCGCTCCACAGCCTTAATATCGAAATTATCCCGCGGAACTCTGAAAAGCAGAACCTCTGATTATATGCGCATGCCCTTGAGAATGTTGGTGGTAGCAACGAGCCCCTTACCATTTCGAGCTATTACCTTGATAGTATAGAGCCTGCCGACAGACTCAATTTCCTCGTCTGCGGAGAGTTGCTGTGTCTCTCGATTCGCCCGCTGCAGCTGATACGGTTGCTGGTGGAGCGGAGAGTCACGAATGTGCCGCGACCGAGAGTGAGAGTCGATGAAGCGTTTACTACAATCACAAAGCACTTTCTTAAGTTTCTGTTTCAGCATCTTCGGAGAGAGTGGTGATATCAGCGCGGGAAGCAACCTGATTTCTTTGCGGCACCAGCAGGTTGATCAGAGCGACTTCAGGTGTGGTTCATCAAATGTTGCCCGGTGGCATCCTCGGAGAATTCAGTTGGGCTGCGTCCCGTGCTCTGGCAGGACCGAGTTAACAGTGGGGTAAAGAACTAGTTGTGGCAGTGTTAGGTATTGCTGCCCAAGTACCTCCATGCTACAAGTGCTCCCGGACTCCGCCCTGCGGTCCTTGAAACGTCAAAAAGGCAGCGACATCCATTCGCCTTCCACGGGACTCAGCTTGCTGCTATGGGGCTAGCGAACCCGGCGTCCTCGTCGATAAACACGGAATGGATTGAAGACTGCCCGTCGATAAACACGGAATGGATTGAAGACTGCCCGCCTATATATAATTAGGTAGGCAAGCAAATAATTAAGGACAGAAACGTGTAATGTTCTAGGGGCGGGGATCCAACAAGGTTGCGCAAACCTCTACGACGAGGCGTCTCAATTGCCTTGGCTAGATCCAGGGTTAACTAGACCTAGAGTTAATATTAGTGACCTCTTTGTCTGAAACTAGGGCATAAAGAACCCGACTCTGCGCGTCATGATTCATCAGTTTAGTTACAGATTGGAAAGTGATTGCAGGCTGCATCGGTTCAGCTTGTGTTTTGACCTAAAACATGGTCCCATCCAGGTTTGTCGGCAAGTACCCCGTGGTGGGCACCTCTTCAAGCGAGTCCCCGTTTCCCTTACTTTCCTTTTCTCTAAAGTCTCGTAGAATTTGGGATGTGGGGTTTGCCACGTTTTGAATTGTCTCACGCCTTGACTTGTAGTGCCACATATTCCCTTGTTCTACTTGATTGTCACTGGAATGCCTACCTAGGTGCCTAGGAGGGTATTCACCGTGAAGCTAGCCTGTGGCTCGCCTTTGTTTATCGTTCTCTAATTAGTCTGTTGCTGTCTTGCCTAAGGTGGTTACTCCGTCGGCGCATCGTGGCGGTAAGACGTAATGTGCGCAGTCGTCTAGGAATGGCAGCGCCTATACGTATAGCAACGGACAAAGAGGTTGGGGTCCAACATAGTGGGGAGTCCAATATAGTGGAACCGCGTTCCTAGTTATCGACTTTAGTCTGCTTATTCGAGTAGGAGTGTCTCAGAATAGGCAGCGCCTAGACGTATGGTAAAGGACAAAGAAATAAGAGTCCGTATAGTGGAACCGCGTTCCCAGGGTCGACTTTGGTTTGGTCATTCGAGTAGGGTTGTCTCGGAGACAAACCATCAGAGCCCTTGACTCTCCTTGTCCTGTTTTTATACCTAAGGCACCTTCTCAACCTCTTATTATCTCTCGTTACCTGTCGTCGCCTCCACCCAACCTACCAGCACTCCTTCTCTCGTTTCTTTTGTTTTTCAAGACACACGCGCAGTATGGGAGCACAAGACACGCGCAGTATGGCAGCACAAGACACAGCCAAGCTCGCTGCACTCGCTTTTGACATAGTTCGACACGTGCACATCAAGACAAATACCCACGCAGGCACCAAGATCAAGGAAAAAAAAGGGTAAGATCATCTTCTACTCCCGCGATGCTGAACAACTGTTGTTGAAGTATGGATCCATCCCCTTTCCCGACGGCTTCCCCGCCGACATCTGGGATTATTGATTGCGCGGTGTTGATTTCACGTTTGAGATGCTCGAGGCCAGAGGAGCCGTTAGCGCCGAGCAGGTCCACGCGGCCGTGGAGGACGTGCCGGACAGCAAGCTGTACCCGGAGCTGCCCTTTCCGGGCCCGTGACGGTGGTCGGCGAGCCCGTCGCCGAGAAAGACGTCTTTCTCAAGCGCATGCCCCTTGAGCACTTTGAGTATGATGACCAAATCAGGGTGGGCGAAATATTATCGCTGGGGCAACGATAAATATCGCTTATCGCCGATAATCGTGCGATATCGTCGATAAATATCGATAACATTGATAATGCTTAGTCAGCTATCAATCTATCTCCGCCTCAACCTCCACAACTCGTTCTCGAATACATCCTGGCTCCCCCGTAAGCCCTGACCTAATCCAATGCTTCAAGCATTCAAGCATTTCCACTGTACTTTCTCCTAGTCGCATTCTTTCCCACGTTATCGTACGACCAGCCCCAGAAAAGACCCTTTCCGGCTCAGCACTCATTGCCGGGATTGATAGGATGTTGATTGCCAATTGAGATAGCTTCGGCCAGCGTCTTCGTTGCTCTATACGGAGCCACCAATAGAGAGATGATCCTTCGATTTGACGAGGTGGCTCTGACAAGTACTCTTCAAGTTCATCTTTGCTTGGTGGCCTTGGAAAGTTCTCAAGACCTCGCATTAAGGTATCCAAATCATCATTCGGATTCGGATTCTGATCTTGGCTCCTCTCCTTCTCAATCAGAAGAGCTGACTGTGGTTTATTTTCTGCTCCTTTGAAGTTGATCCAGAGCGTTTTGACCGCTTGGATTGCTGGCTTGACCCATTTTTTCTCCCAATTATACTTGAGATATTCAGTCTTCCTCGAAGGATGGAAAAGAATCGCAGCAGCATAATACGGAGTATCTTCCGTTTTGGCATAGTATTTGTCGAAAGTCTGCCAGCTCTTTTGGATTCGTTGAGAGATAAAGGGATTAGATTTGAAGGTTTCCTGGCTCCTCCTATAATGCTGAACCAACGCATCCATAACAAGAAGAACTCGGTCGATTGTTGCATGATCTCCCTCAGTAGTTTTTGTTGCTGAATAAAACGGCTTAAGGAAGGATTGGATAAATCGAAGAATCTCCCAATCTTGCGGAGAAAGAAAGTCAGACTTCAGCTCTTCGTACCAAGCTTTCGAATAGGTATCAAGGGCTGATTCCTTTTCCAGTGCAACTCTTAACATCTCGTACCAGCTATTCCACCTTGTGCTATTATCGAGAGGAATATTCCGGCCGGCAAGAGTTTTAAACTGATTCGTACGAGAGACTGAACCACGGATGTGGATGACGATATTATGAAGCTTTCCAAGGGGGCCGATATTGCGAAAGAAGCCCGATTCGAAATCTTCTTCTTCTTCATCCTTTTGGAAAAGAAACGCTTGGACTGCTAGGTTGATAATATGCCCCGTACATCTGATTCGATTCTCTGACGCCTTCCAGTAGAGGCCTTCTTCTTCAAACTTCGAATCGAGAAGTAAACAAAGTTTGTCATTAGAGGTAGCATTATCGCCGATAAATGCCCCAATCTTGTGATAGATTCCGAAATCCTGAAGAGTTTGGAAGAGAATATCGTGCTGGACCTCAGAGTGGTGTGAAGGAATAGAATGTAGAGCGATTAGGGCCTTGACTAATTCCTCGGTTTCGAAATCCACAAATTGAGCACAAATCCCTAGGAATAGCTTGTGATTTGGAGAAGTCCAAATATCCAGAGCAAGGTGGATTGTTGAGAGCGCTGATTGGAGCTTCTTCCGTAGAATATCTTTATGAAGATTGAACGAGCTGCTAATCCGTAGTTTAAGCGTCGAATGTGATGAGATAAGACTCTGAGCCTCAGGATTTAGCTCCTGACAAAAGGCACGAAAGAATGGGCTCTCGATAATCCGGAAGGGAAGATTTTGGGTGACAATCATAGCAACAAGGGCTTCATTGAGGGTTTTCTGGTTGAGAATCTTCCTCATAACTCGGGTATCCAATTCAGAAGTCTGATCGATTTCCGATGCCTTGTTGTATAAGAAATGAAGAGATTGAGATGCCGTACGAGATGGGGCTTCGAGGGTGATAGCATGCTTGCGAAGGTGAAGTCGTACATTCGTGGTGCTTTGCCCAAACCAAGGGCAGTATTGGCAATAGTAGAGACGATTTTTGCCTTTGTGTGAAGGCTCAGTCGATAGTGGCTGTCGAAGATGATCATGTAGACTTGACTGAATAGTTTCTTGAGATACCAGAGATTCCTCGGTATCTTGTGTCGAGGGAGTGGACATTTTGTAGTTGAGCCACTTTCGTAGCTATATTACAAGGCGTAGCCGATGAAGATGATGATATTGAGGGGAGAGGAGGGGTAAAAAATTATCTGCTTACTAAGCAACCGATATCGACGATATCGGTCGATATCGTCAATATCGGCGATAACAATTATTGATTCAATATATCGGCGATAAGCTTATCGTCGCCCACCCTGTAAGTTAGTGTTCTCCGTTTTGCACTCGACTCTTGATTGCCAGTTCACGCACACGAACGAGGCACTGTTCTACCTGCCGTCAATATGAAGCCTTCATACTACACGGCTGCTGCCCCATTCTCTGCCGGCTATGCGTTGACACAGTTTGGAGCACCGTAGCAAGTTTCTCCCATTTCTCACCCCAGCCTCGTTTAATCACATGCGGTGAGTTGACTAACGCGTGCAAACCAGCTGGGTTCAATACATCTGCAGGTGCGATGAACTGGCCACCGGAGACCTCCAGGTGGCCGGGTTGCGCGAGAAAATCGAGGGAGTCAAAAGTATCGCGGGTTTGGAAGGTGTTAAAAAACTCGACGAGACCCCCAAACCATGGCAAGGAACGAAACCCTAACGCCCTAGATATATCAACACCCAATGCTCACTGACATTGTGTAATTGTGCAGTGTTTAGCCGCGGGGGTCTTGTAGAGTGAGTACAACCCCGGCCCGGATGCTTTCACGAACGAGACGTGTGCAAGCACTTTTGGGTCTGGATACACGTCGTCCTGCTCCTTTTGGACTCGCATAACCGACAACCCAGCAAACCCAGGCTACCCCCATCTGCCCCAAGAGGCCTAGCCTCTATATACAAAGATGATGAAGGCTTCGAGCTATATTCTGCCTCGGCTCTTATGGCGCTATCAGGACAGCTGAGAATAGGTAAAAAATGCTTTATGTGTTTCTTACATCAAATACCATGTTCGTACTACCTTCCAGGTTTGAAATGGAGTCAGATGTCTCAGAGTGAACAAACAAGTACTTGGATTACATCCAAAATGCAAGCGCCACGCTTTCCAAAAGACAAACCCAATCAGCGATTGTATCAGCACGTCGGACACTTCGTCTTGTCATTGGGTGTCGCGGGGTAGACGTCCTGGCCGTACGTGGCGTTCAGCGTGACAGCGCCGACAACATCACCCGACTCGAGCCGGATGTAAGTGTCGACAGCGAGATCCGCGAGCCTGTCCAGCGACACGACGACCTGGCGGGCGCCGCGGATCCAGCTGCCGTACCCGCCGTAGCCGGAGTGCTGGCCGAAGCACAGGTTCAGCCCGTTCCCCGCGACGGGGAAGTCGGGCAGCGTGGCTTTGTCCCACCTGTAGCACCACGTGTCGCCGTGGTCATGGCCCGAGAACAGCGCCATCAGGCCCGGCGTGGACGTGAGCGCCTCGAGGAACGGCACGTCCTGCTCGCAGGTTGCGCCGCCGGCCGCGGTTCCGTCGGGGCACGGCCCGTCGCCCTGCTGCGCGACGGGCACGTCGTCGTTGATTCCCGGCTGGCGGTGCGCATCTAGGCCCTTTTTCTGCAGGGCCAGCGACGCGCTGGTGGGGATGTGTACGAAAGCCAGCGCCGGGATGGCTTTCCCTGCGCCGTCGACCAGCTGCTGGTTCGTCTGGCGGAACCAGCCGACGACGCTCGCGTCGACCCAGTCGGGCTGCCCGACGCGGTCGCCCGTCGCCGGGTCTCGCTGCTGGTACAGGAAGCCGCCGCGGCTGTCGAAAAACCACAGCAGCAGCTCTGGGGTGCAGTCGGACTGGCAGTCGGCGGCGTACACGGGCAGGTAGTAATTGGACACGCCGGCCGTGTCGTTGTGCACCATCCGTTCGGTGCGCGAGCTGGGCCATCGACGCTCGCGCTCCAGCAGATGGGAGCGCGAGAGGTTGTAGTCGCTGTCGTGATTGCCGTAGGCTGACGCCCAGGTTAGGCCCCGATGCAGCATGGGCTGGACGATCTGGTCGATATAGTGGGTGCTATTCTGGCGAAAAGTATTCTCGCCCGTGATGAGGTCGCCGTTGAGCACGACGAGGCCGGTCTGCGGCTCTGCGTCCAGCACCTGTCCGATCACCTTGACAGAGTTGACGTCCTGCTGGGGGCCCCACGCGTCCCATGCATTTTCGCCAAAATGGAGGTCCTCGAAGATGGAGATGTGGAAAGTGCCGTCGGCGTCGAAGGCGAGCGGAGCGGGTTTGGCCTGGCCGCTGTCGCTGCTGGTCTGCTCGAGCTGGCGCGTCGGCAGCGCAGCGAGCAAAAGGAGCCCAGAAAAGACAACAAACATCATTACCATGGCGGGTATCTGGTATGTCGAGATGCGGCTGCGGCTGGGCCTCTGGCTCGCCATGGCAGGCTCGGGGACGGACGCATCGTCGCCTGGCCTGCGGCTTCGCATTTGGATTTTAACGTATCCCTCCATCGAATGGGCGCGCGGATCCCGCCCGCGCTGGCGCCACCGCGACGCGACGCTGCCTGGCTAAAACTCTGACAATGCCTGCGGCGATACTTTTTTTTCGCTAATTTGGCATGGCCCACTGGAATGGGCGCAGGCAAAAACGTGCGCGGGCGGCCAGCTTGGGCCGAAGGCCATCAAGGTTCGAGATTAGATTCAGCGGTCCTTGGTGAAACATCCTCTCTGAAGCGGGGCTCATCAATATCGACGCGCAGCGTCGGCGGCGTGCGGGGTGCATTCTCCACTTTTTGCCTAGTCGCGTATAACCCTAACCCAGCCTGAGTGTTCTACGTTTTTTGATCACTCCAATATTCTTCTTGTCAACCTAGCGAGCCTAGGTACGAAGGTTCAGGCTAAAAAAAGGGGCCACTTTGGCCAGTGCGCGCCAAGCCAACCGCCAACGTGCACTGCCACTCAATATAGCCACAATAATGACCAAAGGAAAAAAGAGGTAATATCCCAAACACCACAACTACCTCAAAATAAGCCCAATCTAGCTACAAAAATGACCAATCTACTCGTCGTCTCCCGCTTCATCCTCATCGCCTAATTCTTCCTCTATCAGAGGCTCTGGGACGTCTACATCCTCGAGCACATCGAGGTCCCAGTTCACCTTCGCGTCCCAGTTTTCAGGGGCTGGCCCTCCTTGTAATTGTTGCCTCCCCTCAAAAATACCACCCACTTTGGCCTTGTCATTGGCCTTACTCTTCTCCGAAACGCCCTGCGGCTATGTTTTCTTACGCGCATTTATCGTGATGCAAACGAGAATGAAGCTGGTAATGCAGCGAGCTCAACGCAGTTGTCAGAATTAAAAAATCTTCTATTTTGAAGAAGCTGTGTTCTTTGTTTCTTTTTCCTCGGTTGGCTTGACCAGGGGGGTGGTGTTGCTATGCCTCTTTTGGTCTGTGGCTTGATTTTGTTGCGCACTGGCCAAGGTGACCTTTTTTTTGGCCTGAGCCGCCTTCGTACTTAGGTAGGGTTACCTTCGATTAACCAAAGTTTGACTTTGACAGAAGCAACTGCAAATGTGTACCTTTGATGCCTTCTGCGGGCCTTCGATCCTTTCTACGGGTCAACTATTTCTCAAACCTTAACCTCTCTAGGTTCATTTGAAAGTTGGACAACTGGGGACATAGAACCTACCACCTTCCTACCCTAGGTTACTAGGAAGTAACCAAGGTGCGAGGTAGATAATAAGATCTAGAAATCCCTAAAAGTCATAAGAACGTGAGTTACGTGGAAACACTATTTACTAGAGTTGCAAAATAACTTCTTAGCAACCTAGTTCGCAACGGAGAAAGAAAATTCTATTTGCTTCAAGTGCTTTAAGAGCTTAAGAGCAGTGTGGGTGAAAGTCTAACAGCTACAAAGATAACCTTTTTGTGGTCAAAATTTGTGAATGCACTTTCATAAAGATTTGCATCAGTTCACACGTCGTCGCAAACATTTCCGGCACTCGACAATACAGTTACACAAGACCACAAGACGACACCATCGTTTAGTTTGCTTGAAGCCGGAATCATGGACTCAACAGCAAGAGAATTGGCCAGATTACATCTCGGGCGACCCTCACCTCCGAGACGGGACGCCAATCTCCCACGAGGACTGCTCGGGCTTCCGAGCAAGCTTGTAAACAAGATTTTGGACGACGTCCCAACAGAGTCAGCCGCTTCATTCGCCTTGAGTTGCAAAACACTACACGCTTTCATATCGGGGCCGGCCCAAATCCTCAGCCGGGACCGGGAGGCCCGACTTAGGTTCCTGGCGTTGATCGAGCCGGAACACCCAGAACTATCTGCGTGCCTCGACTGCGCACGACTCCATCAGCGACAACGCCCCTCACTGTCCGGACCCATCTTCGCCCACAATTTTTGCCTGGCCAGGTACTACCAGTGGCGGGCCCGAAGTCCCCGCCTACCCGCATCGATTCTCTTCACGAATTACTACACTGCCCGCCACATTCTGAACAGCCTCTCCTCCGGAACTCTGTCTTCCCCGTCCTTCCCGAAGGCGGATCAGATCTGGGACAGGGCTGTGCTTGATTTTGGAGGCGTGGTCGAAACACATTCATATCGCACCAAGCTGATCGACGACGACATTTATCTCCACAGCACCATCACCGTCCGCCATCCCGACGGCGACGAGAATGCGTTACGTGAATATGTAGACGGCCACTGGAACTACCTCGTCTGCGAACACATCGACGCCACCGAAGAGAAAGTCGACCAGATTTTGCCCCCTGTCCTCTCAAATCTAGAACGAGAATTTTCTTGGACCTTGTCGCCTTATCTCTTTTGGGACATTTTTGGCAGTATGAGGTCCTGTAGGAAGTGCTGTACAGACTTCCAGGCCAAGGTCGCGCTAGAAAATCTACCACTCGGCGGCTACAGGGACAAGTCGACGAACGGTGTCCGTCCGAGTGGGAAGAAAAGGTACTGGGCCATAACCGCAACTCGGTGGTGTCGACTTGGCCAGGAGCCAGAGGTCCAGTCTCCTTTAGATCCCGACATGAGAAGGGAGAATGCAATCTGGAGGATACCGCTGCGGAAGCACCCGTTGGAAACTGAGCAACCAGCATAATCCGTGACAAATGGGAGGCGGACGAGGCGCAATCAACAGAACCATCGTCAGAAACTCCTAATGCCAACGCTTGAAATGTCCCCAATGGGTGTCCATGGGTGTCCATGGGTGTCCATGGGTGTCCATGGGTGTCCCCATGATGTTAGAACTAGGCCCACCGTTTCGCGAATTTCGGGCGGCAGTGTTCAAGAAGCGCATATATCTGTTATTGCGTTGTTTATCCGAGATGCTATAGCTCCAGGCTGACCTCTCTACTCGAGTCATCCAAAGCCTGGACCCTCTCAAGAAGCCAAGATCCAATGTTTACACTTCCCCCTTTCCTCGATTCGGCCTCATTGGCGCGTACTTCATTGCACCGCTGGCGCCAACGATGTTCAGTGCCATTACCGCGGCCTCCATTTGACACACCAAACTTGCTCAAGAAAGCCTGGGACAACATGTCAGGAAATTTCTACCTGCCTAGTCCTTGCTGGTGGCAGCCCAGGTCTAGTCAACAGCCCAGGTCTAGTCAACAGTAGCGCCGTTAGCCAGCGCCTTGGCCCAGACGGCATTGGCCGTAGCATCGCGCTTAGCTGGGGCCTCGACAGCAGCTTCAACCGCAGCTATCGGATGGAAAAAGTCAGAAATGCGGACGGGTTGTAAGGTCTGTTAATCATATAAAAACTCACGGGCGGGAGCGGCAATGGCGAGGCCGGCCATGATTGATGCGATGATAAAAGAACTTCATTTTGTTAGTTTTTGCTGGGCAACTGTGTCGACTGTTGTTTGCTGTCGGCTAGTTGATGTTGGTGTGAGATTCAATTGAAGGCTTGCGTTGCGTTGATGAGTGAATGAGAGACCGTCCAGATACTAAAGCAGCCCTTGTTATATGGTTTCTTTTCCCTCGTGCTCTTCATTTGGGTTGAAGATATTCTCGTAGTCTCCGACGCCAAAGCTCTGAGACAAACCAATCTTGTCTGTCATCATGCTCAGTCCTCTCCTCCCTTACAGCCCTCTCCTCCCTTACAGCCCTCTCCTCCCTTACAGCCCTCTCCTCCCTTACAGCCCTCTCCTCCCTTACAGCCCTCTCCTCCCTTACAGCCCTCTCCTCCCTTACAGCCCTCTCCTCCCTTACAGCCCTCTCCTCCCTTACAGCCCTCTCCTCCCTTACAGCCCTCTCCTCCCTTACAGCCCTCTCCTCCCTTACAGCCCTCTCCTCCCTTACAGCACGTCATAACCTGCCTGTCAGGCCCCAACCAGCGATGACACGCGCAGGAGCAAATAAGTTGCAATGCTGACCGTTGGGTGCTGACACGTCACGCTGCGATGTCATTATCTAGCAATTACTCGCCTGTCAGCGCAGTGTCATCAATATGTCAGCATGCGTCCGCTGCATGTTGCTGTTGCGGCGGGTCACGAGGAGGTCCGGCTGCTGGTTGAGAGGGGCGTCGATCCGGATATCAGGGGTTCGGGGAAGGGGGAGGGGAGCTGTGATGCTGATTTGGTTTTATGAGGTTAACTTTGGGTGTGGTGGGAGGTTTATTATTTATTTTCTACTTCCTGGTTCCGCTGAGGTATCCAGATGGAAACGCGGCGCTTTGGGCTCCTCTGAGAAAACGGCCGTAGCAGTCTTTGGCCATTTACATCCTGGAACTGTGACGAAACTAATTACATCTTCTTCCCTCTCCTCAATAGCTTGCAGGCATACCGTTGAGCCAGGCGATCCCCAAAACGTGTTCAGGCTTTCTTGAGTCAAGGTCACAGATGGGCTTCGAATCGAAACAAGTGGGATATCCAGCCGCTACGGAATAATATCCCTTGTTTTACCGTTCCGCGGTTATTTAGGCCGAATAGTTGCCTTGGACGTGTTATCCTAGACCTGGGAGCGTGGCGAGACCTGAGACTTGTCAAGAGGCCGTCTCTGTTCGGCCCTGCCCAGGGGGTGGCAACTGCTGCAACTCGGGGTAGCCTGCTTATTGGTCTTGTCTTGGACCGGGGGAGCGTGGTTGGGACTTTATCAGGAGAGCCGCTCTATTCGACACTTGCTTAGGGGGTGGTAACTATTGTAACTCGGGGTAGCCGCTGCTTGTTGACCTTGCCTGGGAGAGCGTGGTCGAAACCTGACTCTGTCAGGAGAGAACACATCTTAGACCTGAGAAGCGTGGTCGAGACCTGGGATTTTGTCAGGAGCCATCTCTACTTGTCTAGGGGTAGCAACTGCTAACTGCTGTAATTCGGGGCTCGCTGCTTGTTGTCTTTGGCTATAAACGGTCTAGTATGTGCGCTACCTACGCCCATATGTGGCTTAGATGCGGCTCCTTCCGATATGGGGCGGGCAGGCACGACCGGTACGGGGCTGCTGTGGGCGTGGTATCGTGGTGGCTATACGCGAGCGGTTGTTGCGGCTTGTCTGGCTATCGTACACCCTTTCCTTTGTATACCATCTTCAGTCTTGTTATGTACAAGAGCTACCAGTCTATTATTTAATCATAAGATCGGGCCATTATTTATATTAGTCTCGACTAATTATAAAAATCGGGCCACTAGTACTTGTCACGAAGGAGAGGATTCGACTGGCATAACACGCAGTATAACCGTAACCTGTATTGTGGAATCTAAAGCTAAGGAAGGAAAAGGAAGGTGTTGCGGGGAGCGGGCAAGGCGCGGGGTTCTAGGTATGGTGCGGACCACGTGATAGGCACGCACAGACCACACTCCAGCACTACGTCATTGACACCACCACGGCACCCGCCGTGACAGTAACGGTGGATTTGGTCGAGAAAGTAAAGACAGAAAGTAGAGTAGACTGGCTCCTTATAAATGGTAAGACTGAAGATAAATAAAGGAGAATAACGGGGGAGCGACTGGTATTGGTGACTTTAATATTAAATAATGGGAGAGTATAGGATGGGCTTCTTCCGCTCTTATACCCCGTTCTCTTTACCATGCCTCGTTTCCTTTACCATACCCCGTTCCCTTCACCCTTCCCTATCCCCTTCACCCGTTCCCGTCACCCTTCACCCGTTCCCGTTACCCTTTACTCCGTCGCCTTATCGACATCGGCAGAGACAGTCTTAATAGTGGCCTGGTGGCCACTCTCTGAACCCGTCGCCTTGTCGACCTCGGCAGAGACAGTCTCAATGGTGGCCTGGTGGCTACTCTCTGAACCCGGCTCATAGCCCGAATCGCCGCACTTGCCGCAACGGAATTCGATCAAGACTGTGACGTTGTTGCGGTTGGGCGAGTGTGGGATTCGGCGGCTCTTTTCGCAACGCCATTAGCAAAAGAATCAAGACAAGCACTTCGATATCACTTTGCCAAATCCAATAGCCAGATAAGTGGCATCCACTAGCCTCGTTCTTTGGAGCTGAATTGCAGAGCGCCCCGCTAGCCCCCACACCGAACTTCTCACCGCACCAATAACAGTCTCCAGTCTTACACTGCCTCTATTTGTATATGTTCAAGTCTCCCGTCATCACGCCTTCCAATACTCGACGACCTCGTCTTCCGCACCCTCGCCTCCGTCAACGCATATAACGCGCGCGGCCAGAATGTTTTTGGATACTCGTATTTCGACGACAAGCTCGGCATCAATTGCTTCTATGACCACCTGCAGCCGAACAAGAAGTCGTGGTGGTTCTTGGAGGCGCCAACGAAAGCCGCAAGTGTCGAGGGGCCAATTGAGAAGAGGGAACAGTAGGGTGCCGTAAGTGATAGATCATGCGAGGTTGCCTGTTTTCGTTCTGGGGAATCTCTTCGACTAATTCTTATTTCGTTAGCTCCTCGCTGCTGTTACGGCATCACGGTAAAAAAGAAAAGAAAAAGAAAAAAGAGAGGGGTTGCTGAGATCATTGGCACTGTCAACTCTAGGCGGGCCGAGCAATGCTGCCTTGATCTGTAAAGAACAGATAGGGCTGAGATAATTAGACTGTAATGTGGTGTTAGTTTGAGAAACTCAATTTAAACGGCTTTGGAGGTTAGAGTTTCTCGGCGCATGAGTCATTATAGTAGAGAACTCTATTCAAGCAGCATTCTTCAACTTGAGCACAAAAGAGGTAACCTTTGTCGCTGAACAGCGGAGCACCTTTCACAACAGAACACAGACAGCTCACACGAACATCACGTGTGCAATTTTCAAGTGACCAGTCTCAGAGATCGCAACAATGAAGCGACAACCAAACGCCGGGCCGGCAAACCCAGCCCAAGACGACGAGCCACTCTTTTTTTACATGCCAGATGCCACTCATGGCGAGCTCTGCTAATGGTATCCATCCACCTTCACCATAAGCAAGGCAGAGATATTCTCGCTCGTCGGGTACGATAAAAACGACAGCAGCAATCAGCCTGGCCCGCCAACAGCGAGCCAGACACCGGACCCAGCGACGAGAGCATCACATTCACCTGCGCCGAGCAATTCATGATGTACTGCAAAGCCGTGCGCTTCAACGACACCGACACGCAGGCCCGCATCCTCGCGACCGCCAGCCCCAAAGAGCAGAAGCGCCTCGGCCGCCTGACAAAAGGCTTCGACCCCGTGAGCTGGGATCAGGCCAAGAGCGGGGTGGTTGAGGCCGGCAATATGGCCAAGTTCGGGCAGAACGTTGAGTTGAGGCGCAAGCTGCTGGCGACGGGCGACCGGATGCTCGCCGAGGCGGCGTAGCGAGACAGGGTCTGGGGAATCGGGTACACGGCCAAGCACGCCATGTCGCACCGGGCGCACTGAGGCGAGAACCTGCTCGGCAAAGCGCTGATGGCGGTTAGGGCGAGGCTGAGGGAGATGGCGCCGAAGTCGATAGGTATTAGTGGCAAGGGGCTATCGCTAGCACATTAGATTATTGAAGTTTTTTTTTTCCTTTTTCTTTTGGGACAGCCCGCTCCAAACAGCCAGACATAACTCCCAACTTGTCTCCGCATATCCTAAGGGGTATGGACAGAGTAACAACGGCATTACAGTCCATTTTGGCGTATTTAACTTGCCGACGTGGTCACCTTGCCACCTTGCCCATCCCCAAAGAAGATGACAGTAATCGTTAAGTCGTCGCTAGTAACTTGTTTTTAGTATTTATTTTGATTTTGCATCCGAGTGTTGCGAAAAGAGAGTGTAGCTTTGCCGGAACCTCCGCATTTCATTTGAGCCCTTCTAGCGGATGGATCCTCGTCCTCGATAATGCCGGTGATTCCGACGTCCTGTTTGAGCCTTCGCACCATCCAAGGCAACGTGGAGGAACTCGTCGACGATGAAGCCTTTGGTCAGTTTCGTTCCCCAGGGTGACAGCGGCAAGGTCTTAGTCACGACAAGAGATTCCGAATTGGGAAGCTCGCCATGGGAAGCTCTTCATGGAAAATGCCGAGCCTCTGGCTGTTCCCCTCATGCCTGAAGATGATGCACTTCTGTTGTTCCGGTCCAGGATTGCGAATGTCGAGAATTGGTAAGAAGATCGCGCCAAACAGATCGCACAGGCATTAGGCCATCTTCCCCTAGCCCTGACACAGGCGGCAGCTTACATCAGGATGAACGGGATTACGGTGGCCTAGACTAGTATCTCGAGCAGTTGAATTCTAGCGAGAATGACTTCGTCGACCTCTTGAATATCGAGCTTCAGGACCTCCGTCGAGAGTTCGAATTATTTTAGTCCGTCACCCGCACCTGGCGGCTGGCGTTTGATCGCATTCGAGATAAAGACCCCCGAGCCGCATGCATCATGGCGCGGATGGCGCTGTTGGACCGCAGCGCAACCCCCGAGGCTATTCTGCACGAACCCAACGAGAGACGCGCAGTCTTCACAGCTGCCCTTGGCACACTTCTGGCCTATGACCTGATATCATTCCAAAAGTCGTCCAACTGCACTCGGTTCATCGGCTGGTGCAACGTGTAATGCGTTGGTGGCTTGGTGCTCGGGCGTGGTTGAGGAGACGGAAAGGGGGGCGACTCAGGCACTCTACTCTGTTGGGCATTTCCCGAAATCGACCCAGATAGGTGGATAACATGCAAACTGCTGCTTCCACACATTGACTCACTTCAGATGGCGCAGGGGCCCGCGAGTGCCGCGGCCGACACATCACAACTTCCTGGGCTTGTGCTAAAGACAGCCAACTACGAAAACGTACGGGAGGCACTTTTTGGGATAGAAAACTCCAGTCCGCTCGCCTCACTACAGGAGCTCGGGAGTGTATGTCACGCGCTTGGAAAATACGGCGAGGCTTTGGAAATCTTTCGCGGCATCCTTGACAAGAGGCTGTCGTTTTTCCGCGCTCATCAAAGAGCACCGACAACAACAAAACCGACACCAGCACCGCCAAGGATGTCGCCGAGGCCCAGATACACGTTGCGCGATCTCTTCTCGCTCTGGGCAAGTACGGCGAGTCCGAGGAGATGGCCCGAGCTGCTCACCAGCAAAGTTCGGAACTGCTCACCAGCAAAGTTCGGAACTACTCGGCGAGTTGCACATTCTCACACTCCAGTGCCTTGACGTACACTCCAGTGCCTTGACATTCTGGCATCTATCCTGCGTCGAAACGGCCAGTATGACGCGTTGCGGCTGGCAACGGAGCTGTTGGAGCGCCGCCGCCAGGTTCTTCCTGAGGGCCACGTCTCTGTCGCGACCAGCATGCAAGGTATCGCCAGGATTCTCCAACTGTGGCAACTGTGGGGCCATTTCGACGAGGCAGAGCCGTACGCCCTCGAAGCCGTGACGCTCAGACACGGCCTCCATGGCGCAGCCCACCCAGACACGCTGAATGCCAGAACCATCTAATACACCAAAGTCATGCTCGGCAAGGGGAATCTGGCCGAGGCCGAGGCCACACTGGTCGATGTCATTGCCACGAGCAAATCCCTCCTGCGGAACGACCACCCCACAATCCTCACGCGGACAGGCTTCTTGGCAAAAGTGCCTGCGGCTCAGGGGCGGTTCGCAGACGCTATCTCGCTTGCCGAGCGGGTTTTGGCTGGATTTGAGAAGAACAAGAGCAAGACCGAGATAGCCGAAGAGCTGATACAGAAGATGAAGGAGTGGTCGCTTGCGGGAGGGAATAGAATTCCAGGCGCTTCGGATCCCCACGAAAACCTGGATCACGATTACCGCCCACGCACCCCGAGCGAGAATGAGCACGCAGAAACATGCAAGGCAAGCCGCCATGTTTACCCAAGCTGAAGATTGCTGACTGCATGGTGCGTGCAGTCCCGAGTGACAACCGGTTCTCGTTGCCAATAGGCACGCATGCGCCAGTCGGTGGTTAAACAACGTCATGCACTCGGAAGGCCGGCAGCTGGGGTGACAAGACACGGGCCAGCAGATGCCAGGGGCATGTATGTGCTCGCGATCGGAATGGCGCGCGGCTAGAAAAGGGCCGCTGCCCTGAATAGCCGAACAAAGAGCAGCGAGCAGGGGCAGGGGCAGGGGCAGGGAGGCATGGAGGCAGGCAGGCAGACTTGCCCGATGTTATTGCCGTTGTGGTTTTCCTATCGCTTCGGCACAGTGACCGCGCACGTGTGCACACAGGCTGCGTGGTGTAAGGGGGTGTAGAATGCGCGTCATATAGTTGCTGTGGCCAATCCGCGGCGGCAGGCTCTGTGCGGCGTGTTTAGATGTTGTCTACGTAAAATGAAGGGGGGCACGCCGGCATTGCGAGTTTGCCCCCCCAGGACCTCCCGAGTGATTGCTTTGGATCCCGCTTTATCCAAAGACGGGCAAGGCTCGACGCGCCTATCGGTTCGGCTGCCTTGATATTGGAAGTCGGCCCCACCAAATGAAAACTTCCCCAGACTTGGCCCCAAATATAGGTAGCCCCCAGATTTGGCATATTATCCGGAGATGGCCGAGCAATCGACGGCAGTTGTCTCTCGGCAAATTTTGCCACGGGATATGGCCTCGACAACCGTCGCCCTCCGCGACTGCCCAGATGAGGAATTCGGGAGAAGGCTTCTAGAGTATGCGAGGGGGGACCGTGGCACCGTGGAGAGCATATAAAGGTCAACAGGGGGCTGCCAAGTCGGTCCACCACGTTCTGGTCTGGTTCGGTGGCTCTCGCTTCTTCCCGGTTTCTTTTACTGCTCTGCTCTGGCACTAGGTCCAGGTTGAAACAGTCCAGCAAGAGAAAGAAATAAAGACATCAAGTCCAGCAACGCGCAAAGATGCATCTCAAGGCCTTTGTGGCGGTGGCAGCTGCCCAGCTGGCCACGGCGCAGGAGCTTATGCGCTTCGGCTGCTCGCAGTTGACCATCGACCGCATCGACCCTCTGGTCAACCCCGGCAGTCTACCGTCGGCGCACATGCATCAAGTCATCGGAGGCAACTCGTTCAACGCGTCCATGACGCCCGGCTCGCTCGACCCCTCGACGGCCGCCACCTGCACGTCGTGCACCTACTCCGAAGACTTCTCCAACTACTGGACCGCCAACATCTACTTCAAGGCCCGCAACGGCTCGTTCAAGCGCGTGCCCCAGGTGGCCAACCTGGGGCTCGGCGTGCAAGCCGGCATGACGGTGTACTAGTACGTGTTTAGTCCCCGACTTGCTTGGTGTGCCAGCCGTGTCTGACCTGTCGTAGCATCCGTGGGTACCAGGCCAGTGCCAAGGTCAACGCCTTCAAGCCGGTGAGTCACCCCCTAAAGATCCAATTCCATCTTCACCGTCTGACAACCGCAGGGCTTCCGCATGCTGGTCGGCGACCCGAGCAACCGGGTGGCGGCCAAGGTCCCCTCGGGGCTGTGCTTCCGGTGCGAGTCCAATATGCAGCAGAGCCCGTTCGGCGGAGCGCCGTGCACGGGGGCCGACACCAAGAACTTCCCCAAGTCGACGTGCGGTGGCGGGTGGCGCGTGACAGTCACATTCCCGTCGTGCTGGGACGGCAAGAACCTCGACACGCCCGACCACAAGAGCCACATCTCGTACCCGAGCAGTGGCACCTTCGAGAGCGGCGGCGCGTGCCCGTCGACGCACCCTGTCAAGATCCCCCAGATCATGTACGAGATCATGTTCGACACGCGCGAGTTCAACAACAAGGCCGACTGGCCCGCGGATGGCTCCCAGCCCTTCTACTGGAGCCAGGGCGACAACACCGGCTACGGAATCCACGGCGACTATCTCTTCGGCTGGAAGGGTGATGCCCTGCAGAAGGCCATGGACACCAAGTGCGCCGGCGACAACTGCAAGGCCCTGCAGAGACAGGCTGACGCCAAGGCCATCGCCTGCACCAAGAGCCAGTCGGCCCGCGAGGACATTGGCACCTCCAAGTGTGAGTTTTCTCTCCCGCTGCCCGTTCCAAAAAGCACCCTGCCCGTTCGAAAAAGGCACCTCACTGACAAACCCCCACAGGGCTCACGTCTCTCCCCGGCCAGGCCGGCATGGCCCCCATGTAAAACCAGACACTTGTTAAGGACTAAACAGGGGAGCGCGAGACTGGTGTATTCTTTTCCTTTGCCCACCTACCACCCCATTTGTCAGATAGCAGAACACTTCTTCCGTATTTTCATTGTGCGAGTCTCGGCGGGTCAGGCATAGATCCGTGGTTGTGGTTGTGTCTGCACGCGCCGAGCTTGCATCAGAGACCATAGAACTTGAGTCATTATTCCCCATCTGAGCTCTGCGTTGTGAGCGTGGGGTCTTGGCTCTGCATGATGTGCTGCCCCCCACCGGGTCGTCTGAATTTCGGGCCTCCGTCATTTTCACGTGCCGACCTCAGAAGAAGGCAAGGAAGAGAGGTCTTGCCTTTTTCCACCTCGCCGAGCAAGGCTGGAATCAACTGGCCAGTTCCACTTGATCAGACAGAGCTGAGGCCGTCAACCCCAGCGGGTCAGGCCACGGGTGTGGCTGAGACGAGCCGCCGGTAAGCCACCGAGCGACAGGGCGGGCAAGCTAGCCGAGAGGGGTTCTGAGCCGACCCCGACGTCGACATGGGTGGTGTGACGTGACACGGAGTTTGGACGGTGGCCCGAAGCGGGGTTGTGCGAGGAAGCGCAGTCTATGGTGAGATTCGGATTGAAACGAGACATCGCGGGGGAAATGGTGGCCTTTGGCCTGGCCTTTGGCCATGTCGGCCGCCGGCCACTTGCTGCGCCGCCCGGGACGTTTGAAGCCTCTATCTCACCTCCCTCGACCTGCATTGAACAATGTGGGTCGATTCTGTCTTCTTTTTTCCATCCCATCTCAAGGCCGGCCGTGGTGGTTTCAGCCTCACCCACCCACATCCCCAAGTATAAACCACATAAGCCAACGGGTCGGACAACAGCTTGGCTCAATACGTGAGAAGTTTCGGGTCATCCACACAATTATGTTCGGCTTTCGGAGAATTATTGGGATGTGCAAATGCTGGAAGTTTAAATTGCATCCTGTTTTTCTCCTTTGTGTTGAGACTGCGCAGGCTGCCAATGACGTCGCAGTATGGTGGCGGGCAGGAGCGTGGCGTGTAGCAACGCCGTCGAGTAAACGGGCTGACAGCACCATCTCGGGCAGGCAAAGTGCTGGCCAGAAGTAATAATTGATGAAAAATGGGCTGTGCACAAGTGATGGCAAGAAAGCAGGCCCAGCCTTGAAAAATGAGATGCTGCGTATTGACTTGCGGGAATCCGCCAATACGGGTGAAACTCGTCAGACTCGGGACCTAGCCGGTCGGGGCAGCTCTTGCTTCGTCTGGTGTGTTGGGACGAGGCACAGTCAGCCCCGTTGTGGCTAGGGTCGTGGTGGCCGGGGTCGTGGTGGCCGGGGGGGGGGTCGTGGTGGCCAGGGTCGTGGCGAAGGCGTTTGAGAGATTGTGGGCCGCCCAGTGTGCACGAACCAGAAGCCTCGACCGCCCTCTCGGATGATGAGAGCGCCCAAATAGGTCTAGTCCCGGACCTTCAGTGCACGTGATACGACAACAACGCTGCCAAGTCGAAAAAACAAGCCACCTTGCGCGATGTCTAGGCGATATAACTTAGGAAATAGCGCGAGAAAATGGGACAAGTCTTATCATTTGGTAAATTATTTTTCATTATTCTCAAGCAGTGGAAGGTACCTGACATGTCCTGCGAACCACTTGACATGTCCTGCGAACCTCTTTCATTGGCGAGCATTCGTTGACCGCTAGCGTTGCCCTTGTCCGCGTATTGAGAGTCGGGCAATGTTTCCAGACACGCGAAAGCGCCGGACATGGGTGGCCCGGCCACTTGGTGGTTTCGTCCTCACACATCGACATCCACATCCAAGCCCACACTGGAGGCATCAATGGAGTCGTCCACCAATCTTAATTGGCGTGCTGATTGCAGAGTTTAGCAAGATCTGCCAAACCGTGTCAGAGCCGGAAACCTTGCTTCCCAGCGACAGCTCACTTCTGCAAGCTATTAATTGACTCGCATTCCCTCGCAATCACGTCCATATCTTTCTCTATACTTACAATCTGCATAATTACTTCATTTCTTCAATTATTTCACGTGCTTGGACCTAGCCCAATTTGACCACCGCAGTCCAACATGGATTTACCACATGATGCCTTCAACGCTAATCCTGCTCAGCCGCCGATTAGTCGCTCTGTCTCTACCGCAGCCTCTACACGTATCCAGCCCACCCTCAATCGCTCAGGGTCTGTACCCGGGGTGCGAAATGTGCCGCTGGCCGGTTCTGTCCCCAGCTCCGTCACCAGTCACCCTAGTCCTGCCACTGCTATTATCCAGAAGCCGAACACCGGTGCTGGAAATATCAGCGATCCTCACCCTCTTTCGAGAACTAATAGCGATGACTCCGCCGTTGACGTGAAGTCCTATGGCGTCCATGACCCAGTTACACCAGGTTTCAGGCGCGACTCAGGCGTGGAATCTTCCAGGAATACCGGGACACCTGTAGTTGTTATTAGTACAAGCAGTACGCAAAAGAGAGCTAATACCGGGGATTCTGCCATAGGCATGGAGCTCGGTAGTAGCTCAGGCCCAGCTTCTGGTATCGCCTCAACTGCGGAATTTTGGATGAACCCCGAAACACCTTTGAAGAGGGATAATAGCACCAGAAGCCTGATGCAAACTGCTGAAGGTAACCCAAACGCTAGTGGTAGTTTAAGCGTTAGTGGTTTTTTGGCAAGAACCACGACTACCGTGGGCCGCAACGAGCGCCAGCGCCCGCTCAGATTTCGAATACCGCCCTATCTGAAGGTGGCTAGGATGGGAATTGGCAAGGAACTAACGATTAACTCGGAACAGGCCTTGGCCTGGGAGGCAAGTCCCCGTACCCGCGCAGACGTACTGAGTCTTTCAATTCCAGCGCTTACTAACATCTCTTGCTCTCTTTTTAGTCACTCATGACTCAAGTCCATGACAATTTCACTCACGACGAGATCCAAGGGCTGAAAGAACCTCAAGCCCGCCTTCCGGCCAAAAAAACAGGGCAAATATTCCGCGATCCAGATCTACGTATAATTTCCCAAATGGGCAAACCTAGGAGCGGCAGTACGGAAACGGAATACTCAATAATCACGATGGATAAGTATCAAGGGTTCCTCGAAAGCTACCTTGACAATAAAGTAAAAGCCATAGAAATTTTCCTTTCGTTTGAAGCCGAGAAGCCAAGAGATGCCCCGGAACAAAAGCAGAGTGGCGCGTGTAAGAAACTGTTGCCGGAAAAAATGCAAGTAACGGTCGCTCAGGGAGTGATCAAATTAGTTGATGATAAATTATGGGTGATGTCGAAGGATACGTATGCTCAAATGGACTGGAGAGTGAGTGTAAATCACTACCAGTGATTATACCTAACTGTATAAGGAAAAGCACCGCAACGCAGCTAACATTTTCATCTCCGAACACTAGGGTCTTTTATCAACAGCCTCGAACCTCATGAATGGTGAATACAATAGAGACATTTCGACCTTTAAGCAACGGATGATGGACCTAGCAAATGAGGAAGTTGGACAAGCCACGGATATCCAGGTCTATCGGTTGGGTAACCCACACACCCTGATAGATCTAAAAGATTGGCGGAAGTTCATCTACGGGCTGAGGGGATCAAGCCAGAGTCTCATTAACGTTCAAATCCAGTTTCTAAAAACAAGAGAACAAATAATCTCGGCAAGATGTTCGGCAAGTTACATGCCAACAAAAGACGATGTTATTCCTATCATGTCGGAAATACCGGTAGACACAGGACTGATACAATATGTTATGCCGCGTAGTCATATGACCATTCTTGGCAGAGCAGGAGAAAAAAATGGTGGTAGCTCAACAGTGGCAGAAGATGCGGGCCCTGTCACGACCAGGGCAAGGCATTGAGGTGAACTCAGTCCATTGGGTGCTATCGACGAAGATTCTAAACTGAGGAAGGAAAGAAGGAAAAGTCCAACGACGCGTCGCGTGCTCGCGAATAAGTTTTCATCTATCAGTGGGGTAGGTGGGGCCTCGAGGCGGCTTCTGATAGGCCCGGGGTTCTGGGCGGCTCTGGCTGCTTGAGGGCCAGTTTGGTGGACGGGTCCTCACAGGCCCCGCCCGGTTTACCCGAGCCCCAGAACGTGTTCCAGCTCGAACGCTAAGCACTGCAAGTACCCTGTTCTCCATAGACGAAAGCTCGCATCCGCGTTGACAGTATAAATTGTCGTTAAAATGTGTACTCGTCCAGTCTAGGAGATATTTCTTTCATTGCAGGAGCTATCGATCTTTTTTTTCCCGTTTTTACCATTCCAATGGATACTATTAGGTCGCCCACTGTCGCACTGTTATAGAGTCGAAGCCCGGCGCGCGACAGGATCTTTGACGTGGAACAAGTCACGTTAAGGTCAAGGATACGTACCGTGTAGTGGAGCGATGGGAGGTAGGAGGCATGTGCGCTTCTTGGCTGGATAGGACTGTAGTTACTCGGGGATGATATTTGCAGCTGGGAGGTGGACTAATGCTAGGAAATTAATTAGCAGACGTTCTAGAGCCCTTATAGCGCCAAAAACAAGTGTGACAATGAGTAAGGTAATTACGTTAGTTGCCACTGCCACTGCATGGTGCACTGCTCTCGTATAAGTGCCGGGACGTAGCACTGTAGATTCTACCAAGCTGAGCTGCAGGGTTTTCAATAGCGTGTAGAGGGGGCTGAGGTGGCCTTGTAAAGCCCGTCGAGCGGAGAAACGGTTGGAAGGTAATATTTCATGTGACGAAGGCTGTCGAGCTGGGAAGGTTCAGCGCTTGGCGTAACCCCACCGTGTGATCCGACTCTTAACTTGCTAGGGTTAGGGTCTACCCCGCACTAGGTCGAAAATTCCTTGGGACCTTAGCACAACTCGACGGGCTGCTGGCGCTGGCGCTGCTGCAAGACCTTAAGTAGTAGTCTAGTGGGTTCCAAGACGTGCAAAGGTGGCCGGACGGCCTTTGCAGAGGTGGTGCGGGCCCGAGGTGGGCGGTTTTGTCCGATGCAGCCA